TTTGTTACATCCCATCATGCATCTTTCTTTTATTTTGAAGCTTTTACCATCAACCTAAAAAGGTGTACCAGGCTCCCAAAAGGTAAATCTACGGATCACAGTAATGTTGTCGCCCATTTTGAGGAATTAATTAAAAAGAACAATTTCGTCTCGTTCCATAAAAACAAACAACAAAGAATAACACAATACACTTTCTTCTCTCCGTCTCACTGCGGCCTCTGTTAGCAGCAGAGTGAGTTAATGAGGGGAAATGCAAAACGTGGGGAGGCTGAGCCTTTGAGGCCAAAGCCCCCCTCGTATAATGGCTGACCAAAGAAAGGGGAGCTTTGTTCAGTGCAACACAAGCAGGTTCCTCTTTAATGACTTCATGTGCACGCCAATCACTTACGCCACACAATCCCATCATGAGGCCACACAACACTTTTCAGAACGTCTCCATCATGTGAGCTGCAGCAGCACGTGACCCACTACTTCAAACCAAAACCAGAGCTGAGATTTAGTTCAGCAGGTAACATCTCGAGGGCCCGAGGAGGGAGTCCTTCCTTTATACAGTCTATGTTAGGACCTGAACAGACAGGGTTGTTTTGTTTTCAAGGGAACAATACAGCCAGTTTAAATGAGCAGTACACTATTCATACACTGTGTTCGTGTTTTTAAAGAGCGATTAAATGAATCACAGTTGACATCTTCAGTGCTGCAGGCCAACATTAACTCCAACTGTGACAAAGAGGCAATTTAACAAACATAAGATGCTTTCAGAAGTAACAGCTGAACATTACAGTTATCGTTCATTGGTATTTAGGTCACAGTGGTGACATTTAAGCAGAGAAAGAGGGAAATATTTCAGTTTTCCCTGTTCAGTTTAACAAGTACTAAACTATCCCGTGTGTATAATAACTCTGAGTCAGTTTAAACTGTTGTGATAGCAGCTGTTCAAACAGATTTCAATAAAACTGGAGATCTAACCTGTCTAATAAATTCCAAAAATAGTGTGTTGAAGATGATTTTCTGTATGTCTGACTCTTGTAGGTCTGCAACCATCGATTATTTTTGCTTGGCATAGTTTGTGGATTATTTTCTCACTCACTAAGAAAGTTGTTTGGTCTGCGAACTCCTAGAAAATGCTCATTTTTCACATAATTCCACTGAAAAACAGAACATTACCAAATTAGGGAGATTTTTCGAACTAAACATGATGAATAAATTCTCAAACTAAATCCAAGCAAGCCAGAAAGTGAACACTTGTCTTCTCAAATGTCACTCCACGTTCACTTCAATCCACATCCTGAGGTTAATAAAGGGATGGAGTTATTTTAAAGCTTGCTGATATATATTTTATGACTGCAAAGTTGAGGCTCCTCTCCTTCAGCTAGTCTACCCTTATAAAGTGCTGCACTCAAACATCGCAGAGGTTTCCTCTAAAACTCGGGACCACACTCAGTCAAACTGAGACTCATCAGCTTTCCTTAAGTTTCTTTTTGTGCATTTTTCCAAGATGACACGCCTCTGACAGCCTATATTAAGATTGTAAAGCATGTTTTACTCAGGAATGTGTCAATTCAATTACACCATCTGTCTGCTCGTGACTCATTAATAGGAAGTTGAGCTGATGGCAACACTTTCAACATGACTGACAGACTGTATGAATTTGCATGAATCAATCTGGACACAAAGAGTGGCTGAAGGTCGGACCACACCTCATGCCTACAGGATGTGATGTACAAGGCGACAGAAACTGAAGTTACTCATTGTTTCAGTGAGAGAGCACTGATTGAATCCTGCAATCTGCTCAGAAAAGTATGTGGTTTCATGTTCATCATAAACTTTTCTTGGACGGCTAATTATCTATCCAGAATTCTACCTCTGATAGAAAGACATACAGGTTGTCCCAGTCCTACATTTTCTAGTTCTGTAAGGTTGATAAAACCACAAATCCCACACAGATGAGCTCCTACAAAGCTTTAAAATCGGAGCCCTCAGCCTTTCAAACCCCTGCTTCAGTCTTTCGGGTGGTGCCGTAGATATCGCTCAGCACAGACACAGCCCCGGTGTGATACAAACTCAGTCCAGTCTTTTCAGAAACAGCAGACAGCAGGGGCCTGCAGGGTGTCAGATGTCGACAAGGACCAGTTGCCGGAGTCTCAGTCCGGGCCGCCTCTCAGGCTGCAGCAGCTGTGTCTTCTCAGCCCTCACATTCCTGCAGGACAGGCCCACTTTACTCTCATCACCTGTGCTGATCTGAGGGAGGGACGAGCTCTCAGAGGAGCCACACAGCTACTTGAATTAAAGTCATTTTCTCTAATGTTTTGCAGATACTGGCTGCAGTGATTTTAAGAAGGGAGAGGAAGGCTGTGGCCAAGAAAGCGGTGTCAGTTGAAGACTATCTGACCTAAAAGTCCCTACAAACATTCCTGGTTTACTTACAACCAAATACTAGTATGAAATGCATGACATGGACTTCTGTTAAAATGATGATCTTCTGATAATGTACCGACATAAACCCATGTTGCTCAGTGAGGTTGCAATAAGAGTGGGGGAGGTAACTTCTTTGCACATTAAAACTAGCTCACAGATTTATGTTTGTCAGCATTTTTAGCTTATTATTTGTAGTACATGGTTACAGGGAAGAGTTTAGTTGTGAAAGGTTCTGATTTTGCCAACTGGCTGCTGAGTTAGTCTCAGTCAGGGGGATTGCAACTTCCCCAGTTTGGCATAAAATATCCAAAAAGAAAGGGAAGATAATCTGAGTACTGCAGTTTAAAAACACTGAAAGTTGCACAAAAATGCAGGGCAAAGTCTTTAAAATGACTACAGTAGATACAAAAGTACTCGCTGTAAAGGGGTGCATTAAAAGCCTCTTCTGCAGGGTAAGATCTGTGTCTCTTAAAGCGGACTCTGTGTCCACTGAGACAGCCAGCCATGATTCAGCTGCTTTTCCACCCTCTCAGACGTCCCTGTTCTGCTACAGCTGCTTTGCAGTCTTTATTGCCTTCACTGCATTATTAGCTGCATTGTCTGACCTCCACTAAATAATACATGTTAACATTTACCCCACCCTGCTGCTGCTGCTGCTGCAGCCTTATGCTCAGGAAGACTATTCCCAAATGAATCTGCACATTAGCTGACAGACCTGTGGGGGAGTTATTTTTAACACTGCTGAGGTTTTGATTGTCAGCTGTTCTGAGAGCGTTTTTAAAGTCATGACATTTATGCTTTATCATCCTGCAAGTGCATCAATGTCTTTTAGTCTGCCTGTTTGTTTCTTTGGCTCATTTACATCATGGACTGATTGCCCTTGAAAAATGCATGAATAAAATTAAGTTTAATCAAGTTAATCAAACCAGGATTGTGCAATTTAGGAGGCAGTGGTTCTCCAGTATCACGTTGTGAGACAGTCTGTAGTAGTAATCAATGACATGTCACTGGGCAGCTACACAAACTTTTCCATACTCTAAACCACACATACACAAACACACCTCTAATTGTGACAATCCAGTCAACAACAGCAGCGACTGAGCCCATACACACCTTAAAAACATCGCAACTGAAAACCATTTTGCAAATCACGGCAGATTCATGGGAAGAGTTTCTTGATTCATCGGCTGCTTCACTTCAGAGCCACTCTCCTTGTCCCACCGCGGGGCAGCCCACCACCACCACCACAAACAGCGTCCAAGTCTGAAACAGCTCACCCTTACCTCCAGACGACAAACTGAAGTCAACTGTGCGCCGGGATCCAAGTTTTGTCGTCTCGTCTCCGGATGGGATTGCAGAGCCACACACACACTTGTAGCCACACAAAATGCTTAAGTCCCTATTTAATTCCCTGCATTACCACTGATTTAATGTGTTTCCTTCTCGCTCCCTGCCGCTCACCTCCAAAATTCTCCTCGAAATTTAAGTCCGAGTAGGAAACTTGCGCATGTTTATCCGTGCGTGTTCGCTGTTTGGATGTAATTAAAAGTCAGTCCTTCTCGGCTCGGTGACGGTCGCTGAAAACTCTACTTTGCCTTGCTAATCAGTGCGGCCACTCGTGGACGCGCGGCAATGCGCGGTCACGCGCCTACTGGGCGGGGAGAAAACATGTAGGGGGAGGACAGAGACAAGCCCCCAGGACTGTGAGGGCTGCATTTGTGGTTCATTAGAGAAGTGTATCCTCCACATTCAACAGGACTATCACATATCTTCTTCCCGCAATAAAACAGTGAAACACTGAGCTGCTGTCAAAGGAAGGACACGCTTTCTGTGCTATGGAAGGACACCACTGCGCATGCTCACTGACTCCCTAAAAAGAAGTGAAGTGAGAAATGTCATCAGTAATAAGACGCCATCTTGCGAAACCCTATCCAGATTAGTTTAGTATTAGATGTTCAAGTGGCGTAGGAGTTGTTAAGGGAAAAACTTCAAAAAAGTTAAGTTTATGCAAATGCCTTTTTTGTTCAGGGGGTCAGGGACAATTTTAACACCCGACTTACTCGGTTGACCAACTTGACATCATAACACCCAGAGAATTGCGGGCAGAGGTAAGTATTGTATGGCAAGTAACCAGTTCACTGTATTATATAATCATATCAAGGGCATTAGATTCTTCTGGTCTCCGTTGTTTTTTTTTTTGTTTGTTTTTTCAAACAAATATAACACCATTTAAGTTTGGTAGCTTTCATCCCTATTTTGACGTTAACCGTGTGGCGTTTATAAACGAAGCGAATTGTAGTATTAGGAACTCCGAGCATCAATGAGGACCTGAATGCAGCACTCTAGCCACAGACAGTGCGACTGGACAGGAAGTAGGAATGTAATTACACGGTAGCTATGCAAACACTGAACACCAAATTCAAAATAAGTTTATTTTACAACTATTCGGCGTTTCTTAACACCGATAAAGTCCCCAGAGCTTTCTTTGTCTTTACTTATCTATTTACACATTTTGGTTTTATCTTGTAATGCTTTACCTGAAAGCAAAAGAGATTCCTAAACCGTTGCACGTTATGAAACAAACCGCTGACGTTCTGAGGAGGGTTACAATGCGCGTGCCGTACCCCAAAGCAGTTAACGTCTTTCTGCAACGGTTGACGTTAGTCATTGCAATGAGGGACAAGGCTGCAGTTTTCGTGCTACTTTTGCTTTGAATGTGTCTTTTACAGGTATGGACATGGAGTCAATCTTAATTAATGTAACATTTCAGTAAATTGTTGATGCTTTCAGGACTAAATTGGCTTTTACGCTTAGTTGTTTCTCTTCGTGTGAGGGTGCAAGCAGTGGGTAGCTAGCTCATGCTAAAGCTAGAGACAGTCCAAGTAAACGCATTGCAGTAATGTGACACTCCGCAATGGCAATACAAGTCACAGTAACCGTGTCGTTGGGGAGTTTTTTTCTACCACACACATTTGAAACGATTCAATCTTAACACCTCTTGTTCCTGAATGTCAGGTCCTAGAAGCGTGTCGGAGTCAGATGGTTTGACACTTTATCCGAGATGTTTTTTTTAGTGGCATTACTCCTTTAACTCCATGCTGAGAAGACAAAAGTTAGTCTATGGGCATTTTATATTGTTGTCATTTCAGTCTATATTCTGGGATTTATCACATTGAAATGTTCAAAATTTGGGTTAGATTTTTTTTTTCTTCTTTCTATTGATAAATTAATACAAGTTAGACTACATTGGCAGTCAACCATAAATGTCAACTTCAAACAGCTTTACTTGGCTGTGTCCAATATCAGCCTGTTTTTAGAGATGCAGTTAGACATCAGCTGACAGAGTCTAAAAAAGTTAATCAGATATGAACTTTGTTGCTGACACAAATGGCTGATAAGTTCATTCATTGTTTATGCGCATGGGTTAATAGCGCATCAATGCCAACCATGAGTTTTAATATAAATAGTGTGTAGAAGTATTTCCAGCAAAATGGACATTCAAAAGGCTTGACAGGTGATGTGAGGAGGAGCAAAACATTCTAGGACTTTAAAATAAGCTGCAACTCCAGCATCTTGAAAAGCTGAAATTAAGAAATGTTTTTCTACAGTTGTTACAGAGTTCTTCCTTTATTTTTCAGACTGACACTCACTGTAAAGGAGGATGGATCCTGTCGTGTTGAGCTACCACGACAGCCTGTTGCGCCGCTCTGATGTGTCCTTACTGGAGGGACCTTATTGGCTCAATGACCAGGTCATTGGTTTTGCCTTTGAGTATTTTGCTGCTGAGCGCTTTAGAGTCCTTGGAAAGACCATCACTTTCATCAGCCCAGAGGTCACCCAGTTCATCAAGTGCGCCTCCTGCCTTGATGAATTAGCTATATTTCTGGAGCCGCTGGATCTTGCTTCTCGTCACTGGGTCTTCCTCGCTGTGAACGACAACTCCAACCAGACTGCTGGGGGATCCCACTGGAGCCTTCTGGTCTACCATCACAACACCAACCACTTCGCTCACTATGACTCTCAAAACGGCAGCAATTCTTTGCACGCACGGCGCATTGCCAGCAAGTTAGAGCCTTTTTTGGGTACTGGGAGAAAAGCTCTGTTTGTGGAGGAGCCTTGTCCATCACAGCAGAACAGTTATGACTGTGGTATGTATGTTATCTGTATTGCTGAGGCCTTATGTGAGAAGATCAGGGTAGAGGGCTCACCTCGTCTTCCAGTGCAGATCATCACCCCGGCCTACATCACCCAGAAGAGGGCTGAATGGTGCAGACTGATCCAGAGTCTAACTCAGACTGACCTCTGCTGCGCTCTGTCTTTCCCTTAGCACGTTGATCTCTCTTCATTATATGCGGAGCAGCTTCTACATATCTACTGCTGGAGCATCTGAATGCACCCCATGAATTCAGTATATAACTACATATGATGAAATATATTTCTATTGCAGCCTGCTGCATTATCAAAAAAGTTTGAAAATATAAAGCAATGTGGAATCTTTATTGATGAATTGACCATTTGGTGTTATGTTTATTCCTTATTTATGCACAGCAAAATACAATATTTAAACAAGAACACCAGCATGCCTATAAAAGGAATTTGCTCTGAGTTCATCTTTACTGAGTGACTGAGAATATTTCATTTGGAGGAGGAGGAAGCACAGACTTTTCTTTTCTCCATCGTTTAGGTTTGGAGCGAATGTAGAAATGTTTACACAGATTATTGCTCAGGGTCATTTTAGATGAACTAAGATTGACAATAAGAATGTGTATTTTGCTCCTTTTTTCTTTCGGATCTGTTTCAGTCTGTTTTATCTGTTTGAGCTTTGGTGATGTCCACTGCTTCAAATTTTGAGTTTTTTTTTTAATGAGCATCAAGAATATTGTGTCCATACAGAAGGATGACAATGCCCCTATTTGTATAATACAATAACCCCCTCCACACACACACAAACATGTTGGGACACCAATCCAGAAGAAAAAAAAATAATTGAATGGTATAAATATATATATTTACACACATATATATAAATATACTGTATATATATTACATATATACAGATTCTCACACACATATACACATATGAGTGTGTTTAACAAAATTAAGCACATACATGAGTTTGCCAACACTGAAGCTGTGCCCAAAACAGGAAGATAAGGTTCACATGGATTTGATCACAATCACAAACACAGGTTGGGTGCTAAGTGATTATTAAGTGGGCACAGTTTTAAGTTTCCCTAAATGCTTCAACACCGGATCCCAGACAGACAGAAAAGTCTATAGAACCCCTGAGAGTATGTTTTATCTTCTCTTAAATGTATGAATTGTGTCAGGTCACTAAACCACACAGATACTTAGGGTGGGTTTTTTGATTTCCGATGTAATAAAATTCTTCTACGTGCAAGAAGTGTTGTAAAAGCAATTGTGTTTTTATAACTTTTCTTTAATGTTGTATGTCTCCTATCTGTGGTACCAAATATGGCCATAATTGCGTTGGGTTGAAGATTAATATTCAATATTTTTGACAACGTTTTAAAGAAGGTGGACCAGTAGGTTGCCAGGGCTGGACATAAGGACATAGGAGTGTTTCGACATCTGTTGCAGCCTGCATCCATGTTTGGGTATATTTTAGCCAGTCTTGCTTTGGAGTAGTGGATGCGATGTAGAATCTTGAATTGTATGATACTTGATTTGGCACATGAGGTACTGCTGTTTACTCTTATAAGAGCGCTCTCCCAAATCTCCTCTTCCAAGTCTTCCCTCAGCTCATCCACCCAGTCTGCTCTAATCTTTGCCAGCATCATGTTTTTAAAAGAGGTTATACAATCATTTATTCTCGAGATAAACCCTTTAGTCTCGAATGTAGATCTTAACAGATTATCTAAACCAGAAAATGTTTTGAATAGGAAGTTGGGATCATGATGTTGAAGGAAGTGGCAGACTTGGAAATATCGAAATAAGCTAGACCGAGGGAGGCCAAATTTGTGTGATAAGTCATCAAAGCTTGCAAAAATAGAGTCTATGTACATATCCTTAAAATTATGAATGCCTTGTCTCTGCCAGAGAATAAATTCAGAGTGTAAGGAAAAGTGATCATTGTGTATGGGACTTAGATGAAGAAGGTTTTTAAACCCAAAGTTCCGTCTAAGTTGGGCCCATATTTTGAGGGTGTTTCATCAGGAGTATGGAGCCAGTACATGATTTTCTCAACATTTGAGGCCCAATTATAATAACAAATTTGGTAGAGCTAAGCTTCCTTGGTTTTTAGGCCTCTGTAACAGTTCTAACCGAATTCTAGGCATTTTCCCATCCCATATAAATGAAATTAAAGCCTTATCAATAGACTTAAAGAAAAATTTAGGAAGATAAAGTGGGATACATTGAAACAGGTAAAGAAACTTGGGGAGCACATTCATTTTTATACAATTCACTTTCCCTGCCAAGGACAGATGAAGTGGTTTCCATTTTTTGAGGTCGAATTTGACTTCCTCAAATAGCAGACAGAAGTTTTCTTGGTGAAGGCTTTGCATGTCCCTTGTGAAATTAATACCTAAATATTTAAAGCCATTTGTAGACATTTTGAACGGTAGAGCAAAAAAAAATTCGCTGACATCAATCCAAGAGTAGAATAGAGACAGCAATACCAACTGTCATCCGGTATTGTAGTTAAAAATAAGATAGCACACAGGAAAGACAGACTATTCAGAGTCAGACTGCGGTCTTTAGCATATTTATGAACGGGGATTACTGTATCAGCTACAGCAGGATTTAAGGTTTTAACTCAAAGAGATATGCAGCAGGGTGATGCTGAAACATGGAGACCCTAAGTGGAATGAATAAAGGTGTATACATGTCCTCTATTATGTCTACAAAGAGAGCAGAGCTAGTGTAAGTCATTTCAAGATTAAGGCACCTGTGTAGTTTAGATATTAGAGAGCATAGATTTACTAAAACTCGTCATAACGGCTGTTGGTTCAATTCCTGACCTACAGGCCCTTTGCTATAGCTCATCCCTCTTCCACATTTACTATCTCTTTACAGATTTCCTGCTATAAAAGAGCAAAGATACCCTGAAAATTAAGTTTAAAAAGCCAGCGTTAATCCTTATTTAAAAGGTAAATGTTGATTCCCAAGATTCTTTATTTTGATCTTCAAGCGCAACATGTCTGAAGTGGGATTTTAAAGCAAGAGGCATAAAACAGAAATGTCTCAATGTTTATGAACCACATGAGGAATAAAAAAGAAACCCTCACCACTCATACAGAACTAATCTGGCTTTAGGCTCTGCTCCCCTTCCTCTTGTATCCACGGCATCTCTGCATCCCACAGGCATATTTCACCCAGGGTAACCAGTCAGACGAGCCATCAGGGTTTACTATTGTCCTGATAAAATGCCACAAAGCTGGAGCATTCACCTCCATGGCAGCACGCTGCATTAGTGAGACAAAGAGTCTGGGGACAGGCATATTAATTTAGACAGATTTGCTTCTAAATGGCCAGTTCGCCAAGTCTACTCCATCCGCGCTCACAGGCAAATCAAACCTGACTTTCTGTCTGTTGTTATCTCAGAGCTTGGGGCTTTAAACCTGCAGTGGTGTGCAGAGGTTTTGTGTTGTATCTTGAAGGGATTTTTTAAGAACCGCACCTTGTTTTTTGCAGGATAACTCAAACTCACATGGATAAAGGTAAATCCTCACAAAAATCTGCACCTTGCTCTTTGCTATTTCAGCAAATGATAAACACAGCGTTCAGTAGCACAAAAAAAGCTTCTTAGTGATGTTGATTTTGTTCTGCTCTAAATAAGCAGGGGGCTTAGTGATAATCGCATCGTTGAAGAAAATAGGCCATTCCTCACTTTCAGGACCCATGACTCTTCAGTGTGCATTGAGGTGCACAGACGAGCAATGACCTAAACACATATTCATCAGTTACTGGTCTTCGAAGGCTTTGAAAGCAGAAAAACCCAGAGTTCTCATAAACCCAGTGTTATGTCTGTGCAGTCATCAAGCCTCCTTTTGCTGAACCTGGATCTGTTCTGGTGCCTGATTCCCTCATTGCCTGGATTTAGGTCTCAATGAATCGTCTTCACCTGACTGTCTACATTTGAGACTCAAAGGTTCCTGATTGCATAAGTATTTGCATTTTGGGTCCAATTCTCTTGTTTCTCGTTTGCCTGATCATCTGCATTTGGGTCCAAATTGATCTTATTTGCATGAACGTCTGCATTCAGGTCTAAATGAGTTCAGTTTGCCTGATTGTCGCCATTTGTATCAAGAGTTCCTGTCTTCCTAATCATCTTCACTCGGGTCTTGATACTCCTATTTGCATGAATGTCTCCAATTAGGTGTAGGTTGGGGGGCAGGTTTGAGTTGTTCAGGGGGTGGGTCTAAGTCGTTAACTCCAAACTGGCTCTGCAGCCTACACATCCTGTTAAACTGTAATAACTAAATCAGAGTAAAACAAGAGTTGGCATTGTACAGAAGTCCTGTTGTTCTTAAAGATGAAGTTTGGTACACTCATTGGAGAGAAAAGAGTTTACTACAACTGTCTAGATTTGGCTTCAGTTGACATTTTCATGTGTATTTCTTAATTTATAGACATAAATAAATAAAAACACATAGAGCCATTGGTGGACTCACTCACCCCTATTCTTCTCCACTGTGTGTGTAATTGATGTGTGGAGCAGCGGCCAAGGTTTCTCTTCCAAGATCTCCAGGTGGTTTATATTTAGCTGTCAGATTGAGTCCCTCCGGCCTGGAGTAGGTACATATACATACACAAACACACACATACACTTAAACAAAAACCATACAATTTCCATAATGTTTGCTCAGAACTGTCTCCGACCTCTTGTTCATGACATCATGTCCTGTCTCAACACATCTGCAACCAACTATAACAACAAGATTCTACTTCAGCTTAATTAACAGCAGCATGCCTGTGAACCAGTTTGATTAAAACAAGCAACATCCTGCCAAAAGGCCCAACAAGGTGCAGGAAAATCCTGAGCATCAGTGTTTCCAGGTGTGCACTCCACTGGAACGTGTCTCTGCTGAGGTGGAAGTAGGTCAAGTTCATATCACAACATCACATCAGACATGAATAAAGAAAGCGAAAATAAGACGCTCCACTGCAGAGTGAAGCAGATAACATTCATCTACGGGCATAAACTCCAACGACTAAAGGCACGCCTCTGTAGATCAGAGGTATGACCTCAGTTTCTTCACATTTATGCGCCACATGTGTCCTCAACATACAGCCCGTGTGACTTGGACTTGTTGCCAAATCAAAACCACAGATTTTGAGGAGACCTTACTGACAGAATTACAGGGAACCGCAGATCTTTCAAAGATGCACTTGCTGGATTGAATTAGTTTTTGTTGGAAAGGAGAAAACAGTGTAATCCAAAGAGTTCATGAGGCACAGATGTCAACAGAATAAGATGAGAAAATACAGCTAACTTAATTAAAAGCAAAAGCAAAGACAACTTAAAAAATTCAGACCTGCTTGACTGTTTTTCTTTATATAAGGCAATCGTTTCAATGATAAGAATTAAAAGTATGATTAAACCAAAGTCAACTAAGAGTCTTTCCTTTGGAGACAGAGCCTTTAATATATCACAACAGTCTTAAAATGTTAATGTTTGGTCGTTTATCTCTTAAACTTTGCCGTTTTGTTCCTGTTGATCCTCTCATCAACTCTCCAGAAACATGGGTGTGAACTTGTTTCTGTCAGTCAATGGTGGGCACATGAATGTAAAAATAAAGTTGTTCAGCTTCTTTGTAAACTTTGGGGCATGTGATTGAACTTTTTACATTTTACTTTAAACACTTCAGCTGGCTTTCATTTAGTTCAGCCAAACTCAAATATTGTAAGCAACAGGTCCTTGAAGGCTGAATTAGCACTGATCATTCTTTGAAAACAGAACTAGTGATGCCACTAAAAGCTAAAAAAAAACACCTTTGCAGCAAAAGTTTTCTAAAGTTTGTCTCTACCAGTATAATATGATGACTCTGTTGTGCTACCACATCCAATCACAACATTAATATAAAGAAGAAAGCCATTTTTTGTAATAGTATCCCCATGCTGTGTATTCGGTCTCCCCTCCATGTGCATCATATCGAAGTGAAACACGGCTTCTCTCACTTCATAAACTGATAAACTGTAATGCTCTTGGACGTGCTCTTTACAGATGTGGACACATTTAATGCACCGCTGAGGTAATGCTTTCTTGGAGAGCCTCCAGTAATGCGGCCCCTGTGTGATGATTTTACTATGTGTAATACAAACCATTACCCTGAAGTAACAGTCAGCATTCTCCTTCACACCGCAGAGGTCAAAGGTCACTTGGAGCGCATTCCAGGACAGACAATACGGCTCCCTGGAGGTATGGAGGAGGCTGCAGCTTGTCTGACCATCTGCTTCGACCTGCCCCTGTTACTCTGCAGCTTAGACTGACTCCACACTCTAACAGTGTTACAGTGTTTGGCCCCTGCCCTTTGTGCCACTGAAGGTCTCCAGACAAATTAGGTGCTGTTTAAGCTAATCACACAAAAACCATTTAAACTTAATGAAGAACACAGACAGAGTCATTTAAACATTAAAAATCAGACTCCTCCCCTTTTCTGATTGTCAGCTGGTGCGTTCAGGAACCATCCTGCCAGATTCTTGACATATTCCTCAGACGGTCTCAGTTTTGACCCCCTGAACCAGGTGTCTTCCTCTCTGCCCCCGCGCCCTCTTCGCAGTCCGGGAACTATGCCACCTGTCAATCACTGGGGTTGCCATGGTGTCCAGGTGCTCCAGTCTTTGAAGTGCCAAACAGACTTCTTGGGGTACTGTTCCAAAATATTTAACAAAAGGTTTGAAGAAGATTAATTCAGCGATATCAAAGTTTATGCAGCTGCCTCATTTGTGTTTTGTTTTGAGTTCAGACATGTATTGGATAAATAAAGCTATCTCAAAGGTACAGTGTTTAGAAATGGGAATATCTAGTGGCCAAATTCTAGACCGACTTGCTCCTGTGCTCACCCCTCCCATCCGTGAAGTGATGGTGGCCTGCATGAAAAAGGCTCCTGTGATGCATCATAATCACAAACTTATATTGCGACAAATTCTTTTGCACTTAACGACCGCTCTTTTCTTCTTCCAGGCAGGTCAGTTTGTTATGAGTTAGTCCATTCTGTGCTACAGTAGAAATGTGGTGCAAGATGGCTGCCTTTGAAAGTGAACCAGCTCCTACATCTTTATTCAGATGATTTTATACTAATTTCAACGATTAATGGTAATTATATTCAGTTTCTAAGAAGTTTGTCCAGCCTGATGCTCATAAATACCACACCTTCTACCTTTACAGTGTGCTACAAGAGTGTAGGTAAAGTTAGAAAGTGTACCTTTGCTTGCTCACTATGGTGTATGAATTGAACCGTATGTCTGTCTCATGGGTATGTAATGGATTGGTGTATGGTGTATGGATTGTATGTACAATAACGCTGTACCTCGCAAGCCCAAGACAAATTTCTCCGCAGAGACAAATAAAGGAATTGATTGATTGACTGACCTGTGGATCTCTGTGCCACATGTTCAGCAGACATCAGCCTTGAGGGTCTTGAAGTGAGGTTTGGTGCCAGAAGTTCAACTCAACATGTAAAAAAGTCTTTTTTACTTTGCTTGAAATATTTTATCTAACCAAAAACTTGTGAAGTGCAAAGTGCAACACATAAGCAGATAATCATTTTTCAATCTACAGTTTCATGTGTACTGTTTTGTGTTTTAAAACAGGATACAGAAGTAAAGCATTTTATTTACCTCATTTGTTCCTTAATTTGCAGAAACCCTTCATATCCTGCATTAATGAAGCATTAAAGCCATGATGAAACAACTGCTGAGTATCAGTGTAACCTGTGTGACAGTTTACCAAAGTTAAATATAGGGTTACACTGCAAAAATACAAAACAAAGCAAAGTTTATGTCTTATTTCCTGATTTAAAAACTCTAATAAGGATTCATTAAGGACACATTCACCAAGGACATATCAAACCAAGAGACTCAACTCTTTTTTCAATAAATTCAACCATTTTTTCCTTAGTCAACTGATAGATTTTTACTCATTATAAGCAATTAGGGTCTTCCTATTCTTGAGTTTTTGCAGCATAAAAAGCTGAGAGTGTTTTATTGTATGGTCACTGGTCATAAACAAGAAAGATCTTGTTTGTTTCTGACTTGCAGGGGTTAAAAATCCGGACACCTGTGTTTAAATGGGTACAGAGTGAGTCCAGCTCCTTCTTTTAATGTTTATGTTTTGTAGTTGAAATGTTGTGACCGGTGTTTTCTGTTGTTTGAACAGATCCTTTTTCCAGTCTGATCTGGACCGCAGATGTCTGTTCATACTGTGGTCTGTATTTGGGAAAAACTGAATTGATTCAAAAAACTAGATCTGATATCTTTGTTTTGGAAGCTGAAATACATTTCTGATATCTAACCTATCATATAAACTACAATCAAATATTATAACTCCAGCTCTCTTTCCATATCAGATCAAGGGTTTTGAAGTTTCAATGTGGTTTATAAAACTTGAGTTTGTTGAGTTCATGTAGCCTGTTGAAAACCCATCAGATGTCAAGCATTTATTTGTTTTCCATGACTAAAGCCAAGGTTGGTTTTTGCAGCTTCCAAACAGTTGACATTTCAGAAAACACATATTTTTCTAAACCGTGAAAAGTGACAAGCTATTATATCGAAACTGAAACATGTGGAGAAACATTAGCTGCTGGTGTTCAGCCAACACTCCATGTTTAATTTATTAAGCATCTAGCGCTTCAGCCAACATCCTGCTCCAGTTTTATAATTTGGGCTGAGGTGTAGAGGTTTCTGAAATCTGCTGTGCTGTTGGAGTCCTGGCTTTTCACGGTGGTCCTGCATAAAGAGTCAGTATGGCCAGGGAGCAGGAACACGAAATAAAAAAGCCAAAAACATTTTCTATCTACTCTGTGTCACCGATTTAATTCATGAGGATTTCACAAACTAGTCTAGGACTACATTCCTTCATCTCTGCAAATTCAATCAAATATCTCCAGACAAAAATCTGATAACATTAACACTCATGTTTTAGTCTTTGGTGACTTCACTTTAAAGGTACAAAAGAAAAAAAAAACACTGGGTATTCCTTTTTACACAGCAGATTAAAACAACTAAAAACATAAATTATGCATTTCACTTGGCCATCCAGCTCATTCACATTATATCTAACACCCACAGGTGTTGTCATCACTCCTCTATTTAACAGTAAATTGGCAGGTAACATCCTTCAGTCAAGTGTAGAATCACGCCTTTCCATAAATACCTCCAGAAATGACATCTTAGTACCGATCATCAAGCGAAAAAATAGATCTGAACTTTGAAATAGTTGCATATGTTTGAAATCATGTGGACATATTTCAGAAAGTGCATTGTTGTGGCTGGTATTAGCCTTCCTACAGAGGGCAGCGATAGGCTTGTTGTCAAACAGAATATGTAAGATATTGTTGAACAGGTTGTAAAATCACCTAAAATATTATTTACAATCAGTCTTTTCAAGTTATTCATATTTGCAATTATCTCTTACCTTTCCATCCTACAGCACCCACCCATCAACGCCTCAAACAGCGACTGTGATCTGCTCACTAAAGGGCGTTAAAGGGCGTTACATTTCAGCGTCATGTAAAGGCAGGGGACAATTATAATCTACAGTGAAAGCAAATTCAGAAATAATAAATACAGTCTGTTTGCATAGCCTGGAAGTGATCACTAAATAGAAACTCATCCCACAAAGGGGAGGTCCTTAAGACGCCTGGACCTAGATTAACGTTGCTCCCTCATGTGTGGTAGGGTCGGGGGTTGATGCTCTCGGGGCTTTAATTCTGGTCCTGGATCTGTAGTAGACGGGCAGCATCAACTCAAAGCATGACAAGAGGAAACAGCAGCCAATCACAGCGGAGAGCAGTGGTTACCTGGAAAAGATGAAAGCAGCCAGAGTGGTGGACATGGGACATGAAAATTAACAGCATAAATCACCTGTTTTATTCACTTTTCCAAGGATACATTCATGGCAGAGCACATAACCACGAGATGGAAGGTGGATGTTACCAAGCAACTGGAGAGCTTATTTTCTTCATTTGTTTTGTTATTTTTACTAATAATCTCCTTTTATAACCCTAATGCCTGTACTAAAAAAAGATTCATTTTTGCTTAAATGTGTCAGTACAATTGTAAAATCATAAACTAGACCTAAACGTATAAGCAAGATGTGTGTGAAAAACAATATACTCTATAATAAGAAGATACTTGTAGAAAAACAGGGAGGATAAGCTGATACCTCTCTCTCAGGGGCAGATTTGGGTTACTGAGGAAGGACAGCTGTTGCTCCAGACTGCACACACGAAAGGCCAGATAGCACGATGACAAGATGAGAAGAATGATACTGAAGTGAGAAAAAGAAGAGAGACACCAATTATTTCCATCTGAAATGTGTGAATTCAGGATGTTTGCGACTGGAGTCATTTGACTCCTCTTGTGATTTGGTTTGAGACACCTGTAATGCCATTAGATGAACACTAGGAGGCAATATTGTCTTTCTATAAACAAATCAATACCCCTGACTGTCGTCGGTCTGAAAACTCTAAAGCAGTTTTTTGGGGTTTTTAAAAAAAAGAACTGAAAATAATTTTCCACATTTTATTGCAAAATTACTGATGCTGAATAGATTCATAATAAAATACATGCTGTGGTGTTAAAAAAATTGGTTTATTTTCATAATATTCAAGCAGCCACAGTTTGCAGGTCATTTGAGATGTGATTAAAAAGAAAAAAGATGAATAGAAACGCAGACATGATACAGCATTAAAGGCTCATTTCATGAATTTATACCCTCAGCAGAAATAGTTATGTGTGAGTTTGTTTGACTTGGAGAAACTGTCTTGTTTTCCATAAAACTCAAGGGTCCAAGTAAGAGGTCTAAGCTGGATCTGGATCCTTTACAATAAATGTCTCCCTTGGTTACATAGAGTTTTTTTCATATGCTGATACATCATACACACGCTGACATTTACAGCCTGATAACATGTTTTTCTGTTAATCCCTGGAGTTTGTTAAGAATGTGAAATATGACTATCAGCCAGGCACAGTCATACCTCGACATACATCTTTGAATTTATAAACACAGACTGTAAAATTGTAGTTTTGCCTGTCAGTACATATGTTAAAGACGGTTAAACTTGTTGGCTCCTGTTTCATGTCATTTCACTTTTTCTTTTATTGAACATGACAGGTTCCTCATAACATCGTTTCGCTTTATTACATGCGTCATAGTTTCTATCTAAAGCATGAATAAAATCTTTATTGGTCTGTAACCGATTTGTATTTTATCTTAAATCTATAAAACTGACGTTTGTTTTATCTCTTTTCCTCAAGGGTCAGAGGTCACCACCAGCCCTGAGAGGCAGATAGGGATTTATTGCCTTCTCTCAGGGACAATATGATAGAGCCTTCATACTCTCTGCATGAAGGTCAGTCTTCATGGTCAATGTTTTTCTCTGCTCTGTTTGAAGGCAGGTGACGTCAAGGCAGCATAATTATGACTATCAAATATCTACGTGATGCATTTCAGTGTTTCTTTAAACTCCAGCATGCTGCAAAAATACAAACTAAAATGTGTTAACACCTCTGATCCTCTGTGTTCAGTCTGACTTGTTAAATCGCTGCTATTTATACCTCCATATTAGTGCACTCAGTGTGTGGAGGCGTGAGTCAGCTGTTGGCGGAGGTGAAGGTGGCATTGTTGGTGTGAGTGTGTGTGTCCCTCTGTATACTCACAGCAGGGTGAAGAACTTGAGCAGCTGGTACTCCATCTGGCCCAGCTCTGTCACCGGCTCTGATAAAAGACCTCTGTCTGTTTGCAGAGCTCGCTCTGAAACACACATACACACGCATGTGAACACACACTTCAACAAAAAGCCATTAAGAGTACTCAGCTCGGCCAAATTATAACCCCATCACGCCTCCTGGGTCATGAGGTGGAGGATTTTCGCTGTAATCAGAGATCCAGTGACTGTGGTGCTGCTCCGTAGAATAAGCTTTTGTAGTGTTGTGTCTCCATCAGTGGTTTAGTCTAGCTGTAATGACAACAATAGGAGACTGACGACTACAACCATGATATCATTTAAGACTTCAAAACAAAGAAAATTTTGTGATATATAATCTATATCTGATTAGATTTGACCTAATTGTGTGATCCATTATTTAGACTCCAAAGTGCATGCTGTCGCAGGACTATCAAAGTGAAACTTATAATCCCTGCAACAAACAAGACGAGTATCAGACAAGCTATGACAATTATTACATTTAGAAAACTTGAACTAAACTAAACCAAACAAGAGTTTGAGAAATGTAGAAATGAAGAAAAGTCACAGTTATTTTCTCTCTTCCACGAGAAAACAGTGGGAGGATTTTACATTTTCAGGACAACAACAACAACATAGCTGCCTGTGCTCTCCACTTCACTGATGACTCCCTTGTAAACAGAGACCAGTACCAGCTGGATTTGCATCTCAAGTGTTACTGAAACCTGTGGCTGTTCCATCTTTAAAGACCTTCTATAAATGCTTGTGACTAAAAGCTGTAAGTAACATTATAACAGCAGCTAATCCAGCATCAGTTAGCCTGGGATATTATTTTGCCGTTTCATGACTACTAAGCTGTGTAAAAAGTAACACCTGCAAGCTGCAACTTTATAATGCTGAAAAATCACCCAAAGGTGCAGAGGCTGAAATAGGGGTTTTAAGGTACACCAGTATGACCCACTGAGCAATAGACAGCTATTAGACATCTAGTTTTTTTTTAACTTAATTTTAACAGACTAGATTCTATATATTTTCAGACGGAATTTAGACGTTGCACTTTAACCCATGATTCAAATCAAATCAAATCAAATCAAATAATTTGATAACTATTTATTGAAAACAGGTACACACATAGCCTGAGATATCACTCACACACCGCACAGCTACTACAGTCTGCTACCCTCAGGCCACAGATACAGATCATTGGCATTCAGGACTAAGAGAGACATGTCAAGCTTTGTACCCACATCCATCTGGCTCATGAACGTCTGACTTATGTGTGTATATGTGTATGTATGTGCACATGTAATTTGTATGCATGTACATAGCTCATGAATGCCTGATTCATGTATGTTTACACCACTCTTCAACCTGACTATGGATTGCTTTATATTTATTTATTCATTATCTATATTTTTAAACAATTGTCTTACCATTACCTGTTCATTCATTTATTCATCATGTTATTTATTGTGCTGTAAGTTTTCTTCCCTTCGATTGTGCTGTTAATTAATGGCTGATTGTTGGTACTTGCTGAATGCATGCGGTATATTGTGTTATGTTGCTGAACTGTGAACTGTACACTCACTGATGCTTTGCACAAATGAAGTTCCTGACGGAAAAATAAAGTTCTTTGAATTGAATTGAACTGATTTATTTCATAAAGCAACTGTGAGTTGCACAACCGATCACCAAGTACTTCACCAAAATAATTATGATAGCCTTTGAGCAATATACAGTGTAGTACAGATATAGCCCAGATTTAGATTTAGTCCAAACTTGGTCTAAATTTAGACATCTAAAAAATGTTCATTTTTAGACCTGTGGTAGCCTGATTTTAGACAAGTTGTCTAGGCTACATTTAGACGTCTATTAGACCTCTTTTAGACCAAAAACTGCTCAGTGGGTAAGATAAATAGGGAGTTTTTTTGAGATGCAAATCATGCAAAGTTAATCAATGGGTGTCCCAGGCTAACATCATGAATGGTTGAAATGAGTATCATGGGTCTTCCTTAAAAATAATTCATGATGGTAGAGTAGTCAAGTCACCAAATCTCGAGTCTGAGTCTCATCTCTTGTATGTTGAACTGGAGTAAAACAGCAAGATCATTTTTAATCGATAAATCAGTTCAAATCCTCCTTTAAATCCTCCAAGTCCGAGTGAAGCCAGTACATCAGCCCAAATCCAAGTTCAAGTCATTTAAGCTTTCACTTTCTTTATCGTTCTAAGCTACGTGGCAGGTGTGAAGTGCTTTTGTGTGTAGTTATGTGTGTGTTATATAAAGCCTCTTTCATGCAGGTGTTGACTCAGGTTATAACATTAAGTCAGCATACATTTTTTAATTACATTACACCCCCGCCTGACACTCTGCCTGTGAGCTGTGATGATAAAGTACACAAACGCTCCTGCTGATCAAATAGCCAACATGTTTCAGAGGACAACATTAATGTACATTGATGTTTATAAAAGATCTAAAGCCTGTCGGTATATATTTGTAAAAGTGTCCTCAGTCGGCTCTGACAGCAGACATTGTTTGGTGATAATCTCTGCTTAATCTGCATCCGCTTCGAGCGTTTTAATACAGGCCCCCACATGATTTAATCTCCATTTGGAGCTTAATGTGTCGTTGCATAAGAGAGATGCTGATGTCCAAAAGCAGTTCTTCTCTCTCTCTCACTCTAATGAAATGAAAACCTGCAAACACTCCCGTACTCATGCATCCAGATTCCTTCACTCTATGTTCTCGCCTCACAGTACAAATGTGAAGGAAACAAACGGTTATCCTTTACTCTGTAACAAGACATAGAGCAGACTTTGTCCTTCGTTCACTGACCTACTGTAACAAATACTACCTATAAAACCTGATTATCAAATCATTACACAGCAGAATGACGTTCCTGCATCATAAAGATCATGATGCAGACTGTCATTCATCTAATTTCATTTTGTAATTACTTTACTGCATATTCTCATCATGCTGCACAGATGAAAAATGTTACTGAGCTATGACCGGAACATATAATATATGAGCTCCTGCAGGATGCCGCCACTGATAAAATCAAAGTATGAACAATAACAAATGCAAAAACTTTCACATTTTTCCCTGAGTCTTGTTGAACTTTCATTTAAAACCATTAATCAATACGATATCTGACTCACATGATTTAAATGTGATTATACAGTATTCTCCTTTTAAATGAGCTGAATGAGATATGAGATATGAGAAAAGACATGGTAACCACAGGTGTGCAAAGAACTTTTTGGATGGCCTGAACACACCTGCAATTCATTTTGATATTCCTCATTATAGTCATCCCAACAGCTTGCAGTAAAATGCACACCTTCACACCAATCACTTCCGACATGAAACTGAAAGTGTGTGCCCCTGGACTTTACATCCACACGATAACACATCTTGCTCATTGTTTAGACAGTTTTATCACCTTCCAGCAGCTGCTCTGATTTGAAGGGCGCGTCTGCGGGGCTCAGGCTGCTGGTCGAGTTCCCCAGGAGGTCAGGAAGGGAGGAAGACACAGACACCACCGAAGGTTTCCTCCTCCACTTCAACACTGATGGGAATTCATCGACCGCTGGGAACTCGTCTGCAGCTGGAAACTCATCCTATGGCACAGAGAGGAGAGGAGGATACATTGAAAATACAGAAATACAACTTTAACTCATAGTAATTCAGGTGCCAGTGTATTATCTTTCAATTTATCTGAACACAAGATGGAAAAGAAGAAGGAGGACCTTGAGTTTCTATTTTCTACACGAGGCAACAGCTTTTGGAGATATGAGTCATTATAAAACTTCTGCTACAACAGGAGGCTCAACAGTTTTTTGCTTGTAATCCTTGAAAACTCCTCTACAGTATGATGGTATGAACATAAGTTAAAAGCAGATCACGTTCAGCAAGTGGAACAATCTGGACGAGAGAAATCATATCCTGCTATAAGGAAAAGAAGATGAAGTTTGAAAAAGTGAAAGTCTCCCATGGCTCTCCAAAAATGTTAATTATCATTCAAGCTGGCAGATCTCCAAACTTTACATCTTAAATCTGTTTGTGTTGTTATTTCATAAAAAGAAATATACAGCGCTCAGCATAAATGAGTACACCCCTGCAGAGTTGTCAGAAAACCTTTAGTTTTCTTCCAAAATCAACATTTTCTCTGTCAGACTTTACAACAAAATACTCCCCCAAATGAAGGCCATGGATTGCAAACAAGACTTTTTGAGTTGCATACAAAAACATTTTTTCAATTTTAATTTAGGATGCAAAATTGAGTACACCCCAATCAAGGTTCTGGGAGCAAAGCCAAATTCTATTATTTTCATCTTATGGTAAACAAAATGTTGTGCTAAACTCAGCTTTGTCAAAACTTTGACAAAAAGTTGTACTTTTTCTCATCTAGATATTGAGTAATACATTACTTTTAATAGGGGGTGTAAGTACAAATAATGGTCTTTTAAAGCCCACATTTCTCAGTCGCAAATGGTGAGAAAAAGATCATTACCTCTTTTATTCTCAGGTTTCAAAGCATTTAAATCAACAACTAACCAATCTTACTTTAACATAGCAGGTGTGTTATCAGAGAACAGGTTATTAATAAACCAAGTTTGACTTGGTCTGTATCAAACTATTAAAAAAGTGTTTTTTCTGTTTAAGTCTTTATTGATAGAAAAAGTTGCCATCACTTTAAAATTATTTGTCGTGGGTAAAACAATTGGAAAATATCTTTGCATGACATTGTCAGATCCTTTCAGGAAACAGTATCCTCCTATAAATACTCAAACCAACCACTAAGCCTCATGGAAGTTAGAGTATGAACATGCATGTGTAGATGTAAACAAGTATCCTTGATATTTCGGTTTATGTCTTTATATGGTTTGAACAACTACACAAGAATCGGGGGTCTTTATACATCCTGGTTTTAAAGTTAGTAAAGTTTTATGAAGCCCTCCAAGGAGCGTGATGACACTATGAACCAACAGCCTTTTCAACTCTGAGTCCAGATTAAAGAGCGATCAAGGCCGCGCATGTTGATGGAGCTTAACTGTTCTGAATACAGAAGCTGTTCAGTGACAGACAAGCGTATGGTGCGCACACGCACACACACCCACACAAGGTGACTTCATACAGCTCTTTGATAACATCGTGCAGAGTCACAGATTATTTCACTGCCAGGCTGCAGCTCAAACAGAGTGATCGATTGATCATGTCTGTGTAAGAAGGAAAGTCAGCCTGCAGGTCAGGGGCAGCTGTTCATGAGAGTCATCAGAGTAAACTTTAAAGTCCTTTTCAAGCGTCTGAACCATCACACGTTTAAGTACCATACACTTTCACCTCTATGGCGCTTTATGAAAGGCGTTAGTTACTCACCAACGACAGAGTCGGCTCCTCCATGAACTGCTTCAAGCTCAGACTCTTCCCATTGACCTGGAAGGGGAAAAGCGAGTGACATGAGGAACAAACACTGCTTTTTGAACAGCATACATGAGTTTGTGTCCTCTTACCTGTAGGTGTGTGCAGATCCTGCGGAGGACGTCATACACACTGTCTCTCGATAGCAGAGACACAAATACATACTGATGAAATAAACAAACAGAGGCAGTTATCTTAAAACCGTGAGCGTATTCTTTTCATCAAAATAAAAAGTAAACCTACGTCATCGTCACCTTATTAAAAATCTATATGCACTTTTAATATTTCACTAATTTTATATTACTGATGCTTCCAGTTCATATGAAAAAAAGCTTTCATCTGTGAAACAAAGTGGATTTCTCTTCTAATAACATTTTTGTTCCTGTGCAATCTCAGGTGAAAGAAATATGGATGACAGGTCGATGACAGCTTAACCACAAACCCCTCTAATCTGCATCTGAAGTAGAGTATCTATGCGCTTTGGATACACTTTGTTATTTTGTGTTTTTATTATCAGTTATTTTTGTCCGAGCAGGCTCACTGACAGTCCTGCTGATCTCCCCTGAAGGTCAAGTTTGTGAGAGAGCTGAGAAATTACAAATCAAACTGTTTCTGGCTCTCCTGTAACAGACTCCAGCTGTAAACTTTGTACCACATAAACAGAAGAACCTGTCTGTGTCATGTTTAGAAGTATAGTTTAAGAGAGATGCATGTGTGCACAGTTACGTAATGCATATTACACAATCTTACAGACATTCTGTATAAGGTGAGAGATATTTGTCCTTGAGCTGCAGGAGAGACACGCTGTTCGTAAACTCTGACAAAGGTGGGGATTAGATTGTGTAGATCAGAAATATTACAAACTCAGACAAATCGTTTTGGACAGATGGAATGTAAATAGTTATTTTACACCAGCTGGCTTGTGCTCTGAGCCGCTGACTTAACACGTACGCTTCAATAGGGAGAGAAATTGGAAGCATGTGACTATTTGAAGGTGACGAAAGACACTGAGATGTTATCAGGTGCACATGTTCCAGACCTCAAACTGACAATGTGCAGATATTCAGCTTTTCAGTTTGCATTTCTCCTCTTTTAGGAGGAGAGTGCATGAAGGTCTGAGGACAAAATTAACTCTTTCGTTCCTTTAACTTAATGCAGAATTTTGTTTTTTTTAGTATAAAGATGTTAGAGTACACAATCCATAGTTATACTGCAGCTTCATAATATCAGTCTAATGGCTGGTTCTGCTATGATTATAGTCAGTTCATAGATTTCACATGGCAACACAAGCAGACACCGACATCCTAACAATCTGTTGATTTAGTCGTCTTTGGTTAGATGAGGGGAAGTCAACTTTTGGTGTTAAGACTTGACAGTTTGACCAGACTGCACAAACGATACCACCCAATTTCTTGCTCCCTATCTCTCAATCAGCAGCAATATTAGCACATCAGCCTCTGAAATACATATAGTTATCTGTACTTTTGTATTCTTTCACCATAGCAGCAGTGTAATGCCTCATATCTGTTTATGCATGTGTATACAACATCAGGTGACAACCCCAGTGTCAAATGCAAGGAAGTGCATTTCTTCCCGCAGATGGCTAGAGTCCATAATATCTACCTGCAGCTATAGAGGAGAGGCTAATTTCGTCTGATAACTCATGAATTCGACTGTATTTACTTCCTAAATGCTAACCTGAATTTTACGATGTCACTTGACAATCTACTTTCAAAAATAGTTTCTTCCTTCATTCTTTTATTTGTTTTTGTTATGTAATATTCAGCGATCGAGACACCTTTTAATAATTCTGACGAGTATTTCAAATTGTCACCCCGTGCTACTATTAACCTGCTCATTATTATGTGTTGTACGAGCCAGTACAGCAGCTTATAAGTCCATTATGCCTCTGAAAGTGCCACTTGATGACAGACTGATGTGTCAGAAAGTTAAGCTCCTCTAAATGTTGCCTTAATGGTGGAAAAACCCTTCACTCTCTCGCTCCACCAGCCCAGGTCTCCACTCTGCTGCTATCTATAGCATGGTGTCGTTTTTTCCATCACACCTCCCCTGGAAAATACAACCCCGCTGCGCTAATCAGCATAAGTATTTTAACTCAAAGAGGGAAGTGTTTACCTTCTGGCCAGTCTCTGTGGTGATAGCCAAGCCATTGGGCACGAGGCCCGCTGTTTTGTGCTTCTTCACCAGCCTCACAGAAACGACAGGGATAGCCACCTACAGAGGAGGAAAAGGCACAGATAGAGCATTTAGAAGGAGAAGAGGGAAGGGAAATTCAAAGGCTAAATTAAAGGTAAGATGGGCTAATGGTAGAAGGAGGACAGACACTAAATTACACTCAGGAAAAGCTCCTGGATAAAACCCAGAGTGGACGTGAAACGTGTCTCATTTCAGTCAGAATGTGAAGAATGCAGTCTGAATAAGTAGCTTATTGTCACTCAGATATCAGGAGAGGTTTGGTTTCAGGGAAATGAGGGAAAAGGAGCAATGCACAGCATCAAAGAGAAAGTCACATAACTGTTCAGGGTTAAAGGTTCAGCACCTGTTCTTGGTACATAGTTTCACAATGCAAACATGTGATTAAAGACATTTTCTGTGTGTGTGTGTGTGAGTGAATAAAAGCTGGGACTCTGAAGTCACTTCATCATCTTGACAGACAGGGAAATAATTTGTCGAGTCGTCCAACCAGCTTGTCACAACGTGACAGAAAGTTTCTCGGTTTCCTCGTTGTAAGTCATTTTAAGTTTATAAAGCTGTTTGTCTGCATTCGTACCTTGATGTCTTTGCCGAAAAGGTTTGCATAGAAACAGAGCCAGTTTCTGGAAATGTAGAGTCGACCTTGAAGAAGGATATCTCTGAGCAGAGCACAGGAGTACACTAACAACAGAGGAGACAAACACACACAGAATATCTGTCACTTGAAACAAAACAAAGAAACAAACATTTCTTTTCTTAACTCTTCCTGCTGACTTTCCTTTTGTTCTTTTGTTTTTTTGAATTGAGAAAACTTTGCACGGTTCTTTTAGTTGCACATCATCACTCTTATTTTATGGGTCACGCTGTTGGGACAAAATGTATAGTGCACCTGGTGAAACTGTGCAAACAGTGCAGCTGATACTGTGCAGAAGTTTTAGTGTTTTTGAGTTGAACCAGATGGAGGAAACAAAGCCGGACACAGAGCCAGAAAAGATGTTTCAGAAGAGCTGAAAAAAGACAGTTTTACATGACACTGTTTATGAGCTTTTACTCTGTGAGACTTTTGGTGCACGAGGTCAAGTTTTTACAGAAAAGATGCAACACGAGCACAGTGAAGCTGCATTCACCTTCGCGATATAAAGATGCAGTTCACAGATACGAAAGCTGACAATTTAAACATACAGACCTGAACTAATGTTTCATCATTGATTGTTTTTGTGAAAGCACTGCAAACTTATTTTGAAAGGTGTACCATGAAACAGGTGATTATTATTATTTCTTATAAAATGCATATTGGTCAATAAATGAGTAAAGTTGTAAACAAAGCATCTGCAGCACAAACAAAGTCTGAAAGTTTTCTCCATGCTGAAATCACTGTACCTTTCATGAGGATCTCATCCTTGGGCACACACTGGAACAGTTTGTGGTACTGCGAGTTGTACTTGCTGACAGTCTGTGCAGAGGGACAGGGCAGAGTCATGAGCAGCTCCTTGGCGGACCGGCCTGTCTGTACGGCACCGGCACCACCGCCGCCGCCACCAGCGGCCACCCCGGCTCCGCTCGCCGCAGACACCACCCTCTCCCTCAGAGGACGCGAGCTCTGCACCAGGCTCAGCACGTTGGCACCGTACACACACACACACTCGCGCACATCCAAGGCCTGGAGCAAGCTGCTGCAAGACACACACTGTTCCCCTGTCTGCAGTCAGTGAAAGAAGGAGTACCTCTACCTCTAGTCTACAAACACACACCTGGCTCTACAGCGCACACCTACACACACACTCACACACACTACCACAGAGTTACAGCAGCAGCATCGCCTCAGTTTACAGACACTGAGCTCTCTCTCAGAAACTACAAGGCTCTCTTTCTCTGCCTCAAATACACCTCCAGTGACTCTCCACTTTGCAGCGCTCAGCTAACACCCTCCCTCTCCTCCTCCTCCTCCTCCTCCTCCTCCCTACTTTGCACACATACACACACTCTGCCCTTCATCATTCTGAGCTGAAACACACTCTCGTACACACAGGTGTTTCTTTACTCCTTCTTTCTGTCTCTAGCTGACAGTTTCTCTCCCTCTATCCCTCCAGATAGACTTAAGCGTTAAAACTTTGGAGAAAATCTTTAATTTTCAAACCTGAACGTGTATTTCAACAGCTCAAACACACCTCAGCTCCTTCATCCCTGCCAACACCGCTATCTTTCTCTATTTTCCTGTCCTGTCTTGTATCTCATTTATCTTCTTCCAGCCGTATCAGCACAGTTTGCTGTTGTCTGCCTCTTCTGTTTTCGTCTTTCTATTATTAGCTCATGCTGGAGCAGCTCTTGTCCTCAGGAGTGCACTAACAGTACACTACAGAAACGCAGATGGTTGTTAAATTAGTTTTACATGTTTCCACTCATGACTTCACTCAAACACAGCATTACTATCACTACAGGATAAAGCTGTTGTTTCTGTACAAGCAAAGATTGCAGCAAATTAACTACTCAAGACATTTCAATTTAAGGATAGGATGATGATAACATTAATATGTTATTATTAATAACATTTCTGGTGAAAAGATCATATTTTTCTCAGCTGAAGACAAAAACTCTAATTAAGAGGGAATGTCATCTTGCAGCACCATGTTTCTACACCAGTACAGACCAACAAATCAGTGACATATGGGTTTATGTATTCAGAGTGGCCAAGAGAAAAGTTTTGGTTGTGTGCAAAAGAATTAGTGGTAAAAAATTAAGAAATAGAGGATCATATGTAGCATGCATCATGGGAGCTGCTTGTCCTTGAAGGCATCCATTGCTTCGCCATCAAGAGGGGTGAGCAAGGGAGAGTTGCAGTCTGAGATACTGCTAAATATGATCATTTCTACCATTGCGGATCACAAAATAAACATTATTTGTAACTGGGGAATTGTTTGAGCATATTCATATGTGTAAATGTTGATACTACGAGTCGGATTTGCTCTAATCACAGACGCAGTAATGATTAGGATCAAAAAGAGACTCACCGAGCCGCGGTAACATTTCTTCACATCTTCATAGGACAGGTCCTCTATCAGCTGAAACCTGCCAAGAAAGCAAAAATACACTTATGACTCATCTTTATCTGTTGTTTAACCTTTCTCTAGTTCAGCTGTGAGCAAAATATTACTGCATCTACAAGTCTTGCTATAGTTGATGCTATACTATGCAGCGAACATCCATTCATGCACACTTGAAAGCTGATTAATTCCTCTCTCTGGCCTGAAGGCATCATGACAAACACTGTTAAGCTCATGTGCGTGAGTGCAGTATGTATGCTGTGTATACATTGCATGAAATTCACATCTGGCTCAAAGGCTCCACACGAAGAGTTAATCATTATTGTGTACAGCGCTGCAGCGAGACGAAGGCTGTTGAAAAATAACATAATCAAAGACAAATATTGAGTCGTACAAACACAAATAGTGATCATGCCAAGAGATGGTCCATGTTGTTCCTTTTATAGTCAGAATACATTGACGCCCCCCCCAACGCACACCCTCCCACACACACGCAAACTTCACTATGGAGCTCGCCTCAGGAGGTATAGTCACAGCAACGAAGCAGATGTCACAGCATGATACTCACTTTTACTTTTGATGCAGACAGAGCCACCCAGCAGATAAAATACAGCATAATCAGCCCTTTAAGGAAAATGTCATGGAAATAAACTGCTGTCCCAGTTAAGCTGCTTCAAAGAGGACATGAGTGCAGCTTCTCTTTCTTCCTGTATCTTTCCTTGAGAGCTACTGTAGGTGACTGACAGCTAGCAGAGCTGGATACACACAGCGCTGATATGAAAGGACTCCTGCTCAAGGAGATTCTGATAAAACGCAAACTGGGAAAATCTCAATTGCTTCTTCATGTTTACTCTGATGGGTTATCTACTTTTATGAAGGTCTTTTATTTCCTGCTGGGTGAAAGAGACAGAGGCATCAAATGAAGGAAGTAAAGTGAGGTTCTTTTTTTTAGTTTTACCAAATCCAGCAGGAATAAAATGAAGCTGAATAGGAGAAGGCTTACATTTGTGAAACACAAAGACTGAATCCTTTACTATTGCGGCATCAAGAGTAAAAAATCTACACCAGGTTTAGTGTACATCTGTATATTTGAGCTTCTTTACACTTCTGTTATTCCTCAAAGGAAACTGTTTTGGCTTCTTTGTCCCCCACATTGCTCCCAAAGTTACAGATATCACTAAATAATTGTATTTCATTTCAAACAAACCTTACATAATATCTATGAAAGTAACGGTCAGAAGTGATAGCTTAAAAAACAATAACATTATCGGCTGTTAGCACAAGTCTTTAATAATCCAACAAACATAATGTACAAACTGGTACAAAAACATAACTAATTCATAATTTTTTGAGAATAATAATACTATTACTACTACTACTACTACTACTACTACTACTACTACTACTACTAATAATAATAATAATAATAACAATATGTTCCCCGGCTGTGCTATATTTCAGCAGAGACTTCCTTTCAATTCATTTTTTTTTTGTATTAGTTGTGATAATAAAATACCAACATGCCCAGCAGCAGAGCCGGCCCAAAGCATAAGCGAACTCAGCGCCTACTTAGGGCCCCGCGGCCAATAGGGGGCCCCCAAGAGCAATAAAAAAAATTAAAATTAAAATATATACAATTATATACAATTATATATATATATATATATATATATATTATTTTTTTTTTGCATGTATGAGTGACGCTCTTTGTATGATCAAATATATATTATTCTAAAAATAAAATAAAATAAAGTAAAAGCAATTTAGTGCTGCTGCTGATGTAGGCCTATAATTCTTACTGCCGATATGTCAAAGCTCCACTACCGTTATGTGCCTCCTGCTGTGCAATGAGCACTGAGCTTCCAAAGTGCAGAGAAAAGAGGAAGAAGAGAAAAACGCCATGATAAAGGTATGTTTGCCTGTCATGGAATGTTAATTAAAGAAATTTGTGAAGGTGTGTAAATGATCAACAATCAATATTATTGGCAGAAATCGAGGGCCCCAAAATCAAATTTTGCTTAGGGCCCCATTGAGGCTCGGGCCAGCTCTGCCCAGCAATCCCATAAATTTAATAGAGTAAAAGATGAAACACCATCCTCATAAATTTAGAGAATAAGAAGTACAAGTTGCAAAAATGAGTATCTGTAAATGAAATATCTTTATGGAAATCCTTTGTCACTCTAGTATCTCCCCCGTTTAATTCAGAGTGAGAGTGAGAGATCAAAACTCAGGCTGGAAAAAGACCAAATGATCCAGACAGAGTTCAAATGTCAGAGAGCATAGGGGCTGACAGATGTTATCGCTGCCTGCTGTGTGTGTGAGAGTGTGTGTGCATGAGAGCTCAATGCGGCTGTTGCTTACAGCATAGCAGCTGTGACAGCACTGCCAGATCTCCTGCAGGATCATGCTGGTGATCATTCAGACACTTAAAGAGACAAATCTCTCCTTTTCAAAAAATGCAATACCTTATTAGACAGCAATAAGAATAAATCCATCCAGCACTCATCCAGAACCTAAAAAATGTTGCTTTAAGTTTAATTTTAACTCCCATACAATGGTATAGGGCCTTAAATTTTCACTCATTGCCCCTTTGGCAAACCTTGAGAGAAATCTCTGGACTCAGTTGTTCACTCTGCTCTTAGATTTATAAACAGAGATCCCCATCGCACTCATCATTGTATTCTGTATAAAAAAGATCAAATCAAATCCAATTTTTTTTGTATTGCGCCAAATCATAACAGTGGTTATCCTAAGACGCTATCTAAAAAAGAGCAGGTCTAGACCACGCTCATTGTTTGATAAATTACCAAGACCCAACCTTAAGATGGGACAGATTTGACCCATCTCATCTAACATGAGTGACAGTGTCAAGGAAAAACTTCCCTTTAACAGGCAGAAACCTCGAGCAGGACCAGACTCATGTTAGACAGCCAACTGCTGCTGCAGAGTTGGGGAGATATAACAAAAGGTGGTTGGTCTTCTATTTTCATTTATAGAGCCTTCATTGGACGTTTAACTCTGTATCATCTACGCTGAAGTGGGCTATTGGACCCATTCAAAATGGTCCTGCAGATTATAAATGAAGTGGAGTGGTTTGGACTGAGTTGAAAAAAGAGCTGAACATGTGCACATTTATATATAGCACTACAATTACTCCTCAGTGAAAGTCCTGCTGATACACAAAAAGCTAATGCATATGTACATAAGTCTACAGATGAGCCTGGTTGAAAAACTACTCAGGCCCTATTCAAATATATTCTTGGTTTTTAGTCCTAATCTCAATGTATTTACTGCATATCTTCACAGTGATCCATAATCAAACTTAATTACAGCAGAAATCAGGTCCGGCCAATCCCATTACTTAATAATTGATTATAGCTTGTCCTACATGAGCAAATTCATGGTGTTCCTCATTAAAATTGCCCTTCTACAGAAAAGCCATCCCATTATCTTGTGACCATGTTATGAACAATAGTGCATGTGTGCTGCTCTGCCTGCTGGTGGCTGACTATAAATATCCTCCACAGCGGCTCTGCACTCCCAGGTGGAGAGAAGAGAGTGATTATTAAAAACACAGACATCTCTGTGGGGACTAACCAGCTCCATGCTCCTCGCTCTCGCTCTCCATCTGTCTCTGTCTTTTACACGAGATCCAGGTCTTAATCAATACTGCTGCTACATCCAGGTGGGTGGAAGAGGAAAACTGCTAGAGGTGGTTCTCGTTCCCGGCTCACAACACGGTGAGCAGGGTAAAACATCTTTCATAAAGGGTGTAAACAAGGTCATGTGGGACGGCATTTGAAGATGATGGACAGTTTTCAAAGATAGCACAGGAAAGGGACACTTGAGGTTTAGCTTGGACACTTTTTAGAGGATTTTCGATTAATTCACAGGCTTGGGAGGAATCATAGCTCTCCGGAAACCTTAAAGTCAGTCGCTGAGGCAGACCTGGTTATGTTTTCAAACAGCCAAATTAGCCTGTTTTCCAGATCCAAGGAGGCTTAATAGACTATGGATAACATAAAACCTAATTGATTCCTGCACGAGGTCTAATGAGGCGGTTTTACCCCAAAAGTCCTCATCAGATCTAAGATCAGCTTTTACCTCCGTCAGCAAAGCAAAATGTTTCTTTCTGTGAGAGCGTGTGCATGTGTGTGTGTGTGTGTGTGTGTGTGTGACGAATGCACCTCCGTCAGAGTATCTCAGTGCCCTTGGCTGTGAGGCTGAATAGTGAAACTAATTACGAGCTCAAAGAATCCTAAATTGAATCCTAAATTAGAAAGCGAACACCTCCCATCGGTGGGCCGGTGTGGCAGTGGAGTCCCACTCAATAATTTAGCTGCAGGAGAAGAAATTGGGACTGAAAGCAGTGAGAGAAGTAGATGGACTCACTGCAAGACTTGAGATGGCAGGGACTGATGAGAGAGGGAGAGAGGTTTCAAACTATTTCTTCAGTTTCAAATCAAAGTATGAATTTCAGGGATTTCATCAGAAGAAGAATAAGAGCTCCTTTGTCTTTGCTTATTCTGTCCTTCAAATGCTTAAGTAGTGTCATCTGACAAAAACTTCAAAAACATGGCTGACTCCTAATAGGATCTTAAGACATTTCACCACAATAAGACTCTTCATTTTCAGAGTTTAGGGGACTTTTTCATACCTTTATATAGAGACAGTACAGTGGACAAAGGTAGAAACAGGTAAGAGACATTGGAGACTGGGACTGGGGATGGGGGGGCCACTTTTAGGAGGTTGGTTATGGACTTAAACAGTCACTGCTGTAGTCACGATCCTCACTAGTAATTTACAATCCTATCAAAGATTAAAGCCACTAATTCTTTAATTTAATTCTTACATAGGTTTTAATTTACTTTCTGTCTTATTCAAGGTTGGGTATCTGTTCAGCTGATACACCAGAATGAAATGCAGACAGTTGTAATTCATTGTTTTACGGTGCAGCTGAAATGGCACAAACAGCTGCTTCATGGATATGCAGAGCATGCTGGATATCCTGGACCAGTCTAGCAGTGCCTCCATTTAAGTTCCTCTCCCTCACTGAATCATAATCATACATTTACAGAAAGTTGTACTCTTAAGTAAACAAATCATGTTTGGAGAGCCAGCTTGATTTAAAAGATACTTCAATTTAGAATATTAGACCAGTACAGGTGGATCGCAGGAGTCTCAGGGGATCGGTGGAGGATCTGTACTTCACAACAAAGTCCCTGTTGGCTGAGCTAAACTAACAATGCGGGAGCTCGCAGGACTGCAAACTCCAACCGGTGAAAACAGATGGTACTTGAAAGAGCTGCACAGTCACCCAGAAACTGCACAAAGTGGACTAAGTTGAATGCAATTGAAATTGTCACACCAGGGGACAGTTTAAACTTCCTTTCCCTCAAAACATACAATTTGTATGTTTTTCTGGTGGTTGGAAGGAGGAGTTGGATTTTGACATACAAATGTTTTTAAATTCTTTATCATGTTTGTTTGTTGTTGGGTGGGGGGGGTAGGGTGTGGGGACAGAAGATAAACACGCAGCTTTCTGAGTGCTGCAAGTTCAAGAGTGACATATGCATGAAGTGTTTTAGTCCCTCCCATTCACCCGGGCTCTGAGCTAAATCCCATCTCAGAACAGATTCCCCAGGATTACGCTGCTCCTGCCTTGAATCCTACTTATATAACACACAAATGCACACAATGTGGCCACGCGCACACAAAAAGACACTGTGCGCACAATACACATAGACCAGGATCAAACACTTTACTGGTAAAAGTTGAGTTGATATTTCAAACGCATACATCTCTTCCCTTTCCCTGTGGGGGTAAAGTCTTTTTGTAAATCTCAGATTCTCAGTCTCTGTGTGCATGAGTGTGTGCATGTGTTTGACCATTGTCTGACATGAAAAGTGGCTGAAATAAAAGCACAAAATGAGGGCTGCACAAAGTAAATCTCCTGGGGCTGTAACCCATGACCGTGCACAGGATACAGATGGTGCGTGGAGGAAAAAAGAGCATGGAAAGAGAGCAAGTGCTAGGGAACAGTGTGTCTGTGCGTGTGTGTTTGTGAGAGAGAGAGAGAGAGAGAGAGAGAGAGAGAGAGAGAGAGAGAGAGAGAGAGAGAGAGAGAGAGAGAGAGAGTGCGACATGCCTGAATTGGCCATGTGTGTCGTCCTCCTTGGACGGTTCCAGGTCCTGCGTTGAGATCAGGCCTGTTTCTTCGCTCGGCTCCTGCTGCTCAGTCATGCTCCTGGCCCTAAACACACAAACACAGAACCGTGTGTTAACAGCAGGCACCTCTCTGCTGGACCTTTATGTACACACAAAAAAAAAGCCATGTTTGTTTTTGTGTCCAAGCTTGGCTCCAAACACAGTGTACCTCTTAAAAAGTTTACGGGCAAACAAGTGGACTCTGTCTCCAAAATCAGCAGAGTGGTGATGCAACATTCAAAGTCTGTTTCTGCTCGTTTACACTACATTAAAATGTTCGACTCAGCAAAATGTACTTGTGCTTGTGTAAATGGGGTCAGTGTCTGATCCCAGCCAGATGTCTGCAAAGAAATACAGTACCTCAGAGGTCATGCAGATGGCCGGCCTGATGCACTGCTGCACGCTGACTCAAACATTTATTTTTATACACTTCAACTCTTTGAAACTTTTCAGCTCCAAATTTCCTTTACATTTTACTTCAGTGGAAACTAAAGATAGGGTCATAAACCCCCCAAAATAAAGACTTTTCAGTTTTTAACTTGTTTAAACAATGAGAGCACGGCATGATAGACTTATGTAAGGAATCATTCATGTATAAGTCAAATCACAGTTTGTGTTTAGTGTTGTGGATGATGTGGCTCAGGCTATTTAAAGGCTTTTAAGGTTATGATTCCTACAGTTTGAAATCTATGGCTGCAAATGTCTTTGTGTGGTTTAGTAAAACATCTTGCTATCTCCATTTACAGTTAGACCTCAATTAAAATGACCTACACGCAAGATGGCAAGACTGAATTTTGACTCTCAAAGTCAGGCGGGATAATCATCCAGTGTGCTTTACTGTTTGTATTTAGAAGATTAATTGATTAATTTGTGGCTGCTATTTGAATTGTTGTTTCTTTGCATATGTTGGTTTAAAGTAGCTATGTAACATCTGGTGAACCCTGTTTCTCTGTTACTTTCAGCTTTGCCAAAGTTTATGGAGCACCATGTTTCACAATATACTTTAGAACAAAGCTGTTCTCTCTTTTGTTATTTTAGCTTTTTATCCACGACTATAATGATGCCAACTATATAGATTTTTTGCCAGCTAGTTGTTTCTCCATGCACTCTTGGTAACAATAATTTATCTCATGCAGCCTCTCATAACTAGCCTAAAAGCTTGCTCATAGTTGAACATGTACCAATGTTAGCATCACTATAGTCTTTAGGTAACCCCTGGCAGCTCCAGTTCAGCCCCTGATGTGAACAAACCAGGTGCTACTGGCTGATCTGCTGTTAAATAAAAAAAGAACTGAAACGATCTGTTGTTATCCTGTAAATGTTTGACAGTTTTTCATGTCATAAAACAAGATAAGTGAGAACAGCTCCAAGGATCTGTTGTGCTTCTTCCTCTCATCTGCTCATCATCTGCCACTTTCTGTCTCACATGGACACAAACACCTAGCTGCCCTGTTCCATATCTTCCTCTGGGAGAGAGGAAGTCGTTACCACCTGCTGACGTGTAATTACAGGTGCTGATGGAAATAGGCTCCTGCATGCAGTTTCCATTATCTCTAATTGGCCAGAGGCGTCACGTCAGCTACTGACCTGTTCAAACAACAGAGGCTTCCTGGTTGAAGAGGTTTTACATCTGACTGGTTATCTGTGATCACAGAGGGTTGAATAGGAGGTGAAGGGCCTGCTGTTACAGATAAGGGGAGGGTTTTTGTGGTTTATTCACCTTAAGCCTGAGGTTATATGAATCAGGAGGGGGATCTGATTCCAGATGAAGGCCTTGAGGCTAAAAGGAGCCTTGTAGTGCTGTTCACTTACAAACAATAGTCAAAGAAGGTGTTTGTAGCTTTACACAGCTAGTCTTTGGGAAACTCTTGAGTTGGAGTACTTGCTTTGGTTTATCCATTTTCTCAGAGTTATTGACAAAGAAGTCTTGGTTGATAAAAATAAGATAAATTTGTTTGTGAAAAATAGTTCCCTTTGTTTAACTGTGATAAATCAGAAATTGAGTGGCAGCTGTGGCCTGCATCAAGAAACTTTCTTCACCCCATGTGGGTGTTGAAAGTTTTCTCAGTGCAAAGCATTAACCTTGAATAACACACACTGCAGAAGGATGAAGTCAGTTATTTTTTCCAGTAATACAGCACTTTTTAAAAAAAAATCAAACTTTGGTGTTTTCATTTATTTCCTTTGGTTTAAACTCTCTCCATTTAGCTAATGGTAGAATTTCATACTATTTTCCAAGCTTGCATGAGACCAAGGAGAGTTTGTCACCTTATTTTTAGTTCAGATGGAGGAGTAAACTATTTATGACCCTTTCACTGACAGCTGAGAATTTCTGACACCTCACTGTCTCCACTTAGTCTAACGGGACACAACTTTGGATGGCTCTTTGGTTCTCTTTTCACCAAATGTTTGTGAATGTCTGATTTGTGGTACTTAAAGGAATATTCCGGTGTAAAATTAAGTTAGGGTCAAACACACAGTAACACCGAGTTAGACACCGGCTTGAGAGATGAATGTTGCCGACCGCTTGCTTCTCTAGTTATACCAAGTTTAGCAACGACCGCAGGATAGCACTACAGCAGTCTGAGGAGTCTTAAACAAACCTCAACCAAAACGCCACTCTATAGCCACAAATAATGCTCAGAACAGCACCTAACTTCATCAGCAGTACATATAGGGTCCTAGCCATAGCACTAGCCACCAAACATCTTTTTGACTTTGCCTGATTTCTTTAGCAAAGAGACTAAACACGACTCACCTACTCACTTCCAGCAGCCTCTTGTTTGTAGCGAAACCTCAGGCCAGTCCATTATGGACTACTGCGGGGTGACTGAGCTCAAGGAAGAACATTTATGATCATTTCTTCATGGAAATGCAATTAGACCGAGATGCTTAGGCAGAAGAACTACTGCGGAATGGACTAGCCTGAGGTCTCGCTACAAACAAGCGGCTGCTGGAAGTGAGTAGGTGAGTTGTGTTTAGTCTCTTTGCTAAAGAAATTAGGCAAAGTTAGAAAGATGTTTGGTGGCTAGTGCTGTGACTGGGACCCTGTATGTACAGCTGATGTATGTATGGCTCCTCAGACCGCTGTGTATTGCTATCCTGCGGTGGTTACTAAAGTTAGTATAACTAGAGAAGCAAGCGGTCGGCAATATTCCTCTCTCGGGGGGGTCTCTAACTCTGTGTTAAAGTGTGTTTGACCCAAAATTAATTTTATGGTGGAGTATCCGTTTTAATACTAAAAGTTGAGAGCTTTTAATAGTCTACCCTGCGAAAGCTTTTCAGTAAGAAAGCAGCCAGCAGAAAAAATAAATAGATAATTTTAGGTAGATATTCTTTGGTTAGGTTGAGCAAAGAGAATTTACCAACCCAAACTCATAATAGACAGTCATGGAACAAAATCTGGAGTAAACTTGAACTGTCCCTTTTCCTCATAAAATAACCATTAAATAAGTCTTTTTTTGTGAAAAGTGTGTCAGATAAATTACCACAAGCCAGTCACCAGATAGTGAACTTGGAGTCATACAGGGCTCTTTGAGCTTAGGCAGCCTTGGGGCAGTTTTCTAAGGTAACACAGTAAAAAGAAGCACTTCTTTTCTCTGCCATGGAGACTTTAACACTATAAGCAAGTAAGCCAGAAAGAAAACCATGTTTTGGGGTCACAAAGTGCTGCTTTAAGTATCCCAATAACAACAGTAAAACAGAACTAACAACGATAATGAAATTATGCAAAAACATAAAATGCAACTGTGCAAATTTAATTTGAGAAAATGACACTAAAGGAGCTTTGTAAAGCATCAATAGAAACAGGAGAGCATTTGTATAAAGGATGCACTTAAGTGATAGAGACACAAGTCAACAGGCTGACCCTTGTCAGAAGACATGAAGGATCTACAGCTGATGTAAGGTCCAAAATATGGACTGATGCTTGATTATATATGATCTCCTCAAAACAGTCAAAGCACACAACTCTAACATGTTTTATATTAGTCTTATTCTTGAGCCTAACTTTCCAAGGAACTGTGAATTAATGGAGTTATAAGGTCATACAATGGCAGCGCTGTCGTCCAAAATAACCAGTTGAACCACACAGTGTTAATGCTGGGGCAGTACGTTTATGTGATTACTCTAAATTAACTTCTTCATGGCCTTTTAAACCTCTGCCTTGTATTCCTGCTCTGTTCTGACTTGTTACGTGCCTCTCCTCCTCCTTCATGTCCTCAATGTCTCAGGAGACAAACATTTTGTGCTGTCACAAGACACCCACCAATCCAATAAACTCTAATCTTGTTAAGGTTGCTGTTAGCCACTGAGATTGTTGCTGAGATATCACAGCCCTCTTCGTTTCCAAGTCCTGTGCGACTATTTTCATCAGTGCATGTGTATGCCTTTAAATTTCACTTTCATAACTCAGAGTCAAGTTCATTTCTGAGGCTATCTGTCAATTTTATCAGTTGTAAGGAAGACATCAAAGCCTCAAATTTCCTGTTGCAAATGCTCACCCACACTCACGACAACAGACTCTTCATAAAAGGTAAACTGCAGCATATGGCTTTTTCAGATGCTCAAGTGCTGCAGCTGCAAGTAAATCTGCATAAGAAAGAGTTATTAATAACAAACTTTTTTTGGTCATGTAAGCATTTTGTGTTCAGGATTTCCAAGCCCACGCACCTTCAGGAGAATTCAAAGCAAGACAGCAGGCTCACTGCTTCCAGCAACATGGTCTGCTTTGTGTACAGTGGGTGTGTAGGAGTAAGAGTTTAATTCATCTGTAAAAGTTGAGGGTGGTTTTGAGAAAATTAAAGTTGTCTGCGGTTTTAGGAGTAGCACACAAGGGAGCCTTCTTATTTGTGAGTGGGTTCGAGCTCAAAGAAACAAGTGTGTGCTTGGCAAAATGAAGAAATCCAAAATGAACGCAGAGTTGTACTCAAATAATACCAGAACGTTTTCCAGTATTAGGACGTTCCCTTTGATTTACAGGTTGCTGGGGTTTTTTGCCCTGTTATTATTGCATTATCTTTACACAGACGGTGTATGAACCTCCAACAGAAGCACAGCCTTTGGACTCTGCTCTCTGCACTGCTTGAGACCTCCTGAAATAACCTTCCCATTGTGCAAGCATCTCCAAACAGACTTTGATGAAAGGAACGTGTGTTTAAGGGAAAAAAAAAGACAAGGCTCTGAATGTTTCTCTTCTCAAAGACTATTTATTTCACTGTTAAGTGTGAAATAAGCTCTGAGAGGGATTTCATGCTTTTAGATTGGGGATGATTTAAAATGAAATTAGTTTACATGTCAACAACACTTTATAATGAGCTCTTTGTCCAAATTTTGCTTTTTGCTGTTTTGTTTCAATACTTTAGTCCAAGGCAAAATGAGTTTCAATTAACTGCAGTCATGTCTTATAACTGTCTGAGAGTTAAAACATCATGTGGTTTACATTCTTAACTCAAAACAAACTTTCTACATTATGGCCATTAATACATTTTGTTCCTGGATTTTTTTTTAAAAAGACAGCCTTATAACAAGTAAAGGTTCAAATGTAAATAAAGCTGGAAATAATAGACCTGTAGTCTCCAAAGGGACAATGTAATGATTATTTAAAGTGATTTATATACTGGTAGAGACAACTAAACACCACAATAAACTGCAGTCATGTCTTATAACTGTCTTTCTACATTATGGCTGTTTATACATTTTGTTCCTGAAACGCAGACCTGTGAATTTGGATTTTTTTTTAAATAAGACAACCTTATAATAAATAAAGGTTCAGATCCCAAACGGAAATAAAGCTGGAAATAATTGACTTTTATCGTAAATAATAGACCTGTAGTCTCCAAAGAGGCAATATACAGATAATTTTGAGTGATTTATAGACTGGTACAGACAACGTAACACCACTTCATAATAGAAGTAAATATTTTACAATCTTCTCTGCATTTATGAGGGTCTGTTTGAATAGGCTTGATAACAGCTGTAAATCAGAACAAATCAGTACCCACGGATAAGAAAAAGCTAATACCTGTGTCTGTCAGTCAACTTCACGCTAAGTATTTACCACTTTCGCTTTTAATTTGAAAGTTTGACCGGAAGTCCTCTGAGCCCCCTTGTCTGTTCGTTGAACGGCTCCTCGTTCCTACCTGAAGCTCACCACCAACTGTCGCGACCTTCTCCACCGTGTTGTCGCCCACTAGCTCCACGAAAGTCTTCCTGTATTTTCTGCATTTCCCGTTCACATATCTTTATAACTCCTCAGTTTAAGAAAACAAAAAAGGTTCAGAAATTAAACTCCCGTCGGGCTCAGAGCGATGAAGCTCAGACGGAAGGTAGTGTTGACGGAGCGGTGACCTCCTCTCAAGTGTGTGAGTGAGGTGGGTTGAGCTTACCTATAGCCCAGTGTGGGCTGTTTACACTGTGTCTGCCAAGAGATTACACTCAGGCTATTTTCTTCACACGGAGTCTCAAAATAAACTAATGACTGCTCATTAACTGTACAGCCACACCAGTGACACTTTCAACTGGCGATAAGGGACTCTGGAGTTTGATTTATGGCTCCAGTGGTTAGTTAGTTCACACCATTAGGACTTATTTCATATACTTTAGGACAATAGGTACACATTTCAGTCCGAGATTAAATAAGTTCTTTGTCTAAAAGGGGTGTAAGACGTTCAATTGATGTTTTATTGTAAATTATTTGCCGGTATTAAATATTTTCTTGGTTAAAATGAGTAACAAAGTTAGCCTCCCTTTACCACACTTTAAATCAAATAGCATGCCACTGACCGTAAAAATCCAAGTTAATACTGACATTTGAAATGATCTTTTAAAAATATATGTATATATTTTTGCATTATTGAACTCATCTGTAAATCATGACTGTTTCATAAAATGTTGCTAATATTAGGCTACCTCAGAGTCTCTACTTTAAAAGCCCTTAAATAGCTTGTATTATTATTTAGCTGTTGCATTTTGTTGGACTAAGCTAGTTGGCATTTTGAAAGGTCTGATACAACAACAACAACAACAACAATAATAATAATAATAATAATAATTTCAGCCTCATCAGTTTGGCTCCTCTCATGCAATGTTAACGCCCCCTAGATTGTAATGGGTTGTTTTAGACTTAAAGGGATATTCTGGTGTAAAATTAAGTTAGGGTCAACTCAACACACCGTTACACTGAGTTAGACACCCCATCGAGAGATGAATGTTGCTAGCCCCTTGCTTCTCTAGTTATACCAACTTTAGTGACAACTGCACAATAGCAGTCTGTACGACTGTAGCAGGGGGGACGCAGCTCAAGGAAGAACATTTATGATCATTTCTTCATGGAAATGCATTCAGACCGAACCGCTTAGGCAGAAGAACTATGACGTCTGCAGTGCAAAATGATTAATATGGTGATTATAACTTCAAGGAAAAGATAAAGTAATGATCATAAATGTTCTTCCTGCGTCACCCCGCTGCATTAGATGGACTCGCCCGAAGGTCTCGGTACAAACAAGCGGCTGCTGGAAGAGAGGAGGTGAGTTGTGTTTAGTCTCTTTGCTAAACAAATTTGGCAACGCTAAAAAGATGTTTGGTAGCTAGTGCTATGGCTGGGACCCTATATGTACTGTTGAAGTAGTTAGGTGCTGTTCTGAGCATTATGTGTGGCTACAGAGTCGTGTTTTGGTTGAGAGCGTGGCTCTCTGTATTGCTATCTGTGGTCGCCACTAAAGTTGGTATAACTAGAGAAGCAAGCGTTAGACAACATTCATCTCTCGACAGGGAGTCTAACTCAGTGTTACGTTGTGTTGGACCCTAATTTAATTTTATGCCGGAATATTCTTTTAATGACAGCATGTCAGATCAAATACAAGTACTGGATAGCATCTTATTATTAACACAATATATAAAATAATTGTTAAGTGCTGCTTTTTATATAAATTTCAGTCATGTTTAAAAATACATGCATCCATCAATGATCCTGTGAACTTTTCTTAGTCATGAATGAACAAACAGTTTAAGAAAACAAAAAAGGTTCAGAAATTAAACTCCCGTCGGGCTCAGAGCGATGAAGCTCAGACGGAAGGTAGTGTTGACGGAGCGGTGACCTCCTCTCAAGTGTGTGAGTGAGGTGGGTTGAGCTTACCTATAGCCCAGTGTGGGCTGTTTACACTGTGTCTGCCAAGAGATTACACTCAGGCTATTTTCTTCACACGGAGTCTCAAAATAAACTAATGACTGCTCATTAACTGTACAGCCACACCAGTGACACTTTCAACTGGCGATAAGGGACTCTGGAGTTTGATTTATGGCTCCAGTGGTTAGTTAGTTCACACCATTAGGACTTATTTCATATACTTTAGGACAATAGGTACACATTTCAGTCCGAGATTAAATAAGTTCTTTGTCTAAAAGGGGTGTAAGACGTTCAATTGATGTTTTATTGTAAATTATTTGCCGGTATTAAATATTTTCTTGGTTAAAATGAGTAACAAAGTTAGCCTCCCTTTACCACACTTTAAATCAAATAGCATGCCACTGACCGTAAAAATCCAAGTTAATACTGACATTTGAAATGATCTTTTAAAAATATATGTATATATTTTTGCATTATTGAACTCATCTGTAAATCATGACTGTTTCATAAAATGTTGCTAATATTAGGCTACCTCAGAGTCTCTACTTTAAAAGCCCTTAAATAGCTTGTATTATTATTTAGCTGTTGCATTTTGTTGGACTAAGCTAGTTGGCATTTTGAAAGGTCTGATACAACAACAACAACAACAACAATAATAATAATAATAATAATAATTTCAGCCTCATCAGTTTGGCTCCTCTCATGCAATGTTAACGCCCCCTAGATTGTAATGGGTTGTTTTAGACTTAAAGGGATATTCTGGTGTAAAATTAAGTTAGGGTCAACTCAACACACCGTTACACTGAGTTAGACACCCCATCGAGAGATGAATGTTGCTAGCCCCTTGCTTCTCTAGTTATACCAACTTTAGTGACAACTGCACAATAGCAGTCTGTACGACTGTAGCAGGGGGGACGCAGCTCAAGGAAGAACATTTATGATCATTTCTTCATGGAAATGCATTCAGACCGAACCGCTTAGGCAGAAGAACTATGACGTCTGCAGTGCAAAATGATTAATATGGTGATTATAACTTCAAGGAAAAGATAAAGTAATGATCATAAATGTTCTTCCTGCGTCACCCCGCTGCATTAGATGGACTCGCCCGAAGGTCTCGGTACAAACAAGCGGCTGCTGGAAGAGAGGAGGTGAGTTGTGTTTAGTCTCTTTGCTAAACAAATTTGGCAACGCTAAAAAGATGTTTGGTAGCTAGTGCTATGGCTGGGACCCTATATGTACTGTTGAAGTAGTTAGGTGCTGTTCTGAGCATTATGTGTGGCTACAGAGTCGTGGTTTGGTTGAGAGCGTGGCTCTCTGTATTGCTATCTGTGGTCGCCACTAAAGTTGGTATAACTAGAGAAGCAAGCGTTTGACAACATTCATCTCTCGACAGGGAGTCTAACTCAGTGTTACGTTGTGTTGGACCCTAATTTAATTTTATGCCGGAATATTCTTTTAATGACAGCATGTCAGATCAAATACAAGTACTGGATAGCATCTTATTATTAACACAATATATAAAATAATTGTTAAGTGCTGCTTTTTATATAAATTTCAGTCATGTTTAAAAATACATGCATCCATCAATGATCCTGTGAACTTTTCTTAGTCATGAATGAACAAACTTTCCATCATAGTCATGTAATCATGAAGCTATGATTACCTCAGCCTGTGAGGTAATCATGTAATCATATTAGATTGTGATGTGCCTGGAATAATGAGTGTTTGTGTTATAGAATAGTTTTATGATGTGAAAACACATAAAGACAAACAAACAAAAAAATAGGATAATATATTGGCTGTTGGCTGAACTGCTTTTTAATTATCCCAATTAGCCATAGAAAAATCCATGTCAGTCAACCCCTTATAAGCAGTATTAATGCTAATCCTTTGTTACATCAGCATTTTACTAAGATAAAATTTTCAATGTAAAATTTACAAAAGCTCATTTATAAACTTTAGGATTTAAAATGAAATATTAGGGGACTTTTCTACCACTGTGTAATGACTGGTCAGTGTTATCAAAGGCTACACTACTAAAGACAAGTTTAAGTACATGGTGCCAAAGACGAAGAACTTAAGGGTGTCTTCAAAGCAGCACAAACTACAAAAGAGAATTAACGTCATGGTGATGTGGTTTTAAGATGCTCTACTCTGATGTGAATAAAAGCCGCAGACTGCAACGCTGCCACTGAACTCTGAGACTTCATGGTAAATCCTAATGACAGAATAATGTGAAATTAACAGACAGTAGCAAAAAATATAGTGATTCAATCTTTTTGTAGTTTTGTCTTTCATTTGATGGCTGTATCCTCCCTCCTGGTGGGCATGGTTTTGTGTCGCTTGTTTTTTAGCAGGATTACAGGAAATCTGGCCCAGTTTCCATAAAGTTTGGTATAAGGGTTTAGCATGGTACGAAAAGAACCCGTCAAATTTGTCTTGTGCTGGGAGTGACTTTGGTAATTCACATGCTGCCGTATGTTTAATGATTACCCTAAAGTAGGTTGCACTTTCTTATCTGCATGTTGTGTTTTTTTGATTTTGGTGGAAGTCTCTTCAGATGTTGTTACTGCTTTCCTTTTTTGTCTTTCTCCTTCAGAATTTTAGGCAAAATAGTCATTGGGAATCAAAACTTCTAGAATAAGACAAAAAATTGCAAATATTTGATAGTTTGTCTTATATTTTTAAATTGTCAGGATATGTTCATTTCTAAGTGCTTGATATTTGCATGGCTCACATCTCAGTTCAAACATCCTTCTTAGATACATCTACCTCCTCACCTCCTTCACTGTGATTGGTTCATAGTCAATAAGGGCTTTCTCTAAAGGTTAATTACATTGATCTGGATTCACCTTGTCAGTTCAGACAGGTGTGCCAGCCCTTCAGTGCACTTCCTGTGTGGCTTTCACTGACCTGGCTCTGCTGGCTGCTATCCTCTGACTGCAGTTACCATGAGGGAGGCGGTAGTGGGGCAGCTGGTAGTATCTGTCCTGGCCGGGGGCCTCGTCGGCGGGCAGGGCCTTAGGGCTGGCTGCGTAGATAGTGCATCCCATGAACACCTCCTGGAAGTCACCCTCAGTGTCCTACAGCAAGCAGAGAAACAAGAAACCGTCCTCGAGGTATGCTTCCTGTGCGTGGTCCGTCCTGTCGTGATGCCAGCCAGCTGCTGAGTGGAAAAGCCATCAGCTCAGCACTTTGCTATCTTAACCCCTCCTTCCCTCTGAATCTCTCCTCCAGCCAACCTCGTTCTCTCTCTCCATCCTACCCCCCTCCCCCTCCTCTGACGAGCCCAGAGCATGGAGGATAATCAGATTTCACATTTACACTCAACAAAACCATCCCCAGCGTAATCACTGCCTGTCACTGATGTTGCATTATGTTAATGCACAGAGCGGACTCTCAGTTCAGGAGCATCAGGGGCGGTTAAAAATATCCCCGCTGACTGATGGAAGTGATGCCGCAGCACACAAAGATGAAGTGTTATCACCGTGTACATTAAGGGATAGACTACAGAGAGTGAAGAGTTGACAGCTGGATGAACATATTGCTAAAGATCCGTTTACTTTCAGTCTTTTGCAGAGACAGTCATTAATGGAGTGAAAAAGGCTCACTGCAATCCTCCACAGACAACTGAACAGCTCAGGCTTTCTCTGCAGTGTTTCAAACAAGAAGAATTCAGATATTTGGAGGATTTTAAAGCCTATAGGGCTGGAAGAAGCAACAAAACTTCACATTTTGAAGCATTTGTGATGTTTTTATGTGAAAGTAGAGCTTAAGTTCCACCCACACAGAAAAAACAAACAAACACACACACAAATTATCAACTTGCTATCTCTTCAGATTACATTTTTCTCTAAATGATGGACATGTATTATGTTGCTTTTAAATTTAAGGGGTACCTGTAGAGTGTTTGACCTGAAGTAGCACCATGGAGCTGTTTTATTTAACTTGTGCACACACACAAGGACAGAAAGTCAAACAGTACAACCAACGCCAACATTCGATGATCTACGAGTAGGAGTAAAAACAGTAAGATAGTCTTTTGCAGTATAGCTGAAAACTGGAATACAAATGTTTTATGAAGAAGAAAATACACTGGAGATATTTCTCAGACCTTAAAGACACACTGAGTGCAAATAGAACACTTGTTTGTTTACTGGATGACTCCACAGTGCCCCTTAAAGATGAGAACAGCCTCTGAAGATAAATCATCCAGCGGGGTGAACTGCTGTTAACCATAATGTATTTTTTAGGAGCTGAACTCAGAGAGATTATATCAGGACTATAAACTGCCCCAGACTGAAACTTTAAAACTGCTCAGATTTTTCATGAACAGCAAGAGCAGAACCAACCTTGTATTCATCTGAAAAAAGGGCTGATACTGTGAGTTAGTTTGCAGTAAAACAGGATAAAAAGAGGCATCTGTTTCAGGAGAGAGAGACTGTGGCCTCTTTAGAGACACTGCTCTCCTGTGGTCAGATGTCACAGTGCAGAGATTATGACTTAATCCAACGTCATCCATTCAACCTTTAAATAGGAATTTATGAGCAATGTTTGAGCCTGAGTTTTTGCAACCAAAGCTGCAGAGAAGGTTTCAAGAACAGGGCGGTCCACTGTCAATATGATAATATGAACTCATCGTTCTGTAGTGACCATGTCTTTACTGTGAAGTTTGATGAACATGACTCTCCAGATGAAGCTGAAAAGCCCACCAGTGGCTAAAAAGAGCCGAACCATTGAGCAGTTCCCAGGACAGATTGTCTCATAAAAAGATTTATTTTTTTCCAGCCCAAATTTACAAAGGCAAGTTACAGAGTATTGTATAAAAAAGAACCATGGCAATGTACACTTTACACAAACTCCTGAAGGGCGGGAGAGAGGAAGAGGAGGAGGAGGAGAGGGTGAAGAGTTCTGAATCTTCTCACACAGAAAGAAAATGAAGACATTGTAAACATCCTTGCAAGCACCGGGACTGGTGCTCTTTTTTTGGGAGGGTAGGGGGGTGCAGGGTAGGATGGGGTGGGGTGAGGTGTGTGAGGGGGGGCGTTTGTGTGACAGTAGGTGGGTCAGGAAAAGACAAACGAGCAAGTGTCTCTGTGTTTTCACAGAAGAATGTTCAACTAGGCACCAATTGAGACAACTGCTGGCCAATAAATATACTCTTCACCATGAAACAAATACAGTCCTGCAAAATACAAGAGCCAAGCACTTTCCAATATGTTGATAGCAAACATTACTTTTTCTGGCTTTTCATACACTTTAGTATATAGGATTTTCACTGGGCTTTGCTTACTACTGAGATAACATTACTACTCTCAGAGAAAGAGAGAGAGAGAGAGAGAAAGAGAGAGAGAGAGAGAGAGAGAGAGAACAAATGCACTTGTCACAACCATTGTCTGATAAAAACTATATGTACTGTATGCAGTCTGCTGGTACTAAAAACCCACTGACTTTAATGACAACATCACAGCTGCCTAGATTACCCTTACAGATTAAGTACAAGTCAAACACCACCACATTCAGCTTATTCATTTTAGCCATTCTTCTTCAAAATGCGCAAAAAATCAAACATAAACCATCCTGTGGACTTCTGTGAGAGAAACTGGCAACCTATCTACTGGGAATGTCCAAAACCTCCAAATGAAGAGTTTAGTGTGTGAAACAGCTGTAACCGAACTGTCCAGGATGTTAAAAATGACCGATAAATCATGGAATTGAACATTTATAGAGTTAAACGATAAAAAACTACAACAATGGGAACATTAAAAGTGATTGAAGAACCATTCAAATCAAATTTAAAGACAGCATGGTCAATAACTCTACTCTTATAATGCTTCAGGAAAAGGTAAAGACAGTTCTGTGGCATCAAGCCTTTAGTGTCTCCCTGTCATGACCGAGCCAATTTGTCGTTTATCGTTGAGCCACGTCAGCACATCTAGCTTGTAGCAGAAAAGTACTTTTTTCATATTTATAAAGAGAAGCCTTTGAAGGTCGATGCGAACAGCGTATGGAGAGAATTTCACTTACAGGCCCTGAGGTATAAAAGAAGTGTAATTTATAGCAGAGAGGGTCTTCTTGTACTGATAGCCACTTTCAATGTCAATTCATAGACTTAATTTACAGTGTTGCCACTAGTTTGAGTTAAAAAATTAAAAAGCATCATGCTTCTCTTTTGCTGATGTGACATCTTTCCTGTCTCAGTCTTGAGGTCCTGATTGGATAGTTTGACTATACTGGCTCACTCTTCCTTATAGCTTGAAATCATTGTCTGCATCTGACTGGTTTGTGTTTGTAACAGATGAGAGATGTTTGGGGTCATTTCATGCACTTCAAAGTTTAATGTGCCAGTAGTTGATCTTGCAGCACAGACTGACCGAAGCTGACGGTTCAAAAAGGCCGATACAAAGCTGGCTGGCAGACGATAGAAATGAGCATGTGCCAAAAGCTGGTTGAAGTGAGTTATGGTGAAGCCACACAAGCAAGCGAAGCACCAAGAGAAGATCTCACTAGCCCCACCTCCACCCCCAGAGAAAGTCAGACTGACTCACCGTTATGTTTTCATAAAATCTTGGGGAAAAAAATGTCTGAGATGCTGATGGCCATTCAGAGGTCTGATTGCACACTGCATGCTGGGAAGAATGGCTTGTGATGGTAACGAAGTCGAGGGTCAAGCGAATCAAATGAAGTTTAAAATCTGCAGCAAATAAGCAGCACAGTGAGACGTTGATCTACCATGCAGCATTCATGACCTGAGCACCTCTAGTGTTAATGCTGTGAAAGCCCAGAAAGGTCCAAAACTGGCAGTTTGTCAACAGTTGTGAGCTGGGGTAAATATAAACATTTATGCGCAGGCAAAGGTTCTATTTTACAGCTGGAGAAAAATGCATGACCCAAGTGGAAGTTCACATTTTTACAGTTAAAAAAGTTTGACTCAGTGGGGAAAAAAAAGCACAAGCTTACAGTAAAACCCCCAAATCCCTCATGAGGTGCCTGATGTAGTGATGACAATGCCCCGTGAATCACCGTTTGCTAATGTGGCTTCACCGTTTGAGTGAGCGGAGAGACAGACATGACCTTTTCATGGTGAGGACACACAGGACTTAACACCAGCATCAGACACATTCAAGGATGAGCACAATGATATGAAGTGTTACTGAGAAAAAGAAAACATGATTAGTGTTTATTCTCCGTTGAGGTGTGCGCGGTCCCTTCGCAATAAAACATGACGACATCATCCCTGAAACGAGAAGTGAGGGTTCGAAGAGGATGGGAATCAGCAATGATGGAGAATGAAAACAAAAAACTTCAGTCTCAGGCTCTGTAAGTCTCTGAAGAAAGCAGCTGTTGCCATATTCCCTCTCCCTCCGAAATATAGCCAAACGTTTGTCAAGTTTAGGATATATTGTTGTTTCACGGCATACGATAAGCCAAAGATGTAAAAGTCGAAATCATTTCAATATGATTCACTTTTTCTTCTCAGTCTTTTAATTTAGTTTGACTCCCCTTTCCCATCAGCCGCCCGACTCCCCAGCGTCCCCAGCCAATTTCTTTCTGCGTGTGACAAAAATCAATGCAGTCAAAAAAAAAAAAAAAGTGAAAAAAAGGAAAAAAAAAAAGAGAAAAGAAGCTGTTCTGGCAGTCCAATAGTCTCTTTTTGCATTGTATTTGTTGACAGTGCAAAGACTAGATAACCAGCGGGTTGGTGTTTCCTCTGCATGATGAGGCAGAGTGATGGCTTTGAACCTGAACCAGTCCTGTTACAGTCCGAGGTTTGGGAAGATTTGGGGTCACTTACGAGGGGAGGAGGGGGAAAAAAACGACAATCTGCCTCGCCTCGGGGCAGAAGAACTAAAAATATAGATAGAAACACCATTCAACTGATGTCTAAAAAGGTAACACCCGGGAGATTCTCTTCACATGTGAGCCAGTCACATGAATCTTTGCAGGGTTGAGGTGTGACGGTCAGGTTTCCCTGTGAGGGAGACAAAGAAAAGACTCAGTCCAGACTCAGACTTTTACACATTATCAACGTACAAAAATAAAACCCTGTGTTGAAATAAAGTTTTTTAAAGTGATATTAATGGTATTAGTACTTCCCCATTTTAGTATGATTAGTATTTCTACAACGCTTAATATTAAAGTGACTTTAATTAGTTGTCTTTTACAGCAAAAGAGGTTCAAATATGCTCATTATTTGAGGATATTAATTTAACTGACATAGACACTCTTAGAAAAAGTCATTTTTGATAAATAATAGAAATATTCTGACAAAACATAGCCAGAAATATAAACTATTGCTCTGATAGTTAATCATATTCTATAGTTAAGTTAATTTTATAGTTTAACAGTTGGGTTTATAAGTTAAGTCTTAAACTCTGATTTTAAATCTAAAACATGTTTTCATACATTTTTCAGCATTAAAATACTCCTCCATCTCTATTATTGCTGATCAGTAGGCAGTTTCTTCTGTAAACCTGGCTGAAGACAGTAATGCAGACCCATTTTGAATCCTACCTCTCCTCATGGTATACAGCTGGATTCACAGCTTAATCACTGGAACATAATGAGCTCCTTTATGTCTAAATTTACTGCAGGCTTGTTGTAGTACACTTCCTGACTTTGAGCTTAATGCACCTCATAAACTGGCACTGAGTTTATGTTCCTCCTTCACATTACCAAGTTGTAACTTGAAAGCTCTCCACTAGATGTCAGTGCAGTCTGCTCTGGGTCAGTGTCTTGGCGGGCTCTTTTCATGTCTCTATTATCAACACCATGATCCACTTGTCCTCACAGGACCTACTTAAGATGGGTGAGCTGGAGGGGCTAAATGCTGCACTGCATATTGTACTAGATTGCAGCAGCGGCAGAAAGGCTATGTTTGGCCAGGATTTGCTGTCCTCACAGGTTGCTGTTTCAGGTTTGCTGTACAACATAAATATTGTAAGGGCAGAGCAGAGCAGGGTGTTCTTTTCACTTCGAATCAAATAAACCGAGGACAAGGAAACAAAAGGGTTTTTTTTATATTCACGGGACATCTGTGCCAGCACACATAACTCTTCACCTACATATCTCCTGCTGACTCGTTTATGTGGAGCACAATGTCTGCCACCTGCATTAACACAGCTCTCAGGTTACTGATGGCTCTCAGAAGGCTTGTGTTTTGTTTTACTGTCGTTTTCTTTTCTATCCAGCCAAGGAGGTCTTACCGTTCTCACCTCCGTGGCGGTTGGTAGAGGGAGGGGGTTGCAGCTTGTTGGCTGGCAACAATAGCTGATGAGGAGAGACCTATGGCGAGTTGGAAAATGTAGTTCTATCAGAAGTATTGCCTATTTATGAGCTGAATTTAGATTGCTGATCTGAACATTCTGCATCTATTTTACATTAAGTATTCTGATTGTGGGCCTCATTTAGTTTAAGTAGCTGGCTTGAATCTAGTTTACATGTATAGTACCTTATTCTGAAGTCTGCTGGACCACTAATAGATACTGTTACCAGAATCAGTACCAATACTGATACTGGCCAATACAGATTCTAATACCAGTACCAAAGTTCTGGTATTAGATGTGTTTAAATTTATTTTGCAGAAGTATAGAAGAAATAGTCTGATACTTGGATTGGGGCATCAGTAAGAATGATATCTAAGTATTTGATTCAGTGAAGTGAAACTACTGCTAACAGCAGAGGTAGGAGTAGTAAGGAGTGACTCACCTGTAGCGTAGGACAGGTCGTATTGCCCTGAGAGCAGCGGGTATCCCAGGTGGTGGTGTGAGGGCATGATGCGTTGGGAGGGCGAGGATCGTGGCCGGTCCACGTCTCTTTCTCGATCCCTCTCGCGCTCCCTTTCTCGATCCCTGTCTCCAGCGGCTCCTCTGTCCTGCTCCCTATCCCTGTCATGCGGTGGCTTGTCACCTACTGTGGGGGATTTGCTCTTGTATTGGCTGGCGTGCTGATGCAGGATCTCCAGAGCTTTGGAGTCTGTTGCTGTTTTGGAGACAGTAGGGCTAACGCGAGATTTGTCGCTGCCTTCTTCACCTCCTGCTATTTTACCGCCATATGGAGAAAACGGATATCCTCCAGGCAGGTAGGAGCCTAAATGTGAGGAAGGAAATCGGTTATTTTAAAATTAGCTTTATGATGAATATGAATATGGCAGTAAGTGACAAATTAGCCTGAATTAATGCTGACATCAATCAAGCGTAATAGCGGATGATGTATTGATTTCAGAGGTTAACAGGCTGCCAAGTTTGACTTCTGGATGAAATGTCACGTCAACAAGAGGGCGACACCCACAAATTTAAAGTCAGAAAGTCCAGCACCAACAGATTTTCTCTATATGAATCAATTTTCTTGACACGGGATTGTTTAAGTAAGAAAATGGAAATATACTGTAGGTACTGCAGTGTGATTTAACACATTCGACCCAGCTGCCAAATGTTATTCCATTTCATTTAAAAGCAAAGTCAGACCAACTGTAGCTGTAAGGTGCCAACATGAATACAGTATTTAAGCCATCAGCAGCACTCATACCATGACTGGTGGGACAAAAACTGAAGTGCTTTTTGTTACACATGTATTTACAGGTACAGACTGAATATCAGACCTTCCAGAAACCTGGAGTCAGACCTAAGAATAAGGCTGTCAAAAGTTCAGGACTTTGATATTTTTCAATACTATACACTTTGAAAAGACACAATCTGTTACTTTGACATGAGATAGTCCTGAAAAAGAACCAACGCTTGGGAAGAGCCCAGAGCTAGAGAGAGCAGCAGTGATTGAGCTACACAGAGATGAAGTAAATCTCTATGAGATCTAAGATCTTATTGAACAGAGCCTCAAATGTCCTCGGTTTAATTACTTTTTCTAAAATTGCACTATCGGCAGTGTGGTTGTAAAAATAAAATGTACCCATTCAGGGGTCCCCCGGAGTTTGATTTTTGATGCAGGGTGTCAAACAGGTACTGATACAGTTGTGAGAAGATTAAAAGCAGAGAAGTACTAACCATTCAATAATCCCTCTGAAAACACTGCTAGGAAGACATGTCAAAAAAATTGATCCCTAATTGACCTGACCTATATTACAAGCTCATTACTGCCACGCTGTGCTTTTCCTCTAACAAAAACGACACTCATTTCCCGCTGCTCTTATTTTTCAATCATTACTGTAATTTCTAGCAAACAAACACAAAATGACATTGGAGCTGTTAGGCATAAAATTCAGCGAGTTCTGAATAAAACCGGCACAAGGGCAATCTGATACCCTGCTGAGTCTGGTACAGCTACTCTTGACAGACAATCTGAAACTGCTGTGCTGCTCCCCATCCCATTCAATAGCCATCATGTACTCCTGAAATGGAGGTAGGGGCAACAGCTTAATGAATTTTTAATACTGATGCTCATTTTAGTCGTGCATGCATCATACTACAAGAAACCAGAGGAAGCACTGAGCAACTATCAGCTTTACAAACGCTGTAGGCTGTTTTTCATAACCCGCATATATTTCATTAGGAGTTTTTATTTCTTCACATTTACATCTATATCAAATTAGTCTTGTTTCATACCTGGGTAATTCTGCATCATTACTGAAGGCATGCTCCTGTATCCTGGGTGGTTGGGGTCATAGCCTTGTCCATAGGTGTAACCATGCATGTAGGGCATGTAGCCTTGGTGCTGTGCTAGTGGTGATGAGAACTGCATGTGAGGGTTAGAACGAGAGTCTTTGCTCATGGCCCGGTGTTCCTCAGAAGTGATCCTGGGATCACTACCCTCTTTGCCGTCCTCCTTTGGCCCACTTTGACTGTCCTTGGGCCTGGGCCGGTCCTCTTTTAGTTTGCGGTCTCGTTCTCGTTCTCTGTCCCTTTCGTCTTTCCATCGAGGTTGTTGTTGCTGGTGTTCATCCTCCGCTTGGGGCTTCTGGCTCTCAGGATACTGCTGAAGGGGGGAGATAACATTTAAATACCATTCTTGAAAGCATATCTGCCAAAGCTGATGTACTTATTTGATACTTACCTGTCTGTACCACATGGCCTGCTCCATCCCTGCCTGACCTCTGGACTCCAGTGCTTGCTTTGGGTCCTCCTTTCCATGGTGCCCCCCTTCAGTCAGCTTCATCTTTAACCCCTCAGCTTGCTGGGACTTGGGGTCCTCCCCCTTTATGCTTCCCATGGATTTGGGGGAGGGCTCAGAGGGTGAGTCCCTCGATTTGCCTGGAGGCTGAGGTGCCTTTCCAAGGTCTGACTGACTCGGGGGTTTGGAGAGGCTCGGTGGCATTGGACTTTTCTGCTTCCACTCCTCCTTCATGGAGGTTTCTCGTTCTTTTATGGCTACATCAGACTTCTTCTCGGCAACCCGATGCTGTTCAGCCATCTGTCGCTGCCGTTCCTCGTACTGTTGCCGGTAGGCTGGGTTGGTGTTCATCAAGTGGTTATGGTAGGCTTGATCAGGATGGTATGCATATGGGGGGACATACGCATACTGGTTGTAGTAAAGAGGCTGCATGTACATGTTGGATCGCTGTTGGATGACCGAGGGTTGTTGTTGTTGCTGCTGCTGCTGGCTGGGAGTGCTGCAATCAGGTTTGCGGTCCTCATGTACCTCAACCTTGACTTTTTCCTCAACTGGATCCTGATCATCATCCTTTTTGATCTTAACCGGACCCTCAGCCACTGGTGTCCCTGGATTGGGTCCACCAGGGCTAGGGTTTACGTAATTGGGTGAGTAATATGTCTCGTAGCCGGGATAGTAGGGGGATTCCTTGCTGGGAGGCTGGTTAGGAAAGAGTGCTTTTTTGACACTTTCTCTGATGGCTTGGTCCTCTGTCCTGACTTTGACACCCTCTAGTTTCCCTTCACCATCCTCTCCAGCATCTGAAATGTCTGAATATGCTGGACTGTTTGTTTTGACCGATGAGTTGTCCGCACCGTTCTGGTTCACCGCGTGGAGTGGTGTGAGAGGCTGGGGCATGCCACTACCATCTATCCGACTGGCTACACCAATGGATGGGCTGGGGGCATTGTCAGAAAAGCTGTAAATCTTGTCAGCTTCAGCCTTCATACTGGCCAAGCGACTTTGATGAGGATCTGATGAACCGTTCAGGAGCCCTTCCCCCTTATTTCCTTGATCGGAAGGTTCAGTGTAAGGGAGCTTTGCTTCCTCCAGTTTTCCTCCCTTTCCCGGAGGCTTGGGGCTGTCAGCCTCTTTCACACCATCTTTCTTCTTCTTGTCTTTCTTCTTCTTGTCTTTGGAGCTACTTGAGGCAGGATCTCCAATAGCAGGGGGTTTAGGCTGTGCGCCTTTCATTTGGGGACTCTTGGGGATACCTTGTATCATTGGAGTGAGCCCAGGGGAAGAATTTGGGTTTCCTGGAGGAAAAGAATACATCTGTTGTGATGCTGCGGAGCCAGGGCCGATGGGCCTTGGTGATTTCATGTTTTTCTGGGCCATTTTATCTGCTTTTGTACCCTTTTTGGACTTGTCCCTCTTGTCATCTATACCATCATTACTGGCCTCATCAGTGAGACACAGCCCATCATCACATCCATCCATTGGTGTACCACCAGTTTCTGGGTCTGCCTCAGCCATTTTCTTTTTACTCTGTTTGGAACCAAACTTCCCCGGAGAAGGGGAAGGACTCTGAGCGTCAAAGTTTCTACCTTTTGGAGTCACTGAACGTGCAGGGGATAAACATCCTTTCTGAGAGATGGATGCTCCGTTACAGTTTCCTGGTTCAGGGTGGAGGGTTGAATCCTCTCCGTATTCACTGTCTGCATCTAAGTCCAACTTAATGTCGTCATCATTGTGGGCACGCGCTTGGTGGTACTTCAGACCATTGATGTGCTTGTATTTCTTGTTACAGTTGGGGTGTGGGCAGTCGATAAGAACTGGAGAGGGACAGCTGCGATCTAGGGGAGGTGGGAGTGGCTCAGTCTTAATAGAGGGGATAGGGAGACCTGTTGGTCCGACCCCTCCACTGTTGGAGTTTGTTCTCATCCGCTTGTTGCCTTTGGTGTCTTCTGAGCTGGAATTAGGTTCCATGTCTGAGGCTGGTTTGGTTTTGCGTTTCCCAGCTGAGGAGGGACTGGCCTTGATGTCCTCTGTGTTGCTGTTAGGCGGGGTGCGGCGCTCCGATGGCGTCTGGCTTCCTCTGCGGCCCTTGCTGTTAGAGGCTGCACGGGTCTTGTTGTTGGTGGCGCCCTTGTTGTCTGACGAGTTGCTGTTCTCGTTGATGGGTGTGTTGCTGTTCGGTCTCATTCGCTTACCTCGACCACGGCCGTTCCTCATCTCGAGATCACTTGTGGGGGATTCACAAAACCTGAGGAGGCGAAAAAGTCATGTTTAAGAGATTTGTGGGATTACAATTCTATTTATTACAATACAGGTTGGGTCTCTAGCTAAGTTTTCATTTCATTGTTGTTTTGTGATTGTTGTTTTAGCACCAGAACACCAAACAAATTCCTTGTTAATGTAAATGTAAATCTCCTTGGTCATAAACCTGGTTCTGGTCCTGATTCTGACTTCACTTGTTCCGAATGGCAATATACACAGTTTAAATTCAATTCAAATAATTAGGGACCCAATTTAAATTAATGTTTCTGTAGGAACTGATTCATTTAATGCCAGTTCAAACAATTAACCCCGTTGAAATTTCATTAAGTTTTATTATGATTTACAACATCAAATCACTGAGAATAAAACTGGGCTGTTTGGCAGTAATCAGCTGTATTTCATGAAAAACAACAACAGATGTCTACCCTTCATTTTGATAGGAACAACAACAGAAAAACAAACAAATGAAGCAGTTTTATTCTGGTACTTTTGCATATCTTTTCACTCATAAATGACAAACATTTGTGTCATGGCTACTTAGCAAACCTGAGTAACCATTATAATCCACATGTGACCATGAAACTCAAACCAGTTGTGCGATAGTATTTCTAAGCCCATTTGAGTTCCAAGTCTACAATTAACAGTAGCATGAAAATATATAGAGATGTTTTTGTCCTGTCCCCTGATACTATTCTGATATTCTGTGGATCATAAGTGAGTAAGTACTCCAGAGAAAGTACTTCCAGAGCTAAATGACTTTCCAAATCAAGGACACATAAACATTATTAGAAAAGACAGCAGTGAGCAGTCTGGCTGCTTTGTAATCAAAACATGCAGTCGTTCAAATACTTAAAATAGCAGTTTGGCCTTATCTCGCCATAACAGTAATGTAATTATCTTTCTCCACAGCAGTGAAGGTTAGCAATCTGTGACAATGAGAGACAGCAGGCTAGTATGACTCACAGCTTCCTCTACGAGTCTCTCCAAACAATTTCAGCCGCAGCAGGGGATGTGAACACATCCGCAGTCAGACAGTGGTAGAAGAATTTAGACTCATTACAAGCCCAAGTTTATATTCAGTTTGTTGAAAGCTCTCTGAATTATTCATGGTGTGTCCCTAATGTAGTCATGCTGGAAACTGTAAGACTATCTTGGTGCAAATACAGCCCAGCAAACTTCACTTACTAAACATTATGATGATGTGCTGTGATACATTAGTTTGATAGAGCCGATCCTTGTTTTCCATTAACGCTGCTTTAATCTTGATTTTTGCATTCCAAGTATAGTCATATTTACATTTAGACACAGTGTTGCTGTATTAAATCAAAGCAAGTGCTTGGAGGTGTATTTTACCCAACCAGGGTGTTTTGCATAACAAAGGCAAATACTCAGAAATTGCTAACACCTTGAGCTACCGCCCACATAACTCTGTTCTAAGAAATTGCCGCCTGTGTGATAGGGAATATTATACACTGCTGAGAAAAAGCTATTAACCCAATAATTGTACTCCACAGTCTGGCTTGTAAAAGCAGCTTTCAATTTCTACAGCCACCTTCTGGAGCATTAGCCTTGTGCCAATGAATCTCCCCTGACTGAAGATAAAAACTAACATGAATGTAGAAGGTCCGGTGGCACACAGTCATGTAGCTGCATCCCGCTGTATACATCCTTGAGCTGATGCTACTACAGCAGATTCATGTCACATACAATATGAAAAGGTTAAGAGAGCAAGTGCAGCTCGGATAAAGAGAACGCATCAATGATTCATGGCAATCATGAATCCTTTTCTACCTTGACATTTACGGCGACCATCTGTGACAGTCAAGTGCAGATACTATGCAAACCAGTGCATGCAGCGTGAGCTCTGACAATAGCAGCATTGATAGAGCTGGTGTGCAGAATCAGTGCTGCACATTTTGACACTTTATTCTGTTTATTGCTAAAATATGCTGTACTAGATTATATAGAAGATTCTGTATAAATGAAAAATGAGCTTCTTACCTGGGGGGAGCCCAGTCATGTCGTGTGCAGTCCAACAGGGTGCCCACATATGTCTTGTTCCGCCAGGTTACATTGACCACCAGCATGCCTGTGAGACGAGGAAACAAAGAGGTCATTAATTTTGTGTTTACAGACAATAACAGGAATGACAGAAAAACCACAGAGAGATGTGACGGTAATCTCTCACAGTCACAATACTGCGACAATTATCTCACTGGTTATAAGCATAGACTGTACATCCTATGGACAACTTGGTTCCGCCTTCCACCAGTATACGGATTTAAAGCCAAAAAGGTCTCTGTAATTCAGCGTTTTCTCTCCATTTCCTGAAACCAACATTGCACACTAGCGTTGTACGCACTCCACCACTTGCACAGTAGCGTTGTGCGCATTCGGCGGGAGAGTCGCCGAGAGTCCCTGTGATGACGCTCGGTTCAAACAGTGTATTCACTGGGCGAGCTACGCAATCTTCGTACACCCGTAGGCTGTATCAAGTGTCAATCATAGAAAACATGAACCACCTAATTACTTTTAAAAATGGAGCTGTACAGAAAAAGAGGACTTGAGCACAAACCAGTCTTACAATAACTACATTTCAACATCACAAGCAGCGGGGAGAAAAATTTATGTTCTGTGTAATAAATTTGTAAAGTTTGTCCACAGCCCCCTAAACTATGCTGGCAGGGGCGGGATTAATGAGCTATACTGCAGCCCGTCACTAGAGGGTGCTGTTCACGGAATGGCTTCACCCAGTGAGGAGGCAGACGGTGTCCATTCCGTATACAGTCTATGGTTATAAGGCACTAGAAATAGTTATAATACACAGTAATTCATGAGGAGCCATAACAAAGTTCCTCTTACAGATCATTGTATTCTACCTCTTAGTATAAAGTGTAAAAGACTTGAAGTACTTGGCTGTGAAACCCTTTACTTTGCTCGGGTGCGAACAAATATCTCACAGTCAACTCGTGCATTCAGCAAATGTTTCCTTTTGAACTGGTTTTCTTTGTCAATCACTCAAGTCAAAGCAGAAATAGCCTGATTGAATTCCAGGTTGTAACAGTGTTCGAGGCAGAGAGAACAAGTACGATGACTTCTATACAAACACAACCGACTGATTTACACTGTGAGGTCCTTATTACTGTCTGCATCACTCTGTGAAGAGTGAAAGGGCAAAGCTGCCTCTTTATCAATATGTTGATCTTTGCAAAAGGCTGCGCGAGATTAAAAGTCAACAGTCCTATTTAAATCTCCTTCAAAATGTAAATCCCAAAGGGGCCTGACTGGCTGATCTCTTTTGAATAACTTGGAACTGAAATGTAGTCAGTGTTGAACCTAAATAAAAAAAAACTGGCAGAAGATCCTTCTGAGAGTAATCACAATGAGGTTACTGTAGAGAACTCACTGAAATTAAACAAGACGTCTCACAGCACAGGCAGTTTCCCAGAAAAAGGATTATTTGGAGACAGATATTTTCCTTTGAGAGCTCAATCTTCATTTGCAGCCCAGAAATACTCTACCTCAGGGAGAATATGGATCTACAGCCTCTTAAAAAACAAGCGTCAAGCTTCTGCATTAGAGCCGTTTCATTGTGAACGGTTCAGTTTGATGGACTGTAACTGAGTGTGCAAGAAAAGCTCTTTGACTTCGCTGGTATTGCTGCAATCTGTCACACTTAGAAGCTTGTGTGGTGCCATTTGGCTAGTGTGAATTTGGTAGCGCTCAGTGTGAGGAACACAATCCGACCTGTGCCGAGCGCGATATCTGACCTTGCATTTAAAATCTTAAATTAGTTCCAGCAGATCACATCACCCTCGGCGTATGTTTCTACTTAAGAACCTGCAAACTACTCGTCTGGGAAGAGCTGGATTTTTTTTTTTTTAACAGGAACATTTCAAGATCAAATGTGCAGATTTGTACAGAATTACGTGTTGAAAACTCTCTATTTAGGACATTTACAGCAGTGAATACAACTCATTCATCCATTTCACACGAACAGCACAGAGCCGCTGCTGTTGAAGGCCATTTTAAATAGACAGCACTCTGAAAGCACATGAATGATAATTTGCAGCTTTTGCTCGTAAAATCAGGAGTAAATCATCAACCAAAGAGCTTCAGAGGAGCAACGACCGTGCACAAAAGCATTCAGAATTTATTGCCCCCACCGCCGCCCCCCTCACTCCCCGGTGGTGACCTCAGCTTGCCACTTCAGCACTGCAGAGAAACTGGAGGCTGCAGTGAGCTGACTTATCTAATGGCACAGGAATGCTGGCTGGCAGCTTCCGTCCCTCAGAGCATTTTATTAGCTTAGGAAACCTCTCTTGCTCACCCCATTTTCCCCTCTCTCCTTCACCCTCACCCTCACCCTCATTTCCTCCTTTCAATGGTATAACCATCCCCAGCTTACAATCTTTTTCCCTCCCACACACACTGTACACAAGTCACAGTTCGGAGCTCATTTTTCTCTCACTGCCTCTGGCATAAAGTAGCAAGTGTATGAGGCATTTATATCTGTTTACAGGAACCTGCTGACTCTCGGCCACAAGTCTCTTCCTTCACCCTATGGCCTGAAAACACAAGTGCTTCGGTCAAGGTTGGACCCAGCTGAATTTGTGAGTGTGCGCAGGTCAGCGCGAAAGGAGGAGGGGGGTTTCTCCAGTTCACATTTCTGTCACATTAAAAGAACACAGACCTTTCCTAAGACGCCTTCAACAGCCCGACCCCCTCTGCTCTCCAAACACTCACACACAAAATGGCTCTGGCAGCTGGTTGTGGCAGGATGTAAATCAAGGCAAGGCGAATGAATGAGCAGCCTTTCATGACGTGCAGGATATGGTCATCCCTGTTTTCTACAGCCTGGGGTTAGAAACTGTACCATGAGTAGCTACAAGTCTTTAATTATATCAAATGAGTGTTTGAGTGTCTCCTTTTTCATTTGCTTTGATGAAGGTGATGCATGTGGAGAAACATTTCACAAAAAGCTGTGCAATACACGGACTCATTTGTTTTGTAAGATTTGCAAGGATAAAAGTCTAAATTTTCTTTGTAACATCCCCTCCTCCACCACTCCCCCTCCTCTGGGCTCCAATTGTTGGCCCCCTTTTCCCTTCCCCTCTCTTTCTGCAGAGACAAATACACAATAACAACAACAACAACACCAACAATGACAACATAGCTGCTAGCATGAGCAAAGGGTGTATTTTGGAAAAAGGCTTATTAGTCACCTCGAACAGACCAAAGTGTTTAGAGTCATCATGTCTGTGTCATTTTAATTTTCAGGAGAAGAAGAAAATCATATAAGTCAAGTTTTCGGTAGAAAAAAATCGGAGGTCTTATTTTTAGATCTTATCGCTCAGCCCTAATTTATTTAGAGAGGACAGCAGACAGAGCAGGAAACAGGAAGAGAGAGTTGGGAGTGCCAAAGGCTGGAACCAAACCTGGGAAGCTTGTTTGTGGCATAACCTCCCAATTTAAGGTGCACATAGACAGCTGCACCAGCAACACGCCATAAAAATAAAATGTAATAAAATAATTTAAAAAAAACTGTCTTGACCTACTTCTATTCGGCAAAAAGAGGTGTTTATGTATCAAGATTTCTGCTTTTTTTTTTTAAATGCAGTTGAATTATTCAAACAAATGTATATATTTCATGTCAAGGAGCAAGAGCAACATTTCTGTAACTTCAGGTAAAGTTCAGACGTTTTTGTTCTAAATTTCTAACTGAAACAGAAACAGAAATTCTAACTGAAGTTGACACTGATCTTTAGTAAAAAAAGCCGATGACTCAGCACATTGAGACTTTTGGATTTCAGTAATCCAATCCCACAGATTACTCAAAGTCAGTCAAGCTGAATAAGGAGTATCTCAGAGACCATCTCTGAGCACCTGCAAAGGTTTCTCGTGCTTTTACATGGCCAGGGTCAGACCTTTGGCTCTCTTATCAAGGACTTTCACAATCTTGTTCTGAAGAAATTCCACGAGGAGTTTGAGCTGAGTGATACAAATCACCGGCCCGCTGGAACATCAATCCTTGCCACAAGCTGAATTTTCCTGCATTTTTCCGAAATACTTGTCTCTGACTGCTGCCAAGAAAACTCAACCTGCAGAGTGGAGTAGAAAACGCTGGATTTAAAAATGCAAACCCATACGACAGGCTTCGAGAACAAGTGCGCGGTTCAGTATGAATAAAACTGATTGAAGGGCTGGAAGTACTTAATGTGATACCAAGAGCAGAAGTTGGCTGAAAACCTCAATTATTAAGAGCTCTATGACATTTAATTAGTGCATGAGGCTTGAACATACAGAGGAGTTTCTCACACGTAGAAAGGGCAGCCGTAAGAAATGTCATACAGCCGTAGAAAAATGTGTTAGACATAACCACTGCTAATAGACTACACCAACAAATATGCTACAGAAACCCCAGTGAAACTTATTACAGGCCAACAGCTCAATTTTCACTTCATCAGTTTCTTTGCCTGAAGCTCAGAGACTTTGCTGCGCCTTTCTGCAGACTCTATGCCGGTCTGGATAAGATTGGAGTCCTTCTCTCTCTCTCTCTTTCTCTCCCCCTTCCACCCACATCCAAGCCAAAGAAACTCTGTAATCCTGTCAAGAGTGGTCCTTGGCTTCTGGGTCACCTCAGATCTCTGCCTCTGCAATACTTTCAGTGAATGCTAATAAAGTACTTCTTTGGACGCTATGTGGGACATCTCAAGGACATGCAGAGGAATTTGGATGCATCTTATCTCCAAAGGGAATGGCGCGAAAGAAGAAGAAAAAAAAAACACACCAGACGTGGATACTAACTCAGACTGTTGAAGCGCTTCATGTTTAATTAATTTGTTGGAAAAAGGCAAGGAAAAACTTGTGCTGTTAAAAGGCTTTCAGAGTGTGTATGTATGCAGCAGCGAAACCGAATATGACAGAATGAGTTAGCTCAGGCGCAAGTGAGAGGCTTTTTATTGCATCAGAGTTCAGAAATCCAGACTCCAGGCCACATAGTTTAACTAGTGTGAGCCTGAAATACAAAAAAAGAAAAAATGACAGATATTTGGAAATCATATGACATCTTTACTGCAGTGCTGTCATTTCTACTTCATTTTGTAAATTGCACTGATTTGTTTCAAAAACAGTTTCTGCACAACACTTACAATGTGGAATACAACAATCTGCCATCGCGAGTAGATTTATTTCTTATCAATAAAGTTAATGAGCTTTAACAAACATCTTCATCATAACTGTCTTATTACTGGTTTGGCTGTTTGTGTAAAATATGACTAAATCGTTACAATAAGAAGCCACAGCACTTTTTTCTGGAGTTTATGAAAACCTGCACCATCAATTTTATGTCGAGGAGGATATTTGACAATGCAATGTTTTTTTTTACCAAAAATCGCGTTGCCTGTGTTATTTACAAGGGTTTTTCTTCTGCAGAGCTCCAGTAGATCATTTGCAATTCGCCTCTGAGTCGTGGGTGGAGACAGCGCTGCTCTCCACACTCCTCTTCATGCTAGCTTGCAGCCTAACATTGCTTGTGCAGCAGAAGTGGCAGGTAACATTGGAGCTATTTGGCTCTTGCACACTTATGTCTTTAGGGACACGATGAAAGTTCATATCATAATTAGATTTTTTACAAGCATTGCAATCCGCTAATGCACATGCTTGTTCCGTGATCATCCTCTGTATTTCCCCTCTATAAGCAGAGTGTAGCCTGCATAGCGGGGCTCTGGGGGCGCAGCTTGGATTGGTTACATATGAACTCTCACAGTTTCTGAACGTGCTGTTTGGGTCTGCCAGAGATTCACAACGATTTGAATGAAGAAATACTCAGAAAAGCAATTTCGCATTTAGTTTCTCATGATATGTCCTGTAGCATCAGAAAAAAGCCCTATGAACATATAAAAAACAAGAAAAACATGATTTTCATTGGAGCGGGTCTTTGAGAATATCTTCAAATGTGTTGAGTCCAGTTCTTAGTATACACAGAGTACACTATATAAACTCTAATGCAAACAGTCTGAAAACTTCACTCTCTTATTTACACCTGAGTCAATCACCTGGAGCCTTGAGCACAAGCTAAACCTACACACTAAATATTTACCAAATTATGTCTCTACAGAAACAACAGTTTAGACGCACATTTAGGCTCCGACAGGATCTCATGAATATCTTGGCATTATCAAGTACGCTCAGGGGCCCGCCGATTACGATCAAATCCTAATGCTGAACTGGGTCAGCATGCTAAACAGTAAATGAACTGTGTTTACACGCCACATTCATCCATGCTCACCACATTCATACACTCATGGCAGAGGTTACCATGACTACACCTCTGATACAGCCTCCAGGGCTTTCCTGCATAAGGACACTTTGGGAAACGCAGACCTCGATACACGGGATCGAACCCTTAACCTCCCAATCGAGAGACAACGCACTCTACCTCTGAACTACCCTAACATGATTTACCAGACAGGTTGAGTTCAAGCTCAACACAAGCGTTACCATGGATACTATCCTGTAGATGTCCTAAAAGTCTCTACACTTCACCAAGCTACTTCCAACTTTAGTTTTGAACTAAATATGTTCCAACGTATATCGATGAGTCACAGTTACCATCTTTCTTATTACTCCAGTAACCTCAGCCTTCTGCAAAGACGGTGAAATCCAGATTATTTGTTCGGCCATAATCCGAACACTTTCATCACAGAAAACATTTCAAAGCTGCTGGGACAAAGGTCTCAACACCAAGGCTGTCCAAACATGGAAAGGCCTTGACAAAACAACCCAAACAAACGCCCTGGTAGGAGAAAACAAACAGGGCCGTCTTTCCATGCACGGTCATTTGTTTGCGCACGGGGAGTTACATATCAGTGTTTGCATGATCTCCTTCTTCACTCTCTAGATTTGTTTCTTGGGGAGAAAGCAGACTGATTCGGCTCCCTTCCCCCCTGTCCTTCCCCTTTGTGTCAGCCTTATTAGGGTCACTCATGACAGCTGAGTGAAGCCCACATTACTGAGAGGAATTGGCCTGTAATTTTACCACTCATTTCCTTTTCAATGCTGCCCAAACAACAAATGGCAGGCCTCCTTGCGCTGCCAACTCCGCCGCGTACTTGTATAGGATTACTTGAACAAGAGGGTAATGCGAGGGGACAAATTAAGTCAGGAGGAGGTTGTCTGCTGCATGGGTGAGTGCCCCCTCTGGCCCCTAAAACTCCTCTCCTCCTCCTCCCCCCTCCTTAACACATTTCATTAGGTTGCTGCAGGACCAAAATATATCAGGTCCTCTGGTAGTCCTGCTGCTGGTGGGGGTCACGGGTTCACCGGTTGACCTCTGCTCCGCTTCAACTCAAGAGGAATTCAGCGGGGTTAATGGCATTTTCACTGACTGACCTTGTCAAAACGCTTTTGTTATGTTTGAAAATAGGAGATCACTTGTGTGGAATGATCGGGTGTGACATTAGTTAACTGTTCTCACAAATATCAAATTAAACCCCTCTCATTTGTTTCAAATATGTCAAAAGAATTTCCAGATTTAAGGAAAACACGGTGTGAACCATCGCTGCAACTCCCCGCGCACAAGCTCAGAAACTCCAGTAATTATTGACAGATTCAACAACCCTACTCTAACTCAGCAAGTCCTTTCCTCATCCATTTTCCCTGCGCTGAGAGCACCTCTCATCAAGGTTGCATGTAGACGAGAAAGTGAGAACAATGAGAAAAATAGTGTCAGTATTCATTACGCGGAGAAGATAAAAGATAGCCGGGTGCTGCCAGGAGCAATAACTGTAACGTTGATAAATGAAGCGTTTGAGCATTCAAGTGTCTGAGCATGTTTCCAGCAGTCCATTTTAAGGGTGTTTCTCCACTCGTGGTGCATGAAATGAAGCCGAGCTTGTCCGGGTTTGTCAGCATCAGAATACAAAGTCCTGAGATCGACCTTATCTTTGAATCCAGAGCAGACAAGCATTTAGGACAAATTGAGAGAGGCACTTACAGCACTGGAACTTGGAGGTCTTTTTAAATTGGTGTTGTATTGGGTTACAAATACTTAATGTCATGATTTATGGACCGATCATACATTTGATGTTTCACCTATACAGGTTCAGCAGCCTGCTTAGTATCTGTGCCTACACACACAGATATTGAGTAGGGATGCACGATATTTATCGGACCGATAAAATATCGGCCGATTTGGGGGGAAATTACGTCATTTTTTATCGGTCCGATAGGTGCATTTTTCCGATAGAAAGATCCGATATATTAATGAAATTACGAGTAACGTTTGCAGGCGGAGTAGCCGCCCGTCCGAGACGCGCTGGTTAAGTCATCTATCGCGCCTTACTCGCAGGTCCCAAGCCTGACCCCGTCACTGCCTGACAGATAATAAAATGTCTTCACCAGCATGGTCTTTTCTCTCAGTGGCAGAAGATGACAACAGCATTGCTATATGCAAAACCTGTTCAGCGAGGATTCCAAGAGGAGGAAAGAAGACGTCAAGTTTTAACACAACGAATCTGATAGCTCATCTGAAAAGTCGCCATCGCGGCGAAGCGGTATTAAAAGAATATGAGACAGCCGCCGAAGCTGCTAGCGGTACTAAAGCTAAGACAACAACACTACGGAGGATCGATGTCCCCATTCAGCAGGTGTTGAAAAACTGCAAAAGCTTCTCAAGAGACAGCGAAAAGGCTAAAGCCATTAACGACAAAGTGATGGAGTTCATAGCGGTCGACGACCAGCCTTTTTCTGTCGTTGAGAACCCGGGTTTTCGTAAGTTAATAGCACACTTGGAGCCACGTTACACTCTCCCAAGCCGCCGCTTCTTCTCGGATGTGTCTCTTCCTGCACTCTATGATATTGTCGCCACATACATTCACAACCTGATCGACAAGAACGGACTACACGTGAGTTTTACCACAGACATATGGACGTCAGATGTTAGTCCGGTCAGCATGCTAAGCCCAACGGCTCATAATGGCTCCTTTACAGTTTACAGTTCTGTTGAACAGTTCAGGGGATCAAATGAAGTTCTGCTTTTTGCTCTGTTATTGTCATTTATAGCAAATGACCATATTTGAAGAGCCAAAAACTTTTGTTTGTTGTTCTAGATAGGCCAGAGCAACAAAAACATCAGTTTTCAATCGCTGCATCCTGCACAAACTGCAGACTATATGAAGATTATAATAAATGTAAAAATATGAATTTATCGGTTATCGGTATCGGTATCGGCCATGAGAAGAAGAAAATTATCGGTTATCGGTATCGGTTGAAATTTTTCATATCGTGCATCACTAATATTGAGGCATTGCTAAAGCTGCTTTTCTGTTTTCTTACAGAGACTAAATAAACCTTTGCTGCAGGCCAACTAATCTGTACAGCCCTTTCGAAGCAAACTTGGTTCACAAAAATAAAAATAAGTGCTAATCAATACAACACACAAATAAAGAAAAGAAATCCAAGGCTTGTTTATGAAATGCAGCTCCACCATTGGTCGTGGCAGATGGTTTTATTTCATATTTCAGAGCCTTTGAAGGAGCTCTATCTGGAAAGTTCAGGCTGCATTCCGGTTCAGAGGAGGTAAAAGTGCAAAGTCACTCTCTCTGACAAGAATAACAGCCTGTGAGAAGGTCAATTCTCTCATAGCACCGAGAGGCAGAGGAAGGCAGCATTAGTATGCTCTCCACACAGTCACAACATTATCAGCCGCATGCAGCAGTTTCTGCCTCCACAAAATAAAAAATAAAAAAATCTCTGTACATGTTTACTCTCAGAGTGATAGAATCAAAAAACACGAGGAACAGATGTAACAACCAGAACAGAAATATCTGACGTCTCTACTGACTCTGCATGCATCTTTTACTGGAAATAATTTGTATTCAGGATAGAAACGGTGTACTTAAATGTCATCAGGGTAAATCTACAATCTCTTTGTAAAAACAGGCCCTCTGGTGTTTTTCCCTGAGAGGAGATTGAGCTGAGATTAAGACACAGGTCTGCCAAAGGCACATTACTCAAGCGCTCGTTGACGTGTGTATAGCAAACATGATATCTTATGACAACCACTGGCAAAGCCTACAATTCCTCTGGGCAGGAGATTTACGTTTCATGACCATTTAAGTGCTTGAAAAAACTGCAGTCGACTGCCAATATGAATAAGAGCTGAGCCTCCCTTCAGAGACTTGGGTTAAGTCAGGCGCCATTTTGGTCACACCACCCTTGGCCTTAATTTGTAACTAACAAGACAGGCATCCTCCCTCAAAGAATGAGGAGTTATCTATATCCTGAGTTTATTGCAGAGTATCATTTTAACCACATATTAAGGATTTAGCCAAATTCCTTACATGGGAGTGTTCATTTTTGTGCCTGGAAATTGCTCACTTCCACTCTTGCATAGTAAACACTGATGAGAGCTCAGATTGGCTTCTAGGTTAGGAGGTGGAGCTGCCCCTGAAAATCCAACCTCCTGTCCATCAAGAAGCTGCAAACTAAGTTACTGCAGACTGCCAGATATCCACAACACATACTGTACAACTCTTTTTCTTCTATTTGAAGCTAAGCACTCTTGTTGCGTATGTTAGCAACATATTCACACCGTTTTTAAGCAGTCATATGAAGCATGAGCTAGCTAAAAACCACCTACAGGTTAACTGTTGCCAATTAAAAGGGGGATAAATGTAAAGGGAATATTTTGGATCCAGAGGAAACTTATTGCAAACACTGGTATTATACAAAGACACATTAAATCAGAGTTACACAGGGCTCGACAGTGCAACCATTTCACTTGCAGTTGCGACAAAAAATAGATGTGTGTGAATTTTAAAATGTATTTCGGGGCACATAAAAAAAATCAGCTGAGGCAACAAATGTAGATACTGTGATAAAGTTACTACTCGGCACCCTCAATGTCAATGGTGTTGAATAAGGGACCATCAATAAATTACTGGTTGATGTTCTTAAAAAAGGCTGTTTTCCTTTAATAGCTTCTATGTCATGTGACCAATTGACCTAAAATTGATTTCAAATAATAGTACTTATGTTGACCAATAAGACAAAAATTATTTGATCAATTTTCATTGTGCCTCTTAAGTTCTTAGTGTGCTAAAATGCACTTTCACATTTTTGTACATTCATCATGCTTTTTATTGTTTTTGGACAATGACATCGCTCATGTTGCATATTTAGCCATATTGTGTAAGCCCAATCTGCATTTAACAGAGTTTGGCAGTTTCTCATGGCTGTGCATCCTTTCCATGCCTTATTTTGTTACTTCTGCAAACAGTGACCAGATAAGTGAGAGATTAGGTAAAGTGAATATTTTAATCTTATTCTCTTACTCTTATTTTGTGTACTGTTGCATATTTTTCTTAGTTATGAGCAAGCAGCAACCTTCAATCTTGGGAAAGATGCCCTTGTCCAAGTGCTAAAAAGTGCAGTTCCTTGAGTGTCCTCTTGGAGCTGGCAGCAAGAGCACCAGAAACCACATACTGTACACACCCTTTTAAAAAAGCAGAAATCAACATGTTTACAGCCTGTTGCAAAAACAACTTTGGTTTGGATGGTTAATTTTCTTGCACACACTGCACAGAGGGTGATTTTCTTTATCGCTCATTAGCCTCGAGGATACCAAGGTTGCGAGTTTTGCATTATCAGGGGTATGGCTGACTTGACTGATGGCAGGCACACTGTAGCTGTTAGCGAAGAGGCCAAAGGCCCCCCTCATCCCACATTTAGAGTCATTACTGTGTTTGCTCTCAGCATTGTTGTTAACAGGGGGCTTGCTTGGTGCGTGGGATTGTACATTTTAAAGGCTCATTACCATGTTTATTTCCCTGTAGCACAGCCAAGTGTTGACAATGTTACATCATTTTTCAGACCTGGGCTCAAACCACTGTCCAATATCCAAAATATAAATACTCAAATTTCAATATTGATGTCATTAATATGCAAATGTTCATTGAGTGGAGAAATCTTTGGTAGGATCAGCTTATTAAACAGTAAACATGTCAAAGCAGCTTTCTAATGAAAACGCACAAAGACGCTCATCACTGCTTTTGTTCTCTTCCTTTTTCAGTATATCCGTCCTCTGCTGTTAACAGAGGTTGGTCTTCTGTGATTGATTTCTCACTCCATCTTCTTCCTGCTCATTGGCCTGGCAGAGGACTACAGGCCTCCCGAGAACGCTCTCTCTTATTTCAAGGACAGTTTCTATAGCGAGTTCACAGAGAGCAGCCACCGCTCGCCTTTGTAAAAACATTTCAACGAGGCCACTGACAGGTGGTCTTCAAAAGAGCAAGGAAGCGTAGCTGGCGAGTGAGCTACAGAGCCGAGTGCTCCTTTCATACAATATTCCCCTTCACAACTGGCTGACAGGGTTTGAGAAAGAGAGCAAAAAAAAAGGAAGACGTCTGGCCTCAGATGTTTACACAGGAATATCTGTTTCACACTGACTTTTCTTCAAGCAGATTTTCGCTGCTGTTGTTGAGTCGATGATCGCGCTGCTACGATGATGTAATGTGTGCTGCATAAATAATCCATGAGACAAACATTTTATCACAAACAGCCTGTATTATTTATCTATTAGGGAGCTTAAGAAGCTGAGGTCTTGCCTGGGGAATAGCCCGCTGTGGACTGGAGGGCCGATGTGTTGTGTGTGTGTGTGTGTGTGTGTGTGAGTGAGTGTCGGGCTGCAGGGGGAGGGGTGTGTGCGTGCACTGGCATGGAGCTGCAGTGTTTGGCCAAAGGGGCCCCCTCTGTGTTCCCTCTCTACCCCGGAGCAGGAGCCAAGGCGTTCTGGGCTGCGTTTCAAGAGCAATAAACTTCTCCAGCATTTTAGAGATGACATTTGGAGGTATCAGCATGCTAAGCCTGGGAGGAGTTGGCCCGTTGCTCTGCCGACACGACCCTGAGAGCTGCCACTGCCTCGACTACGCTGAGGGGATTTGTGTCAGTGCTGGGCCTTAAAATACCGACGCTCTGCCCCCCCCACACCCTTCCTGCTGCCTTCGTTCCAGTCGCCCCCAGACTGACTGAGTGACACAAGTGAACTTTTCCCTGGACATTTCTCCAACAATGGGCCAAGTTCATAAAACTGCAGGTTTTATGTTGAATGGGCTATTTTGTACTCAAAGCGATCCACAAATTCATTCAAGTCGCAGCTTCAAAAACCGTGTCAGAACTCTGCGATACAGTCTGCTGGTACAGCTAGCTCATATTCATTTTCACTGGCAGGTGGGTCTTGAACCGACGTCAATGTTTCCCATCAATGGGCATACAAGCTTTCTATCAACTGATGACAGCCAAATTAGATGATGTGTACTCTTCAAATACAAAAACTTAAATCTCACCGAGGGAATTTGTCTCATTTATAGATAAATATCTCATTGCACTCAGCATAAGCTACATTAACCTGACAGGTCCAAATTTAAATCTCTTCTCAGGCAAAACAAACCTCTGCACAGCCCGTCGTGACTTGAGTGGGTAGAGAGCATCAAAGTGCTCTGAGTGGTTGAAGAGACAAGAAGAAGTACTATCGAAGTACAGTCTATTAGCTCTTAAACCATCAATTTGAAGCACAAAAATATTGAGAGGCACCAATTTATGATGGGTGTTTATAGGACTGTGCCGTGTAGTAACATAACTTTATCAACAAACTGACTGCTGCAAACAGTGCGACGGCTCTTTTTTGTTTTTATTATTTTGAATATAGATTGCTTTTTTAAAGGCGAATGCAAAACAATTTCAGGTCATGAAGGATCAAGTTTTTACCACTTTCCTGATTCGGCTGAACGGTCTGCTGTACCAGACTTAAATTACAAAAGGATGAAAAACGCATACGTCCTCATCAGAGGAGATTGTTGCCGGCGCTGACCAAAGGTGCAGCTCCTGTGATCGCGCTTTTGTTTGTTGTCGTCTGCTTCCTCCTCATCTGTTTCTTTCCGTGGCGCTTGGTGAGTCGTCTGAGGCTGAGACAATTACTGAGAGCCTGTTGTTCATTTACTCCCACAAGGCCGAAAGGCGGAGGTGATGAAGCAGCTGTTGGTTGGCATGCTAAATGAAAGGAGCGCACACACGGTGCATGCCTAAACAGCTCTGTATGAGACTTGTCATGCAGAGAAGTGTGGGGGGTGGAGGAGTGGGGGGGGACTGCTCAACTTCACTGCTAATCAGGATGCCTCTGCAATGTCTTGGGGGCCTCTGTTTGTTGCTCTTCTCTGGTGCTCTGCCTGGTTTTGCTTGATTTCCTCATTTGGTTCTCATTTGCTCGGTTGCCCCCACAATGAGAGGAGACGGCTTTCATGGGTCTCTCAGGGAAAAACAGCAGAATGGCCATGCAGTTTGAAGTGAAGCAGCATCTGGGTCTCTCTCATTTTAAAACTAGCCGGTGGGTTGTTATGGGCTCATTCCATTAAAATGATGAAGGAGGAATACGCATCTTTGTGTTGCTTAATGTTGCGAGCGAAGCGTAATACAATGGAGGCTATTGAGAGAGGCTTCCTTGGGATTCAATCTCAGCTTTAAACCGACAATCACGGAGATATCTGGCAGAGGCTCAGGAACAGCACACATCTCAGCCCTCCGCAAACAAAAGCTGATTTTGTCGGTGATGAAAAAGCTGTGGCGTTGGACGACTCAAGGCCACCTCATAGTTGCAGTTATCGAATTCATCTCTTCATCCGTCGTCACATTTTTCTGCCCCGACTGTCTGCCTGATAGAGGTTTTGTCTGAGATAAGAAAAACAGGCTTCAAAGAGAGCAGAGGGGGATGTTTTCTGTCCTCGCAGCACTGATGGCCATAACAACCTGTGTGCTACACCTGCATGCCCCCCCCTCCACTTCCTCCGCATACCCATTTCACAACCACTCAAAATCTTCCTGCACCCTCCCTACTGCGCCAGATAGAGTAGAATCAGGAGAAAACACGGCTCCATCAGGCCAAACCACCACCTTTTCAGCCAAAATAGCAGCTTTGAGGAGGAGAGAGAGTGCAGGCAAAGGACAGACTTGGATCGGGGGAAAGGAAAGGGGGCAAGGCGAGGGGGAGGGTCAATCGCTCTGTGGGAGGCAGAGAATGAGGGAGCACAAACATAGTACTGGTGTTGGCTCCGAGCCATGTTTGTGTCACTAACAGAAGTAGCCTTGTCTTCACCCCCCCCACCCACCTCCTCCTGGCCCAAAAGCCCCCCTGCCTCGCACTCGCTCTCTCCCAGTTTGCTTGGAAACAGAGTCAAGGGGCGACCGGCTGGATGCTTGGAAACAGAAAAGAGTCGCGATAGAGAGGAGGACAGGGGTGAATCAGACGAAGCCCAAGGCTGGTGCAAAAATCAAAAAAAGGAGGAGGGGAGGAGGGCAGCACTCAATAGCGGGGACGTTGCTTTGGGAATGTTGATGAGGCAGGGACCTTTTTCTGCTCCGTTCCTCTGAGTGAAACCAACAAGCAGCACTGTGGCTGTGTGGGCGATTTGTACTCAGCATGCCCGCAGAGAAAGTGAGCGCGAGCTGCTTTGAAGATTAGGTGTTTGCAGTATTTCACATGCAGGACAGAAAAAAAAAAGAGGGCAGTTTTTCAGACCGAGCACAGCCCGACAGTGCCAGTGATACATCTTAAAATTAAATGAGCTGAATGCGGTTTCCATCAAAGACACGAAAACTGTGGACGTCTAAGATTTCACTCGGACTGCAGAGCAGGAGAGAAGCCAACTCTATTCCCGACTGGCATGCTTGCGAAAAAGTGCTTTGTGTTATGAGGCATGTTGTTTTGGAGCAGATATCTCTGTGCAACAAACTCCCCGTCTGCACTCGAGCAAGCAAAAAACTAAATCAAGGCCACCTAAGAACTGCCTGCCAACTACTATTCTAGTTGGCAGTATTATGCTGCATGTGGACTGATAAAGTAAGAATTAGTACCAAACACAAGCTCCTGAGGCAGTCGGGGCAAATCTAATTACATTTTAGCGACCACAACATGTATGGTAATGACGGCGAAAAGGTCAGTTTTTAAATAGCAGGGAGACTCCACAAACAAGCACCTCTTGGATGTTATATGTTAATAAAAGCACAAAATAAACTGCCCAATATGTTTGTAGAGTCTCATATGCCAAACTCTGAATAGAGCAGGCGGAGAAATTCAGACAAGAATTGTTATTTATTTGCTGCTCAGAATTTGGAGATAAAATGGTTTCCATTCAGTTTTTTACTGAAGTGATGGTTTCTCCTCCCACACGGGGCTAATGACAGAAGTTGAAACATTTACTAAAGCCGAAAACATACAGGATCCATATTGAGCGCGTTCCGTATTTGCTCCATAGAGCAGCGCTGTCTATCGCATACAGGATATGTATTTGGAGCGTAGCAGCAGTGTATTGCAGCCATGGTTCTGTGGTCTATTTCCTGCTAATTTAAATATAATTTAGTGACCGTTGAACCTCTACTATATGTGGAAAAGAAACATGATTTTACAGTTTTGGTTTTTGCAATTATACTCATGTTTAGTAAAGTAAACTATGTTCCTTTATGCTGTTACCTTCAGACAGAGTTAGCAGTTTACAGTCCTGTTGGGGTCCACATGGATCAGGGATTGACCATCAGATCGTTCTGTGTTACTGATAAATAAATAAATCCATAACCAGGGAGTATTTCTCATCTACACGAACTGATACACAGTTGGGAATTCGCATATGGTGTCTTATTTTGAAAATACTGGATGACATGCACGGTTTTCATGTTTGACATCCTGTCTACAACAATCTTCTCTGTGTGGATTGACGCGCATAGGAAGTGTAGAGCATCAAAAATAGACTCGCCATGTATCTTTAGCAGTGCTACTCTCGATATGATGCTGCTGCTCTACGGGGCTGATACGCATCCTGTATGCAATGCTGCATTGATTAGAATGGCAACTTATTTGCTGCGTGATACACAATGCTGCTGATATGCACTAAATACAGATCCTGTGTATTTTAGCATCAAGTACCCGTAAACCAGAGCAGAGCGCACAGGACGTTTTGTCATCGTCTTGTTTGCAGAACCAAAGAGTCACTGGTGAATATTTATCATCATGGTTTTCACTGGCCTAATCAAAAGGAGGGAAGGCCTTTTCAATCTAAAGACTCAAACTCTAAACCACTGGATTAAGTTAACTCTGGATGTAGGGTTTACTACAAAGCTCTTATCGGGGATGTAAGCCTGGTTATGTGATACAATCATGATATCCAAAACACAGTCAACAAACCGCCGCTCTTACCGTCTTCAGTTTCCTGCCATACGATGCCCTCCAGGTTGACACTGGTGCCGGGCTCGCAGGGTCCCAAACACTCAGGCTCAGTCGCCAGGGCTACATCAGACGTGTTCACCGCCACTGAGCGTGTGCGCACCATTATCTGCTCACACGGCGAGGAAATCTCACTGTTGCCTACTGTGGCCAGGAGGTGGAGAGGAGGAGGGGCTGGCGTGGAGACAGGAGACTCCATCTGTGGAGGGAGAAGAGAGAAACACATGAGACACACCAGGAACATCGTAGGAACACACAGAGAGCAGATGTGAGGATACGGCCTCGGGATCACCCCGGTAAAGGTTGTAAACAAAGTGCTGACCAAAGAGAAATCAGCCTGGTGTATCAGTTCCTTCAATAACTATCCTAATCAGTAAAGTAGTGATGCAGCACTTAATGCTGTAATAAACCGTGCCTTTCCTCAACCTTAGAGGTGATTAGCAGGAAGAAACTGCAGGGAGGGACGTGTGAACTGCCTTTGTGGAAGGACAGAATTAGTTATGCAGGGTTGGTCAAACATCCCTCCCCCAGCTTCCCTCCAGAGCAAGATCCGTGACACCAAATCATCTCACAGGCTGATCGCTCATTAATTCCCTCAATTAAAGAGCTGGTTGTGGTATGGGAGCGGGCTGCTGAGGGTCAGTAATTGATTCCACCTGTTCTGATACACTGTGACAGCAATGGAGAGACAGTCGGCCGACATGGAAAATGAAAAGAGCAGGAAGGGGAGGGCGACGAGGAGAGAGCAACTGAGGAGAGGAAGAAGCGGTGGAAGGAAGGAAACTGCGAAAGTGGAAAAAAAGGGAATGAGAGAAGAAGAGTGATGGTGATTTAAGGGCCACAGTGACACCAGGCTTAGTGCTCGTCATTCAAGGCAGTCGACATTAAAGCGCTCCAAATCATTAGCGCTGAGCTGCGGGAGGAATGCCGCGCTGCAGCCAACAGCACACAGTCATTAATTGGGAATAAAGCGCTTGGTGCTCGGGAATATGCTGCCAATGCTGGATCCAATTAGCACCCGAATACAATAACAATTGACACTTTGGATTATATGCCTGTACACCCTGTAAAAATGTTTACCAACCTAACACTCAAAACGGAGCCTGACGTGCTAAATTCGAATAATCACCCTTGTTTTTCACTTCAGCTTCTATCTAACCTGACACGGACAGAAACGTTGGCTTTATTCGAACATTTGGTGGATCTGCAGGATTAGTAGAGCCTGGCAAATCTGCAGTGGTAGAGCCAACGGTTTTAGTTTTTCAGATATGCTCATTTTTATTGGTATCAGCTGGGTGCAAGTCCACTGTGTTCGTGTGCGAGAGGATTAGAGTCGGTACGTTTACATGCACAGTCAGGTCCAGCTCCAGTTCTGGCTTGATTAGGCGGTTTAACTGAACTGCTGTCCTTGTCTTTGGGGTCACATACTTGACTCTTAAGGAATAATGCTTTGCAGTACTATTTACCCTTTTTTTGTAGCTGAAGTCTCATAACCAATTAAATGAAATACAGATGATGAGCTTTCATACTTTTAATCAGTTTCTGTGTCTCTGAAGATGAACCTCCAGAACAGGCGATTCCATCTCTGTTCTGATTACACACAAAGGCAGAGGGAACAATACTTTCAATGGATTTTTAATAAAAGTTATTATCTGAGATAAATGGAAAATGATGCCATTGATCAGAACTCATAAAACAAATTATTTGAAAGCAATACGGCCATGAATTTTTCTGTGTGAGACATAACAGAGCACTGAATGAGAAATGTGAATCTGATCTGATGAACTGAGTGCTTTGAAAACCAAACATCATTCTCTGATGAAAGTTAATATTAGCTCAAGACTTGTCATCACAGAAGATTCATATTTCTTGGTTTACAAAAATGAGCACGGATGGTCCATTTCTGCCCGTGCTCAGAGGAAGAGCAAATTAATGTGTGCAGAGAGCGGCTGAGAGTCGGGCCTAACGACGTCCTAATCACAGTGTGTCAGTCACTGATGCATGACGTGACCAAGCTGCAGGCCGGCTGAGTGAATGAGACAGGACAGGTAATCACCCGAGCTGTCACCACACACTGTTCCCGGGCCTTATGGAGACACGGAGAGCCGCAGACGAGACCACACAACCGCACAACCCTCCATCAGAGTGACAGCACATGGTGAGAGGTGCAAACAGGTTCATTCAGGGCCCCTTCTAAATTGACTCCAACCCTCAAACTTGAAACTGTTTGTGTCAACATTTTGAAGGTACCGGTGACACGTTTAGGTTTCGACGATAACAGATGAAATCCAGAAATGAGCCATTTTTCCCAGGAGAAACTGTACGGATTGAGCAGCAGGAGCACAGAACTACATTCACATTTATATATTTGCTTCTTTTGTTTTGTCTCGCTGGTGGTGGATGGTTCTTTCCTCCTAAAACCAAGGACCCTGATGCAAGCCCTGTGCAATCTCAGTGAAATCTGTTGCATCTGAAATGGAGATATTAGCCAGTATAAAAGGGTGCATATGCGCTTTAAACTGCATCCTACTGGCCTGTTTGAAGACTGAATATGAAACGGTTGTGTGTGCAAATGTTTTTACTGTTTTGTTTCAGGCAGTCTCATGCACCATGTTTAAAGGTGCAGTAAAGAACTCTTGGTTTAGTGAAACTGCCCTCCAGAGCAGTGTATTTCACTTCCAGCTCTTGTATACGGTCACTGACTTGGTTAGTATTGTCTTCCAGGGAAGTCAGCCTTCGTTCATGTTCGGAGATGGTTGTTTGGACACTGTCCAGCTTAGCTTTGAGGGAAGTCAAGGCCAATTTAAACCCGGTGGAGAGGGCTGCTCTGTGTTCTTTTAGTAGTTTGGTCAGAGTGGCCATGCTAGCAGTTGCTAACTCGTCGTCTTTCTTTCTGTCTTTTCTGGCCGACTTTGATGCAATTTGATCTCCAGGTGGAAGTAGAGGTGACTTTAGCAAATAGATACGACAAATGCCGTGTGGCAAGTGAAATGTTTGTGTTAACTATTAAGATTCATTGAAATGTTGCAGGAGCTTATGCGCTGCACGTCTACTCCATTTGTGACCCAGAAGTCCCTCCTTGAACTTTTGGTTTGTTTTTGTTCTGGCATTAAAACTCACAACAAAGAAATGATCATTATTGTTGCTGATGGTCTTGTTTGCTTTTTAACATCTTCAAGAGGCATCAGTTTAAGTTCAGACTGTTTCTCAACCAGTGAAAAACTCCTTATAGTGCCTTTAACATCCACACTGTAAAGCTCCAAAGTGGGAACACCTGTAAGATGTTAACTTACAAGCAGAAATGCTCATTTTTGCATTTTTCAAGATGTGTCAACTCTGGATATTTGTACTTCCACTTTGCTTTTATCTACAGTTTATTGTCCTTTTCTCAATGATAAACATTATGTCTGTCTCTCCTCCGGTAACTTCCGTTTCCTGATGTTCCCTTGACAACTATACGAGACCTCGTTGCCAGTAAGACAACAAACATCTGATAACCAGATGAAGAGTTATAAAGTTTAATTTGATGGGAGGCCATAACGTTTTAGGGTGAAAAGTCAAGGCTGAGTGAAGTTCAAGGATTTCCTAAGTACTGCTGCTTGATCTGAATCGACCTCTTTGTTAGAAAAACCCTGACAGCTGGCGATTCCCAGAGCAACCCCACTCTACTTCTCCAAGTTTAATGGTTTCTATGAATCAGACACTGCTGATGAGTTCAACCTCGCCTGGATGTGCTCTGAGATCATTTCCTACCTCTTAAACCCTGTTTCCACTCGGGCTACAGGTCAGGGAAACCATTACACGTCAATACTCAAGAATGGATAGAAAAAACTGGTCTGATTTTCACCGCATGATGTGGCAAAATAATGAAGTCAGAACACAAATGGGACCAGCGTACTATGTGCATGAGCAGTGGGGATTTGTCTCCAACTTCCATCAATGGATGAGTGAACAAAAGGACTTTCACTGTGGGGCTGCAGAGTGGAAACCCACACAGGGAAAAGCCTGAAGTCTCATCCGGGGTTTCTAAAAAACTACACAGCTTGTCACATCACACAAGGCTCTACCCGACGCTCAGCCCATGCCAGATTCCTTGATTTCTCCACCCCCCTCCTTGCAAGACTTCACAAACAGATTCTGAAATCTCCCCCTTTAACCACAATGCTCGAGTGTCACGCAAGCCTTCCTTTAACTGAAACCCCATGCCAGCTCCTTCAGAAACAGCCACACGGGGAAGAAAAATGTTTAACTGACTGACGAAAATCCACATGGATCTTGGACTGGTGTCGAGCACGCCTCGCTGTTTCTGACAGAGGAGAAACTCTGCCTGGATTTCCAGTCATCAGACAATAACTCATCCCCGGCAGGCAGACGTATGTTCTACTTTTTACTGGACACATTAACTTCAGCTTTAACTTGTTTATTAGAGTTAGGATTAAGAAACCGAGCGCTGGGCTTGGGTGAGGATTACGAAGGGATTACACTGCAGTGTCGCACCGAGACACCTGTCCTGTCTTTTCTCAAGTGGCTGGTGTGAGGCTTGAATATAACTGACCAAAGTACACCCTGAATCTGAGGGGGTGTAAACACACTAGAGTCAGCAGTTCATGTGACTTGACTTTAAAAAGATTGAATGGATCGTCCTCTTTAAACAGCCTGCTGAAGTGGAGACATGAGGAAAGGTTTTCTGGTTTTTCATCTGGTCCAGAAGAGTTTGTTTACTGTGTTTTCCATTATCTCTGAAAACAAGCTCGTTAATCTACGAAGAAGAGGAAAACAATGGAAACAAAGCAAAACCAGCCCAGAGTCTGTTGTCACTCAAAGACCCGAAGTAAACCATCCGAACCTTCTTTAAAGGGATATTCCGGCATTAGACACCTCCTTGAGAGGTGAATATTGCCGATTGCTTGCTTCTCTAGTTATACCAACTTTAGTAACGACTGCACGATAGCAATACACAGCGGTCTAAGGAGCCAGCAAAAACCTCAACCAAAATGCCACTCTATAGCCACAAATAATGCTCAGAACAGCACCTAACTTCTTTAACAGTACATGTAGGGTCCCAGCCATAGTACTAGCCACCGCTATGCAGCTCAAGGAAGAACATTTATGATCATATCTTCATGGAAATACAATCAGACTGAGACGCTAAGGCAGAAGAACTACTGCGTCTGCAGTGCAAAATGATTAATATGGTGATTATCACTTCAATGAAATGATAAAGTAATGATCATAAATGTTCTTCCTTGAGCTGAGTCACCCTGCAGCAGTCCGTAATGGACTGGCCTGAGGTCTCGCTACAAACAAGCGGCTGCTGGAAGAGAGTAGGTGAGTTGTGTTTAGTCTCTTTGCTAAAGAAATCAGGTAAAGTTAAAAATATGTTTGGTGGCTAGTACTATGGCTGGGACCCTATATGTACTGTTGATGAAGTTAGGTGCTGTTCTGAGCATTATTTGTGGCTATAGAGTGGCGTTTTGGTTGAGGTTTGTATATGGCTCCTCAGACCACTGTGTATTACTATTGTGTGGCCGTTACTAAAGTTGGTATAACTAGAGAAGCAAGTGGTTGGCAACATTAATCTCTTGAGAGGGTGTCTCTGTGTTATGGTGTGTTTGACCCTAACTTAATTTTACGCCGGAATATCCCTTCAAGGGTTTTCATTGGTCGACTTATGGTCATACTTTACACGGTAAAGATATTTGCTGTCTCTCAATATTATGCACCTTTGTGCTGTGTGACTCAGAAACTAAGAGTTGCAGTAAATGGTTCGTCATCTTTTAATCCTCCAGCCAGCAGTCGGAAACCCAAAGACTCTCTAGCCTTGTACATACTGCAACTCTGCAAAAGCACTGGAGTAAAGTTCCACCTTCACACTACTTGTGTGCTCACATTGCACCTCCAAATGGTGTAACATTGGTGTAATATGATGGCGAGGGCAAGAGGCACAGCTTGTAAGCACGCAGCAGGAGCGAGGCATACACCCACACTCGGACATGCACACTTGTGCCGCACCGTTCTGTCAGCTCAAATGCCAACGTCACACTGTACATATGTTTACAATTTCTAACCAACTTGCACAATCCTCTCAGAAAAAGCTCTTCCATTTTCCAAAGTATACTAATTATCATTTTTGCTGGATTGACTTGAATAGCTGGGAAATTGCAGGACACAGCGGCATGATCTCCACTGGTACTGCAACGTTTGGTCCATATCCAAACTGTTTCCACAAAATCAGGATGAAATTAACTTCAGTTCTTAAAATGCACATCTCCAAACTAAAATCAATATATTGATTTTTTACAACCCTCCTGTTCTCCACTGAACAAACAGAGCATGTTCCAGTCATGGTTTATTTACCCTTTAATGAAACACAGCTGTCCAGAGACACAAAGAATCATCTCTGCAAAACTCGTTCAATGCACATCACTGCCTGTGCACAGAAAAACACCACTGTTACTCTGCCAGCACTTTCTCAGATGCAGACTTTGCACGCTTATTTGCTTCTTTTTTGAGAGACTAAACACCAACAGTATTTAGACTGAAGTCAAGACCTGCATGTAACCTTTATTTGAAGATGGGTCCAGTCAAAAGGGTCACCTGGATTGACTGCAGACGTGATTGATGATCTGAAACTGATCAAAACACCTCATCTCATCATCTAAAAAAAGAGCGTTTACAGCTGTTGAAAAGCTGAGATAAAAAGATAGCTTTGTTAAGGGTTGGATAAGATAGAAAACAACAAGTGCCCAACAATAACAACAGATGTATGTAAAACTCAGCTCACACCTGGCAGCTACTATGAGGGCGGTGAGGCATGTTGTTAACTCAGCCTGCCTGTTGGCATAACTCTGCTTGTTTTGAAGTCATTAAAAAAAAAAGAAAACAGATATTAAACACTCTAAACCATCATTAAATTTACACACAACATTTACAAAAACATGATCTAAATTATTACAGTCATGTTTTACTGTTGGGAAAATCCTCACAGCTTTAAGTTCTGTTTATACAGAGGCGATCAATGCTGCACAAGTACAGCCGGGGTAAAATGATGCAACTAATCCGACCTTTTTCTTCGCTGATGTGAATTAAGATATGGAAGATAGAGTGGGTGTTGGAAACTGAACAAAAGAGTCTGAGATCCATTAAACTCATTTGAATCAAAGATCTAATCCAGAGCCGCTGCGTAACGTCTTTATTGATCTAAATTGGCCCCTGTTGTGTTTTTATTATCCATGTGTATGGATCCTCCGGCCTCATGAAGCCTTTTCAACATATAAAGAAAAAAAGCGACCGTCTTTAAAGGAGAGAGAGTGTGATTCTCTCTGACACATGGGGCCCATTATCATTAAGTAAAAAGCAATCCTTACTCGAGTGCTATTAGTTGGCTCAGTTCAGCGTTCCTGCCTCAATTATGTAATTTTTCTGACACCGGGGGGCAAACCCTGTGAACATCTTTGGTGAGTTAGAAAGGTCGGAGGCCGGCGGAGATTACACTTCTCACTGGCTGTGGTTGGTGCCTCTTTCAGCACCGATGACACCCAGTGAGGAAACCTTTATCTGCCTGCCAGGCCAGCAAAGTGGGAACTTGAAACCTGCTCTAGAAAGACAACAGATAACTCCAGATCATTGCTGCATTAAGTCTTAACATCTTCACATCACATTTACTTAAGTATCATGATAAGGAAGACGCCTCAAGTGAAATGACATGCGTAAGACCTCTCCGGTACGGCTACCTGGAATGTAGAGATTAGCCATAATGCAGCGAATCCGCGACGTAAAGTGAGTGGTTTGGCTTTAAAGTCATGAAATCCCATCAGCTTGTTTTCAAACACTGCACACTGGCCTAATTCCTTCACTAAAGCCACGCTCTGCTTCTCTTTGAAGCTCACAGTAATCACAGAAAGTGAGGCAGAGAAAACACAAACAAGAACACCTGACATCTATTGTAGACCACCGGCTGGGAAAAGGCACTCAGTTTCCAGGCAACTCTGCTCACTTTGAGCTGCTAATTGTGCTTTCAGGAACACATAAGCACATATAAATAATACAGGAAGGAAACTAAGCTGCGATGAAGTCTCTCAGCCATGACCTACAATCTCTTTGAAGCAGCAACGGACGAGTATGCCTGAATCTCACAGGAAACAAAGACGCAGTTTGGCCTGTGACTTCGAACGCCGGTGTGCACAGAGATGACAAACATCTCAGTGATTTGAAGCAATAACTGATTCTAGTGTACACTGACTGTTCAAAATGTGAGAATTTTTTAATTATCATGATTTTTTGAAGGAAATGATCACCCAAGGCAGCTAATATGATGAATTTTAAAAACGCTGAGATAAGAACTTGAATTCTTGAACATCATGTTAACACTTTGACTGTCAGTCCATTTCAAAACTGGACTAGTTTGACTTTAACAGAATGGGTCACACAGCACCAGTCTAAACTGAGATGTTTTTCTACCAGAACCAGTGTGAACTTGTGCCTGGACCTTCCCTCCCCACACTTTGGCTGCCAATGACCTTATCACCGGGTTTTCCTTCCTTCTAGCTTGTTCTGACCACCTCAGACTGGGAACACCCCACCAGAGTTTGAGTTTTGGAGATTCTCTGACCCATTTTTCTCGCTTCCAGCTAAGAGGACTAAATGTTTTCTTGCAGCCAAACTAATCACCCGCTGACGAGTGCCGTTTTAAAGAGATAATCACTTCAAGTCACCTGGATTCACAAAGAGATGCTTCATCCAAAACTCAGGATGTCCAGGGCTACTTTTAACTCGGCCTGGCCATGCCAGCGCTGATGTGGGACAAATGTTGATGTAGACGAACGTGAAAGCTGCTTGAACTCTTAAATGGCTGTTCAGATTGAACCAGAGTTAAAAATATAACATTTATTTCAGATTTGGGAGCAGGTTAAAAGGTGGACTGAGCCATCTGCTTGGTGATTCATGCTGTTCGCGCTGACACGGATGTTGGAGTTGAATATTGAAGTAAAATAACTTTTTCTTGCTTCCTGAATGTTGCTTTTGAGATTATTCTGAATCAATGTAAAACACACTTTTCACCCTAAACCTTAAAAACAACTCAACCTTCTCCATGAAATTCTGATTAGTGACAGCCCACGTTTTGACACTCCACACTACAGCTTATTTAATGATGCAACATAACCTCCGACATCAGAAACAGCAAAGTGAAAGACGAAGACATAAACATTAAAAGGCGTCTTTAAAAGCTCTGCATGCGGCGCGGAGAAACGTCTCATCTAACAGCTCGCAGTCGCAGCCGTGAATCACATCTTTACCGTTCAAAGAGGGCGAGTGCGGCTCTCACGTTCACCGTTAATTTCATTACTTTTCAGATTTAATTTCCTCATGGTGTGTAAATTTAAAGCGGTAATCAAATCTAACATCTTCATGGAGTGACACTCACATTTAGAGCTGCTACTTTACAAAGGCTTTTTAAATCCTGACAGCAAAGAGCAGACTGAGCCTTTTCAAAGAGAAACGTCTTCAGAGAGCGGCAGAGGCTTTACCTGTGGAGACTTATGCGCCCGCTGATGAAAGGACAACATACATTAGTCAGGAGACTGCTCCTGCAGCTTCCAGCAACATGACAGGAAGTAAAAATGATATAAAAAGACAGAAGGCACCGGAGACCGCGGGGTAGAAGACTGAGCCAAGATAAGTGGAGCTTACCAATTTGCTCACTTATAAAGCGGTGGCCTAATTTGCCTGCTAAGGCAGAGTAACACAGGGGAGAAAATTCCCTCTTTTTACTACTACATGTGTCAAACCGCAAACACAGATATAGACCAGGGAGTGATAAAACTGTGAGTTTGTTGAAAAAACTTCTAGTTAGTTGAAGACTCGTGTGGCAAAGTCACTAAGTAACAAGATTTCACCAGTTAATATGATACATCAGATACATCTCAATACAGTAACACTGAGGCCTGCTCCTGGTGTTAGCAACACAGTCAGTACGTTAACATGACACTTGAGAAAATCAAATTATTGCCTAACTCCGATCAAGAGTTCATGTAAACACCTTAGTCCGGCTATAATCGAAGTTTGAGAACTCCGATTGGAGTTGGAGAACGACGAATGAGACACCCAGATAATGCGATTGGAGTTCAATTTTCTCTACCATGTAACCAGCGTAGTTGGAGTATGATTGGACAATGCATGTGCGTGTGCACCATGCCCCCATAAACCTGGAACAAAAGCACCAGAGAAGAGGAGTAGGGTGCACCTCATCTGCAGAAAAAGTAGTGTGTACATCATGTAAGACAAAAGCAACGCTGTCTGATGCTTCATCTTCTTGCTCTAAAATGACCTGCTGTTGTTGTTGACATTGTATGAGGAAACAGCGCCGCTGAAAAGACCCATATCGCCCCCTAGTTTTGGAGAGGAGGACACGCTCTCCTCAATAATTTGATTTTCTCAGCTGCATGCATGCGCAGACAAGGAGAAGTCCGATTCAACGAAAAAAAACCTAATTATGAACTTGGTCCAATTAAGCAGTGCATGTAAACGCACTGAATGAAGCAAATCATTTAACTTTACATCCTGTTTGGTGAAGCACTAAGAGTCTGCAGCCATAAATACCAATGGGTTTAGGCATCATTTCTACTCATGCATGTGTATGAAGGCGAGTCAACCTGAAGTCCAGTCTTACCTACAGGAATCTCTATGAAATCTAATTTGCCAGGGAAACTCTTATCCTCCAGAATTTACCTCAAGTATATTAGAAATTTAACTTTTGCACCAGCTTAGCCAGTTTGAACTCCTGTGATTTTATTAGTGTGCGTTTTTAACACCAGTGAAACAGATGAATGATTATGATTGTCTACTGACTATTCCAGGAACCATACTTAATCGCGATACTTACTGTATGTGAATCGATTTTTTCTCCCACCCCTAGCATCAACCCTAATTCGAGGCTTTACTGTGATTTCTTTCAATAATTTTTCATAATTATGTCCTTGTGTCCCACACTAGAGGAAAACCACGGTTAACTTTGTCCCTCAGCTTTGAAGATGATTCAAAAGTTCAGACATTTTGCACAAAAACACAAATGTGAACATGATGTTTGCCTAGAAAGTAAAGTCAGGGAATGACAAACAAAAGCATTAGATCTCATCCTCTGTAGATAGTGAATTACTGCATAGAAATTCTATCTTTACAAAAGCTGGAAAAACAACCTGACCCAGCTAAAACTCGCAAAGCTGCTAGCTAAGATGTTTCCAAAACTCCCTGATTGTTTTTCTATAGAGGAAGACAAAGAGCTGTGATTGAGTTGATGGTACATTCTGTAAGCCCTTTGTGTTTCTCACTGCTGTTATAACTAAGAGCTGTCAAAAGCCCATCAAACAAATAAAATGACTCATCAGAGCAGACAAAGAGCTAATTACATAAAGGTTAGTTAACTTTCTTAGTGTATGTGCTGTTTAAGCTAAATCTCTCCCTCTCAGCTGTTACCTCACACCCTGCAGGGAATCAGTATCTTCACTGTTATGCTGCTAAGACCTCTTCAAAAAAAGATAACCCGAGTTTCTTACCAAGAATAGTTGACACCATTTGTACTTCTTAGCTCAGAGATCTGGCAGGCGAACTGGTTGGTTGACTGGCTTACACACAGCAGGTGGTTTGGTACACTTCTCTCTTGTCTGGGTTCAGCCTGACCTTGTCAACCTAATTCCTTCCTTTCCTCTCGCTTGCTCAGCCAGCTCCCTTGAGCCCCCGCCTGCTATTGTTTGTTTGATGACAGGGTGGGGGTTGGGTTCGAAGTGCACTGGGGTTGGTTGTTGAGTATCAAGAGGACTAAAAGCCCTCCATGTAGAAGCAGAGCAGCCTGAGAATCTGATCATGTTACAGCTGGTTAACATGTTGTATGCCAAGATGAGATACAAGATCTGAATCTGATGGACTCTTTTTACAGAGACAAACTTGATTCTTTAAATCTGGAGAGTTATTAAATGTCCTGAACCAGATAATGATTTTTTAGTCAAAGATTTTTAATCTTAATGAGACTCAAATCTCCCGTGTTGATAAAGGCTGGATGATGATATTTTTCTATAAAGTTCAATCAATATGCGTTGCTTTCAACTTTATCTGCTCACTTTGGGGGGAGAAACAATCTTATATATGAAAACAATAGTTTTGTACTTGTGAGAAATGTATTGAATCTTACAGACGATAAAAATAATTAAAAGGTAATCCACAAAGTGCCGAGGAAGAGTTTGAATTCGCTTAAAAACCACAATAAAAAACAGATTCCCCAAAGGCAAGGAAGAAAACCAAACTGAAGGCAATCGAATGAAAAGAAAAATAATGTGAACTTAGAAAGATTTGTAATTTTCTTTGGTGTGATGTTTAGAAAAGAAAGAAGGAAGGAAATGTTGGAAAAGTACAACCCAACTGCTTTTCTATTGACCTACCAAACACAAAGTTTTTATTGTATAAGGCCGAACCAGACAGCGATTCCTGGTTTTGAAATACGAAGCTAATGCACAACATAGAAAGTTAATGAATAATACCTACAGCTCCTCAAACGTCCACTTCAGACTGACTCTAAAACCAAAGGCCTCCCCAGAAGCCCCAATGGTTAAATAACCATTTTCACAACAGCACTGTGTTCACAGTTTAGAGTGTGCTACTTTATTTTTAGTTTGTCATATATGGAGGGTGATTTTGTTTATAATGTATAATGATTTCTGTTAGATAGACTCATCTACAGTGCAGCATTACACACACTGTTAATAATCCTAACATAGAGAATATGACACAGGCTTACATTGCTATCAGCTTTGACAGCTTTGAACTAAATCCTAGAAAGTCACGATGTCGATCCTGCCAGGTCCTATTAGTGATTCTCTCACCTTTCTCCCACTCCTCATCCTCCTACTCGAACCAAAGGTCAGCAGACAACAACAGTATCTATTAAAACAATAAGCTCTATCCTTGCCAAGGTCACCCACTAGCATTGAGCGGGCAGAGAGAGTTTAAGAGCGAGAGCGAAAGAGAGGCCGGGCTGGGAGCAGAAATCCAGATAAACTGAGCTGAGCCGACGAGGATTTCTCCTCCTCCAGCACCTCTCCATCGTCATAAATCTTATCTCGCAGCAAAGGGAAGCCTGACAACAAACTGAGAGGCTGTCATCAGCAGCTCAGCCACCTAGATTCCCACCCAAATACCAATGATTCACTGTGTGACGGCTTACAAGTCTGAGGCTTGGACCTGCGGCTTTGAGATCAGGCTGCAGAGAAGTCGGGCTCCCTGTGTGTTGTACTGAGTGTTTACAGCTCACCAGGATGTTGACAGCTGTGACCAAAACTTCAGTTTGAGGTACCTGAATTCAAAAGCAAAGGCAGTGAGTCGAGGAAGAAAACAAACGCTCCTAGAAATACTATCCAGAAACCTTATCAGCACTACAACAAAAGACGTCTGACTAGACCCACATATTACAGAAGGAAAACAAGTTGTTATTGAGGCTGTGAGATTTCCCCAGAGCCCCCAACCTCAAACTATTCATAGATGTTCTCCGTCAGTCTGTTTCCCTCGTGTTGACGCTCCTCTGTGGGTGGTGTCTTTTTCAAACATGAGAAAGGCAATCCTTAGCTGCACATCAGTAAACACACTTCCTCTAAAGGAAAGAAGAAAACTCTGAATTATGCCGAATTACTTTCTAATATTATACCCTACTTGGGCTGAGGGAAACAAACGGAGGAAACAAAGCTTAAAATAGATCTGTAACTCTCAGTGTAGCGGCCAGGATGTGGGGGCTGGTTTACATCAACTGTGACAGTAATAGACGGTATATATATATACAGGAATTGTTTCCAGTTTTTTAACCTCCTTTCTGAGTATTTCAGTCCTTCTGGGGGAAAATGCTGACAGATGCTACAACGTTCTCTGGTCTCTGGGGCACAGCTCTTTGCAGCTGCATTAGCTGTTGTCTTGCAGCACTGGCGAAGTTGGTGGAAGAACGACAAACCATCTCAATTATACATAAGCTTGAATTACAAAGTTGGTGATAAAGTGAGTGTTTCTGAAAGTGGGAAGGGTGCAACAGTTTAAATACCTGGACTTAGTTAGGGCTCTAAAAATAGGCGCAGAGAAGATGTCATTCGCAGGACTCTTTTTGCATGAGGAGAAGGCCTGTAACCACCATCATGACTTTGTACTTTTACACCAACCCCACACTAGTGTAATGTTGGCATCCATGTGTGTTATTGGAGTCCCACACTCAGGCACACACACACCGTGCTATTCCGCCCTAATTGCTCTGATGGCTCAAAGTGATCCTGTCTCACCTCGTCTCTGGAAGGACAAAGGCTGTGGGGGAGGTCGCTTGCCTAAACCAATCAATCCCACAACCTTCTTCTGACGCTATCATCTGCTGGCTGGGAAGTTTCTCGCATCTCTGAAGTTTTCTGATTAGGTTTTTTGCTAATGCTACCACCATACACCTCAAAACACTAACTCCACCCAGCGAAATGTACGAACATGCTATTAGTAGTATGTGGTGGTTATTGTGGATGGCAAAGAACTAAATTGACTAAGTTGGCCTCATGATTGACCCAGTGTCACAATCTAACTATTCGGGTCATTGATAGATTGATACTAGGATCAGATGGGTGCCTTCAGTGCTGGATGGCGCAGATATTTATGTTTTTAAAATAGCACCAAAAGAAGTGTAACCAAAAAGTAAAAAAAGTCGTGGCTACTCGCTGACTTGGCCTTGTGAGTATGACAGCTCACCTACCTCTGCCAAGAAAACACAAACTGGGGAATGTATTACTTCTAAAGACTGAATTAACCATAAATACAGATCAGACATAAACATCAACAGTGGATAAAGTTCAACCCAAGATGCAGTTTGTGTTTGGCTGACATCCAAACCCTAATTAAAAGCTTTACAGTGCAGTCAGTAGATCCTCCTCTCTGAAGGCAGAGGAGGTTTCAACCATGTCAACAGATAAGCAGAGAATGGCGGTGGGGATGTTAAAGTCACGACTGTGGGGGGAGAAATATGTGTACTACATCCTGAGGAGTGCTCTGCTTTGGTCTGCAGACAGTTCTTGATTTGCACTCACCGTGCTGTCCCTCATGCTGCTCCTTTAACTAGGGCTTGCTACTCTGATTGACCTCTGCTGCTGGCTGCCTCACAGAGCTCCTATTGAACCGTGTCTATCTTAATGGACGCTGATGTGCACTATTACTGAGTGCCAGTAGCTTTTGCACTGCACCCTCAGAGCCCCTATAGACTTTTACACCTTAATACACCTCTGGGCAATGAAAAACTGAAGCTGGCTCCACATGACATTTCAACACTCTGGCTGGTGAGAGGGAAAAATACTTGACAAGGCAGGTCAGAAGAAGAGCAAGGCTGGGTAAGTAACACCGCAGCTTATTTTCTGATCCTTACAGCACGTCCATGACTTGTTTTGGTAATTATAGACTGGAAGTGACTCGAATTTAATCCGGGGAGTTATCTGAGAAGAGTGAAAAACATGCTCAAACAGGCCAATCTGGAAGTGAATCCACTTCAGGATGTATCAAATCAATCTAAAAGTGCTCAGTAAAGGCTTGAAGCGTGCCTCGAATTGCCATTGAATCAAAGGGCTGATGGGGAATCTCCAAACAAATTCTCTCTCTGAGCTCTTCAGTTCATTAAAAGCACTAATAAGTCAGGCTGTGGGTGATGTCGAGGGAGCAGGGAGTGAAGTGAAACCTGCTGTAACACAGCAAATCTCCCCTCTCTCTGCCAGCCGCTCAGCAGAGGTCTGCTGCTCTCAGCCATCAGAGTTTGATGACCTTGTTAGTTTGAGTGCCTAATCTGCTAATGCCCTGATAAAAATAAACAGTCAGTGCAGTCATTGTAGTCCCCTCTTCCCCCTCCTCTTCTTCCTCCTCGCTGTCTGCAGCTGCTGTCCACACACACACACAGATGATACCCTCCATCTTTATTTATCCTGGGGACTTACCGTCAAACTGACAGTCTCGAGAGCCAGGGGGTCGGCTTTATGTATTGTTAGTAAAAGATAAACACCTCTTAAGATAGTTTGAGGCATTTCGTGTATGTGCAGCTGGAATGTTAAAGAAAAATCACCAAATATAGCTGTGCTACTTTTCATATTTGTTAGCCATGCAAAAGGATATTTGTTACAGCTGTATTTGGCTTCTACTCCAAGGTTTTCCTAGTACATCTATTCCCAACACTTTGCCTCTTTGCAGCTCAATAATTCATAGCAGGCTTGAGATGAGATTGGATTAATAATTTAACTCACAGTATGTATTAGACAGTGTTTTAAAAACGAACAGACTACAACTCCCTCATGTTTCCCCGAGCCTTCTCCTAAAGCAACACGGCAGCAGCTCTCATTCACACAGCTTATATGATAATGTGGTCTGCAGATATTGAGGGACACGGGGAGGTTTGACATTCATCCTAACTAGATCAGGACAAAATGGCAGAACATAATCAATGTAAAGTACAGTCTGAAGGTCATGATGCACAGGCAGAGATTGTGGATTCATGCAACACATCTTAAAACCTCCCGTTATGCAGCAATAACCGAATTGCCTCAACCTTTGGGACGATATCCTCAGCTCTGCCATTAACCATAAAAAATACCACGACAAGTAGGACTTGTAAGAGAGTGGATTTAACAGGAAAGTGTCTGACTCTTCTAAGGCTACATAAACCTAATGGATATGATTAAACATAATTTAGTTTTCCAGATGGACAGAGAGGCCCCACTTACCAAACATAATTGAATGTGCGAGCTCAGCTCATTGCCAAGGACTAAACAACTCCCCAGTCTGCATTGCAAGGAGGAGCTCATTTCCATATTAACTTCACCTTTATTGATCCGCTCACACATCCTCCCCCCTTTGCCTGCTATAATAATAACAACCCTCAAGTCCTTTTGGGATGTTTGGGAAAAGGAAAGGAAAGCACTCAGGAGGTTTGACTATCATAGGAAATACAGAGCTTGCTTGGGTAATTGTACGTTTTTTTTTTTTAGGGGTGGATGGTGTAAAGTCATCTCAGCAAAACAACGACTAATTCAAGAGGCTTGCTCTGCAGTTGAAAGGGAATAACATCCATTTCAGACATGCCGAGCTATCAACCCCACGGCTCATGTGAGCTCCACCGAAGCACTTCGAGTCAAAAGCAGTAACCCAGCTAAACACAACCCTGTCTGCTTGATTTATTTATACTTCAAACTAATCTCACGGCACATACAGTTCAGAAAAAGGTCCATGTCTGCCACACAGTTCTGCTTACACTACACTGGCTGTTTGCATAAGCAGATGTGCTCAAACATGTTTGTCAGTGCGTGCCCTCTGCTTGTACACTTTGCTTTGGCTGGACACGCACAGCAGCGGATGACAACATAAACATCGCACAGACATTCAAGGCCGTAATGCGGAGAGCGGGAAGTGTAAAAGCAGAGGGAAGAGAGCAGAGATTTTCAGGAGGGGGATTTTCAGCCATCTTTTTAGCTGTGCTCCTACTTGCCGATGGACAGATGAAGATATATTTTGCTTAGCTGCACACTTTGGTCTGAGTAAATGCAGCCAATACAACAGTATACGTATCTTATTCCACATCCCACATCTGCTGCAATCATGATCTATTTGTGGTGTATAACTTTAGACTGCAATGCAAGCAAATGAGCAAATGTGGAGAGCAGAAAGAGTCTGGATCATTTTCAGGCCACCAGCTATGCCGAATGATTGTTGTGGTGCTGACAGAGTAACATATTTTACAGCTTAAGTAAAAAATGCTCCAGAGACACAAACACCCAAAACAGCTGTAGCAGTTGTCTTAGATGGATAAAGATGAGTTTTAAAATGCCAAAGAATCTCTTTAAGTGATCTGTTATTGTTCATCTGGTGAAGAAATCTGGTCAGAGAAGTGGGAAACATGGAGTTTGAAGGAGTACTCATAGCAGACAGACAGAATGCTCTACTACCCGGATGTAAACAAACACAGATGACGCATGGTTTTTCATCGTGTTGATGGTATTTAATCCAGAATATGAAGAAAAAGTCTTTTAAAGGCTGTGGCTGTTTACACTGGCTCATAACCACACAACCACCGCAGGCAAGGAGGACCAAAGGCTGGTGGTACTGTTCGCTTTACTTAGCAAACCACTTTGTTTACCCGCAGACTCTGTGATCCTGAGTTTTAATACGAGGGGCTGAAAACGCCGTAAATAAGTGATAAATATCACACAACATGGCTCTGACTTTGGAGTGTAAAGCTGAATGTCATGGCAGATGTCCAAATCAGACGCCCACTGTTACCTTTTCTTCAAACGTTCACACAGGCCTGCTGTGAGAATTTTACAAGCTGCATTTATTTGCTGCATTACCAGTGAGATGCTCTCAGACATGAAGGCTTTAGGACACACTGCTGCAGCAGCAAACACCACCATTATGCTGTGTTTTGTTTGCATGCACAGCTCTCAGCCGAGACAGTCGGGGAGCGAGACGGCTCACCCCTCAACTACTCAGCCCCGGAGAAAGATGTTATGTCTACTGAGAGCGTGAAAAACAAATTCAACGATGTATCTAGCTCTTCATCATCAAGGACTGAATTATTTTAGATACTGGTTTTTAACATTAAAATAAAACACGACCTCAAGGATTCACACCCTGCTTTAACTCTATGACAGACAAATAAGCAGTAGACGGATATAACTGACTCTTAATGTCAAAGACAGTCTCCTTGTGTCAGGGTAAAATCTGAGCCAGATTGAACTTTTTCTGCTCTCACGGCCTGCATTTTTCAAAACTTTGAATGTTCCTCCTCCTCCTCCTCTGTGTGAATGGGTCACTTCCAGGTGGTTCTGGTTTTCTCCCAGTCCCACAGACATTAATTTTGGGTGTACTGGGGAAAATGAAAATGCTTTTCAGTATGAAATGACCCGGGGAAGAATAATAGTTGCCAAGGCGTCGGCCAATAGGGATTCTGCTAAAGAGTAATATCCACCTGGATTCTTCGTGTTTTGTTTTTCTTTGCACGATTATGGTCGTTTAATTATTTCCAGCAGTACTTCCCACATTGCAGCCTTACTCATAACTGCAGTGAATAAAAAAAAAGAAAAACATAACTGACAAGACTGCTGACCGTAAGGGTCTGGAGCTGAAACAGAAAACAGGACGAACACTGTTTGGACAGGGGACTTTTTCTCTGCCGACAACAGATAATGCTGCGCTTCTGTATTCAAGGACACAGTTCCAGTCTGCACTGAGCGGATCAGCATTCAGAAGAGGGCGGCTGTGGCAGAGGTGACTTTGATGCATGTGGTACTCTTGTTTAAGGAAACCAAACAGCACGAGAAAATCAAACCTCGACACACTGGAGACTATAAAAACCTTGGCAGAGGACCAGGTTTTGAGGAGAGGTATAAGCAGAGGACAACCTACATTTATCTCTTATGGCATTTAAAGCTTTTGATGCTGTACATCATGTAAATGCAAAAAAAAAATCTATAGGACACAGGGGTCAGAGTCTGGAAAGAGAGTCTGCAGTATTATGTAGGACGAAGAGGAGGAATAAAAACAGTAAAGCTGCATAAAATGTACAAGGTACAAGCTGCATTCACAACATCTAACACTAATTGTACGGTTTATTTTGAAGCTCTCATTTCGAAGCTAATGTTGGTCTGAGTCATTTCTAGAGTAAGGCTGGTTTATGTGACGCTTCTGGAGATAATAACTCTTTTTTATATTGTGTTTTTAACGCTCTCACCACTCATTTGCCAAGTGCGGCCCCGGTCAGAGATCCTCTGCCAGCTGCATAAATTTTAAAAGTCATGTAAACAGTGACCGACGCCTCCATGCCAAAGTCAAATAGTTCCATGTCACTGGGTTTGAAAGGATCTGGCAGCGAAGCGACACTTGAGTCAGAGCAGCAGAACTGAACAATCACACCGTGTTTGTACAGTTATTATTTATTTATCTATTTATTTCTCCTGAGGAGCGTTTGATTGGAGGTGAGGATTACAGGGATTCAGTGTTGATGAAGCGTTAAGTTGTTCAGGTCAATGAGTCACTCCAGGCTTTACCTCACTCTCTTTCCCCAAACGTGTTCAACATGAAGGAGCTTCAGTCGTAAGCTCTCATAAGAGCGACGCTCTGCCAAGGAAGTAAATTTAAGGCAGATACCAGCAGACGAAAGACAGAAAAGAGCCTTGAATATACAGGATGTGTTTTCCCCTCGCACTGATATAAGACTGGTACTGATCTGCTTTTATGCCACATTGACAATCCAATTTACGGTCATTCAGAGTATTTTTCCAATCGACTGAAACGCTTTTTCTCTCATTAATTAGCTCCACCATGAAGGTCGTGTTTTCAGAGCCACATTTTGGTGAGTGTGTCTGAAGGATGATGGGGCTTAATTGGCCAAAACTTTTATATAAATTAGTGGAAAGAGAAGCAACGGCCAAGGAGCACAATTTGGACCAGATCTGGAACTAAATCACAAATAAGTGAAATGTTTTCCACATGATTGTACAGTTTTTCTTCCTCAATGACACCAGGAGGAGTTTTAATGTTGTGTTGGTTCTGGGGTAAAGACTACATTTCCCATGAGCGCCATCACCCACTGTGGTGCAGATGAAGCTCTAGTGAAGCATTCATTTGTTTTGAAAGCACAGATTTTCTTTTTATGCCACTCTTTTCTTTTTTAGTGTGCAGAGATAGCAAGTGATAAGATTTTACTGATACTGATGCCATTATCAATTCTGATTATTAACGCACCCTTCATTGTTTCCTGTATTCCTATGCAGGTTTACTGAGCCAACAACACACGTTTTTACGACTTTTATTACCCTCACTACTCTACTGGGACAAAAGAGCCTGGTTTATGGTCAGCTGATTGAAGAGACCAACACAAAGATGGCAGCCTCTGAGAGCAACAGAGATGACACTAGAATTAGTGCATAAACCTTCACAGATTTCCTTCGTTTTTTTTAAGGGGTTGAATCTGACAGTCTCTAAAAAATCACTGATCTACTCTGTGGGACAGAAAACTCCCTGGAAGTCCCAGAAGCTCTAGGGGTTTATTGTCAGAAAGCTGCTCATCTTACACAGCAAGTGGATTTTACAGTAAGTCAGTATGCACCATTGTACTTTCAGAGATGATATATTGTAAGCACAAAAATATTCTGTTGTATACAACAGCAGTTCTGCACCGCTCTTGTCTCCTGTCTGCTGTGATTACCTCCTTGACTCAGCTCACGAAGAATCACATTATTACACGAGTGTATGGCACTGATAAGGGAACTGCTGAGTAGAAGCAAATTTCATTGACTCGAAATGGCTGGAGATTGTTTTTGGTTTCCATCCCTTGGTCATTGATTGTTATAGAAAATAAGTAACTTGGAGGTAACACAGACAAAACTTGGTTAACTCTGGCTTTGCTACTATTATAAAGATTACTACTTTAACGTTACTCGTCATAGCTTTGGTATCACGATATCTGCTTCAGTGTCCCGATAAATGTCCCGGATAAACACAAGGTTTAACTTCTTTGTCCTCAAAAAGTGGTGAAACGCTCACATACCAAACTGAACATTAAATCCTGTTAAAAGCTTTTGTACAGTTTCTCTATCCTATGCTAAAACTTCAACAGCAAACATACGCTTGATGTTAAATGCTCTAGAATCTGTCATGAATACCAAACATGATGTAAAAAGGAAATTATCTGAAGAAAGGAAACTCTTTCTTTAGATATTTTCCAATTTCTCCTCATTATGTTGTTAGATACTAACGAAATAATGACTTAAAGGTTGACTTGGTCATTTTTTATTGAATCATATTCTCCAGTTGTTGTACAAACTTTCTTCTTAAAGGGAGCCTCAGCCAACAAACTGCATGTAGGCGTTTCCTCTAGAGCTGTTTTCTTCACACCACAGATCAACACGCCTAAGAAATCTCCTCTGAAAACAAAAGCCCGCACTTTCATTTTACTATCCATCATTAGTAAACGATAATCAGTGGTTTGATGTTGAAAATAAAAAGCCTCGAGAGATACAAACAAGCTCTAAACTCAGGCGTACACTGTGCACTGTTGAAGCATCTATCAACTCATGAATGTTTGACATTGGTCCCAAAGGACGGACGTGTTCTCCCTTTAATTTCTATCAGTGGTATAATCCCCTTTTGAAACCCTTTTTAGGGTGAATTAGAAAGGCCCTGCATTCAAAGAGATGAGTGGAGAGAAGGGGGCGGGAATAATCACAAGGGCCTGGCTGTCTGTGTGGATTAAAATGGGGAAGAAAATCCTTTCATCTCAGATCTGTACTTCCAGGCTTGGGAGCATGCATGCACACTTCAGGCCGAGATGCAATGCACCAAAGTGCAACTGCAAACTTCAGACAAAACAGAGCATTGGATCCTTTTGTTGTTTAACTCATTTTAACAGGCAAGAGGCACTAATTCATATTCAAACAGCTGATACTGAATAATGCACAGAGGAGGCCTGTTAGTCTGTGGATTAGAGGAAAGAGCTGTGCTCTCCAGGCTGACCTCTCTGTTTGGCTCTAAGTGAAGACAGGGCGCATGATCTAACCTGCTTCTCTGATGTCTCACTCTGAAAATGTGGACCGCCGCTGCTCTATTTCTGGCAGACAGCCTTCTGACGTCCAGCGAAATGTAACAAGAGGGATAAGCCCCGAAGAACTTCCTCAGCCAGCAAAACAACAAACAAACACAGCCCCACAACACCATCTGACAGATAAGAAAATGGATTAGCCATTATGTCTGTTTGTTCAGTTGTCTACCTCGGCGAGGGTTTAACTGAGAGTGAAATGACAAGACGGCTTGCTGTGTCGAACAGAGGAAGACACGAAAAAGACTGTTGCGATAATAACGTACTGTTAATATCTTTCAAAAGCACTCTGACAGCACGCAGCTTTATTCAAACATCTCAGATTTTTCAACCAAGTCAACAACGTGATGTTTGGAAACCTACGGACAAGCATGAGCGTTTAACTCCTTCATTACTTCAATCAACATTTCCTCTAATTTCTTGGAGGAGAGTTTCTTCTTCCCAGCACCTCAAACACTCGGATTAAAAACCACAGTGCAAACTCCCCAAACTGGAGCAGCCAAGCGAGCCACACATAACTGTGAATGCCTCTTTTCCCAAAAGGCTATACAACCCATGGAGTGGTATTTTTAGACCAATTATAGATAATCACACAGTGGGAGTTGGAGCAGAAAAATGAGTTAAGAATCTGACAAGTCTATACAGCAAGCTCCAGCACGCTGCCATGTTCAAAGCATCTTTCCCAACGTCTTTTGGTATGCAGAAAAAAAAACAAAAACATTTCTTTCCGTACTGAGTGGATCGTCCCGTCTAGACTGGATGTGTTGCAGCGGCAGGCTAGCTTGAGGCAGTAGCCCAGTTTAAGAGGTTTTATTCGAGAATATTCCCCGATCAATGTCTGGGAGCATCAAAGCACATGCAAAGAAAATGTATAATTACATGTGTGGGTAGTGGCATGATAAAAGACAGAGTTTGTTTTTGTGGAAACACATTAACTCGAGGTTAACTGGGTCAAATTAATCCCATTTGTACTTCTCCCATAAACACACACACGAAAGCAAGCGTTTGTTAAACTGCTGCTAAGTTCACTGTGGAAGTTTGTAATCTTACCGTGGACTTGTACATTTCATAGTTTTAGGTTCTGAAATATGAGAATTTCCAATATTTTGGTGTCTTACAATAAAGTCAGGGGAATATCTTTGGCTTTTGGTGTTTCTGACAAAACCTCTTGTGGTGTACTTTAGGAAAATGTGATGAGCACATTTCACTTACTCAAGAAAATGACATCCTTAGCACCAAAAATAGTTACCTCCCATAACTGTATGTTTTTTTTAATCCACCCTTCACCTCTTTGCTGACTCATACAGAAACGTACACTGAAGACAAACATTTATGAGGGGCTACGACATGTAGATTTCAGTGGATGTTGCTGTCTCTCTTCTTTGTTCCCTTAGACAGACATAAAGCCAATATGTGTCCTAGTAAGATACTTTAAAGACCTTCAAATATCAGTATTTGCTGACCTTTGACTGAGAGGGAGAGGCTGTGATGGAGGGCTGAGCAAAGACACACACAGCAGCTGGAAAATAGTGCACTTCCCACCAATTGGGCATCAATGTGGACAAATCTATTAGTTTTTTCAACTATCAGACAGTAAGGTCTTATTATTTAGTTTTGCTGGATTATTTACTTTATGGGTGCTGCTTCTCTTTACGTAACATCCAAGTAAATTGGTCAATACTGTTCTCTTTCATTTACTCACGGTAGCTTCTGGTTGAAAGTTTAAGTGTAGAAAAGATCATCTTCAAGGTTTTCTGTGCTTTTGATACCAGGACATGGCATCAATAAGTACCAAAGAATCAAAAGGTTTGACATGGATAATGCTAACACATGCTGTCATTTTTACTCTAACAGCTATGGTGGTAGTAATAAAAAATCACTAGTCTGACTCTGTGGGATCCAAAATATTGCAGAAATGTCAGAATTTGAAAGAACAGGATATTGACTTTCTGTTGGCAGGTCAGTGTTGAGCTCAGAGAAGAGGAGAGTTTCAGAACACACATTCCCAAATTTATCACATTCGTATGAATAAAAGATTAAAGGCATTCAGTCTTTGAACTCAACGCAGGAGAATCAAAGAACAGAGCTAAGCAGCAAATTTGAAGCATTTTAAGAACATTAGACTTCAGAGGAGAAGGAAAATCACTGCTGAAAAGCAGCTACAAACACTGCTGATTTTCTCAACTTCACCCATTTAACGACAAACTGGCTGCAAACAATCTCCTTAGCCGTGCATTAAGGGGGGAGGGCAAGGCGCGTAATCCTCTGTATAATCACTCTTGCTCAAACACTGCCTCGCTGTTAACTTCCTCTTTGTTAAACTAAAAAAAAAGAAAAAAAAACCTTTCACACGCAGTTAAGCTCCTGGACTACAAATGTTTTCTCATCAAGGGTTTCATGGTCAAACCTGTGTGTGGACTCAGAAGTATTTTAACATGTGCTGCATTCAAATCTAAAGGTCGGACTAGCATGAGGAAAGAATTAAGAATCGAGACAATGGCGATCGTACAGAAACAAAGCCCTTAGCTGCAACTGAGAAATCCCCAAACATGGTCTGCAAACTCTTTTACAGCCGTAGCAAGTCGGTGCAAACTCTGAGCCACCTCTTCTCCCCCTCGCTGGTAGAAAATTCCAGTTGAGGGGGGGAAAAAAAGCCACGTCTGCTCCTCCCCACTGTGTGGGTTTTGTTCTGCTAATCAGACCACATGCCTCAAGGATTCAGGAATCTGAGAGCTCTCAGCCAGCTCCTCTCATTCCTCATAGAGCCGCAGCAGCCTGTGACAAACTATTCAGTGTGTTGGAGGGGGGGTTAAAGACTCTATCCATTCATAACACTGCTCAGCGCTCCCTCCCTCCTCTGCTAATCTCAGGCACTTCTTTACCCACCCACCCCAACGTCCTCTTACCCCTTATATGCCCTCTCTTTCTCCTCTCTCAGCAGCAGAGCTCTTTTTATCTATCTACATACTGCACACTGAGTCTGAATAGGCTCAGGGTTTATTATTAGACTCTGGTCACACCACACACCCATCGTGGTTGAAACAGAAAAAGCAGAACTGAGCCTCCATCCAGTTAAGGCAATGAAAGTCTTGATATTTGTCCCTCTGTCTTGCTTGTTTTTTCCCCCCATCTTATTTCCTCTCTGTTGTCCCCTCCCTGCCTCTCTTTCTACTCACGCATTGAGAGGCGAAATGAGGCACACTGGAAATTTGCAGCCTGACAATGGAAGACAGCTGCTCTTGCTGCATAAGTCTTTCATGAGCTGAATTAGTTGTACAAGCCTTTGCTCCCTTCCCCCCACACATGCCTCCCCTCGCAGCGAGCTGATCCAGACACAGCAAAACACCTCGTGGAGAGCTTAGCAGAGAGAGAGAACTACAGGGGAAGGAGAGACAAAGCGTGACGGGGGCTTTGTTTGACAGATCTGTGATTGCTTTTTGGCAAAAAGTAGCCCAACATGTTTCGTGTCACTGTAGGAAACCATCACATCAATTCTTAATGTGGGATACTACGCTGTGTTTGTTCAAAACAGGAGGTAAAAGAAGTTTTTGAAAAGATACTGGTGCAGAAATAAAGTCTCACCAAATTCCTAAAGGCTGTATGAAACAGGCTTTTACCGTGAATGCAGCTATGACTCTTTGCATATACTTCTCATTTTTGCCAACAAACATATTAAATACAGATAAATTTCTAAAAATAAGGCTTTTAATCTCGGCTACAAACGGACTTAATTACAACAAAAATGTTAAACGAGAAAACAAAGCCATCAAAAGCTACTTTCACGGATCAAAATCCATTAAAGATGCAAAATATTTTTTTATTGATATAAGAAATCAAGCATCTTTAATATTTAATACAAAAGAGCTGGTTTTCAAATTACGACCTTCAAAGAGAAATACTTGAAAGAAGGAGTCAAAGAGGGCTTTTACTTAGAATAAATACCAAGCTGCTCCAACAATGCTGCTTTCACACTCCCAGCATGGAGTCTGCAGGATTATGTGCACCTTAATTAGCTCTGGGATATTGTAAGGTTTGAATTATGAATACGTCTCTGTTGTTTAGAACTGCTTGTTATTAATTAAATACATTCATGATCAGAGAGACTTTGTCAGTTTCTCCGGTACAGTATCAGATCTGAGCTCCCTGAAGTCTACTCTCACTTTAACCACATTTGTTCTTTCAGACTGTTTAAACGACTGACTTCATATCCATCATCAGAAGTGACAAACCCCAAAAGTCTCCACAAAGCACACGTCAGGCTAAACATTCACTGAGGTCAAGGCTACCTCGGGCGGCGTTAATGACTGGAAAAACCTGGTTCCAGTAGGACAGATTTCCAAGGTAAAACCTGTGGAGCCTCCTTCCTGACAAGTATTTCCTGAGCTGCAAGACTATAAAGTTTATGTGCCCTAAGCATTCTGGTTCTGGTTCAATACAGGAGCCTGTGCTCTCTTGTGTGAGATGATGAGTTGGCTTTAATGTTGGTTCATGCTGTAGTATCTCTCATGTGGATTTCTTTGGGTAAATACCGATCAGTGGTTCACACAGGGATGTGGATCTGACTGTTGAATTGGTGTAGCAGATTCTTCAGTAGTGACCACAGGCAGAGAAATACTGGATCATGCGTGCTTTTTAATGAACTTCAAATAAGATATTGAAGCTGCTTACCAAGAGCCAGCAATGCAAAAATGAGGACAAACTGGGTCGTCATGCTCAAAACACTCAGTACTTTGACATGATCTTATAATAACAAGAGATCTGTTTGGATAGCCCGACTGAAACTGGATTTCTAAAATCCGTGTAAATGGATATCAGTGAGTCGAATTTCAAATTTGTTGAAGTTGCAGCTCATAGATAATACAGTATGTTTCTTAGAAGTCAGTATGAATGCACTGAAAGAAGCTGGGTGGTTAGGGCTCAAACGATTCCTCGAGCACCTCGATTACAAAATCGTCACTGTTTTGCCCAGATTATTTTCAAGGTGAAACAACGCACTTACATCACCACAGTAGAAAGGGAGTAAGCGCGGTTTTGGTTTTGTGGGGCGGAAGACATGAATGTTTAGTGGGGCTTTCTTCTGCAGAGCTCCAGTAGCGCTTCACCTCTGAGTAGTGGGCGGAGACAGCGCTGCTCTGCACACTCCTATTTATGCTAGCTTGTAGCCTAACATTGCTGATGTAGTAGCAGATAACATAATTAGCTTTCTTACGAGCATTGCAATCCGCCCCTTGCACATGCTTGTTCCACAATTCTTCCAGGATAATTGCACTTAAACTAAAAAAAAATGTTCATTTAATCAATGGAATATTCAGTAGAATGCATGATTACGAAAATATTCAATAGCTGCAGCCCTATGGGTAGTGATCAAAACTAGTAGCCGTGACAAAGCTGATAAATCATAGGTGTTAAAGGCACAGAGCTGTGAAACTGTCTGTGTCTTCACTGCTTGGCAAATTAGCCTCTTGCTAGCTTGTTTGTCGATTGTTTTGTGACGTAATAGGTCAACTAAGAAATGGTCCGCCACCTACCGAAGAGGAGGTGCAAAACTTAAGTTGGTCAATGGATTCCTGTCCAGTGCTGGTACACGAGGACAGGAGGGATGTATTTTTTTTTTTACTTTTTATTGTCTTTCTCAAAAACAAAAATGAGGGTAAAGGTTTCCACATACACTTGATCACTGTGTGCAACTGCAACTAAATCATGAAATCATGACAATCAAATATGAATTTTTTTGTAGTTAATATGTCACCAACTTGCATTAGCCGCTTCAATTTACACTGATTCTACTCCTCTTCAGACTTCTGTTTGCATGTCAGTTAATGACAGGACACCACAAACCTTGAAATCATGCTGTATTCACTGTTTGCATGGAGCCTTCTGGAAAAATGGAGCATCCCGAGACACATTCAGTTCAAATAATCTAACTACATCCTCAGTTTTATATCCTTTTTAACAGCTGCCCAGCTTTAAAAAACCTCATGATTAACTTCCATAATTGTATTTAATATCATACCTCATGTACAGTCGAGTATTTTGTTGTGTCTGCGGGCCCAAACTGGTTCACGGCACTTCGAAGGCAGTTGCTGACGGCAGCCGCAGAAAACAATTAGTGTCAAATGTTTTCTTCCTGTAGCAGTGAGGGACTCCCTGAGGGTGAGCACTTCAAACAGGCTGAGAAACATCACCGAAATCACAAACAACAATAAACCAGAGCTGGGAGATAATCCAATACGAAACTTCCCGTCAAATTGATGTTTAAACTCCGTTTTCCACATGAACGGTTAAAAGGGTTTTTCAATGATCATTTAATTTAACATCAATTTCCGTCTTTCTGCAATTTGCATAGGATTGCTATTTTATGATCTGAAAAATGGATTATTATGTGGAGGTTTTAGTTTTCTAGGCACCATTATGGAAGTCTTTTAAAGGTTTACAAGCCATGAAACTACTGAGAAGAAACTCTGAAGGTACAAAAACAGCCAAGAGTCAACAGTGTTTCCTTTGAACAGGGTCCCTGATCATAGGTTGGGGTATTTATGTCTTATGTTACCACTCTGTCTTACTCCTTCAGTAAACTCTTAAAACTCCACTCATCCTTTGCAAAATGCTGACTACCACGAAGGGGTCCATGCAAATCAGATTCGCTTCTTAAATCAGATCTTTAAGAAATCCAATTTTGTCTGCAACGTCATTTGCAAACAATCAGAGATCAGATTTGTGTGTCCAGAGTCCGAACATTACCAACATCTGGACTGGTTGTTGTTGCGTCTTAGCCTCGGCGGCTTTGACTCACTCCTGTCAGTCTGAATTTGCTGTTCTCATTTTTCTATTTCAAGTGACACAAAATAGACTTTGAAAGCAGATTTGAGCTGCCACATTACTCTGAGGCATTTAAAACAAACTCTCAATCTGACTTTGATCTGATTTGCAAAAACTGTTTTTTTTATGTGTGTATAAGTGTGTGTTTTCAGTATTTCTTAAATGAATTATGAAATTAGCTTGAAAACAAACTTTGGTTGAAACCCTGCCCAAGAAACTGCAGTCTTTAGGTGTAAAAAAGAGCCCTTAATGACAGTGAGGAGTTGCACATCCTTTTTCTGAAAGCATCAAGGTTGCTGACTGAGGCTCCTATATTCCAAATACCTCAGTATTTTTTAGGTATCAAGACCCTGAATATACAAAGATAAGCCCCAGGGTAAATATGTCAGAATAATTCCCTAATGATGCGCATATGTTTGCAGAGAGTGTAAATTTCAGTCATTGGGAGTAAATCCTGCAGATTGTGTTTGTGCCAGATTTGAACTGTCATAAAAGCACATGTTTAATAAACAGTATGAAGCAGATATGGTTTCATTCATGTGTTTGTTTCTGTTGGTAAAACAAAGCTCTGCTCCTCTTTGCAATATCAGCCACACCAGAGTAAGGACAGGTGAGCTAACTGCCTCCCTTTGTAAGTGAGCTGCTTAATGTTCAGGTAATTTACTCCCCTCCTTAAACGGGGTGACTGTCTCTCTTCTCCTCCATCGCCTTTAAAAAGCCCTGGCACTACTTAACAGGAATAAGCTGCAGCACAATAGAAACAGTGAGTCAGGCTGAGGCGAAGAGAAAGAACTGAAGCTCGCTCTGATGAGATCCTTGCACACTCCCAGCCGGACATCAGCAGCGATGCAGAGCGGCGCCTGGGCTCTTTCATTCCAGCGCAGCCTTTCCTTTCCCTCGCCCCCTTTTCATAGTTACACTGCCAATGTAATTTTCCATGAGAGCTGCTCCATTTATCAAGGCCAGTGGCACATTGAGGCAGCTGACGAATGCCTTACTCCTCTAGATTTGTATAATGAGAGGTGGGAGAGCGAGACACACTCGGAGGTGGTTAGCACTTGTATGGAGGAAGTAGAGATGATTTATTCAGCATCTGAGAGCCAATGCTTTAGGGGGCTTTCACTCAGGACAAGGACAATGTAGCCGTGCTATTACACTTACTCCTCGGAGAACAAGATTACTGCTGAGACTCATACTGATTAATGCTTGAATTAAATTGGACAAGGGACAGCTAGTTCTTGTAAATCAACAGTCAGACTGTAACGAGGCTGACAAATGCTCCAATCTGCGTTAGATATCCAAAACAATGCTGAGATGTTACACTCTGCAATTCTCGGTAAACATACTCGGTAAACAACATTCTTCACAAAAAACAGCAAAAAAAAAAAAAAGGATTTAAAAACCACCGAACAGATAAGGTTATTTCTTCGAGCTGCCAGGACTGAATGTAGATTTCCAAATGTTGAGTCCCATAAGGAAGAAAGTAGGATTCCTAAATCCTCCCAAAGGGCACAGATAGGAAGTGTTGAGTCAGGTCACTCATCATTTTCTTTGCCATTTTTTCCCATCAGCCTCAGTATCTATTTCACAGTTAGTGCAGACTGCCAAGAGAGTCTAGCCTGTGGACAAAACGCAGGATACTGCGGCCGGTGTGTGGAGGAAGAGTGGGACTCTACTCCCACGTGTGTGATGGAAAAGATTCATCCCAAGCTTTAAGACGTCGCAGGTAAAACAAGACAGTGTGACACGTCTGTTCTGCAGATCTGGGCTGGTTTTGACAGGACTCTACTGAGGAGAGGATGTTTAACTAAGTGTACGTAGTTGATTTTAACAAGCACAAGCTCAGATAAACATGAGTTATTCAAAGCCACAAAATAATTTAATAGGTTGTTATAAGGGGAGGGAGATAGTTTTGTGATATTTTGTCTGGTGAAGTATCATATCATCTCATTTACCAAGTATCGATTTTTCAAATAAATTGCTAAGAACAACTATATATGGTTTGCAAGATGTGCTACATAATTTAAAATACTGTTCAAACATGACAAACTTAAAAGGAAAAACAAATGCTAACATAGCTTAACAGTTGGAAAATTGTATAAATTGCAATAATATTGAATCACAATACTCACTGTATTGCAAAGTGTTAAAAATTGCAATAATATCGTATCGTGGCCAAAGTATCATGATAAAATCGTATTGTGGGGCCACTGGTGATTCCCAACCCTAGTTGCTATTTCTGTGAAGTGGTCACAGTTGGAACTGCAGGCTAAGTGGCGCCTCTAGGCTCAAATAAGGACATATGATATGAGAAAAACCAACATGGAGATATAACTTGTGTGATATTGATCGCAATAAGAAGGAATAAAATAAACAAAATGAATGGCTTTATATACATAAAAATTTAACATTAGTCTCTAGTATCATTTGTGATCTGATGTCTCAAAATCATATATTTTTATTTTTAGACTCTTTCATTCAGCCCTATACCAGCAGATCTGACACTGTCCTCTTACCAGTTTCAGCTGGATTGAGACAATAAATTGATTTCTTTAACTGCATGAAAATATACTGACTGTTTAAAGATCACTGCATTGGAGTATCCACGTTCCCCTGCAACACTTCACCATAGGTGCAATTTCAGTACTTGTGAATCGCCAGTTAATGGCTCCTCTGCTTGTTTGTGTACAGGGAACCATGGGAACTTGATCTGAGCGTATGATGTTGGAGTTGGAGCTGATATATGTCAGGCTGCAGTCACACATACTGCTCCTGTTGCGTTAAAAAAAGAGAGAAAACGCCACAGGAGATTGAATGTAAGGCGCTAAATCAAAGGTGGATGTTGCAGACCGATCACAGGGTTTACAGTCTGTGTTGTTTCACGGCACAGCAGGCGATGCACCTATAGGCTTCTGCTTATACAGGGCTATACAAACGTACAGCATAGATTTAACGCCTCATACTTCAGCTGCTCTGATTTTATGAAAGAAGCTTTTTCCAAGAACTTTCAACATATTCAATATCACTTTAAAAACTGCTCTTCAAACTGACATTAAAGCCACATAATAACAGACATTTTTTTTATTCACCGTGCTTTCAAGGATACCTTTCACCCGCCAGCTATTTGAAAGCAGTTGTGACCTCTCTGCTTTATTCAGAGTTGTAAACCAATTCACGTGGTTCTTCATCAAAAGCCTCTTCATTGTAAATACTTTATGATTACAAAGACTTCCCTGAAATTGCCTTTCAAAGCAATCAGCCCAAGGAGACTCTGCAGCTTGTGCTCATGACTGGTTGTCCTGGATTTAAGGAATCAAACAGGCTTCCTCACAGCCCATCCCCCACGCCACTTTCAGAGCAGCAGGAAAAACGACGAAGGCGTGCTTTGCACCGGATCCCTCCCCCACACGCTGCTCCAGCAGGCATCGCTGGGGCTTGTGGGATTAAGAATGGAACACGATGACAGACAAAAACAGTCCTCAGCACCTCCCTGCTCTGCTGTCTTTTATTCTGCCAGAGCATGAAAAGACTGCTACGAGGCGTACAATAGACGCAGTGATAGATCAACTCTATGAGTGAACAAGATAAGTGTGGGTGAACAGCTACACAAATCTTTATATTGTTCTTGTGAGATAATGTCAGCGTTGAAATTGTGTGAATAAAAAAAAGGGGAACACGATGTGACATTTACTTAACTTCACGGGCGTGATGTGATGTTTATGGCTGACAACCTCCATTATACCGCTGTCTGACTGTGGGACTTGGTTTACTGGCTCATGTATGGTACACAACACTTCATGGTTATTTGTATCTAATGTTGGCGGGTTTTGATTTCCAACGCGGCTTTAGATTTTTCTTACATAAAGCCGACATATGGGGCATCTCTTTAAAATTAATCAAGCCTGTACTGTCAGGAAACACCATTGTGAGGGCTATTTCCTGTAGCTGATCTCAGCATCATATTCGCCTAGGGTGCCCTTATTCACCGTGTGGTAATAAAAGAGAGAGCAGCAGTAGGTCTTTTTATGCATCACGAGTCAGGCAGCTTCAGGGGAATAGAGTGAATCTCTGAGCCTGCTGTAAGCGACAGGCTGTAACAAAGCACAACTCCAAGAACCCTACAGAGTCTGCTCCTATTGTGTTGCTTCAAACCATGATAATTACATCCATGAAACCCAGCGCCAATACAAAAAAAAATCCTCTTTTCGCAGTAAAATGTCGCTAATTGTAGCAGGTTTTTGGAGAAGGCAGTGATAAGTGAGTTTTTACCCGACACGTTTAAATAACTTTCATTTCACGACACCAGTTTCTCAAGTTTGGAAGCTGAAAATTGAAAATGAGACTCTGTTGTCAAAGAAAACTCACTGGTGTAACTTCCTGGTTTGACACAGTAGTTCAGGTTGCAGTAAATGTTTCGCAGCCTTTAATCAGGGATGTGATTACTCAATAGTATTTGCAATTTAAGGAAATGTGAGGGAGATCTCACCATGATCAATTAAAAGCACCAGGCTGAGTTCAACCTCAACACAAACATTAAGTATGAAAGCATCACCACTTTAAGACATCCTGAAATCCTCCTGATTTCACCCAATAGTTTTTGCATAGAACTATGATTCTTTACGTATTATTCCTTAGGAACCCAAACTTAGGTATTATCTGAGAGCTGATTGTGTCCACTTAAACCTCAGAGTAGTTCGAGCCACCAAACAAACACATGAAGCACCAACAGAGAGGAAACAGATGCCTTACCTTTTCGTTTTTCACCTTCTTCAATGTCTTGCATTCACTATTTCCATTCTCCACCTCCTCTGATTCAGTTTTTGTGGTCAGTGTTGGTACTATCCCAACAGGTTCAAGTGCAATATTCCCCATTTGATTGGCTTCTGCCAAGTCTGTTGATTGTGTGTTCTCAAAGGATGTGTTACGACTATTCCCCAAAGCAACTTGGGCTTGAGACACCACATCCTTCTCCACAGCAGTTATCGCCACCACTGGGGCTCCATCAGTTTTGTCCTTCTTACTTTTCCCACTCGCCCCCTCTTTCTCCTTTTTACCACCAAAAACCCCTCTGGAGGCTTTGCCCCCTTTCTCCATGTTCTTCCCAGAGGTGGCGTTGTTTCCAGCGGCTCCTGCACCCGCTGCTGTGCCTGTTGGCTCCCCTTGAGTCCGTCCTGTGGGTTCTTTCTTACCCCCATCTCCTGCTGAAGCTTTGCTACTATTGTCTTTAGAGTTCTTACTGCGCTTGTATTTGGATTTGCTCTCCTTGCCTTGAGAGCCAGACCCGGGACTAACAAACCTGATGTTCTCTGGCAATGCTGCAACTGCACTTGGTGGTGCCGCCATACCGTCCTTGGTTCCAGACATCTCAAGTTTGTCCTTCTCTAAATCAGCGTCAAGGTCGATAATCAGATTTCCAACGCCAATATCCCACTCATCCCCGCTGTCGTAAGTGTCCACCGCATTCGAGTCCACACCTTTCCCGCCTGCAGTGCCACCACTTAGGGACATTTTAGTGCCAACGGCCCAGGATTGCCTCAGGGAGGTCCGACACCCTCTCAGACGGTTGGGACTCGAGGGCAGGGGTTAGAGAATCCTCACGGTGTACTCGTTCCTGTCCCATTTAACCACATTGCGTCCTAGAAAGGAAGGAGAATATGAAATGTTAGTCTTATAATTACGACACCAGTACTACTACAGCTCTGCCATTGCAGAGTAGAGCATTACACTGGGGACCAAACACACAAAAAACGTTTGATCATGAGCCAGTAATTCTCTGATGATCGCTGCACAAACCACTATGGTAATACCCACTGGTGTGACAGCACTGCTCCAAAACCCTCTCTTCATAATCACTTCCCACAGTCTCCATAGCAACCATGGGAAATGTAGCTTAAATCCTGCTTTGACAGCCAAGGTGGCCCCACTGTTCTGAATGACTGGCTCCCTTTTCAGGAGGCAACTGCTGATAGTGTCACTGCTGATAAATAAGGAGTAGCTGGCCTCACACACCCCCACACGGTTAACAGAGCCGTGCCTTTTCAACTCCAGCACACAATGGTAATCTTGCATTAACAGGGGAGCTTAGGAACATGAATGAAGCAGTGTTTGCCTCAGGAGAACATCACTCGGTTGTATTTGCTTACACGGTACAACTAAAAGGTCACAGTATCTTTTAGCAAATTGATTCGAGGGCGTTTAATTTTGGATAAAAACTCCAAAAACATCAGGGTCAGTCACTTCATTCTCACATTGTAGATCAAGTGTGTTCTCAGACCAGGGTTGGTTTGTTTTTTTAGATGTATTAGTTGTGGAAAGAGCTCTCTTTAACATAATTTATGTGTTGTTTTTTAGCTCTTCCCTGCCCTTAATTATTCTGAGGAGCTGAAATATAAAGCACATCGAGTTTCTCTTGTGAATAACACATACAATATGGACACAGTTTGCCTTGGCAGCTGCGTCCGTATCATTACTCCTCTTAAGTCCTCGCCTTCAGCAACCACCAATTAGATTGTCGATTTTAAAACACCATGACTCGCGCTGTTTATTATGGAAAATGTTTTCTGCAGATAAATATGTTGTAGACGCTTTAATGCTTGTGATGCATGAAAATTAAAAAATGCACTCTGAAATGTTAGCGAAGCGTTTGAAACAGCTTCTTGTAGAAATAAGCGAGGCTGACCTTAAATTCATGTGACTGTTCCTTTAAATAGTAGAGCATCGCTTGCGTAAAAGTGAAGAACTAAAGGCGCCTGGTAAATAAAGAAACCAATGTGAGGACAACAAAGTAGATGCTGTACTATAAAATCAGAGCTTCTTGTGTTCACAGTCTCCTGAGAGCTCTCTTCATCTCGGTAAATAATTAACCATCTCATGTGTTCTCCTCATCTCTCTAATGTAAAGGATGAAGGAAACCCAGGGTCACCCAGGTGATGAGATCAATACCGCCTCAAACGCACATGAATTTAGATGACTCTCTTTGTGCTGCGCCTACAGACCCTACTGAGAAAATACAAAGTGGAGCCTTACAAAAACCTCAAAATCTTGACCATGTTTTATTTTATTTCAAAGCCAAGCCTCTCTGAAGTCATGCTGTTTCTACTATGATCATAAAAATGGTTTATTCCAGTGTGCATGCTCTATTACAGCATGAAATACTCCACTCTGGCCTGATTCAGAAAAAGATAATGGCACTACTATGTCAACACTATTACCGAACACCGCAAATGAAAACAAATATTTCCTATTATATTCCCCATTACATGCAGCCTGGCTCTGATAGACTAAATGACCTAAATTCTACAGAGACGTCCCAAAGACAAATTTGTCTCTTCCTCTAGCTCAGTCACTTTGCCCCTGAGTCACTCCCATGTCTTGCATAATGCAGAACAGAAGGTATGTTTCTCCTTTCAACTGCTAGTGCGGGTGTTTCTGTTGTGCATCCATCTTTACACCAGCCGTGCAAATGTCTGGATAGCTGCTTTTCTGTCGGCTTGTGCAGAAAGATGACTGCAAACTAGCAAGAGGCCAAGTGTTGGTAATTTACAAACTGTGTAAATGTGACATGGAGGTTGACTATAAAGCCGTATTCAGAGTACATATATGAGGGGATGTGTCTACTATTTTTTCCTGATGGCAGTGCCCACTACCTCAAATTCAGAGTGCCTCTTAATGGTGTTTACTGTTGCTAGGTTACGAACGTTGTCCCACCGCACTATCCCTACTCTCAGTAGACTGCTAGGTCTGTTTTAAAATGCTCTTTATGCTTCATGTTGGCTTTCATTCAATCACGCTCTAAATTAGACTGAATTCCTGTTGTAGCATTATAAGCAGCAAAACGACTTTTAAATAACTGACTGTCAACTTTCTCCTCTATATTGTTGACAAAGATGATACAAGAAATCCCATCCCTGATTGGTTTTTTTATTGGCTGGTGATCGAGAAGCAGCAACACAAATGGGCTGATGGGCTGAAGACTGTAAGCACTTCAAGACTAAAATATAGAAAAGTAGAAAAATTGTGCACTGCCAGCACAAAAACAGCATTAATAAAAAGTCCCTTAATGATGCAAATCAAATGTTGAATTATTGGAGAATTGTATTGAATAAGATGTGTGCATGTAAACATACTCCCTCTGTCAACATTAAACTCTTTTCACTAGTCCAGTTTCATCTTCCTTAGGAATTAGAGCCACAGAAGTATAAAAGGCAACATCTGCAGAACTGAGATGTTATTTCTGTGCTTCATGTAGAGCTGTGATTGTTGGGAAAAGCAGCCACTGTGCAGTTCTGACTCCTACTCACCGCTCATTAGGACAACAGTCCAAAATGGCAGCTGGATCACACAGTGCACAGAGCTCGTGTTGATTCAGTTAAGGGGCCATTCATATCGCCCCAGCAGTGACAGCAGTAAAGCTGTTGAACAATCATTTGATCACTGAGCCCGCTTATTCCTCACAGATGGCTCCCCAAAGGAACAACAGTCAGTGGCAGGTTTGGAGGGTGGAGAGATGCAGCTGTCCCTGTTTGACTGGGTAAACAGTTGTGAGGTCTAATTTGTCCAACACCTCCACAAAAGAGAGGTTGTAACTCTATCTCCAGTTGACCTACTGTACTGCCCTTAGCTGGAACTTGCAGTGCAAGCCCTTTTGAAAAAGCCCCGCTGAGGAAATGTCCCGGCGAGTGCCCCTGTTGAGCGAAAGGCACGCAGGCTGTGCAACTCCCAGAGTGCTTGTCCTTTTTTCACAGATCCAGTTTCATTCAGCAATCTATCACGGAGGCCGCATTAGCAGGAATGAGAGTGCAGGGACGGACAGCAGGAAGCAATTTCTGGTCAAACAGCAGGGCGAAAACTAAATTGGATCTGGTGTTAGGTTCACTGATCAATGACGGTAAAGAAATAGACATTTTATCCACTTTTTTTTACTATTCTGGCTATTAGTCCAGCCAAAATAGTACCATATACGGTTATTTGTTTGGAGAGAAAGTGGAAAAATCCTGCAAACACAACACATCTGCCACTGTCTAACTTGGACGGTCAGGTCTAACACTGTGTCCAAATAAAACTCTTTTTTGCTTCATGATACGTTCAGCTGAGCTGTACCCGACTGAAATTTGGATTTTTTGGTTTCCAGTTCAAAAAGCTGTGGATAACACCTGCTTTCTAGTTTTTAGATATTTTTAAGGCCAAGGTCTCAGACAAGCTAAGCCGACTCCTAATACATAGAGGTAAAAAAAAAAACTGCAAACTCCTAAGAAAACGGTACCACCTGATAAAAAGCCTTCTCTTTCTGAGGAAAACAAGCTCACAAAAATTAAAACCTGCAAGAGCACGCCATGAAGTGCAAACGATCCTCTGGTCAGCTGCCAACAAAAGCGAGAGCTGTGGTGCAGATGATATCACTGCAATTTCAAAAGCATCGCTATGATGATCAGCTCAAAAAGTCTTCCCTGCACAGATGAGGTATCATCTTCAGTGGAAAACTAAACTGAGAACATTCGGCTGAGCAGATTCCTGCAGCACCAGCAGCTTCATATGATTTTTTTATGTGCCTGATGAAGATGTTTATCTAGACGAGGTTGGATAAAAGGTGAAAGATAATCACACTGCAGGCTTTATTCACCTTTTAAATTGCTTTCAGATCACTGTGCATTTTCAAGCAACACATTGAGGGGAACCTACCTAAAATATGACCATAAAATCATCAAATAGACTTTTATTTTTCATCGCAATTAAAGAAGCATGCGATGCATAACATACGTTTTAAGTCCTCTATGTCAGAGAGTGGATCAGCTAATTATAGTTTCAATTGCAGAGATAAAAACAGCTTCTCAGCTCAGGCATAAACGAGATCTGCCCTCAAATTAGGCATGTGTCAACATGAAAATTTCACAGAATGACTACCTGGGCTAGAACAATCTCTGAGCGTGATATTATCACAATAATTACCCCAGTGAGATGATAAGCTTCAAATATTATTAAAACGTAGGTACTTCAGTGACAGAAGCGCTGTGCTGCTCCTCATTTTAAATAGTTTGAGAGGAAATACCTTCGTTTAGAGGAAGGAAAGTCGGAAAGCTTTCCAAGCATTAATATGCATTTACTCTTATTCCTACTAAGGCCTTTGTTTATTGAAGTTCCTGTTATAATTGCAACAATAAAACCTTGGGCTACAGAAGATATTTTGTTATGAAGGTTTGAGCGTAGTCGGGATGATTATCGTCTTATCTCTGCTCCCGATGCTCCAAACCTCATTAAGAGCAGAAAAACTCCTCTCTGTTGTGACTTAAATCTTCATGCAGAGACTCCGAACAGAGCGCGGCTCAGCAAGGAGATTTGAACACCTCTGAAATCTCCTCTACATGCCCCGCATAGCTGTGGCTCTGGGTATCAAACAAGCGCAGACTGGTTGAACAGGGGAGGGTTATCCAGGAGCACTGGGGTTGGGCGAGCACCGCACACATCACTAAAACAATAAACCGAATAGCAAATGCCAAAGAGGAGGTCTGTTTGTTTTTCATCAGCTTCGTAACCTCGTCAATTGAGAGTGTTGGGGTTTGTTGACTCTGGTGAGGTAAAGTAAGTGTGACACCATGTCGACTTCCAGAGGATTAACATTTACAATCAAGATGAACATTTTTCTGATGACACGATAGGGCTGTTTTCTTTAGCCGGCACTAGGGCGAGGACTTATCCATCAGTTCGTTATCTCCAAAACGTTAAAATTTGCAGTCTGCAAACAAGAGCGCATAAGACTTTTAAGCAGATACACAAGAAACTGCAGCATTAGCATAAGTAGGACAAACCAAAAAACTGAGCTGAGGGTTTGGTGTCTGGAAATGTGCATGCTTTCCTTCGCAGGTCATTTTAAAGGCTCCGGAAAGCCCCGCTGTAACCTCCATCTAATAGGATTGTGTTCTTGAGCTGATTACCAAAATAGAAATGCACCCAGCCAATCCAGGTGATGGGAATCAGGAGTCTGTGGGTCGACCTGCATCTCTGTCAGTGTATCTGTCGACAACAGATACACTGACAGAGATGAGAAGACCTCCGCTAACATGCAGCCTTCATGACAAAAAATTTCCCTCAAATTTCATTAAAGCATGTATTTGTAATCTCTGGATCCAACAGATTTTTATAAATAAATTCAGAAACTCGATTATGTCACTTTTGGTTAGCCCACAAAAATGTTAATGTGTAATAATCAGAGCTTTGCTGCCAAAGGGTGTTTTTATACCCACCACTGCAGACGCTCTCTGGACTCTTGTTCTGGCAGCTGTGTGGCTCAAATCGACAGTAAGGAAAGAAGTGTGAAATATGCAGATTGCTCTCTGGCTGATGAGGCCTCAGACTCTGGTGTGATGCAGCGAAAACAACAAAGCCCTCGCTCCTCACTGCCTCAAACTACATCAGTCTGTCTGTTTTTCCGAGTAAAGGTTGGTTTGAAGAGAAACAGGAGCACACAAATGAAATTTAAATTGAGGTCCAATAACGAGTTTGTGGCTGCAAAACAACTCGATCACAACAACAGCGGTGAGCATCGAGGTCAGCTGATCTGTAATTCAAATCGAGCGATGACAGGTAAAAGTCGAGGAATCATAAAACTGTCTTCTTGACATTACTGCTACAAAGCTCCTCTGCTTGTCCCGGCAGGAGTCTTACATAATTTGCCAATCCGAGACAAGATTTTTCAGGTGTTTGAAAATTATAGTGTCTTTAGCAGCTTAGTATGCAACCACTCGCTGCAGGCTAAAGGAGCATTGATAAGAGATAATCCTCTATAAGTTGGGAAATTTGTACTGTTCCAGCAGCGAAGTAGCATAACATGAAAAAAAGGAAAAAATAAAGATGCCGGCTAGAGCTGGATAATAGATTTGTGCAGAATTACCCCACTTTGTACATGGTTTATAAACATGCAGCAAAGGAAAACTGAAAACCTTGTGGAGCGCTGCTTTGATTGAAAACGCTCTTCAATTTAATAAGAGAGACCGTGAGTTTTGTGAATTGATTTGAGTGCAAAGGGTTCAAACCTGACAACTGAACCATTACCACAGCCAGGTGGTTCCAGAGAGAGCTACACATCCGCACAGAAACTGCTCATAGTGGAATGTAAATGGGAGTTTCTCCACAGGAACACAGTTTAAACCGAAGCAAACTATTTCATAGACCCAAGCTAATCATGCTTTGGATTTGTTTTTGGGATTACACATATATCAAGAAAAGTACATTCGGGACACACATTTATGCAAAATCCCTGAATATCTGTCACTCGTTTCCTGACTAAATGACATGCTGATATAATCCGATCAGTTTATATCATGCTTGTATGATTAACTCCGGTCATACTGTCAATGCAACCCCATGGTTATGTTTTCATACATGCAGAAATTCCTCTATTGAATACACAAGGTCAGCACACGAAGACCTTTGCAGAATGGTTCCTGTCTGAGTAATATTTGCATATTTGACTGAAAATGACTTTGAAATAACCAAAAAAATAACCCTGCTGCTCTGGGCCTGAGTGCTTCAGGCAGGTACTGAGAGTGCTTCTCTCATTCAGGCAATGCTGTCCAAGGTCGGTGAGGCGGAGCATCTTTATCTTACAGCGAATTCCAACAACACGGTAAAACGAAATGCACTAGCATCAGAGGTGAATGGCACTAAGCCAATTTACAAAAAGAAATATGGGAAATATATATAAAAAAAAAAACAATAATACGGATGAAAGGGAAATTCAATTTAAGTATAAGGTAAGAGGAAAAAAAAAACAGGGATGAATAAATCCCTCCAGATCCCATCTACGCTAATAAAAGATAGTGGCAAACAAAAAAAAAAGGTGCGAGGAGCATCACACAAATCGAATGTGTTGGATTCAGCGCCTGTTCAGTATGCACAATCAAAGCATTCACTTAGTGTCAGTATCAGTAACAGCAGCAGTGCGAAAATTCAACATAATGCAGGTAATTCATATTGACTGCTTCTGATTTAAACAGCTAGTAAGAGCCTTTGACAAGATGCAACAACAACAGCAGCAGCTGCTGCATTATTGAAAAGTGTATCATCTGTACCTGCTCACCGCAAGTATTAAAGCTTATATGAGGACATTAAGCATTACGGGACTTAGGTGGAAGTGATCAGAGTGTGGGTGGGGGATGGGGTCAGTGAGCCTCTTGACATGATGTGTCTAACTGTGGACTAATGGAGATAATTGCCAGCGACTGAAGGCGATACACAAAAACGAAGACCTGCTATTTCTAAACAAAACTGTAATTATGTTGAATTATGCTACGAGAGCTTGTTTCAATGATGCTAAAGTGAAGTATGAGGATATTACTTGGTAATGTAATAACCTACAAGGTCAACCAATCATCAAGCCATCATTAATGTTTCATCACTCCTCACAGTTTCCAGACAGCTCACACTTCCTCTGACGGTAGTAAGAAAAGATTAACGGTAGAATAAACATTTGCTGTCAAGGTGTAAGTGGCTGACAGATGTAATCAGGTCTGTGTGAACTGTAATGAAAATGAGCAAAATATCACAGTCGACTTATTAGAAGTGAAGATTCATTTGGTTCACACGAATCAAAGCGCATTTACTGTTGTTTGCTTGCCAAGGAAAATTATCTTCATCTCATTCATGCAAAACGGAAACACAAGCGCCTGACACAAAGCACTCAATCCTGCAGAATAACTATTGGCAATCACCTCATTTTGTCATCAACGGCATCAATTGATGGTTGAAAAGAGGCAAACGACTAACAATCATGTTCACTAATACTGAACCTGCTGACAAGTGGGTTCGGTAAGAGACGCAAAAGAAAACCTAGAATCAGCAAATTTGTGACTTTTTATGTGCGGGAAGAGTGATCAGCCTCTTCCAATCGACTACTCGGTTTAATGTAGTCCAAGAAAACACAATCCAGACTTAATGACACTAAAACAATCATAATTTAGTGAACCAACAGAGCAACGCTGAGTCTGAGCTGAGAATTTCACTGAAACACGAGCGCTAATAAATAATCAAATTGTGGTTTGTCTGTGGCAGCAGCCGACTCAGAGGATGAAAAGAACATTCACACACCAGCCAGCGTGTAAGAAAACCTCAATCTTAAAACCTTGACAAGGTGCCAGATTGATTTTTCCTTTGCTCAAAGGAGGACTCTAGCAGAAACAAGAGCAGCTCCATTAACATGCTCAGCCATCCCACTCCGCCATGATTTCTGGATTACAAAAGCCAGTCTCTGCGATTCTCCAGCACTTCTCATTATCTCTGCTCACTCCATCCTATAATTGAGACACTCGCTCTCAATGCGAGTCGATATAGCAGCAGCAGCGGCAGCATCTACTGCAGCACACTTGTTTGTGCTTGAGGAGTGCAAACTAAAAGTCTTATGGAGAAATTCAAGGTTGAAAATTAGGAAGATTTTCAAATAAATTACCATCAGTCCAGCCATGAAAACTGCAAGTTATTGGAGGTAGAGAGAAGGGGAAACAGAGATGCAGCAAATTTACTGATTAAGATGCTTTTGTTTTTGTCACCTTAAAGGTAAGCTGCCTACTTTACGCTTGTGCAACTAATATATCGGAATTACTGTAATGCCATTTTTACCCAGAAGATGGCAGGTGACCGCTCTGCTGTACAAAGGCTGCTGAATACACACTAAGTTGTTCAAGTCTAGCAGCACCACTTTCATTTCATCATAAGGTCATAATCATACATTTTAAAATGTGGCATACTACAAATTAACAGTAAATAAATTGTCAGGAAATGAAAAGATTCCTCCATACCGAAGAAGGAGACAGGCAGGCAGTGAGTAAGTCCATCCCTCACAATGACCAACATTATTGTTGGCTCCACATCTGCAAAGAAACTGCATGTTGCTGAACGCGATGGAAGTCCTAAGACTTTTCCTGATATTTTAGGGTAACTTAAACACCAGATTTTACAGTAAAAATCTAGTTCCCACTTCTCATCATGTTTGGCACATGCATCAATTAATCTGTAAACTCTTTCTTTATTGAGCTGCACTTGGTTTGTAGGATGGCAAGCTGCTTATAATGTTGCCATGGTATAAAATGGTATCATCTGCATAACAGTCGTTTAAATCCGGTTCGTATTAAGAACAAAAGGGAACAAATACTGACTGTATTTTAAAGATTTGGAGAGTTTTTTGATGGGGTGACAGTTTGACAGGAAATATAAGGGGGATGCTATGCCCTAAGAATCGTTGGGCCTGGGAATCAATCCTATGACTAGTGAAATGTGTACTGTAAGAGGGGGCACCTGCCCTACAAACATAATATATATATATAACATGATAATAAAGTGTGAACAGTCATGGTTCAGAACTTAAACAGAAATTGTTTATAGCTGGAAAAACAACTTCTTGGTTATTTGGCCATTACTTATTCTTAAATAAATAAATCTTGCAAGAAATCAGGACATGACCAACAGAAAAGTGTTTCACTTTGAATGAGCTGCAGATGTCACATGGGCTCAATCTGTTAACTAAAAAGACTCCCCCAGTTTCAGCATCCTCCTGACTTGAATTAAAAGTATTTTCAGTCCATGGTTCAAAGTCTGGTAAGAGCCAACAAGAGAGAAAGTGAAGAGAACTTCACCATTAACCAACACACTGAATTATTCAAAAGCACAAGTGCCAGAGGAGAAGAAGGAGCGCAAAGTGCTTCTTGTTGAATTTTGTGTTGACAACTACAAACCCTTCCACAGCCAGATACTCCGAGCTGGTGTTAATAAATTAGGAATAGCTGCAAAGATGTTGCAGACTAAATGACTGGGTTTGACTTTCCGTCTAACTTTGCTGTCAAAATATGGAGACCAGAGCTCTGTTCAGTGGAAAGAGTCTGACATCTCAACACAAAAGAGACAAAGGTTCAAGAGTTTAAGAAGACACATCCCTCACAAAGGCACAGACAAGGAGTCAGCAGCATTGTACATTTGGTGATCATACTTTTGTCAGCCATAGTACTGACATATAAAATATAAAAATATCAGTTTTAAGTTCAGTCTATGAGGAATTCTGGTGCGAGCTAGCAAGGATAGCAAAACTGAACCCTTTAGTTGACTTAATGGCGGTTAACCCAGAAGTCACAAGCAAGAAAATGTTTTGTTTTTAAGTGCAGATCAAGACAAGCAAAGATGTTCGCATAAATTAAACCCTTCTGTGACCTCAGAAACTGTTTTCTTTGGGTTATCTGGCTTTACTTAACCTGACAGAGGAGATTACACTCATTAGTCCCACACAGTTGGCAATCGACCTGATGAGTCAACCCAGAGTTATTGAAAACGGGGCAGTGTTCTCAACAGTCATCTGTAAGCAGACTGCCATACTTTATGAGCTCAGGGGTAAACTACTACATGAGGAAAACACGAAGTCTGACTCTGAGATTTCCGCCTCCTACATATTTACTTTATTCCCTCATCAGGCTCCAGAGATGACAGAGTACCATTTTTGTTTGATGGTCACATCCTTGGCACCTTAATGGCTTTTCCTGGGAAGGTCTTAAACGTTATTCACTAAATCTTTTGAAATAAACAAGCCAGACTCGAGGTCAGCTTATAGTGCTAAGGACTTGATTTGATTATAACGGACTCAGGAATTAGTGGCAATGTTGGGGGTTGGGCAGATCAGTAAACACGGCAGGCTCAGGCTGGAGCTCTTTAAAGGATAATCAGCGTGACCGACACGCCTGACAGCCTTCAGTTAACACGAGTCAAGTCTGACTTCAAATCAAGATTATTAACTAATGTGAAGACAAGATTAAGCTAAACCAATGATGCACAGATCCTTTGTCACTCCATGTCAGAGAATGCAACGGATACCACAAACACTTTGATAAAGGTTTATCCATCCAGTTGTGTCACACTGTCATGAGTTAAGAGGTTTTTAAGATAAGGAAACTATTGAACACCACTCCACAAGTAACACAGCAAGATGAACAACTATTATGGTTGCATCTTTCTAAAAAGAAATGTACTGCAGACAATGTTCTTGAGATGTTAAATCCAGGACTTAAAGATGTAAATGCTAAAACATGAAGTAATTAAAGCTTTCTTTTGCAGCCATGTGACAACAATCAACACTGAGGTTTATTTATCCAAATGTCTGACAGTACCTGCTGTTAAAAGACATTTACAGAGGTATGTTTGTGTGTTAGAACATGTAGATCATCCAGAAACATCCAGCACTGCAGGTCAATTCTGATTTTTTAACCATATCTGATTTTTTTCATGTACATGTAAACAGTGCAATTCTTATTTTTTCAAATCCGACCCAGGCCTCTTTTGTATGTGGATATAAATCGGATATGTATCCGATGTGACTGCAGTGTGGACGCTCAGGTCGCGTTAATCCGACCTACAGTATACGTCATCAGTATGTGACAAACATCACCGTTGTTCGACAACACAAACAGGCGCAGAAAGCAATTTGTGCTTTGTACGCATGCGGGTCACTTCACGGATGCATTCTGTTCACATTAAATGCCGCATGCTGTTGTTGTAATGTGAACGACCGCACAAAAAGATCAGATTTAACAAAAAATCCGAATTGTGCATCATAACCTGCAGTATGAACGTAGCCTTATTTACCAGCCGAACCTCCTGTGCTTCAGCCCTTTACCTTCATTCATTGATAAATTACTACATTCTGCAAGACGGACCTTCAGTTTAAAAGCAAAGAAATTCACATTTGAGTGTTTTAACAATCAGAGGGAAAAATATGCAGCTTTAAAAACTTAAAAACAAACATAACTTAAATTTGTTGGCTGATCTTACTCTGCACACAAATACATAATAAAAAAAATCGACATCTCTCTAATACTGTAGAGGCTTTTGCCCGCTGGAATCTGTCCTGATTCGTCCATAAAACTCCTCCAAATGTTCAAAAGAGCTGACTTCATCAACACCACTAACTACATCTAAACTGCTGACGGTATGAGCCGTGCCGAACACAGAAAAACACATTGCCTGATAAGTTTCGACACCTCCCTGATCCATGCAGAATGTGCACGCTTGTTCATTGTCTCATAAGTGAACCACACTAACTCTTTGTGCAAATTGAGCTGTTTAGTTCACAGAAATATGAGCCTGTTCTCATTTTAGCACGTTCACGCATAACGCTGAACACAATCATGTTTTGGTTCAGCCAATTCTTTCTGACATGCACATCTGGCGTTTGTCCATTTGCTTTCTGCGAAGACAGGAATCTTGGTTGGAAGTCAAAAAAAAAAAAAAAAGAGAGAAGGAGAGTGCAAATCAGTTTTAATGCATCTAATATTCAAAGCTACAAACTGGTGGAAAATGTTCCAAAAACTACCTGCAATTATAAACTTTAAGTATTTTCCCATCAGTCAATGCTGCATCAGGCTTTTCTTCTCCATCCAGCATATAAACAGATGAGGAGTTGAATAAATATGTTGGGAAGAGCTAACTTGTTTTCCTTCTTGAATGCTGGCTGACAAATGAGGAGGCGGCAGAGCTGTGAAAGGACAAGGCCTGAGGCGAAAGAGCACACAGTCCCCCGTCTAACTCTGCTGTGTATGTGTCTCTTACTGTGTGTAGTTGTAATAGAATAAGATAAAGACACCACGTCTTCGCTTCAGTCTTTTGTGTATCGTTTATTACTGCTCTCCTGCTCGGGCAGCAGGCCAGGCCGGATCCTTACAGGACTCTGAAATAACCCCCTAAACACGATGCATCCACTCGAGCTAAGGTATCGACTTCATCTTCTCTTGACGTCTCCAAATGTTAAACTGTTGTAATCCATATTGAATCCTCTACTTACCTACTTTATGGCTGCAGGAATCTGCACCACAGCGACAGAGGCACGGCAGTAGTTTAACTGCTCCTTCTGAGAGTCAGGAATCTTCACTATGAGAGGACAACAGGCCACCGCTGAGTGACTAATACACTGCACTACTGTTTGAACCGTGGACAGTTGAGGTGTTGCCATGTGAATGTCTAACCAGAGAGAGGGCATGGACAACCATTAACCCTGAATAACTGCCTGCCTCTCCTCCAGCAGCTGCTTCACAAAGAGCGAGTCAACAGACTGGCCTTCAAACTGCCTTGTCACTCTCACATGGTAGCTGTCCAGAATCAATGCAGCGCCTCTGAGCCGTCTCTGAGAGGCCGAGTGTCACATTCAAAAAACGAGTTCGAGCACAATTTAGCAGAATACTCAAACTTTTTGACACGACGGAATCAATTCTTTAAAAGGGTCGGTTTTAGCATTCAACGTCAAAATAGACCCTCAACCTCCCACCTCTGGTAACTATCAGGATAAGTGCTGCTTCAGCAGAGAGAGGCGCCGTTCTCAAGGTGTTTCTAGAGGTCGCAGAAGTTTGAGTCACCGCTTAAGCACTCTAGTCAACTTGCTTTGAGGTTGCCTGAATTAGCTTTTTCCAGTTATGCTCTAAATGCATTCTGGTTGCAAAATTAAGTTTATTTGTGGGTTAGTTTTTAGGGCTGAAATCGACAGATTATGAGCACCTCATAAGACCAATAACCAATAATTGGGAATGTTCGACACTGACAGTATAAATGAGAAACTTTCCGTGAAAAAATTTACAAACTCAAACACAAAACTTTCTCAAAATGCAAATGGTTAATCAAAACTGAAACTTGCAACATCACGCACATAAGTTAACAGTTAACAAGTATCATGTAACTGTAGATTATGTCACACAGTCATCTGATATCTAGACAGTCATGGTGCAGTGGGTGAAATATCTGTGAGGACAGGTGGAGAATAAAAACAGACCCAGAGGGGGAGAAACACCAGCAACAAAGCCAGAGTAGCTCAATAAAATAAATGAATATTATCAGCCAAATATCAGCCTGATGATCTGCTGGAATCAATAATCTGTCTACCCGTGATTATCATTGGATGTAAGATGTCAGCTGATCCAGTGGTCCAAAGAAGCATTACAATGCATCATTTTTTCTGTCCATTATCTTGAAACTTAAAAAAGGACCAGTGTGAGTGAACTTACTGGAAAAAATGGAGATAGTATTTGAAATAGTGAAAAAGCATTAATGGGCCACAGAGAGGATGAGCTTTTATATATAGTACATAAAAAAATCTAGTTATCATCTGCATCAACCATGTTGCACTGTTATGTTTCAGAGAACCAACTGGTGTCTAAAGTAGGTAATTGGTGGAAATCAGGTCTGAACACCCAAGATTTGTTACCAACCAATTTTTTACACAGCTTAAGTACGTTACAATTTCTGACATGTACTAAGTTCCGTTCGTTTATGTAGTTATTTATTGTGTTTTAACATCTTTTAACCCTTATTTACCTTATTTTAAATTATAATAGTTAAGTCTAACTTTACATTGGCCCGGTCAGGGGAGACACTAGTGATTAACTCAGCAGAACCAACTTTTTAAATTGTATTTGATGTGTGTGGAAAGAGTTGCCTGAATATGACATGAGTCTTGTGATGGAGACAGATTATCCAGTGACCTCTGTAGGAAGCAGAGACCTTTAATCAACATCTACAGACACATGATAAAAAAGCTTTTTAACCAGTTTCAACATCTTTCAGTCTCAAAGATTTTTTAAATATCTATTCAACAGAAAAATGCTCACTGGGAGGGCCTTTCAGGTTTTTCAACCACAATGTGCAGCCTTACCGCTGGATGCCTCTTAATCCTGAACACCCGTCCTTTTAATCTGGTTCCTAAAACCCCCAAAAGAGCTGTTACATCTGACAGTGCGTGCTCACACTAACGCACGCTCTCCATCACTGTCGCATTGCTGGAAACGGCTTATAAGACCGGGGAGGAGTAGCATGCCACTGATAGTGAAACATCCTCTTTTAGTTACACCCACTATGGAGATAGAAGTACACTGGTGAAGCTCGGTGCATTCGCATTTCTCTACTCTCTAATACTGAGTAATTGCTTACTGGATGTTTGCTTAACCTTTTCACTCCAGTTCACTCCCACATTTCAACTCACATTATCCCTCATCTTGAATTTTTCGACACAGAGCAAACCGAGCTCTTTATTCTGTTTCACACGATCCTAAAAACGGCAACAGCTGCGGTTACATGCAGCAGAACACTAACACGGCACTCTGATGTCAGATTGAATACGTAACGCCCCATCTAGACATCTGACAGCCTTGTTTACATATTTGCTGCCACCATGATTGTTTGGTCACCCACTGCAGGAAGTGACAAGGTTACATGTGCGTCCACCTGCGAAATCGCACGTCAGCCAGGTCAGAGCTCAAATGCTCCATCACCCTGAAAATTAAGCGAGGCCGCTGGGTTTGCTCGCTTTTTTCCTCTGCCTGCGTCTGTAATCTTTTTTCCTTTAGCTATCCATCCACAGCAGCTCCTCTTCCAACCTGTCTGCTGTCTGTTCCTCCAGCATCGTCAATCTTCTTTTACAGAAGCTGCCAAATTAAAATGCAAAGCAAACACCTCGACTGACTGACTGACTGACTGACAGCACATTCTTCCTTTTTACGTCAGCTTCTTGCCGATTACAGTAAAACCGAAGACATCCATTCTGCTTACAATGAGACTGTGACACAGGTGCTTTTCTTCTGCCTTCATGTAACATCTTCATATAAAACTTGATATATTCACAGCTTGGAGGATCCCAATATCTCACTTTACTGCTAATAACACTAAAGCTCAATTTACGATTCCTACCATTCCTGCTGAGAGCGCCCGCAGCTCAGGATCTGATTTATGTCAGAACCAGTTGTTCACGTGGAACTGCGTCCTCGCAAGATGGATGCACAGTAGATTATCATGCATGCCAGACGTTTATTGTACGTCCAGAGTAAGTAGGTTTGCCTTCATTTATCCCCTCTCTTAAAAGCAGAGTTAGAAACTGTCTGTCAATGGAGGTTAAGCTCAATCACAAAACCCACATTTGTCTAACGTTATTGAAAAGGAGGATTAGTAGTGCTTCAACCAGCTCTAAGTTGTCTCCTCTATCAACAAATAACCACCAGCATTGAAAAAATGTACGACAAGCTGTCCAATTACAACACTTGTGGTCTCCATGTGGCCAGTATTGTGTCCGTTGCCCCGCACATAAATACCACAACATCTCAACACTGAGGCATAAATCTGCCTTAAGCTGTTGAGTGAAATGTTACACGCCCATATTTTTCCAAACCAGTCGGGACAGTCCAATCCAATTACGTTAAAGCCACAAGATTGCTTCTGTGACTGTTTAGACAAACGTCCGCAGCAGAGAGGTTTGTATGTGCAGCGAGCATCATGTTGGCGAAGCTGGAGTCGGGGGAAAACAGTGTTTACCACCTGCAGCGTCACAGTTTGACTTGTTTAAAGTCTTTACGGGGGATTTTATCCTGTAACGGGCGAGCGGAGGCTGTTGCTTTGAGGTATAGATCGCCTGATTTGCCCTTTAATGCTTTAAATCTACTCTCCCCTTATCAACATCATGCTGTTTTTCTAATTCAAAGCATTTTTTAAGTAATTCTCAACAGTGTAGCTAAATATGATTATTCTGTTTCATATATGCCCTGTGTGTGTGACTCTATCCTCTAAATAACAATAAAGCCTATCATAACACGCCAACCCGAGCACGTCCCTTCATACCACTCTCCCACATTGTTGACTTGGCCCATTTTCGCTTGTCAACTGAGCCGTCTTGGAGTGTTTTTTTAAGCTAAGTGTTTTACTCAGAAGTGTAAGGTATTTTGCATCCAGGGACTCTGCGGCAGTTTGACAACGCTATGTCAAAAGGGAAAAAATAGTTCCTGCTCCAGGGTCTAAACTGGTGCGCTGACTCCTAATTTTTTACAACCAACAACAACAAGATGTACGACCAAGAACAGCACCAGCACCTCACCCTTACAGAGCTTAGAACAACAAATTATTTCTATAAACATTTATTTTTCAGATTATTTAACAACTCACCCCCAATTCACATATCTGCTGACGTCAATCATTTTGGCCAAACACAGAGGCTTGGCGTGCCGCTGACCACAAACAGAAAGCAGACTGCTCTAAATGGTTGATATGGTAACTGGGGGGGCAAATGGCCAACCATTGCTGTCCAACCTTGAGGGCCCTCATAGGATTGCTTGGTCTACATGCCAAATCTGACTGTTTCAATTAAAATTGGTCCATTTAATGAGGGTTTTCTGACCTGGTAATCATGATTCGAATGTAAAGCGAAACATATAAAAACCGAAAAAAGACCCAGTTCTCGTTTATTTTAAAGACTTAAAGAGATTTCTTTCTGTTTAAGACTCTTTCCACTTTACTACCTAATAAAGCAGCCCCATGATATTAATATGTCGTAGAGAATAAAGCAGCTCAAGCCTGTGATCCCAGTTAAGTCTTTACCCATGCTCTGTAAAAGGAGCTGGTCATGATCAGTGCGAGCAGGAATGACAACACTTCAGTGGTCTATAACCCCGAGCGGCTCTGACGGGAATATGTTTTAAACTAAAATGGATGTAAAATGTCTTTCTTCCTCCTTTCATCTGCTGCCATGTGCACTCAGGCTGTGAGATGAAACAGAGCAGCAGAGCTCTGTTAACATTAACACAGCTGTAGGACAAAAAATAATTCCTACTTTTTCAAAAGGGTATTGACGTTCGGGTTGGAGTTCATCTGTTTTTACTGTCAACCGCAGCAATTTCGCCATTCGAGGATGATCTCCAATTTGCTCTCTCTTCAAAATCACACAGACGAGGCGTGTGTCATTGCATGGAGAGATGACTGTTTTCTCTTTGATTGTACAGATGACTGAGGATTTTGCAGTTTGATAAGGGCAACGGGGACACAGCCTCAGAACCACCCACTCGCTGTCACCGCACTCAAGTATTGATGTGCTCGGAGGAATTCCCACACATCACATCTTCACAGACCTTTTCTTGCTTGACAGCCAGCCCGACTCAAAAACATATCTTTATAAAACACCACGAGTTTCGACACTAACAGTTGCCAGGATGCCTTTAGAGGCTGTTTTGAGACATTGGTGACAAATTCGAGGTCTTTGGATGATATTTCATTTTGACATGTAAGGAATAAGGACAGTACAAATCAGGATCTGTAGATAGAGGATTCTTCGGCAGCTGTTAAAACTGGCCACACAGCTCTGGTGGAATTAGTGCTGTCGATTTATTTTAATCGCTTTGAATTAATGAATCTCAATAGATCTAAACACTTAATCATGATTTATCGCATTTTAAATCAGGTCTACATTTCTATTATTTTGCATTTCAAGTCAATAATGGGAGCTGTTAACACCAGAGTCTTGGAATCAGATGAATACAGCGACATGTAGTTTATGATCTTCTTGACTTTTATGTTCATTATTTATTCAGTGCTGCACTGCTACACCAGTGTGGGCTGAAAGCACGACTTAGAGGTGGGCTTCAAAAAGCCCATTCTGTTAACCACTTTTGTTTTTACACATCAGGAAGTATTCAAGAACAACATGTGCAGCAAACTTCAGAAAGTTTACCATGAATGTTGACTGGTCTGCAGACAACGAGCACCGTTGTTACATTCCTAGATTAGGTTTCATCCATGTGTATGCAGCAACTGGTGGTTGGCTGCACCTGCATGCTTAGCTCAAAGGTTGTGAGGTGCTTGAGTACTTGCTAAGATTTTCATCCTGTTTGATGCCAAGTTCATATTACTTTTCATTTGGGAGTTTTATTTGTCAGAGAGATGTGCCAAAACGAATTCGAAGTCGAGCTGAGGTTCAGGATAGAATAGGCGATTTCACTGGATCTCTGTCCCTGTCCCGGTTTAAAAGCACTAGGCAAAAATCGAATTGCTGACAGAAGCATGTCTGCCTCTGCACTGTTGGTGATGACACGCCTTCTGTAAGCTTGTTTCCATCTGGTCATCTGGTCTGGTCCTGATAGACCTAATGCAAATTTAAACAGTAAGCTAAATGCATTAGCAAGAGGCTAATGGGACTACAGTGTTTCTCCTAGTCATTCAGCAACACCTGCTGAATTACATGCGCCGCTACTGAAATTTCACATGATCATCGATGCACCATTAATGATTTCTACTCGCACTGTGAGCACAACAACACACAACATTATTTCCGACTTGTTTTGAGTCATCAATGAGCATGTCAAATCCTGTCAGACCCTCTTCCAACAACATGAAAGGTAACGATCAAGCTTATACACACGAGTAGCATTCACAGCATTAATATCAATGCGCCGCAAAATGATTTCTGCTCGCACTTTGTTTGCACAACAACACACAGCATTATTTTTGACTTGTTTTGAGTCATCAACAAGCGGATCAAAATGTTCAAGATTATACAAGGTCTATACAGCCAGTAGCGCAGGTTACGTAAGGTAACATGAAAGTAACAAACGAGCTCCTTGAGCAGCAAGAGAGTGGGGGTAACAGGCTTTATTTCAGCATCTATTACTGATAGAATTTTCACCACCCATCCCCCCCTTCTTAATCTCTTGAGGTCTTGTTTACAACCCGATTTTTTAGTAACACTTTAGTAACACTAACGCTTATCACTCCACCATCAACCACAGATAGACCAGGATTAAATCAATAATTATTTAGAGTTATGATGATTTAAGTCTGCCCCAGACTGCCCCACCATGCTCCAGTAAGTGTGGTGTTAAACTTATCTTCCTTTCTCTGTTGGAAACAGCTTCACTGTTATTGGCTTGACTTCCACTAAAAATCTTTATAACCAAAACCTAATTTATGGCGTTTTAAGATGTACAAATTTAAATGAAATTCAGGTTATGCAGAGAGTGACCAGAGCGATAACAAGAAATGACAATAACAGATAGTCAAAAGTAGCTTCATTACTGATGATTTAATCTACACATATAAGGAAAAAAAAACAGCATTCACACTTTTTTTGTCTGATGTCTTAAAGCACCGACTGCTGCAGTACAAGCTCACAACATCTGGAGGCACATGAGATTTATTTGCTTCCTGTCAACAAATTGTGTATCACACTGCAGAGCAGCTTTAACACATCTCAACAATAAAGTGCCAATTCCTCTCCAACACCATGTTCAACAACCATCTCTAGATGGATAATTGTCAAGCTTAACTCGCAGTGAAAAGATCACCAGTGTTGGTAACAAGTGAGGCGAGAGAGCTAAACGAGGTCATGCTGCTTGTGAGCGGATGAATGACGACAGCGCTGGAGCAATAGGGTGTTAAATATACTGATGCAGGTTGACAGAGCTTCATTATTCTGTGCTAGAAAAACAGCATCTTGAATTAGAGCTTCGTTTCTGTGGCCTTTCTTTCGAAGAACATAAGAGGGCCAGAAATGAAGGCAAATGAGACAGCATTTCTGCAGCACTCAAGACTGCAAAGAACCACAAAAGCTGACAGTATCTTTATGGCTTATGTGGGGGAGAGTTGAGTGTAACCTGGGCCAGCTTCCCAGGAAAAGATGGATCACCGCTCTCTGGCAAAGAAGCAACTGCGCAACAAGCATCCAGAGCGAGCTCTTTTTCTGCTGTAATTGGCAATCCGCTTGCAAGAAATCCAACCAACGCCATGAAAACGAAAACAGAGTCGCTGATTCTTTGACCAGTGATGTGACGATACAGTTCACATGACAGCTGTCGCTCATAGTCAGCTTTATGGACTGAATGACAGCTGGAGAAAATAAACAAGGCAATAGATTAGAATAAGAACAGCTATCAAGATTGTGCCTTGCTCTTTGCAGACAACACTGATGCAGAAACCTGGTGGTTGGTTTATAGGTCCTGGAAGTCGTCAATTTACCACATCATCAATCTAAACCAAATTCTCAGGTCTTCTGTTTGTGTTTCTTTCTGAAAACGACACAAGGAACCACAAAATAGACCACCCTCTTCCTGTTTTCATCAGCACATGCCCGCCTGCTGTGCATTAGTAGATATTAGACATACACTTTGAGGTATACTGGCATTGACAGAAATCTGAAATCTTGCAAAACTGAGTTTGCATCCAGATCTTTTGTTTGCATAAGTAGAAGAAACTACTTCATCTAAACGTTTCTGAACAGAGGGTGGATGAGTATGATACAGTGTTAATGTTAACGCTGTAAATCTGTCTACAACCGCTCTATCTATGCAGCTTTTTAAGAGTTCTTGGGTGCGTCTGAGAATAGCGATGCCTGTTACAGCTGCTGCGAGCCGTATTTGAACCTGAACATTGTGTTTCTGTTTGGGATGAAGAGACGATCCAAATACGGCGCAAACCGTCCACCCACACCAGACAACACTCCTCTCTGTGGATATTAAACAAAATACAATAGGCAACTTTACTTGTAACCTCTGACAGTGGAGCCTTGATAGAGATAGAGTCAGCATGTTTCTACTGAGTGCAGAGCGGTTTAATGTAAGCCTCCTTGAAACAAAGTGCGCAGAGAAAGTAGGAGAAAGTTGGACCAATTAGGATCAAGTATTCCACAGAAATCTCAAGGACTGGAAAGATCCTGGGACTCTACCTTGAATGCCATATGGATTAATTCCTCTTCTTAATGGTTTCCTTTGTAAATGCAGTCCAGAATAGCAGGTAAAATGTCAGTGCATTGATTTGAAGTTACATTTACTGACTGCTGTCTGGCAGTCAGGTCCTATAAAGCTTTGCTGGATGTGTGAGCTCCAAGCCAGCACTTAAACAAGCCCATCCCCCTCCATCAAGGGAGGACCACTTCAAATAAATCTCAACCTTGGGAAAACACTGTCTGATGTTTAACGCTACAAAGGTGCTCCATCTCACCTCAACCTGCTTAACAACATGAGCTATATCATAAGGCTTAATATGGACTCCCCGCTGCACAAAGGGATTTAATGTATGCATATGCAGTGCTTATTCTTGACCGGCATAAGAGCAGAGACTAAGAGAGCGTATGCGGAGACACTCAGCAAAAGTAAAGAGGATGCAAAGATAGTTTAAATAATTCAAATTACCAGCTACCTTTAAGGATATAAGCTAAATCCTTTCTTACTTTGCCATCAGCTGGTGCACAGCCATGAGATGACGGGAGCCTTACAAAGCCAACATAATCCCCTTGTCCTGGACTAATCTGATGCCCTGGACCTCTGAACAAACACTGTTAAATTCTCTTCCTCCACTTAGCTTCTCTGATACGCAGCTTTGCTTTGGAACAGATTTTACAAGAGTCAAAAAGATGAGCAACATTTTTAAACACTCTGGAGTTTCTGGAACATGCTTAAGGGCTCAAATTTCCTCTTGGTAGACAGAAACAGATAAACGTACCACGTCAATAAAGCTGATTCTGAAACCCATTTGATTAAAAGCAGCTCAGATACATCAGTCACTGTCACCATCAGCTGTTTTCACGCTCCCCTAATCAGAGAAGGTCACATCCCAGCAGCTTAGCCATCACAAACTGGTGAATAAGGGGATGGGAAATTCCCAAATAGTCACTGTTCTCACGTTCATCTACAGCACTTACCCGAGTGCTGATTAAATTTACACACCTCTGACAACTATAAAAGGTCAGGTTCTTTTGTAGAGCTTAGAGTCTTAGATTTCACTTCTACTCGACGATTGATGGCTCTGCCGGATTGTATAAAATGTGTCTGGCGTGCTCCAACAAGGCTCCGTACATACTTACAATGATTCGAAGTAATCAAATGGAGAGAAACTGGCTTTGAAAAAGTACTCAGCTGGAGAGGAGGCATTACCGGCTCTCTGCCTCGCAGGGAGTCGAGTTTTACTTGTTAGAATAAACCCAGAACAAAAAATGTAACACATTGGCTCAGAAGAAGGACTGAAATTAACAGGAACAGCAGTGCTCCAACTGTAATTGTGCCAGCTTAATAATTATCATAATTTAAATTAGGTGGAAATCATTAGCAATGAGAACTCCTTTGAGGTTAGAAGTGTTTCACTTCTAAGTCTTGTAATGATTGCAGTTTGACAAGTAGAGGTGTGCAATATGTATCATCTACCATCATATGAGATACAAGATAATGTTTCAGAATGAACTGTCAAAGATGATGTTTTCACTGCTTTTCTAACACATCTAATGTTACTATCACTACTATGACTGTTGTGCATGCTCAGGAAGAACGCATGCAGTGTTCACGTATCGCTGCCTGTATGGCTCAAGTTCAAAATGAGCAAACAATCAGCAGCAGGAAATGACCCACAAACACCACCAGGCTTTGTTGGATTTAATTGCCAGACATTGATCTACCTCACTCACACAGAGGTGGTCTGGCTTCGAAAGGACGCCAATTTGCAGACTCAACAACTCAACAAACCAACAGGTCGACTCAAAGCTTCCTGCTACCGCCATCCAGACATAATCATAGCGTGACACACGAACGCTGAGTGAATTACTGGTACAGTCAGGTGTTATTTTAATTGTGTGATTTCAGGTCATATCTAATGGCTACCAGTGCTGAGTTTCTGCCACACCCACTCAATAAAGCTGCCAAACTAATATCTGAATGTAGCTGCAGATTGAGTCAGGGAACAAGTAAATGCTTCACAGCCAAAATAGAAATCAAGTTTCTCTTGTTTATTGTTGCACTTGAGTGAAGAAATAACTTTGAGAGTAGGTGATTATAGATTGTACAAACCCATTTAACAACAAAACACACATTCCAGCTGGTCCACATGAGCCAACCCCCGAGAGTACTGGTCCCTAAAGCCAAACTATTACTGATTTTCTATTCTGATATCTTCATCTGGGTTACCTTAACATTCATACTCTTGCTCAAATCCAGTTTTATTCCAGTCTTTCATTTCTAGCATTTTCTCAAAGCACTGTTGGGCTGCAGATCGGTTGTCTAGTCTTGAACATGGTGCTGTCATCCTCTACAGAGCAGCACAGACCACAGGGTTAGCCCGTAGTGGTCTTGTAAAGAAATATTGGGCTTTAATTGAATGAGTCACTTCACTGCAAGGAGAAAAGCCCAACAACAACAGCCAACAAAAAGAATATGGAAAAGAGGATCCTAAAGTTTTCTGACAGAAAGCCCTAACAAGGGGTTTTATTTGACCACAGTCCACTCTTTCATGAGCTCTTGTCCCCTCAGGTTCCCTCGAAAAGACTGCTCTAATGGACCTCACTTGTTCCATACACAGTTCACATTGTCACTCTGGCACTGGGAGAAGAAGTGAAATAAAAAGGTCATATATACTCTCAACGCATATATTCATACCCGCTTTTTAAACCTGGAGAATCAGAAACATTTATCCTCACAAAACACCCCTGAAGTGGTCCTAAGTTCTTCATCACCAGGGGTGTATTCAGAGGTGGCCAGGGGGGCATGAACCCTCTTAAGTTATAAATTGCACCCCTGCTATTTGCCTTATCAGGGTCTGGACCACCATTTGGGCTACACTGCATCAAGCTACTAGCAGATCTTCAGTTTAAACTACGTTTACACAAATTTACACTTACTGGTGATGTTTTGAGCCTGAAACATATCAGAAAAGTGGGGCCTCTTAATTTAACTTTGAACATTTACAATTGTACTCGGAAACTCAACTTATTTTAATAGGTGGGCTTACCTATTGAAAACTCCTCACAGTGCCTACCTTTAACCAATATGGACTGAAATCCATATAAATACAAATTCTGTATCATCTATTTAGATATACTACGATCTATTCCAATTAAATATTTACCTCTTCAAGATGCTGATATTGAGGCACACTAATTACACAACATCGCCAGACAACAACCCTGCTAGACAAAGGCCTTTCCCCCAACACAAGTTCAATTTGGCATTAAAAAATTCAAGTTGCAGGGAGCCAAAGTCAAAAATCTTTACACCTATTTCTTTCATAAAATGATATACTACAGACATTTTCAGTTGATACACTGTTTTTGTTTTCACACACTGAGCTGATTAACCATGTTTAACCCTTAATCCTGGTTTTGTTTTAAACCTATTTTTGAGTTGTCATGTTGCTGCAGAGCATTCTTGCCCAATCTTGAGTGGCAGGAAAGGAAAAACAAGCATGTGCAAAAAGCCTGCCATGAAATGCAATTAAATTAATGAAACCAGGGCTAATTAATCGAGAGAAAAAAGGAGAGGGATGTGGTAAATATTCATTTATTTCTGTGGTTGCCCCCCAAGGTGGCCACAGTAGCCTGGGTATGGCCACCTTGGGTCTAAAGAGTCTCAATTCGCCCCTGTCACACAGCTTTTTAAGCTTACATTGGACTTTAAAGAGACGGCTATTACTGCAGACAGACAGGAGCGAGGTTTTTCTCTTTGCGCACCCGTTTCCTCAACTTATATTTAGTCAGTAAGTTAGTAGTGGTGTTTCAGCGCAAGGGCACATTAAGTAAGCCGACCGGTTTAAATGTTTACCCCCCGGTTGAACTTCAGGCAGCTAACAGGGCTAACTTAGCCTGGTGTAATGAGCTAATGTGACTAGTACGCTATCTGGCAGAGTGAAACAATGAGCTCAGAGTGTAGTCAGGCTTGGCTCGCCTGCTGCTGCATGCTGTGTTGGTTGTATGGTGTGAAGCTAGCCAGCTCTGCTTGCACGCAAGGCTAATGTTAAATGGCTAACGAGTCGTAGCACTATCAACAATGAGAGAGTGAGGGGGTAAAGGAGGAAAATGTAGTAACTTACCGACTTAACTAACCACTCCTATTCCAAACCCCGCTCTGTCCATGGTGGTGTGCACTCCATATAAAAAGAACAATTTAGAGGAAAAGGGTTTCAACGGCAGTAAAAGCACTAAAATATCTGAAGCACCAGAAACCAGTGGCAGCGCACTCCCCAAGACATCCAACACAAGAGAGGAGGGGAGGCCAGCGATTCACTGGACTTCTGCCATCACACTTGGAGATACCGTCCACATCGAAAACAACCCAGTCCGGAGGGCATTTTATCGGTGCCGTCTCAAGCCCGACACGAGTCCATTCCCTTCCCGTCACCTTCAGGCGATTAATCCCACAGCGAGTAGTGTTCCATCCAGGTTAATTCCTCCGTAATTCACCGTTTCTGGATGAGCACCGCGGTGGTTCTTCGTGTGGGAACTGATACAATGTAGCCAACCAGCAGCAGCGGGAGCGGGGAGGAAATCCAGGATGAGGCGTTCCAGTCGGATTGAACTGTCACAGTCCATGGAGTCCGGGCTGAAGATACGGAACTGGATTAACCACACTGAACGGACCGTGATTTGAATGCGGTGGTTATTAATGAGGGAAACCAACCTGCTTACCAACACAGCAAATTACCACCTGTTTAAACTTCCTATTAATGCTATTGTTTCTATGACAGGAGGGCAAATCTAACATATTAAAGGCACTGTGAGGGGATCAGGACTGGTTGAGAAACTGATGATACCTCTTAATGACCTTCAACGTCAGACAAGACCATTAGCAACAAGTCTAATAATTCAGCTGTAGTGGATTTTAAAGGGATATTCTGGCGTAAAATGAAGTTAGGGTCAAACACACCGTAACACTGAGTTAGACACCCCCTCGAGAGATGAATGTTGCCGACAGCTTGCTTCTCTAGTTATACCAACTTCAGTTAGACCGCACAATAGCAATACACAGCGGTCTCAGGAGCCACACACAAACCTCAACCAAAACGCCACTTTATAGCCACAAATAATGCTCAGAACAGCACCTAACTTCATCAACAGTACATAGGGTCCCAGCCACAGCACCAGCCACCAAACATCTTTTTAGCTTTACCTGATTTCTTAAGCAAAGACTCAAAACACAACTCACCTCCTCTCTTCCAGCAGCTACTTGTTTGTAGTGAGACCTCGGGCCAATCCATTACGGACTACAGTGGGGTGACGCAGCTCAAGGAAGAACATTTATGATCATTTCTTCATGGAAATGCAATCAGACTGAGACGCTAAGGCAGAAAAACTACCGCAGTTCAGAGGGTTTTAAATCATCTAATGACAGTCCATGCCACATTCAGCTGGCTTAGATCTGTCTTAAAGATACACTAACAGGGTCCATCTGCATGTGCACTTAAAGAGCTCTGATGTGTCTGCAGTTAGGATGAAAATTATTATGCAAGTCATAGTTATGAAATGAAAAGTCCAAATTCTTAATGATCGTAATGATGAGATGAGAATTCTGAAATCTGACATAAAAGTCAAAGTAACTAAGTATAATCATCTCATAATAAATCTTTATCTAAAATTTTAACTTTTACATTTCAAGAATTTTTTTTTTTTATTGGAGACATTTCTTCTATCTCATTTTTTACTCACTCTCTCACTTTTGTTTTTTCCCCATAACTATTGCTTCACTATTTCAAATGTTAGTTCATTTTCACTTTTTACCTCACATGACTCACAACCTAATAAGATAACTCACTATCCCATAAAATGGCTCACAATTTGCCTTTGCCTTTTTATTTACGAGCAGAGATTAGCTTGTAGATGTGAACATGATTGGGCTGTTACTGTAGCACTGGGTCCATATTGTTTTTATTTCAGACTTGAACTTCAGAAGAGGTCACCATGGGTGAAAAATAACACTACATATTTTATGATTGAATGAATGGCTCAGTTATTGGTTTACGAGCATTTACATTCATAGAACATCAGCTCTGATGATAGCTAAACAACATGGGGGTTGCACTGTGCGATGAAGCCTTGAATTGACATCTATATGTTAATAATGTAGTTACACATGGTGCTACATTGGAAGTGTTTTTCTAGATGTACTGATTTTCAATGCTTTTGTCCCCAAAGAGCAGTGAACAATTTCCACACCTGAATATACATTATATCGTGTTCAGAGCCATTTCCCTGGTTGCATTTTTTCTGTCTAGAGCAGTGCTTCACAAAAAAATAAAACATAATCCCTATCCTGCTCTGGTATCAGTCATGAGTAAAAAAACATCATGTAAAAAGAAAATGATTCAGAGAAAAAAAAATCCTCATATTTGGTAACTTACTACTCACTGCCAGATTTCACCATCAGGGCTCAAAGAACGGCTCTGAGTGAGAGCTGAACATTATCTTTTTTAGCTGACAATCTGACCCTGACACAGGCTCAGGCACTGGGTATTAAAAAAACAACAACCAGACTTGTCATAGATAATCTCACTCTACAAGGTCATAAAGAGGCATCAGTATGAGAGTTTCAAAACAGATAAAACTCCTCACAGTTCTTTTAACTGAAGAGTCATTTATAAACTCTAACAGGTGTAAGTAAGAGGAGAATATGATCACAACTTGAAACCTAAACATTGTCAGTATGTGTATCTTCTTTGACACTGACCTGAATAGAAGATAGTGATTTGTCAACTCAAAATACAGCTGGAAAAAGTGATGGAACAAACTTATCTTATTGTGGGGGCGTCTCCCTACAACATCAGCACATTTTTATGCAAGCTGTTAAAGATACTATTGTCTTGTCTACTTTTACAGTATGTTAATGCACTACCAACAACGGTGTAAAAGAGATCTGTTAGGACCAGTGGACCTAACTGCTTTCGTTGACGTTGTGCCAAACAAAAACCATGACTTAATTAAGTAATTTTCTCTGCTTTTTTGTATGAAATGTGATCAGGCTGTTGTTCTACTCAGACCCCTGTATATGCCATCAAAATTGCCTTATCATAACACCTTCCTCAGTGGCTGTCCACTGTTTCAACCCAGCACAAGGAGCAGGCAGCAACAGCATTTCCACCACACAACTACAAGATGGCCCCTCGCCAAGATTGTCCATATTTGCCGTTGAGTCGCTTAACGTCAATATTAGTTGAAACAGATAGTGACTTATTTGTGAAGCCAATATACCCTTCTTGACATAAGCCACTATGCAAAACATTTGAAAGGTATGGTCAGGTTAAGTCAGGTCAGGTTGCTTTATTTGTACATGTAGGTGGATTTGTTTAGCAGCAAGGTGATGATATCCAGTTTGACATCCAATTACAAAACAAACAAAGTGAAACTAAACTAAACAAACAGAATTTAAAAAACTATTAAAATATATGCAAACATTATATAACGTATGTCACTCCACCAATTAGAGCACAGGTGAAAGACTCATGAATAAAGAACCCTGAGATAACTTTTGGTGTAAAACCAAGGTACTGCTATAGACCGCTATAGACTGCAGTTTTTACAGAGTGAGTGCTTCACTTACTAATGTAATCACATTTCATTTAATTGAATCATGTTTGTTTTCTCTTGAAATGAGACAATTTAATTAAAAAAGGTTGATGTGTTTGCACTTGTGTTTGCTTTGTTGTCAATTGAAATGATTTGAAGTATAATACTAAGAACTAGTCTTCAAAGCTCTTTCAAGAGTTAGTCGTATAATTGGGTCCTCCTCTATTTGTTCCAATACGGTTATCGGTAGTAAAGTATTATTTCTTGCTTAGAAGCATAAAACAGCTGTGAAAAGTCATTTCATTGAGGCAGAGCATTTTACACATGTCCTGAGGCACAATCTGTAACTTTATGTGTGTACAGTTCATTAAGGCACAGTCAGCGGTACACACCAGTCATTTGGAAAATCATATTGTCTGCATATAACATTATCCTCTGCTGTAAAATCTGATTCTCTTTAATTATCAGCACTTTTTACTCTCACCCTATGACTTGACAAATCATGGGGGAAAAAAAAAAAATTCAAACTTGATCGTTGTACTTTAGTGTTAATTGAAACTGTTAACTATGTGACGCCTTGTTCTCGTTGAACTGAACTGAATCGAACAAACAACCCAAAGGGAATTTCTCTGTGAGCCGAGAAATAAAAAGATCCCAACAACAAAAAAATCTCTCAGATATGTTTGGTTTCTAACTCTCACAGCTCCACAGATAACCATTCATGTTTACCAGCTTCAAACACCATGAAGGCTTTAAGTCGTTGTCTCTCTCTGCGCTGGTTTCCCAGGCAACAAGAATATGATAATGTTGCCTTTGACATGACAGAAGGAATCATCTCGCTAACAAACAGAGACAACAGGCACAGGGAGGGCCGGGGGAGAGGCGAGGGGAGGGGAGCTGAATTAATGGACTCATTTTCACACAGAGGGAAAAGCAGCAGCAGCAGCAGGAGCAGCTACTCACCATCCTCCATCCCATACTCCATCTTCCTCTATTGCGTCCAATGCATTCCCACTGGCAGACACACTCATGCCCTCCCATGGGAGCAGCCAGCCTCCATTGAAAAGCTAAATAACAGTCAGTTGTGAGTGGGGGACTGTAGGGGACACATTTCTGATGACGGTTGTCCTTCCGGGCTCAGAACCAAAGTGCTCTATAGCTCTTGAGTGTCACACCAACCCAAACCTGAAATGAACAAGCTGAGTGGACGCCATGTGTTTCCCATCAGTGAGAAAGAGCTAATCAGGCAGCCATGTGGAATCACAGAGGGGCTGGCTCCATTTGTGTGATCATCTTTCCATTACTCCATTAAGGAAACTGTAAAACCTTGACACCAATCTAATACAGACTTCTTCCCTTTGCACATATTAAATGAAAGAACTCTGTTGAAAGACAGCAGTGTAGCACATTCAAAAACAGTGGTCACACAGTGATACAGTGGAAATGTACTTCATTTAATCCAAGGATAGATTAATAATTGGTTCCATGAATTCATCAAATCGTTTTAACCATGACCCAACACATTTCCAGTTCCCCTTCTGATCATTCCTAATAATGTTAGGGCCAATGGTTGGATTTTTTGTATCTGCATAGCATCTTCTTACAGCAGTTTGTACTTTCTTGGTGACTCGTGATATGTTGCCAGGAAAACTGGTCTTGACTGTTAGTCAGATAATGTCTTAATATTAATCCCCTACAGTGAGTTTGTGTCTGTGCAAACCAGAGTCCAATTCCTGACTCTGATTATAAGAAATTTTGGTATTATTGCTCACGGTCACAGATGATGAATCCCAATTGCTTTTGATTTCTTCACTTTTGCTTCAACTAGCATGAGAGGATCGTTATCCCCCCAGGTGAAGTAAATAACATTGATAACTCCTCACAACGGCAATGGCAAATTAAAAGTTCTTCTCAGAGGCTTTAAAAATCCTGTCGTACAGCTGCAGAAACTATTGTCAGAATGAAGATGATAAGCAAGTTTCTGAAAAACAACAAACTTCCCGTTTGGTGCTGAGAATGCACTTTAGACTAAGTCACGACTCGGCGAATAACAAAGTGATTCTCAGAAACTACACTGTAGCTCTAGATGGAGATGATGAGGAGGATGAAAAGTTTAATGTTGTTTCTTCATCCTGTGGTTTGTATTGGTTGTCCAGAGCCATAACAACACCAGCTTAGTTTATCCACCGTACTGTAAGTGCTTAATGGATGAAAGTCATGCAACCCGCATTAAGCCTGGGAGAAATACCTTTTTCTTGAGCATGAGGCTGGATAAGAGCCATGAAATGAATCAATAATGAACAACAAAGTCGATACAACTGTACATATTTAGCTGAGCAGATTATCCTAAAAGCCAAGTCCTGAGACAGCGCCGGTTCCTCGACTACTCTCACGACAAACATGTGACATGAATATTTCTCAACTGGTCAGCATCAAAGGACGGGGAATTACGGATTGAGCTAATGTAATAAGTTCTCTTTCAACACATTTTTTTACTTCCCATGTTGGACAGAAATAAGCCCAAGAATTAAAGTGACAAGCAATTTTGACTTCCTGTTTTAATGTCTCATGAAACATTCAGGACAAACTAGTTTTTGACCCAATTAGTCAAACCAAAATCTTTCCAGTCATGAGATATCACACAATACTCAACTGGATAGGACAGTTTAATGTTCTGTTTTGTGTGATGATTTGATATCTGATCGTGTCTTTTTGTTATCTCTCCATATTTTCACTGTTTTATAAAATATCTCATCATCTGTCACATTGTTACAGTTTAACCATCTCAGAAATAAGACCACATTGTTGCAAGCCTTTGGCAAAAAAAAGGGTTTCACATTCATTGTCTATCATATAGCAATACGCTAATCCAGAGTAATCATGTTATGTATCTGTTACAGCGCCTGATCCCTGAAAAAACAAGCGCCTGGGAGGGACTCATTTACATATTCAGGAGGCTAAAGCTCGACAAAGCAGCGCGTTCAGAGATTTAGCCCTCGTGACTGGAGTCGCCTTGAAGACAGACTCTCCTCTGATGTCTTCTGTGTGTCGTCATGTGTGTTACACAGCTCTGAGAAGCCGTGAAAGCGCCCTGGTGAGAGCTTTCTGTGGACAGTCATTACACCCCAACACACACGGGCCTCTTTTGCTTGGAGTTATTATCGCTTCACTGGGTGTCTCTGTGGTTTCTCTGTTTGGAAAATCGACATGGCAATAATTTTAAACACCCTCTAATACTTCTGTGTTGTCACAGTGATCATCACTCTCAGTTGGGTCAAAGGTCATGGACTTAATTGATCCTTTATCAGTAGATCTTTACAAATGGCAGCAAGTGAAAGCCAGTTGTGATAGGTAATCCATTTTTGACTGAATGTATGCATCTGTTCTCCGTTCAAGGACTACAAACCATTTTGTTGTGACGTAAAAAACCTTTCTTAGAGTCAGTTTGGCGTTGTTACAGCGCAGATTTACATGTTTGCACTCATTCCTTTGATCACAGTTGTTAGTGGAAAAGGAAACTTCATGCTATGTTAACTGTTGCCCACCCATCAAGGACAAACAGACTGCCATGCTTGGTTCTCCCTCTGTGTTTCACTCATTTGCCTTGAGGGTTGAATGCCTTCAAATGTTCCCTTTGCCTCTCCTTCTCTGATGAGGCCCCTCTCATACCTCTGGACTAACCAAAACCGACAAGCCATGGCGCACTGGAGATGCTACAGATAGAGAGGAAATTCAGCCCTACTTTGCAACTCTATAAACCCTGGATCTTAATTTAAGGTGTCTAATCAGGTAACCAGGTCTCAGCGTGTTGAGTGACACATACCTCAAACACTGTGAGCAATGGAGGGAGTAGTTGAACCTGTTAGCAGTAACCTTGTTTGCTCTCTGACAGAGACTTTGGTAAAAAGGCTGAAACCACTTTGATGTCTTTGTGGTAATTTATCACTGGTCTTACAGAGGACCTGAATTTTCCTCAAGACTAATGAAGTATCTGTCTGTACATCCTTCTGTCTATCTAACCATCTATCCAACTATTTATCTGTTGGTTGTCTGTCCATCGGTCCATCCATCTATCAGTCCATTCATTCATCTGTAGGTCCATGTATCAACCTTTCTATCCATCTGTCTATCAGTTCCATTATCTTTCTATCCATGCATCCATCCATCCATCCATATGTCACTCTTAATCCTTCTATCCTTTCCTGTTTCAATCAATCCATCCATCATTCATTCATTACCTGTCTATATTCCATCAATTACAGCTGTTAATCCTTCTATTTTTCATTTTATTTACCCAACTTTCTTTCAGCCCGTACATACATACTGTACATCCATTACTTATTCCATCTATATCTATATGTATCCATCCATCTATCTTCTCTCTCCTTCTATTTATCCCTCTACACATCCCTCCATCCATTCCTCTGTTGATCAATCTATTTATCACCTCAACCAGTCATCTCTCCATCAGTCTGTCCATCCACCCACTTCGATACGACTGAGTTTAATGGATTGTTTTGTTTGTGTTAAATCATTTATTCACTGGACCTCGATGCTTCGTTGAATCTTCATTTGTACTGATTGGAGATATCTAGGTGACCAATTTTTCCAGCAACAGATAAAATTGGTGTTTACCTTTCTCATCTCTCTGTCATTTAGCTGGTGGTTATGTGTACTGTATGTGTTTGCCATGACTAGCGCTCTCTAAATTGCTTTACGTTTCCATAAACTACAGGGATTTGTTTCTTCAGGCTTGGTGAAAATGGTGAGATAGTGCATGTGTGAAGCACTAAAGTGGTGTTGGTGTAATGATGAGCCTCTGTTATGACTGTGAGGCCTCCACTTCTGCAGTCAGCTGATCTGTAATGAACCCACACTGACAATAATATCCTTTTCTAAATATTTCCTCTGTTCTTCATCCTGCCTCGACAGCCAGCAGTCTGTCACACATTAGGAGATGGATGAACCACAAGCCATCCCAGGTTGTATTGTTCCCCAGCCTGCTGCCACCTCCTCTAAAGTGCTCCAAAGCCTAATTTCTCTTCCAGGCCTGTGGGGGTGGGGGGATGGGACCTCGCGCCCTCAGTCCAATCAGTCTCTCAGCAAGCACACAAAGGTCCTGCTGCTTCTACAACTGGAGACTTGGCTTGATGGTGAGGAGGGCATACTGCTGGACTGGAGTCAATTGCATTTAATTTCAATCAGGAAATTCAGCCAGAAATCTTGTTCTGCTTAAATGAATAAGTAAATTATCGTGTGTTAATGTCTAATCTTATTGAACTCTTTGCTAATTGGATGGCAGTTGGATAGTAGCAGCGATTTGGTTGTGGATCTTACTGTTGCTAAAAATTGGATGCAACCTGCTTGTTGCATTGCTTCATACACTCCTCTTAGCTCCCCCTGCTCCCCTCCCCCACGTCCACTACCATCATTAACAGCAGGATGGTTAGTCTGCGGGAGATGCCTTGGGCAAAGTCTCCAATCATGGATCACCACTGATGTACTGTATGTGTATTGGCATTACAAAAAGCCAAAGTTTTTATTTTTTTAGTTTCATTTAAAAATTATGAGTATTATGAAGATAAAGTTATCCAATTATATCAGAAGTCTTCATCCAGTGGTAGCAAAGGCTGCACAACGGCACCTCTGAAGCCCACTCAGACAATCACAACTGAGGTTATATGGATGTTGCATGCCCAACTTTTTCACTGCTGTACACGAATGAGGAATATTCTTGCACATAATCCCCATTGGATTCTTTTTTTGTTTTTGGATCAAACAAAATAAGCTGTAATATGCTAATTTGTGAGGTTAAGAGGTGTTGGCAGACGGATTATGGTACATTTAGAGAGAGCTTCAGTAATTCTCTGCCCCTTTTCCCAGTTTTTGTGTACGGCAAGCTTGCACCTAGTGAACAGGAATGATTGCCAAACTATCCCTCAAATACAGCTTTAGTTGCCTAATAACAGTAACGTCTGTTGCAGCCCTCACGGGATGGCTTTTTCAGTTTACAATCACACCAATAAGTGCATTTCTTCACTCTAAGACACCACATCTTTTGTGCATGAAAACCAACAGCACATGATCTTACAGTTTTCTCTAAAGAGGCTTAGAGAGACCTGCATATGCTCAATTGTTGAGCATTATAGCACAGAGCTCCTGTTTATGTGAACTTGGATGCCTGTTTTCATCATGAGAAATGCTCCCGATGTGGGAGACAGAAGAAAAAGCCACCCACAGGGCGAGGAGCTGTCAGTGTTGATTCACTGGGGGTTGAATCTAGTCAATTCTTAAGCAGCCTCTCAGGAGAAGAAAACCCACCTTCTGTGGAGGAACTTTACAAAAGAGACTTCTCACATTCTCTGGGTGGGAGATTACCGGGAGGCCTGGTGCAATTATGCGTTCTCATGCTGAATAGAGTGGAGCGCAGAGTTGAAGCTAATCTGCAACTCAAACAAGAGTAAATCTAAGCTAATCAACAGTGAATTACAATGCCAGGCACAGGCAAAAACATAGCAACACAGGATGGGTGTGTGTGTGTGTGTGTGTATGTGTGTGTGTGTGTGTGTGTGTGGTGGTGATTCATGCTATGCTTTTCAAACCGTGGTGAAATACGCCCTCAGGCAAGAAACAGCTTAGTGGAAAAGCTACTCAACATACTTGGAAGGGAATAAACACACAGTGATGTGAAAGCAGGTAAAAATGTTCTTATTGGAGCTGTCAAATGATTCGTTTTGATTTTCATACTGAATTTCAAAAGTTAACTGGGATTATTCACTTTTTAAAATCAAAACTCAAAGTGTGCCTTTTATTAAATTAAACAGTGTTTGATTCATAAAGTCCAATGATAAATCAATGTCAGTTGACCTGAAATCATTTTGATTACTCAAAGACATCCAGTGACCCCTGGTTAATGCAGGGGCATTTGCACTTGTTAGGGGTTTCAGTGTGGTTGGTTACTATGTTACATAAAGACACTGCATGAATGGAACTATTGTTTCTCATGACATTAAGTTATATGACAAGTCTGAGCGTGACAACCTAAGGATGTCACTAGGATCGCGGTCTCTCACTGTTGGCTAACCTACAGGCAGTTTCCAATAATTCAACAAGCGCTGTAGTTAAGCAATCTACTTTCATCCACAGGTCTGTGGCTGTTGGCAAACTCCAGGATAGCACTCTTCTGCAGTTGCTCAACTGACATCAGTCTGATTTTTTTTGTACCTATATGCTTCATCAATTGATCTTTAATTGTATGGCGCCAATTTACAAGTGTTATCACTGGGTGCTCAGCAGAAATTTCTGGTCTAGGCTGTACTCTATTTCCAAAGACCCAGTGTTAAGATAGGATCAGACTAAGCCCCATCTTATAAGATCAAACCAACTTCCGTCCCATCTTCAACTACATGAGTTGGGCATTTTGCAGCATTCAGCAAGTTACAGTGGAGAGAGGAGATATTTGCTAAACTGTAGCTTGTAATACTATAAAGTGCTTCACTCATGTTGGACAGGATGGGAAACTCTGTCCCATCACAAGGTTGGGTTTTCATAATACATCAAAAAATGAGTGTGGTCTAGACCTGCTCTTTTGGAAAGCGTCTTGGGATAATGTTTGTTGTGATTTGGCGCTATATAAATAAAGATTGATTGATTGAATGTAGGTGATAACTCAAACTCAAAGTAATTCTGTGGTATATTGAACCCATTGGATGAAAACTGCTTTTGACTTGTTGTCTGAGCTGGCTGACAGTTTTATAAAGAGAAATATGCCGTCCAAAAGCACAGTGGTCTCACTATATTCCAGGAATACAGTTTGTTGTTTTACAAATAACCTGTTAGTTTCAAACACAGAAAGGGGAACAGACCTGGTTCTAATGCAAAATAACATCGGCAGAGTATCATTAGGAGCCTGTTACACCAGCACTGGAGAACATCTCTGGTAAATAGTTAGATGGCGGTAAAAATAAACTGGAGAATAGGACAACATCATCTGTGAAAGTAAACTGTGGGAAGTCCTCTGGTGCCTATCAGCCAGTGTGGTCTTTACTCTGCAGTTACTGTGTGAACAAGTTTACATACACATGGAGTATTGAAATGAGATCCTATACTAGAGTCCTTTCATATGCATATTGAGAAACGTTTCACTTGTGGCTGCATCACTTACGACACGTTTCTATGGGGTGTAAACAGGTTGTGAGAATTCTTAACAGCCTTGAATTAGCTCGTCTTAGGCATTTTGAAGAGAGCAAGAACTCTTTCAGTACAGTATTTCTTTGGCAATCTATAAAAGAGACATCAAATTTTCATCATGCTCTAAAAAGGATTTATACATTAGAGGGTGTCTTCTGCCCCAAAACACTTCTATTATTAAGACGCAGTAAATGGAAACTTCGATAGCTGAAGGCAAAAATAATATTCAAAAGGTATTTCCTTTTGCAGAAACCATTTCTCACCTTTTATGTTGTGATAAAGTCGCGATGGACCTGCTTAAAACTCTTGTGGTTTTGAGGACGCACAAATGTGGGTTATATAAGAACAATATCCCTGCATCCAGATATGTTGATGGGTTTCTCTCTCTGTTTTGTTCTGATTTTGCTGCTACACAAGAGCAAAGGAAATCCACAAGCAAGTCTAAGGCCAACAATAAATCCACAAGAGTTTATCTGATGTCGGTTTTATGTTTCTAAGAGGCACAACTGAGAAGTTTTTATAGCCAAAGTATTTGCTCTCTTTGTTTCTTACGTTCAGTGCTTTTAAGGTCAACACAAAATAAGCAAACCTCTCCAGTTAAGATACAAAAAAGGGTAAAGAGCATGAATGCATGTGTTTGATTAGGCTAAACAGCATGTTGCCGGGTGACGTTGGATTACGCTGATGAGCATAATGAGTGTGATGATCTGCCTGACGACCCTGCATTTCCTAGCCGGAATCCTGTGCGTCATCCCCCTCGCTGTGCCAATGGAAGGATCTCATTGAAATGAATGAGAAGGCTGTGCTTTTTAACACAGGGCTATTGTTGGTGTAAATGAGGCTTTAGGTGTGAGGGCATCAGCTGATTGTGAAGAGTAGTGCAGGGCAGCATTCCTCCTGTGGTTATAAAGTGATAAATTAAAATTTGAATTTAAAACAGAAGTGTAATTTCTATTCATTTCCAAGTTGTACAGAAATGTCATTTATATTCAACAAAAAAAAAGCATTATTCTGAAAATTGGAATTTCTTTAGATAAGACAAACAGGATTGCAAATTGAGCATGTGGATCTTTTTATTTATGCAATCAAATAGAGAAGCAGGATGTACATCTATGTACAAATTATCACACATAATACTTCATCCTTACAAACATTACCCCTCTCTGTAAAATGCAAATACCAGTGATTCAAAATGCATACACTGCTGAAAATGATAACTCAGCATTGATGAGAGATGTGTTAATTAACATATTTCCCATGTTCCCTGGGGCCTGGACAGATTCTTCATGATCACTTGCTCCTCTGACATCACTCTGCAGCTGACGGGACCAGCCCCTTCTTGGCGCCCTGATGGTAGTGACTCTCCAGCTTCCCTGTGAGAGAAAAAGGGTGAAAGGGAAAGGGGGCGGGAGGGGGAGAGAAAAGAGGAAGGGATGAATCAAAACACCATCAAAGGGACAGAGTGACCTTTCTGAGAGCTCAAGGCCCGCTGATTAGAGGCGGCCTCGGCGAGAGACAGTGGAGAGAAAGAGAGGGCAGCTGAGCGAGAGAGAAAGAGAGAGAGGGATGATGAGGTAAAAGGCCAATGAGACCTTTTATTCCATGACAAAGAGCGATTAGACCACAGCCTTTGTTAGAAGCCCAATAAGATGGCTTTTAATTCAGTTATATAGACTTACTGTAAGGATAATCCAACTTTTACATTGCCCAGGCATACTGAAAAGACAATATGTAAGGCTAGTTTAGAGGAGACTGGGCTGCAACTAAATGTATTTTAAAGATTATCCACTTTAATCTATGGTGAACAGCACTAGCTATGAATAAGAACACACACACACGACAGGCAAAAGACATTTTCATAAAGCTCAGACTTATGAGAGCTAAAGCTGACTTGAGGAATCACCTGCTGTGGATGCTAAAGTGTATCTCATGATGTTTTGTAGGATGCGTAAATGTTTAAGTTGGTAAATAAACATGTGTCAAGTATAATAAAAGTGAAATTCAGGGTGCCTAGTATAGACCCTTGTGGGACACTTTTATCCATGTTGATTAAAACCCAATCTCACACTCATTGGGCTTTTGTGAAGATGAGTGGTAGTTTACTGGATGCCTCTGGGAATGGATACCAGCTTTTCAGTCATTCAGGTGTAGCCACAAGTTAAGACCTCCAGCCAAGACTTACTGTACTTCTTGGTTTATCAAGTCCACCAGGATAATGCCCGTTCATCTGTTTTAAGTACTTATAGATCTCTATTTAACTGTGAACACACACACACCCACTTCAGTTTGGCTTTAGTGTTATTTTCACACCTATTTTCATGTGATCCACTTACAAGTTAAGACTGTGATTGGGGGGAGGGGGTAGTTTGGAGAAGAGCAGATGGTGCACAAGATGGTATTAGCAGCATGAACAAGAAAACTGCCAAGACAAAGAAAAACATTACTATATACAATGAAAAGCAGGGGACCTAATATCGATCCCAGTGGGACACCATTTTCAACAGTTTGTGATTTCCTGCATTAAAATGTTATCAGTGATAACTAACGCATCACATCAGATAGCAGTGTCTCAATACTCCCCCTCTATAGTCTCAAACATGTTTGTATCTGTACATGTTTCCCAGGCTGCCAAGAATGTAACAGCCAGGTATTCTTTCATTGATACTTCTGGATTTTGTAGCTGAGCCAGCAAACAGCACCTGCATGAACTTGCTGATTAGCGGATAACCACTGCCAACAGTAGCCTACATTGTTGTGAGAATTTCCACGCTTATAATTTGCTGCTCGCTAACTCATGTGAACCTCTGCTGAGAATGTTTACAAAGATGAAAACAGCTGAGAATCTCAAAGAGGGACTCTGTCGGGTTGCTATTTATATAAACGCTTGTAGCTATGGTGTGTAAACAAACCCCTGCAGCTACTAATCCAAGCTGACCTCCTCGTCTACTCTGACACTTTTCTCTCTCAGAAAAGCCTCGGCACAATCGATCACATTTTCAAACTCTCCATCATACACCGTTCTCACCAACTGTTCTCCGCTGCTTTATCCTTCTCAGTGCAAAACAGCCTCTGCCAGGTTTTGGTAACCTGTGTTGACCCTATCCTTGACTCTGAGGCAAATAACTCAAGAGTCCGTGTGGCCAACACAAGCCTCCTGCTTGTCAAACCACCACATTAGCTGGCTGTTTTCCCCTTGGCTGAGGTAGGGGAAAGAATTATACAAGTGTGACAGGCAGGGGTTGTGGTTGTCACTTGTGCTTTCTTCTCATGTTGTCACGTTATGGCTGAACTCTGCGGGTAGTAGCAGCATAAACAAGGTGTTTAGGAGAAGTGCTGTTTGCTCAACATTCCCAAGCATGTCTGAATGGCTGTCAGTGTCTGTCGGTTCTGCCAGAAGCGAGGGCTGCTCAGGCATGGAAACACCTCCAGAACTTTGAGGGAATGCTGCCAAAACTTTATCCAAGATAACTCAGATGATAAATCTGTTATTACAAAAATGCTTCACTCTTTCACCCCCTGGGGTGCAGTGCATGGGTGAGGCAGAGTTAGTATTATAAAAAAGGGCTTTGACTGTTTTCCTGTCATAACAAAGTAACATTGCTGTGAGATGTATCACCATCTAGAAACCTAATAGTTTATACAGTACGAATAAATTCAAGCTCTGATAACACTGTGTAGTTTTAGACAGGTCGATATTTATTTAGCCAATTCAACCGGATGTCTGGATGAAGTCTGTTAAGTTAAAAATTAGATTTCACAGCATTAAAAATATCCAGTAATTCTGGATCTCCCAGCCAGCAGCTAGTAAAATGATCTTTTAAACTCCCTTGATGAGTTATTAGAAGGTTATGAGAATAAATATTGATGACATACACACTGTTGCTACTTTATGAGCTATAAAAGCAAACAGAACCACTTAATTTAAGAGAGTCTGCACAAAATCAGCTTAAAGATGTACAGCTTTGTTCAAAGGGATCATCAAGACTGACTCAAACTGAAACTGGAGCCTTCTTATAGGTGCAACTTTTTACATGAAGAGTTTGAACCATTCATCCAAAAAAGGAGAGTCTTTTAGAGATTTGCAATGCTCAGTTTGGGGACATCCAAGATTTCTATTGAAAGAAGAAGTGTAGAGGCGCTCAAGGTGGGAAGAGTTTTGACTTTAATGCATGCAGCAACTGGTAGCCATTGGAAGGAGATGAACAACGGAGTGTTATGCTGCTATGTTCTTGGTAGTCTGCAAAGATTTTAATGTGCATGCAGAGAGGTTGCCAAGTAAGGAGTTGCAGGCGTCAATGTGGGATTTTACTGGAGCCTATATGCATTGTCTGATGGGGTCTGATCCTCTATATGTTATAATGTGAAAAACCTCAGTGGGATACTCAAAGAACTGCACTCTTTAAAAACCAAGAATGCTAACAAAAAGGTGATCAAGCTCTGTGTGAGTGAGGATTTTCACAGCTTGCTTTTTTTCTGTTTATAGTCATGTCAGGTGTTATCACTTTAAACATATTCATTGCATTGATTTTATTGTTGATTTTAAATCATCTCTTAATCACTGATGTTAATATTCGAGTATAACTGAATAAAAGCTATTAATCATGTCAGTTCTGCTGCCAGCTTTCGAGTATTTACATTGCTAATAGGGTTCAGTGTTGGACTGGATTTCCTGCTTTTGCATTGGCAGTTCATGAACTGACCTTCAGGCTGTTTCCAACTTGTATTGAAACATCCCCGAAACACAGAGAAATAATGAGGGGTTGTACGAGTGGCCACCAACAACCAAGGGCAACAGAAACAGCAACACAGAGTACAGACTGTACAATAAAGTGGGCCTTGTTGTCACGACTGTCAGAGGAAGTACCCCGTGGTTGAATGCACCAGTCAGACTCATTATATTCCCCAGGAAAGTCAATCCAGCACTGTTACATATTCCTTGGGTGAAGGCGACTTTTGTTAATGGCTCTGGAGCTGCTGAGCTGTCGCATTTCAGAGTAGGTGCTGCCGAGCTGAGAGAGCTGGAGGGAATGCAAGTGAAAGTGGGGGGAGGGTGGAGTGAGGGAGTGGGTGGAAAAAACAGGGAGACAGCAAAAATGAGACAGAAGGGATGAGGAGAGGGACGCAGGGGGGGTGGGGGGGTGGTAGCTTGGAGAAAGGGATACAGATAGGACAGCAGGAGAGGTAGAGAGCGGGAGAAATAGAAAGGCTGGCCCATCGATTGGCTGAGATAATTTCCCATTGATTGCTGCACTGTTTGGAGATTGCTGGAGAAAGGTTTATTGCCCACATGCTGCAGCTGGGGAGGAGGCCATAAAATAAGCACAGGTTGTCTGCACAGGGCTAGCTCTCCATCATCAAGACCGTAAAAATACCCCTGAACACACACTTAGCCACACAGGCTCATGCATACAGCACACTTGGATACCCTACTTACACATTCGCTAATATGACTGCATACATACCTTTCCCATTACGCATAATGGGAGAATGGAGCTCATCACTGATGGAAAGCTCGCTCAGATAATCCCTTGAAAATCCAGGGGCAGCAGTGCAAAGAGTATTTATTAGATTGCAATGGAGGTTCATTGACATCCTCCCCGACATCAATAATATACCGGCCCTTCCACTTCCTTGAAATAATAATCACAGGAATAATTGTCTGGTTGCTGTTTCTCTTTCTGTGAGAGTAGCTGCCCACGCACTGGAGAATAAAAAAGGCTGAATTTTGAATTCTATCTTTTTATTACACACTAGTCCCAATTCACCTGGATAATAAACCTAGGACAGCTTTGCATATACACTTTAACCACATGCTGGTACACCTCCAGATGACACATTTCTGCAGGAGGAAATTACTCCATGACAACAAATGATGACACAGAAACGGAAAAGTTAAAGTGGAGCACCACTGGCTCTGTGATTGAATGTAACACCTCCAACTGGATCTGTTACATTGATTCCCACTGGGCTCCTGCAACAGCCAATTCAGAGTCTATCACAAGTACACTGCCTGGAGAGAAAGAAGTTCAGAGAGAAAGCAATGCAACAATGGGAACATCAATAGCAAGATTTAATGGTTCGAATTCAAACAGGCTGTCTAGGAAGAGATTATCTGACATCATTTTCAAACTGTTTGTTATACTTTGAGTTAAATCTACAGGGAAACTTATGCAAAGTAATGAAAGATATTTAAAAAGATATCCATGGTATGGGTTCATAAAGCTTTAGCTACATGTGTCCACATGAGCCCAACTAAAAAAGCCAAGAATGGATACTTTTTTGTAACCCATGATATTGAGACTAATAGACCTTGACCTGGGTCTCAGTTGGCCAGTTAGGACCAGACGTCCAACCATAAAGACGTCTTTCCAAACTGGTAACCAATGTGTGTTTCAAATTTTCAATAGGCAGGAGTTTATAGACATGATGGCTGCCCTGTGAGGCTGTAAAGTTCTTATTCTAAAATAACACGTCAGAATACCAACTTTCAATTTTGTGTGGGTTCAACAATGAAACCCGCTGGCTATTGTCTGCCATTGATTTGACTTCTGTGAGAGAAAGTTGAGGAAAAAGCAGAAACATACACTGTCAATGTAGAAAATGTATGGATTTTTAGCATATTAGTGTTCTTGTTTCAACATGTCCAACATTTGTCATCATGTTTAATATCTGCAGGCTCTAGTGAAGAGCAGAAGTAGGTGGAATGCAGTCCATAGAGATGGATTTGGTAATGTCTTTCATATGCAGTAACCTGACGACTGTTTACTGCATGCAAGTGCAGCTAACAACCCCAACAACTATCTCCTTGACCCTGTATTGCTGATGCTCATCTGTTCAGGTTCACAATGTTGTAAGTAATACCTAAAATGATGGATTTAACCTCCATCATCGAACATCAAAGAACAGTTTCCAAATCCTTTTGAGGTTAGACCTGACCAAGCTTGCATGTTTACCTTTTTGCAAACCTACCTCCTGACATTTTTTCAACAAACTTAGGACCTGAAAGTGTTGACTGACTTCTTAGATGATTGAAAGTAGCTACAAGCAAATTAGTTTATTTCTCAGGCTCATATTGTAAAGAAGCAAAACAAAGTGAAGCCTCTGTCTAATTTACGGTCTACTGTTGAACTGAGTCAGACCAGCAGCAGATGAACAGGTGTGACTCCATGGGATGTAATAAACCAAGACATCATGGGGTTTCTTTTGCAGACTTGCAGCACAGCACTGAATGGTAAGTCTCAAGAATGGAGGTCTCAACATTACTGGCTACAAGTACTCTTGGTGCAAACAGAAACAAGACTGCTTGCCAGTGCTAGAGGGAATTACCAAAGATACAATATTCAGTTATATAGATGTTTTCTTTCCAGTCACCACTTAATTGCTTCATTATGACAAAGTATTTTCTTCCAGCTCTTGGGTATTTTAGTTTTCAGTCTTGGTTGTCGATAAAGATTAAATACTATGCAGAATTTAAGCAATGTGACACTCTGCAACAGATGTCTGTATTCTGGGACTGACTCAGGCTAAAGTGCCCATGGTTACTTCTTAATGGTGTGTTTTCAGTAGTTCTGGATATAATCTGACTCTTTGCCACAGAGGAATAGTCTGCATCGGGCTTTGACCACACAGGCTGTTCATGCTACTGAATGCTCATTTTGGTCTTTTCTTGGGATTCGCAAGGAAAAATAAATAGGAACTGCCGACGTTCATCCCTCCACATATGCAAACAATGCAGTGTACCTATGGTGCAAAGCTCCCAGCAGTCAGTACCGCTGAATGCTTCCAGGAAATCACACATGGCTGTTGTATTTCGTACATTTCATGAAGCATAACAGACTCAGTGGTTTTGAGGGAGAAGTTGAGGCGCTCTCAGTTCATGATAAATCCAACAGATCTTTGAAAAATGGCTTCATTCTGACTACAAATCAGCTATTCTCCCCTTCTATCATATTTTTCTTATCTATCCTCAGCTTAGTTCACCTCCAGCTGAAGTCATTCTGCATGTGAAACCAAGCTGACAGCCTCGAGCACTGCGGGAAAGTGGTTGTGTACAAAACCCCTCGGCAGCCGGGGGAGAACAGCAAGAGAGGAGGGGAAAAACTGCCAGGATTCCCATCTTGCTGTTAGTCACACCTAATTTACATTCCCTTCCTGTGCTGCCGAGCTGGTGAATTTACAAGTGGATAGAGAAGGTGCTGTTTGAGACTTGTGTTGGCATGCTGTTTGCAAGGGGTTAGGGAGAAGCATGAACCGTGCTTCCCCGCTGCAGAGAAAACAGTCTCTCCCCATCTCTCGGTCCAAACCGCCCTGCCTGAAGCTGTTTTCACAGACACTGAGGGGCTGTAATGGCTGAGTGATTTCTCCAACCAACGGCGCGCTGTTGAACCGGTTTAGTCACGCACATGACAGTTCATCACAACTCGCTGGAGAACCAGTGTCTGACAAGTGGGAGACAGCAGAGGTAGTGCTGGTCTGTGGGCGGATGTGGAGCAGAGAGGACGTGGTGATAACTGGTTTATATCAGTGCTCCTGAAATAATATGCAAACCAATATCACCTTTTATCAGCTTAATATACAGTATATTGTTTCCTTTCAGATATTTATCTGCAGTTTGTCTGTCTCAGCTTTATTAATGTAATTAAAGGCACAGCTTTCTTCTATTGTTACACTTTTAAAATCCCAGCTGTGTTAAATACTTAATTTTGATTGGTCCAAACCCCATAACAACAATAATTAATTTTCTATTTTATCTGTTATGCTGGAGATAACACAATCACACTCAACACATCAAAAAATCAGCAAAAAGTAGTCCTGTACATTTCATCTGTGCTTGATGTCAACACTGTGGCCCTAACTGCATCAGCTGGGTAAAAGTGAAGCCACTTCCTGTCCTGCAATCCAGGCAACAGAAGCAGGAGGAGGAGTGGAAATCTCTGTTGGCTGACATCTTTAAGTCTACAACTGTCATCTTATCCTCATTGTAAATGTTCAGTTTGAAGCTCTTTTCTGCCCCTAAAAAAGGAAGTTTATATTTTTACTTGACTGTTCCTGCACATGTTGCAGAGATAGGCTGATAAGAATCTGTAGCCATGGAGACGCTTAAAACACTGAATGACCACTTTTGAGTGAATATTTGTGTCAACTTTTTGTGTCTTTTCATGACTTTTGAGTTTAACACCAGACAAGAATGGCCCAACTGAATGGGGAAAAAAAACTAATTCAGGTGAAACTATGATTATCTGCATGCACATATGCTGCGTTTCAGTTACTTCGGTAGACGGACGTCGGAACTGGGAATGACGCTACACCCAAGCGTTCCATTTAACAAGTCGGTAAACCAAGATGAACGCCTGCAGTTACCCGTTGTTAGCTGTTGTTTACAATTGTGAGCTGTCATTGACTGTTGTCAGCAGTTGTTAGTTGTTGATAGTGATGCCAGTTGTAAACAATGCACCACACAATATTTTACTCTACAAACACCATAGCACCGTGTTCACAGTTTGACGTTTGGCAACACAACATATATCACTTATTTTACAAAAACAAAACAGAAGCTCTAATAAATAATATATTATGAGAGCGTTCACTGTTATTCTTTACTGTTAATGCACTGCGCTGCCATCTTGGATCATGACGTTGTAGTCAAGTCAGGGTTGTTGAGGATCCTCCAGCTCTGAAATCCTGACTTCTAAGTACAACTGGAGCGCAGCATTAGAACTTAATTCAAATATACAAACAGTCATTACACTAGCAAATACCAAATACTGGCTATTGGAGACCCAAAACTGTGCATAATTTTCTTAAGACTGCTTCTTTTGTTGTCAGTGTAAAAAGCTGGTTGTAATTGTGAGAGGAGTTCAATAACCAGGATGCAGAAGAAATAACTTCTCAAAAGGTAGCACAAAGGTTTCTGTATCGCTGTGTGTGGGTTAGAAGCAGCTGTACCAGACCACTCTGATTTAAAAATAAGGCAAGTGAAACTAGAGCTTGCATATCTCTGCAGCTCTTTTCTGTGTCTATTTTCATGCATTTCAGTCTCACTTCTCCTAACTCCTCTCTGAAAGCACAATAAGTTCATCACTGCCAGCAAAGAGGCAACTCATTCAGTTCATCCAAGAACACAGAGAGTGGAGAAAAGTAGAAATGTGAGGAATTTCGATGAGAAAGATCAGAAAAATATTTGGAGTTCGGCCCATTTCTCTGCAGCTCACACCTGGTTAGCTGCTGCAGAGAGCGAGCGTGGCTGTCAGACTGTCAGTTTTAGAAAGTGGTGATTGATGAAGACTACCTCCAGCTTAAGAACTGTAAAGCAGTCATTCACTGCCTTCAGAGTGTGTTGATGTATGTATTGGTATCACAGGTCACAGAGTGAAGAGAGTACAAAGAGGGTGAGCTGATCTTCTGCTCCAACAGGGAGGAAACGTGTGAGAGCTGATCCCTCACAGCTTCTAGGTGAAACACATTCTGGTGTCTGCTCAGCTGAACATAAAAATGACAGTTCGGATCAGTGTTTACGCTAAGTATGAATGATATTCAACTGTTGTGTACAATGTGTAATGGCCACTTAATGGATCATACATGCAAATTACTTTACTGTGAATTCCACAAAAATGCTCCTTGCACCCAGAAAATCAACACTGTATTAAAAACACTGACAGCATCAAAGTGTTCGATTGTTTCATGATCAGCTATTGAATTGATATTCTAGTGGTAAACTCAAGCTCTACAGATTAATAGCTAATAATCCATTCCAAACTGACAAATTAATATAGAAGGGAAATTTAAACACGAGCATTGGCATTACCCAAACAGGTGCCAAACTCATGTCCACATTTCAACTATATAATTAAAAAAAAACTATACTAGCCAACCAGCCAACGATACAAAGTGATAGTTATGGTGTTCTGCAAGTGCAGTTCACTGTTCGGATGTAGTTTTCTGGCTCGTTTACTGTTATGACACAGTGTGCTTGTCTTTGGCTTGTGATGATTCCTGATTGAGAGTCATGAAACAGTCTGTAGTCAGTGAAATAAAGCTACTTAGGGCTCTTGGTGTCTGTGTTGTGCATACCATAGACTGTATAAAACACAAACACAGTCTTACTGATGTCACCCATTGTTCGCTGTAGCCGAGTTTTAGCGCCCAACAATAACAGTGGCCATATTGGAAATAAAAAGCTGTGTATTAGTGCATTTATGCACAATTATGCAAAACCAGTAACCCTGATTTTGTCAGAATGACAAAGGAAAAACAAAATAATTTCACCCCTGTATAGTGTGTGTGTGGAATGATAAGTGGGTCACACCAGAACCATTTTTTGGTTCAACTCTGAAATAAACTCAGTAATGCTGTAAAGAGAAGCAAATTACACTTGAGGAATTGCAGGTGTTAGCATTGGCTTCATTTTTTTTTAGATGTATTTGTTTATGTCTCAGCTAAATATCTGGCCTCTTTCCATCTTCTATCCACTCTTACATAGATCTGTGAGTCATTTCCCATTAATCAAAGTGAGGTGCCACTTGACAAACTTGTTCTCAGCCATACTTTAATTTCTAAACTGTTTATTGGCTGTATACATGTCGACAGTATTTATTTGTACAAGAGTTTCATCAAGATGGCATAAAAACTTCATAAAAAACGAAGGAACATAAAACTTTTAATCTACTTAAATCCTACACGTGGGGAGACGGCGGCTCCTGATTGGTCAACCTGAAAATATGGAACTTCTAAATGTTACAGCCAATCAGGATTCACTCGAATTAAAAACTTACTGTTATTGTAGGAAAGACGCCGATGAGCAGTAATCAATCCAGTGATGTGTGCGAGTGATCTGAGAGTGAGACAATGGTGTCAAACTGTATACACAGTATATTGATTACACTCTCGAGGTCATTCATTGTGTAGATATAAATACATCAGCATTCATTAAAAGAGACTGCGGTCAAGTTTCGAGGTCTAGATGTATATTGTGTTGAATCATTTTAATGATGTATTTACGGCCACAGCACAAACTTCATTTCCATTCTCCAATCAGACCTGATGGCAAAACTCCAATCAGTGATCACATGACTGTCAAAGATTTGTTTCTCTCCCCTCAAACTCCACGTTTCAACTAAAATATTCATGATAACTTCCAAATAGAAGCTCAATTTTCTAAATAGCTGCTCAACCAGGAGAGCTCAGCTGGCGTGTGAACAGTTTGAAGTCTGTCAGCCAAGGTATGTTGGACATGACTGAACATTTTGGAGTCACTGACTGTCAACAGCCAATCATTAATCCTGGCAAGTACCCAAACCGAATGTTTATTTCAGCGATTCAGCTCTCTGGAAGTGGGGAATAAATGTTTGAAGAGCTGCTCTGAGCCAAGTTCACTCAGTTTAAGAAATTCACATTCAGCATACTTCTTGTTTTGGCTCGTAATCATAATTCACTGGTGTTCCCTCCGTAAGAAAATACTAGAGCAGAGAATGTTTTCTAAATGTCTGAATGACTAAAAGTGAATTTGTGCTCAACCAACAGTTCCTGCAGAATCCACCGCTAATGTCTTGACCATTTCTAACAGATCTACCCCACTATCCCTTGCTGTCAAACCACAATTACACAGAAACACACAGTGAGTGAATGAGCTGGATCTATCAGTGAGCGGGACTTTCCTGCTCTGATGTTCCCTGACAGAGAGAGCTGCTTTCCCCCCGCGGCCATGACTGATTCTGAAAACAGAGCCAGAGTCTTACAGCTTATCAATCACTCCTCTTGGATGCTCTTACAATAAGCTGCTGGCTGCTGCAGAGCATTTATAGAGAAGACTGCAGCTAAACAGGGTTATTAAAGCATCATGGGAAGTACTTTATAGACTGAACACATTTCTTTTATTATCTGCGGATACTTTGAAAATGAAGCTTCAGGTTTGCCAAAAACAGTTTAAAGTCTTCAGAGAAATTTAATTCAGACTTTTGATCACTTCATGATTTCTTATGACGTGAAACGCTTGTTTTTATTTGAAGTTCCTTTCAAGTAGATTTTTATTCAGAGCCATCAGGTTTTGATTGGAGTCTGAACTGAACGGGAGGATCTGAGGAGTCAGATGGAGGCCACATGAGAGCTGGAGAGAAATCTATTCTGTGCACATCCTCTGCAAATCTCTTCCTGTTTAATGTACAGGTACACAGTAAGTGTTTTATGGATCTATTTAGCATTTTTACTCCAAACTGTGTCTGTGCATTAATGTTTTTTCTTTGTTCTCGCCACAGACCAAGAGGGACTGCAGGGATGCTGCTTAAACAAACAGAAATTTCTCTCTCAGGATCCTCCTTCAGACTATTCTCATAATCTACTATTCCAGCTTTACACTGCATTAGACTGAGACATGCCTGGGGTTTTATATGGAGTAGGCCTGATTCTGATTCACCCTGATGTTCAAGAGGCTTAGTCAGTCAGAATAATATGGAAAAATCTTACAGCAGGAGAACACCACCCAACACTGACACATTTCTAAGTGTTTAAGAGCTTTATATTTCATTAAAGTGATTATTTGTCCATAATGTATTAGCCAAGAATAGTTCTGCTCGACTCTAATGATGTTAAAACCTTTGAATAGTTAAGGTGAGCAAGTTTAAACAAGGATACACCTTCAGTTAAAAGAGGCCGCGCGTAATAATGAACCCAGAGATGTCTCAAACTGGCTGAAGATAAGAGCACTCTATTTTGCATTTCCATTCCCCATTCCGTTTTCCATTTCTCTGATATCACTTCACTCCATCATGCATTATCCATGAAGGCTCAAAGTTCATTAGAGCATACAAAATAATTCACAAGTCATATCGGACTCCCAAAAAAGTCAGCTTTAACAAACTTGAACATAAGAAGGAAACTGATTGGTTGTTGGGGACAAGTACGTTTTTAAAAGTGGATTTTTTCCTATAAGACGACGGTCTCTGTAAACTATTCAAAGCTAGAATGAAACACTTCCCGATTTCATTCCAAAATAAAATAAAAAACTGAAAAAAAAACCAAAGCCAAAAAGCCAGCTGTCAAAGTCACGATCTTTGTCCACCGGCAGCAAAGTGGACTTGCTGTTTGCTCCTCATGCCCTGCAGACACTTACGCAGGAGAAGTACACGCTTTCAAATCTGATGGCTGCCTCATGTGCCCTGAGTCTGTCTGGAGTGTCGGCTGTGCACTTCCTGAATAAATAACTCAATGCAATGCCAAGATGCAGTATGCACATAAAATTTAGGGGCAGAGAGGAAGTGATAGGGTCAACACAGCAGCAGCAGCAGCAGCAGCAGAGTTTTGAAGACAAGCTTATAGTCCAAGTCTGCAATGATCCACCTCTCCAGGATGTATCATTGCCAGTGCACGGCCACAAACATGCCAGTCAAAACAACAAGTGAGAGAGAAGTTCAGCTTTAGAAGTAGATGCGCAAACCTACTGAACTACATAGAAATGAGTCTGGCTGTGTGAGCACCGATGCACTGATAGAAAGCGAGTCTTTCTCCGGCTTAAGTGTTAGACAGTGATTTTATAATGACTTCTCAAAGTCTAAAAGAATCATTTATAATCTATACTTGAAGAAAACCTGAACTTTATTGTGTTAAATCAAAAATGTATTGTATTTCTGAGACAAAGATTGTCGGTTTTGGAGAAACTTCACAACTCAATTTGTTTTGCGAAAAGAGGACACAGATTAGAAAGCACTGAATGTGTTTTTCAGCTGGGCGGTTACAAACAAAGTACTATGTTGATTGATTTAGACGACTCGCTTCAACAGAAAAAAAAAACAAAAAAACATCTTCTCAATCCACAGCACAAAAGCACAAACAAGTTGAATATTATCATGTTTGCTGACAGCTTATCACTTAAAGAGGGAAACTGCCAATCTTCCCTCCGCAATCATCTCCTCAGCTGGTTAAAATCAACCATTGTTATTGTCATTGTTCCCGATAAAACACCGGTGATGAGAAAATCTCGTATCCTTATCAGACTTTGCATCACCCTCTGGGGAACATTTACAGGAGTGAAAATGAGGGCAGTCATCCAGAAGATGTTTTATGTCTCCAACATTAAATTCTATCACGTCTTCTTGTTAGAATAATATGTTGTCAACAGAACTCAATAACAGGCGGATTCTGTGAACACTCAGAAAGCTTTGCAAGTACATGTTGTTTGAACAGCTGTCAGACAAAATTAGACAGTTTTCCTATAGCAGAGGTATAAAAAGCCGATAATTACACCTAAATTACTTTGATGAGCTAGCACAGGGATATGGATTTACTGTATGGAAATAATCTGTGGAGGGAACCTGATTTACCGTTCAGATGTTTTAAAAGAACTTTTTAGAGAAATGTTATTTTTATGAGTTTCATTTAGAGCTGAAAACACAAACTAAATGACTGTTTAACAACCTATTATGAAAATTGATGACTTAGTGAATTTGGATGTCAGATTAGATTATTCTACTGCAGTCTTAACGAAACCCCTGCTGTGGTAAATACTTGATTCTGATTGGTCAAAACTCTAATTTATTCAGAAAAGCAAGAGAAACACCAGAGACAACAAGATTACTCATATCATATCATAAAAACCTGCAGAAATAAGTCTGGCACATTTACAGAAGATGACTCATTACCATCAGAGAAACTAACGAGCAGCTGAGTGACAGAGACATCAAATAAATGGAAGAAAACATGTCTGGAAGCGACCACTACCTGCAACACAGTTTGGGCTCTGGCAGTGATACAGGGCTGGTTTATTAAGAAGAAAATGCAAACAGAAAAATGTAATCAAACATGTCGGTATAATTGATGAAAGTGTTACGTTTAATGTGTTACATAACATCAAAGAAGGTTGATGTAATGACTGAAACATGCATAAAATCATTAACTTTGATGAGTGGACCCACAAGGATACTGTTGCCATGGAAGCACGACCAACTGGTTTGCATTGTTAGTTGGTAGCCGGGTAGTAGGCAGCATAAGAAATGTATAGTAAGTGGGTGGTTATGTAAAATAGCATACTAATATAGTATTAGTATGCAATGTACATCTCAAATCAGGTAAACTGTTGGTTTTCTGAACTTCGAAGCACAAATAACGAGATATTCGATAGATTTTCATAAATGTAAAAACAAGAAGATCTGGATGTGTTGTCTTAAGAAAAAGACAACTGTGCTAAACCTGTCTAACCTTTTTTTTCCCTACTGTTTTATGGACAAACCAGCACTCCAGAGAAAACAAGAGGATTCGTGATTAAAAAAAAAGTTGCAGCCCTTATTGCAGTTAAACATTATATTATGAATACTGTTAAGGATTACTATGGTTACATTGAAGACTGGTAGAATAGGTCTTTATTTAAATGAATGTAAAGACCTATTCTACGGGGGCTACAATGACATGTCCTTTATGCTTTATTATGGACAAATTGGGTGTGATGTGTTTAATGTAAGAGCTTCGTTCCTGCTCTGACACTACATCTCCATTTCTCACAATACCATTTGCAATTCATCCTCGAGAGACATGAAAACCTCTTGTTGGGCTGCACACACTCGGGTGCTGAGGGCTTTAAAAAGCTCCTTAAATCCTCAGTAGCCACAATGTCAAAGGGACAAAATATAAAGTGTAGCCTGCTTTTTTTTACAGCCGCGGTGGGACTCTGAAAAGGTGAATACAGCCGTGTTATTAAAGAGGGTCCTTATAAAGCGGCCTGGGCCACATCTAATTAGAATGTAAATGTAGTGTGGGCTGGGGATGGATCACAGAGGATAGACATTGGCATTTAGATTATGCTGAGACTAGATTACTGATGACACTGTGTGTTGGTGAGATAGCCTTTTTGAGAGCGGCTTGGCAACTGACTAATTGTGTTTCACTACTAGCAACATAGACCGCTGCTTCTCCTTCATTGGTAATTAACAAGAGGGAAGAGTGACGGTACAAACAACCTTCGACAACACTAAAACACACATGCACAAAGACTATATGTGCTCAGAAGCACACACTCGGGCAATCTTCCACCTCTTGTATCTTGTACTAGATTGAAAGAATGAAGCGCTTCTTTGCACTAAGCCCAGACTTGAATCTGCTCTGTAGAAATCCTCTCACCTCTATGCAATTCCTCAGTGGGGGCATATGCCAGGAACAGAGCAGCTAAGACCAAACAGAAAACCAAAGACAGAGTGGAGACAGCCGAGAGAGGAGGAGAGAGAAACAGAGAGCAGGCAAGAACAGAGAGGGAGGGTGAGTGCAGGGGGAGAGAGAGGGAGAGAGCAGAATGGAATAAATTGAAGCTGATCTGGTGCTCTGCATTCTGAGGAGGACGGATTTGCATATCTGTGCAGCGGTGCAGAGGGAGAAATGTGTCGGTGCTGACAGCAAGCTGAATATCTTAAACCTCCGCTGACACCCCTGCAGGCACTCTCTCCTCACATACACTGATGCACGGTGGAAGGAACACACTCACAAAATAACACAAACACACACATAAAAATTCAGAGGCACACACTAGACTTAAGGTCAGGAGATGGGGAGCTTTGTGCATGGCTTTGTTCCTGCACAGTGATGTACAGTAGAGCCGGTTGTTTAGCAGTCAGGAGCCACTGAGGCTGTCCACTCTCTGCTGACACTCACAGACATTATTTATATGTGTATACTTTTAAATATTTAAAGCTGAACTGTAAATGCATGAGAAGTAAGAAAAAGAAAAAACAGAAACACACAGTCATTATCCAAATCTGTTCCTTGTTGTGCAGTAGAGTGATTCATGAGTGCCGTACAACATTACTTTTGCACTCAACAGCACAGGAACATTTGCACTTCAAACACCGGGCAGTGAGCCATTTGAAAATCCGACTGTGTTCTACTAGTAGTGGGAGGTAAACCTTACAAAACCAATTTAGTGCAAGGGCGACCAAATTCTCTTTAATTTCAGAGAAATACACAGAAATAAGAATCCAAACAACAAGTGCCTGAAGACAAGCATGAATATACTACAGCTCTAGAGTGAGTGTAAAGCCATTTAAGACAGCTTGTACTGCAGTATACTCTGAGGACTTGCATGAACAAAATGAAATATAGATGATGGACTAAGCTGAGTAGTGTCTTTGGCATTCGGTAGGTTTACATGCCCAGTGTAGTCGAGCTATGGCCGTAGCTTCTTTCTTAAACCGTAGTATCTGTATCTGTAGCATACTGTTGCTGTTGAAGAATAATGATTGTTGCTGATGGTCTCTGTTGCAGTTGCTAGTCGTAACAGGCAACAGAGTTAACTTCAGACTGTTTTATAACCAGCTTAAAACCCCTCAAAGGAGCTTTAAGTGACTGGGCCACATTTTTGAGTCTTGGCATTCAGAGAATTTCTTTGTGAAAAAACTCATCACGGTGATCTGACACCTACCCTGCAGCAGGATTCAAAGACATAAAAATAATGACATAATAATACTCATTTTTGCTTTGAACAGTCATTTGGAGGCGCCACTTTTGATTTCTGTCTGTTTCATAACCAGGTTAGAACCTTTCACTGGAGCTTTAAAAATGTTCACTATTTGAAATCCTAAAGAGATTTGGCTTTTAGTCTAAGTTTATAGGCTGGGAAAACCTTCCTTATCCGTTCTAACCAATGGCTTTGCATCACAGTTATTTAACAGCTCAAGGTAGTCTTTAGTCTCCTCTCCTATTTGTCCAGGCTATAGAACCGTTATCCTTAACCGTATGGCAAGAGAACAACATAAAAGGAGTATTAACAGGTACCAAACACCATAAGATTATGCTGTACGCAGATGATACCCTTCTAATTTTGACTGACTTGAAAAATTCAACATCGGCTTTAGTCAAATGTGTTAAGAAGTTTGGGTTGATATCTGGGTACAAAGTTAATTTTGACAAGTCTGAAGTATCAAACAATCGATCAATCAATCAATTCTTATCCATATAGCATCAATTTTCTTGGAATAAGAGTCATTTCCAAAATTACCAAGCTGTATAATGAAAACATTGGCCCCTTTATAAAACATGTTAAAGACGAAATGATGGGATGGAGTAAATTTACCAATTTCTCTCCTGGGTAGGTTTAACTTATAAAAATGACTATTCCCAAGGAAAAGGGAGGATGGTGCTTACCTAAAAAAAAAAACTATGTTGCGCCAATACATGCTGGAATAATATCCTCACGGGTGATGGTGAAAAAGATAGAGAAATAGAGATAGTAATAGCTACAATACAATACAGATATGGAAAAGCTTTAAGACATTTTTAAGAAAAACAACCCCCTGAATGCACTTACAACTTTAATGGGCAAACTAGAACTAGCTGTGAAAGTTGTAGGGCCTGGCCTCACATTATGGTCCGAAGCTGGGATAAGGAAAGTTCATGATCTCTATAATAATGGGACTTTTAGATCATTTGAATCGTTGAACTCACAAATAGTTCTCACATGATTGAAATATATGTCTTGGATCACAAAATACAAGAACATTTTGTCTCTGGGTTTTATTCCAAGGTACAAGATCTGAAGGGGAGTCCGACCAGTCTTGATAGATAAAGAACTGTGGAGGTAACAATAGATGAAGGAAAATTGGAAGCAAGTCTTATGCTACCCTCCAGGATCTCAATATGTAATAGGTATAAGCAGATGCTCTATAATATTGTACATAATGTCTACATTTCTCCATACATCTACAGCAAGTTTACTCCAGGGGCCTCTCCAACATGTTTGAAATGTAGATCATATACAGGAACTAGAACACACTGTCTGTGGGATTGCCCTTTGTTCTTCTGGGTTAATGAATAGCTACAAAAAATTTAATAGAAATAATTAAAAAACACTGACAGCGGCGTCAGCAATGGGCTGAATTGTTATTTTTGACATCGGTGCTGCTATTGGCTTTGACTTTCCTCGATGTTACATCTCTAGTGCAAGCTGGTGGATGAAAATAATGAGATATGACACGGTAATAAGTGACTGTCAGATGTACAGGCGAGCAATTCTTTAACTTCAGGGCAGAGCCAGACAGGCTGGATTCCTCTGCCATATTCGACAAGCTAGTCAACGCCTGCCTGCCTCCTAATAAACGATGATATAGATGCTCTCATTTCAACTCCCGGTACAAAATAAAGCCCAAAATACTAACATAAAAGCTGCACTTATTACACCCTGTAAACAAACACGCTCACTGAGACAACAATGGAGTTTAGAGAGTTCATCTGTTGACTACAATAACGGTGAAATACTGTTCATCCAACAAAGACTGGATCTCTGGTATTTTGTCTGACTGGTGCTGATTTATCTGACCGACTGGAGCAACAAACAGAGAGATAACAGAGCAAAGAGGACAACACAGTATTGATTGTGCAGCACTCTCAAGAGAAATAACAGATATGTAATGCACCTTGCTTAATAATTTAGTCAACAGTGATACTGAAAAAGCTTTATAGGATATGCATAACCACACAGTATCCAGGCTGTACATTTAATGGGATTTTTACCCAGTTCTTTCTGTATTTGAAAACATCTTCTTTTCCTGCAGGGTGCTTTCCTAGGATTATATGACAGCTTCACAAAGCTAGCATGACGTCTTTGCAGTCTGCGTCACGTCTTTCAAATATTTAAGATCCTCAGTGGGAGAGTAGAACAAAAACCTTTTCCTCACACGACTCAGAAAAGACATGTGAAGAGGGTGAATTCTTCTTTCTGACAGTCAAATCCAAAGACCGAACCCTCTGCCAGACTGTCTTCATGCTGTTTATCATAAAAGCCCAGAGGGGGATTTAATTTGGCAGGTTGTGTTCCTGTGCTGAAATCAACAAGAATCGAGTGGGGGACATGTTTTATTTGTCTGACATTGTCTAATGGCCACCATCATTTCTGATTAATCTTACGCTTGCATGAGGATTTATCTATCTGTGGGCTCCATGTGGTGCCGAACAGCTCAATAGGGAGAGAAGAGCACAAACAGTGCCAGGGTTAGTACCTCCACTCCCACTGCACATAATTCTTACTACTTTGGATGAAAGCCTGCTGCCAAATGGTGTGTGTGTGTGTGTGTGTGTGTGTGTGTGGGTGAGAGTAGCAGCTCTGACAAAAATAATAACAGCTGGGGCTTGAAAAGTGACCAACCATGTTTTTGAGACTTCTCCTGTAAATGCTTCCCACTAAGTTTGTTCTCATTTTAACGGTCATGCTGAGCGACTTCAGCGCCCATGGCTAACATTACAACCAGCAAATATCAGAGGAATCTCCTGGGTGTGTTTAAGTAGCTCATTAAGCTCAAGGTTAAGTTAGCTGAAGGTTACGTTTGGGCCTCTGCAGGCTGCCTGTCTGTAGAGTGAGAGCGGAGAAAAGCTGATGGGCTTGTCAAATGTCAAACCGTATCCTGTCTGCTGGTGGGTGAGGAATAGTGAGGGGAAGATTGTGAACATGAGAGGAATGGTGGAGGTATGACAAAGTGTAACTGTATGTTCTCGTAACAGCGCGTGTGTGAGTGTGTGTGTGTGTGTGTGTGTGTGTGTGCTGGGGAGGGGAGGCAAAGGAAGCAGTAACACAGTGGACAAGCTCTTTGGCATGCCAGAGGCGTGGTGACATTGATCCAGCAGACCTCTCTCCATCAGTCTCCCTGACAGAGGTAACTGGATTGTTCATAAAAATGGAAATTGAACCATGTTATTCTCATGCGTGCAAGCAGGCTGAAAAGAAATCTACTCACATATGGCTGTGCGGGGATAAAATGTGCAGCCTGAAAACGACGTTTGTGCATATATACGACTCATTAATATGACAGCCACACAGACTTCTAACAATTCAGGGAAACCTATAGTGTTATTTAAACATAAATGCACATAAACAAACACTTCCCCCCACCGGTGCGACCCTGTGTTGTTCAAGCAGAGAAACACTTCAAACAGATGCAGAGCAAATAAACAGAGGCAGCTGGGAGGCAGAGTGAAGGAAGTAAAGCCCTTTCCTGATTAACAGTTTGCTGTCACGTGTGTTGTGATAATACTTTAAAGAGGCTAACATTTCAATAGAGCATGGGCGACTGTGCAGGTGGGTGGGGTTGATAATTACGGCAAATATGCCACAACATGCAATTAGCTCTCTCATATGCATCGTTTGTTAGCTTAGCAGCGTTCCTTGTCACATGCTAATTACCCACAACCACTGTAGGCATGTGACAAATGCTGGCTGCAGAGACAGGGAGTGTGTGAAGCCCTTTCATCATTATTTCAAAAGCACTGGTCGGCATGGGGAACATTGTTATTTATTCTGTAGAGGATGGTGGAGGTTTTTATGGAAACCTGCAGTCTGTGCTCGCTTCACTGGTTTATGTTTGCCCATAAATTCAAAATCTTTAAAGACTTAAAGATTATTTTACAGATGATGGCAGAGCTTCCTGTTGGAAATCTGTGGTCATTGTTTACATGACTGGTTTAAACATACTCTCTTAAAAACAGGATGCTTTATCAATTTTGAAAGATGCTTTTCCAGATACTGGCAGAAATTTTTTATTGGAATTTAAGACTCATCTAGGCACAGGATGTGTTTTTTTTTTCTTCTGTAGGATGGTAGGGGAAGGTCCCATCCTCCTTCGCCTCTGATGGCTTGAAGTGCTGGGCTCCGATTGGTTATTCTTTATGGCTACGAAACGTCATTGTCTGTTGGGTTAGGGTAAGGGTTAGGAGACTAGAAGCGCAATAATGTTGTGTAATGTTCTGTTTGATGTACAGAACCGACATTTGGCTTGAGCGTGTGATGACGTTTCCAGCCTCTCTAGCCAATCAGAGGCGAAGGAGGCGGGACTTTACCCTATCATCCTACAAAAAAAATATATTGCGCATGGGATAGGGCGTCCATGTTTTCCAGAAAGAAGATAACAGGACCACAGGACAGTTTTCCACCACCGGCATGTCTGGATCATGCTTACTCATGGTTCTTGTTTGCACTGGGAAGAGAACAGGATTTGAGGGTTTTTGGGAGTCTGTGCAGTGACTTCCACTGCAGAGTCATGTATGTTTTAAACGTACATGACATACAAGTGTTACTTGAGAGCTCAGAGATTATTGCTATTTATTATTTTAGCATTACACATTTTTTTCAGTTCTTTGTTGTCCCTGTCTTAACGTGTTGCCGGTATCAATGAACCTTTTTTTTGAAATTTCAGCTCCTACATATTGTCTTTGCACTTTTCTCCATCTCAGCATCAAGTGCTTCGCTGACTGTTTAATAAAGGTTTACAAACTCAGAAATTATCTCCTCTTTACAACAGCTCGATGCCCAATTGTCGATTTTTACAAGATGGCAGACGTTAGAAGAGTATCTGTAGGAAAATCTGAAGAACATTATGATGCACGCTTTGCTTACTTTACTGCTCAATCAATGTGTACAAACTCAGAAATCATAATCTTTTAAAATAGCTTGATGCTTAATCAATTTAGCTCACCCACTGTTTGTCTCCTTCAGCAGTGAGGCAGGCTTAGGCGGACAGCAGCAGATGCTATTGATTTTGCTCTAAAGAGTGGGGGAAGGGGAGCCGCAGAGCAGAGGACGTACGGCTAATGATGGGAATGTTCAGAACAACATCATGCTTTTACAGGGAGCTGCCTTTATGGTGGCTGGAGTCTATAGAGCTGGATGCAGTTTAACCCTCAGAGATGAGGAGGCATCCATCCAGACGGCGTCCCAGGCAGCTAGAGAAGAGTGATGTTTAAGCGGGTTTATAATTGGTGCAGGATATTCCAGTCTTGTCTGTGTCTAAGCTGAGCGTGACAGGAACACTGATATTTACTTCACAGTGCTAATAGGATGCACTGTTGTCTCTGTTTGCTTTCATGTGTAAATATTGATGTAGTTTGTGACAAGAGAAGAGTATACAAGAGATTAGCCTGAATGCAGGAGGGCTGGATGTGCTTTGAAATATTTCTTTTTCCTTTTCAAATGTCATAATATGTTAATAATCAGCGAGTTGTGTGGAATAACAGGAATGAAAGCCAAAAAGAAAACCCTCCGCACAGGGTCTGTTGATACGATGGAAACGAACAGTCAACAGGTGATGAAATTTGAAGAAATCTCCGCAACTGACAGTTAATTAAGAATCCAGGACTCTTACACCACTCTGCCTCAAAGCTCTACCGCTGAAGAGAGAGGCGCATTAACCCGAGCAGATGCCGATGAAGAAAGAAATGTCTTGAGTGAGACATGTGGGAGCAATCATTAAAATGTCACATTTCTGATTTAGTTAGCTGAATTTTAATTAATGCCTATGCAAATACAAATCAAGCTCGTGTCTGTCACAAAATCATTTAAGCCTGACAGCGCTGAAATTCATTAGATGATATCCAACAATGAAGAGTGAACCTACATTAGCAGTGCGGCTCTGATCCATCACTTGTGTACCTTATGCACGGTGACATCTATCGGATCGATTGAACTGATACCAGGATGAATGCTAATCACTTTGGAGCTAGTTAAGCGCCATCGACAGGTCAGCGTTTAAACTAAAGCACACATCTGTTCATTAATGGGAAGCTCTGAAACTACTCATGACTCAGTTCCCATCAGCCTCTGCTACCCTTAGAAAATAATACTTACACAGTGGTGGATAAGTGTTAATGTATGAACATGATCATTAGTAATCACTGTTTTGGGTTATAAGTGTAAGTGATGTTTAAATTATGGTCATGCCAATTAAACAGTGCTATCACTTAATTTTCATGGATAGTGTGAGCAGCTATCGTCTACACTGTGTAAGTTATAATATCAGATTAATGAGGTTGCATAATATAAAGCTAAAATCTTAATGCATGGATTTAGGCTGCAGTTATTCCACCAGCATAAACATAAGGCATGGATGAGAGTTGTTTACAGACATCCACGTCTACCTTCCAGTCTCGTGTCATGCCCAGGTCTCTCGTTTCTAGTTTCTTGGGTGGATGTTTGGGTCTGTTTCTTGGACAAGCGTTGTCCTCAGGGGATTTGCTTCTCTAGGGGGCGAGGAGTCAGTCACAGTCAGCTCACTCTAAAGCTGGTGCCGGGCTCTTGAGCACCTGATTGTGCCGCCAGGTGAAGTGACCTTGTGTGAGCCCTGCCATGGCTTGTTTGAGGCGAGCCGGTGATGGGCAGAGGGTAGGGTTTGCAATCCTAGATTCACTGGTGATGGTAGCATGTTATATGCAGCTCTGGTCTTGCCTGCCTTTATTTCTTCCCACAAATAAAAGTGCATCGGCACACACAGCGGTGGATTACTGTGCCTTGTAAACAGCTAAAGCTTGCTGTAGTTACCCCATCCCCCCTCTCTTTCAATTCTGATGCAGTTAAGAAAGATGCAGACCAAAGCAAGACTTCTGCCAGCTGCTCCACTGAAAACAGCAGAGATATTTCAGCCTAATCGTTTCAAATTTATCATAAAATTTGCAATCTTTATGTTGGATTGTTTTTTAATTTATAGACAGGAATTGTTCAGCTGATGACAGAAATGTAGTAGAATGAAGGAGACCATTTAATCGACAAAACAAACTGATTACCAAGCATTCAACCCTTCGATAGTTTTCTTCAACATTTGTTTTGTGAAACATTAGTAAGAAATGTCTCCCTGTTGTGAAATATACACCAGTATCCTTGTGTGACTGATTCTCTGATGCAGGTTAAGTATCTCTAATACGTTTATAGTGTTGCCGGGCTCACTGAAAAGAGAGGAAGGAACCATCAGCAGGGTTTTCTGCATGTAAAGTGGGTCAGCTGTGCTCCTGGAGAGCTTAACAAGCTGCTGGAGGAATAAGGCAGCACACTTGATAATTAGCAAGAGGAGGAAGGCATGTTTGAGGAGGAGGGGGGTGCAGGAAGAGGTGGAGAACAGATGAGAGAGCGTGTGGGTGTGAGGCTGGACGAGCAACCAAAGCTCTTTTATATATCTCTCTACTCCAGCACTGATACGTACTCTATGCTTTCCTCGAGTTTATATAGTCTCTTTCCTCCTCTTTTTATGGTATTTGTATATTCATAATCTCTTTTACACTCCCCGGTAGGACATTTTTATCTTCCTTCAGGCACTGATAAAATTTCATGTCTTCCTTTAGTGACGGTTAAGTTTCATTTTCATCACGTCTCTGTGGACTTTTCTCTCCTTCATGCTGTAGTCCCGCTGTTTGTTGAGCGTGCTACTTCTCCCACATTTGTTTTGAAGTAATTAGGCCATGAAATGAAGGAGGAAGATTTCACAGAAGCAAAGTGTTTCTAGCTGGTTTTGACCTTTTCAGACTGCACTGCTGTTTGATGTGAGCGCAGTCGGAGCAGCAGTAGAGAAGGAAATGGTTTTCAGAGGCAATCTTTTTCATGTTTGCTATGGTAATTCTCCCTTTATTCTCTCAGCTACGGTCTATTCCTTTATCTAAATTGACTGGTTTGCCCCTGATTTTTGGTGTATAGTCAAAGCTTGCCAGGAGCGGAGGAAAAAAAAAAACCTTTGGTTTAAAACAATCAAAGGCTTTAATTAAGATAAATGATCATGATTAGAGTTTTTTTAAGGGTTATGCAATCACGGCTGGATGCTAACAGCAAAATTAAACCATGATAGAGCAAACAAACAGTATTAAAACGGTTGTCATAGGAGATTTAGTGATAACCTTTCCAGCTCAACAGCAAACATCTGATCTGTACTAATCAAAATAAAACCCCTCTCATATAAAGTCGCTGACAGACATTGTGACAGACTTTGTTTGTTCCTTGAGAAGGAAGGGTTTGGGGCTGCATCTCCTCCCAGCCATCACTGATCAGGTTATTTCCACAGCAGAGGGAGGAAGATGCAGAGCAAACACCACTGTAAGCAGGGGGGGCTCAGCTGCAGCAGCTGTGTGTATGTGTGCGTGTGAGTGTGAGTGTGTTTGGTTGTCGGAGTATATATGTGTTCTTCCCTGAAAGCTCAGGTGCTCTCAGGCGAAGTGTGAAGAGGGTTTATGTGAGGCAGAGAGAGAGAGACAGAGAGAGATAAAGACTTAAGAGCTAATACAGTGAAGAGCTGCAGTGAGAGGAAGAACTCACCGCTGCCTCCATCCACTCTCAGAGAAGCTTAAGACCAGAGATGTACTTGCTGTTTATCCTTGCGCTCCCATACACATTCGGCTTCATATTGAGCGTGTGTGCCTGCATACTTGACTATGCACTGGGTAACGTATAGGAGGATGGCTCCAGAGAGCTCATAAGGGAGCCTTTAAGTTCCCACTCTGAGAGGTGTAAACAAGAGGCATGGCCAAAGTCAGTCCTGGACTTGTTTCTATTTAGTTTACAGGTTCCCATATTTGCTTGTACAATTCAACTGATATATCTTGCCATGTTTGTTGCCATGGAGTGCTTTTGCCTTTGTTGTCCTGCTGCTTCTGCATCTTTCTTTTATAAAAAATGTACGGATCATTAGTTTGTTACTGATGCTTTGCTAGAAATCCTTCTCAACTGTTGATAGATTCGCTGAGGAAGAAAACTAGTTTGCAACTTCTTTGTTCGAGGGTTTCCACAGACAGTTTCAGGTGAGGTTATTTTTTAACATTATCCTTCTGGGGCCTAAATTAACAGGGTAGAAAGAGAAAGAAAGAGAAGAAAGAGAGAAAATGTGTAAATCAGAGCAAGTTTTATTAGCCAGGGATGGGTGCAAACAGAGAGTTTGACTCCAGTAACTTTGCTTTTTTTACATTAATATTACATTAATATGCACACGGCTTCATTAAGAATTAGACCTCCTGTGCAATGCTTAGAGAAGCAAAAGACGGGAAGAGAAGAGGGAATGACTTGCACCTGGACTGAAAACAGATCTTTCAACCTAGACTGGAGCCTTTGTACATGAGGCACCTGTTCTACCAGCTGAGCTAAACCAGCACCCGTGGTTCAAGTGTGTAAATTTCAGGGTATTCTGCTGTCAGCTGTATGCTTGGGGTTGATCCAGAGCGGTAGTTTGACAAGAAAGACATTTGCAATGGATATTTTTCCATGTTTTATATCCAAAAAAGAGTTGAGTAACTAATGTGATGCTAGATACAGGAACTTCTTGTTTGTAGCATCAATATGTTAAATTGTCAAAGACTAAAGAAAAACAAGGATATGCCAAATATCTTTGAGAGTGTAAGTGCATGATCTTTCCCAGTACACAATGATGTGACAGGAGGAGTAGATTTTCATTTTCTCCCAGTTTCTAATTTCTGTGTTTGCTGAGGCTCCAGTCCTCAGCCCCATGGGGAGCAGGCAATTTCAAGTGAAAAGCTTTTTCAAGTGCTTTACTGCTCAAACACACAGATTTCACAATCAAATCCGGGCTGGAAAGAGAGACTAGTACTCAGTGGCCTGGGGCTGCTATCAGGAGCTCTGTGAATGCAGTTTAAATGTTGCACTTTTTGTTATGTTTGGATTGCCTCTTCAGGATTTTCTTTTTTGTTGCTTTGCATTTTACTAAAAGAGAACATGTCTGACAGCTGGCTAACTCTGTAAGCCGACTTAATGAACCTGACCCGAGGGTCAGGCAGATTTCCTGAGTCTGTTTTGGACTCGTTATGGTTTGAATCATGCCTCGCCAAACTGCCTTTGACCTTTGTACCAATTGTCTACTGTGCTCTTGGCCGTGTTGTGAGCAGAGCTGTGTTGTCAGGCTGCAGGAAAACAGGGCGGGCTGAACAAACAGGAACACAACAACATGAAATGAATACAATCTTGGTCTACCTGCTGCAAATGAAATGCTGAATACATAATGAATCACTGCTTTTGTTTTTCAAATAGTCTGTAACCAAAAGGACATCTAGACTGAGACTGGAGGCGAGAATATAAAATAATTACTGATGATGAACTCTCTGTGCTTTTGGCTCATTCTGCTTGATAAGTATGTCTGAAATTATCGCACAAAAAAAGCAGTAAAAACAATAAATTGGAGTTCTCTGAGAGACTTTTAAACTACTGCCAACTAAGAGAAGAAAACTAAAAAGAAAGATTCAATTAACTTCAATGTTAGCCAAAGAAAAACAATCAAATATCCCATTTCAGTGGCTGGAACCATCATGTTTGGCATTTGAGCTCGAAAAATAATTTGAGCAATCAATCAATTAACAAAATTTCTCGTCATCAAGCAATCAAGTCATTAAACAATCATCCCAGCTTGACTCAGGATTGTTGAAAAGGTCTGCTCATAACTTTTGGAGGAGTGCTTCAGAAATATGGGTTTTATTTTCCTCAGTAGTGGCCAAACAGAGGGATGTGCCGATGCCAAAGAAAATACAAACTGCATGGTCAATATGCCTAATTTCACTGACTCACAAACACACTTTTCCTGGTAAATTAATAAATTCTCTGTGTTGACCTGCTGCACTGCAATTTAAAACTCCTATTAAATTTCATGAATGTGAAACTTGCAACAGAAAATCAAATTATTGGAGTGATTTTATATGTCAAGGCTCTCTCAGTCTCTCCACAATTTGCTGCCTCCTAAAATACTTTGAGTTTCCTCTTTCTTCTTCTTCTTCTCCTCTCTTAATATTCTTGAGCACCATCCAAGATGAATTTTATCTCTGGCCATGAAAAAGAAATATTCTCTGCTCACAGTGTCGTGCATTCTTCATCGTTTATCTTGCAACAACAAGCAGTAAAGCACACCCTCATAATCTACATTTCACATCTGACAGCTTTGTGTGTGTTTACTCAGACTGTGCGTATGGCGCAGGAGGGGAACCTCCACCCTGCAGCTTTCATGAACACGGCATCCCTGGTGTACCATTGGACGGCTTCAGCCACTATCTCCTCTTAGAGATTAATCTAACCACAGTGTCCTGAAGTATGTGTGCACCCTCAAATCATTGGAACATATAATTTTATCACGTTATGTTGTTTTAAGAAATATACGTGCCTCGGGCAGACTCAGCCCTACTTCATAGAGGAGATATTAAAACCACCCTGTGGACAAACCACAGGAGAACAAAATAACACAGAGTCCTCTGGGGTGTAATTGTCAAGGAGCTGATTTAAATCAAGCTGAGCGAGTCCAGAAGACGCTTAAAGGGAAATATAACCATATTTCAGGTGGATAAATATGCTTCTTAGTTGTTCTTAAACAGCAATCCTCTCATAAACACCACTCATACACACACATACACACTCAGACCATCATAAATACACAGAGCTAATGGCTACATCCTCCTCTCTTTATTAATGTTGTAGTTCATCAGACTCAAGCAGACCCATCTACTCTACTTCATCTTTAATGTCTGGTCCACAAACAAAGTAGAGAGACACTCTGTGTGATGAAATATGTGCATACAAGAATAAGATGGAGCACAGTTTAAAAGCAGCAACTCATGGATGTTTTGGAGTATTAGATAATCCTCCATACAATCACAAAAACACAGGTCTTAATAGGGAAAAAGAAAAAGTAATTCCAGTGAGAATCAGCTGCTACATAATGCTTTATTTCTACTGTCTGTGCTTTATGTCAAACCAGATCGACGGGAACTCCCATTCAGGAAGATTTTCTTAAATGCAACACATCTATTGGACACTTATTGTCATGTATAAGACAAGTGAGTAGCATTGTAAACAAATGCTACGTGCTACATTGTTTCTAGCTAAAGCTAGTTTGCACTGCCTGTCTCATGCATCGAAGAAGTTAAAATAGACATAAGAAACAGAGTCTTGGTAAAAAGCCTTTTTTAAACTCTGTTATACAGTGCACTCTTGCCAAACACAAATGAGTCATTTAAAATTGAGAGTTATTGTGTTGCATCAATGATTTATTAAGTGTTCTTCATTCTTCTCAAGACTGTTCCAGCTGTACTGAACGATTTGAAGTATTCTTACTGTGATTTTCTCTTCAGGCCATCAAATTAAAAGGAGCCATACCCATGCCCGCAATTATATAAATGCATTACCTTCAATGTAGCATTGGCATGTAGCCATATTTATAAAGAATGGTTAAAAACACATTTGTAACTAAGTGAAATTAAACCATCTTTTACTCCTCTGAAAGCGACTACATGCTGTGTTGTGCTATTGTTAGATTTCTTTTTGTGTGTGGCCAGTGAGCACACACAGCTGGCTCTGCAGAGCGAGCCACTTACAGTTGCTCAATAATCCATTTACTTGCCTTTGCTATTGGCGTGACTGTAATTTCAATCACATGGACAGTAGGGAGATAAGTGGGGAGCTGCCCACTGAAAGCTGCCTGATGGTAACATGGAGTGAAATCGAATAATGGTTTCTTGCTTGTTGCTTTAATCAAGAATCATCTGGTCGACCGCAGTGATGGGAAAAGGAAAGCTAGAGGCGAGCTTGAGGCTGAGGCTCATATTTTACATTTCTTTCTCGAAACATCTAGATGGAAATGCAAAGCTTTGAACTAAATTATTGAATGGTCACACCTTATAACATTTTCCCTCTATCAATTTTAATTAAAAGACGACACTCCAGGATTCAGATTTTCTTATGAGGAATCATCTCAGAATGAGTTTTTCACAACTGGTGCTAGTGTTGGCGATACCTTGGTGCTCAAAAGATGTAGTTAAATGTTTACTGCTCGTGAAATGATGTAGCTGCTCTCAGAGAGAGTTGTCCAGATGCAACAGAGAGCCATATTTCCATATCACCATCTTCCCAGGCAGCCTCTTTTCCCTACAAACCATTACTTGCTGCCTCGCCTCATTAGCATTGCAAATAAGACCTAAAGCAAGAGCAGTGATGGCAGCAGCAGCAGAGGAAATAGGACAGAATTAACAAATTATGTAAGAAGCGTGGAAAGAACGGAGGGAACAGAGTGTAGCAACAAGGAGGTGGGTGATGAGGAGGAGGTGGCAAAAGCAAATTACAAATCTGATAATACCTTCAAGTCGACATCCTTAGCTGACATCCATTTCTATTGGTTTCATAGCTCTATTTAAAGGAGATTATTGTAATAATAAATGTGCAGAGCAGACTCGCGAGGGACTCTCCACTGTTTTAAATTAAATTACACAGAACATCCAGATACTATTTCAGTTTTTATTCTGCTTTAAAGTAACTAATCAGTGCTTTGTATATGTGTTTATGTTTACAGAATGACAAATATGGCCTGACAATTAAGGAAGACACAACCTTTAAAGCTACAATGTCCTGTTTTTGCTTAGTTTTTTCACTGCTGTGGTTGATAATGCTAAATATGATGCAGCAGTTTGTCTTCAACGGGATAACCGTTTGACAAGAGCTTCTCCTCTGGGCTGAAACTATATTTTTGGGTTTAAACATTTGAAATATGCAAACTTATCACTTATGCAAGCTTTTAAATTGTCCTTTTATCTCACTTTCTGTAATACTGACCTGCTAATTTAAAGCATCCTATAATTTGTAATAGTTTGACCTGCATGGACTTGGGTATGGGGTCACACACTGGATTTGAGTCCTTGAGGATGGTAGCCTCCATACAGCTGGTGCTTCGATAGTTAGGCTAACCATACCTCAGGAAAAATAACTATTATTACTATACATGTACGTTCACTCTGAAAAACAGAGTCCAATAAGTTTCCAAACTTTTAACTGCATTGCTGAATATCAACAAGCAGTGTTGCTGCCTCACTTTTTGATTTTATATCTAAACCTTCTGGCACTTTCACATCTTAACTCCTCAGAACTCCCACCAACCTGAAACTCTGCAGTGAACTTCAGCTTCAGTGCTGAAAAGAAGAGTGAGAGGATTTATCAGATTTTAATTTTAGTCATAACTATGGCCCCCCACAGTCATAAAATTATGATATCTAAAGAAGGAGGAGGCAGGTGTGTGCTTTGGTAAACAAAAAAGACAGACTTAAGAAAAGTCTTATCATCTTTCAAAGAATTAACGGTTTTTAAGTCTTAAGAGGTTTAAGCTGCTTAAATGTATATGTCAAATCATTGGTAATCTTTTTTTAAATATACACAGTATCAATATCCGTCAAGACAATCATGACTATGGTATTACCATAAACAAGCAACCCTAATTAAAGGGACAGTTCTCTTTTTTTCAGTGAGGTTGTATTAGGTCCTTGTTGTTAGTGAGTGAATTGACCAAAGGGGATCCTGGTCAGCACAGTCCACCCAGTGTGACAAACCAGATGGAAAAAAGCTAACGCAGATGAAGTTAACGCAACCACCTTATTTTTATGAAGTCCCACCTGAGTATGAATGTTGATGTAAACATACACTGTATGCAAATGCAAACGATGCAAATAACTTAAAAAAAGCCAGTATGTGGCAGTTAGTAATGTTTGTTCAAGCTGAGGAGCATCCCTCTGTGGATAGGACACTAACTATTGACAAAAACCTCATACAAAGCCAACCATCTCTTTAAAAGAGAATTGTTTGAAATTATGATTTGTTTATAGTCATCTGCTCTTCGCAGTGTTTTCTATAACAATATTTCAACTGTTGACTGAAGTCAACTAACATTGATACTGATTCCTTGTGAAATGTCCATTTGAGAGATTACCTGTGTCAGTGCTCCCAGTCTTTAGTTCAACATCTTTCTAATCTCCTGATGCACAGTTTGCAAAAAGACATGGGATTTGTTAAGACATTTAAATGCAATTTGCTGCAATGAAACCAATAAATGCATTTTTAAGTCATATCAAAATTGTGACTTTGAATTCTTCAAAACCTTCGTTACCGTCTCTTGTCTTGTTAGCTTTGGTGAGATACCAGTGTAAATATATGTGGCTTTTCCATTCAAATAGACATGAGCGATCCTGGTTGAATTTCACTAACAGGGGAAAACAGATAGGCAGTGCAGAAATGTGCACTCATATCAGAGGGTAATGGGCTCTGAGGAGCGCTGTAATGAAACGATACAGAGAATGAGGCCAGGAGGAGAAGAAAAAGGGTCAGGACGTGATGCAAGCACCATAGCTCATCATCTAGTAAAGTCAAGGTCACAACCTTGCGCGCTCTCTTGGTATTTCTGTTTAGCTTTTAGAGAAATGGCCGAAGAGTCAGACCGAGGCGCAGAGTGGGCTGGGAAAGACGAAAACTGATTGCCCTTTATTTCAGTGGCCTTCGGGGAGAGCTTTGACTTAACAGGGGAGTTGTGTGTATAAACATGAAAACATCTATAATACCTGCACTTGGTAAACTGGGTAGATACAATAACACCAATACTTCCATTTTATTATTCAGTCAAAGCAGATGACTGTTAACCAAGGACTCTGGTTCTGCTTGAGATTTGTGCTTGTTAAATGAAGCTTTTCCTTTGTTTCAGTCAACAAATGTTTACAAATAAGTGCTCTTACTGGTTCGCTGTTGTTGAGTACAATCTAGACCTGTTATTTTTGCAGGAGTTCTCATGCTGTTTTTCTGTGTATTGTGTATTACTGATGCTAAGACATTTACATTTTTTATCGTCTAATGTATTTTTACTTTTTCATTTTACAATCAGTATGTTTACATGATCCAAAAATCGACTTATTGCACTCGTCTGACTACAACTGGACTTTTAAAATACATGTAAACACATAAATCAGACTGAAATCGCACTACATTGAAAATGTACACAACCCCATTGGACTAAAACTGGCCTAAGTATTCAGAGGGCCACAAATACGGTTCCAGAAAGTCAGGTAAACAAAAAAAATTGGATAGACAAAGAAAGGACGTACATAAAGACAAAGTTAAGGTATCACACAAACAAACGGTATAGAGCTGTAAAAAAGACAGCATTTCATTGCTGTGCATACATCCCATTAGCCACATGCTAACTTGTTTTGTCGATTGTTTTGGTCTGTAATAACTGGGAGATGACGCAGAAATAACAAGCTGATAGGTTGCATGTCACCTCATCTGACTGTAACTTAATTGTCTTATGCAATCTGCAGTGTTTTATGTATTTTAACCCTCTTTTTGTTTCCTCCATGTCTCTCTCATTTCTGCCTTTTTGTGTGCACTTTCACTGCTTCAAGTCTTCTGGTTAGTTTTTAATTCTACCAGTTTTAGAAAAACACTCTTTTTTAATGTGCTGTATTAACAAAGTGGGTTGGGTTACACTGTATTGGACTGGAAACAGCTTGATGTATTGTGTTTATATCAGACACCATTAATTATGGAAATTAAATCTTCATGCTTTTAACATTAAGATGCCTTGGCTGATTTTTGCTTGAAACTGATCAAACATGCACTGAAGCATTAAAAAGTGCTGTTACTGTCTTATAATGTCTGAATTTAAATAGAGATAAACTTGAGTGAGAGCCATCCCTTTGGCCGCACAGTAAATAGTCCTTAAACAACTTCTTCCGGGATCCAAACACCAACATGAGGCAGAAATACATTTCAGGGCCAGAAAACCCCGTTTTATGTTTCGTATCGATAATTTCTTTTGACGTGGAATAAAATGAGTTTTTTCTTCATCCTTTGAAGCTATCTGGCAAAAACACAGTGTGAAAACTGCTCTGGTTTTTGAGGTATGTCTGGGTAAATGTGGACAACCCCCCATCACAGTGGGGGCCAGGCTTGACTTGGCCGCTTTGGCTCTGTGGCTGCAACTCTGCTCGACACTCTGTGGGGGTAACACAAGGAACCCTATAGTGCGGTAATGCAATATTCATGGCGGGGCGTGAGCAGCGCAGTTAAACACAGCAGAGTTTTGAGGAGACCTTCCAACCCTCTATCAGGGAGCAGCTGCTGCCTGGGCTTTGCTCCCCTCTCCAAAGCCTTCCCCTCATGCTCGAGCATTGTCTCTTTCTTTTCCCCTGCCCTCCCCTGTTCCCCTCTCTGCTGCCTCTCTCTCACTCAACCATTAATTTTTAATCACAACTTAAATGGCTGCCTTGGCTGCGGCTGTGGGGGCAGCGAGTCAAGGGCTCTTGCCTCTGGTTACAAAGTAGGAAATAAATTTGAAGAGATCAAGCTAAACATAGAAGGAGGGAGAGGGCTGACGAGGGAGAAACGCACAGGCAGGAAAAATATCAACTTGCTGCTGCCATTACAGCTTAATTAGAATTTCAAGGCTTTCATCTTGGACTCTCCATTGCGACTGCTAGAGGAAATTGAGATCAAATTAAGATAAAGAATTGGATTTTTCAAGGGTTTTTAGGAGGCCCATGAGAAAGCAAGAAAGAGAGAAATGAGTGGAATTAGATTGTGTACATAGTCTGACAGAAGAGCTTAAAACAGTTTATCGATTACAGAAAATTAATAGACCAACATTAGTGGCTTTTTTTTGGCACGCAAAACTGCTGAAATTTCACTAAGTGCTTCTTTAAAAATGAGGATTTGCTGCTTATCTTTGCCGTAGCTGAGAGTAAAAGGGTAGATTATTGGGTTTAATGTGAACGTCGGACAGAAAAAAGCAACATGTGCAATTTTTATTCTTTTTTTTTTTCTTTAATATGGATTGTAAACAGCGCATTCTTTGTGTATTTACAGCTCTTTACATGTGTTTTTTAATATGCTGGTGTCATCTGTTAAATATGAGTTTTTGTAACAATAAAAGATCTTTTTAAGATGCCACTGACAAAGAAAACTCTCAGAAATAGAGATGAAATTGCAGATATTTGGCTAAAAAAACTCCAGTGCAGTATGAGCATAAAACCCCCAGCCTACAGCAGGAGTATATAAAAGGTTGAGGCGCTTATTCATGAAGGACACGGCTGTGTGGATGTTGTCAGTGAGGTGGCAGCACTCAGGTTTTCCCCTGCATTATTTATTTTCCGTATTGGGGTGGTCTGACCTGCTCTTGTAATGAGAACTAGAGTCACGGTCTGTTTGGAGTCTCGGGGCAACGCCGTGCGACCGTGTCCCAGGATCACTGCTCAGCCACACAGGCCTCCACACAGCCACTGTTTGCTCAGACTTCACTTGGACTGTAAAAGTCAAGTCTTGTTGACACATCTGTGCCGTCTCTCCCCGAGGCTAATGGCTTCTACATCTGTCTACTCCTTTTCACAAGGAGAGGAAAACTACAAGAATCAAATGCTCTTTTGAAAAGAGGCAAAACGCTGACAGCTGACGGAAAGCTGACAGCCTCCTGTGAGGGAAATTACCTCTGTTGATGTTCCTCTCTAGAAGATTGAGGTGGTAACACTGGTTAGGATGTGTTTTGAAAGAAATGTTGATGGCCTTAGGTAGCAGAGTGTCATGTTTATACTAGCAGAACTCTGTTTTTTCACAGGCCACCCTTCGTATAATTTTGCAAAGTCATGTTTTCTCTAAAATATCCTCAAGTAAAAATGATTTTCACAGAATACTTCCCACAGTCTCAGAGCTCTGCAGAACAAGTTAGATATAAAATGTGGTTTGAAATGTGATATGAAATCACTAAAGATGGGCTCAGTTGAACAAAAATAAAAACTCCTATCTTTTAATAGTTGGGATGTTTGGAAATATGTTAATAAAAGCAGAATTTAGTGGTTTGCAATTCAATAACAGCCTTTTTTTTTAATCAAAGACAGTGTCCGGATATAAAAAGTGTTAAAACTCAAAAATTGGCTTGTTTTAAAGTTGATGGGAGCAACACTTTTTTAAACAGTTGGGATGTCCTGAGGCGACTTATTTTCTTTGCATGCCAAATGACCAACTAGTCTAAAGATTATAAAAAAATCCAGACACTTGTCAAAATTAAGTTTGGATTACACTGGATGACAGAATCTGAAATGAAATAGTGTTGAATGCATTTCTTAGTGTGGCTAACACCTGCAGAGCTAGCACCACTGGCCTTTCAGTCATCCCTGCAGGTTTGAAAACCACATGACTGCGCTGGTGGTGTGTTGCACTAGTAAAACAGTTGTATTCCATTTAAACCATTTAAGCCTTCATAACACAACTTAATCCTCCTCATCTATGCTTCTTTACATCTGATTGGCGCTCAATAGCATCATGGCAGTAGCGCAAGTGGCGGCTGGCTTCACTCAGACACAATGTATGACCAGCATTTTAAGCTGATAATATCAAAAGTACTATTAATTAACTGGACCAGCTAACTATGTTCCATCGTGCTCTGCAACCTGCAGTTTCTGTGCAACTGTGTAGCTCTCTCTGCTACCATCTATTACCACCACCTCACTCTGCGTGATAGCTGAGCTCAGGTATGGACAGACCCTCCACCCATGTCCACATTACAGACTCCAGCTACCACCCTGCAGGTCTCTTGTTTTGAAATGCAGTCTCTCAATCAAACCAGCACTTTACAAGATTTGTTTACCTTAAAGTACACTACAGTTTCCTTTGAAAGTGTAATTATGGCATAATGAAGGAGAAAAGCATCAAAAAGAGCTGTGGTTAGGCTGCTCTTCTTCGCACATTGAAGCTGCTGTAAACTGTAACATGATACAATGCCTCTCTCTGCATTTAACACTGGTATGTTGGTCACATCGGTGCAAAGGATGCACTTCTTAGATGACTTAAAAGATATCAAAAGAGCATCTTTTACACTGAATTTTCCAGTAAGAGCCCTTTGCATGATCTTATTACATTGTGCGTTTGGTGAAATATTGCTGAGATAAAAATAGGAAGTCATTCTGTGCCTGGCAGTAGGTTAAAGAAACATTCAGTGACACTTCTTAACCACCTTAGGTGACTCATTGACCGTGTCGAGTTGAACATGCTCGCTTCCCTCAGCCTCTTGAACCGTGTAAATCATCCACCTATTGAGCTTCAGCTCTTAACACAACAAATTAACAAAATCCCAGCAGCAGACCAACTTCATCCATGCTAACTATTACACCCCTCCCAATCAGTCGATGACACACACATACAGACACACTCACGCACACCCCCACAGGAGTAATCTCTCACCAATCAAGGACATCGATCACACTGCAAAGCACATCTGTCTGCACCCCCTCTCAGCTCTGACCTAGATTGATTACTGTGACAAGCTCAGGACAGAGACAAAGACGAGGCGGAGAAAAGATGGACAAAAAAAGGGAAAACAAAAGGATCTGTGGGAATGGAAACAGGAAAACTGAGGGCACCAACATACGGATCCAGTCAAATAAAGACACTGAACCAGATGTGTTTTTCTATCACTCATTTCTATTTGAACTTAACGTTAAAGAGCAACAAAAAAACCTCAGAGGCTCAAAGAAAAACCACAAATATGAGTCACGGTGTCGCTGCAGCAGCTTGAACACTGTGACAAAGTGAGGACAGCATGAGCACTGTGTGTACCTTATGTTCTTCTATTCATGCACACTGACCCGTATAAATAAAGAATGTGTGACCACAGAAAAAACTGAACATGAAAGTTCAAACTGAGAAGAAAAGAAACGATTAACTGTCTTCTTTGTAACCCGGGTGAAAAAATGAAAATGAATACTGATGTTGGCTGAATCCTGCATTTGAGAAAACATGTTTTTTTTGCTTTTTCTCAGTGGGAAAAAATAAAAATCACTTGAAGCGTGGACATAATTTGGTTCCAAAGCCAATGTTTTTAAATCTGCTGTGCTGAGTGAATGAAAAAGGCATTACTCTGGGTTCTACACTTTCATTCACGATATATTCCCAGAGACTAAATCAATTTTAACCTCAGGGGTATAACCCCCTCAGGCACAGTCAGGAAAACTGGGTTGTGCAACTATACAGAAACATCCATACTGCAACAGAGCTGTAAACACCCACACATCTATATGCTTACTTTATAATTGACACAGAGATGGATAATTACTGTTTACAGAGAATAACAAAAAAGAAAAATCTGCGGCTGAATAAAGAGATCCTGCCATTCATGCATTGAACGTGACACTAAAGAAAGACTGCACACGTCAAATGCTGATTGCTTTGAGTTGTGTAATGGTGACTGATAAAGGCAACAATGCTTAGTTAAGATAAGGAAGGACAAATCTATTGCTCCAACAGAGGGCAATTTCTTTACGCAGGCTTTTCACCCTTTTACTGAGATGGAGAACCAAGAGGTTTCATTACAGAGGGCGGCTGATAAAACCTCTGAGCTCAAGTGCAATCAAACACTACAAAGCTCTCCGGCAAAGCATGTCCCCATCAAGACTACACTGTTCTACTTAAGATGTTATTCCATTCACATTTAATAGCAATTATAGAGAAATGGCTTGTGCACAGATCAGAATCAAAATACAAACTATATCAGATTTATCCTTTTATTCAAGTCTGTATGAGAAAGAAAGTTCAATCTGAAAGACCTGGGCTCCATCCAGCATTAGGAATATTAGTTAATTACTTCATTGTGTTAATATCTGTTATTACTTATTACCTGATAACACATAACCTTGACTGCAAAGATAACAAACTCTGAATTCCAAGTAAGAGTCAGATGTTTTCAACCAAAGCTGTAAAGATAAGATGAAAGTGAGGGACCCTCCATAATTTTATCTTTGTTTCAAACATAAAAGGCCAGATGAAGTCTAAACCTGACATGACCGTGACTCTCTTTCAACTGGAAATCTAGTTTAGTTTCTCTGTTTACACTCTGTTAGCTCTCAGGAACCACGGCTCTCTGGAACCGTTGGCTGCATGCAAATGGTTAAACAGCTGATGAGATCAAGTATTTCATTACCACCGAAGTGTCTGACCTCTCAGATTGTTTTTCTGCATTTTAAATATTTTGTCACCCTCCATTTGATAAAGTGGCAGCCAACATAAAGGACCTCTTGTATGAAATCATGGTACTGTGGTATGCTTTTTTTTTGCACGACATCGGTATTTCATATCTTCATTAAGACAGCAATCTTCAATATCAGTAGATGCAAAAGAACTTATTTTCAAGAAAAAAAAAAAAAAAAAAAAAAAAAATATATATATATATATATATATATATATATATATGTAAATAAATAAATTAATTAAAAATATATATATATTCAAATTATTACGGTAAAAACCTGGTGACAAACATTAGCCAGTATGCTATTTGCACAAAAAAATTTTTTTTAGTTGAAATATTCTGCAATCAGATCTGTTTAAAAATAATGAACAAAAAAGCCAAAATTAAGTTAAATTACACGGTACCTCCAAGAATAAAGAAGGAAAATATCAAAATGTTTCTGCACACCTCATGAGTACATCCATGAAACTTTTATGAGGGAAGAAAAATATATTTACTGGGCCATGTGGATAAGAAAGTCTGAGTTTAGATTAAAAAAATAATAAAAAGAAATAGATCCCAACAGCTCCTTACTGCAGATGTTTGTCTGAATGTAAAAGAGTCATGACAACAAAGATAAAATGTCACATGTCGGAGATCATAATCTCGTTCCTGGCTCTGTAATTCAGCATGCATGTGTTGTTACTGAATCTGTAAGAACAAGCATATCCAGTAGGCAAAGTTTATTGCTTGGGGCTCCTCTGGCTCCCCTGCCTGTGTGCTCTGGTCTCTGCTCAACAGCTCAGCTCTCTCCTTTCTCGTCTCTTCTCCTCTGCCCATTAACCGGCTGACAGATCAGTAATAAACACAGCCTGTCACCTTCAAGGCCTGCCTCTCATTTACTAGAGAACACATGAAACCCTGCTCGCTCCTTCCCTCTCCATCTATCTCTCACTCTCTCTCTTCCCTTTATCCGCCGGGCTCATTGGAGCTGAAACCTGATTTTTGGCCACCGCCGCCTCCAAGGCAGCAAATTCTCCTCTGCACCCAGATAGTCCTGAAAAAGGCATGAATATTAAATGGAAAATCCATGAATAAATAACAAAAAAAAAGGACTTCCGTGGCTCTAACCTCTTTCTGTCTCCCGGCGGTGGATGACAGGGGGAGAGCGCAGGGGAGAAATAGAGGAGAAGAAAAAAAAAATCGTGACCACCTCAGGAGAGAAGGTGGACATTTGTTGGGTAATTGGCTTTCTCTATTTGCCATCCCACAGGGCTGCGATTTCACACGTAAAACAAAGAGGTAATCACAAGGTAACAGAGCAGCCGATGGTTAGTAGTGCACAACTTCACTGCAATATTTTCTATGGGAATATGATGTGTTATTTCCATATGTGGAGCAAGCTAAAGGATAAAAGCCATACATATTGCAACAGCTTGATAATGCATGCGTGGAAAATGCAAATGACACTGAAAAGCGAGCGGGAAGTGCAATGTGTACAAGGGTATGATACTGAATGCATAACAAATAAAGAGGTTCATTTATTTGTGATACATGCTCACTGCTCCCCTGGCACGAGGCTGGTACACAGAAACAAGTCGGCATAGATTATTTCGCTTCAAGCAGTTCCCATAAGAGTGCTTAAAATGTATTGTTCTGGATTTGAGTGGCCTGTATTTTTAAACCTGGAGACAAACCATAAGTCAAGCATACAGAGGGCACTTTGAAAAAAAAATGCTGTATTATGCTTAGTTGTAGTTTTCTGTGTTTTTGTAGGTAAGTGTTGAGCATGCTATAAAGTGAAGTCCCAATTTAGTCTATTACCTATGGGAGACAAGGAGATAGAGGAACTTTTCTAATGATGAGACTGAGTTAAAGCAGTACGATAGAAGCTAAAGCTCCGATGAGGGATTTCAGTTTGCGTCAGTTTTGGCGCCCCTTGTGGACAGTGCAGTATTTTCCTCTTCCCCAAAGAAATCACATCCTGCTGATTTTTGACAGTCAAATGTGTCAATTAAAGGGATATTCCGGCATAAAATTAAGTTAGGGTCAAACATCATTTCTTCATGGAAATGCAATCAGAACGAGACGCTAAGGCAGAGGAACTACCGCGTCTGCAGCACAAAATGATTCATATGATGATTATGACTTAAAGGAAATAATAAAGTAATAATCATAAATGTTCTTCCTTGAGCTGTGTCACCCCCCTGCAGTCCGTAATGGATTTGCCCAAGGTCTCTATTCACACAAGCGGCTGCTGTAAGAGAGTAGGTGAGTTGTGTTTCGTATCTTTGCTAAAGAAATTAGGCAAAGTTAAACAGATGTTTGGTGGCTAGTACTATGCCTGGGACCCTATATGTACTGCTGATGAAGTTAGGTGCTGTTCTGAGCTTTATTTGTGGCTATAGAGTGGTGTTCTGGTTGAGGTTTGTTTATGGCTCCTCAGACTGCTGTGTATTGCTATTGTGTGGTCATTACTAAAGTTGGTATAACTAGAGAAGCAAGCGGTCTGCAACATTTATCTCTCAAGGGGTGTCTAACTCGGTCTTATGGTGTGTTTGACCTCAAATTAATTATACGCCAGAACATCCCTTTAATGTTCACACTTTATGTGGAAACTGAAAACAAAACATGTCCAAAAGGCCAGAAATCAGGTTACCTCACATTATTATGGACCTGTTTTACAAGCCAGGGAAGTTCTCCAAGCAGAGCCTGCTGGAAATTAATGTCGTATTGATAATTAATGAAATGATTTTACATCTGACAAACAGCTGTTTCCTCCCACTTGTTACTAATTTGACGAGTACACACAGCACAACTCTTAAACTTCAACACTGAAACATGAATTCAGTTGTCGGCTTACAGGCAGGGACTGCAATTAGGTTGGATAGACAACAAGGAAATCCAGAAAGTGTAATGTTATCAGAAAGGGGAATGATTGTTTGTTTGATGGAGCGGATGCTATTCTTCACATCAGAGCAAATCATCTGTAGGATGGAAATGACATGGAGCCTCAGCCTTTAGGCAGGAGAACTGCTACTGCTTCGTCGACCTTGTGGTCCTTTGTAATGACTCCAGTCTCTTGTGGATTTCAGATTATATATGTCAATGGCTCACATGACCAGAGATAAAAGAGATCTCTTCATGACCTGCTGCTGGAGCTACATTTTTCATCTTCGCAATTATATCCATGACTTCCTTCTCTGTAGTTAGAGCAAACCTCCGAAAAAAAAGAGCTCTTTTGTATCTGCTGGAGAGCCATCAGAGCGACTCATCTTTGTAGAGAAAGATAAGCCAATACTCACAAAAGCTCTCTCTGAATAATATGTAATATCACAAGAGTTATGTGCTCAGCAGCAGCAGCAGGCTGAGAGGCGAGCAGGGAATGACCTTTTCTTTTCTTTGAAAGCTGTTAAAGGACCTTCTGTTGTGTTTCTATAACGGGTTACAATCGCTTCTTTTCTCTCAGCACATTGTGTGGGAAACACTGAGTGATTCTGAGGACTAATTTACATGTTTAGCGCAAGTGTGAAGATAGTATTTACTGGTAAAAAAAAAAAAGAAACCTTGAGAGATTTTACAGAACAAATTCATAAACAGAAAATGATTTTCATTCCTCTAACGTTTGAAGCCTTTCCTCCTCTGAGTGGTATCTTAAAGTCTGCCTGATTATATCCAAAAATGGATCAAAAGACACTGAATACTTTGAGCTCATCACATTTTAAAGTAACTAATTCAGAGCTTTGCTTTTCCTTGACTAGTTTAGTGCTTCTGTCAGCTGACTTAAGGAGTGCTTGTAGGACTGATTTTCAGCGCCCTTTAAACAAGCCGTTAAATAACCCATGCAACATCACTCTGTGCACGCACTTTTCATGCTTGGGAGGAAAAGGATTTGAAATGATTGGAGGCACCGTAGAGCGAAGGTCGAACATTTCTCTTGGGTTACTTCACGCTTTATTCTGCAACACCTTCAGGTTCTTTTAGCAGCAATAATCCTGATTATGTCTATTTCAAACTGAGAAAGACTGAGACTTTAATACAACAGCTGCCTTTTGATTTGGATTTTACTCTTCTTTAAAAGACAATTACTTTTTTAGTAAATGACAAATCATTGATTATCACAGGAACAGATCTAATTAGATGATAAACTGCATGACCATTTAAAGGCTGTCATTTTTCTAAGCCATATTTTTACTTATTTTAACATAAAACTAATGTTTATGTCACACACTGTGGCTGTAACTCTAGACCTTGAAGTTAAAGGCCACAGCTGACATTTAAAAGAGCCGTCTAACATGCTGTTTTTTTCAGTGTTTGTACACTGCTCAGCAAGGTCAGGATTATTGAAGTTTATAAATGCTGTTGGCAACTCTTGTATTTTCGGCATATGTGGAGTGAAATATTCCCAGTCTTAAAGGAGCTGTGAGGAGGTTTTAACTAGTACAGATTCCCCCGCATGACCTTCAAAACCACACAAGACCATCAGTAAAATGTCTCATAGATTCACTGTAGTCATTTTTAAGAAGGAAATACTCACAGTGAGTAAAAAATATCATTGACAAAAGATCACGCAATGTTATTTTCTATCTAACAATAGTACTTTTACATGTACAGACTAATAGATAACAGGTATCTCTCTGTCCAAAGGGGGCGCCAGTACAAACACGGGCCTTAAGTTCCTTACTGTAACTTTAAGAATTTTTAAGTATAGTGTTGTATGATCATTTTTCCTATATTCTGATTACCCTTCAGTTCCAAGTTGCTGCTTTGCAAGGACTGCTCTCAGCAGAGATGGTAGAGCTAACAAATGTCTCACTCCTCAGAAATTTAGCTTCAGAATATGATGATACTTCTGCTCACAACATGGAAAGGTTACTACAATTATAACTAAGAACGTCATCATTTTTTATTGACTATGTCCACCAATCATTGAGCCTCCAGAGTAAATAAGAAACAAAGAAATGTACTCCCTGTGTTCTGAGTAATCAGGGTTTGGATTTCCACCATGATATTTCATGTATATTTGATCAGAGAAAGTCCTGAAACCAAATGTGTTTGATATTTAAGTAAGATGTTTCAAGGAGAAATAAGGTTCAATTTGAGGCCAGACCTCCAGTCATGGATCTCTGAATGTTTCAAAATACTTCAACAGTAGGAACACTGTCCTTTTCTTCTCAGGAAAACAAACCCCTACATAAAGGTGGAAAACAGATGTTATGGCCATATGAGGATAAAAACTTGGCTTCATAGAGTTTTTGCATTTAGGATAAACTTCAAAAACTAAATTCCCTTTGGCCATAAATAAAGCCTATAAGACATGTCTATTCATTAAAATACACATCAGCTCAGGGTGAACAACGGGCTTAGTTTAGGGTTTAGAGCCAACATATATTACAAGAAAAAATAGGTCTAGGTACAGCAGAGTCTGATGTGTTTTTCATTTTTCTAGCTGTGTACACAGTCACGCCATGCAGAGGATGTCAGGTGAAAACATATGGAAGGGGAATATATATAAGGGAAGAAAAAAAAAAGGAAATGTGCGTTCATGTCAGAGAGCCAAATAGCTTTCAACACCCAGACTGACCTTCAGCTTACACAGAAGCTCTCACACACACACTGATACAAATGTTCACAGGATGTGACCATAAACCATAATGGACCTCCCTTATTACAGGGAGTGAGCCTTGGCCGTGTGCCATTTTAAATGTCACAGACTCCTCCACAGGGTAATGAATGACCAACCTGAGTTTGCATCCTGAAGAGAAGAGCGTATTATCCCCAAACCAGCCACACGACCGGCTGCAGAGGGCAACACATGATTTAAAAACTGTCAAATACACCTTATTATGTTGAACCATGTGTGGCTTAGCTTCTCCCTCCATTTAAGAGCGGGATGATTAATTCTTGGGTAAGAGCTCAGAAGCAAAAACCAAACTGTTTGAAGATGACATGGACTCTCAACATTAGGCTTTTGGGTTTTAAGGGTCCTAAAATCTGAAGAATGCGTTTGGCATGATAATGTTAATCCAGTAGTTAATTAAATACTGATACATAATAATTCAAACACATATAAAATCTGGCTTAGAGAAGCTTAAACAAAGAAGAAAATAGTCAAATCCGTTCTGGTGCAAAATTAAATTAAAAAAAATTTAAAAAACACAAAACTAAAATGCTCCTGAAGTCCCATGAAGAGGATTTGATTATATTGAACACACAAGATAATAACTTTTGCCCATAAGAAAATAACCTGTGTCCACAATACAACAACCCTGTGTGAAGAAAGGTAATTGTCTTGTGTGCACAGTAGTGGTGCAACGGATCATCATTGATCCGTGATCCGTTCGGATCGACGTATTCGGTTCGGCACACATGTGATCCGCGGATCGATTTCTGAAAGCGGAGAAAGGAGGAGCTCGAACGCCCCGCGACACTTAAATCCCCTGCATGGGAGCATTTTGGCTTCCCTGTCAATTATGATGAAGAAGGAAAGAGGTCAGTGTACAAAACTGCGACGGAGTGTAGGCACTGTGGCATAAGAAAGCCACATGACAGTGGAAACACATCGAGCATGTTCACGCATTTGAAGCGACATCACCCGGGTGTTTTACTGACAGGTGTTGTACCGTAGATTGCACCCCTGCCGTAGAACGCACCCCCTGCATCCCCTCCACCCGTTAGCTTCTTAAAGTGGAGATAATGATCTCATATTTGATATGAATAGCCTGAATGAAATTATTAAAGGCAAACGCTTTTGAATACATCCAACGTAAGGAAAACTTGTATTATTTCGCCTTGTTATGTACTTTCAACCGCGCTCCCGTTAGGGGGTGCACTATACGGCAGGGGTGCATTCTTTGGCATAACACCTGAGATAAAACGAAAGCTGCCCAACAACCGCTCATCACCGCAGCATTTAAGCAGCCTCTTCCTGCGCAATCCGACCAGGCTAAAGCTTTCACAAACTCTATCGGTGTGTTTATAGCTGCAGACATGAGGCCGTATTCAGTTGTGCAAAACGAGGGCTTTAAAAACATGCTGAAAGTGCTTGAGCCACGTTACGACATCCCATCGCGCACACACTTCATTTTTGGTTCATTGTTACATTTTAAAGGAAGGAGATATGCCTGTATATTGTACTTTAAGTTGTTTTTCATTAATAATTATGTTAAAAAGAAGATGCACTGTGCACTACTTTTATATATTTTATTTGTCTTGTTTTTTTTTCTTTTTGCTGATCCGAAAAATGATCCGATCCGTGACTCTTGATCCGAGGAACGATCCGATCCGTGAGTTTTGTGATCCGTTGCACCACTTGTGTGCACAGTGTTACTCCTGTGGTCTAAGTTAAAGCTCCTGTGAGGAATTTTTAGTTTGTGTCAGTTTTGGCGCCCCCTGTGGACAAAACAGTCTTTGCTTTCTTGTCCTCTACATGTTTGTTGATAATAAGTCTCATCCTGATGATTTGACAGTCAAATGCTGCATTCAATATGAATATTTATGTAGAAACTGTGGAAATAGGGTTGGTTTTTATAGTAGTTTTTAGTGTCACATTCGGTATCATCAGATCCTCATCAACCCACAGCGCATTGCCAAGATACACAGTGAACTAGATTTTAGCATCAACCAGCCTTTAGAGCTCTTTTGTTTGGCTTGCCAGAGAAATACATAAAACAATTCTCATTCATAGAATACAATACAGCACAGAACAGAATAGGCAAAGTAAAGCAGGATGTAAGTGCAGAGTCAAAGCAATTACTGTGAGGCGGAGAAACTTTCAACCCCTGTTGGCAAACCAGAAGACGAAATGTAATCTTTTAGTGCTTGATGCTAGTGTGATACTGACATTATCAAGGGGGATAATAGCAGTTTTTCTGTCACAATTTTGGCTCTGTTCATTTTAAAACACACCTGAGACAAAGAGGTTGTTGCCAGGTAACAGCAAATGAGGATGAACGTAAATGAATAACAAAGAGTTAAAAATGGAGCTGGTGTTATTTTTTTTGCAGGTGGTGAAAAAGGCTGGCACTTTTTATCCACATTGTGTTTAACACCTGTATAATATAGCCTACTTATTGTAAAATCAAGGCTTGTCATAGTTTTAAGTTAATATATTCATCAAGCCTCCCACTCACTGTTCTCCACAACATAATCACCGAATTCACTTAATGGAAAATCAATCCAAGCAGCCACACAGTGCCGATTTTGCATATTACCAAAGACACCATTAACCACATTAATGTTTCACACTCTAATGAAAGAGCAGCACTTGTCCGTGTTATGTAATAAAGCCGTGAGTCTGCATAAAGAAATAGAAAATCAGGAGACTGCGCCTCTGCCTGCTCATTCTGATGAGCCATGAGATGGTTGGCGATGTCAGTGACAAGCGGATCTTGTCAATGTAAGCTGCTGCGGGAGCAAAAAAATACTTGTGCTAAGCCCTCCTGAGTAAGATGAGCGCCAATGCCTTGACCCGTGTGATGCTGTGGGAATTGAGGTGGAAGAGGGGCCGAGGGAGCAAGAGAGTGAGATAGTGCAAAGCCAGCTGGTGACAGAATATGAATAAGACAAGCTGGACTGTGCAGGTACAGCGGATCGGGATATCCAATCCAAGAACCAGGATTACACGTACAACAGGGAGGGCATGTTAAGATCACTGTACGTTACTTGACCAGAACATGCAAAATATGCAGGGGATAGAGTACACAGTGGGATCTGTTCACATGGGATGAACAACCTTATTTAAAGGCACCAAATCAGCTTGGTCCAAACATGCTTATTTGTCATTCATGTGAATTTTAGCTGCTTTGTGTAGGAACCTTGTGATGGCTGTCTTTTGAACATAGCAGGTCATCTGACTAAAGCAAGAGCAGCTTGAATCAGGCTGCAAGTAGTCAGATTACTCTTTGTTGCAGTAGTGAAGGTTATGTCTATTTAAGAGTGTCTGGCTGACAATCCAGCAAGTATATCATGTTACACATGTGACAGCCACAGCTGACACAAAGCTGGAGGGCAGCTGGATCATAAAGGAAGACAGAGAAATGTGCTGAACATACACATTTGTCTGCAGGCAATGACACAGTATGAGTGCTGGGTTTTTTTTAGACAATAAGGTGTCAAACTGTAAAATGTCGCAGTTTCAGGTTTCCTTATAGACCGCATGAATGCACATTGATGGTGTGGGTTTACTTCGGCATTTCTCTTTTGTCTGCAAAGTCCTTAGTAACTTCTCCAATTTATAGAAAACTTAAAGTGATACAAAGTGGAAAAGAAGCAGGCTTCAGGGGTTTTAAAGAGGAATAAAGCTGTCCAACACAGCCATAAAGCTGCAGATTCATAAAACCACAAGCTACAATAAGTTTAAATAATGTAGGTTCAGTTTCCCCCAAAGCAATCTTAGCCTATAACATCAACTCTGAAACATCTTGTCAGCGTGTTTCCTCGAGTTTATTCTTTTGTTCAAGACTCTATTAAAGCCGCTGAAAAAAAAGAACACAATTAAAAGTGAACAGCAAAATAAAATAACTGGAGTGCGCAGCTTGCCTGATTCTTTTTTTCAGTGTCATTGCTGATCTTGACAACGACTTCTGAAACCTTTGAAACAAGAAATCCTTTCAACACCTTGATATACCTGCAGAAATCTCTTTGTCACTGCTCTGGACCTTTGTAAAGCTACAGCCTTTTATATAGTCCTTATTATCACAAAAATGGACACAAGGTTGTTGAATTCATTTCAGTAAAAGAGGGAGAATGAGAAAGGGTGCATAACTCCTGCTTTATTTTACCTTGAGCATCTCAAAAAGCCTTCTCCATCGATCTGGAAAGATCTGACAGAGGCACAGCTGCATAAACAATCCTCTCAAGTCTTTAGAGGGTTTTGAAATATTAACAAAAGAGCTTGCAGGTACATCATTTTGCAGCAGCAGCTATGGCAGCAGAGGGAAAATGTGTTTGAGTCCTATTATAAATCACACAATACTGCAACAACATTGCACATCCAGGCCTAGCTTGTCCCCCAGGCAACCTGACAGCGCAATCCCATCTTTACAGATGGCTCTCAGAAAGGATCTGTACTTGTGTGTGTGTGTGTGTATGTGTGTGTGTGTGTGTGTGTGTGTGTAATTTTGTTTTATTTATGAATATATAGTAATCAGAGCCGGTGCTGAGCATAATCACTCCTGTGCCTGTTATTTTATGCATGCATGTGGAGAAAACTGATAAAAAAAAGACACGAATAGAAAAAAAAAAAACACTGGCTAATTTCATCCACTTCACTTCCCCATACATGAAAGAAGCAGGACTTACAGATCTTGTGTTTCCCTTTCATTGGGAATTTCACTAGCAGCTCTTGGGGGTTGGTGCAGATGAAGACGAATGGGGAGGCGGACTCCTCACAGGTATCAGGAAACTGCAAGAGTGAAGAGAAGAAGAACAGTTTAGCCTCATCTTACACAGCACCAGTATGGCTGTAATGCTCACAGAATATGTTGAAGCTCATGATGGAGGATATCACGGTTATGAATTATTCATCGAGTGTCTCTGTTTATACACCTAAATCATGCAACATGTCCTCCATGCCTGATGTAATATTACATGTCTGAGAGCAACTGATAGTTATGAGCCTCTCTGGGTCTTATGGGCTTTAATTGTGCCGCTAATGATGCAACTGCTAATGATGGCAATTGCAGCACTAGAGAGCTGTAGAGCTGAGAAATTTTTAGATGGTGTGGGATTACACCCGTCGAACAGACAGCAGCAGAGGAGATGAGACAGACTTTATAAAAACCAGATTGGAGGGGACCCACTTGTTTGAACAGTTTGGAAGTTAGCACAGAGAAAACGGCGAGTGAAGCAATAAATACATGACAAATAATGACAATTATACAATGATAAATGAGTAATATTTTCACAATAATAGAAAAAATAACTGTTAACACAACACCCAGTATACCTTTGAATTTATTAAGAGTTAAAATCCTGTCTATTACTTAATCAGATTCTACTTACAAGGTATTTGTTTTGATGTTTTGGTAAGAAACAATTAAACTGAGAAACAATAAAAAGGTAGAAACTCACTTTAATATGATCAGATACAATGAGCCACTAAGAACATAAATTCACTCAATGGTATAATGCATTACATAGTTAAGGTATCACTAACGTAGAGCTGTTACAACATATGGGTAATGTATCAGAAGTAGCTTATACTTCAAAATAAAAGTGTAATTTGACCCTACATGAGATAAAGGAGTTTAAACTAAAGACAGAAAAAATATCAAAATAAAAGCATGAAAACAATCAATTATGAGGCATTAGCTGGTGATGTGGATAAATAATGAATCTGAACATCATCAGAAAAGGATGATCGCATGGTTCTTAATTATGTTTATTAGTTTAGTTTATAAAATTATATGTTGCGAGAGACACAAGAAATCTTATCTTCAGCATGTGTTGGAGTTCATACCATTTGCATGATAACCATGGATGAAGAGTATTTAAGTAAAGGCGCATTTCAACCAAAAGAACCAGGAACTTTTTATACCAGGAACTTCTCCTCAAGACAGTAAATAGCTGATTTTTGTCAAAACATCCTGTCCTGTAAGATGTGTTCTCTGCACACTCTCACAGTCTGAAAGTCTCACAGTTTGAAAGCCCAGTGGACTTGGTAAAGACCCTCACATGACAAAAACTAATTTAGCGAATGTGTAAATATTTATATCTGTCTAGAATAGGAAACACAATACACAGTATATGCATGTATTGGAACCATTGAATTTTAACTCATGGTAATTCATCAACAGCATGCCTGAAAATCCGCATGCACATCACATTAAAGTAGAGCCATAACACATTAATGCCTCCCACATACACGACATACCAAACCACATTCCTCTGAAGGTGAGGCTGTTTTACAGCTCATAATTGACAGCAGCCAACAGCATACAGAGGCCTAAAGACAAGAGAAAACCTCTCTCCCTCCCCGTATTATTGATTGGTCTCTCAGGTGAGAGTAGGGAATTGACTGACACAGTGACAAAGGAGTCATCTTTCCCATCACTGGCAGCCAACGGCTCTCAGCTCATCCAATTTCCTCCGGCGCTATCAGATAGTGCCCATGATTGCATCTAGCCAGCCAGGAAGCGGCTCTTTTCATGACAGCATGCTTTTTCCTCCCCCTCTCCCCACCCCTTGCCCCTCTTATTGACAGCCTCTCTATCTCCCTCAAAGGAGCACTGAAGGTTGTGACAAATTTGGGGCTTTTAAGGGAAATCAACAGAGTCGGGAACCCATCTGTGTTCGGTCCCTGACAAACTGGGGGGAGATGATAAAGATGTTTATTTCAGATTACAGTCCATGTCGGCTGGAGTGTAATACTCCAGTAAGTGATAAAATATGTAAACAGTCAGAGCTGTTATATGTTGGTGGGGACCCTTAAAGAGCCTCTTGGTCCCTTCTTCAAAATAACACAGCAGTTCAGATTAAATTAGATCACTCCTTACAGTATGCTGCCCACATGCTGAAAAAAAGGCTCCTGACAGCTCTTCATCTGTGATTTAGAGGGGGTTAAACATGATGAGGGCTACTCCGTAAGAGTGGTGTGATAGCTAAAAAGCTGGAAGTGCCCTATATCTTCTTATAATTATTAAACAAAATCTTTAAATAATTAAGGTGTTATGTGGACTTTTCTTACAAAAACTGTTTTTCATACATTCTGTGCCAAGTGTGAAGAAAGATGATGCTTGTGTATATGCATTATGGGTCTTTGTGCACATGTACAAAAACAATCACATCAGGTCCCACAATAAAAAATAAATAAATCAAAAATTTAATAAAGAATCCTTTAAAATCCAGACATAAATTTCCAGATTAGTCAAAAAAAATGAAGAAAAATCTAGTCAATTACTTTGACTGCTATTTTGCTCGTCTAATATTCATCAACAGCAGATCAAGTAAAGACCAAACTTGATCAAGAGTCAAGTCAGAGTCCTTTTTATTGTTTATACCTGTGAAACTAGTACCTCATTACGGACAGATCAGGTTAGAGGGAAGTATCACCTCCTTTTTAAAGTAGCCAGGGGGGACATGCATTTCCACCTACAATGTCCAGATCGATCCTGTTAATTGTTAAGACCACGCAGTTCTTCTTGAACAGCTTTCTTTGGTGAGCTGCTTAATAGAGTCTTCATTTAAATGTCCATGTTGGGCACTTAGAGGAACACCTTTAATCCAGAGTGATTTAGCATTGCGCGCACTGTTAACTTTTAGAGAGCAACAACTCGGTGTAATTCATCGTGACATTTACACAAATCTCTACGGTTCAGCAGTAATTTTATGAGAACTACAGTTGCAGAACTGGGTTAAAAGCCACAATAGCAGCATTTCTTGGTCAGACACTGACAGACCAATGTGTGGTTGTTTCTCCTTTGCAGTGAATCATCATTTTTTTTCCCCTTAAATCTGGGTCTAAACCAAATGAAAGACCACATTTTGAGTGGTTCAGAGGATCAGCATCTCTGTGTGTCAGATCAGTAAAAAAGGCTGGTGAGGATCAGACCAGCACACCCTCAACATATTCTTGATTTTCTTTCATGCCAAGTATAAAAATGAATGACAACCCAGTGGGACGCTTTATGCTGCATGTAAGCTCAACAAAAATCCACCTCAGTCCCAACTTTCCACCGTGTTTGCATTGTGTGGGCTTCTGCTCTTCAGAAACAGGCAGGGGAGTTTACACAGTAGGTGTGTAAAGGGAACATTCACTGCACTAAAAGCACAGGAAGAGTTCTACAAATCCTAAAGCATGACAATAAATCTATTACAAACAATTCTTCACACAGTTTAACTTGATTTGATTACAAACAACCTCATGTTACACAAGATGGCTGTATTGTCTGAGGTGCTCAAGGAAACAAAATGGTGGTGGTCTTGGTAAATCCAGATGAAAGAAGCGTAGCTGCCGCCTCAGTTTGAATGTGTGTTCATGTGAAACCTCGCCAGTTGCCTGCTCTTTCATCCTCCATTAGCTAATTAGCATTTAAAGCTGTTGAATGTGCTGCTGCTGCTCTGCCTCGCCGCCTCCCCCCACTACTTAATTGTTTCCATCCCATGTTAATCAAAAGGGCATGAAACATTGTGGTTGTGTGACAAGGAGGTTTGCTAAAGCCCTCCATATTCATCAGGAAGGATCTAATGCACTCGGAGTGGACCTGCTTGCAAATGCAATTAAAGGGGAGCTGGCTGGGAAACACAGGTATCGAATTAAGTAACGGTAAAGTGGAATTACATGAAAACACTACAGGTGACAATGACCATCACAATCATTCAGCGGGGAGTAATACAGACTGTTAGTGTGGTGGTTCCTCACTGTGAAGGGTCTGAGTCACAGCTCCAGAGCATTCTAGGTAGAATGACTACTGAGTGTTTCTCATTTTCATTAAGGGACAACTGTCTTGAGTTTTACTAAAAAAACACTGATGGGAGAATCCAATCACCCAGTTTGTCAGAGAAATGCACAAAACTGCTCAGAAGACAAGAGTGAGACTGATTAAATGTCTGTTAAGTTAATCTGATGCTTTTTTTAAATGTAGGTATTTGATAGGGAGAGAATTAGCAAAATTATTAACATTTGTAGTCCATGCAGGTGATGATATAGCATTATTATGATTGACAATGTCGTACAAAAATATGAAACAAAAGTATAAAAGACTAAAACACCCACAATTAAATAGAACACTGACAAATAAGTGCCTCCGTTACAGCAGGAGGTGATATGTTCTCGCCTTTTATATCACATACCAAAACAATCGACAAACAAGCTAGCACAAGTCTCACTCCCTGGCTTCCCTCTACACAGTGATGCTGTTCAGCTGATGGGTTAAAGCCAAGCATGTGGACCGGGCCATTATGAAGTCAATTGAGGTTTTACATGGAAGAAAAAAATAAACCAAAACTCTGTTATGTTGGTATGTTAGTCCAACTTGAAGAAATATGACTTAGTGAGATTTCAGTCAGACTAACATTATTACATGAAGCTTATTTGAAAAGTCCAGGTTTAGCTGGACTGACACGATCAATCTGTTTTTTAATCATCATGCAAACACAAAATCTGATTACACTGAAGACATCAAAATGATCTTAGCTCATTTCAGCATTTAGCAAAACAGTTCAAGATAACAATCTAAAAGCTATCTAAAAGGCCGACATACCAGCCAGAAAACTTAGCTTGGCATTAAGACCACTTTAAAGCTTCCTTATTAACATTTTACAATTACATTTTAAATAAATTTAATAGGCTGCTTGCACTACACTCACAAGTCACATCCCATCATATCCTGTCTTACTGTAGAGTACCATATGTACTATCATATCGCATCTTATTATATCATATCTTGTTGTGTCCTGTCATATCGTATCCCATCATATCATACCATATCATTAAATGGTATCATACTGCACTGTATTGTGTTGTATCGAATCATATTGTCTGTATCATGCTGTACCATCTCCTTGTACTGTATCCTACCTACATTCAGACTGCAGGTTCGTGTCTATCTTCTCTTCCAGGTTTGAAAGCGAAGAAGCTCATTTCACTAAATTGTTGGAATTATCTCTTTGAAATTCTAACAGGAACAGGAAACATCATCGACCACCAGGTTTTCTTCCGCACCAACAGTGTTGTTTGCGCGTTGAATCGATTCTTCTGGCCGGGCAATGCAACATTAGTATGTCCCCAAAAACAATCTGGACTAAATTCACTTTTATTGGCAGACTAATGCTCTGATAATACGTGCTGAAGTGGACTGAGAGGGAGTTCAGGACATTCGGGCACCATGCTGTGAACATGGATTGAAAACATAACAAGCTGAGCTGGGCTGATTTCAAAACGACACACAAAATACTAAACAAGAGGAGGAAGAGGTGGAAAACTCATGCAGCTTCACATCTTTGTCAGAGACTGCCAATTCAATAATCTGCCCACTCGTTAATTTGCTTGGACTGAGCCTGAGGGGAATCAACAATAACCAGCTGTAATAATGTGAAATTCACAAGTTCATTGGGAAGAGTAAAAAAAGGATGGAGGAGCGCTGGGAAGAGACTTTGGCTATGACGAATATCACATTGGCTGAGAGGGTACAGAGTGGTCGTGATGCTCTTCAACATGCATCCTCATCATGAAGTCAGGTTTATACTTTAGAGGGGTCTTTCATCAGCACATTATCTCTCTTCCTTTTACAGTTCTCTATTAATTTCCTCCTCCAAAATACCTTGAGCTCCAACCAACATTTGCTAAAAACAACATCCATCTTAATAAAACCCACTAATTCAGAGCCAAGATTTGACAGCAGGAACACAAACCTTTGAGTCCAAGCTTGTCAAGTAACGGCTCAACAAGCCAACACTGTTCCCTCTCCTCTCTCTACAATGTCTCTCTCTCTCTCTCTGGCTCCTTTCAGCTGCTGTCGGCAATTAAGGGCAGCAGAGACAAGTAATCTCCTTCTGGGCGACAGGGCCAGACCAGAACAGGCATGTGGAGTGGTCTGTGCTGTGGGAGGAAGGGGTGGGGTGGGGGACTGCAAGGCTGGCCCCAGCCAGGCCCTGCTTGGCTGCACTCAATCTCAGCCCAATAAAAAGCCCTTCATTGGCAGGGTGCAACTGAGCCAGACGGGCTGGGAGCATGTGGCTTTTAAAAATGAGGAGGGTGGAATAAGAGGGGGAGGGATAGAGAGAGAGAAGGGGAAAAGGAGACAGAGGGGGGAGAAGCAGGGAGTAGAAATGGGGATTATGATTCGGAAAGAAAGACGGATAATAGGAGGGTAAGGTGAGCGAGAGACACAGAGGCAGAGATTTTGATAGATAGGGAACTACACAAAGCCGACTGTGTCTTCCCCGTCACTTTTGAAATACTGCTTAGCCAGTTCTGTCAAGGCTGGTTTCACCCCGGGAATGGAGAAACAGATGGGTTTTCTCTGAGATATGGGCTACATGTGGGAGGTGAAAGGGTGTTGTTAGGGAAATGTATGCAACAGCAATGGCTCCACAATCGTTCTAATCTATTGAGTTCAGCAAAACAACACAAGCCTGTTTCTGGCATTCATTAAAGCCTCACACAAACGCAGCTGCCCTCAGGAAACTGTACTCTAACCGCCTCTCAGCTTTTTTTTTTTTTTTTTTGCACGCACTTGGTGAATTATTTGTTTTTCCATTGCTGCACCAAACAGGACCAGAGCACACAGACATGCAAACAAACACAGTGTTCATGTATGAAGCAGGTTTCATGATTCAGAACAGTGTCTCCACAATAAAATGCAGACCATAAAACCAAAAACAAAGTAAGTGAATGCCTGGGTGGCGAGCTAACGATGTTTGACTCTTATACAACCGAGCCACTTTTATTCAGGAGGCTTCGCACCGTCATTTTTCTGAACAGATCTGACCCTGTAGTACCTTTCTGCTGCCCAGTTTGATTTTCATTATTATTCTCACTTCTTTTATTGGATTGAAATCACTTTTTAGGTTTTTTCATTGGTCAGCTGTTGGTCTTAATTGTCCTCTTTCTACATTTTAAAGCATTTAATTTACATCTAATAGACTTAACTATTTAACTAATGGTATCAATGATCAGTGATCCTTTTCTAATCTTTTTATTTTTTGACCTACTAAAGCTCAGGAGGGACAAAATTTCCAATTGTGTAAATCTGGAAAGCAATTTGCATCAGTCAAAAAGCAGCAATAACAAAGTATATTTAATTAAATTTAGCATACAAAGACAGAGTAAATTGATCATATTTTCATTAAAAAACCCTTAACTGCACATATGGCACCTCTCCATATTGTTTTAATAGATTTGCAAATCTGTGTTTCAGCAACATTTCAATACAGCAGAATTACCATAACTGCAGACTGCACACAAGTAACATATGTATCATTAATACATTATCTTGAATAATATGACTCTAATAATCAATTTCATATGTTCACTTGCAGAAAGATGATTTGCATGGTCTAATGGAGCTACACATGACTTTCTAAACACTAACAGATGGCTGGACTGAAATCCAGATATCTCTTCTTGCAATAGATTGCAGAATCAAATATTTTTCTTTATTTAATAAAACATTCAAGTTCAATAATTGAGTCTTTTCTTCTTTTAATTTAATTTTGTTTTTCATCAAATATAAAAAAAATAAACAAACAAAAAAACAACCAGCAGATCTACCAGCTGGGTTGCTTCTGCACATGCCTTGGCTTCAGTACCAGTGAAACATCCGCAAGAACACCAGCTCCACCAGCCTTCAGACCTCCTTGCAGGTTAACATCCACATGCCAGTTTAAGAGAGGATAGCCTGCAAGCAGCTTTGTCCCTAATAACATCAAAATACTGCCAAACCGTGCCGGAATGCTAAAAAAAGCCATTTGTCATCTGTGCTTGTTTATATGTTAGATGCAGGTAGTAGAGCATTTTAGCATTACTATCAACAACCAGCTCCAAAGCAAACTACCAAGGATGACTTTGTTTCATCATTTAGCCAACTTTATGTGCTTTAAGTTGAAACTTTCATGTGTTTAAAGTTTTTTTTCATTGTCTTTATCTAAATTGTGTTACTTTTCATTTCAATAGCATAATCAAAGCTACATAAAGTGGAAATTTAGCTTATTTGCTCGCTACATTTGGGTGCTTACCAATTTAATACATTTTTATCAATTGTACAAACCATCCAGAAACATCCCAGAACAGTCAGACTGTTATTCCTTAATGACGGATGCAAAAAAAAACAACACCATAAAATGTCCTCAAATTTTCTGGTTGAGCTGTATGTACAAACACAAACAGTCCTCATGTTGAATTTTTACAATGAGTCAGTGTGAGCGGATATAAACACACTCGAAGAGGTTTCGGAAACATCCCCCATGCTGTATAAGTGTTAACAGGCTTAATGAAAACACATGAGGGTTAAAGAAGGAGAATTATTTTTAAAACAACAACAGCACAGATGTTCATTTCCTTGCAGCGCTGATATCAATGCATCATCATGGCAAAGGTTTGTTTCTCTCTTCACCAACATGCTGTAAACATTACACTGTGGCTTCTGCAGCTTGCTTTTGATGTCAAATCCTACACAAGATTCATATCCCCACCCACGACTCCCTTCTCCTAACAGGGAGGACCTAACGCTGTGGGAGACGTGAACTAAAAACTTGGAAAAATGTCGGGTGCAGAGCTCACAAAAACTTGCAGAATTTTAAAAGGTTGCATGTGTGAAGGAGGCATAAATCTTGCTTCCTTTAGTTTCTGCTGGTTACATTTTTCAGTGGAAGTGAAAATTCTTGGAAATCTCAAATTGTCTTCCTATCACATAATGGGGAAAAGCTTTACTCAGAAGCTTATAACCAATTCCGGCGCATTACGTAGCTTTTGCGGATATAACATCAGAATTTCTCAGAAAGCACCTTATTTTACCTTAAAAGAAGATTAAAAACTGGCTTTTAATTTGAAACAAGTTATAATTGCAATCATTCCTTTACTCATTGTCTGTTGTGTTTGTGTCTGATTTGCATCTTTATTAAAAATCCTCTCAGATTCCTGATTAACTCCCATCTGCTGTTTGCAGTTAATGCAGACTCATTCCTTCATCTGTTTCACATTAAAAACCTTCCAGCGGTTCAGGAGGAATAATCCTTTAATGTCACATTTACTGTGAAACATCTGCAGGAAGTGTTAAGTTTCATTAAGAGAAACTTCACATCATAAAAGATGGCAAAACAGACTCCATCAGGAAGATGGGAACAATGAGCAAGAACAGATCAGCGGGGATTAAACGATGCTTGATTGTGGGATTGTGCAAAAAGCGGTGATGGTGTAAGAATGTTAGGAGAGCAGAAAGTTTCATGTCAGTCTGTGACAGAAGTACAAGTGTTCCTGAGGTGTTTTTAATTGATTATGTGCATGCTTTTCATTCAAAAGATCTTCATCAAAACAACAAATTTCATCAGAAAAGGATCTCTATTGGATTCAAATGTTTCCGACCTCAGACTTGGACAGATTTAGATGTACAATATTAAAAAATACCACAGTGTTAATCAGCCATAACAACATATCAAGTGGACAGCTCAACACAGACAACTTACTGAAGATTGGCCAACAAATGGGGTTGGTTCGATTTGGCATGATTCCAGTCATACAATTGTGTTTAAGTGTTTGTTAAAAATCTAGTTTCAGTCAGACTAAGGCAGTAAAATCATTCCTCGAACAACATTTAAATACACTGTCCATCTCTTTTGCAGCTCGGCCTGCTGCCTCTACCTCAAACTTTTGCTGGTTTGGTTTGCTGCATGCATCACCATTTCTAAAAACCTTCCCACATCCACACTTCCTCTGATAAACGATAGAGATATCACATTAGTTATTTGATAGGACTGATCATTTCAGGTACCTTTTTTTTCCTGACCAAACTTTAACTGTCATACTTCAAACTACTGAGAATTCAACTTTGGTAACACTTTATTTGACGCCTATATCAATAACGCATTATAAATATATTTATAACGCGTTATAATCATGTTATAGCACTGTATAACTATAGTTATAGACACTCATAAACGATTATAATGTGTTATGATTATTGCTATGAAACATTATGAAGCATTTTATCATGCTTACAAGGACAGGTATTATAATGTGTTATAACTGTTAACAACTCACTGACAATCCCCACATGGGTAATGCAATGCAACTGCTGTTAACAGTTATAACACATCATAATAACTGACCTTGTAAGTCATGATAAAATGCTTTATAATGTGTTATGATTATTGCTATGAAACATTATGATCATTTATGAGTGTTTATAACTATAGATAAACAGTGCTATAACATAATTACAACCCATTATACATATATTAATAATGTGTTATAGAGATAGGTGTCAAATCAAGTGTTACCTCAAATTTTTTCTAGCCTTAATGATGACGTATTTAAATCTGTGAGGTTATAACTAGTTATGATACAACAAGTTCCTTTTATTTACGCTCTTTAAAAAGCAATCCTTTTTTTTTCATGTTAACCAAACTTAAGTTTCATCTCCAGGTATCATCACTTAACCTAAAATTGACAGGTGCAAACATATGTACCCAGTTTGGACAAAGCTTCATCACACTGGTTCCACGTGTCTTTAATCCAAAGCACTTCAAACAGTGAACATCCAAACAGCTTCCTATTCAGTCCACTTTGTCCCTTTCATGAGAGCTCTGGCACACCGTGCTGCACGGAGATGATTAAAAATTTAACACACTCCTTCACCTTCAGAATCAACTGGTGTCAAGTTGGAGAGTGAACATTAATTATCGAGGAGTGTCCAACACTGGCTCCTGATTTTTACATTATTAATGTGCTGAACACAACCAGACACATGTCTCATTATTAGACGCTCAGCTCCGGGGCCACGATTTTCCAATTACTGCCACTGTGTCAGTCTGCTCGACAGCGAAGAGGAAAAAAGCATTTCAGTCACCCTAAAAATGCTCCCTGTTTCGGAGGAACCGAAAGGTCAAATGACTCATTCAAAACTGGTAAAAATACAAAAACCCAGGAGATGTGTTACTTTGTACTTTTAATCAAACCCTCACTGTAGAGCAACAATCACACTTTATTCCAAAGCTGGCAAATCCTAATCCTGTTCAGACCAAAAACTAAATTTCTGCTCAGTGTTACTAAAGTGAGTTTGGCTGCAGGACTATTTGTGTTTTTGTTTGTGTTGCTTAAACAAGACCTGGGAATATTCACCCTTCCAGATATGTCAGAAAGCCAAACTCAGTTTTGTCTGGGTTCATAACCCCACCCCCAGGTGCACACAGCTCGGTTGATTTCACCACCTTCTCCAGGGACTGAAACTGGATTAGCTTCACTGTCATCTCCAGCACCTCGAGGCTGACCAGTGCCCAATTTGATGACCTGTTAGGTGGGTCAGGATTGGCCATAAAGTGGATTTTTCAGATGGAAAAGCCAACTACAGGCAGTCTATTTCAGCTGCAGATGCTCTTTGTGGTCAATGCTATGAGCAGACTTGTGAAATGGATCTAAATTTTTAAGTTGAGGACAGACTGAGCTTGTTAAACTGCTGCTGCTTTCACAGGCTGTTAGGAAAATCTCATTGCAGATAGACTTTTGCCTCAGTGTGATCCAATTTTTATGCTCAAGTTGAATCTTCCAGCAGAGCAAGTCAAAATCCAAACTACACTGACAGACTTTGAGATTTTGAACAGTATGTGCTGACCAAAAATGTTTCGTTTTTACACACCTGTACCGAAATCACTCATGCCAAATAAAATCCTGCTTTGTAAAACTGATACTTTATTGGTCCAAGGACAATGGGAGACAGATTTTGGGACAGGGCTGAGCAAGAAATTGATTTTTTTTTAATTAACCTGTAGGTTTCACACAACTTTGAATATTGAAAACATTTATTTCTTTTACTTTCTTCTACTTCCCCTTGGTTCTCAGTGTTCCCACCCTCCCTACTTAAACTTGGATAATGCAGAGTTTGTTCCCAATAAAAGGCACACAGTCCACTGCAAAGTTTGCAGCTAAAGGTAGCAGCATAACCAATTTTTGTGGAGTGAAAGTGGAGGAAATGTGGCTCACTACAAGATGCACTTTTTGAAAAGCTACCAACAATAGCAGATCCTGTTCTTAGTTCACTGCATGTGGCAAGACAGGGACGCCAACACTGGACGTTATTACTGATGCAGTCACCCTACATGATGTTACAGGTAAGGTGTCCATATATTCAGAGGGAAAGCCTGGATTTACCCACATTCTTGAAACTATTGACTCCAGGTATGTGCTACTTGGCCTGAAGTATTACTCTGAAGTTGGCCATCTTCACCGAGTCCTTTCATTCCACTACAACAGACACATGGTCCAGGTGAACCATGCAGCCTTACACGAGTTTGACGCTGCGTTCTCTCAATAACACTCAGGCTCTGTGAAGTGTCTGCCTCCAAACAGCTTACCTCTCTGATAACCTCAAAGGTGAGCTAATCGTCCAGAGGTTTAAGTCTTTTCTTTGCCTTCTGTAGTTTTTCAAGTCTTTTAAGAAGGAAGTGAAAAGGGTTAAAAATGTAAATCAGGTTTAGTATGAAAACAATCAGAGATTCATCTTTTTACTGGCCAGATCACCTAGTCTTACCTTGGGTTAAGAAACGGGGATCTATAATTTTTATTGATACTGATACCATTATTGAGAATCCTCAGTGATTCAAGTCCTTGTCTATAATGCTGCTGATTTATGGACATGATATCTGAACACACCATGATGATGTATTATTTACTTAATTCTCATTTCACTGACCTGACCTCACAGTGTAATATCACCTTGGTTAGTTAACTAATCAGCTTTCATTCTGTTGATTTCCTCATGGCTTTCTACATTGAATAATGATTTTTCACTAACAGGACATACTATAAAGTCTGGGTGTGCTTTCACTGGCTGCTTTGGGTGGAACAGGAGGATAGCAGCCCTGCAGCAGCAACAGACAGTCAAAAGTTTTGCATTTTGGCTTAATTTGATGCACAATGCTGATGTTCTTTGACTATGGAGGCTACATTCTTCCTCGCAAGAAATTATTTTGTAACATATACTGCATTTTTCTTCATTCCTATCTTTAACTTTGGTAAAATGTAGACACACTTTGGACCTCTTCACTGGTTCAGCTGACCACCAGAATTCATCCATGTGTGGTTCAATACGTGTTTGTAGTTAGTTTTTTCACAAACTTTCTTTGACAGTCTTTTAATGTGCATGCACCGTTGATTTAATTGACGTGACTTGACTCAAAGACTTAAGACTGGATAGCAGACTCAATAAGCTCAAATGTTATTGATATTCAGGTTCTGAAAAGTGCAGAAACAGGTTTTTAAGGGCCCCAGGTATTGATCCCCATCCCTACTTGAGATGCAAACAGATGACACCCCATGGTCTGAACTGTTTAAATATAAGTTGCTCAAGATGTAAGAATTCTAACTTTTACAATTATCCAAAGGTTCTACGACACCTTGGAAAAATCAGCTGTTTCACAATTGATGCATTTTCCAGATGTAAAATTCAGATTAGCACTTTTATACATTAACAGCTTGGACGTGGTTGCTTTGGTTTGACTCAGTGTATTCAGCTAATATTTTTAGCTTGGCCTTGACGGCGGCCAGAATTCTGTCTCAGTGGAGCTCTGAACACCCTCTGGCCACTTAAAACGAGTGAATGAACTCAGTTACTGTGTGCAATTAGAAAAAATGACTTTTAATACAAGAGGTACCCTGCAGAGGTTTCTTGAACTGCAGGGTGTAAATCTGTGATGCACCACCACACCTTCCTCCCTGTTATTTATCTATTTAGTGGGATTTTTTTCTTTTTATGTTTCTATATGGGATTATGAAGACTTGAATGTGAGATTATTCTTGACAGTATTATATAACCGGATGTGGAAACTCTACAACTGTACTGTACTACATTTATATTGAGTTACTTGAATCTGATAAGAAAAAATCTATTTGATCATTTTCTTTCTTGTACAATGTGAAGTGCTCAACAAGAACAAGATACCTTTGTGGTTTTGTAAAGAGGTGTAATTCACTCAAGATCTAGCTCTGCATGTCAGCAATTGTGGCTTTATTATTCTCTTGATGTAAATGACTTCAAGCTGTCACCAGCCCAACACCCCCCTCTAAAAATCCCCTGGAAAACCGAGAAGCGAAAGGTATTAAATCTATTTTCTGCTTCCCTGCCTCATAAAGATACAGTTCAGCAATTCAAAAGATCATATAGGCATAAAGCAAGTCATACATTAGCCTCTCAGCTAGCCGTAGTGCTGACAGGTGTACTGAAGTCATGTGTTTTTGCAGTGAGATTCACACAGACTCCCTCACTTAGCCCAGTTCCACTTTCCCAGCCATGTTTATGACTTCACCTCCTGCAGTGACCCTTGGGCGAGAAGAAAACAAGACTGCCTCTCAACAGTCGAGGCTCTTTAGACTCAACACGCTAACTGCTGGAACTTTCCAAGGAAAATGGTTTTCTCTTGTACTCACAGTAAAGCTTCTGTTTGACAAGTGCAGGATTCTTACAAGAAAAAGAAAAAAACCTCTTTCCAGTGTGCAGCAGAAAAAAAGCATCTCAAAAGAACGGAGAATTTCTACGACGCTGAGGCAGTGGAAATATTCAATGCATTAAATTCAATAGAAGTAGCCAAGACGCTCTATATGAGTTGATGTATCAGACCACTTCAGTGTGTGTACTTGAATACCTACACCTAAGCTCTTGTCCTTAGTGGTTTCCTTTACAACATACATACTCAAATACACAGAAAGGACCCCTGGAGACAATTACCATGTCTGCCTCAGACATCCACTTCAAAGTGAGCTTACTGGGAATCTGAGGCATTAAAACTTCTTATTTTCCACCACAATCTCCTTTTATCGGTGCCACAAATCCAGCTCTCCTTCACGCAGGTGCTGTCAGCAGAAAGGGCTCGTATTTTCAGTAGGGTAACAAACCGCTTCGCCCTGGGCATTTGATTTCATAATGTGGAAATTGAGAGGGACCGGGGAGTTTATGAACATGTCTGTCTCTTAAGGTGAATATTTGCTTTGATAATCCGACACTGGGGTACAGCCCTCCCATCTGTGTTCACTCAGCCTCTGTGGGAAATAAGAAGCTGCCCCCTGCCTCCTCCTCTTGAGGCTGCCTATGTGCACAGTTAGAAAAAAAGGAGCACAGAGGGAAGGCTGTCCACGATTCTTATCAAAGAGGAGTTTTAGATTTCTGTAAGCCCATGGGCTGGCAGCAGGGCGTACAACAGATAAGGTGATCCTATATATGTTCCAAGGAGAAAACAGGGAAACACTGAACAAAAAGTGTTAGATCAAATCTCTTTAAAAAGTCCTTGTTTTTGCATTTAAACTAAGTGTGTTTTTGGATTGGACACATCTTGGAAATGACATTAAAACTTGATCTACTCACTTTAATACAGTCCTGAGTGGTCAGAGAGGCTGAACTGTGTAAAATAAAATTAATGATTGCTATTACAGTTGCCAAGCTTTTGTTCTCATTTTGCACATATGCACTTTTTAGTCAAATTAAGCAGATTCAGCAGGTCGATTTATCATTGATGCTGGGAAATAATGGACTCCTCGTTTCAGAGAAGGGCAGAAAAAGCTGCTTTGTTTCCAAGGAGCAAGTGTCAATTTGACAGCTGAAATGACAACTGCTCCTGGCAAATTTTACAGCTATGACAACACAGCTAATTATACTCGTGTTGACTCCAGGGGTCTGTTGATAACCGTGTTTTCTTTGCAATGTTTCTACCTGCCTAAAGGAAAAGGCCATTGCAAAAAGATATCCACCTTATGGGTACTTGATAAAACATTCATAAATGGACACTAATGTGTTTAAAAAATATAGAAATCACCCTTAACATCTGATCGATACAATAGAAATGTAAACAGAGCTTTGTTCTTGTACTTCAGTGTTGCCCTAATATCAGGCAGAGTTTAGTTAACTTAACAATTAAACCTTGACTTGTCATCCTTATTAGTAAGCAGCAGAATAACCAATTGGTTAAACAAAATATTTTTGTTTTTATTATTGCTGGTCTGAAATGCTGGTTTTATATTGTGTCTAAGCTGCAGCACAGGCTTTAGCTTTGGTAAACAGATAATGAAATAATGCTAAAATGCTCCATCTGTAAGCACAGGTGTTAGATGACATTTAGTAGCACAGCACAGTTTGGCAGTATATAATCTGGAAAATGGAGAAAAGGTTGTGTGTAGACCATTATCTGACCACAGCAATGCACAAACATAGAAGACATGGGGAAGCTGACCTGTAACAGGAGGCTGAAGGATGGTGGTGCTCGCTCTGCTAATGGTAGCCACACTTTTTAAAGCAATTCTGTGATTCTGTGTTTAGCCAGTGTTTAATATGTTGTCCTAAATTTTTTGTTTCAATGGCGAGGAACTTAGTCGTTTCAGGACATCCCTGCTCTACAACTCAAAGGTCAAGTCATGTTTTTATTATGTTACACAGAAATATCGCAGTGGATGCAACAGTAGAGAACAAGTTTTGTTCTGATATCTGGCTTTAAATGTGATTCCCTATTAAAAGGGGTATGGAGTAAGTTTGCTCCTGGATCACATCACAACAAAAATGCTTTCTATTCCTTCAGTTTCACACACAACCCATTTATTTTTACTGGAGCGCAATAACAAGCTGCAGCTGTTTTCACATCATCTCTTTACCAATTTCCCTAAATACATAAAATATCAACAGGCATTCGTTCTTTGCACAGCCACATACACATTTTGTGCTCCAAGTTCTGCTCTTTATTTGGATGGTGATTGTGTTGCGGTTTTATTACATAGAGCCCCTTTAGAAATACTGACATCATTGATTTTTGGCAATACATACCATATCTTACAAGGAAGGGTACTTTTCAGATGTGAAGTTTCAGGAAAAATCTTTCAGAGATGACAGAAGGATTGATATGGGCATAAATTTTTAACATTTTGCATTGCCTGGTTTCTAGGGAAACACTTCATGGCCTCACAGATAGTCTACTAAAACTCCAGCACAGAGGAAATTGATGGCTCTGTTGTGTTTTTTCTGTTTGTTTGTTCTTTTTTTGCAATTCTAATGACATGGTTACAGGAAAATGTTCAGTTTTAAACTCATAAAAAGCTTTCCGTAGCACAAAGTTCATTTGCAATAATATGCTTATGTTTTAAAACACCAAGTGTGAAGGTATGTTAGGGGCAAGCAATAGTCATGATGTGATTTTGCCACACTTTAAACACCAGAAATCCAAGAGAGAAGAAAATGATGCAGCATGTAAATCAATACTAGACTTCACAGAAGGAGCCTGCAAAAGCATTTAATGGCATATTTGCTCAGTGGACTATGACAAGAGAGTGTGCGCAATATGTGCTTCAAGATCTTTCACTGAGTGCAGAAGAGACACAAGCAGGAGAAGAAGCTGGCAGTGGAGTAAGACTACAGTCTTCGTTCATTTTTGATTCTCAATATCTACTTCAATAAAGCTTCAATAACTTAGCAGAACATCGTCTTGAATTCATATAAGTGGTTTTGGATTTGGACAGCGTATCTCTCAGTTAGGTCACCACACTTAAAATCACAGATTTGTTCTCTGGAGAATTTAGATTACATTAATAGAAGCGTGCAGAATGAGGAGAGGTCCTTTCAGACAGTAACACACTGCAATAAGCCTCAAGAGGTGGATAAAGGTGAACAATATTAAGAGCTGTTGCTGGGAAAGGAAACTACTGTATTTGCTTATAAATGTACTTCACTGCAAGGCTGTTCAATAAACTTTTTCTGTTGTATACAAGCTGTCTAGAAATGGTTCTGTGTATCCTAAAAACTATTTAAATCTCTTTAAAGGGGAATCAGACGTGAATCTGTGACAGTGATTTTATTTCTGCTGTGGTTTTTCTACCATTTAAGTCCATCCATTTAGTTGGATTATATTCTCTAAAACAGCAAAATACTCTTAAATTATCGATGTTTAGATAAGATTGCTTTTAAAATCTCCACTTTTACTTAGCCTCCATCCGCTGAATCTTCAAAACTTGCCCCAGAGATTTTAGCACCAAGACAAACAAGACGTCACAGCCCAGAGAAGAGTTTCATATGCGTGATGGCAAATATAATTCCTTGCTGTCCTTAGCAAACAATCTTCAGACCCTCACTGAAACTAATGATCACACTCCTCCAGCAATTTATTTTGACAGCAGCTCTTACTAAGACACAAATCCCTGCCAGGAATGAAGATATTTGCTGAGAGAGGCAATTAAAGCTTGTACAACATTCAGCGACATCCAGTTAATATTGAGTGTAACTGACTGATAAGTACCAACTCGACAGTCTCTCTAATGGACAAAGATCGTGAAACTCTTAATGGCTATTAAAACAATTCTGGTCTCACATCACTGTGTACATTAAATTCTTTAGAGAGGAAAACTTCTGCCTTCCTTTGTCATTTTGATCCATCTGATTTATTCTAATAAGACTGTTACAAGACTGGATATAAATAAAACAGAAATTTGACACCAGTTACAACAACAGGGCACTCACAGAGTGATATGATACAGATAGACAAATATACAATGCATAGCCCACATGAGCAAATTTATCACACCATTGCAATTCTACAATACTGGAAGGCAAATGTTTAAAAATGCATCACTATATCTGATTTACTGCAGGATATAAAATGGCCCTAAAAGACAAAGTGCTGGATTAATCTGTTGTTTCACTTCATTCTTGTACAATATAATATAATACAATAGAAAATGACATGATAGGTTACGAAATGATACAACACTAGTTTACAACGAGATACACATCCTAATGTTTGACATGTATTATCAACCTATGTATGATTATTGAGTGTATCCTCCACCTTTCCTTTTGCATCTTTGCCCCTAGCATCACTTCGGTTTGGTTTGGTTTTAAAAATGACTAGCATATCTTTTAACACCCCTTCACTACAGCCTGACACTACCCCGCCACCTTCTTCTTCTATCATGCATCTGTCGACTATCACTTCTGCCAATTATCTACCGATCATGTCCCCTTATTAATGTTTTTGGTGTCACCACAGGAGTCAAGAAATAGTGATGCAGTCGGTTAAATTAGCAAAGAAATCTGTTTAGAGTGTCATGCTTTTTTTTAATAACAATATTAACATTTGGCCCCGGTATACAGTGTGAATGACTGCACAATCTAATACGGTATCAATGTTTTGCCCACCTCTTGGGACAACATCTTGCTCAATTCTGTGCAAGACAACATGTGCTGTCAACCTCTTCAAAAACACTAAATGGATAAACTTCACACTAATCAAGTTAATTTCTCTTTTATCTGCTTTTTGCTATTGTTTTCACCAACATAAAAGTTCCTTTAAGCAAAAATAAGACAAGGTATAAGGTGCTCTATGGTCTTTCTAATGCTATATATACTGTAAGATTGATGTAATTGTTAAACTAAGAAATACTTTGAGGACATTAGTCAGTTTCCTCAAATATGAACCAAGTCCAACCTTGAAAGAAATGCTAAAACAGATGTGTGGCAAAGTTTGAAAGGATTTGTATGGCGGGGACGATCTATGAATGTTTCATATTAAGGGCCAACATGAAGAGTAGAGTGTGAGCCAATGGAAAAATGTATTACTAATCAATATCCAGGCCAATTAAGCTGATTCCAGCACCTAAGTGATTTTACTAAGAGAGGGGAGTGTGCACTCAACTTATAGACTCAAGATTAAAGAAGTTTATTCACCAATTGTATCATTTAATTTACTTTAAATTATTCTTTAATGTCCCTATCTCTTTCCAGTGATAACAAGCCGGCCTTGCTGGGCTAATAGGATATTGGAAGCAAACATTATTTTTAGTTTGCTTCACACAAAGAGAGAAAGATTAATGGTGCTGGAAGTGTGGACGGCTCCCCTCGCCTCCCCCCTCTTCCTCCATACTTTCCTCCCCTCTGATGTTGCCAGCAGGAAGTTGCTGAGCAGACATGTCACCCAGCCGAGCACAATTGAGTTTGTAATCTTTGACCCTGCAGTGGCAGAGAGTCTCTCTCTCTGTCTCTACGGTTCTCCCTCTCCAGGAAAGATACTTGTGGTTAAACAGCTGCTGGGTGCGGGCTGGACTGGATAAAGATCTTTCCTCTGATGAACACACGCAGGCATGTGTAAAAAAAAAAGAAATTGCATGGACATGCCTGGGGAATGTTTGGCAAAAACATTCAGAAATCAGCCAAATGTAATGAGTGTAGTAATGCCTGCGCTCACATTCGGATGGAAACAAGCGTAAAAAATAATGATTAAATTGAGAGCTCTTCCATTTCCTGATAACACCGCAGCAGGAAAACACGGCCGCCCACTGACTCGCTGTAAAGTGCTTACTGACTATGACAAACAACCTTCATTCATTTCCTCATTCCAAAACAGAGAACTGGCACACATGCTGGCCTCATGAGGAGCCATTTTGGGGCATCAAAAACAAACACCAGATGTTGTGATGGGAGACAAATGTCAAACATATTGATTCTATGCTTCATTAAAGCGTTTTGTGGGGGGCTCAAGTTTGCCTGTGGCAAGAAGCTTAATAGATCATGACATAAAAATCTACAGAGGTCTCATTTTTCCTCTTTGTTGCTAACACTCTTCAACACAGCCAGAGCCATTTTTATTTGAAAAGATCACCAACAGAGAGCCAGAAGACTCTTCAAATAAACTGAAAACAAAAAAGTGTCCTAGTTACATGTGCTGGGACTGTAGCGCTTTACTGACAGAATTACAAACATACCTCTTCAAAAACAGAAACAGCTAAACATACTTTAACCACAAAATCACAGGCTTTTAAGTGTGGGCTCTATAGTTTCCGATCCATCGACTTAATTTAATCCCTTTGATTCTATTCATGAGACTTTGCACGATTCGGAGGAAAACATACATTAGGCTGTTTTTTTCATGACATGCATATGCACCAAACAGGGAATCTAACAGTATTAAAGAACTATGTAGTTCATGTGAGGCTATACAATAGCTTGTGACAATACAACTATTATCATTAATACTATATATACGGTAAACAACCCCTCCTTCCTTTTCTACCACCCTTGCTTCTCAAATACAGAGTCTGTATACATGGGAAACTCCCCTACAGTATTAGTAGTTGTATGCAGATAAACAGTCTGTTTGGAGCAACAAGGAAGAAACAGGTTTCATCAAAATGCAACCCTTGTTCTCATCAGTGATCTAACCATCATTCAGCTTTAATAAATCTCTATTAATGGATGTCTTTATAACAGACCAGCAAATAATCCCCTCTCAGATACCGCCTGTCAACACCAACTGTATCCCAGTTACTGAGGTTGCTGTTTGACTGTAAACAATGGCGACCCACAATTTGACATCTTGGCCTGAGGTCCTGTACGGACTTTGTATGACTAGAACAAAAAGACTCGGACAGCTGGCCATCAAACCAATTAACCACCCAACCAATCACTTGGTCTACGTCTAATGACAGGGGTTATGAAAACCATAGGAACAAGTATTTGCCTTTAACATCAAATCGTGACACTCATAGGCAGAGCTGTAGCTGTGAGGGTAATTAAAGTTGCCATCAAACTGAGTTGTAGACACAGAAAACCTGTGAAGACGTTTTTTTTTCCCCACACAGAAAATCCACAGGACTTGATAAGGGAACTGATAAAGATTTGAATCCATAATTGCCTCGATGTCATTAAAATTTTATCAACACCGAACTAGTCGTGACTCTTGCTGTTGCTGCTCTGTGCTGCGCTCTTAAAAAGCCGGTGGGTGTTGATGGAGCCAGGAAAAAACTGGAGCAATGGAGCAGAGACAGGCTGAACACGGATCAGGTTGAGGTCTGGTGCTGGTTTAATGCTGAGTGCAGCTTTAATAAATCATGATTTGTCATTTGATGTTCATCCATCCTCGTGGTAAAATTAATATTGCAAAATAAATCACAAATTAATAATATTACAGGATCACTCCTCTTAATCTTCTCTGCATTAAAAAGGAGGAATAGAGAAAACTGTTCTTGCCATGAGGTTTAACAAGAGTGTTTTATCTTTAATTCACCGATAACTGAGCAGGAAGGGGTTAACTTTCTCCACCTTACTCTGACACAGTCAATAATATGAGACAAAGCAGTTACATTATGAGTAGCTTGGAGCCATTCATGTTTATACTCTGAATGACTGTAACCAGGGTAATGACTACATAATGACTTTGACTTTAACAACATTATTTCCAGTTCAGGAAAGCTTAGAAATAAATCATGAGCTGATGAGGTCTGATTCAAAAGAGCAATGCAGCATCACAGAGAAGAACCTGTTAGGCATTCAGTCTAACACTTCATACAGCTTGCTCTCCATTTACCTCTCTTTGATTCTGACTTATTTTCATCAACACCGCTGCCTTTCAAACCATCAAAGAGAGCCCTTTGAAATGACTCACATTGCTTTTATCATTGTTCCAAGTTTCTGTGATCAGCATACAGTGAAAGGCACCAGCTCTATTAGATGAGCAGAACAAAATGGAAGAGGAGTGAGTAGAGATAATAAAGGGGGCTTGACAGCGAAAACTGTGCGACATTCAATGAAGTGGTCTGAGCACAGCAGTGAAATTTTAAACAGCGAGGCAGGCCATTTCAAGTCCGGCAGATGGTTTTATGTATTTTTCATGCAGTTGAAAACCTGTGACTGAGGTTTGGTTGGTTGTCATCCAGTGCCTGGGGACCCTGAGCTGAATGCATTCTACACACCACTGCAGAATCACATGATGTCTGACCTCTCTGCCATGGCAAACTGCCCAGCAAGGAAAAGGGAGGATGGGAGGGAGGAATGTGAGTTTGTTAGTGTGTGACTGAGGTTTTGCAGAGAGAGAGAGAGAGAGAGGGAGATAAAGTGAGAGGGTATGAAAGAAGGATGCATAGTGGCGTGAAAGTGTGCACGTCTGTTCACCGAGCATGATCTGAATTCTTTTCAACCACATACGGCTTCACAGCCCTGACCTGTAAAACATACTGTCAGGGAGAAAGTGGGGAAAATTGTGGAGATGAAATGATGGAGGGGGAGGGGAGCAGGAAGAGAGGGGAGCAGCCACTGCTGAGGATTCACGCAATGCTACAGAGAAAAAGGAGGAAGAAAAAAATAGCTTTGCCTGACTTACCTTCCTTTGGAATGTGTCCAATATATCCTTTGAGAGAGAGAGTGTGTGTGTGTGTGTGTGTGTGTGTGTGTGTGTGTGTGTGTGTGTGTGTGTGTGTGTGTGTGTGTGTGTGTGTGTGTGTGTGTGAGTGTGTGTGTGTGTGTGTGTGTACGAGTCTGGGTGTGTGTGTGTGGCATGCTGGCAGGAAGGCTTTCAGCATATAAATATCACATTACCACACAAGGAAACGCAGGCATCAGTCCGAGCTTCCAGACGGCCTAACAAGCACAGGAGCTCCACTCTGGAGGTCAAAGGGAGAGCTCGCTCAAATGGAACTCCAAAGAAACCAGCTCCTCTTCTTCTTACTGATAAGTGCCTACAGTTATATCCATGTGATGTGGTGGGCTGATAGTTTCAGTTATCCAACATGAGCTTTTTTTGCTTTAATGTACAGAAATGGAGTCCATATATAGTACATTAAATCTCAGATGTATCCATTATTCACTCACTTGAGGCTGAAGCTACGATGACAGCTAAATACCTGTTTTAAGAAGCAGCATGATGAGAAGATGAAGGTGCTTTTCCATGCCCGTGGTAATAAATGCATAGCCAGAGATAGCAAAAACAGCAGAAACAGAGCAAACACTCAGCAACGTTCGCAAGGACAGTCAGAGTTACAGCTACAATGTGGGATTTAACTGGACTACTGCCTCAACCCAGTATGTACATGTACTGTACGTACAATATATACTGTATATACACGAAACTGCTGCATTAGTTGATTATTTGAAAATTACAGTTACTGTCACATACTGTTGCAAATGGAACAATGTAAATCAAATTTTTAGCGGTGATTGGCCTGATTGGTACGAATGCAGACAGATCTTTTATAAGCACACACTCCATGCAGATGATACTATTGTGCTCACATCAACTCTCATACACACAATGTGTGCTGGTCTTGTACTTACATACAGGCTCTGTGCATAGACTCTGCAGTTATAAATATATATTGTGTGCAGATACTGTTAACTCTGTAACTAAATGTTATAACCCTTGCCAATCAACACCAGAAGGGAAATTACAAATACTTTTATTATCATCAACACAACATGTTAGTTTAATGTTGTGTTTAAGCTGCAGCCCTGCCACCTGCTACTAGCTATTGTGCTAAGTTCTGACCATTGAATGAGCATTTCTCTGTGTATAAACAAAGACACTCTGAACATCTCTAATTCAAGCTCTGTACATAGACAGCACAGTTAAAAACATACACTGTATGCAGATGACACTGTTAAATACATACACTAAATGTAGCTGAGACTCTTATAAATATGCACCACTTGCTAGTAATGTTACTACATGAGCAGACAAAGCTGATTTACTCTCAGTAAATTCTTAAACCTAGTGGAGGGAACCAGCCTAACATTGGAATAATGATTTAAAAAAATTTGCTTTTTAGACATCAAACCATGCAAATTCATGAGGATGACTGCACACAAGAAAGGCATGTGTTTATCTGGTATTTTTTCAGAGTCCAACAATCATTTCTCCCTAGTTATCATGTTTTCAAAAGCAGGTTTAACTTGTATAACTGTGGTGCTGCGACTGTGCTCTCAATCCCTGGTTAAAGCCTCAGTATCACTTTCCCACAGCAGATATTACGACCTGTCATCACAGGGAAAGTACAGGTGTTGCTAATAATATAAACTGCTTTGCTCTTGCGTCCCAGTAAGCCGTGACAGGGTGTGACAGTGAGCCGGCATACAGAACATGATGACCCCAAAGGTGATAAAGCTACATGGAAGTGAGCCATCATTCTTTTCACTATTCACAGCTGCACGTGTCCTCATCGACACATCAACACAGCGTCAGTGCAAAGGACTCTGCGCTCATTTCTTTTTTATGTTTTCATTTTGAAAGTAAAGCAGAATTGGTGTTAATAGAGCCTATCAGTGGCTGGCTACTTAATGATGGGTGAAATGTGAACCTGACTCAAGACCATCTGGGGACCACTGCTATACAAACCGTTTGATAGAGGGGACCTGCTATGTGCCAGCCTTTGACAAATCTGCCTTTCTACACACTTCATACTGAAAACAAATATTCTCAGCTATGATAAAGTGGTTACCACAAACAGCATTACTATTCAGAGTTACTATACCATTCTCTGCCGATAATGCAACACCCAGAGTGTATTATGGTGTCAATAATGCATCATCCAAAGGGTCCATTGATTGGATAATACATGGACAAGTTACACAAACACTGGGTCAGACTGAGCCCACCTCGCCTTCTTGCCCTCATTGTTATTTCATATGAATCAATACGCCTGTAAAAGTCAAAGGTTTTGGTGTATACACGCCTCTCTGGCTTGTATTTACTACGCTGTGTAGCTCTGCAGGATGGTGACACTGTGTTTGTAAAAGAGAAATAAATTAGACCCTATTAAGAGTGTGGATTGATCCAATCAATTTTGTCACCACAGGAGTAAGTTGATGGTGCGATTCGAGCGCTGTATGGGGTGTGATGATGTGCCTTTGCTTGTGCTGTGAGCAGTTTCAAGGCTGAGTATCTGCTGGTACACTTGTAAATAAAAGTATTTTTAAAATATAGAGGAGTTGTTTGGTTTTATTTTAAAGGCATTTTGAAAACATTGCACAGTGGAGCGACATTTGTATGTGTGGGGCAAACCATCTGCAGCATCCACAAACCTGCTTAGTTTGGCTGTAGCTGTCTGCTCATCCTTTTTAATTATCTTTCTGCCTCTTCCAGCAAAAGCATTCCCATTTTCACTCTGTTCACTCCTATCTTTCTCCAACCCCCCCACCACCACCACCCCCTCACCCTCTGTGTTCTCTGCGGCAAGAAGGTCAGGCATACATATCCACCCTTTGCTGAGTGAGCACTGGGGGGGTCGAGGTGCAGAGACACAGCACAGATCATAATGGCTGGCCAATTATCAGTAGTACAGGGGACCGGGGTGTTGGGAGGAGTGAGAGATTATGGGGGGGTGGGAATCAATACACCAGTCAATTTCTAATGAGGGAAAGAATTGGTCCAACTCAAGCAGATGGAAATCCTGTTCTGCCTGGGGTGGTCTCTCTACACTGTCTGTCAGCAGGGAATCAGTCCCAAATGGGTCTTTGTACAACAGCGCCCCAACAGGAGAATAACTGCAATCACGCTGAATCGGCTACAGTCAAGAATTTACAACATTCACTGCAATTTGTTTTACATTTATGTGCTTCTTTTTTTTTTCTCCTGATCTACCTACGGTCTACTTTCTCAAAATAATTCATACATCACTAAGAGCAGCTCGAGAGAAGCCTGAGGAATAATGGCTGCTTGTCCTTCACCACCCCCCTCTCTTAACCACCCACAACTGCCAGCACACAGGACAGTAAATCCCTACACCTCACCCACTCTCCCAGCCAAGCAGCTCAGCTGTGTGCTGCTATGCACAAGCACAACACGCACTCTCCTGCTGACATAAAAAGAAGCAAGCTCGCACTGCTAAAGGCTAAACAGCTAATAGTCTCTGCTTTCTCCAGAATGGTGGCTAGAATAAGCGACTGTTCAGCCTCGTCATTACCCAGGCCTTTGGTGCTGTTGTTCTTCTCTGGTTGCTTCAGTATTTTCTACATCTGCCTTTCCTTTTTTTTTTTTCTGAGGGGCCGTCTGTGGGGTGGGGGTGTTATTTATGGCTGCTCTGTGCAAGTGGACACACACACACACACAGACACACACACACATACACCCTTTCACAGGATGAAAGGGCAGTCACACTGCCTGCAAACATGATTTTACAGCCCTGGGTGGAATGAGTGGCGGAGTAGAGAATGAGGACAGAGTACAAAAGGGGAAAGCCCTTAGATTTACAGGTCCCAGCAGTCAGCATGCAAACTATGTAGCGGCACACACGACTGAAGTTGATTTTTTCACCTCCCAGAGATCCACAGAAACAAGATAAATGACTTTATAAAGGATGAAACTTCTGTTAAACTGTGTGTAGAGACACATGGAAACACAAGTTCAACATCCTCCGAGGGGATCATTGCTTTTCCATGTGTCTGTTTTCTTTTTTGTTAAACTGAAACAGATGACTGCACAGTTTCCAAATGTGATCGCTTTCATTGTATCATCAAAGATGGCAAATGAGCGTGTGTGTACATGTGTATGAGGACTCGTAGCTTTGCTATGTTAGGACATGTTAATGCAATGTACAGCATTTTACACATTTCATCGTTTGTTGTGTTTCACTGCAGGCTATCCCGCATGTTTGTGTGGGTTTGTGTGATAGGAGAGAGCCCGGTTTAGTTCAGGTGTTAACTCACAACAATAATATAAGTTATAAACACCTTCTCACACACAGAGTATAGTGTATTTGTTTTTATTTATACTCTGAATAAAGAGGGGAAGCAGCGTGAACACAGAAAAACTAATTCATATCACCAAAAAAAAAGTATTGTTGGTTTCTTACTTTTGATGCCGCAGATACGTGCATTTAGTAGCTTGACCAATCTGACTGACTCGCCACCCTTGTTAGTCTGAAACAGAATTAATTGTGAATTATAAATATTTGTATTATTTTAAGGTCAAAATGCCAGTCATATGTTGAGTTGGAGCTGGCTAATGCTTGAATGCTCTGCTACCAGGATGTAAACAAACACAGCATCTCATAGCAGAGTGCACTTTGACAGGATTTTGCTCTAGAAAAAAGGGGAAATAAATATGAGGCATGGTGGCTGTGTCTTGTTAAACCAGCATACAACCACTTGACCGCAGTATTGTGTAACCAGCACAGACACCTGGACATCAACCTGCAAGGGGGACCCAGTGCTGGTAGTGCTAGCTCTGCTAAGGTTAGCTACACTTTGCAAACTAGCTTAACAACAGAGCCAATTAGAGCCTTAAATCTGTTCACAAGACCAGGAAATTAATCCCTTTTCTACATACAAATATCTGGTGTCTTTACATATAATAATAGTCTGTTGTAGATTGTATTTTTACGTCGTCCACAGGTTCATGGTGTTGATAAAAAAAAATAAGTTTCTACTCTCTCAGGCAGTTCTAGAGGGTCTAATGAGAGTCTATCACAGTTTGGTTTTGGTAATCTTCCTGTGCAGTATTTAAAATAAAGTGTCTCGGTTAATCTTCACCGCACATGAAATCATTGGTGTTAAATCACTGGAGTATTCATGAACAGGCTACTGTACAACATGCCAAAGAGCTCATCAGCAATACATCTCCTTCTGCACACAGAGTACGAGCTGCTGCCCTCTGGTAGGAGGCTTAGAGTTCCTCGCAGCAGACGGAACAGATTTAAATACTTATTTATTCCTGTGTCAAACTTTTAAGTGGGGGCAGATAAAAGCCAGAAAGCCGGAGTTTATGTTGTTTTGAGTTTCTTCACTGTTGCTGGTAGCACTAAATGTTGCTGGATGTTGTATATTTTTAGGGCTTGTGTCTGGCACTGATGTTTATTGACATGTACATTGTTTTGTGCATGTTTTCAAAGACAGTTCAGCTATCTGCTCAGTGTGACACCATGTTAGTTACTACACACTATCTGGGTCTTTCTAATATTAACTGCATTCATGTTGTATGCTGATTGTTATGTTGTCAGTTTTTCTGGATGAATAGCCCAAGACAAATTTCTCTCTTGGGAGACAAAATGGTTTATCTAATCTTATCTTTAAACATTAACTGTGAAATATATCATTTATCATTTTCTGATAATTTTCTTTGGAGCATCAAATAATGAAAAATGACTCTCACAATTACCGAGACCCCAAACTGACTCCTTAAGTTTCTTTGTTCAGCCCAAGGCAGCAAAGTTCATCACAGGGAAACATCAAACATCCATATTTCAGAGGCCCTATACACACACTGAATGTTTAAGAAAAGTGCCCAATGACTATTGATTTTCTCATGAACAATAAAACAGTTAATAGTTTCAGCCCAGAACAACAAACATCCATTAAAATGAAAAATAGAGACCAGACCCATTAACCTCAAACAAAGCAGTCTTTCCCAGAGCCAGAGGCAAAACAGCCAAGACAAGGATGGCAATGTCATTAAGCCTAAATGCGTTCCATTGAAGGAGAATGGGAAAGCAACTCTATGTACACATGATGACTTAATAGGGAGTATTTTCCAGTTAATACTTAGTAAAACAGCAATTAATTAAAGTAATTTGGGTGTAAAAGCTGAAGTTAACTTTTTTTACGAGTCCAAAAAGCAGCACTGCCAATAGAACAGCTCCGTGTTCTGCCACATCACAAAGAAAGCCAAACCAGAGCCCCTGTAACATATTTTAAGAAATGGATTTCCCCCCAAAGTGTGAAATAAAGACACTGAAAACAAAAGCCTTGACTGTGGCAGCACTAGAGTAGCAATGGGAGAGAGGTCCCTGCCTGTCATCTGTAGCTGGAAGACGAAATAATTGCTGGATATGTTTGCTGAACAAACTCAACAGGCTTTTGTAAATGTAATGTGTGTCTGTCATCATTTTAGTGGGAGGTTACTGGTATAATGAGAGCCTGAATTAATGATTCAGTGGTTTGTTCTGTGGTGTATACTGTCTCTAGTGGATGAAATGGCAAAAGGACAGGGAGTTACTCATGAAAAGGTGCAGTCTGACCTCTGCTGGCAGGAGAGGATAGTGCAGCAACCTACAATAGGGCTAAAACTAAGGATTTTATCCATAAAAGTAACAGAATAAAATGTTTTTTGTTGTAGTTTTGTGATGATACTTGGAACTGAACTGCAGTTCATATGATAATATATAATTCTGTATTCCGATTAATCAAAGTATGGTCCATTTTTATGTATATCAAACCACTATTACACTTCAGCATCGTTTCAAGAAGCAAATGAAGAGAGAATCCCAAAATAACAAGAATCAGAATTACAAGAAACCTGGAAGTCAATAGAAAACCCCAAGAAAATCAGCAGCAAACTGACAAAGAAACAAACAAACTCAAATTGCAGCCACCTGGTTTTGATCACACAACAACCAGACAATTTCCCCACAAAGCTAAAATCTTGAACTGAGCTCTTTCCTTCTCCGATTTGTTTGACAATCCAGTTAAGATATTGCTATCTGAATTGCTATTGTAATAAAGCATCAGTCTAAACTTAATATTCTGACATGGTGTCCTGTTTCACTTACTTGCTCTCTGAACTGCTCCTGAGACTGACAGTCCGTCACATTAACACAGCCCAGCAGGCAGCCAGTGGGGTAATCTTTAGGAAACCTGGGCTCTGTAGAAAAAATATCATTGAAGATTCATCAGTTCAAAATAACAGCAGGTGCAGCTGCAGTATGTAAGAAATGGAAGGTCACCTCTTGTGTTCAAAGAGTTACTTCTCAGTTGTTGTTACCTTTTCTGTAGATGTGGCGGTACATGACTTCCACCTCAGCAATCTCCTGAGGGGTGGGCTTTTTAGCTGCAGCAGCGATCCAAAGACGACCCCGGTGAGATGTGTACCAAGTTCTGCCTTCCACCCTACACACACACACAGATGTGGATTATTAAAATGTAAGCACTGCTTTTATTCACCTGATCCCTACAGACTTTTTACTTTACTCACAATTTAGGATGAAGGTTTAAGTGATCTTTTTTGGGAGTTTGTATGCTCGTTACCTCTTGATGCCTTTAACCAGCAGTGAAGCCCATGGTTGATGCATGCTGAGGCACCAGCCTCCATCAGACATCTCCTGCAGCTCTTTGTCCTGAAGCCGAAGCTTGGATCTTTCTTCTGTTCCTTTGTCTTTGGATGAACTCTTTGCCTTCTCCACATTTCGCTTGTTTTCTCTGCCTCCAACATCCACCCACTAGAGAGTCCGCACATTGTCATGATCATTATTTGCAGAACAGATATGAATAATATCCACACTTATTTAATTGTGTAAAAGGACTGTTGGTTTATGCTATAAAGTGACAAAATAGATGCACAGATAATTATGATTATTATGATGATTGAAAATATAGCGGTAAAAACATACCACAAGTGACACTATTGCTACATTTATTGTATATGTCTATAAGGACCAACCTCGGGTGCAGACTGCATGATGTTGGGGTTCACCAGCTCTCCGAGGGTCTGCCTTCCACCTTTTCTTTCAGAATAATTTGGTGACTTTGACACAGAGTCATTGTTCATAGCTTTAAGGGTCTCATCCAACCTGTAGATTACACCAAAGAGGAGCTTGTTTTGCATCACTACATACATAAATATCATAAATCAAAACATCATATCCACTCTTGCAGCCTTGCTTGACGTGGTGTCAGAAGAACTTACTTGTTGTAGTACTCGTTCAGGTTGTTTCCCTCATCTACCACTTGTCTACCAGCAAAGTCCAATGTGATCTTTCTGTCCTTGCGAGAAGCATGGCGAAGTTCTCTCAGCTCCTCTTCCTTTTTTCTCAGCTTCTCTCGCTCACCAGGTGACAACCACTGATTGGATTCGGTGGCAAAGTAGTCTGACTCATCATCCAAAACCTGGGTTCTCCTCACACTATAATTGAAAAAGAAAATGGTACATACCCAAGATTTCCTCTCTAATGATCAAAATCCTTTGTCAAAGTGCGTTTACTGATACCTGTTTCTGTCATATTCCAGCAGCTTGTCTTTGTGCTGGACAGCCTTCTCCAAACCAACCTTCATCAAGGCCTCTTTGTGTGGGAGATAATCTCTTTCTCCAGCATCTGTCACCAAAATAAAAACAGACTTATAGCAGCAGCCCTCCTTATTTTGATTTAAAGGCCTAGTTATTCTGGATATTTTTTCTCTCACCTCCCATGAGCTTCTTTCTTAGTTTCTGGCTTTTGTTGGAGTCTCTTTGCAGGATCTCCTGTTCCTCTCTTGTGCAAACCTGCATCAGAACAGAAATGTTAGTAATGACTGAACATACTGGCTGTCAGTGTAAAAGAAAATGGGATCAAAAGATTTAAAAGATGCATGTACCAGACTTCCACAGAAGAGGCACGGTCCTGAGCCCTCTTGCTCACAAACAATGCGACCACAGCTGATGCAGTTGTTAATAAGTTTGTGCTTTTGAGCAAGGCACTCACAGGCATGTCGACCAGGGAGTAAGACAGCCAGCCTGTCCTGTCCCTCCGTGTTATAGAGATTGACAAACTTATTTTTCTTCTTCGTTGAGGAATTACTGCTGTTTTCTTGGGCCTGAGGAAAAAAAATCAGGGAAGTGAACAATCATAAAAATGCAATCTTGTGTAGAGTCATTTAGGCACTCAGATCATGTGAATTCCTTTATGAAAGTTATAAGTTTAACTTACCCTCATCAGATCTATGGGGGTTTTGACAGCCTCTGGTTCAGGTTCTGTGTGGCTCACTGTCAAGACCTCCTGTTTGTTACGGCCTTTACGTTTAGATTTCTTCTGGGTATCTTTGGTCATGTCTTGTGAATCTAGAAAAGGGACGCAAATTATCCTCAACAAACAGTGTGAATTGAAAATTTAGAATCATTTCTTATCAAATTTAAAGCCATGCGATCCTAGTAAAAGATATTAATCCCAATCTTGAGTCATTCCCTGAATCCTTGAGAGAGTATTTTCAGAGTGAGTGTTTAATGGCTGAGAGGAATTTCAGTAACTCCTAACAATGAAATATTTAAAATGTGGTGGTATACCTGCTGATGTAACTGCTTCTTTGAGAAGAAAAGGCCCTGCAGGATCTGAAGCCTGTTTTTGAGTCTTCTTCCACCTGCTGACAAGCTCATCTATAAAGTGACGCTTTTTCCCATCTGTGCCCTGAAGGAGGTCTCCAACATACTCCTCGATCTCTTCAGCTTTTTCAATGGACAGAATGTACCTAGACAGCAGATGTTAAGACAAAAACACAATGATATGCCCTGCTTTTCAACAACCACATGGATTCCATCAATAAATGATGCATTGATTCAGTGTATTTATTATAATTGAACACATACTTTGCTTCCATTATTTTACTGCATATGAACTTCCTCAACTTTTCAACACATTTTTAGGGGAAATACTAATTAAACATGACAGTGGCTGGTAAAATTCAGACGCAAAGCAATGATTTACCACAAAATAGCAATTCTTTTGATCATTTATATGTCAGTTGCAGACTGTATTACTAATTTGTTTTATAACTCCCCATACTTTCTATGTCGGTTGTGAATCTTCTTCCACTATGTTAGAGATTAAGTGCAAGAAGAGGCAGGATGTACTTATTCCAGGTACTTATGTATATTTAAATCTGGTGTATAGAAATGTATAAGTGCAGCAAAGTATTAAGAAGACTAGGTGTAATGTCCTCTGTAATATTTGACAAGTATTATCCATGGAATTGAGATATTATAGTGTTCCACCTCATCTTTACCTCTGTATTTACATTCATGATGGCCCTGCACGCAAAATTACCTTTAAATGAAACAGTTTCACAGTGATACACCTAAAATAAGATATGTAAAATCTAAGGATACATGAGCATTAAACACCTGGAGATGATTTAGGGCATTTAAGAAGAATAATTTTTTCCACAGCCTGTCTGTGGTCTTTGTTTAGTTTTGATTTGATTTTATGACTCAAGTAATCTGATAACTTATTACAAAGGTACATCTAACCTAATATTATAATATAGTATTAGAGTTTTATATGAAGTTCATATACCAAGGTTCATTGACCTGTGCTACATACAAAACAATAAGATAGGTAAGATTTAGTGCAGGAAGAGGCAGGGTGTACTTATTCCAGGTAATTATGTACGTTTATATCTGGTGTATAGAAATGTGTAAGTGCAGCAAAGTATTATCAAGACTAAGTGTAATGTCCAAGTATTATCTATAGAATTGAGAGATTATAGTGTTCCTCCTCATCTTTACCTCTGTATTTACATTCATGATGGCCCTGCACTCAAAATTACCTGTAAAAAAGCAATTTTACAGTGATACACCTGAAATAAAATATGTAAAATCTAAGGATACATGAGTACAAAGCAACTGGAGCTGATTTAGGGCATTTAAGACGAATAGTTTTCTCCTCAGCCTGTTTACTGTCTTTGTTTAGTTTTGATCTTTAGACTCGTACTTTTAATCTTATATTATCTGAGTTTAAAGCTATATATGGAGCACATATACCGAGCTTCATTGACCTGTGATACATACCAAAGTATTTATAGGAACTTCACAGAATCTGGGAAACTAAGACAAGAAAACCCTTCATCAATAAAGAGCTTACACTTCAGTTAAACCATCTACAGCCGAAGAGCAAAACCCGTTAAGCTAACTGTTAGAAAATAACCTTAAATAACCATAAATTATCATTATTTTTTCGATATTTACACTATGACGGTGTATAACTAGCTGTGAAGCCTCATACACGCCTCTGTGTCGCTGTTAGCATCTGGTCTCTCAGTTATCTAACAGTCACATTTAAACAAAAGTCTCCCTTACTGGACGATTTCTTCACACGCCTCCAACCCGAACTTGTGGTGAAGCTGGTCCACACACCACTGCAACAAGGCGTCAGACATTTTATTAGCCAAATGAAAACCTGAACACTCAAACTCAGACTACAGATCCGCCTTAGTGTCGTGTCCAACTCAGGGAACGGGTTTACAGTCGGAAAAATAACAATGACGCACAGCGTGGCGCAACATAGAATATCCTCCTGAATGATCCGCGAATGATCGGATTAAGGTTCCGCTAAATACCTCTTGCGACTTTACAGTCACATCAAACTGAAATGACTCAATTTTTTTGCTTTCTGTCTTTTTTCAAATTATTCTTATTTTCTATTCTAGCTTAAACCGTTCTCAAATATTCGTAAATTTCTAAAAAAATGTCGTTTGTGCGGGTCTAACTAGCTGCGTCTGTTAAATTCAGTCACTAGATGGCAGTTTTGTAGTGCAGTGAAATTCAGGTACCTCCAGAGAAAACTTGAGATTTCACACCTGAGAGCTCACCATCCAGCCTCCCAGAGTTGCTGTGGTCCTTGCTCAATAAAATTGAGGTGCTTGACGCTTATTAAACCCCAGTGATGAGCTGGCTCCTGCTCTCTAATCTCTTCTCATGCATGGGTGTTGTTGGGGACACTTGGGGCCATATGGTCGGTTATGTAACTCACCACTTGAGCATAAAGGTTCAGGTAACGGTATAATTAGATGGATTTCTTCACTGAATGCTTATCCTTTCATTTCAGCACAGATGCCCTGTGTGAAGCACAATGAAATTTTACTTGTACACAAAAAAGAGGTCCATGTGGGTCAGTGAAAAACAGTTTAAGTTTGCTGCCACACTTCAAATAGAAAAAGTATATTTATTTATGAAACAAATGTTACATGACAGGAAAAGAACATCTTATGTTTAACTTCAATAGACTCAAAAAATATGAGTTCACAGTGGTTACCTCTTTATCACATGATGTTAAAATAAAGTAAATGGGTAAAAATTAACATGATCAACTAAGAACATTGTTAAATTGAGGTGTTTGGTTATGTTAGTGACTATAGTCAATATAATTTGTCTTCATAAATGGGTGATTCACAACATCGCATAACTTTTTGGATAAATGAGTATTTATGTGATACAACAAATCATTCCAATACAAGATACTTCTGCTGTTATGTTTTGTATACGGGATATACAGTAGATTTATCATAGCTGACAAAAGTACAGTCGTAACATCACATGACAAACCACAATTGCATTCTTTGTAGATTAAATTTAAGATTGTTATAGATGTTTTCTTCCAGTATTCCATTAGCTGGTCATTTTACCACCTATAGGGCCTGATTTACTAGGGCTCCACATGACAACAAGGAGAACAAAAGATGTAAAATCAAGAAAATCAAAGAGGACAGGAAAGCAGGGCATCCTCCTCCACACTCCTTAAATCATCTCAAATTACCACACATCCTGCAGAGACAATTTGATGCATGCATTAAAAACAGTATGCAGCTCTTAAGACAAATTTTCATCTGTTGCGCATGAGACTGTGCCAGCTATTTCCTCTAAGGCACAGGGGAACTCAGGCTGCTGTCACCCACACCAGACAGCCGGTCAGTGTTGCATCTGGTCTAATAAGTGTCCATAAACGCCCAGCGAGGGGCAAAAATAATGTACAAGTGGTGATGAGGTCTCTCTATTCAAGCAGAGACTGCAGAGGAAGGAGAGAAGCCCATGCTGAGGAGAGGCATGCAGTTCAGTAGTGGATTATCTGATGTGTTTAATTGTGGTTGCTATGACATTTACACACATTTTTAAACACGCAGATCTACAGTAAATCAGGCCCATTCTTTTATCGTGTATTACATACACCATGACTTGATTAAAAAATTGGCTATATTTGAGGCCCATCTCTGCAGACTAAACTGTGCCCAAATTACTGGAAGCGTTAAAATTTAAGGGAGGTGTGGAGGCTTTTATTTTGTTGAGGCATTTTCTTTCTGATAAAATCCTCAATTGAAAAAGTCTTTGGAAATGGCCTCTACAAAGTTGGGAGCTGACATAAGGATTCCAAGGGTGCAAAGGATAGTGAAGAGTGAAAAAGCCATGAGACAAAGCCTGTCAATGACAGACGCTGCGAACTTCCATTCGTTGCACACAGACTCATCCTCATCTTGGTTGCGGAAGCGTTTGGCAATAAAGCGCACCTCATCCAGGATCTTGGCCAGCTCTGGTTCCAGACTCCCCACTGAAGAGGCGTGAGCTGTGGGGAGAAGCAACTCCTCCTCACCTGCTCGAGCGACAAGTCGTCCACAGAGGACCCCGGAGTCAGGGGAGGTGGTGGCCGTGGAGTAGGGAACGCTCTCCATGCTGCGGAGGCCGACATAGAGCATGTTACCGTTGTTGGACTGGGAGGCTGAGGCGCTGGCGTTGAGCTCCATGCTGGTCAGGCTGCTCCGTGGAGCCTTATTGTGACAAGCCGAGCGCACCCGGTCTTCACCAGGGCGCTTCATCCGCAGGAACCAGGCGCACCAGTCCAGCAGGATGACACGGGTCTATGAGATCAGACAAAAAGGAAGTAAATAAGCTTTTATTGTCTTTAAAAATGGTAAAAATTAGAACCCATGTGTGTTTAGAAATATCTAATTATATAAGATTCAAACCACAAAAAGCTCCCTGGGGCTATTCTGAGGACTTCTGCATCTATTTCTCTCTTTGTATCTTTAGTTAATACATTCTCTCATCAATACAAAATACATATTAATCTTGGTAAGAAGATTATAATATTACCACTAAAAACTTATAAGAATAATGTAGTACATGGTTTCTGGGAGTTGTCATAGAAAGTGATCATGGAACCATAATATAAATCAAAGATCATACAAAGTCATACTCACCCACTTCGGCATCTTGCCTCCATCAGGATCATGGTGGTGATACTGTAAGACCAGAACTGTAGCAATCACTGAGAGACCAACAATGACCATGGTGGTGGCAAAGTATTGAGCTGATTGAAGGTGACACAGAGGACACATCAGGAGAGGATGAAAGTTTAGTCATGAAGTAAAATTGATTTAGGTAACATCACAAGAGGAATACAAGAAAGGGAGAAACTCAGAGCCCACGAGAGTTTACCACCATCTTGCCTCTGAATCACAACTCATTTCACTTCAAATCTGGTGACTCTGATCTCTAAATAAAAGTTTCTACTATTGCTCAGCAGCTTAAACTTATTTTCACCCAAAAAGAAGATGAAAAATGACAACGCAGATTTTCCCCTGTGTCTACACCCTCACTGATTGCATTTGTCACCCATATGACTTCTTTTTACTTTAGCCTGGCTTACCTATCAAAGGCACCGAGTCTGACGTGGCGGGCATTATCTCTGCAACCAGCAGCATGAAGACAGTCAGAGAGAGAAGGACTGTGATGCCTGGAAAGGAGAGAATAACTCAGTTATCACTTTTTTTTTTTGGATTATGAGGTGTAATGAAAATCAATGCCACAAAGGGACTGGTCACCATGATTCTTACATGTTAAAATCTGCCATAAAACCACATCCTCTGAATGGTTTACAACAAAAATGTGCAGTTATCCCATTTCCTTTTCTTAAGAATATGTTTTAATAAAAAGCAATTGATTTTTTTCAACAAAGGTCCGTAAATATTTGCCCACTGAAAAGACCAATTTGTGATATTTTGAAAGTCAAATGTCATCCCATGATACAGGATTTCAGCTGTCAGGACTTGCAGGAAGGCCAGTGTAGCGCCATGACTCCTCTACTACAGAGCCATGCTGTCGTAATACATGCAGAATGTGACATCTGGATGGCAGCATGTGTTGCTTTAAAACCTCTAAACTAATGTGTCTTCACAGATGTTCACATAGTTCAAGCCAAAGACACATATGCATCCTCATATTATCACAGCAGCAAGCTGTGAGCGAGCTGGGTGGTTACGCTCTCCTGTTTAGAGAACAGGCTGTAATGTTCATGATTTCCCCAAATAATACTCAGTGTTAATTTGTCAGACAACAGGATAGTTTTCAATCTTAAGTGAGAGAAGTCATTAGTGTCTTTGCACAGAACAGGTACAGCCTTGAGGGTGCAGTAACAAACTATGGTTTTTGGAGGAGGTTCAGCCTGTGCAGCGATTTCCACAGTCAGAGATGATGAAATTCTTAAATTGTTTGTAATTTTTTGCTCTGAAACAGTTGCAGAATTACAGTATTTGCTCATACAGTATGTGTTTTTTTAAACAGTTCACACAATATCCCAACTATTTTTGGTACTGGGTTTGAATTATGACAGATGACAGGATTATAAAATGAGATATAACGGCACTTGCTCAAGCCACAACATAAAAAAGTAGTTTTTTTAATATATAGATGGTGATTTTCAGGAAATGATTGTCTGAACACAGACAATGAGAATGAATGCAGCAATAAAAACACATCTCTCCTCATATGTTGTCTGTTCTCATGAAATAATGCCATCCTTGCATTCAGGGCTAGCACATACAAGCTGCACATCCATACACACAGTTTAAATAGAAAATATAATTTACAACCGCGATTGGTCCATAAAACTTTGTTGAAGATAGTCTGTGATAGGATGCATTAATACTGACATGACACCCTATTAAACTGAAAACAAACACTTATTTTTTTCAGATTTCTGCTGTTTATGAGCTATCAGAGCATCAATCGGAATGCAGGTCTCTCTGTGTACACACACACACACACACACACACACACACACACTCACTCACTCACACACACACACACACACACACACACACACACACACACACACACACACACACACACACACACACACACACACACACACACAGAGGAGGAAACACATCTGGCTCTAGAGCTCAGTTCGCTTAATGAAGGAATCCAGCTGCAGTCCAGGGCTCTAATGATTTGAGGAAAATACAAACTGCATAAATCAAAGCCCCTGACTTCCTCCACCCACTCCCACAGACATGCATAGATATACCACACACACACACACACACACACACACACACACACACACACACACACACACACACACACACACACACACACACCTACTCCACCCTCCTACAGTTTGAGATACTGGCTACACCAAGTCTGTGTAATTTATGCATGAAACGGGCTCAAACATTCAAGTCGGCTGTGACAAGTGAGATAAGATGAAACTATTTTCTCGGTCCACTGACAGTTAAGTCAGACACTCAGAGCTGATTATCAGATCGCTTCACAGGGTTACAGAAGAAGCGGATTAATGAAATCCATTGTTTCTAAAGAAGGACTCATTACCCAGGAGGCTAATGGGCCATGAAATATATTTATGCTGAAAAACTAAAGAATAAAAAATTACTTTTGTGTTGAAACCACTTGGACGATAAAGGATTTCTTTTGATTGTGATCTTGTTAGTTATCTGCTTTACCCTGTGAACTGTGTTATTGCCTGTGAACTGCACACACTTGTTATCTATGGATCACAGCCAAGCGAACATTGCAGAAGGCTGCTAAAATAAGCCTGTAAAACTTTTAGCATGAATTAATCAGCTGGCTGCATAGTGGGTTTTGGAGACAGTACATAAAGTGCATGTTTTTAGGGAGTATCTGTTACCTCAATGACGAAGAGTAATGATGAAGAAGAAGAATTGCCCACATCTGGTAACTATTCAATGGGTCAGTTGTGCAAAAGACTCTGTGTCAAGTCCCAAAACACATAACTTTTGACAGGGGCTGAGCAGTCTTCTGTGTTTTACGCAAAGCACAGGAATAAATCAAGTCAGCTGAAGACCTCCAGATAATACAGCCATAACAGGAGGCCACATTCCAACACAGTGACCACACCAGGGAGAGATGTTTGTGTGATTTATGTGTCAGTTTGTTTGGATCAAGCCAAGTTGGGGGCACAATATGGGTCACAAATCTGTCTACGCGACCCAGCCTACAGAGGTGTTTCTGAGCTAAAACACTATTTCCCCTCAGCAGCCAAGTAGCAAACAGAAAACAGCAGCATTTCTTCTTCAGTACATAAAAAATAAAATAAAACTTGGAAAAAAGCAAATGCAATTAAGTTTAAATGTAAAATGGGCCATCTGCTCGAGATAAACTAACCTCCCACACTGAAGTCAATGCAGAGGTGCAAAGAAACAGCAGTTTCTCAGTGTTATGTTTTCCAGAGAAGTTAATTCTGCATCTCATTTAGAAGTTAAGGTCCCAGAATCTGGAGGAAGATCTGACAGGCCCAAAATCCAAGGTGCCTGAGGTCCAGCGTGAAGTTCCCACAGTCTGTGATGACTTGGGGTGCTACAGTATGTAATCTGCTGGTTTTGGTCTACTGTGTTATATCAAGTCCAAGACAGCACAGCCTAAAATCTACCAGGAGATTTAAGAGCACTTCATGCTTCCATCTGCTGAGAGACTTGATGTTATTATGTAATGCCTCTGCAATATTGTTCAAACAGTTATGCCAATAAAGCCTATTGAAATTAAAATTGACTTAATTGAGATACTGATTTCCCTTTACAGTAGGACCTGGTACCTGCCCACAGTGCCAAAACTACCAAAAACTGGTTTGCTAACCATGGTATTACTGTGCTTGATTGTCCAGCCAGCTGGCCTGATCTGAACCCCATAGAGAATCTCTGAGGTATCGTCATGAGCGACACCAGAGCCAACAATACAGATGAGCTGAAGAAGCCATCAAAACAACCTGGGCTTCAATAACACCCCAGCAGAGCCGCAGACTGATTTCCTCCTCGCCATAAATAAAACATGTTGTATAGCAGAGGCATTTCTCACAGGACCTTGGAATATACAAACTTACTGGGGATTTTTTTTCAACCTGCTCTATACGTGTAAACAGAGAGAAACCAGAGATACGATAAAAGCTTGAAAGAGGTTTTTGCTGTCGTTTGGTCAGTCAACAATAAATAAGGAAAAAACTCCAAAAGTAGCAAAAGAATCATGAAATGACAACAAGGACATTCATATCACTGGAAATAAAAACCAAATCACTTAGAAGGGGAATTGAACTGATTTTTAACCTTCTATGTTGAGTTGTTAGTGTGAAAAACAGCTGCTGTTGTTGTTGAACTTTTGTAGCCCTTGAGCACATTTCAGTGCAGCTGCATGATCTGTTTTTCTTCCAGCACCTGAAGAAAAGAGTCCTTGGTGGACAAAGAATATGAAATTCAGACTATCTCAGCTTTTTCTCAAGTGTCTGACTTTACTTGCAAAACTAAGCTACAAACAGTAAGACTGCCTCCTGAAATATGCCTGTCGAGGTTCTTGTGGTCAAGGATACATTTCTGAGTGTTTCATCTGCCTCTGATATTCTCTGAGATGAGCTGAGAGCTGGAGAACGGAGGCTGCAGCTGAACACAGTGTACTCTGGAACATTTACGCACTGCTTATTTGCCTCATAAGCAGACAAAGTCAGCTTCTCAGCCAGGACGGCACACATTGACAAATAAAGTGGTTCAGCTGAACACTAATACCAACAACACTGAACGGGCAGCTACAAAAATTGAGCGTTTTAATGATTGTTCAATGTTATCCATTTAAATCCAGAAACATGAACATACTGTCCTGTCTAAAATGAGCAAAATTATGTGTGTGTGTGTGTGTGTGTGTGTGTGTGTGTGTGTGTGTGTGTGTGTGTGTGTGTGTGTGTGTGTGTGTGTGTGTGTGTGTGTGTGTGCGAGCTTAACCCAGTGAAATCTTTTCCCCAGAGTCAGCAGGCAGGAGGAAGACAAGGAGAGCCAGGGTGGAGATCAGGACACAGGGGATAAGCAGGTTCAGTCCGTAATAGAGGGTTCGCCTCCGCATCACCAGGGTAAAAGTGATGTCAAAGTACGGCTCCTCACAACACTCGTACACACGTTTGTTCTTCTGTCCTGGAACCTCTGTAGGACAAAGTTAAGTTAAAATACAAGTTAACTTTCTCAAGAGGTAGGTGGGTAATATTTGAGATAATGTAGAGGGTGAGAGCCTATTTAGATTCTAATTTGCATAATCACCCTCTCACCTCCCATTATTCTTTAATTGTAATATCACTGTGTATGCACTTGATTTAACTGGTTAGTACAACTTAACGACTTACTTACTTGACTTAACTTGACAAATGATCAACTCTGGACTAAAACAATCTATTGAGATGATAGCAAACCAGAGCTATGACAATCACACCATCACTAAATCAGAGATCAACTGCGATCATACCAACACACAGGCAGAAGTCTGATATGCGGGGCCCTGTTGGTGTAGTAGTCTATGCATGCGCCCCATAAATGGAGGTTGGCCTGGTTTGCTCTCTCCCTGTTTCCTAATCTAGCCACAGTTCTGTCCTCTCCTAATAAAGGCAAAACAGCCCCAAAATAAGTCTTTTAAAATAAATAATTCAAGTCTATCTAATGTTAGTTTGTTTACACAAAACTGTCGCAACTACGAAACAGAAATCTAAAAAAATGAAAAGGACACAAGAAAAGTAAACTTTTCTTAAGTAAACACAAGAAAATAACTTTAATTTCTCTGTTGAAGTTTTTGCCTCTCTTAACTCTTCCTGCCTTTTCTCCACCATCTCAATCTCCTTTCTCTTATTACTTCTGTACAGACTGTGATAATGAATTTGCTCGGCTTACTTCTGCACATTGAGATGACCACAATTTGTCCTCCAGAGTCTGTAATTGGATAGCTTTGTAATGAACAAGTGAGAAGACGCAGTGTTGCTGCATTCATGAAATGCCCAATGACTGTCCAATCAGATGACAAATTTGTAACTAGCTGTTGTTGATTTAAAACTTAATCAACCAGTCCCTCTTACCGACAAGATCCCACTCTCCGTTTGAAACGTAGTTGGTAATATCAGCCTCCAGCATCTTCAAGTCCAGAGACCAGCCCCCGTATGTCCATGAGCCAAACTTCAGGTCGCATCTCTGCACATCAAAGGGGAACCAGCGCACATCTATGGAGCAGGTGCTTTTGAAGATCCCTGAACACATGAAAAAAACAAGACAGGGTACTGAGAGACTTGCTGTATCTCAGCTATAGAAGGTCACAGGAGAGAGACGAAAATGGATGGGGTGATATTTTGGGCTCCAATAGAGAGTATATTCAATTATAATAGAATAAAGGAAGCAGGGCGAGGCTCAGTAAGAAAAATGACAGCACCCGACAGCTCAAGAGGCCCCAAAGAGAAGTTTTTCTCTGAAAAGATATGGAGTCCAAGTGCCATCCATCGTGAGGAGAGTAAAAAATCCAATATGACAATGAGATGAAAGTGGGCAGTAATCCTTCAGAGAGGCAGCGACCAAACTAATTTCCATCCATATTTAAGAAAGATATGAGACATCGGCAATAAACAAGGTCTGTCCTCTCTCTCTCTCTGCCTCTCTCAGCCATGAAGATGATAAATGTCAGCAGGGAATAAAGAGAGATGGGAGCAGACAAACAGCCTGACTCTTATTTACTGCTCCGACCCAAAGTTCCAAAGACAAGCTCTCAGAACAATGTGGGTGATTTCAAACAGACAACTTTTAACATATGTGCATAGTACAGTTTTCCTTATTTAATGCTTGTCTAAGGGGTAGAATGACTGCTCTGAGCCAACATGGCTTTAATCAAGGCTACATTTGGAACAAAGTTGAGAAGCAATTTCTTTGTGACAGAGACAATCAATCCAGAAGAAATCCAATGATGGAGCTATTCACACCAGTATTGATTAGGAAGCCAGAGCCACTGCTTTAGCATGATGTGGGGGGGAAGAGGAAAGGAGAGCCTGCCAGAAAGAGAAAGAGAGAGAGAGACAGAGAGCAGTAATCACCAGCTGTGACAGGGAGCCCCAGCCTCGCTGTGCGTGTGTGTGTGTGTATGTGTGCGTACAAATGGACTGATAGTTTTACACTAAGTGTCATAGATCTTTTCAGACCACCCAGACAGCCGGCAGTGGGTTGGTCAGGGTTTGATCAGGAAAGTGCAGGACTTCCTAATTCCACTGGTGTCACAGTGATGGATCTGCATGCTTATGACTTTTAATCACATAAGATTTCTGACATTGTATAAATAATTTCTACATTTTAAAGATATGCACATTTTCGTTTTCTTTCTCGGAGCTTGATTAGACCATAAATACAACCCAGTACAAGTCTAACATGATGATATGGCAGTAATCAGCAGGTCAGCTTAGCTTCACATGAAAACTCAAGAGACCCTTGCAAGCTAGGGCATTATTCAGGCTTTTTTCTTCTTTGGGTCTGTTGGCACTTCGACAAAAATGCAGGGATTGCAGATATAAATGTTTGCTGAAAAGACTGTTATCGTAACTTGGGACTCAGTGTAATTGATGAATCCTGGCTCTGTATGAAATTGCAGGGCGTCACACTGATCTTAAGTTTATCCTTGTGGGAACCCTCTATGTGTCTAGAATTACTCTGTTTGGTATAGCAGACTTCCAGTTAGTTTTAAAAGATGGATCTGAAACATATCCTAGGTTAAGACCAGGTCTAACAAAGCACGTCTTTCGAGGTTGAATGTGATTTGGGGGCGAGTTTTTCCAGGTTTCAAAGGTGAGCAGGGCTTAATGAGACATTCAATCATGATTCATGCCATGTACATGTGGCTTTGTCTGACTCTGGTGTGTCAAGACTTACTGAGCTGATGACTCTTACCTGGTGGTATGTAGGCGCAGGTGCCTGAATGGTCGACCAAAATGTTGGTGCGGAAAGTAGCATCGAATCTCTCATCTGCACTGTTGAAAAAAAAAAAAAACTCAGCTTCATCAGTATTTACAGCAAAGTTATTCATGAAAAAAACTTAAAAATTCACACACTGAGACAACCTTTGCGAGAACTCCTGTGAAATATAAGGCTGCAACATAAATCTGGATGAAACACAAAGCAGAGGAGCAGATGTGGTGGGATAACACAAATATTTCTCCATCTCATTACTGCTGCAGCAGGTACACATAGTGGAGTCACAACTGATGCAACTTCTCCCAGGAGATAGGTATTCAGTGGTTACCCTCAGTCTCCATTTACCCATGATGCACTTCCTCTAAATGAACTCTCTAGAGACTGCTGCATGGTTGAGCTAAAGTTTAAAGAGTTGCCTTGAAAAAACTTGCAGCAGCGTCTAGTTCAGAGAGTTTTACATTAAAATTTTACTCAGAGGGACAATGACAAATGGAGCACAATGCCTTTCTCTTCATTAGCTGTTGGGAGAGCAGAGTGCACCTAATGTGATTTGTTCAGATCTTTCTTTTAAAGATTGATTAATGGTTATCCCCAAAGCATCTTCCATTAGGGATTTATAGTAAAGCGCTTCTTCTCCAATGTTTTTACATAATTTTATTCATTTGTCTGAATGATTTATTGCTGCAAAGTTCTCCTGTAGACTGTAGTGCGTATGCTTACACTGCAGGGCATCACTAACCTTGAATTCTAAAGTTCAGGCCTGAAAACTAGGTTATTAATTTAGAAAGAGCCACGTCTTATGATTTAAAATCCTTGATGAATGTTTCTTTTGATAAGGCAAAAGTAATGCAGCACACGTTTTTAATGAAAAGAGAGATATTCAGGCCGTTTGGCCGTTACAAATGTATGAAGTTTATGCTTGTTTTTTTTAACTGCAGGGTTTCTCGCTCTTTTATTTCTTTCTGGTATGTGCCTCTGATTGATATTCTGAAGAAAATAAGTGGTTTGACACTTTGTATACCTCTTATAAAAGCAGAGACCTGATTTTTCCAGCATAACATGAAGCCATCTGAAATACAGTATCTTATCTTAAGGTTAATATTAAAAGAAACAACTGTTTCTGTGTGTATGCGTCAAACTCTTATAATAGTGTCTAACTTTATGTCGAATTTGCCCATCTGAAGGTAGGACATCAGAAATTAGCTTGTGAAATGTACTGCTTTTTTGATGCTACTTTCATGCTGATTGGACCAAAATTATAAGCACATCTTTCCCAGCAAACCAAGAATAACCTGTAAACTTGAAGCACACATAGAAGAATATTTTTCTGAATCATCTCAAGCCCTTGCTATTTTACACGCCAAAATTTGATTGCATTTGTCTTGGCAGACTTGTTCAAAGCAACTGTTTGAGCTTGCTGTGGACAAACTGTTTATAAGCAGATGAGCCTCTATGAGAAATCCTGCGCAGACTCCATCCTGCATGTCTCTATCTCACTGTTGCTGTTGAATCTCTGAAAAGTCACAGCCCTTTCTACAGCCTTTGTTTTCTTTACTCTGGAGCAAAAATCCAAAAGTGCTTCATCCCTCCGACAGCCCCCTGTTACACAGTGCAGAGGACACTGAATGAATGCTGAGTGTGACACCATGCATATCCAATTACAGTGCAGCAGATCTGTCCTTACAATACCTACCTGTTATAAAGCAGGATGTCTGGCTTCCAAATGATATGGTCCGGAAACCTCACATTGCTCACACCTGGATAGTCTTCAGGATTCCACTGTAGGTAAGTATCGTTCCAGTGCTGTGGGATACAGTAACATTTTGTACTGTTTACATATCACAAAACATCGCTTTCACACCTTAATTTGTCTCTGCTTTCACATCGTAATGCATCGTTAGTTCCAGTGACTGTTTCCAAAATGGAAAATGACAGCAGCTGTAAGTAAACTTAGGCAGAGCAGAGTTCATAGTTTGTGTGTGGTTTCAGAGACACCAAGAAAGGGTAAAACACTGATATAATAGTGATGTAGTATGTGGCACTGGATTATGATGTTTCACAGCTCTATGGACAGCCAGCTCTGCAACCATTGCCAACTAAAATAAAATTCCCCTCGGTAATAAAAGAAAAATTCTTGACAATAAAGGTTGCTGAAATAAAGAGTTGAATTTATTCTTACTGTAGAGGTTTGAATTAGTGCTTGGTAACTTGCAATGGCTTACTCAGCTTGGCACTTAGTTACTTCCACAGGCAGTGTCTGCCGCTAGTCCAGCTACACAGGTCAACAAAATCCACTCTGGAAACGTTTTTGTGGTAAAGAAAAAATATAAAAAATCTTCTGGTTTATTTCTTGTATCCAAGGATCCACAAAATTATGAAGACTGGAGCTGACTAACACTAATACACTTGGTGTAACTTTAACAGTAGCAGTAGCAGTAGCTGTAGCAGGTAAGAAAACCGTGTGCTTCTCCAGCTCCAAGCACCGACTGAATCATCTCTGTGTCCACCAAAACAGACGCACGTGCGGTCTTAAAGGGGAAGCAGCCCTGTTATAAAAACATTTACCAAATCACATGAAAGATGAATTTTAGCATATTTTCAACATTTTGACCACAATATGAACTTATAAATGAAATTATGTATCATTAAATCCTATATTTTTATACTGTCAACTTATTTATCTTTTTTAACACATTTCAATCATGTTAACTGTATTCATAACCATGAACTATTCTTCCGCCTCTACATACCCGGCCCCTAATTGCTTTCTAGGGCAGAAACAATTACAACTTATAAGAACAATGTCCCTTTTCTTTTGTTTTGTATAATGTCTTTCTTCTGAGTAACACTCAGGCAATTAACAGTCTCAATCAGGTGAGTAACAGTCCTTCTCATACTGCTTCTTGAAGTAAGCAGAGCTTAGTTATTGGTCTCTCAAGCTCATTAGTTTTTGTCTTGACTCGAACCTTGCGGACCATTCCGTGCTCATCCTCCATAGTCTTGACGATCCTTCCCAGCAGCCATGATCCCCTAGGTGCTGACTCATCAACGATCAAGACTACATCTCCCGGGATGAAGTTCCGTGATGGATGGTTCCATTTCTGTCTTTTCTGGAGTAGAGGCAGGTACTCCCTAGTCCAGCGCTTCCAGAATAGATCACTCATGTACTGGACTTGCCTCCATCTTCTACGCACGTAGTTGTCATCTTTTTGGAAGAGTCCCGGTGGTAAGTTGGGTTGAGTCTTTAGCAGCAGCAAGTGCTGAGGGGTGAGAGCTTCCAGATCGTTTATATCATTCGAAGGCAAAGTGATAGGCCTACTGTTTAGAATGGCCTCACATTCACAGAAGAACGTTCGGAGAGCTTCTTCGTCCAAGTTTTGCTCTCTCAGGGTGGCGACCATGATCTTTCTGATGGAACGGATGATCCTCTCCCACACCCCTCCGTGGTGTGATCCGGATGGAGGATTAAATATCCATTTGATGTCACGTTGGAGCAAGCTGTTCTCAATCTGTGAGGTATTCCACTCCTTTATGGCTTTTCTGAGCTCGCGGTCAGCTCCAACGAAGTTAGTCCCGTTATCAGATCGCATTTCCTTCACTTGACCCCTCCTTGCGATGAAGCGACGCAGAGCGTGAATAAAGGAGTCTGTTTCCAGCGACGTAGCCATTTCAATGTGGACTGCACGGCTTGCGAGACAGGTAAATATGACCCCATACCTCTTTACCAATGATCTTCCTCGTTTTACGCTGAATGGTCCAAACAGATCCACTCCACTTCTGGTAAAAGGTGGTTCGTCCGGAACAACTCTGTTTCTTGGTAAGTCCGCCATAATTTGTGTGCCTGATGCACCATGTTGTCTTCGACAGGTAGTGCAGCGAGACAGCATTTTCCTGATTGTTGAGGGGGCGTCGATAATCCAGTATCTTTGGCGCACATAAGACAAGACATGATTGCGTCCACTGTGTCCTAGCCGCTCATGCGCATCCTGGAAAATCAGATCAGCCACTCGATGGTCTTTAGGCAGAAGCATCGGATGCTTGGCTTCGGCTGGCATAGATGCTCGACTGAGCCTCCCTCCAACACGAAGGATTCCCTCTTGAAGTTGCGGATTCAGTCTGAAGATTCGGCTACTCTTCTTGACAGGCTCTTTTCTCTGCAGAGCAGCGATTTCCTCTTGGAACTTCTTTTGTTGACAATGGCGGATGATATCCAGCTCAGCTTGTCGCAGATCGTCAACAGTCAGGTAAGTCTGTTTGAGACTCCTCTTGTAGCGTGTCATTTCTTTGTTCACTTGTTCTTGGTCCTTGTGTCGTTCATTCATTTCTTTCCTCTTCTTTGACAGGTTTACCAGGGCTCCTTTGATTCGAATGAACCACGCCACTGCCTTCTTTAGCCGTATCCAGGAAGAGAAGTATTCTGTTATTTGTTGCATTGCATCAGTGGTTTCTTCTACTGTAGTAGCATTAACGAGTATGCTTTTCTTGACCTCAGGATCTGTCACTGAAAGCTCCTCTAACTGCTCAGTCTTGTCTGGCCATTCTTTTTCTGGTTTGCTGAGGAAGGCAGGCCCTGAGATCCATACTTCGTTCTGTGTGAAGACATTTGCCTTTTGTCCCCTAGAAGCATAATCGGCTGGATTTAATCGTGAGCTGATGTAGCTCCATTGCTCCACTCTTGATGCTTGTACGATTGTAGCGACCCTGTTCGCCACAAATGTCTTAAACCTGATGCTCTTGTTTGCTATGTATTTGAGTACGGCGGTACTGTCCGTCCAGAACCTGGAATCTGACAGCGGCAGCTGCAGCTCCTTCTTCAGCAAGGTGTCCACCTTCACAGCTAAGGTAGCTGCCGTAAGCTCCAGCCGTGGGATTGTTGTGGGCTGGAGAGGAGCGACCCTTGCTTTTCCCAAGACGAATGAGCAGTGTATTTGGTTGCTGCTGTTCTTTTGCACGAGGTAAGTGACCGTACCATAGCCTGTTTCGCTCGCGTCACTGAAGTGATGCAGTCGAGCCTCCACTGTTTCTCCAAACTCAGGTGGCTTGAAGCACCGGTCCACTCCAACGTTGGTGAGCTGCTGAAGCTCTTCCATCCACTTTGACCATTGTTGTGCGAGATGATCTGGCACAGCATCGTCCCATCCTGTTCTCAGTCTGCACAGTTCCTGCAGGATATTTTTGGCAGACAGTATGACTGGAGACAACATCCCAAGTGGGTCGTAGACTGAGCTCATCATTGACAAGATTCCCCTTCTGGTGAGAGGCTTCTGCTGAATGTTCACGTGGAACTTGAACTTATCCGACCGGATACACCACTGTACTCCTAAAGCCTTCTCGATGAGCGAATCCTGGTCGAGGTCGAGATCTTTGACCTCTGTTGCTCGGTCCTCTTGTGGAATGCTTGACAACACGTCTGTGTTGTTGGTCATCCATTTCGTTAGTTTGAATCCACCTGTTAGACAAATGGCTTTCAGGTCTTTGTAAAGCTTGACTGCTTCTTGTTCAGAGGCAACTGACCTCAGGCAGTCGTCGACATAGAAGTTACATAACACTGTATCCACAACTGCTTCATCGAAACTGCTCCTGTTATCCTCGGCACATCTTCTCAAAGCATAACTCGCGCAGCTTGGTGAGGAGGTGGCGCCAAACAAGTGGACCTCCATCCTGTATTCTTGCAGCTCTTGTGAGACGTCGCCGTCCGGCCACCACAGGAACCTGAGAAGGTCGGCGTCTTCTGGAGGGACCCTCACTTGGTGGAACATTGATTCCACGTCCGCCATTACAGCGACTTGCTCTTGACGGAACCTTGTTAAAACACCAATAAGACTACTTGTCAAGTCAGGCCCTTGTAGTAGTTGTTCGTTGAGTGTGGTTCCTTGGTAAGAAGCGCCACAATCAAATACCACTCGTATTTTGTGCTTCTTAGGGTGGTAAACACCGTGGTGCGGGATAAACCACACCTTTCCATCACGCCGGTGTAAGTCTTTCTCTGGTACTTTTACAGCGTAGCCCTTGCTGATCATGTCGTTCATGAAGCCGACGTAGTCCTCTTTGAACGTCTGGCTTTTCTGAAGCTTCTTCTTTATGTTGAGCGCTCTTTGCTCTGCCACTGCTCTGTTCTTGGGCATTTTTACATCTTTGTTTTTCAACGGCAAACTGATGGAGTAATGGCCGTTGACCAACTTGGCTGATTCAGTGACTCTGTCCATGAACAGCTGATCTTCCTTGGACATTTCCAACTGCTCTCCTTGAGCTTTCTCAGGAAAATCACACTTGAATTGCTGAGTCCACAATTCTTCCAGACGAGCAACTGAAATGCGATTCATTTTGATCTCTGGGTATCCATGTTTTGTTCGATTTTTGATGTTTTCACGCAGTGGTCCGTTTACAGTCCATCCCAGGGCTGTGCGTACTGCATACGGCCCGTCTTTGACACTGCGGATTACTTCTTCTGGTTCCAAGGCTTTTGCTACGTCCGTTCCGATGAGAAGACTGATGTCTGCGTTGATAGAAGGGATTCGTACACCTTGCAGATGTGGCCATTTATCCACGTCTTCTTGAGTCGGAATGTTCTCTTGACTCACAGGGATAATCTTTTGTGTGAAAACCTCAATCAGCTCAATGAAGTCGTCACCTTCGAGGCTGCTAACTTCGAGGTCTGGTACAGCTTTGCAAGAAACTGCCTTTTGTTCTCCCATGGTGGTGAGTAGGATGTTCACATTTTTTCCTTGCAGGTGAAGGTCGTTCGCTAGCTTGTTAGTGCAGAAGGAAGCGTTACTTCCTGGATCCAGAAACGCATAACAAGTCAGCTCCTTGCTCCCCTTCTTTGCCTTTACTCTCACAGGAACGATGGCGAGGATGCTATCAGTACCCCCGGCCCCAGTCTGAGAGTTTGTGTCCCCTGCATCCACAAATCCGCTGACCACCTTTGGAGACTCGTTCTCAGGCTCCTCCCTTGAAGCCTCTTCCTTTGATGAGTCTTTGGGTTTCTGTTTTATGTGTAGGAGTGTGGGGTGTGTGGCTGAACATATCTGACAGCTCTTCTTTTCTTCACAGGCCTTACTCATGTGACCTGCTGCCAGACAACTGAAGCAAAGTCCTTTGCCCTTTAGAAACTCCAACTTTTCTTTATGCAACATTTTTTGAAGTTTTTTGCATTGTTCCATGGTATGGTCTCCCTGACAGAAGATACAGGGTTTATTAAAAGCTTTATCTACATTTGTTCTTTTTTCCTGAGTTTTCTTGTTTCCATCTATGACACGTTTCTCGGCTTTCTGTTCTTTTACTTCTGTTGCCAGAGTTGTGATGCGTTTCTTTCCATCTGACCTTTCTGTCTTGGTGTCTGTCTGACGTTTTGTTTGTCCTGGGATTTCACCAAACACAGGGTGTGATGCCATTTCTGCCTGCGTGTTGATGAACGATACCACGTCTTTAAACTTAGTCCGGCGATCCTGCCTTTTCTGAATGTCTATGGCGACACTCCTAAATCTCTCTCTCATCCTGTAGGGGAGCTTAGAGATAATGGTGCGCATATTAGCAGCATTTTCCATCTCATCTAAGTACTCGAGGTCAGACATTGCGTTGCTGCAACTTGTGAGAAAGAGGGCATATGACTCAAGTGCTTTGCTGTCTTCTGTTTTTATGACAGGCCAGTTTAACGCCTTGTCCAGGTAAGCCATGGATATCTTGTATTTATCTCCAAAGCGTTCTTTCAGAAGTCTCTTGGCTTCAGGATAGCCCTGTTCTGGGTGCATGTGAAAGCAACTGCGCACTAAGTCATTAGGCTGTCCAGTAGTGTGTTGCTCTAAATAGTAAAGACGATCTTTGCTATTTTCTGTCTTACTCTCCACGCTGTGTTCGAACGCTCTCATGAAGAGGCGGTATTCTATTGGATCACCTTTGAAAACTGGGATGTTCTGAGGTGGCAATGTAGAGAGCTTCTGTTGCTTTATTAGGCTTTCTGTGATGTCGTTTTGGCGTTGCATGACAGTAACCAGTTTATCTGCGCTCACAGAATTGTCCATTGCATAAACAGGGGCTTGTATCACACTGTCATATGAATTTCCTCTTATTGTGTGGATATGTTGACCACCACTGTCTGCTGCAACACTCCTATTGACGTCTTGGTTCACTGGAGCAGACGTTAGTGCATCCACCTTGCTTCCTTTTGATCTGACAGACACTTCTGAGCCTTCATATTTCTGTAGCACAGCCAATTGCGCATCAGCTACAGCGAGCCCAGCTTGTAGCTCTAACTCTTCTTTTTCTGCCTTTAGCTGTAGCTGTAGCGAAAGCTCATGTTTTTCCAAAGCCTGTTTTTTTCTCAATGTAGCTGACTTGGCTAACAGAGCAGCTCTTCCTAGCTCCACCTTTAAGCGTTCAGAACGAACTGACGATATAGCTGAAGCAGCACTGACAGACTTGGATTTTTTAGATTTCTTGGATGTGACTGACACACTGTCTTCAGGTCGAATCTCATCACTAACCTTTTTAGCTTCTTCTTGGCGTTGTTTAGCTGCCTCTATCCATGAATTCACTTCTTGTATGAAGTTAATGTGCTCACTATTTCTTGGCTCAAACCAACCCCTTTGGTCTGCTTTCATGTTCTCTTCACATCCTATCTGGCAGAATAGGTCTTTAACATGCTCGTTTATTTCACTGAATTCTTTCATCAGTCCATTATAGTTGGTTAACTTTTCTTTTCCGATAGTTTGCACATTGGCATCATCATCCATTAAAGCATGCAACTCGTTCCTTTTCCCAGTAAGTTGGCCCAGTATAGCTCTTCTTGAGGCTATTTTTGTTTGCAGATTATGCTCCAATGCTTTAAGTGTTGGTTTTACAACTCTCTTTACTTTTTCATTTTCCTCTTCCTCTGTTAGTTCTACTGTCTCCTCTGTTTCTGCTCCTGCCATGCTTACTTTGCAGTTGGTTGTTCCAGTAATTACACAGATCCCATTTGCTAACCAACAGTCAATGCAAACAGCAAGCGAGCCTCAGTGAGATAGCTTCTCTCCACTTGCTAGCTAAGATGTTAGCTTATTACTCACGAGTCACTTGTTGCCTCCGTAGGCTAACTGAGGATATTCTTTCAGGTCCATCTTTGAATCTTGAATGTGCTCCACTTTCCACAAACCTCTCCACAGGCTCCTTGTCCAATGTCCAGCAGGTTTTCTTACTAATGTAGAGGTTTGAATTAGTGCTTGGTAACTTGCAATGGCTTACTCAGCTTGGCACTTAGTTACTTCCACAGGCAGTGTCTGCCGCTAGTCCAGCTACACAGGTCAACAAAATCCACTCTGGAAACGTTTTTGTGGTAAAGAAAAAATATAAAAAATCTTCTGGTTTATTTCTTGTATCCAAGGATCCACAAAATTATGAAGACTGGAGCTGACTAACACTAATACACTTGGTGTAACTTTAACAGTAGCAGTAGCAGTAGCTGTAGCAGGTAAGAAAACCGTGTGCTTCTCCAGCTCCAAGCACCGACTGAATCATCTCTGTGTCCACCAAAACAGACGCACGTGCGGTCTTAAAGGGGAAGCAGCCCTGTTATAAAAACATTTACCAAATCACATGAAAGATGAATTTTAGCATATTTTCAACATTTTGACCACAATATGAACTTATAAATGAAATTATGTATCATTAAATCCTATATTTTTATACTGTCAACTTATTTATCTTTTTTAACACATTTCAATCATGTTAACTGTATTCATAACCATGAACTATTCTTCCGCCGCTACACTTACTTGCTGTATTTTTCATGACAATCTTTTTATTGGTTGCAGAATTTGCATAAGGAAAGCCCCTGGTGGATGAAAGCATGTCTTACTTCTTTGCTGGTCTTGATTCTGTCTGTTCAGTCTCATAAAAAATATCCCAACCTGTTTTCTTTTAATACAAATGTGTTCACTCTCAACAAGAATCTTTACAGTCCCTCAGATCTGTGGTTCAGCCCCGCATCATCCCTCACTCTCTCGACAGTTTCCTACACAACCCACCATCCTATCCTCTGAATGTAGGCGTACAAAGCCCCAAACAACATCTGTTCAGCTCTTTGGCAGATGTGTGCATGTGGTGACCTTAGTTGATTTCCAACCCAGTAGCAAAAAAAATGTGTAGAATCAGTTTTGTAACATATTTTTTTTTATTAAAGTATCTTAAACAGCAAATCACAAAACAACACCAATGGCATTTAACAACTAAATTCATGCTCACCATGTTTTGTGTTTTAGTTTAGCATGTTCACATTTGCAAAGTATCCCCCAGTACAGCAGAGGCTGTTGGGAATAATAATGAGTTTTCTGGTAATAAAAAAGATGATCACAGCATCGTCAAAGTCATTAAAATTCACCATGAAGGGAAAATTAATGTTTGTATTAAATGTCATGGCAATCAATCCCCTTGCCTGACATTTTACTTTAAAAAAAAAATAAAATAAATAAGCTTACACATCAGGAAAACTCAGAGGACCCTCAAATATTGAGAACCTTGTGTCCTTGTCATTATCATTCATAAAAAAATTCATTGCAATCCACTATTTTATGTCAAGACACTCCAGTCCAGGCAAATGTGAGGCACGAACAGACTTGAATTGCTATTCAGCAAACTATTAAACCTCTGATTCCTTAAGCCATGCGAATTATCACACATATATATCATTATAACTGATTTATTACTTGCAGTGGACTGAACTCAGAGTTTTAAAAACCATGAAGTATAAGCAGACAAAGGGACAAAAAACTGGCAAAATAACAACTCCAATGTTGCAGAGTCCCGAGATGCTCTGAATAACATGTTCTTTTAGAAATGGGATTTTTTTTTTCCAAGCAACTACACAATTTTTCATCCCAAAGAAGGGCTTTGAAAAACAGACAAAAACTGTTCAGCTCTTTGGCAGATGTGTGCATGTGGTGACCTTAGTTGATTTCCAACCCAGTAGCAAAAAAAAATGTGTAGAATCAGTTTTGTAACATATTTTTTTGTTCATTCAGACCTTGAAGGTATTGAAAAACTGGCTGCAGCACATCTGAAGAAAAATGAATCATTTACTAAAAAAACATATCCAAAGCTCTCAAGTGTATTACAAAGAGATTTCAGCTTTTTGTGAGTTTTTGTTCAGTGAGTCATCACTTTGGTAGTAAAAACTGTAATTTGACAAAAAATATACAAAGGTTTCTGACCTTTTTATGTGTCAAAGGCAAATTTGTAATCTTACTAAGGCTGAGTGTTACACCTCTTCCAGCCTTACTGTAAGCTGGGTTATAAATTGCTGGCAAGCAAAAAGACACCATAAAGGACAAGTTCAGGTTTTCTGAAGTGAAGAGGTATGAGTTGTGTAAACTCAACTCAAATCAACTCAACTAAGCCTAACTCAACTTAACCTAACTAATTTAACTCAATTCAACCCAACCAGTTCAACTTATCTCAACTCAATTTAACTCAACATAACTCAATCTAACTCAAATTAGCCCAACTCAGCTCAGCTCTTCAATAACTGAAATATTGCACATTGTTCAAAGAAACATTAATTAGAGCAGAATCATTGAGGTGAACAAGTCAAGGAGCAATAGTGAAGTGTCCCTTTGAAATGGTCACCAGGGAAACACGTACAAAAACAACTAGGAAAATACAACAAAAGCACAGTGGGTACTAAAAGTGGGTACTTAATGTCAGTGTATAGTGTTGTTGCATGTCCAGTCCTCATTATAAGTATGTGTGTAAGGGAAAGGGTCCAGTGGGTTTTGGGAATGGGGGCCTGTATGGGAGCCAGTCTGAGATGGTGAGGATTGGAGTGGTGGAGGTCAATAGCAGCATGTAGGGTATTTAAGAGCCTCATAGCTCAGGGAAAAGAGCTGTTACAGGACTGTATTGTGATGGTCTTTGTGCTGCAAACCTCCTGCCTAATGGGTCAGGGGGAGGGGTATAGGTTCTTCATAAGGCTAGAAGCTCAGATACACAGCATGACTAGACTGTACAGAAAAGATCCATCTTGTTGGATATGGTCTTATTTGCTTTTGTAGGTCAAATGGAGGTTTCATGTTTACTAAAATGTTATTTTCTGGTTAATTTATGTTGGAAACCTTTGATTTTTGCAGGCCTAAATTGCTCTTCTCATCACTTTCCCACTATTATGAGGTGGTTCATAAACAGTAAATGCTTATTTTTGCAGTATGAGTGTTAATTTCTTAAGTTAACTTTCAGAGATAATCACTGCAGGGCATACAGACTTCGTCCTTTTAAACATATGCTTGTTTGATGCTGACAGAGGGCAGATACTGAGGTTACTGTCTGCTCTGTCTGATGTCTGAAAGCTGAAGTCGATGTTGCTCTGTGTGGAGCGAGACAGATTTAGTGAGGCTGCTGCTGTGTATCTATATGGTGATTTAAAACACACCAAACAGCCTTGATGCAGCTTGCTGACGGTGCAACAGCAGGGAACCAGTGTCACAGGATAGACGGATTGTGATAAAGCATCTGTTTCCATATATTTGATCTTGCTGGATGAAGAATAGGGACTTTGGCCACTGTGGATGATTAGAAGAAGCTGGGTACTAGGAAAGAGGATGGTAAGGCAGTCAGTGGATGTAAGTCAGACAAACTCGCTTTCAATTATTTTCTGATGTTTGCATTTTGGGGGGAGAGGGGTACACTTCCAGAAATGTGGTGCTATCTTTAATCATTAACTTTGAGATGGACCTACTTTGAGATGACTGTATGAATGTTGGCTTCTTACCACTCTGAGTTTGAGATCTCTTAAACTAAGCTTTTCTATAACCTCACATACATCAGAAAAGGAAGACTCTTACCAGCTGTAGCCAAATGTTGGTTGTCAAAACTTGATTCTTCTCATCCTGTAAGAAAATCAGGATATTTATGAATATTTTTAATACAATATGCAGGCTGTAGTTATGAGAACAAACTGACTGTTGAGATATTTCTCTGTTTAATTGCGTAACTCACAATGTTCAGCTGATTAAGCGTTTTGGAGCTCAGTGAGCTTCTGTAAAGATCAGCCTGTTTCTTTATCAGCACTGTTCAAGCACTCTGCGACTCCTACACTTATCATGTTTGATTTAGAAGCACCCAGACAAATCAATGCAGATATTTTCATGCCAGTTAAACACTTGAGCACCTAAAATGAAGTACAGTCACTGAAATTATCATAATGGTAAAACATGAATATTTTGATGGATGATAATGGGTTTTAGCTGCAAAGTGGGAAAACAAGGATAATCACTGTAATAATTGATGAAAACAAAAAGTGACTCATCATAAGCCCATTTATTTCTTTATTTATGCAAATTATTTTCTGAGTTTCCTTTATGACATACCACATCCATGATCTGCATCAGAGTGAGGCCAAAGTTCACAGTCAGAGCCTGGGAGTCATTTTCTACTGGTCTCACAAGCGGGTTGTATCCTTGCATCAGTTCTTTGTACAGCCTTTGCTGATTCGGCCCCTGAAGAGACTCTACGGGGGAAAGACAAAGAGACAAGATAGACAAAGTTGGACAGAAAGAAAACTTTGTATTTCATATTTCTACTGATTCACTACAAACAGTTCTGGTTCAGAAGAAAACCATTGAACAGAGTCCAACATTGGAGTAACTGATTCTTAACATCTTCTTTTCCATTTCACCCCTTTGTTTCTATCAGCAATGCTCACTTTCTTTTTTTTCAAGATGTAATTTCGAGTTTTTACTGATCAAGGATGGGATAGGGATAAAGCAGGAAACAGGAGAGGCTGCTGAACAGGGGCTGCACCACCTGCATACATAGGGTGCAATGGGACTAACAGGCCATCAGCACCCTAATACTGACCTCCTTTGCCTTGACTGCTGCTGCTTTTTTTTTTATATCCAATGTAACAATAATAGGCCATCATTTTAAAGCTCACAGTTTGGAAAAGAATATTAAAATTTTTGACATGATACATTTTTAGGAACCACCCACAAAGCTACTGATGACCCTTTCTGGAAGTGCTGTGTGTTATGAAGAACCTGCTGATTATCACACACCAGAGGAATTCATCTAGAGGCCAAACTTAAGTCCAGTGTGACACACTCCTCTCTGTTTGTTTACAGGAAGCTTAGAAAGTTCTGCCAAATCTTGAGCGCACTTTAGGGACAAGGTTTTCTGAAACATTTCAGCTTGTTTGTTCAATGAGACCCTTGATAAGCTCCTTAAGATTTTGCCTGGTGTGACTGGGAGCTCTTCTTCTTTGCATAAAAAGGAATCAGTTGAGGTGGTTTGGGCATCTTTTTAAGTTCCCTGGACACCTCTGAGTGCATTCAACTAAGGGAAAACCAAGGGATAGGCCCAGAGCTTGCTGGAGGGATTATATATCCCACCTCACCTGGGAACACCTTGGGATCCTGGATAAGCGGAGGAAAATGTATGGATGGTCGGAATATTTGATATTGGTATCTTAAGACTAAATGGCCTGAGTGTCAGACACACATTGTTACTTACACCAAACTTTTATATGCACTCATACTGCTGCACAGTTTCATCTTTTTAAATACAAACGCAACTTAATAACAATACAATTGTGCAGAAGCTCTGAAATTTAATCTTCAGGGTCCCCCCATGATAAATGACAATATTTTCAAGTCCCCATTCCCCCTGTTGTACACATCCACATGTTTGTGTATTTTTAATGAGTATGTGCCCCAAAAAACATACTTTCCTCACAAAAATTCCTGTATATTTGACACTTTATGCTTCATTCCCTTTTCTCCTATGTCTTGCATTACATAATCATTCCTGGGTATCTGGATCATTACTCTCAGGCTGTGTTTCTCATGTCTCTGGTATCCAATCAAGAACCACTCCAGTTTGACCTTTTAACCTGTAATCTGTAACTCAACACTCCTGTCTGAGGCCCTCTCAGACACTAGGGGCTGCAGGTCCACCTCTAACCTGAGCCACACGGGTTGTAAAATTTTTCTGCACCAACACCTCCTACTCCAAACTTTTGCATTTCATTTAATGTTTGGCAAACTCTTTTTAGGCACTGAAAGCACCATAGTCCTTCAGCCAAATTAGGTTATCCTCACACAGCGTATGGTGCTGAAACGCTTGCTGCCTGTACATTTCAATCATCCAAATACAAAACCTGGACCCCTTTCATCTCCCTGTGCAATCTCAAATCAGACTGGCCCCTCATTTTAACACACTCTCATCTCCCCTCATGAGTTATAGAGCCTTTTTGGCAGCACTTTTTCACTTCACTAATGGACAAACCCCAATTACCCACAACCACCTATGAGAAGCACATTATCCCAATGATTTGGCAGAGAGCTTGTCGTCTCTCGACATCTTCACATTCCTCTGCTTTCTGCCACATCCGGTTCTTTCAAAAAATATAAAAAAGACAAACAAAAAGATTGGCTGAAAGCTACCCTTTGTCCACTGCTGAATACTCCTCCCAATCCCACAATAATCAAATTTCACTTTGAGCAGCAGCAAGATGACATCAGTAAGTGTTATTCTCCTGGGATTTTTCTGTAACACACCCCAGCACATTTCCAGCAATCAGATCTCATGAAGAACACTTCCAATATGCTGTTAGCATGTTGCTGAAAGAGCCATGAAGAGAGAAAGCTGAGACTTTCAACTCCTTAATCAAATAAAAGAAGCTTTAAGAGACAAACAAGGGTTTCAAGTCATTTGCTCAGAGTTGGATGTTCATGTACGAGCACTCGCTAATATGATTTATCTCCATTTGTCACTCAATACACCAGTCTTAAGGGAGCCTCTGCCTATGAGTGCAGCCTACAGATCAAAAAGCTGAACTTACAAACTAAGGTGCCGTAAGACTGTAAGTCTGTCTTATGGGTCTTGTAAATCATGCAGTAAATCATAAAGGTTTTCACTTCATTGCTGTGTCACCATAGCAACTGAATGAATTTACTAATCAAGCACCACTAGAGCATGTTTCCTGGGGCAGGTCATACTAATTGTACACAACTTTACTTTTCTCCTGCTTTGATTAACTTTGGTGGTATTTTTTTTTGCAGAATATTCTTGTTTTCTCTTCCTGATGTCCTGCTGTTACTCAAACACAACACGCTCTGTGATTTACAGAGTTAGCAAAACTCCTCTGAGATGACAAAGTTTCCTTTTGAACTCTGTTTGCAGTGGGTCACAGAAGTGAGATGCAAGTCGGTGTCTTGGCTTGAAAATGAGAATTTGCAGGCAGAAAACAAGTGTGTCTACAAAACAAATCTTATAAGGATGCAGTGAACATGTTTGCAAACAAAGCTTAGGAAGTCGATAGAAAACTTTGGTGCAGAAAAAAAAGGAGTGAAAAACCACCAGAGACAAAAACGTTTTTTTTAGAACACCATTTTCAATATTATCACGGCTTTTGCCACACACTATCATTAAATTTAATTATTTGAGTTTCAGAGGAGGTCCAGGTAAAATTGATGGGGCACCGCTCGCCTCTAGGCTTGCATTAATTAACATGTACCAAAATATGGTTTTCCAGCTGCTTTCAAATTAGCGTGGTGTGACTTTTACAGTGTGTATCCTGCATCTCAAATTGGATGCAATTAACTCCCCATCACTGTAGGGGTGCACCTTTGACTGGCTAGCTCATAAATAATTCTGTGAAATTATGGTTCGCCAAATCTCTGGCACAACTTTGAGGAAAATTTGGACAAGACCCAAAATTAAAGTAAAAAAAAGTAACTGAGAAAAACCTCAAATTTATGCAGATTTTTGCTGTCCCTCTAAAGAAAGTGTTGTTTTCTTTCCTGAAGTCTTTTAGCAGGACACCCAACCAGTGGCAGTGTGTAGTATTTGCACGAGAATGAATGTACAGAAACATATGAAAGCAAACAAGACCATCAGTGGCAAAATTGATGATTTTTATGCTATATATTTTTATGCCAGAAACCCATGAGAGGGGGAGCCACCAAGGAAAATAAGGGCATGTTTTTACAGTGTCACAAAAAAGTCTGCAGGATAGGATTTATTGACAGGAGACACTACTTCAAAATATAGAGGACAAGGTAAGTAAAGGCTGCTTCATCCACAGGGAGCGACAAAATTGACCAATACTGAAAGTTGCGACACAGTATGAGGACAACAAGAACAGCATAACTCTGCTTTCAGAGAAATCCACAACAGTCCAAAGCCCTATTCAGTCTCTATATAAATGACTTTATGTGGTTCTTGCTGTGCTCTTGGACTGACCCTCAATCTGTCCTTGTCATTCAGACACAGGCTCACACATGCACACGCACACAGAGGGAACATGCCAACCCTCTTACAAAAGCTGCACTGTGACATTACAACCAGTTTTTTTTAACATTGTATACAACATGCAGATCAATGCTTTTACTATCCTCATCCCTATCTACAATCACCGTCCACAAGTTTCCATTAAAGGTAACCATGAGACTGTAACAGCAAAAACTGCACATCTAAACAGACATTTCAGGAACAAAGTGGACCTTGAGTTTTAGCAATTGCACCATGGAGCAGCATGAAACGTCTTTCAAGTTTGAACAGCCAAGACATTCCAACAGTTGAAGCGGTTACCTCAAATTCAAATGCAAATTTTACTATTCACTCTGATACACAGTCAGACAGCTTCATTCAGCCTCGGCACCCTAAAAACAACTGAGTGAGTGAGGTCTGTTTGTGTGTCCAAGTGAACAGAGCTGGAAAGGAGAGGAGTGAGAGCTCTTTCATCTCATGCACATTTTTTATTTATTTTTATTTTCAGGTTTTAAGATGAATTTACATTTATTGCAACGTGGAAGTTAATTGCATGGATATGAGCCATTTTCGCCAGCTTGCTAAAACCATGTGGTAGCAAGTGCCACATTTCTGTGTACAGGTCAGGTGGGGCTGGTTGTCACACACTTGCTCAAGTGAGGCTTCTGGTTAGAAAAAAGTTGCATATATTATGTAGGCTTCTCATGACTGATTTGGTCAAATCAGTTCAGTATTACCATGATTTGACATACCATGTGATGAAACACAATCACACACACGCTCTCTTCTCTCTCTCTTTAATAGCACAGTTCAACTCAACTAAAGAGGATAATACAAGAGCAAAGGCAAGTGTTGAACTGTAAGGGTTGCTGCTGATTCAACAATTATTACTTTTTGTATCAATGGCACAAAAGTTGAAAGTTATAGACGCTTTTGCAAGATTTTTTCACAACAGATAACTGTGTCAGAATGTTTTTGGTGGGTAGTAACTTGCAGTTAAATCTATTTACAAGAATAAAAATGGATACCTTTTTCAGAGCAAGACTTAAAGCTTTTTCCTAATGAGGGAGTGACCACTGTGGGATTAAGCCTATTTATTATGAGTAAAAGTATAAAAGTCAACCCGGTCTCCCCTATTAATGAATAGATTAGCAACAAACCAGAGCGATAATCTTGCCAACAAAAAAAAAATCGGCGTTTTGCACAACAGGTAGGTGATTTAATTCAAGCTGTCAAGTCTAAACAGTCTAGGTGAATTGCACACATGGACCAAACACACACACACATAATGCTGCCCCTAACTTAACATATCCTTTATTGTTGTTGTTCGCTTAAAATATACAAGACTATATACCAACACGAGCGCGTGGTGTTACCTACCTTTAATTGTGAGCGAGCTCAACATAAGAAAAAACAGATACTTCGGGAAGTCCATGTTGCCTGATAGTCTACCGAGCGAAGAGTGAGAGCAGAGGGACTCCTCAGTTTATCTATGAACCTGACGGGATGCGGGGATGTGCGTGTGTGTGTGTGTGTGTGTGTGGTCCATGGGGTTAGCCCATTAAATAACTCCTCCTCTTAATGAATAGCCTGGCTGCTGTTTGGCAGGTCTGCACGGTTAGATTTGTTGCAGCATTTACACTGTACCCGCAGTAGTTTGTCTCACTGATTGAACAAATCGACAGATAGGCGACTATGATATAACACTGTAGCCTGTTGTGTAAATTGTATGAAGGAAGTGTCGATTCAGTCTCCATTTTCAGGTGCTAAAAGTGCTTATTTTCCCACCTTGCATCTCCTACACTTGCACTGTTATATTATGATAGGTGCATACCAGTAAACTTGACTGAGAGGTACCACAGAAAGTCAAAAACTTATTTAGTCTCTAAATCCGCCAATAAGCTGCATTATGTATTATTTTTTTTAACATAGTGAGTTTTAAGAGTCTGGGGTGCACCACTAAAAAGTTGTGAAGCAGTCAGACTTCGACAAGGTGACATCTGGTGGTCATTGAGAAGAGTTACACTTTTAGTTTTGTAATGCAGTTACCTCAGAGTCCAATATTTTCAAATGAGCTAAGTATCAAACATATGAGCATATTGCTCCATAAATCTATTCTTTTTTTATATTCAATTTATTTTCCTTTTTTGAGCAGTGACAAACACCATGATGCCCAAGTGAAATCCCCCTGGGTTCTGTCCACAATATTTATCTCACCCAGCACTCTGTGAAAACACAACAATACAATTAGGCAAAAACTATGCTTTTTGGGTTAAACTTTAAGATTTAAAGCTCCTAACAGGAGTTTTTTATGTTAATGAAACACTCTAAATTTTATATTGATGCCTTTTTATGATATCCAAAAGCCACCAGCAGTCATGAGTGACAAGACTGAAAATTTGTTTACCATCATTTTTAAAGCCTGAAACTGTTTTGGAGGGTTAAGTGTCAGCCTTGCAGTTAAGGAAAGAGTCCGATTTTCACAGTTGCTATATAAAATACTCACAATACACATGCCCTTTTATAGTCTGCAAGATGATATACACTTCAGCATGTAGATGACATGATTAGCAATGACCAAAACAGACAAATTGAAAGTTCCTCACAGAAGGTGTAATGAAACACCAGGACATTTGGGGTAACTCTCTGTGGGAGTGAATGTCTAGTTTTGTTGTGCTTCTTTTAACTGCAAAACTCTCCAATACCTGTCATCCAAGGGCACTGCTTGATATGTCACTTTTCTGCCTCAGTTGAGGCACATATACTATTGAAATAATATACTTAATCAGTTTTAGTCTGTGTGTCAAGGTCTGACAGTGTTATAGTTGTCTTTTGGCAGTTGGTAAATATCAGGCCAATAAATTATTAATAAAACATTAAAAACTCTCTTTAAGATGCCATATATATTTATTTTATATATATATTTTCTTCTCTTCTTACATTAAAAACAGCCATTTGATGTATGTTCACTCAGAGCATATCTCATAGAGTCCTTCTAAACAGCTTTAAAACTGTTTAAAGCTTCCCTTTTTACTACCTCTGCATTAGCTGTTATGAGCATGAATATGCTTTATACGATGTCCAATACCAGCACACGTTTACTTTAATACATAGTTGCTATTGATGTTGTCAACTTGGATTTAACAACATCATATATTCTGCTGTTGATGGAGACGATAAACTTTATTGAAAGTTCCAGTATGTGTACTCTGCATGTTTAGCCCTATATTAAATCAGCCTGTCACACACACACTATGGTTCAGCACACTCAGCCAGGCTTTAATCAGTTTGATAAATAGCCCAGTCTCAGTCAATGTACACACAAGTTCAAATGCAGCAAGACTCCCAGCAAACCTCGTTCATTATCTGTTGTTTGAATGATGTGATAACAGGTGCACAGCCTTAACTACAGGTGCGAATGGCCACTATGAGCAATACGAAGATAAATAACAGGATTAAGGCATTATATTTTACTGCCAGTAGCTGTAATGATGCTTTTTTTTCTCAAATACTGTATGCATTCAGTTCTCCTCAATGAGGTGTTGCCATTCTAATACTTTTAATAATAAAAACTGGTGTTTTAATAAGCTTTTCTAAAAATTATAACAGAATTTATATTGCACACTCACCAGTTAATATACTGTCATGTGTGGGGGCAACACACATCATCATTAACATTGGTTATGAGCAGCTGCACTGACAAGGGAGCCTGCAGTGTCAGCATATTGTTACTTTGAAGGCAACTTAAAGCTTCCTGAACTGAGTTTTGTGTTAATTTTGCAGTCCTTTTTGGCCAAAGTTGTGAGCCTATATCTTACTTTAATCATGTGCAATAAGTGGTCTTTGACAAACATCTCACCCTGTAACTGGCAAAAGTTATATCACTCGATTATTTGCTGTGGGTGATGAAAAATTTCGTTTCAAAGCTATCTGAGGACAGCCCCGTGGTAGAGGTTTCAAAAATTGAAATAAGGCTTATAATAGAAAAATAGTCACTCCATACATTGATAGACTCAAATAGAGAGGCGTCCGTATTTGTTGGTCTGTTTTATCACCAGCTAGAAATTCCTCATATTGGTTTGAAGACAATGGCAAGTAAAAAAGAAAAAAAAAAGTCTAGCATGCTCCATCTTATCACGGTCAAACAGAGATTTTTATGATACAAAGGTTTGCTTTCTGAAATTTGTAAATGTGCCTTCAAGTCCGAACTCAGGGTGACACTTATTCTGCACTGTGATTGGTGGATGAGGCGGACGGGCGGAAAAGAGGGCGGTAACCAGGAAGAGGAGTTGCAGAAAGATGCTTCCTCTGCACCCAGTACGCCTCTGTTAAGTTTAAGCCTTTAGGACAAGGGAACTGAGGAGGAGTGTTGGATACACACACGGTGTCCAACGCGAAGCCAAAAATGGGAACTGTGCGGAAACGAAAAGATGTTCGGTCGACAACACAAACTAGGTTTGTACACTTAATGTAAGGTTAAAGCGATGTTAGCTTTTAGCCGCTCAGTCAGGAAAGCAGTTGTTACAATCAAAAAGTGCAAGGAGTTATTGAGTTACTAACTTGGCAAACTCTTTCTAACTCTTGTTACACATACAAAATAATGTCCCACTGTTTGTAAGCGTTCTGTGAACGGCGCGGCGGCGTTTAAAGTCAACGGTTTGACGCGGTAAAGAAAGTGAACAGACGCGGCATCGCGGACTTGATGCGGAATTAAGTTTCAACTAATATTATAAAAACGTACCTGAGTTAGAGGCTAATGCTCTTATTTATCAGGCCATTTTGAAGTTTGTTGGGCTACATACATTAATGCTCCAGCGTTTGCACGTGACAGACGTGAATAGATACTGACAGCTCGTGGTCACCTTCCTCTTGTCTGCAGCCGGTCTCTGACGTTCCCGCTCCTTGTCCTGCTGTCACATGACTGTGGGTCAGCTGACTGGTAGGAGTTGAAGGACAGGTCGAGCTTTTAAGCACCATCCCTTATCAGGCCAATTTACACACAAGCCACGGTAGACATAAAGCAGAAGATGCTGACTTTGAAAATAAGCAAACAGAGAGCTAAATAAACCTACAATTCAGCTGATAGGTGTTTGGTTTTTAAGGTTTTGACTGGGTGCAAATGTGTTAAGAAACTGCAGGGTGCAGATTACATACAGCAGAATATAAAGCAGGTTTACAGTAACCTGGCAACTTTAATATAGAAGATAGCTGTTGTGTTCAATATGCTCTCCGTAGCCCAAAGGTTAACATTCACCCTCCTCCCCTTACTTAAGTGTTCCCAGTTAAATTTGACTCTCGACTGACCTGTCTATTTTAACTGCTCTTAAATTAACACAAAGTCCATTAATCACCACCAAATCTTTATTTAACACTCTCTTTAGCTGTCAAAAATGTCTCAGAGGAGTGGTTAACATGATTAACTGCAGTGAAAATACAAACAGACACTGAAAATGAACATGTAAGTTAAAAAAGAAACGAAAAACCAGAAACCAAATACTTTAACATAAAGTTGTGTGTGTGTGTGTGTGTGTGGGGGGGGGGGGGGGGTGTTCTCATCTGATGGATTAATATAATTAATATACTGGGAACACCACAGATGTTACAAAGTTGACTAAAACACTCAAAATAAGTGGTCATCATCACTTTTATATGTTCAAGTGCACAGTATGGAGGATATCATAAGGTCTTGAGGCAATCAGATGTAAAATACATTATGAGTGTTTGAAGTTGTAAATAAGTCAGAATTAATTTTAATTTACAATTTCATGAGTTGAAGTAAAATGAGCTAATATTTGGCTAGTGATTTTCCCCGTCAAAAACTCCATATGCATGTTGCTCCAAAACTAATGTCTGTTTGCTGAGTCTTATTCTAAACAGAAAGATCATTAGTCATATAAGTGAAAACGGAGGAGGAGTCTCAGGCAGGCACTAACATGACAGCTTTATCAATAGTCCGTCGTCTATATGTTTTCCTATTGTTAACAGGTAGCCTTCTGTTTACTTTGGCTAACAGGCTGCGCTGAAGAGCACATCATGTATTGAAGCTCACATGTCCTTCTGGTGTCCCTGCACATACACTGAACTATGGCTACTGTGTTCAGGGTACCATAGGAAATTGTACAGCTCCACACAAAGCACCACAAGTTGAACAGGTCTGCAAGGACTGGTGTAAACTGGTGCTGGTGTGAACAATATCTGATTCACTGGTGCTTTAGGAAAAAAGAAGAAAAGAACTTTCCCTTCGCATATACATTAGCGCAGCACTTTAATGCCTATAACGCGAAGGTGGTGGCCTTGTACATGCAGTGGCTATTCAGTATTCCCAACATGTGCGTTAACAACGACCCCTTGCTGCCCTCTGTTTTTGTGATGTTGCTTTATTATAATGAATTACAGTCACTGTAAATATGTTTACAGCACCCCCGGTGGTTTAAAGGAGGGAAAGTCTCATGAGGGAAATCAGCGCTTCCACTCTGACCTGTGGTGCTGTCTGACTCTGCAGAACTGGATACTGGACTTTGGAAGGCCCATAGTTATGGTAAGAAGGATCACATAATCAATACAATGTGCAGTTTTTGCACAGAATGTAATAAAACTGATGGCTCCTCTTTACTCCATGGAGCAATAAATAAACGGCAGGATGTTACATGTTTTTTTTTTATTGATGTATTAGATTGTCCTTCCTCTTGATTGGTTCCCCCTGAACAAGCCCAGTGCTGGAGACTATTTCCACATGGCCTACAATGTTATAACACCGTTCCTAATGCTGAAGGTAAGTCTTACTAAAGAGTGATAGTTTAAAAATTGTTTATGTTCACATAAAAACTTGATCGATTCACTTATTGTATCCTGGAACATTTATGGAATACAGCAGGTATCCCAAGTGAAACTACAAATTACAGAGCCCCCCCTTGTGGCTGCAGTGTAGGTCTAAATCCTATTGTATATTATTGTGCGAATTTATACTCAAGTCTTAAATTTTTGGTTTAAAGAAGATGACAGCTCTAGCAACGGATGCAGCGGGAGAAAACTCAACTAACACTGTCAGAAGAGTCATTTGACTTAACGTAATCATGAGTATGTACCTTAAACCGACACAAGTATCTTTACTGCTGTGGACTTGAGAGGTCTGTGCTAGGTATAGCTGGTTACTGTAGTGCTGTCAGTGCTGCTGCTCTACCAGCAGGATTGTTTGTGCACAAGCCTCAGTTCCATCAGTGCAATAGGTTAGCGCCCATCGGGGAGGTATTTTGGCATCAAATCTGACAACATGTGGACATGAAGGAACAATATCCATCCAGCGTAAATCCAATGTGAGTTTTTATCTCAATTTTAGGTTTCCTATGGTCACGGGATAAATATTGAACAAGATTTTCAGTCATTTATTTTTTTAAGATTAAGGTATTAATCAGAGTAGGTTAGATTGAACTTTATTTATCCTTTTGGGAGTTCCCTCAAGAAAATTAAAAAGCACACTATGTCACCAAAAAAGGATCAAAATGAGTAAAAGAAAGGGTGACAGACAGTTGAAAAAGTAGGTTCAAACAGTTTAAGTTCTGAGTGCTGTCGAGCTACTGGAGAGGCAGCTGTCTCCTACAGCGCCATGGCAACAAGTGGATGCTGTGGATTTGCCATTTTCCTGTTAAAATCATGATAGCAATGGTGACTCAAACACTTCTAATCCAGATTTTAGTTACAATCAAGCAATTCTATAAGAAGTTTGGTGAAACAAACAGGTTATTTAAAACACAGTTATAAGTAATGGACATGGTTTTAAGACAAGAATCCAGGCACAACGACAAAGACCTGCCTACCCCTAAATGTGGACACATCGCCACACTGATGTGAGTTTAGACGAATGGACTGAGAGCAGGATGGGTATTTGAAATTTCCTTCAGGGATGGATATCAACATTTGGACTGTTATACATGTGATAAATCTGATTCCTTAAGATGTTTGCAGCTATGGATATTTTTTTTAACAAAAAATGTGTTTCTACATCTTTCAGCTGATTGAGCGCAGCCCCCGGCCGCTGCGTCGCTCAGTGGTCTACCTCTGCATCATCACCTTTGTCATGGGTGCCAGCATCCACCTGGTGGGAGACTCCATCAACCATCGGCTCATCCTGAGTGGCTACCAGCTCCACCTGTCAGTCAGAGAGAACCCCATCATCAAAGACCTCAAACCCACCTCACTGGTAAATACAGACTTTAATTTCTACCTTTTGAGTCGTTTATTCCCTGATTGAAACACGCAGGATACATTTTTTAGCTGTTTACATTTGGCTTGTTGGTGATGAAGCTACTTGTCTCTTGTGTAACCCGTGTTACAGTATCATTTAATGTGTTGGTGCTTACTCTTCATAAACATCATTGTTATATTTTCTTGGTTGCTCTGCCACAAAGAACAAACTTATTCACCGTTGTTTGATCAGAGTCTCTCCTGTTGGAAAGCAGTGATGTGTGTTTTTTTTAAGCACTACTAGTTCTGTCACATCTTTCTTGGTCACCCTGATCTCCACATTAAAAGTTTTTACTTGTGATTGGTGTGTTTTAATATTAGATTATATCTAGATTAGATAGCACTGTAGTAATCCTTTTGGGAAGGTTCCCTCAAGGAAATTAAAAATTACTAACAAGATGTTAACGACACAAGGGATAGAATAGAAGACAGTGGGTCTATTAGAGTGTGTAGTCAATTAACATGCACTGGAGTAACCAGATTACTGTGAAAATGTATCTCAGGGACAGCTGTGATGAATCATGTTTCGTTATCCTGATATAACCTGATAACCTCAAACCCATCCTTTACTAACTATTTTCTACCTCGCCCAGATCATACCTGGACCAAGACTGTCGTTTAAAAAGTGAAACTTACAAAAGTGACCTTTTCAGGGACAACTTTCACTGAATCTGGAGAGATTTTTGTTTTGATTTTTCTTCGGAACATTTTGAGCTGACAGCTCAGGTCAGTACAGAGTGCTTCGTCAGAGAATTGACAACTACTGGCACCTTAAGTGTGACCTTGTGCTGAGTTTTTATCACACTGCAGACTTTTTTCTCACCTTTTTATCTTCAGATGCAACTCAAAAGGCTTCAATAGATGTGCTGCTAAGTATTATTTGGGTTTCTTAAGCCTCAAAGACATTTGGAAACTTTTGGTTTTCTTGGTAGTTAGAAAAGCAGCTCAGCACAGAGAAACGACCAAGAAGTCTTTGCTAGGGTACATCTAAACTCTACTTTGTGTCCTTGAATTTGGTGATCTCTGAATTTTTGGTTGACTTGTTAGATTTGGTACCAAGGTAAGTCACATGAAAGAAACTCTAGGTTTTGAGTATCTAGGTTTTAGGGTGTATGAGTTCAAACAAACAGTTTACATGTGTCTGTACATTAAAAACACAATGGCCTCCTATGTATTTCTTTATAAAGCTGTAGACTTTTCAACATCTTGCAGATCTAGTGTGTGTGTTCCAGACTTTGTACCACTCAACCAAGTCCAGGTAGTCAGCCAATAATCATTTACAACAGATTATTTCTCAGCAGTATAAGTCTCGTTCCATTCATTGTTGATAGAAACTCTTTTGAGATTAAAAACTATGTTATATTGATGTGTCCAACTTTGTTGAAACCAGGGCGATCAGGAAAAGATGGAGTGAAATAAATGGAGAAAACAACATGACCATGTACAGCTGCCTTTACAAGTTATTCCAGCATGATTATGAAGCTGCAGTGCACTTTTAAACACAGCCCTGAATTGCTATACTTTGTTTTCAGCTGGCAGATCTTATGACATGTGAAGGCTACATATATTATCAGTTTAATTAAATGTCTTTATTCCTTAACTTCTCTGTGTGGAGGAATCCACATGTGTAATGGCCCTGATTCAGTAGGTGGCACTGTTGTGTAAGGCAGTGTGGAGGACCTAATTTCTCCTTAAACCATGCAGAATGACATACATTAAGCTTTAACATGAAAACACTTCTGTTAATAGCATGTTTGCGATGATTTATGCTCATGAATATATAACCTTTCCTCACAGATCGACTCCTTTGAGCTGCTGTATTATTACGATGAACATCTGGGACACTTGATGTGGTATGTGTTTATGATAATTACGAGTGTAGGGCCGAAAAAGTGTTTACATTTAATGATGATTACTAGAACACAGCAGAGCATCTGATTGAATGCATTGCTGCAAACTAAAGCTAATTATCTCGTTTAAATGTTGTGGTATTTCATGTTGTTTTAGAAAACACAGCAAAAGAAATCAATAATAGAGTGAAAAGCTTTAAGACTGCAGCCGTTATAAGTGTGCTGAAATCTTTGGCTATTTTCCATCTCTAAATAAACACAGAACAAATTTTTGATAAGAAGACTGGGGAGGTCTTCACATCAGCTGTATGAAAGTCTGAGTGCTGACTAAGGAATGAGACAAAGAAAAGAGGAGTGGAAATGAAGGGATTCTTAGAAAAAGATTATTTATTATTGAGGAGGATGAGCTGCATCTCTATTTTCTTTCTGTGTCATCCTTTTCATTTAGAAGCAGTCAGGGGCAATACTGGCTGATAATGCCTCAACATTGTGCATTTCTAGGCAGCACACTGACAGGATTATTTATAGCTTACATTCTGCTGTAATAATGTGTTTCTGGTGAAGCTGTTTTGGGCACTGTGTTATTGTTCACAGCTGTCAACAAATCCATGAATAAGAACATTTCTGTGTGAGAAGTCTATGATGATAGACTTTGTTTTCTGATCAAACCAACTTCAAGCACATTGAGGTGATTTGGAATCCAAGTGTCTAAATCATATACAACTATAATATTTGCCTTTTTTTGTGTATCAAATCCCTGTCACAGCCCTAAACTGTTAAAATAAGACTAAAAAAATAACCTTTTAAAAAAGCAGCATGTTGCAGATGTATATTTTTTGGAGGCATTTGTAAGCTTTAGGGTTTGTGATAGGAAACAAGAGGAGAGTCTCTATTTAAAGTTGAATTTGGAGGTTGCAGCTCTTAATTAGGACCAAATGCATGTTCCTAGTTTATTTTCTATTCAAAGGTTCCATTAAAAATCCTGAGCACTGTGCCACTTAGACCTCTTTTGTGGTTTCAGGTACATCCCGTTCTTTATCATTCTGTTCATCTACTTCACTGGCTGCTTCATCAAAGCTGAAAAGCAGAAGACGATGCCCGTCTTTGGTTGGCTGCTGCTCGGACCAAGCGCTCTCTACTATTGGTCAGTCTTCTTACTCCTTATAAGGCCTTGGTAATGGTAATGCATCGGGCTTTTCATACGCATGAATTAAATCAAACATACAAAGAAACATGAGAAAGAAACATTTGATCATTCTCTTTACATAAGTCTTCCTTGTCAATTACACAGTGTTTTTCAAACTGTGATGTAATAATGTAACATAAAATCAGCAAATAATAATCAGTGAGCAAAGCATCAGTAACAGCACTTATGATATATGAAGATAATGATGTGAGGAGAAAGATGATTATGTTCTGTCTAGCCAATGACAATTCCTCTAATTAATCTGTCTTTCACTGTCAATGTATGAATGTGAGCGAGTGTGTTTTAGGCCAAACAGTTTCTTTCTTAGTCAAATGATTGACAGTTAACACGGTTTCGTCACAAATACGTCTGAAAGTTTGACAGAGCCCATTTGAGTAATGTTGTTTTATGCTGCATCGATTCAGTGCCTTTAAGAGACATATTTTATAACGACAAGAAAGAAAAGCCCCACTCAGATTCTTTTGTAACATTAAAGAGGTTTTTTATTTTCATCGTCACTCGTTGCGGAAATTCAAAAGGAAGGCGAGCGGCAGTGATGGAGAAGTAACAAAGGTGCTTTTACAATAAAGCGAAGACCTATTTGTGGTTTCATTTGGAGGGCAATTATTTTTCATCATAAACAAATTGTTCACTCAAGATTTTCTCTTCAAAACATGCTGCAGTATGTGAGGTCAGAAGTTTTCGTCTGTCTGCGCCACCGAGTCAATAAGTAATTCTCTCAGTTCGTGACGTCTTTGGCTTTTCTTTTTCTGTCTTACAGGTACCTGGTCACTGAAGGACAAATCACTGAGCTTTTCCTCCTCACATTTGTTGCCATGGTAATTATGGGGATATATCAAAGGCGCGAAGGTCACAGCCTGGACAGCAACGGCCTGTTCCTGCTCTACAGTTTCACTTTCACTCTGCTGATGGTGGGCCTGTGGGTGGCTTTTCTGTGGGATGATCCAGTGCTACGAAAAAAGTACCCCGGATTGGTTTATGTGCCAGAACCCTGGTCCTACTACACCTTACATATCAAGAGGGACCACTGAGGAACACATGTACACATTTGCATACAGGTCTGTGTCAGGGGAAAAATCCCAACAGCATCTCTTTGTATTTGTAAGATCTGAACAATGCATGTTGTCTCTCCTCAGCAGATTTGTGGTGACGCACTTGGAAATTTGGAGTTTGTTGATACACACCAACGTCACAGTTAAAAGTTTCTGCGGATGAATCAGAGAGCAGTTTTCTCTTATTTCTCTCTGTCTTTATCTGGATTGATGCTCACAGACTGAAACAAGTTTGTTTGACTTTACACAGGTGGTTAGATCTGAAAGTCGCTCAGATCTTTACATAAGAGATGAGAGGCTGACAACTCAATACTTTTGGTCAACACTGCCCTTCATTTGCATAATTGTAAATACATGCAGCGGATTAGTGGGAATAAATGAGCCTTTTAATTGCTCATGTCTCAGATGCCTATATTAGTTCAAAACTGGAGACAAATATGAGCTGAAATTTAACTTGGGTTACACTCAAGTAACTCAGACTTCTTAAAGACAGCATGAATCATCTGTTCTCAACATCTGAAATTGACTTGAACTGCTATATGTGACGCATATAAAAACACGTCATGTCTTCATCTAAACGAGAAAATAATCTCTTTGCTTCAGAATCCAGTCGCATATCACTTACTGATGTGAAGGCGATCTTTGACTTCTCAGAAGAATTGTGTTTTTTTTTCAGTTGAATGAAAGCTGCCCTTCTCCAGCATCTGTGAAAGAGAATGAAAACAGCAGCAGTTCATGACTGACAGGGTTGGCTGGAAATGCACAGACTTCATCATCATACTGGAGAGTTGTCATGGAAAAGTGGCTTTAAAAGAACATCTGGAGAATGATAAAAACAACATTGTGACAATTCAGAAACAAAGCTGTAAAAATCATGTAAATATCAGTTAAAAGAACAAAGTGGAACATTACAGAGCTGGAACTCAACAGGGGCTTCGAACAACAGCATCTGTTAGTTATTTAGGAAATAAGGTCCATAAAGGCGCAGGGTACTTAAAAAGTCTTGTTTTGAAGCAGGAACTAAGTAAAAGTTCGCTCAGGTATATAAAGTTTTACTCTTAGAGGTTACTGAGATGTATTTCAGTATTTATTTAGTCATGAGAATGACTTACTGATCCCGTTTCCATTCCTTTCATGGACATTGTTCTGTTTGATGTGTTTGTATTGAGCAACATGAAAGTGTTAACAGTGGAGTCTATTGTTCTGATGCTTTTACATTATTTAGGAGGTGGAGGAAACCTGAGCAGGTGACTTTAAAGCAGGCCTAAAAGGAAAAAAAAAATTATGGATTTGTTGATCTTTGTTACTGTCTATTGTTTTTTTTTTGTCAAAGATGATTATGTTGCTGATCAAATACTGTAAAGTTACTGGATCCTTACTGGTTAAATTTGTAATTTTTATATATTGATCTTAATAAAAAATACAAAACTGAGCATGTATTTCCTGATTATTGTCTTAATTTTCCTAGTGTGACCCTGAAAGTGTCTTTAGTCAGCTGTATTTACCTCTTTATTAGCATAAAAACTCCAGTACATGACATTGAATTGTGAACAACTCCTTGCATTGCCCCTGCAAATTGAGTAAATTGTGTAAAATCATTTTATGATTTCTTCTGATTTTAGAGTTATGTACTGTTTAATTATGTCTTCAGCACTTTTTCCTCTATTAACCTGCAGCTGTAATAATGGGTTTCTAGTCTGGGAACAAAAAAAACGCACACTTGTCTACCGTCTATCTATCCATCCATATGCATACATGAACACCACTACTGTATGATGATTGACCAGTTATAATCAACCCCTTCTTGTTATCAGAGACCAGGAAAGGGAAAGGATAATGCAGCACAGCACAGAGGATCTGGTATCTGTGTTGCCATAGCAACGCATATTAAATTGCATAGAGGATTACAGGTGGTGGACTTTGAACAGGGTGGAGAAACAGGTGACGTCTACTGCAGTCAATTGTCTCCTTCCTGGAACGAAACAGCAGGCAAAATGGTAAGAGGGAAAATTCTTTCTTTTCAGTCATTTTCATGTATTTTCTTGTGTAACAGTAATTTATACCTGAATATTTGACATGTAATACATGTCTGTGTTTATCATACAGGCCAAATTCTTCACACCAGCTCAAATCAACGGTAAGAGGATTTCACAGCACAACATGTCGTGTATCTGAAACTATGGCTCACAGGTCTTTTTAGTGCATCTTTATGTTCTTAATATACTGAAACAATATTTTTTTCACCTTTACTCATTAGTTCCTGTAAAATAAAACCAATGTTTTTTGTTTGTTTGTTTGTTTTACTTTAACCTGCTAAGTGTAATAAAAACAGTTCTCACAACAGCAGTTTTGCCAAATAAGCTGACTGATATTTACTGTATATTTCTCTGGTAGAGTTCAAGGAGTGCTTTTCCTTGTATGACAAGAAGCAGAAGGGGAAAATTGATGCTAAAGATCTGATCACGGTTATGCGCTGCCTGGGTACGAGCCCCACGTTCGGAGAAATCGAAAGGCATCTTCAGGTTCACAAAATTGGTAATGCCATCCAGTAAATCTTTTTGTTTTTGTGTGTAAGTTAGAATAAAGAAAAACTCACTCAGAGTGGCTGTGGCCAAAGAAGTTGAAAATAGGGATCCACTAAAAGTTGAACTACTTTGTTTTTGTTAATTTCTTTATGTTGCTGTACTAAGAAAAGAGAATAAGTGTCGCAAAAAAAAAAACAGAGTTTGGATTTATTTTTTCTAATTGATTTAAACTCATAATTCTGTTTACAATTAGACTATTGCCACCCTAAAGTGTCCCTTACAGCAGTTTTAATACAGATGTTTGATGCAGATTCCTATAATTATTTGACTGCATTAAGGCAACATTACATTTGTGCCGCTCTCTTGTTTAGATAAAAAAGGAGAGCTGGACTTCTCTACCTTCCTGACAATGATGCACAGACAGATGAAACAGGAGGACCCCAAAGCTGAGATCCTGGAGGCCTTAAGGATGACAGACAAACAGAAGAAAGGATACATCCAGGCATCAGAACTTCGGGCCAAGCTCACCATGTTGGGAGAGAAACTCACAAACAAAGAAGGTAAGATAAACCCGGATTATAGAAATGACCTCAAGCTGAAAACTCTCATGGTGCCGTGAGCCCTACAAAAATCCATTACAATCATCTGAAAGGCTGACTGCTGAGGGTGGCCTTGGAGTTCAGCTCTGTACCTTTGAGATTACCAGCTGCCGCCGATAAATCCTCTGCATTTCCAGTCTCATACAATTCATAGCTGTCCAATAACTGGTCTGTGCAGCTCTCCTGGACACAAACTCTGAATGCTGCAAGGCTTTTGTAAATTAAATTCTTCGGCAGTAGTTACACAGATGTGAACTTTTATTTCCCATGGTTCCTCTGACAATGTAGAGCAATTACTATTCAACCAGTCACAGTCTGGCGTCTAATTTAGGGCCAGTTTTTACACGCTGACTTTTTTAAAGCAACCAGCTCATGAATAGTAATGCGTACACACATGCTGTTGTTTATGACCAAGTAGAGGCCGTATAAAATGGATCTTTAGACTAATCTAGAGAAAATTTGGGGTCATACAAATAGAATGAGACTCAATCTTTGTCTTGCATTTACTTTCAAAGTTTGTCTATTTTTACAGCAACATTGAGATTATTTCATCGTCTGTACTTTCTGACATATCAGACTTGAAGTTTTATATGAAGTGTTGATGGCTGAATCTAGATTATGCTGGATTACACTGACAAAAAAACTTCTGATGAGAGCCTAATACCCATCGAGTTTTCGTAGTTGGTTTTGATGCTTCTTGTATTTCTAAGCCTGTGCTCAGCTATTAAGACAGCCAGCAGCCATTAGAAACCTTCAGATATAATTGAGTTGTCAGTGCTCTCTGTTTAAATGTGCATTAGTTGCCTTGAGCATTTCGTATAAAAACAGTCATCTTATTCTCATTGGGGAAACCTCTGGGGAAAGAGGTCGATTTGAAGCAGACTGTAATGTTGCTCAGCTGAAAGAGCGCTGACAGCCCTCTCAAGCTGTTTCACTCCCAACTGTTGCAATTCACACTTTCTCTGTACTCACACACCATTTTGAAGGATTTGTCAGTCAAAATCTCCCACCAGCGGAGACCAGCTTACCCCAAACTGTGACAGACTGCAGCTCTGAAAAGTTGTGGGTGATGAATGCCTGATAAATTTCCAGGCAGCACTCTCTTCATCATCTGTGTGGCTTTTCAATGTTTTTCTGTCTTCTTTTCTGTCTAGTGGATGAGCTCTTCAAGGAGGCGAAAGTCAAGTCAAACGGGGTTATCAAGTATGAGGAGTTCACACAGATGGTAACACTGCCACCTGTTGATTACTGACACTGAAGGACCTGAAAATAATCACAGTGATTAGGGGCTGACCTCAGATTCTCAGGACACGAGTATTGTGAAGTACTGCTACAGCTAACACTATGTGATGCTATTTGGCACCTTTTGTCTTAACTCTTTCCCAAATACTTACTTTAAATAAAACTTCCTGCTTAATATTTTGTGGATTTATTTCTCTGAAACAGCTCTACTTTCATGTGGCTTTAAGCTTCAGTATTTGTTGGGAATGACATCTTTCCCTGCTTTAACGTCTGTCCTGCAATCTGCATCTTTAATTTTGAAAACTAAAGCTGCTTTAAGTCTCACATGCATGTTTATCAGACATTTAAATGACATGAGACACTCCCAGTTACCCCTTTAAAAGATTTATTCCGAGGTATAAAACACAGTTTTTCAATATCCATACGTAAGTACACTTTACTGATTAAAAGAGCGACACTTTCTGAACATACAGTTGTTGTAAGGCCTATTAACAGCGCATTCAAAATACAGGATTTAGTTCAAAGGTTATAGTTATTCTTGTTAAGACAGCTGCAACTACTTTTAGATTTCACTTCAACGTTTCCTCATGTTCATTAAAGGAACTGTATTGCATTGTTGTAACTTTGTGCTTGGAAAAAAAACATTATTTAAAACACAAATACAGCTCTATCAACATAAAAATGACAAAAACAATGAGTTCAACAAATGTAAAAATAAAAACTGATTCTAGGTGCAGTTAGCCTGATCCCTGCGCTCTAACATCCAATTATTCTCAGAGGGAAGAGGTGTATAAATTAAAAGTGAAAGGTTAATACAAGTAAAATGGCTATTAAACACAGTCAAGCTCCCTCATGAAGGACTGAAGACATGTTGGCTCCTTCCAGAATGCTTCCGTGTGAAAGTTTTGTGGTTTTGTCCACCTCTCCTGGGGTAAGAAACCCCAACAGATTGTTCCCTTACTCATTAAACTGAATCTTTTCATGAGTAAGGGAACAATCTGTTCGGCTGCTGGATATTTGTTATCCAGCAGCTTCAGTTGTGTTAATGAAATGTTACTTACGCCTTTTTGTCAAAAATATTCAAATATTTCCCCCAAACTTGATTTAAAATAAAAACCAAAGCAAACTGTGCTTTTCTCCTCCTTCCTGAATAATACATCTTTGCGGTTGTGCCGCCACATTAGTCCTAAGAGAAGACCAGCCCAGCAGCTAATTAAAAGGAAACTTTATCAAAGAAAACAAATCAAAAGTTTGTTACTTGACTTGCAATAACTTTTTAAAAGAAATTGGCTTTTCAGTTTCTCAAGAGAAGAGATAAATCAACCAACAATTAGCAGAAAGTAAGCCTAACAGTTTGGAGATAGTGAAACAATTAACTTGTGACATAAGAGCAAGTATATTTTTTCTGGATCTCTCTGGATTTCAAACTTTCTAGGCTGACAGGAGGCATCTGTAGTACCCTTAAATCACATATTAGGTTAACCCTGCAGCTGAATAACAAAAAAAATGTTTTTGACTTTTCACACTGTAGTCAAAGCCGTCTGTTTTGATCCTGAAGTAGAGTACAGAGTGCTGAGTTCAGAGATATGGCAAACATGTGGCCTGAAAATGCTCCACTTTGCAGGTCAATAGTGAAATATAAAAAAGTAAGGCATAAGAAAAGTTTGACTCTTTACAAATTTGTTGGTTACATTTATCATCCGTAAATGAAAAAACACTAAATTAAAAATCATAATTATGCGTTCGTCTACTTATCCCTTTAATTAAATGACCTATTGTTGGGAGAAATTAGTTTTGATTTTAATTGTGATTTGCAAATCACCACTTTCACAGCAAACTCCCTGTGTGCTGCTCGATGATTGAAGTGAAATCAAGGGGCAGACAGGGCTTATTGTATAGTCAATTAAACCCTGAGGACAATTTCGGAGGATGTCATTTTGAGATATTACCTTGAACGAGCGACATGAATGTTAATTAAAAGGCTTGTTCCCATCAACTATCTGGAATCAGTACAGAACAATTCACCATCACACATCAATGTTTAGAAAAGACGATTTGTCTTTAAAAAAAGGGAAATGGCAATGGCACCAAATCTTTACTTCAAATAAAACCTTGTGATTTAATGTCACATCTTTCTCCTCTTACATCTTCAGTTGCTTTAGAATAGCATGTAGTTTGTACAAAACAATTATTACAATACTTGTTATGAGATTACCTGCAAAATACACAAAAATCTATAAAATAACACGGGTACAGAGACACTCCAACACTGTTTCTCCACATCTATTCATGGAAAAATGCATCAGCTTTACCGCATGCCTTATTACGAGCCTCAATAGATGTAGCACAAAAGCACAATATTGATTTTTTTCTGTTTTTTACTAAAAGAATTGATGTGCTTTGAGGCTCTGAAAGACTGTGAATTGCTCACATTCATGTCAGTGCAAACAGTGGTTCAATGTGATTTTCAATGCAGGAATAAGCAGAAAAGATGATGGTGACGTTTAAGTGACAATTCAGTAAAAAAAATACAACAATACTCTGACGTATTAAGTATACAAAGCATCTACCTAAAGCCTTAATGCACCATGCTAACGCTCATGTGTCTACTTCTCATGTTTTCAAATATTTCCCTCCATTTTTAAGACTTTAACAACAAAACTTGAATGAACTCAGTCATGTGGTTAACAACACAAAGACATCAAATTACCTGATATTCAAGTAGATCAGGAACTGGGCCTGCCAATAACTGACCTGAAGTGTTAGCACCAAATGTTTCCCCACAGCTCCTAAACATTTTACTTTGTGATTGTTTAAAAATAAGTGAAAAAGCTGAAGTGTGAAATGACACAAACATGAGTGATACAACTATTAAAAAAGAAAACAAAGGTTTTGCGTAAAGTGGACTTTCAGCTTAACTCTGCCAAAGATCTTCGAGTCGTAGCTCAGCATCCAACACTGGTCAGCTCTTTCCTGTCTGTGTGTTGGCTTGGGTATTTATATCCTTTCAAAAAACAAAGGTCTTCATTGTAGTGTTAGCATATCTGGCCAACTGTTAGGATGTACAGTAACACATCCTCACTTATAAGCTATGTGTAAAGTTAGCAAACAACACTGTGAGCCAGGTTTGACTTCAGTACATGAATCAAACAGGTCATAACTGGTGAGGATTAGGAAGCGAATTTATGCTTGAAAATAGCTAGCTTTAGCTTCAGTCTTTTAGCACAACATGTACTTTTTTGACTCCCTTTAGTTGTACAAGCCAAAGCTGGAAGTATTAAAAAGCTTGTCTGAGATGGAGTTTTCACTAGACCGCCTGTGTTCCTTGCTAATTACCCAGCTGTGTCAAATACTTGATACCCGATAACGGTAATTAATGCTAAACAGAAGAGCAACTCCAGGAACAACCTGAGCGCAGCCCTCCGCCAAGCAGCTCATGTCCCCCCTTAAACAAGAAATGCCCTGAACCCAGGACCTTCTGGTTGTGAGGCGACAGTGCTAACCACTACACCACTGTGCCGCCTATCTACACCACTGTGCTGCCCAGTGTTTATCTTCCAGCATTGAAAATTCCAATGACACCCTTATTTTTGTGTGTTCTGGATCACAGTATGCAGAATTTTTTCCGGATCACCACCAAAATTTAATGGGATCCTCCTGGGGCTGATACACACCTCTGGTGAAAATTTCAGGTCAATCCGTCGGTTACTTTCTCCGTAAAGTTGCTAACAGACAAACAAACCAACGCTACCGAAAACATAACCTCCTTGGCGGAGGTAATCAAGTCCATCAGCAGGTCCTGCGCATTTACTTCCTTATCGTTGGCTTAACTAAAGTTTAACTAATGTTTTGTCTCAGGTTGGTCTTAAGAGAAGGTAATTAGAGATTTAGAGGGCACAGAGTTAAAAGAACTTGAGGAGCTGCTAGACCCAAACATCTCTGACAGGAGAAAGTGAAGCTGATCCTGTCCTGCAATCCAGGCAACAGCAGCAGTGTATTTCTACAATGCAGATCCCTACAAGGGAACTTTAACTGGGAGGGGAATATGTTCATTTTAGCCACATAGAAAAATTTTATTTGAATCAATTGTCCTAAATCAATCATGTTAGTCTTTAGTCAATAGATGGGAGATGAGCAGGATAATTATCTCTACCTTCAAGCACAGTGAGTCGCAGCTAACCAGCTGTTCGCCATAGCTAAAAAAGACATTGTTAAAGCTTGCTTTTTTCATTCAGGTTCAGTGGGTACAGTTTCTATCTCCAAACCACAATGTAAACACCATTATGTGCCTTCATTGAATCGATAAACTTGAAAGCCAAAGGAGACGCAGCCAGACAGGAAACCGTCAATTACTTGCGTCACATGAATTTCTGTTTTTTTTTTTGTTTTGTTTTGTTTTTTGCTTCACTACACTTGTCCCACATTATCTACAAACCTCAATGTTACTTGTGTCCTTGTCTGCTTATATGTCCTGTTTGTGCTGCTGTCATAAAAATGAAGCATTGTACCAACACTTAAAGTTAATTAGTGGTTTATCTCCACCTGTAGAAAAGCTTTATATTGAAATTAACCCTTTTATAGCACCAATTACGCTTAAAAGAAAATCTTGATACATAAAACGTCCTCCTGTTAAGACTGTGTTATAAAAAATGTTCAAAAATATTTACATCCTCATGGTTTTGCAAAGAAAAAGGTTATTTTTCATACATATACAACAGATTCATCATTGTATCATAATTTCATCTGCACCGACATGCAGAGTAATGGAGAGAGTCTATAGTGGTGATGAAACCATTTGAAATAACTTATATTACATCAGTCAGTGGTGTATTTAATGCTCCCAGAAATGAGATCCATGAGTGTTGACTTCATGCTGACCTCAGCGGCGAGATGCAGAGACAGAGCGGGAACGCTGGCTGCAGGATTTGCAGCACTGTGCCCGAACGTTAGGCAGACTGCACCGGCCGAGCCAGCGGAGAGTCTGACAGAAACGGAGAGTGAGGCGATCACGAAGACAAACTGTTCCTGGTGGAGTGACAAGAGGAAAACAGAGAAAAGTCATTCACAAATGTTTAAAAATAAAGCTTCCTTATGTAATTTAGAGTCTGTCATTTAACAACAGTGATGACTATAACAGTTAAATAAGATATCTCTCTAATCTGAGTTTATAGATGCAGTAGAATGAAGCTCACACCTTGTCAAACAAACGTCTCTGATTTTTTTGTCTGCTGAATTTATCTTTGAATAATTTACTGCTCAGAGGAAAATAACAATCTAATCAGCCAGACTGTGAAGTTAGTAAGGAGTAGCTTATTATGATTTGTTGGACTAAACTTTTTTGTTTTGGCAGTTTTCTATAAATTATTCCCCACTGTTGGAGAAAACACTACCCACAGGAAAAATGTGACTCAGTAAATATCTAACTTGGGTCTATGGATGAATATAAACATGCACTATGTTGCCATGGTGGCACAATTTTTATTTAATTATAAAACTATAGGTTATAAACACTCTCTGGCTCTAGGTAAACACTACCCCAAAGTACAGAGACAGGCTGTGAAACGTCTTTATTTAAAGCTCCTGTGGGGAGTTTTTGACTGGTCATAAAAAAAAACATTGAAATTGACAGTGGTGCCTTTTCAAATACAACAAATGCAACAAGAGCCATGATTCACAGCATGCGGGAAAACCAACCTAATTGTAGATATCACAACAAGTTCACAGTTATCAGAAAATACTACTTAAGTATGTACAGCACAAGATAAGCATACGAGATACTTCTTTGTCCACAGGGGGCGCCAAAGTCAACAAAACCAAGGTTCCTTACAGGAGCTTTGATCAGAGTCATGTGCTATCAAAAATTTACTTGAATTCTCTTTAGGGTTTCTCTCCCTTCCTCCAAACAAGCCCACTTTCGTGCAATAGGCCAGCTTTCTGGAAGCCTCCTCCACTGTTACCATGGTACATAGTCATCATCCGTGACTTATTTGGTGTTTCTCTATTTAAAATGTCAAATTATGAAATTATGACCATATTTTTAAACCCTGAAGCTGAGCCAGAAATTTTGCTAAGGGAATATCAAAGGAAATCCCCAACAATGGAAAACAGAAGAAAACATTTCTGGTTCTGAAGTATTTAATTTAATGCTCTTTTAAAGAAATATACTGCAAATGATGCATATTGATGCATATTTGTATGTTAGTATTTATTATTAGTATTGCTGTCAATCAAGTGTGTTTTTCCCCCTCTTTTAGCCGAGACTATATCCTTGCCTAACAAGACATAACTTTTTAAGGCACACTCCTTGTTTCCAGCCTGCTTCAATTTTATATGAACATTTTCATTAATATTTGATTTCATTTTGTCATAAAGAGGATTTTGTCTACCCATCTGTGACTCCGGACTTCATTATGGAGGGTTTTCTTTTAGCAAAAGGACCAGAAACATGCAGATGTAGGAGAGTGCTGGTTTGAGAGGCTTAGAAACTGCAATTTGTAGTGCAATCCAGACCTTCTATTTGTGAACTCAAAAAGGCATGCCAAGTTTACGAAATTATTCCTGTCTTCTGCTGTCACAGCATGATGGCAAGATTGCTCGATGGCTTGAGCGAGAAATTGACAAGAAAATGAGACATTCCATGCAAACGTCTGATATGCTCTGGGGCAGCAAACTAGGACAAGCAATACGAAAAATAAGAGCACGCTTGTGTGAACAGTTTGTGTCTGTCAACCAAAGCAAACATGTTGATCTGCTGTCTGGTTTCACAGGTGTTTCAGCAGAAGCATGAAATTGAAAATCAAGGCCTGCCAGCCGTTAGAGAGCCAAGGTTTGTATTAAATATAACACTTCATCAGATACCCGCTGATCAAAGCCTGATGATGTTTGTTCTTTTTCAATCATTGGTTTCTCATTAAACAGCGGTGAAGAGGAGGCAGGAATTGAGTTAGTGCTGCACTCCATCCAATAAGTTCCCAAATGGACTGGTCTGGAGAAAGTGTCTGGGTTTATGAGAAAGGAAAAGTTCAGCCCACGATTTCCTGCTGGATTCTCAGTACAGGTGATGAGTTTGTAAGAGGCGGCGGAAACAGATGATGGCTTTAACAGACAACTTAACGATTATAGGTCAGCAATAAATGTCCTCCAAAGTGCAGTGTCTGAATGCAGTTTCAGTATATTATCATTTTATTGCTCAAACCCCTCAAAGCAAATCTACAATGATGCAGCTCGTAGTGAATGTTTACTGGAAGTCTTCTCAGTCTGCATTTCAAGTGTGACATTATGATTATTGGATTAGATTTGATGAGCTTCAAATGCTTTTCTATGTAAATCAGGAAGTGACAGCAGACAGCAGATGGCTAATGCTTAATGAAATATGTCGAATGTTGCAGAAGAGACGACAAAAAGAGGATCAAATAAAGGATTAAAAGCTCATGGAATAAACAAAACACAATAATACATGATCTGTTCAAGAATCAAAGAGATGGGCTAGAAAGTGCAGCCACAAGGGAGCGCTAGAGGGAAAGTTAAGCCGCCCTAACGGATTATTTTAAATCCACTACACACCATTTTGACTTGAGTTTTGGACTGAGACAGATGACTCTTTATTGGCTGTAAAGAAGCACTTTGAATTACTCCTCAGCATCATCCCCGAATCAGTCTGTCCGTCTCCAACCATCCAGTTCACCCTTCACCCTGACTCTTGTCTTTTACTGCACCCACTAATCCTAAATTGCTTTCTCCAGTCTGCAAAATTTCAGACGTCACCCAACATTTCAGAAACTCCATGACATCAGTGGGGTTCAAGGGTCACAGCTGCAACTCAACACACATTTTCTGTGTGCTGCTGGTCAGTCATACACCCTCAGCTGTTGTATTTGACCCACTCAGCAGCATGTCCTGCATATGACAGTGAAAATGAGAAGTAGGGCAGTGTGTCACTAGGATACGTGATTTTTTTTTTGAATACACAACCTTTAATCAGGTTAACACTTCATGTTGGGGTTAAAGGGTCAGTTTTCTCATTACAGCCTCACAAATGAAAGGGCGAGGTACAAAACAGCCGAGGGAGGACATTATTGATTAAAAAACGACTATATTAAACCAAATCAAACACAGGACAAAAACAAAGGCGGACAGTGATCTCCATATGTGACCTGTGCCAAAAATAAAATATGGAGCATGACCACAAATACATCTCAAAATAGATGGACATTCATCACAAATGTTCAAGTGTAATTCACAGAGCTGCTGCATCCTGTTACTCGAACAAATACAGTAAAAATATGTGGTATGTGTTAGTTCAACAGGAACCGTTTCTGTCTCAAAAGGGACGTAAACAACAGAAACTCAGCTTTCTATTAAGATTCTGTGGAGAATCTTTACTGTGTGTTGGTGACCCCTCTCGACAGAGCACCACCTTTTGTTTCTTTGCTTTTCCTGTTTCGAATCTCCCAGTTCGTTTCAGAATATAAATTCAACCATACTGTTATTTTTTTTACAATAAAGCTGAAAATAAATCAAAGCATGTCAGCCTGATCTTTGTCAAATAAAGGACATATTTAAAGCTTGGGTGAGACATTTTTGACTGGAATTTGTTTTAATGCCCCTTCATGGTATCCAAAAGCAAAGAAGACCATAAACAACAAGACTGATGATTTGTCCTTCACTCAAGTTCTGCTCATGCTAACTAAAATCCACGATGGTACAAAAAAAAACAAAAAAAAACATCTGAACATGTTTAGATTTTGGTTGGTTTTAACCCGAGTTTGTAGAGCCAAAGCACCTACCTCAAGAAAGCACAAGCAACACAAAGATCACACCAACACCACAAGGAGCCCCTTTGACACTGTCACATCATTATTTTACTGATGGGAATTTCAGATGCTGTTAGGTGTTGGACTTGGATCACAGATGTTGGAAGTGAAGGTGGAAGAAATCCATCACTATCAGCTTAGTTTACTTTTTGGTTCAGAGCTGCTGGAGAAGAGCTTAACCGCAAGTAAGAAATTCTCATTAGATTTATAATTTAATGTCTGGCTCTTCTCAGAGGGAGGTGGGCTTACAGTGTGCACATAAAATGGATGGTGGGCTCACTTGGACTCACTTTTTCAACCTTTGAATTGTGTTTTTTTTTTTTTATGTTTTAAACATAATGCAAATGTTTCAGTATTATTTGTTGTCTTGTACATCTGTTTGGTTTCAACACATCGTCCCACTCCATGGATGTGCACAATGCAGCAAACAGCACAGTCAATACTAGGAAACAACCAAAAATATCAAGAAAATACAAATATCATTAAGTCTCAAAAGCCTTTTTAGTCCAATTACTAGAAACTCCAGTTTAGCCTATATTGTGGATTTACATTATTATGATTAATGAGACGGAGCCTTTATTTTTTTCTTTTAAATACGCCCACAATTTTCTATTGATCCAGCTGTGACTGAACCAATTTCTTTTTCCAAATATTTTTCTTTGTCATAACGAAAATAATTCCTCTTATGGAGCTGTATGACCTAAAAATGATTCACAAACAAACAGCAACCATAAGCACATACAACACAAAGTAGCTCTCCACTCCTTACAGTGCCTACTTTGTGTTTTTGTGCTTTTTGTTTCTAAATGCTGTGAGAATCGTGTCAGTAAAGAGATTCTTCATCTGAATGCAGGTTTTTTGTCCACGTGACCCGCTTTTATTCTCCTTTGTGTCCTCTACTGTATTTTTTTCCACACAACATATATTACGAATGCAAATCACAATCATCTCCAGACCCTATATTACACACACTAAAGCAGTCTAGTGTGACCTAAAATCACAGCTCTGTCATCAATGTTTGTCATCAATGACTGACACAGCCAGAGAGGTTTTCATTTAACTGCCATTAAAACTGAGGACAGAGTTTGCCTTCAAAAGTACTGACATATTAATTATAAATTAAACGAAAATTAGAAATGCCAGTGTTGATCTGTTAAGTGCAGTGTGAAATAAAAGTGTTCACTCTTTGAAATCATAGGGTACCTGCAAACAGTAGTTAAACTGCTGCAGTGGTGTCATAGTAAGGACATCTCTGCACCTTTGAATGACAAACTCCACTTTAAAAAACCCAAGACTGCTCAGATGACAAGTCAAAAGTGAACTGCACTTTGTGTCACACCCATGTGTCAAAATAAGATCAAAGTTGTTGGAGTTTGGAGTTTGAGCAACTAGATATGAGCTAGGCATACAGTTGCAGATCATCAGACAGGACCTCCAAAAATCTGAAGATGAAACTACATTAAAGAAGTTAACTGCAAGCCGGGAAGAGTCTGAAACTGGTTGGACATTTTCTACATACATACCTGCGGAATATTTACTGCGTAATGATAGTATCCTTTGAGAGCTTTAAAGATCTTAAAACCTTTATCTCATGGTTTTACACCACAATGGTATAGCAGTGCAGAATTTTCTGGACAAAAAATCTAAACGTCAAGATCATTAAATATATGTTATTGCATTCATTTGATTCCCAAAACCGAGACAATAATTTATGCTGCACATAATGTCTTTAAATCTGTTGATAATGCAGTTTACATTATTTTGTATTTCATGTAAAATAGTGGAATTCTGAACACGGGATTACAGTAAAAGTTGGTCACAGTTAACTCTTAAAGTTTCGCAATTAATTACCACCAAAGAATCAATCCTTTGACAGTAGTAGCTAAAGATGAATTTTAGTCCCTGCTTTTTTAAAATCTTTTTTCCCTTTTAGCCAAAATCAGGACAGTTTTTTGGACATCTCATGTTTTTGGTAAGATGTGTATCATTCAATTAAATACCAAAATATATGGAAAAGATGGATCAAATTCTTAGGATGGTCTCCACAAGTGTTGAAGTGGTGACATCATAAATATCTAGGTGTACATCTGAATAAAAAGTTGGACTGGTCTAAGAATATACACTTCATCTACAGAAAGGGGCAGAGCCGCCTCTTTTGCCTGAGAAGACTCCGATCTATAGACATCTGTAGTAAGATGCTGCAGATATTTTATCAGTCTGTGGTGGCAAGTGTGCTGTTCTACGCTGCAGTCTGCTGGGGAGGAAGCATCAAACACAAAGCTGCAAGATGTCTTAACAAACTGGTGAAAAAGGCTGGCTCTGTGGTTGGATTCAAGCTGGACTCAGTGGAGGATGTGGTGGAGAGATCTACACTGAGGAAGGTGGAGAATATTCTAAATAACATGGATCACCCACTTCACAACACCTTGATGGACCAAAGGGCCAATGGTGGTGGACGGCTCCTCTCTCTTCGCTGCAGGACAGAAAGATTCACACAGTCTTTTGTACCAACAGCCATCAGGCTTTACAACTCTTGTAAAAAGTAAATAGTAGATGACGTTTGAGACATGACAAATGAGACTACAGACAATTGAATTTCTCTTTGGGGATCAATAAAGTAATTCTTATTCTTACAAAGCACACTTATAGCATTTAGTGTTCCCTCAATCAATTCTGCTCAAAAAGCAGGATTTCATTGGAGCTTTCTACAAAACAGCTTCATTAACGACCCTGAAAGGAGAAACATCACTTACTGATGAGGTGATCCAGTTTCTTTATTTTTTTAACAAATGAACCCCTATCCGAAGCAGCTCATGCACTGTCCATGTGAAAGATGAACCCACACTAACCTCATATTATCCTCTTGCTGATAACCAACAGGGTGAGTCTGTGGGATGTTAATGACCCACAGTTATAATAAAATTGAAATTGCCCCGCCTCACACAGTGGCACACGTGTTTGATCCACATGACACGTGTCAATACATGACTTTCATGGCTTTTTGTGCGCTGATAACCAGAGAAGGTTTAACCTCCGGAGGCTCAAGGGAAAGCATGAAGACACAGAATAAAGGACGTATATTTACAGCTATTGATTAGTTGTGAAGTGTTGATCAATATATCTCAGTGGGGGACAGTGCTCAGACACATGGTAGGACATACATGTTGACGGGTGCTTCCTCATGGTGGAGTCTTGTAACAAAGGGTTCAGTTTTAACCTGCTGTTTTATAGTTTCCTGAGCGTTGATGAAATGAAACATGACTGACTTATTAATGTGAGGTGAAATATTCTCCATCCCCATGATGATAAAATCAACTTCTGCTTCATCTCTGTAAATCTAATGTACCATTTTTATTAGATGTTTCCCATCTGCATCAATAATTCACTCCTCGCTCCTCTCATAGACTGAGATTTGAAAGCACTTATTAATACATGTAGAGTATGCGTATATTTCTACTGATTTAACAGGCCTGACTGGCATACAGGTTGAAACTAGGTGCATAATATTTCAAACAAGTACTTCTTGTTTTATCCTTTTTAAATTATGTGTGTCAGCAGTCAAATAGCTGCCTTATGTTTCCTTAAGGTGGCCAGTTCAGTATCAACTGTAACATTATGGCCTCTAGCTGGTGAAGTGACGGTGGTACCTGTCAGTGAGTGGGAGGAGTCGAGTAGCAAGCAAACATTTTTTCCTCAAAGCTGGAAAAAGGACAAATTGTGACAGCAAGGCGGCTCAGTCAGAGCATCTCCAAGACCACAGCTTTTAAGAGTATCTAAAGGTCTGCAGTAATCAGCACTCACTGAAGCACCGAAGTGGCTCAAGTATAGAAAGTGGTTTAGTGGCAACAGGGTCATAGGCAGCCAAGGCTTATTCATGTGTATTGGGGGGGCAAAGACTGGCTCTTGTGGTCTGATTTAACTGAAGAGCTATTGGAGCTCAAAACACTGACAAAGTTCATACGAGTGCATCGCAGTTTCTTGTGTCTGCAGTAGCTGCGGACTGGTCAGGTTGTTCGTGCACGTGCAGACACCTGATGGTGGTGCTAATGTGATTGTGTGCTCAAACCTTATTGTTTTTATATGACCCTCACAACCTTCATGTTGTTCTCCTTGAATATCTCATTGTTGGCTACCAACAGCTTTGTACATACTGCAAGTTCAATTCTTTATACTGCTGTCCTCAAGGTCCTCTGTCTTTGTGTAAACAAGAGGCAGCAAGACATAGATACATTGCATTTTGAGAAATTGTCCATATTTTGAAAAGACAGAGAAGCATTGACATGAAGAGGAAGAGACAGCTGAAGGTTTTCTCTAAATAAACAATGCAAGGGTCGACCTTCGAGCTGAGGAACTAACTCGAAACTGAAGGTGGCAATATCGCACAGTTTTTTTTCTGCTGTTTCAATGCAGGGCTTCTCATTTGTATTTAAACTAGTATTTTATTATGTTTCTTTGGTTTTTATAAATGTCACCGTCTGTTGTTTGTGTTTTATCACCCATGGTGTTTTCAGTGCTGGTCATTTATCAGTAGCATAATGGGAAACGCTAACAGCCTGATTTTCATTAAAAATCAAATTTCGTTGCAGAAAATACGTGAAAATGCTGAATACTGAAAGCTTAAAGCTGCAGAGCTGCTGAAGAGGGAGAAGAGTACGAAGAAACTGTTGAAGAGCTGAACATTGAATGTCTGTTTGGGTAAAATTAGCCTCTCAGATTCAGACTGTTAACTACTTTGTCATCTTAATGAATAGGATTTGTTCAAAAGTCGTACTAAAATGAATTTATTTCATTATTTCATAGACATTTGTCCATGGAATATAATATGTTCAATGTTGAAACCTGAATAAATCACTGCTGTCTTTGCCTTTTTCTTCTTAGGATGTCCTTGATACCCAGGAACACTTCCCTCAAAACTAATACCTAAGTAAGATGGAGGGTCACACAGAGAGCTTACACGCCCAGCTGTGTGCTGCCACATTGTCATACGCTTCAAATATTTATCATAACACTTTCATGCCTCAATGCCATCAAAATGTCAGCAAAGCCGGCGTTCAGTCTAACAGGCTGCCCTCTGAAGTACACCCGATTTCATATCTGATATAAAACAGAAATGCCACTGAACCGCTGTGGTCTGTATCAGGAAAAGAATAACGCCATTTACAGTACTTACAGAGGGCACACACAGCTGGAACAGAGCTGCCATACTGAGCAATGTCTGTCTTTTAGATTGAATTCGAGGTCAAATAAGCCCTGAATATGTTGAATGCTAGAGAGTACTGATGCATGAAACAACAAACAAAAAAGCTGCTATAAGGTTGTAACATCAAAAACATACACATGGTACAAATATTCTTGATACAGTTTGGCAGAATCCAACTCAATCAAAAGCAATAGGCAGAGCTATGTTAAACGACGGAAAAAGTGCCTCCCTTCATATTTTCCTGCTGTGACTAGTTTCTTTGACGACAGAAGTATTTAACAATTCTATCAGAGTTTAAAAAGTAGCCGTTCTTCTTTTGTGCATGTCCAACAAAGAGCATCTTTGTGGCTGCTCTTCCCAGCTCTTCTGCTGGTTATCTGATGAGGCATCATTAGAGGGAGACAAGGGTTCCCAGAGAGAGAGAGAGAGCTGATGCTGTGAAGGATGTCAGATGTGTCCCATAAAGAAGATTTTTTTCACGACTTCAAAAAGATAAAAACCTGTCATGATTAAAAATAGGAAGGCCTGACAGAAATATATGGTATTTGATCATAAGAGATGGCAGCATGGCTCTGTTCTAGGAATTCCCTGCCTTTCTATATGTACACTGTAAATGAAAAGCCAGTACACCAAAGACTGAGGCCTGAGGAGTGCACATCACCCTGCTGTTTCTATGCATTCATAAAAAGCCAAGGCAGGGAGAGCATGTGCAAAGATCCCTTCAGTACAGATAAGGTAAAGCATCAATGAAAATAGGCATCTTTAGGAGAAGAGATCAGCAGCAGGGACCCTTTAAGTAAGAACGAGAAAGCAGCAGTGACAATACAGGTGTCACTGGTAAAATCAGGTCCAGCATAAAGAGGAGAAGCTGTGGTTGAGGCGGGTTTCAAAGTGGATTAAAAAGAAGCAGGATGAGAAGGCAGGTTGAAGTACTTTTTACTGAACCCTTGTTTTAATGTTTTATAACTTGACCTGTTAAAGGTAAGTGGATGTGCTGTCATATGATGTAGTTGGAGCTGAATTTAACCATTTTGAGTCACCAAAAATACAAACATGATTATATATTTATTTTAGAGGTGAAATAAGGATAAATATAATATCTCCACAGCATTTTTGAAGCAGTAGCTGAAATCCTCACACAGGGAGAAAATAAAACGTTCTTGTGCTGGCTGGCTGTGCAGCTGCAGAGGTTGAAAAACATGACATGGATGATTGATAGATGACAACACTGACTGTTTAAAAGACTGTTTCCTGTGCTTTTTGCTTGTCTATGACAGGACAGCAAATGCAGAGTTTTTTTCTGCCTGTTTGAAGGGAAACTGCTCACAGAAAAGTGGGACTGTTTTTCCAGTGGCATATTTGTACATTCAGTATGTTATATGTGCTCCTGGAGCTGATTTGGTTCAATATTTGAAGGATTCCTCAAAAATCCCAGACGCAAGCAATTTCTCTCTTTGACATTTAACTCAATATCTCTATTGATGAGGTAAACAAACACCGTCCAATCAGCACAACCGTGATTATTAGGCCTGACTCGGACAAATATCAGCAGAAGTAGAAACGGCACCCATGGCTCAGTGCTTTAAGGTCAAACCTTTCCGCCAATGCTGATTGGATTTTCAGGCGCCCTGTATTCAGAGTCCTGTGTGATTATTACCTGACATGATTTTTCCTTTGACACACTTCAGTGGAAATACATGGAAATTACCGGGTGTTTAGTAAATATGAACGATAAGATGGAAAACCTGCATGTTGAATGAAGCACAGCTATTACCATGAGCCTTTTCTTGTCGTGTAAAAATGCAAGCAATCAAAATATGTTCCCCATTTACACACACAAGAGGTTTTACACACTTTTGTGATCATTATCACCACATGTCATCAGATTTAAGTGAGTACTTTCAGGTGCAAATATTCCCAAAGCTCCCACAGATTCATAATTTAAGGTGAATCAATCTTTGAGTCACTCGCCCTAAAAATAACATTTTCAGTTAAACTAGTCCAGGAGTATTTATTGGGGTGTGCTTTGTAGTTAAAGGTCAGTTTCAAGGCTATGTGAGTATCACGCTTGAGCTACTTTTTCAGTAAGTGACCCATAGATCAGGAGCTGAAGTGACAGCAGGGAGGAGAGACTGAGCTGCAATAGCATCCACAAAATACAACTGGACTCCTCAGTCTGTTTTCACAGTTAAAAAACACAAAAACATTTTATTCTGAAGTTCCTGAAGTACCTTTTTTTTTTTTTTAAATGGGAGAGATGGGGCACTTTGTATTTCATGACTCAGATGCATTTATGTGTAAATGTCAGCACTACTACAGCTAGAAATTTTAAAGATTATTCAAATCTGCTGGTAAGACGTCGCCATAACAAACAAATAATAAAAACAGTACCACTTCTTTATTTCTTAGCTTCAAATTGATCATTTATCCATCTCTCTTTTTGGACCTCCCTCTATCTCTCTTTCCAATCACAGCAGGTGATCAGCATGAGTTTTCTGCCATTTAATGGAAGTTCTGCTGAGTGCTTTAATCGTGGTGGATTCAGATAAAAAAAACAACAAAAATGTATCTTGATTTTAAGGTTTGGTCTTTGTTAATAATTTTAACTCTGAGTGCACTCAAGACTGATCAATCTGTCAAGACTGACTCTTTTAGTGAAGCGTCTTGAGATAAAAACTGTCATAGATTGGTGCTTCATCACTACAGATTGACAGATTAATTGATTAGATAAATGGATTAGACTACAAAGTACATCATGTAATCCAGTTTAAGGATTTAGGAGGATGAAGTAGCATATCAAGTACAAACTTTTAACTTCAGTACAGCGCTTCAGTGAACTTTAGGGGTCAGGGTTAGGGTTTAAATCTGGAGTTACTCACCAGAGGGGGCACTCTCACACTCCTCCAAGTTACACTTTTGGGTGCTCTCAGGCTGCGGTTCATGGTCACACTCAGCTTGACCCACCTCCTTGTTCGTCTCACCCTTTGTGTCGACACACTGGATGAGCCGACGCTGAACTCCGCCGCCGCAGGAAGCCGAACACTGCAGAGAGAGAGAGTTTGGAAAATTTGTGGAAATGTTTAATGTGACGTTTTCCTTCATAAGCTCTTTAGTTACAGATTAACATCTCATGTCAAGTGTCTTCTTGAACTAAACAGCTTTATCTTTAGCTCTGATTTTACAGAGGAGGATCTGTGGAGGCAAAAATTGATTCTGATGGCTTGAGTGCTGATGAACGACTCCAGAGAATATGTTTCGACACAGCTGCTGCGGTTCAGGGAATTGAACAATTAGTCTGTCTCTTCTTTGTGGACAGCAGTCATGTATGAAACATCAGGAGGCATTGAAGTTAGGATAAGTCTCCTAATATCCTTTATGGATCATATCATTCTGAGGTTTGTGTCTGCAGCTTTTGGCCCGTACACAGACCTCAGTTATAATTCAAAATGTACCAGCCACAGATATATCAAGTGATTCTACCTGAGGAAATTTTAGCTTAAAATTAAAGAGATTCCAGTGTCATCATCCTTTACTGTCTATTACAGAGGTTAATATTAACTCTGAAGGGGAATAATATATTATATATTATATTATATTATAATATATTATATTGGTGAGAAACAATGTTTACAGTTTTACTCTCTATTTTTAATCCTTTTATAAATTTTTGTGTCACGCGTCACCCCTGTGTCCTTTCACCGGTCTCTACATCCTCCTCTTCTCCATCAGCCTCCACATCAAATATATAGGGTACTTGATAAATAATGCAACGATCATCACAATGCTGTGCTCTCCAGCGTGCATCAAGTGTGTTGCTGCTGCTGCTGCTCCTTCTTTCATCGGACTTAAATATGAATAACTCATTGATACTTTGCAATAAAACCACATCTACAGCCAGTGATCCATTCATCCTTTACTAACAATGTTCGATGAGTCATCCATCATGCTGGGTGAGTGGTCTCTGGATATAACTGTTCTGAGTGTATGTGTGTGTGTGTATATGTGTCGTACCTGTCCCCATGATCCAGTGAGCCACTGAGCACAGGGCTGGGTGTTGCATGATTGGCTGTTGCTGGGCTGAAGCTCCCTGTCACATCGATCCTCTTCGGGACACGCAACTATTCTCTGCTGGACACCTCCCCCACACACCTCAGAGCACTGAAGAATACACACAATCACAATGGGGAGTGTACAAATATGTTTGTTTACGTACACGCAGCCTTGACGGAGTTGAAGGCTGGTGCCTCGCTTGTTCATTCCACAGCGGAAGATTGAACTCCCTGAAAGCCTGCAGTTCATTTCTGCTACCTTACATTTACTGACAGGTATTAATGTGTTTTTAGTGAGAGAAGAGCAGACAGAAGGTTCCTGACGGCTAATATAGCCGTTACTCAGCGTTACTCACCTCACCCCAGGAGGAGGCGTACCAGTCCAGGCAGGGTTGGAGGTTACAGGGCATGTGGGTCTGAGGTCTGGAGGACATGGCCCTGCAGTGGAAGGGTCGTAGCGGTCTCTGATCCCTCATGTCAAAACACTGGACCTCTCGGGATTGAAAGCCGCTGCCACAGTTCTTGGAGCACTGAAAATAGATGAAAAGCGCTTTGTCTTTTATTTTCAAACAGCAAAACCGCCTTCTGTCGTTCAGTGACAGGGGTCGCTATGTGGCTTTTATGTGTTTCAGCATTCCTCCTGGAAAGCTCACTGTTATAAACTAAAGCGGAGGGGCTGGATGAGAAACAAAACAGTGTCAAGATCAAACAGCAGCTCAGGATGCTTTTCTACAATTACATCTGGATAAACTATGAGCAGGATGACAAATAGCTGTAAATATTTATGGCATGAAAATCCATCAGAGTAATTTTCATGGCAAAAGCACTTGTCTTTATTTAACCAGCTTGATTTTTCAAGACAGTTTACCCTTTTTGCTCTCACTGTTGAAAGATTATATAATTAAAAGTGTCTCATTAGTAGAGCTAAAACAACCTGCAGCCTCTTTAGTGTCTTTGTGAAACTGGGTAACCAGAAAGGAGCATATAGTGTTGAATGTGTAGATGAATCCTGATCATATTCACAGTCTCACTTTACTTTGTTGTCATGGTACAATTTGCTTATCAGCTGTAGACACCAGTTACTTTTTTTAAGTTTACAGGATTGTCAAATTTTGCAGATTTCTGAAGGAGCTGAGCTTTTGACCTAATTGAAGGGAAGAGCGTAAAAGCTACGCTGACTAAAAGTTATTTAAACTACACTGTAAAAGAAAAATGAATGTCCCACAAAAATTCAATTAGAAACAGGAATGTTAATCTCATGCAGTGGCAGAACCAGGAGGGGGCCACCCTTGAAATATGACCAGCCACCCCAGGGGGCCACCCTGAAACCCTGAACCACGAGTGGGTATTTACTCTGTTAATAGTGACTCTGGATAAATGTCTTCTTAAAATCAAGTTCCACAGTTTTACATGTTGCCGCTCTGTTAGGTTACATTTTAAAGTCAAAGATAAAGAACATTAATTTTTGAGTTCCTTTGTATTAATTATTTAAGTGCATGCGGTGAGTGGAAAAGACCCTTCTAGGATTAACCCCCATAGACTAAGTTCGTTATTTGTCCAGGTCTGGCCACCCCAGTAAAAAAGTCTGGCAGTGCCGGCAGAGCTAGTCCAAAGTCGAGGGTCATAAAATTTGACGATCTATATGCACACCAGGAATGTACAACATGAATTCATGTCAGTCATTTTACAAGCTGGACAGATAAGTCAGACTCAATTTCAGAACCCATCACCAATCATCGTCTGATATCTGACATATGCCTCTGGGAATAGTAACAACCTTTCAGTAATTTCAGGGTCGTGTTTGACACTCAGCCAATACTTTTTTTTTGTCTGTGCAGCAGAGTAAAAGCCCAGCACATCCCCTCTGGATGTAGCACCTTCTTATTTGTTACAAGAAGCACACAGCAGGAAGTACATCACAAAGAAGCTTACTTTGGCAGTTTGAGCCTGAGAAAGACACAGATCTCTTAATCACTTACAGTGGGAGGTCTTCAGTTAGCTAGGAAAACAATGATTAAGATGTGTAAGAAGTAATCATGCAAACATAAATGAAAACTTTCTTTTGTCTGATTTATTACGAGTAGTCGGGATGCAAACGCTGATTGGCTTGTACAGCACAGATTTGGGCAGATTGGTTGAATTTTTGATGTGGAATAATTTGTCAGCTGCCCATGCAAAAAGGTATCAATTCAAGAGAAATAAACAGTTGATAAGCAGAAATAAAAGCTGGCATGTTCTGACGATGGTGTGTGTTCTGTTTGCTTTTGCTCTCCACATCAACAGTTTTTCCTGCATGCACCAAAGTCTCCTGATATCTAACACTACTTTCACAAACAGAAACCAGAATCCTTTTCATCTTGAAAACCTGGACCCCTGAGTACTGGTTCTACATTTTTTTATCATTTCCTTGAAGTAATAATCATCATATTAATCATTTTGCACTGCCGACGCGGTAGTTCTTCTGCCTTGGCGTCTCCGTCTAAATGCATTTCCATGAAGAAATGATCATAAATGTTCTTCCTTGAGCTGCGTCACCCCACCTCAGTCAACAATGGACAAGTCGAGGTCTCGCTACAAACAAGCAGCTGCTGGAAGAGATACGGTGAGTTGTGTTTAGTCTCTTTGCTAAAGAAATTAGGCAAAGTTAAAAAGATGTTTGATGGCTAGTACTATGGCTGGGACCCTATATGTACTGTTGATGATGAAGTTAGGTGCTGTTCTGAGCATTATTTGTGGCTATAGAGTGGCGTTTTGGTAGAGGTTTGTGTGTGGCTCCTGAGACCGCTGTGTATTGCTATCCTGCGGTCGTTACTTAAGTTGGTATAACTAGAGAAACAAGCAGTTGGCAACATTCATCACTCAACGGGGTGTCTAACTCGGTGTTACGGTGTGTTTGACTTTAAACTAATTTTACGCTGGAATATCCCTTTATGTGTGGAGTCGTCTCACCTTAGTCCATTCATCAACTTTCCACATAGAGCAGGGGCGGAGGTAGCACCTCTGGGCTGGTGCTGGCCTCTTGGCGGGATCACAGTCAGAGTTTGAGCCAGTACTGCAGGCCAGAGTCCTCCAGATGGCACCCAGACCACAAGTGGTGGAGCACTGCCCAGAGATGTTGCAACACATGAGAACATGACCAGCACTTAGTGGAAAAAGGATCGGATGTTTTATTACTACAACATGCCCACATCATGATATCCTGAGTAATGTCAGGGTTCAATCATTTTAAACTATGCGAATAAATGTAACACAGTCAGAGTCAGAGACGGAACAACAGTGTACTAAATCTGCAAAAGGATGCATGAGCGTTTGTTCAATTAGCTTCAGGTCAAAGAGTTTCTTCGAAGGATTTAGTTAAAAAAATAGGAACACAGCTTTGTTTTTTCCTGACAGGGTGAGTAAAAATCCAGATTGTGTGTAAAAATGCAGACTCACAGCGCTCCAGTTGCCTGCAATCCAGAAAGCAGGGGCCTTGACATGTGTGGAGGCAGAAGTTGGGGCGGATGTCGGCTCTGGAGTTGGCCAAGAATCTCCTCGGTGAGCTGGCACGGTGGGAACAGCAGGTGTTGGTGATTCTTCTTCTTGTACTGGTGTTGTGCTTTGCTGAGGAATAGTTACTGTGTGTGTTGTTAGCTGGTGTAAATGAGCTTGATCACTGCTGCTGCTGCTCCTCATCCCGGGAATGATTATTTCATTGTAGTCAAAATTAAATGAAGAATCTGTTCCAGTTCTTTCAGTGGAGGCAGGTTGTGTTGGTGTCTGTTTCATCCCAGCTGGCTGGAAATCAGCCGGAGGAGGATGAGCACCTTCTTCCAAGTTTAGAGGAGGTATGAGTTTTGATCCAGTTATTGATGTGGAGTCGTCAGAGGCCCTTTGGTTACCTGAGGTTAGCAGAGAAGGAATGTGGAGAGGAGTAAATGCCTCAGAGGCAGGAAGTGAGGTTGTTTTGAGGTCAAGATCAGCATCCCATGAATAATGACTAGTGGTATAAACTGTTCCAAGATTAGCCTGATCCGAGTCCAAGTCCTCCAGTACAAAAGCAGGTGGAAATATTGATGATTTAGTGGTTGTTTGAGGTATACTGGAAGCAATCTCATCCAGTTGAAATTCAGTTGCAAACTGAAACACAGTCTCTGTAGTGGGAGAGCCGAGTAGTCCTTGACTCTCTGTATCTACTTCTCCTGCAGAAGTATCTGGACCTATTGTGCTTTCTTCATTGTAGCTATACTCATAATCATCATAAGGACCCAATGTTGTAGCAGCAGCAGCAGCAGTATCAATCGTGGTAGGATGTGAAGCAGCATGATTTGGAGTCACAGTGACCTCCTGAATGGGGTTTTCCTCCTCAGAGAAATTGTCATAGTTATTTCCAGCCTCCTCCTCCTCCTCCTCCTCCTCCTTCTCACGCTGCCCTTGTTTCACATCCTGTGTGGGCTCTTTTTCAGGGAAAACCGGACTAGGCATTGTGCTGGTGTTCTCAAGCCGTAGCACAAAGTCATGACTTTCTTTTGGTGTCTGTGTTTGTGAGCGCTGTGTTGGAGCTAGAGGAGGTGAGCGAGTGGTTGACACAGGCAGAAGAAAATCCTCAGAAAGGAAGTCATCCAAGTCTTCAGACTCTGTTTGTACAGACTCTTTTACTGCTACACCTCCATAATCCTTCATACCGTCTGGTTTTGTGCTCTGTGGCTCTTCACTTTTCACAGTGTGGGCCTCTGAAATTGTAAAAGGGTCTGAAGAAGCCGTGGGAGCTTGTGTCGTTTCCATGTGAAGGTTTTCTCTTACAACTTGTGTTGGTGTAGTGTCCTGTGGCGCATCCATCCCCTTGGTGTCCTCTGAATCTTTCCCTCCACCCTCAGATTCATCCGACAGATCTTCATGGAAGTTGATAAAGTTATAATCATAATAAAAATCATCAACTTGGACGCTGTTTTCCACAGATTGATCAATATTTTCGATGTTGTTGTGGTAGTGAAAATCCCCCTCGACTTGGTTGATAAGGTCTTCGTGGTTTCTGGGCTGGGCTCTGGTGGTGCTGTATTTGGGTGGAGGTTTAAAGTCAGGTATGGAGTTAATTTCATTCAGCACTTCTTTACTAGACCAGCCACTGCCTGACCAGTCAATGCCGCCGAAATTATCTGCTACAGGCGGACAGTCCTGGATGAAGCAGGGAGTGACAGCGAGTGGCTTCTTCTGGGGGTCGCAGTCCACACCGGTGTTTCTTGAGCAGGTCACGTTACGGCGACGGACCCCACTTCCACAGGTCAGGGAACACTGAGTGGAAGAAACGACATAATAAGTTTAGTTTGCTGCTATGTGTTAAAACGAGTCTTTCTTTTAAAGTTAAAGCTTGAAATGTGAGTCTGGACACCCAAGCTCCTTCTGCCTAAATCCCTGCAGCTGTGAGAGAAAACACAAGAAGGAAGGAAGAAGTCTGATCAGCCCTTTCAGTCAGAATCTGCTGGGTTATGACCAGAGACCATGTCCAGGTCTTAAACATGACGTTAACGCCAGGTGTTGGTCCAGCTCAACTGGTAGAGCAGGTGCCCTGTACAGAGAGGCAGAGAGGCAAAGTCCCCATCCTGCTGGCTCAACCATTTGGCGCAAGTCCTACAAGTCTCTCTTTCCCACATCGTTTTTTCTCTCTACAGCTGTTCCTTTCACAACCAGCCAAAAGAAAAAAAAGTCTGTACAGTTGTGATACTGTCTAAATATGCTCTCCTTGGTGTCTCTCATTTATAAGACTAATGTGACTTTTCCAAAAGAAGCAAAGGCCAACATGTGCCATTAAAGACCCATGGCTGTGGGATTACCTAGACCTGCTGAATATGGAGCAGGTCTTTCTGAAAGACTATCACCAGGAGGTTTCTGGGTTCAGAGGTGTTTACTGATGTTGTGTGTATTTATACCCCTCTGCAATGATGCTACTACCTATTTACCTACTGTAATGTGAGCTTTTAAGATTGCATGTTGGCCTCTTAGTTACATTAACCTCTTGTCAGTACTCCACAACACATTAGGGAAAAGGACTTTAAGTTTTTTACAGCCTCAGCCTTACGGAGCCATTTGTGGCCAAAAAAGTTAATTAACTAAAAAATAAACAATTGCTATTTCAGTGGGACAAGCCTGGTTTAATAAAGTTACATGGAAAATAAAATGTAGTTTAAAAATTTTAAACTCTAAGACATTTATAAAATATCACAATTCCTCATTTGCTCCCTCAAAAACAACATTGTATGGCGTGGTGTGATGTTTTTTTATTTCCAATTATTTCTGTTTCTTTTCCTGCCTTGTGTCAACATGTTCCTGCTCTGGTAGAAAACCTAAATAAGTTCTTTTTTTTTCCTTTTTTCCTCAGACTTTTATCAGGAAAACAGTTTACAACTACTCAACATCACTGCATCAAGTCTATGTGAGTAAACAGGAAATAACCACAGCTTCCTGACCAAGGAGAAAAAAATGACATAAGATTACATGCAGAAGATTTCAACCTCTTAACACAGTCCCAAACACAGGACAAACGTGCTATTATGAAGCAGCAACAATTACATTGTGCAACATTTTAGCATATAGTGCTTCAGTTTGCCATTTAGCACTTGAAAGAGCAGCAGAGGCTGACTGGAGTGGAGGGTGTTTTTTCGCAGGTACTTGACCAGAAATGAAAGCATATTGTTTAAAATTCATGGAGCTGAAAGGATGTTTAATCTGAAAAATTACAAAAGTTACATGGCAAATGGACTGACCTAATGCCCTTTTGTAGTTATTCCAAGTACTTTTGAAGTACTTCAGTACAATACTTATCATATTTACTCATTCAGACCACATTCACACACTGATGTGGGAGAATGATGTTAAAGGACACCATCAGTATGGGTTAATTCCAGTCATATCCATTTACATACTCTTCACTGGGTCTATCTGAGTAATTTCAGGTTCAGTATGTGACTACAGGAGCTGCGACTACTCTACTACCAGGCCACAACCACACTAAATTTATAGAAGTTTATTCTGGTGGGAAGTCTGTGAAAAAATCATTTCAACAGCTTCAGAGACTTTTCTGTGAAAACCAGGAGTGTCAACCTGTCAGGAGATCAACAGAGTTTATGGGCTTCATCCTCTTTAAACATCAGTGTCAGAAAAACGTTCCTGTATCTCATTAACTGCTTTAGTTCTGACCAAAGTGTTGGACTGACCGTCTCACTAATTGATGCTGAAAACCTGGAAGTAAAGTTGGGGCACGGCTACATTTATAATTAGATACAGAAACACACGGTGTGTGCAAAAATCACGATCTCTGATGATTCTGTTCTGTATGTTTGTAGATTTTAACTGCTGTATTATATAGTTTTATAATTTTAGTAACTATGCATCCTGCCTAAATGAGAAAAAAGTACATTACATACACTAAAAGCACACATTACATATATTTTATAAACTTTTCTTGTGTACTCTGCTTAAGTGCAGGATTCTTGTCTGATTTTCCTCTCCCTGTTTTTAAAATGCTTTCTTAACATGTTGATTGTTGTGCAATCGTAATTGTAGAAATACCCTTTTCAGAAAAGTCAAAGTACCCTCAGGACTTCCTGATGACATCAGGAATAATTTCCAGTTTTCATTTCCTTTCAGAGCAGCAAAACAAAACTGATTCTAGTTTCGCCCCACACTCACCTTTGACCAGCTGCCAGAGGTCCAGTCTGCTGGACAGGGGATGTGAGTGTTGCAGGAGGACAGGGCCCGAGGTTTGGAGAGGTGTTTACACTCACTGGGCTGCAGAGCTTCCTGCTCCTCTGCACTCACAGACTGAATACAGAGTACTGTCCTTTTAGTCAGACCTGAGCTGCCACAGCTCGCTGAGCATTTCTGCCACTCTCCAGACCACCATCTACACACAGACACACAAAAAGCGTCAGCATATGCAACCTTATGAATAAATACTTTGATGGAAAGTAGCAATATTTCACCGCTGCACAAAGACAGCTGTTGTCTGTGTTGTAAAGGTTAAGTGTGTGCAATTTTGTTGTCCTGAGGACACCCTGTGTTTCCAGGGTGTAAAGCTGTTGTCAAACCAAAAGGTGAAATTTCTTTCTGTCGAAACATGAAGTCCCTGATCACATTTTCAGCCACTCAGAGATGAACACCATGGTCACTGGAGGACATAATGACAGAGTTTATTCTGCAGGAGGGTGATGGAGACAAAGCTGGTCTTTTTCTGTGTATCATTAGAAAGGTTTTTTTTATTCACATCATGTTTGTTTTGATTCTAGTCATGAATAAAAAAAATAATTTCACTTTGAAATTAAAATTGTGGGAACAGATTTGATATTTCACGCTGCGCCCAAAAACATTCCTGGCTTTTTTTTTCACTGACTGATTAAAGAGTGTGGTTGAAACACTGAGTCATTCTTAGTTTCGCTTGACAATCAAGTGGTGTAAGCATTTTACACTTCTATTTAAGCAAAACCAAAAAGTAGAAATGAAAAACAAACAAACAAAGAAAGGACAAAACAAAATTATGACTAAACCTGAACTCTCTACTTTAAACACAACTCTTTGTTTCCCTCCAAACCCACTGTGAGCTGCAAAATATTCATTTAGGCCCACCCAAAACACAGGCAAAACAAACACGTGTACATCATTTACTCATGAGTGTCAAAAAGTATTACGGTGTATTGAGTTCCTGCCATTTACAGATGTTTACTGAGATTTGTGCATAGAGGTCTTCCTTTTGGTGGTTCAGGTGTACTTTAATTCTGTGTGGGAATGGTAAACAATGAAAGAAAAAAGCTAAATTAATCTATTGTTTCATAGTTCACGGAGAAGAAGAAAAACAGCCTCTCATTTTTAATTATTAAGAATAAATGACTAAATAAATTGAAGATGAGAATCTACAGAAACGACGAATAACAACTCAGCTTTGCATTTTGGTGAACTTTATTGCTTGTAGCGCTCTGCCAATCTGTTGAAAATCGTTTTATTCTGGAGGGAAATTCTGAACTGAGTCACCGAAACTATTTCCTGCAATGAAATGTACATTGAAGTGTAATCTTTCCATCATAAGTAGTTCAAACAACCTGTCAGCCATGTCTGGAAATAACCATAATTTGTGCTAAATTCTGGGAATTAAGGGGAAAATTTTCAATCAAGAAGTGAAGGTGCAAATAAAGACCTGTGGAAAGGAAATTGTCTCCTCTGTCCTCAGTTACTCCTCCTTGAATCTCCACTCGCTCCACGTGACGCTCAATCAAAAACAGATTAGAAACAAGCATGTGCAGACATCACAATAGAACCTGAAGTAATAAAAAAAGCTATTTCATATCTTCAAGGACACTTTAGTCCAACTCATATTCTTATGATTACCTCGGCTCACGTGCTTCGAGAAATGCTTTACTCTAAGGTAGCAAAGTTAGGCAGAGTGTCTGACTTTTTTTTCCAACTGTGAAATGCTCGGCCACTTTTAACGCTTTCATCTATTTTGACATCTTGCTCCTCTCTTTCTGTCGGCTCGGTTTGTTTGGGCTCCCAGCTCCAATAGAAAGATTCAGGAGGGTCCATCAGGAAAACTGTTCACACCTGAGTGCAGGTGGTCTCTGCTTAATTAAACGACTTCCACTCCAACCTCTATCTCCTTTTTTCCTCCACGGATTCAACCAGCTGGTGTGGTTTTTCCCAAACACTCATCCAAAAGCTGCATTCATTAAATCTATCTGACTAACATGACCATAATTATCTATATTTGGTTTACATAAATGATTCTCCCCTTTGTCACTTGGAGCAAATTTGTCACATTTTGACCACCAGGCCTGTCAAGTGTGCAGCAAAGCATCTTAAAGATCTTTGACCAAGTCCAGATACCTTTTGGACCAAGACTGGAATTACCAAGATGACTGAGAACCTTTACAGACATCCTCTGTTTTCTTTTTTCTGTTTCTGGCCTATCCCCTGATGTATCATCATCATTGTTATCGTGCATATGGTACACTGTTCTATTTTCCTGCCAAAATCAACAACTTGCATCTACGGTCCTCTTTCCATAACTGTATTTTTTCTGTCTGTGAGTGGTTGTCACTTCATTTCCTCAAGCTGAACACTGACAGAACTGAAAAACTTCCAATGTCCATTATAACTAAAAATCAATACCAGTGCTGGTTTAAAGACATTATCTATGACCTACAAATGACCGTCAGCCATCATATCACCAAATGCAGCCTGTTACAATCAGCTCAAATGCAGCTCTAGGTAATTGACTCCAACCAGCCATCAGTCCTGTATCTTCCCTTTTCTTGCTTCACTGTTAAATTCAGAGGATCCAGCAGAGCTCTATGGTCTTGCCCCTGCTACATTTCTAAACTTTACCCTCCATTTTCCACTCCGCGTCCCTTCAGATCATCGAACCTTGGCTTCCTTTCCATACATTGCTTTAACTGCAAAACAAAAGGCAATCATGTATGTTGTCTTTGGGCTGCTTCAAGCCGCTGTGCAAAATTTATGTGTGCAAGAAAGCCTTTTTGTGACCTCTTGTTTCCCCTTTTGTTGCATCTGTACTTTGATTTGTGTTATTTGCTTTTATTTCTCAGCTTGTGGCGCTCTCTGTAACCAACAATCTAAAATACAATTTACTTCCTTTCTTCTTCCTCCTTCCTTGTGATCAAAAACATGCAATCACACCAGTTATTTTCTCTGAGCTGGGTTGCACACAACAAGGGCAGTTGTTTTGTCCTTAAGAGGATAGAAAAACAATTACGGCTGGTGTGATCCTTTAAACCCTGTCTGTCAGGTGGACTCACATGGCCGGACATGACTCCTTGCTGCAGCTGGTTTGGTTATCATCAGGTCGGGTTGAGGGGTCACAGAAATGCTCCCCCACGATCCCTGTTGTCTTTTCCACACAGTGCACAATCTGCCTCTGAACACCTGGAACATTAGCAGGAGGAGAGAAACACTTTTATCAGAAATAAGATACTCAAACACAAAATACTGGCTGCCAGGTATATCGATCTAAGCAATAATGGTCATAAATATAGGGTACAGTACATGAAGAGCACTAAGCGTGTAATTTAGAAGCTGAACGACAGCCAGAAATGGGAAACATGAAAACATGTCTCGTTATAGAAAACATGCCAAGCTGCACAGTTATGAGTCCAACAAATCCTTCTCACTGTATGTTTGACAGCTTGAAGTGCTGATTCAAATCATCACTTCCAATCTAACCAATGTTTAACAAATTCCCATCTACATCAGGAAAAGTTGGGAAGAAACAGATTTAATCCTAAATCTGTGACAGATTCATTCCCTCCTGTTGTTCCCCCTCCATCATTTCTTTCCCCTCCTGAGGGGATTCAGACCCACCAGAGCAGGAGACCCCCTTCCCCCCTCAGTGCCCTCTGCCCCGTTCTCACTGGGGCCACGGTACATATCAGATATCTAATTTACACCTTCAAAGGCATCGCGGCTTGGACCTGACAGCTGGATGATATTAAAAAACAGTGAGGGACAAAAAAAAGGCAGAAAAAGCTGGTAAACACTCTGAGCCATGATAATAACATAGGCTCACAGCAGCTATAGCTCAATAACACTCTAAAAAATGACTTTCCTTTGATGCAGCACCATGGTAGATGCTTTCGAGTCAAAATTAAGGTAAAACCCTTAACCTGACAGACAGAAACAACACAACTATCATATCATCTTTGATGTGAATGAGTGAGAACGTGGATTTTCTGAGTAAAACATCTGCATAATTTATTTACAGGAACATTTGGACTCCGTAGAAGACTGTTTGTAAACAGACTGTAAAAGATTTCACTTAAGGAAAAGATGGACCAGGCCAACAAAGAAACAGATGGTTACAAAAGCTCCTGTGTAAACAGACTTGAGTCCTTGTTGCACATTTACCTGATGACTCAACCCTCACTCTCTACTCGCCTTGTTTCCTGTCTCTCTCTTCAGCCGTCATGTGTAATAAAGGTGATAAAGCCCTAACAACACCGTCAGCAATGCTGCTTCTTTCAACAAACACTTTAGTATCTCTTCTTTTATTTACAGTAACAAGCTCCACATCCAAACCTGCATCTGTCTCTGAGCTACAGACATTTTAAAAACCCACAACAACACCAGCCCATAACACAGGAATCCCCTCCAGCAAACACAAGAGTTTTAATCCCAGCATCACAGTGAGAGAAGGGCACACTGAATAAATAAAAAAAACTTTAATATGAAAAAGAAAAAAGGTGGAGAGAAAACACTTTGTTAGAGATAAAGAAGGAGGAGTAAGGAGGACGGTAAACTCAGCAGACAAAGCTGGAGGGGAGACAGTTTTAACAGAGTGAGAGGAATTTCAAACAAGCTGTGAGTCAAACTCAGTTTAGAAAAGAATTATTCACAAGAGTTTTTACTTTTTATGTCGGCTTGTTTTCTTGGACGTCACGTTCTGTAAAATTTTGCCCTCACACATGTTCTGGCACATGTGTGTGTGCTTGATCTTTTTATGCTTTTATTTTGAAAGGATGCGTAATGTTCTTTGAAAGCATGACTTAAAATTAGAAAATGGACAGGGTATGGTAAAATTAGATGACTTTGTTCATGAGTCTCCTGTTTAAACCAGACGAATAATAAGCTCTGCTTTGTTTCGGGTGGTTTATAAAACCTTTTTTTCTCCACACATGAAATTTATACCAATGTCTGTGGAGAATATCAAATAGCTGAAATGTACCACCTGAGCTGGACTTTCTCAGGGCTCTTACTAATTAGACTAAAAAATGCACTATATTTCATCAGCAGCCAATTAAAGAAGATAAATCATTAGGATAAACAAACCTGAAGTCTCCTCTGCAGTGTTGGGAATACTTTATTTATGCTGCCGTGTTTCTCATTAAAGTGAACTATATTCCTTTAAAAGCACCATACGGAGTGATTTCCTAAGCAGCAGCACTTTCTGAGATGGGTTTACTGTTCAACCTCATGAAAAGAAGCCGTCACATCCTATACACTCTCCTACAGCTCAAGCAGACGCTATGGCTCATTTTCTTTCATTCACACTGTGAAGCTCCTTACTGATCCTGACTGCATGAATGTAGGTCACAACTCCAGGCTCCTCTGACAGATCAGAGACAACAAACTCAGGATTCCTGGGGGACGCTGAGGTGCTTTACAGATACAGAGGAAAATATGTCCTGTGAAGAAACTCTAAACTTTAGTAACCTGAGAAAAGTATAAGGAAATTGTTTTTTTTATAAAAAGGTAAAAGTTTGTGTATTTGAAACTGAAGAAAGTAGCATTTCACCAGTGGAATTTAAACTCTGCTGCATGTGCTGCAAAAACAGGCCAAAGTTTAAGACATGAGTTTGATCAATTTCTAATAATTCAGTCACCTGGTTAAAGTTTAAAACCTTCACGCTCCAGGTCAGCTTATGATAACACACTGAGGAATTCATTTTCATGTCCCTCTCCACCACGTTCATAAAACTGTGGTATTCGTGTGCACCGTCGAGTTTCCAAAATAAGAGAGGAAATGGGCATGTGATTTGTTGTGAAGGAAGGGATAATTGAAAAAGTGCTGCTTTTTTTCTCTTGATTACAAGTCGTGCATAAATAAAAGATATCTCTGAATAAAAACACGTTCAGTTTTTAATCTCAGACCGCCACCAACCCCGTGACAAGAATCTTTGATCTATTTTCTTTATTTAAATATGGCTGACTTACAAAACAGAACAATTAAAGGATTTTGATACAAAGCAAAATGCCAGAAAGGTTACCAGCCTCACACAGTGTAAGCTGTAATTGACTTCCTGTCACTGAAACTTTTCAAAAGAACCTGCAAGGTTAAATCTTCATACAGAATAAAACGGGAAGCTTTGAGCCTCATGGCTTTTAGAAAGCGTCCTGTTGAGTGTTTTCCGTGTAAGAATGAAAAAGTCAAGCTTTTGACAGATGCAACATGATGGAGTGTTGAGTCCAAGAACTTTTGATTCAGCACAGGCTTCAGGTCAGGGCCAGAGGGGTACAGCACCAATCGTGCACGACCAATATAACTGGCAGCAGGGAAAAAGTCTATCAAAAAACTCCAGCAGGTAAAGTGAGTTTGACCTTTCAAACCTCAGAAAACTGATTTTGTTCAACAGTGCTTTTGAGAAATGTCAGTTTTTTAAATAAAGATCTGGAGTTTATTTCATTTACTTTCATTTTGCTCCATTTTCATTCTATTTTTCTCACTCTGGATTTATATTCTTGTCATCAGAGTCAATATCAAATAAACAGCTATAAATCTAATCTGAGTATAGTGTTTGTATTCACTTTAATGTTATTTGTTTTTAGAGGATCTGTTATTTTTATATTTATTGTTAAACTCATTTTGGCAGCCCAAACAGTAAACTCTGCAGACAAAATAACCCAATAAAACAAAAAAGGAAAACTTATATTCATATCTTGGTACTTTTATAGATTCCAGGAGGCTTTAAAAGTTTAACATGAAAAATGTATCCAGCTTTAAAGGCATCCCTTGCAGAACTTAAAGTGGTCTCTCCTACCTCTTCCACAGGTGACACTGCATTCAGTCCATGAACCGTATTTCCAGAAGAAAACTGAAGCAGGGAGTTCGTTGTCCTCTGAGACATTTCGACTGATGGTGTACTCGTACCGCACTCCTGGATTGGTCTCTTGAAAGAGGAGCTACAACACACAGATATGGAACAAATAGTCTTCGGATGTTGTCACTTTTCTCTCATTCTTTCTTGATTACTGGATATTCATCATTTTTGAACAATGCAAAGTATGAGGAGAGTTCAGACAAACTTAATTCAATTGTTATTTAATTATCATCAAAAGGACACAGCTGTGAACTGTTCACCCTACCTGAATCCACAGCGGCTCCATGGTGGGTCCGGGGGATGTCAGGTTCTCCAGGTGTCCTGTCCTTTCATAGGTAAACACTGTCCCTGCTGCTTTGTACTCTCCGTTCCACTGGATTGTCCAACCACCGTTCAGGAAGTATTTGTTTGGGGTGTCACTTCTTAAAGCCAAAAAATTCCCGGCTTCTGCCATCTCTTCGATGCGGATGTCCCGGGCTCCCTCTGGGATCAGTCCGATGTCCACGTAGCCTGAGGGCGGACATGAGAGTGATGATGTGATTGAATTTATGAGTCCAAAATATTTTGGTGAGATTTTGTAAGTTTAACATTAAAGAGAGTGTTTGATTTATGGATGTCTGCAGTTTAGTAAATGGACTGTTTTTAAGGACATGACAACAGCTAATGAAAAACAAATATTTCCTCTGGCCTTGGCATAAAGCATATTCCCAGTGTGGAAATCATCTGTTTATTAAATCTTCTTTGTTTTACAATCATAATCATTTCTGAGCTCCAACATCGTGACTCATTGTCCCTCACTTTGTTCCCCAAACAGAGGACTGCGAGAAGTCTATAAACATTCAACTGACATGTTATGTAATGTCATATGGTGTTGGTGTAACAATGACAGAAAGTTTTTTTTTCTATTGAATAGCACAGATAGTACATTGCTGTAAGAGAGAAAACAGAGTACAAAGAGTATTTGTACTCGCAGCACAAGTTCCTTAGCAACACATTTCTTTACACCGTTACATCTGTGTTGCTTCCCGGTTTATTTTGAAACTTCCTGAGGTGATTTCTGGGGATTCACTTATCTGACTGCACCTGAGGTCAGTTAGCCTGAGTCAGTTAGGTGACTCATCACCTCAGTGGTTTGTTTGTTTGTTGGTAGGGCAGTAATTGAACCGCCAACCTTCCAGTTGTAACCTTTTAAATTTGTTGCACATTGCGATGCTTTTGTTTGAGTTTTGTTTTCTGCTTTTTCCAAGCATCCCTCTCATTCCTCTCTGTTGCCTGGAGCTCAGACCAACAGAAGAGGGAGAGAAACATCTGGGTGCAACAGAAAAACCTTGATGGAATTGGGACATTAGTCACTCTTTTATGTTTTGTCCCCCTTTGACATGTCAGAATGTCTCCCAGTGAAAAGGTAGCACGAGTAAAAAGCAAACAAACCCAGTCCTTCAGTCTCCTCAAATGTCCTCCTCACAGTTGTACAGGTGGAGCCGTTACCATGACAAACCCCGCAGCGATCCTCCACAGCGCTCGACTCGATCACGTAGTCACAACCTACACTCTGTCAGACACATGGGGAAAAATGGGACGACAGACTTCATTAAAATAACCCTTACAGTGACTACATGACAATATACACTGTTTTTCACTTTATTGAGAAAACAACAAACTTCCCCCATCCAAAATTTTACAGTGTTTCTTCAAAAAAAGTAAACAGCGCAGCTTAGGAGGAAATTAAAACGACTGCGTGACTAAAATGTCACAGAATGTCATGAAATCAGGGCCGCAGGTCTGTGTTTGCTGTCCACTCCAAATCCAAACACTGTCTGTATCAGTGAGTGACATTTTGGACCAGGGTGATAGGCCAGAGCAGAAAGATAACAGCCGCCGTGTTTTTCTATCAATAAGTCATTTTTGTGCAGAATGTCAATTACACAACGCTCGCCAGCAGACAAAACAAGGTGAGGGTCAACTACCGACAGACAGCTAAAGATACGGCAGACTAACAAAGCAGTGAGGCAGTGAAATTAAACAGAGACAAAATAAGTGAGAGAGAGTCGGAGAAACAGACCAGCCAGACCTGCTTTAACAAATCTAATCTGCAAATACAGCAAGTCAGTGGCAGTGGGTGTATTTTCAACATCATAAGGTTAATGTTAACATAGTTTACCCAGAGGAGGAATTAAGAAAAAACATGTGACCTCCATGGCAAAGGAGATAAATTATTGATCAATTATCCTCAGAGAATATATAGGAAATTAGAGACAGTGTTGATACCTTACAGATGCCGTTGATGCACATGTCTCTACTTTTTTTCCCTTCATAACACGGCGTTCCATCAATAACGGCATCCCGCAGCTTTTCTGAGAAATCTTCATTGAGAGGGCGACAGTGCAGCTCACAGGGGCTCACTGGAGGAGGTTTTTAAGACACACCCAAACAAAAACAAAAATGTGTGATAAAAAGATGATTTTATTAAGTCAGCTAAAACTCTTTCAAACGCTGAAAGATGTTCATCACGCTCACCTCGGTTGATGACTGCCTCCCACTTGTAGAACTTGCCCTTGTAAGGCAGGCTGTTGAAATGAGAGCACTGAATGTTCCTGAAGCTCAGCTGTTCATTCGGACATGGAGCTGTGTTACAGATCTTGTACCTTCGTCGCTCTCCAAGACAGTATTTTCCTCTGTATGCAGGACTGTAGGAGAGTTCAGGGAATGCAGCGATGGTTTAGGTTTAGACTTGGACCTGGTCTCACTGCTGACCTGAACTGTTGCTTCAGAGATGTCAGTTTAGAGTTGTTTATAAGTTGCAGGTAACCCACAGATCACTATTCTCGAACTTCAGTGATACTTTCACTCCCACAAATGGCTGAAATCTTAGCAAGAATTTGTGTGCAACCTTTACTGCTGTCATATTTGACTCCAAGAGATTTATATGTCTCACTAAATAGTCAGAAAAAGTTTAAATCCAGAGAAATACTTAGTGAAACTTGACTTGTGTATAGAATGACATTCATTTTAACATCTTAAAACATTAACAAGTGAAACTCAAATCATACACAAAGTGCACCAACATAAAAAACTAACATATTTTTCTGCTTCTGTTGTATCCATCTGTTGTTCTTGTTACTGAAGCTCCTCTCTGAGGGTTAACACAAGCTTCTTCTGTTTGCCCAGTGGAGGATGTATTGTGTCAGCTCTGTCAGGCACATTTTTCACCTCCCAGTCATTATCTCTGTGAGTAATGAGAGGAAGACTTCTTTCTCCAAACTGATGTTGCAGACACAAAAGGAACAGGTAGAAAAACAAAATATGTCCCTCCTTTCCCCCAAATAAAGCACAAAGACAGTCCTTCTCCAATTTCTTTAAACTAAAGGTAAAAGGATGTTGAACCCACAGTGGGTTACACACATTTTTTCTGATTCTATAGTACATCTATGGAAACAATTTATTTTGCAATTTAGTTTGTGTTCATAGTTTGCAGTATGAACAAAATCGGGAAAAAGCTACATGCTAAATCTGGAGAAAAATGGGCAAGTGAAGTTTCCTTAATTCATTCATATTGAATTTATTTTGGTCAACCCACCAGAGGCGAACCTTTAGCCTCTCAGCTTCGGTGTGTCTGCCTGTCAGTCGAGTCAGCCATGCCTCTTATTTACTAATCTTTTAACTTTAATAACCTTAAAAACAAAGCATTTCAAAAGATTTCATTCCCCACATGGTTTCCGGTGATGTTGCAGTCAGCCTCAAGTGGCCACTTTGGGAACTGCAGTTTTTAGCACTTCCGCATCAGCTTCATTTCTCAAGACCAGAGGTTCCGGTTTCTTTGTATATGCATGACACAGGAACAAAAATCAAATCAAAGTCTACTCACACAGGGTTATCACAGTCTCTCTGGGCACTCTGGACTCCAGCTCCACATGTCCTGGAGCAGGCCGACCACTCGCTCCACGATGCCCAGCCTCCATCCACGCTCTCAGGCTCATATCCAACTGCTACACACTGTCCACTGAAACACCACTGAAAAAAAGGACATGTTCACATCACAGTCTCAAACGAACACATGTCCCAGCCCTCATTTCTTTAATCTTTTAAAATGGTGAGATCTGGACTCACCTTGTCCACTCCACAGCTGGTCCCATCCACAGCTCCATCCAGCTTTGAGTGGCAGGTTGTTCCCACGGTGCACCACAGAGTGCTGCAGACATTCTTGGAGAGCAGAAACATCTTCATAAACAGCCTTTTTACATTTTAGACACAAAGCTTGCATCGATGTACTTTTTCAAGGTTTATTGGAGGCATTGCATTTAAGGAATAAAAACCATTTCACCACTCATAACATCTCTCGTTATATGGAATAAAAACCCTGCTGAGATACGCTGCTGTTCACCTTTTTATTAATGTTAAATAACTCATAATAATAAATTAAAACAAGAAGGCTGTTGTACATGCCCGCGAATGTATATGGTCATCCAGCTTTCATAAAACAACCATTTTCCTCTGTCAACAGACTTTTTCTCAAGGCTGACTCTGAGTATAGTCTGACTTGACTGAATGATTTCAATAGTTACCTGGTACAAAAGCTTTTCAGTTCTCCTCCGCTAATGAAGAGACTCTGACAGCCTATTGTTTGTTGTGAAAACGTTTCACCGAAGCAAGAGCTATTCAGTGAGGACTGTTGTTTTTATCTTTACTGTGAAGACAGGAAACAGTGGGCTCTCGGCTAAGAGTATACAACAAGGGCTAATCATCTTTCAATCTGCTGTGCTTCGAGCAGAACCATAGGTGCAAACCCCGCATCTGTACTGTAAATATGAAAACTAAAGGAGGTCTGCACATCTGACTGTGAAACTTAAAACTGAGAATGCAATCTCTATATCTAGATGTTTTATAGGCAACAGTCTGGCGTAACTACATTTCCATGTAAAATCTGTGTGTGCATGTGTGTGTAGTCAGATAAAACCAAAAGGTCAAACTTGCTGCTAATAAAGGATCAACCTTCCTGAGAACGTCAGCTTCCATTCATGTTGACATTTGTCAAAGGAGATAATTGGAAACACAAACACTGCAGATTAATACAACTTTTGAGATGGAAACAGTTTCAAACTTCTAAATCCAAACTCAAGTTAAACTATTGCAGCGCTAAACCTGGATTTACTTTCTAAAAAGAAAGGTGTAACTTTGTGACTAAAAATTCAGAGATAAAGGCTGTGTAGATGCACTGCATCGATCCTCAGAGCAGAGATTAACTTCCTCAAGAATTGGAAAGGTCACAGTGACTGAACACCCCTCTTCGTATGAGTTATGCTCATAAAAAAACCTGAATCTGATCTTCCAGTTGGCTGGCTGATCTGTCCCTGTTCCAAGATTTATTTGGACTTATCTGCCGTCTCCCCCGATGTGTCTCATGTAAGAAAAAAAATTAAATCAATAAGGAAACTCCCAAATCCCCAAACTACCAGAATATCGAGCGACACAAACAATCCCACACAAAGCAGTCTGATTTACCCCCAACTCAGTCGCCAAAAATTAGTAGGTTTTCACAGAGTGGGGAACAAAATACAGGTGCATTCCTGGAAATAATTGTGATATTATTCAGGAGTGCAGATGGTGCTTTCAGAAAATATCAAAACTTAGTTGACTTGTAGGAGCAGATCAGAATGGGAATAAACCTCAATTTTACCCTCACAAGGTTAAAATGAAAACTGCTGCTCTCTTGTGCAATAAGAAAATAATATCTTTCAGATATCAAACAGATATCATCTGTGTTATAGTCGTACTGGGCAGGCAGGAAGATTGCAGGTTGGATGTTAAATTGATTTAATTCACCTTTTGTGTTTAATAGAAGTGAGACTGAGCTTCATGAATCTCTGCATATTCACACAAACTCCACATTTTTTGTAATTAGTCAAAGATTAAACATATTTTTTAGATTTCAGTGAACTTTACGTAAACACTTCAGTTTCCGGCTTGACCTCAGCAAATCAGTATTGTGAAGTCGCTGCATTATGACAGCAGCCGTTATGTTTGGGATAGCTCATCAGGATATAACAGGGTGATGTGAACTCAGGCTGGTGGTTTATGAGCCTGTGGGGTGCTTATAAATCTGCACATGCTGTTAAAAACCGTGTTTATGGGACGTTATGCTTTTAATTTCAGGAAATGCGCTGCATGTGTAAAAATACACGTGTGTGGTCTCTGTCTGCTCCTGCTGTACCGTACTGTACTGGTTATAAATCATTTTAAGCTGCTTTCAGCCATAATACAGAGCAACTTTAACCTTTCAAGTGAACGGCTTGTGAGGATCTTATCAAGTTTGAAATATATTAGCGGGAGCACTCATAGCAAAGGACAAACTTCACCATAAAAGAAAAACAGTGTCAAAAGTTGAGCCAGTTTAAGAAGTTTGAACTTCTCTCTCTCTCTGTGTTTCTCTCTCTCTCTCTCTCTCTCTCTCTCAGGCTCCTGTTTGTATTTCTGACTCAGATTTTTTCCCTTTATGTAAAAAACAAGAGCAATAGTCTGAATGCTTCACAGAGAGGCTGTCTAAAACTCTGCCTTGTTGTCCTTGACTTCAAATGACAGTGCTTCTCTCTCCCCTCAGTGATGACTGGTTTTTCACTCAACCTTTGAGAGCGACCATTCAGAGCAGTGAACTGTTGACAGTACCGCCTTTCAGGGAGGTCAGACAACATAGCAGAAAGGACGAGAGCTTTTTGATTAAACACATTTAATGAATAAAAGCTGAATTAGCTTCAAAATCACCTCATTGTATTAAAGATATTGAGAAGACTGCTTCATCTAGGGGAGGGTGACAACATTGAAAGGAACAAAAATTTCTCAAAGGAGCTTTACTGTAATTTTAATAAGGACTTCTTCCTGCAGAGTTTAGAGATGGGAAATAACTTGAGATAAAAAGGAGGAAAGCTGAAATCATCCTGAAAATCAGTTGAGATCTGTCTTGTTTCCGTGGGGTTAGTGTCTTTTGGACAGAGGACTACCTCTAAACTCTTCATCATCTTGTCCTATAAAGAACATTTCTGATAAAATATATCATCTTGTGTCTTTCAAATAGATCACACTGTAGTTTTTTTGCAGTGGAAAATGTAAAGAAAGTCTATCGTGTGCAGTGCGGGGACTCGCATTTAAGCATTTAAAAAGTTCAGGATATGAAATTTATCGAATGTTTTTGCTTTGGTAGCTGATAAAAAAAACAAAAACATGAATGTCTATACAAACACTCCTAACAGGAGCTTCAGCTGGATCTTTAAGCAAAACCAAAAATAGTCAAGAGTTAAATATTATTCAAGTGTTTAGCGATACCTGATGATTGGGACTTCTTTGTGTCTAATGTTGATAAACTGATGCGAGTTTATGAATAAGATTCATTGTTGTAAAGGATGGCAAGGAAAGACACTGAGGGAGGTTTCTGTCCTGTGTGACACCCATGTTGCTCTTTGTTGAAGAATATTGAGGCTGAAAGCAGCGAATGGTTTCAGCCAATTTGGTCTGTGGACAATAGAGGTTAATAGGAACTTTGAACCTTTTATGCTGTATTGACCACATGATGGAAAAGGGAATAATGGAGAAAGTTATTCCACTAAAAAGAAACATTTTGTGTTTGAAGATGAGCAATTTAAGTCAAGTCAAAGATAATGAAGCTGTTCTGAAGACACGTGCAAGAAATAAGATGACAGAATATAATCTGACCGTACCACCACGCATCTCTTTGTCTGGATCATTTTTTGTGTCTTTGTTGTGTTGAAAGACTTACATCCATGTCATCACAGAGCACAGACCCAGATCCATACTGCAGCCGGCACTGATGAGCTGCACTGTACAGAACCCCAGGGAGCACCGAGTTCAGGGACAGCTTGTCCTTCACTGGAGCATCGTCCAGACACCAGCCCCAGCCGCGGCTGTGAGGGGAGATAGAAGAAAAATCAGAGTCCTATCAGTCTCTTTTTTTTCCACATAATAACATAGAGCCACATTCTGACTAGAAAATTACTTTAGCTTTCCTCTCTGCAATTTCAACTATAAAAAAAGGTTCAATGACTCATGATTACACCTACATTTGAAGGATGCAGATGATAGAAAATCTGTTATCAGGAGCTGTTATTTTGTGTATCCATCCGACATTTCCAAGCTAGCGTAATTACAAAGGAGTATTAACACAAAGCAGATGGAATTAACTAAATTATTATTACAGAGGAGCCAGATTGGCCACTAAAGGCTGCATCTCATAAATAAAGACCATAATCCAGCAGTGGCAGGTTTAGGTCTCTATGCTGCATGTCTTCCCTGCTCTCTACTCGTCTCTTCCCATATCTCTCTTGGCTCTTAAACTTCAGCAGCTTTCTTTATATAAATGTGCATTAGACAAATGACTAGACTATTGGAAATGAGTTCATAATCCATCAGAGATAAACAGAATAGGGGACATTCTCTCCGGCAGTTTCTTGGGTTATGGAAATAAAAATACAAACATTAACAACACAACCATGAGCAAAAAATGTATAAAAGCAATGAGCTTCTGCTACACAATTGGTATTTAAAGGGCATGCTAATTAAGGAGGGGGTTGTAGCTTTAAGGTCATCTCTTTGTGCAAGAACAAACATCTGCATAAAAACAAACCTTGCCAAACAGAGCATTAGTAATAACCTTTTTCATAAATTGCAGTGATACTTCTGCAAGTTTAATACCCTTGGCAGGGGAGATCGTGTTTTGTTAAAAGGCACAGGAAAAAGTTGGCTGATTGAATGTATTTCGGAGGTGATTTGACAGAGAAAGTTTCATTTTCTTTTCCAATAAGAACTGACACAAGCCTGAAGCTAAATGAGTCAATTACTTTAAAAAAAAAAAAATCACATTCATGCATTAAAAAAAAACTCTATCACCACCTAAATGTTTATGTCAGTTCCTCTTTTACATGCATTACCTGGGAATTGGTTCATAGTGATGCAGGGATTCATTCTGCTCTATGAATCGAGCAAAGGCACTTATTTTGATGATGGGAACATGTATAGTCGGTCGGACTTAATCTCAAATTAGCTGTGGGTAATTTCCTGACTATGAGCGACTTTAAGAGGAAGGAATACAGAAAAGAGAAGCATTTAACTCTTGGGTGAGAGCTCATTATATCCTGTCATTTGTGCCCAATTACACTTAAGTCTGCCAGTCATGGTAATCATTATTTCACAGAGAGAAATTTCCTAGATAGAGTTTTGACACCAATGTATTTTCCTAACAGAACAGGTGGGAGCAGAAAGTGACGGAAGAACAGAAATCTGACAGATTATAGCTTGGAGAGTTAAGTTCGCAACTTAAAGAAAAAATAGTGAAGAAATTCTACATTTAGAGTTTAACATTTCTTTCTTAAGTAGCTGTCTGATTATCTCAGACACGCACGGGGCAACAACAGATTAAAAGATAAAATTTCCTTTTTACAAACGTTTTTAACTCTGATAAATCACAGCAGTCATCTTAAACAAAGATGAAATCTTGACATACAGATTAATCATTCAGTCCCTTCATGTTGTCAATTAGCCAGCGCTCAGACCTTTATAATGGGAGCTGAGATGGGATCGTGATGAGCCTCTGATCCTTTAATTAACACGAACTTTGTGATATGAATTTCAATTACAAGCATAACTCAACTGGAGATGTCTGAGCTGACACAAAGCAAACGTCTCAAGTTAAAAGCAGAAATGTGGTTTTGATTTATTCAGTCCACTAAGTGTTGTCCTTTATCGATCTGCAGTGCCACAATGAAAGATGTCGACAGACCTTTTGAAGAAGTGACACAAATCACACTGAGAGTCCTAAATAGGTATGAAGGCAGATATGCAGAGAGCTTCAGCATGTAAGCTTTCACTAAGAGGGAAAATATGAAGCTTAAGAGCCTCAAAGAAATATACATATATTTTTTTATTTCTACTGAAAACCTGTGAGAGAAAAAGTTGAGTGCAGAGTCTTTTGGCTCTGCTGCATTGGGAACATTCACACCAAATAAACACCTACAAGGAAAAGGATACAATAAAATCAATGAGCTTTACAGATGCTAAACTTTAAATAACATGCACAGGATGTTTATCATTTACAGGGTTAATAAACACTGCGTTCCTGTTGAAGTCAAATTTCAATCAAATTTATCTCAAAAATATCAAAAACTATCTACATTTCTTGACACATAATGAAGTTTCAGTTATCAGAAACAAAATGTTCTGTAGTCAACTCGAGAGGTCACAAATTATCCCGTTTAACAACATTATGATTTATATTTGCGAAAAGTCATGAACTACTTTTATGGCTCTGACTTTTTGAACAAAGATTGGATAAAGTTTTTCTGATGCACTCATCAGAGTAAATCAGAGATAATTCCTGTAAAATGAAAAATGCATTTACTGACAGTACAAACCAAAATCTGTAATAAAGGTTAAAATGGTTTTAACTAGAAAATACTTTTGAAATAACATAAATTAAGATTATTATGTTGGAGCCTTTAACATGATTACATTTCTATTTTTACACCGACTTTGTTCTGCTTTTTTCTCTAAGTCACCTCTTGACGTTTTACTCCCACGTGTGAACCTATAGACTGAAGGCTGCCAAATCAGATTGAAAGATTTACAGGCTTTTGTTCTGGATTTATCAACAAAATCATTAATCCAACATGACCTCTCGCCGCCCACTGAACAGTAGCAATTAAAATGTTCTCCATGAGTGCCTCTGCACTAAAAACACCTCTGGGGCCAAATTAGGTTCTTCTGTCGCCTTTGTCGACGCCGGCTTTCCTGGAACAGTTTATGGATTTTAATTAACTGTTTCCAGAATCAATTAAGTTCAAAGCAAATCAACAATCAATACACGAGCTGGGATCAACCTATGCTATGCATCAGATATCTCCATGCTGTGACTGTTTGCAGCAACTCAATTAACTTCAAAAAAACGCAAATAATCTTCTCTCCACTCGCCCTTTTTGGCCTCTCAGGAATTCTCCTGTGGACAACAAAGAGTGGCCGTGTTTACGAGAGGTTCATCGATAAGATAATATCTAAACTCCAGCTGAGGGTGACCTTCTACATTCCTCATAAAATAACACCTACAGACAAAAGTCTCTGACACAGCGTGAGCAGCGGAGCCCAGAGGGACTGAAGTCGTATACAATGGAAGCTTTGTACCGCAGTCAGAGAAAGATGTAAAACAGTGAAAATGGAGGAAAAAGCTGCTGTGAAGAAGACGGAGAAAAAGAGATAAATATCAGGGGTTAAATTGAAAAAGAAGTAGAGCTTCTAACAACCTTCAGCAGTGAACAGCTGTGGTAACCCAGTTTTGCAGCCCTGTTATGTAAATCTATGTTTTTTCACAGACATATAATGTTACAATGTTGGACGTCCATTAAGTTTCATTATACCTGACATAAAAATGTTTGCATTATTCCTGGATGGGTTTTCCAGCCTTTCTGAACAACTCTTTGGGATGAGTGCTTAAGACCTGACCTGAGCCTGGACGTTGTAGGACAGGTCCAGCTGGTTTTTAACTATCAAACTTCAAATCAAGAAATGACTGGTTTCAAACTGCGACCCTTGACTGCATGTCGTTCCCCTCTCTCTTTCTCAGTGTTTTTTCCACCATCTTCTTCTCTCAAAAACTGGCCACAGATATAACTACAAAGAGTTTTCTCCAGTCAAGTGCACATTTTAAACTACTACCATCACATCCGTTGTCAGCAGGTTGATCTGTTTTCCCATCCCTGTCCCTCATTCTGTCCACTGTGAGGTATCTGAATCATATTTAACGCTTCACCGTGAAATGTAGACCAGGCCTTTTATGCTGCTTGGAGGTAGACTTCCCATGACTATGGTATTATTTCCAAAATGTAAAACGTTTCACCTGTCAAGCTTTTCAGTTCACGGAGAAATCAAATTAAAATCTTATAACTAAATTCTGTTTAAGCCACAGCTGCTCTTTAGGTGTCATACCAATACAGCGAGCCAACTCTCCATACAGTACGGCCTTGAGTAATGATGCCAGGCTGACTCTGAGATAAAGACTGATATACTACAATGTGGACAAACTGCTGACACAGCCTTGTCTCCTTTTTAATTACCGTAACATACACACACAAACATACACACATTCCCTAGCACACACAAACCAGTAGCCTTTGTGAAGCGAACTCCCACAAGTGTAAATAATATCGCCCTCTGCCTTTATTTTCTCTCTAACGTGAAGTCAGGGAGCTACAATGCTGCGGAGTAGCTGAACACCCACTAAATGGATTCCAGATGCTTGGCGCTGAAAACTGGGGCAACTGTAGTGAACTATTTCAGACATTTAACACTCGTCATGTCAAAGCCAGAATCACAGAGCCGGTCTTTGACAGCAGCAGCTGACCATATACATGACTGACGCTCGCATGCTTTGCTGTAGATAGATATAGACAAATATACAGACATACAGTATCAGCGTATATTTTTGTCAAACTGTAATATCAGCACAGTAAATGAGAACAATGGCATTTAGACCACCTTAGCTCTATAAAATAAATAAATCCTACATTAATAAATTAAAAATGCCCTTATTATGTTAGTCTATTTCTTTCTCTATAACCTCTAAATGATAGCCTGACCAATGTTTCAGACTCCACGGTCATCAGACAGCAAGCTTAAATAATGATGATCTTAGAACTTATTACTAACAAACCAAAAAATGAAAGAAGTCTTATCAGATAGCAGGTCAGCTTTGATTTATCATGGTAAAAGGAGACAAATGCGCAGAAGCTGTACAGTATGATGAGTTTGAGTGGTTATGATGACAAGCTGTAGAAAAATATCTCTAAACTGTGCAAGTGCTGCTCCAAACGATGGTTTACTGCAGATTAGAGCTGTTTATAAAGTCTGAATCCACAGCAGAAACTACGTGTGATACATATTATAGTTGAGTGTTTCTGCCCTCAGGTCAGGAAATCATGAAAAATTTAAGACAGGTTGAATTTGAACAATGCTGTCTCATAAACTGTTGAAACAACAACAACAATAATTAAACCCGGGTGTGACTTTACAAGCAGAACTCATTTTATCTTGCATAATTCGTTCTATCCCTTCAGTTTATTGGATCGGAGGGAGAGGAAGCTTTAAAGCTCTTGGGGTGGAGTTTTTTAACTGGTTATGAAACAGGCTGAAAATCACACTGATGCCTGTTTATGACCAAAAACAGCCAACAAGACCATCATATTTGAGATTATTGTTTCCTTATTGTTTGTTAAAGCCTGTGAGTGCTTCTACAGGGCCAGAGTTTAACAGGCAGTTACAGCACGCTGTTTTTCAAGAGGTGAGTTATTCTCTAAAAACATGTAGAGGACAACATTTGCTGAAATATTAAAAGGTGCCGTGTTGCTTAAAAAGGTCTCATAAATGAATGCAATTGTAAAGTTCTCCAGGGAAGCAAATGAAATGTATATGTATGGACATACTTACCATGTTTGTTATGGTGTGGATATGGTTATAAGAATTCATAAATATTCATATTATATATTATTATCAAACATCATTAAAACATAACATGATGATGGTTGGATGCCGATACAATATAGTTGCTGAACACTCATTGTGTTTTCAAAGGTTAAAATTTTCATACTAGTTATTCATTATAATAATTCTATAACACTATTATGATGCATTATGATGTGATTATAAGTCACTGTAAGTAGTCATTACATGCCTTAAGCATGAAGAAATCCACTGCAAGATAGTTGTAAGTCACTTTAAGTCATCACTGTCTGCTTAAAGTGAAAAAGAATAAGATCAAAATTACAAAAAAAAATTGTAAATGCTTTTCAGGCAATAAATTCCTTATAAATTCAGTTATTATAATGAGTTATGAAAACTGTATGATGCACTATAAATAACCATCAACATTTACAACTATGATTAAACAGCACTTTTAGTGCATAACATAGACTGTCTATAATATGGACAACTTGGTTCCGCCTCCCGCCTGTATACGGATTTGAAGCCAAATAGCTCTCGATATTTCCGGGATTTTTCTTCATTTCCTGAAACCAGCGCTGCGCAATAGCGATGCACACATTTGGCCACGCAGTTGCCGAGAGTCCCTGTGATGACGCTCGGCTCAAACAGCGTATCCCCCCGGGTGAGCGACGCAGTCCCTGAACGCCCATAGGCTGTATCAGGTGTCAATCATAGAAATCATGACCCCCCTAATAACTTTTAAAAATGGAGCTGTTCAGAAACAAGAGGACTTGAGCACAAACCAGTCTTACAATAACTACATGTCAACATCACAAGCAGGGGGGAGAAAAATTTATGTTCTGTGTAATAAATTTCTGAAGTTTGTCCACAGTCCCATAAGCTTTGCTGGTGGAGGCGGGATTTATGACCTATACTGCAGCCCATCAACAGAGGGTGCTGTTCTCAGAGTGGCTTCACCCAGTGAGGAGGCAAACTCTGTCCATTCTATATACAGTCTATACTGCATAATGTTGCATTATCAGTTTGGCCATATTGTGTTTTTATAAATTATAGAGGCAAGCCTCATTTTAAAGTGTTCTCAAAAAGGTGTAAAATATATGATCATACATCATGGTGACCATATTCATCTTCAGAAATGGTATAAAGTCGTTGCTTGAAATGAGCAGAAATCCTGGTCTGTGTCGGGGGAGCAGTATTTGCATGATGTCTCTTTAAATTTATTGCTTCTAGTTTTTTACAGAATAGTGTGTGTGGACAGATTATGTTTAAAGGCGGCCCTTGGAGATCTCTTGACACATACATTCAAAAAGTTATGGGAGCAGTAACATTGAACATAAACGTCAGACAGCTGTGTGTTGGTACATCACGTGTGGCACTCACTCGAGAAAGCGGGTGATGTACTGGCGGCTACAGCGTGACCACTTGGGCAGAGAGGTGCCGTACAGGAGCTGTGGAGACATGACGAACGGCCGTTTCCCGATGGGTTCGCAGTCATTACCACTGCCATCATGCTGAATCCCAAAGCTGTGAAATAAAAACACATTCAGGACAAAAAGATGAGAATTGAGCAAACAGAGTAAGTAGTAGTTACTTCAATTGAATACACCAATCTGTCCTTGAACAGTGTGTACTGCGCACACTTCACGTCTGTGTGCAGCACTAGAAAACACTAGTAAAGGCAGCCTGTTGGGGACACAGCCTAAATGCTGTTGTCAAACACATGTGAACATTAGCCCTCATCTGCTAACTGCACACCACTCTGATCAACATCCACTCAAGAGCATCCACTTGAGAATGCTCCAGGTTTTCACAACTCAGGTAACTCAGCAACAAGGATAGTAATTGTAGCAGAAAGCCTTGATCACAAATGTGTTTCTGTGAGCACTAAGATGATGTTCAGAAAAGTACAAAAACCAACCCCTGAGCACCACGAAACAGCAAAACGTGCTTTTCATCATTTTTGAAGAAAATTTGTGACAAACTCGGTCCTTGCAGAAGATTTCAAAGAGAACAATTTCATAAACAAAACTGAGGTTTGGATGTGAGGTTTGTTCTTTGGTGCATGGAGAAATGAATTTAATTGGTTCTTCCTTTGCTGAGAGATTAATTTGAGCTTTAAGGAGAAACTTAACCAGGTTATTTGGTAGGGGAATCAAATTTACGGATGAACCTTATGTTAATCAAGTTTTGCACTCTCTTTGCCATTTGCTCACAGCTGATTCTGTCCTAAAATCTGGGTATGGATTAACTTTTCATAAACTTCTCTGCAGTTTTGATTCCATTAAATTTTACAACAACAGCTACTCCACCGTTTTAGAGCATGTGAAACTGAAAAGTATCCATGTATCAGAACTTTGGGTTTGGCTCATAAATCAAAAAGAAGACCTGCTCTACAGCTCATTTTGCAACTACTGGATGATAAAAAACCAGATGTTGAGATTATTATAATCTTACATAACCCATGCATCTCCCTCATGACCTTTTCACATTAGTATGCTGACACTCACACTTCAAGCTACGGTGAATTAATTCTTTCTCTAAAAGCCTACAGGGGGCTCATGTTAACCCACTACTTATTCATGCATTCAGCTTTAATTCAAGGACCCTGAATATACAATTTAACAAGAACCAGCTGCCAAGCTCACCAACAGATGTGGTGCAGAATAAAGAGGACTTTAGAGAGACTTTCAAAGGACCAAAGCAACAAGAGGGCTACTAACCCCACTGTTTTTATTGAACAAATTCACCGCTAATTAGTCAGAGGTGAATGTCATTATGATCGCAAAGGTTTTGTTGAACAAATGGGTCAATGGAGTGCAGGAGATTCAGACATAACCATCAAAACCCATCCCAAGGCAAAGGTTTAAGTGCTCCAGGTTGTGATTTTTATGGTGTGTTATTCTTCACCTCTATAGTACGAATCAGCTGCAGTTTTTGGTGGTTTGAATGATTTTCATTTCAAGAGCAGGGCTCGAGAAGTCTGCTGTTGTGACCTGATGCTCAAACTGAAGAGACAAATTATTAAGACAGAACAATTACTCTTAATATAAACTGTGTGACCTCTCTGTCTCAGATAACAGTCACGACATTTGCTGAACTTTTTCCGTTTCTCTAACAGACACAAAGGTAAAGATGGCACTCGCTTCTGCTTCTGTCTTTTGTTTTTTTTTATATGTCCTGAGACAAAAAAGCAGCTTCAATAGCTGGATGAGGTGGTTTGCTATTGAAGAGCCAAAGCCTCTCTGTTAGAGCACATGAGATATTATCAAAAATACAAATGTGTTGGGAAGAATATTCTTTATCTGCTTTGCTGCTGCACTGCTGTCTTCAAATAACCTTTGGATTTTGATTCATGTTCATTCGTCGCTTTGTTCCTTTGTTCCTTTCCTAGAAAGCACATCTGTTTATGTTTGTTCAGAGGCTTCTTTTATTTATTACCAGGTCTGCTCATTATGGAGAAAAATCTCAAGTACAAATGTCAAAATCTATCATCAAGCAGCTAAAAGGACGGTGAGACATAAGACAGCCTCCTCTTAATGTGGAGAAAATGAAAACACCTTTGTCCGGTGTTCTTACATGAGAAAACACGGCTTTTATGCCACTATAAATAAAAATAAACAGAGTTTTAGTTTGATGGACAAGCACTTTAAAAATAAATCAACTGTTTTAGACAGAAAGTCTGTTTTTTTATCTTATTTGCACTTTTTCTGCACACACTTTTCTGCAGTTACTTTTTCCCTTTATGTTAGATGTATTTTTACAGCCACAGAAAGGATAAGAAGAAAACTCTTATTATAGGAGAGTAGATTCACACTGAAACAAAGATAAAGACTGAAGAAGATACAACAGAGAGAAGAAAGGATAAAAAAGCTCTTTTGATTGTTGACAGTGAGATTATTTAAAGCTGCTTTAAGAAACTTTTGGTTTGTGAGGATTTTGGTGTTCTTTGTAGACAAAATATCTACAATTATACCTCTGCTGTTCTCGTCTTTTACATTATAAGGTTTTACTTTTTAAAATATCAACCTTTATTTTAATGAGTAAATAAGTGTCACTTATGAAGAAAGCTTGCTGCTCGATGTAAAGAAAGACAGTTTCTTCAGCCTGCTGTCAATTATGTTGCTGTTGCTGACACTCTTGTTTGCTTTTTTGGGTCATGGGACGGGATGGGATAAAACAGGATAGGATGGGATAGAGCAGGATAGGACTGAAGAGGAGAGGATAAGATAAGACAGGATAGGAGAGGATAGCATGGAAGTAACCTGGGTGAGGAGCCTTTTATTCAATATCATTAACCTGTGTTAAAGGTTATTTAATCTATTCAAACCCTGGTGGCGCTTGAAATGAAGGAAACTTCACTGTCCTTTCAAGAATAAAAAAAAGGATTAAATTGATTAGAAAAAAACATCACCTGAGTCGAATTTTTCTCACTATAGCTTCTTTATCCAGAGAGCAGGGGTCAGTGTTGCTCAAAAGAGCTCTATTAAACTAAAAGCTGGATAAAAATGTAAATGATAAAATGTTAACCCCGAAAAATCACTCACTAACAGCTAAGGGGAAAGGCCAACCGTTATTTAGTTTTGCTCTTTATCTAAGACCCACCGTATCAGCCTGTCAGCGACATCAATTTAGAGTGTATCTGCAGAAACAGAGAGCTTAGAGAGGAGCAGCAGTAACCCGGTGAACCCGGGCTGTTTAACAAGTTAGAAGGCGATTAGTGAAACATACTCAGCCTACTGTTCATGACACTTTTATCATAAAAATCTTCTGCTGATACTTAAAAAAGTATCTGAAAACATTACTATAATCAGAACAAATCAGAATATAAACCTGTGTGTCTGTGGGAGTCTGCGGTGAAACCTTACTTGTGTCCAAGCTCGTGAGCCACAGTGAAGGCCAGCGGGAGGCCGGTGTCCTCACTAATGCTGCAGCTGCGATGAGACTGACACATCCCTGCCACATGTGACAGACCCAGGGTCTCACAGGGCCTGTTGATGGCTGTACAGATGTCCTTCCTGTAAAAGTGCCGGCATATAAACAAAGACGGATGATACATTCAAGAACTACAGTAAAAAGAGAAAAAAAGGAGTTAGGAAGAGCCTGTAGATAAAGCAAATATTGTTTATCAAATATTGAGTGTTGTAAGTATGATCCCCTGTTTGGGGTGTTTTTGCAGTGACTTTAAATGACTTCAAATCAAAACCTGTCTGTAGATAATCTGCCGTACATGCAGATCTACATGTTCTTTCATGATTGTTATTGTGTGATAGTCCTTTATCTCATCTTCTCATCTGCTGCGTGTCTTGGCCAGGATCCTCTTACAAAGAGATTTTTCTATCTCAAGAAGTTTTTTCTGATTAAATTAAGTTTAAATTGAAAGAAATAGGGCAGTGGCCTCTGACAGAATGAAATATTATTACTACCAATTACAGTAATGGCCATGGCAAACAACATGAACTTTAAAAATCTGACCTATTTTCATTTAATCAAGTCAAAAGCAACGACTGATATGCATCACTTTTACTTTTTTTCATTTCTACTAATTAAATCAAGAGTTAAGTGGCCTTGGTGACGTGGTTTTGCACAGACAGAAAAAAGGGAATGAGTTAAAAGAGAGTTTTTATTTGCCTGGTGAGGAGAACTGCCACGTCATGGTGCAGAGGGTGTTCGTCTCCTTTCATGTTGAGTTTCTTCTGCCACTTACAGAAGCTGTTCAAGCTGTTGTCAGCGTGGTGTGTGATCTTTAACTCATCCTGTGAACCACACGTCACATTAAGATAAACATAAATATAACAAATCTAAACATTTACGACAAAAAAGATGATCCTTAAATGAACAATTTCCACATATACGTCATGTATTCATGTTCAGTCGAACTAAACTCGGCGGTTGTACACTCGGTGCAGACTTTTATTCAGTTCATGTTCATTTTTCAAGGTTCACTTACATTTTCAAAGACATGTCGTTTTTCCAGCTTGTAAAAAAATATAACCCCAGAGGACTGTTTTATGAACACACATTTTTACCTCGTCCTTCTCCAGCAGGATGAGACGAACAACCACAATATTGATTGCATTTCCAATACTAGCATCACTGAAGAGACCCGCCACCTGTGAGAAGAGAACACTGAGTATTAGGAGGCAGTCTGAGTCCTCAGTCTGCACAGATAAACTAATGAATACAGAGGCTCTGTACACAGATTGTAGAATTCTTGATCATCAAACAATGAGCGTGGTCTAGACCTGCTCTTGTTCTTTGAAAAGCGTCTTAAGATGAGGACTGTTGTGAACTGGCGCTATATAAATAAAATTTGATTAATTGATTGATTGAAAATGAAAGTTGCTCTATATTGTTGAAGTTGTATTAGAGAAGCATGTGCATAAGAACATACGGTAACACTTTACTTGATGCCTATCTCTATAACGCGTTATAAATGTATAATAGAGGTTAGAGGTGTATAATGCATTATATTCACGTTATAGCACTGTATGAGTATAGTTATAAACACTCATAAATTATCACAATGCTTTATAGCAATAATCATCACACATTATAAAGCATTTAATCATGATTTACAAGGTCAGGTATTATAATGTGTTATAACTATTAACAACTCACTGACAATGGCAACACAGATAATGCATTATACATGTATTTATGATGTGTTATAATTTGCTTATAAACTTGTATAACTATCATTATAAACACTCATTAATTATCATAAGACTTTATAACAATAAGCATAACACATAATACTTGACCTTGTAAGCCATGATAAAATGCTGTATAATGTGTTATGATTATTGCTATAAAGCATTATGATCATTTATGAGTGTTTATAACGATAGTTATACAGTGCTATAACGTGATTATAATGCATTATACATATATTTATAACGCGTTACAGAGACAGGCATCGAGTAAAGTGTTACCGAACATACACTGACAAGATGAGAAACCTATCTTAAAGCATCCTTTTTGCAAAAACCTTTGTAATTAGACTGTATAATAATGTCTTTGTATCAAAGCAATGACGGTCATATTATAACATTTACATCCAGGCTAACACAGTGTTGGATTTCCATTTGAAGGCCAGCAGATATGTAGATAAATAAACATCATAATACTGTATAAATTATTTCAGAATTTAAGGACTCTCTCTATTATCAATCTGTGCGCATCAATCAAGATAATGTGAGTCATTCAGGGCTGCTCATTCATCAGCCTTTCTGCATGAAATAAATAAACCTGTATTTCCTCGTCCATCCTTGCTCCAGTTAAATAAAAAAGTCAACACCAAACTTTGAATCAGTTACTCTGAAACATCTATGGCTTCAGTTTTCAGGGTTGTGCTTAATGAGTATCTGAGTAAGTGTACAAACTGTTACCTGAAAGCTTAGCATGAATGTTTCTCCTTAACTATGAAGGCACGCTTTAATGCTGCTTTGGTTGACCTTCGATATGTTTAATATGCGTGGCATCAAGCCTGATGAAAAGTGTAAATCATCACAAAAATTAGCATTTAAATAAGTTTACGGTATCGTCAGTCTCTCGCAATCTTTAACACGGGTGGTACAAGGTGGCAATCAAAATACCAGTTTCATTAAAGAGCGGGGGCATCACAGGGGTGATTGTTGGAAGAGAGGAGAGAATCTACAACAAGGTAAACATGAAAAACAGTCTGAGGAAAAATAAACTCACTGATGAGGTGCTCGACGTGAGCATAATCTCTAAACAAGTTGGCTTTGCACCAACTTCTGCTGTACGACACGCCTAACTCAGAGTGTGTGTCTGTAATGGGTGGGTGTTATCCCTCATAAATCGTGAAATTCTTTATTCCATCTACATTTCAACACAACTGAAGTGTTTCAATGCTCGACTAAGGCTTGCACAATGCTGTAATAACCGCAGTGAAAGTTTGTTGTTGTAAAGTTTAGAGGATTCAGACAAACAGACAAATGATTACGACAGAACTTTCCTCAGGATCATTTTGTAACAGAGGAAAAAATAGCAGCATTGATAGATGACCTTAAGTTTGATCACAACCGAGCTACCGTCTGAGGAGAGACTCTTGTACATAAGTGGTCAGCTGCCTTGAAGTTTTATTCCTATTTGGCACAACATCCTCACATTTTCCCTTTCCTGCAAGTTGTGTAACTGAAGCACTACAGGCAGATAACAATACAAGGGACTTAATTCATCAACTCTTTGTTTGTAGCTGTTGTCTCTGTCACACAAACGCTCCTTCACAGATATTGTGGTTTTGAAAGTGGGACAGATTTTTGGGCTGGATGAACTTTGGAGTAATTTTTGAAGCTTATCAGTTATTCTAAATTTGTTCTCGCTCTATCGTTATCTTTTGTCCTCTTTTGTTTGTATCGTGAACGAAAATAAAGCTGCAACTATTTCGAGCTCACTTTAAGCTTTTGATTTAATGTTTCCTGCCTGCTGCACGCGGCACTGAATCAACTACACATATTATTCAAGGCTTATACAGTAGTTTGGGGAGTTTCTGTCTTGTTTATTTGCAAATATGTGGTTATATTTAAACCCAAACTAAAACTTGAAACCATAAGATCCCCATGTGAAAGGAAGTCACAGGCTATTTTTATGTAATCTGTCTGAGATTGGCTGTCTTTGCTGTTGTGTTTGCACGTAAATCATGCTGCTGTGTGAGTGCAGTGTATCAGAGTATAAAAATATGACCTCTTGTAAAAGCTGACAACTTAAAGACAGAGTCAGTGATGAGACAATGGAGCAGCTGCTGGCTGAGGAAAATGATCCCAATACTTCTTGTTTGGACAGGGCTGAGAGGTTGTTTCCCTCGATGCTTTGTCTGATTGTTTTTACAAAACTCAAGCATTTCGGGCTTTCAAGTTCAAAGCTGGAGTGTAAAGGACTCCAAAAAAGGAGCATGAGAGGATGTGTGGAATAATGGCTGCTTCCTCTGTGTATTATTGTCTGTTGAGTCACTTAATCCCAGGGCTTCTCTGTCAGAGAATTCCCTTTCCTGATATTCTGTCCTCTGATGGCACTCGCAGTGGCTGCAGTCTGAGCAGACATGACAGAGTTTTGGAGAAAAGAATAATGTGCTAATCAACGAGAGACAAGCAGTAAGTTTATTTAACCTCTAACTGGGAGGTAGTAATAACACTGGAGTCTCTGGAGTCACGGTTGAAATAGAAGAAATGAAAAAGAGCTTCAACTCTTCGCTCTGGTGACTCATGACGGAAGGAGGGAGCTGACTCATTCAAAACAAAGTGAATCTATATATTCCAGTTATACTGAAGGATTATTTGTACTAATAAAGATAAATCAAAAGCTGTTTATATGTGAGTGTTTATTGCATGATTCAATATTTCTGTCGATGCTAACAGTAAGTGAAGACAAATATTAATGCAAGTGTTCAAACTAATCTGACTCAATCTCATCATCAGTGTGTTTTTGGAAGTTATATACGTAGGGTCAAACTTATAAGTGTATTTTTTATTGGCTTGTACAGTTTTTGTTGTTTTTAACATACAGCGCTGGTCGTCAAAGTAACTAAAGCGATTTTTTCTCCGTGGGTGTTCCGCACTGACCTCTTTTGGCCACTTAAAAAAAATGTTTTTTTTGTATCTAATCGAACAATGACTGGTATACATCCTCACTGTGCATAAGCATGTGCAGGGTCAATGAGCAGATGTATCTTATCTAGGGCTTTTGCACTAAAAATAAAGGTATAGCAAGAAAAGGGTTGGTTGCTCTATAAAACCAGATGTAATGTGTGAATTTGACATTTTAAGAGGTGTTTCTAGTCTTATCATTAAACTCTGAACTGTGCTAAGCTAACTGTTTCCTCCAGCCTTCAGTTTCAATGCAATGCCAGGTTAAATGTCTGAACCAATAAGAAGTGCATCTATCTTTCTCGTCTGACTCTCAGTAGTGAAACTGATGAAACTGTTTAAAAGTTTGAGACTGTTGCAGAAAATTCTGTGTCTAAATGTGCTGCACGTTGAATGGTTTGACATTGTTGACGAAGCCGTAACTCGGACAGGTCTCAAAACATGGACTGTATCTAAACAGCTTTCTCTCACATTCACTCCTTCAACCTACATTCACACACCCAGGAGTTTAGCCTTCTTCTGTTTACACACCACAAGGAGACAGTAGGGCCAAGAGTCTTGCCCAAGGACACCCCAGCATGAGGACCCCTGACCTTGCGATTGGGAGATAATTGACTCTACCACCGAGCCACAGCTACCTCTTTATAATGTTGTTACTGTGTTGTTTAAAGTCACATACTCACAATGTTCATGACAGCGAGGACATAGTTCTCCACAGCTTTGCTCCCATGATGCTCCACCATTTTCGGGTCAGCCACCACCAGCGTTTCCACCCACCTCTCTTTGCTGACAGAGCGTTGGCGGATCCTCTTTCTTCTTCTCTGCTGCTGGAGCTCCCACTGCTCCCGCTCTCTCTCGATGTCTTCAAAACTTTGATGGGAACCTGGAAGACAAAAATAGAAGATAAAAACCTGCTGAGGTACAGTAAACCTCGACACAAGGCCATGAATTTAACCTTCCTCACTAACACTCTGGTATATCAATCAGTTTTCTGTTATCCAGGTCCCCACCTCCTCATGGCCTCTCCGCTTCCTGTATCCCCACTCTTTATATCAAATATTATGCAGATATTATATTCTGTATAAATATTATACAGAATGATCCGTTCTAATGAATAAATGATAAATGATGAAAATGATTTATGATGTTGCCAACCTCAATGTTAGAAAATGTTTACCCGCTTTGAGCAATAATGCAGATTTGGGTGTTTTAATATTCTGTTTATACTTGAAGCTGCAACACCCCCAGAAAAAACTTCTTTTGATATTTTCGTCTCACGAGTATCTGCAATTCCACCTACAAAAATCCAAACAACAGCTGTATATAGTATGCAGTTATATAAGTCACAAGTTTTTCAGGTCCTCTATTATGGTATTTTCAGCAGTTTAAACAAGGTCTCGTCTTCATAGTGAGGTTTTGAATTATTTGTAATAAATATGACTTTTGTGGGGGATCTGCAGCCTCTCAGTTTTAACCTCATACAGAGATCAGAACAGGCGGGGATGTTATGAGAATAACGCACTGTACTGATTGGCTGCCTGGATGGTGTCTCGAAGGAGGGGCGCAGACCAGTACAGAAGGATGTAGAGACGGAAAAACACCGAAACATACATGGTGAGCCAGTACTTGAGTGTTATCTCTCTACTCTGCCTTTCATTTGTGATTTCATGCAGTCCCTTTTTGCAGTCCTAGTTTGGAAAGTATGAGGCAATTAAAATCTAAATATGACAAATCTGTCATTTTAATGAAGTTTCTTGGTTTGCATGGCATCTATATATCCTCTCTGAGTACCTCAAAAACAGACTTTCTGTTTAATTGTTTTGTTCAACAACAGATTAGGCAGAAAAGACACCACAGCATGATGACAAAATAAAGTGAAGCTGGTACATTAACTTATCAATAATGCAAACGTCTGAGGTGCTGGTTTAGCTCTGTAGTTAAACTCTTAAAAAAATCAAGGATTTGAAGGAAAAGGTGGTTTACAGAAAAGCAACCACTCTTGAAGTTTTTAATTTACAACCTGAAAAAGTCCCAAACCTATTTAGCAGCCCAGTGGAGTGAAGGCTGGTGGATACTGGGTCAGAAGTAAACAGTTAAACATCATCTGCATATAAAGAAAGAATATTTTTTGAGCCATGTCTTTAAATGCCTTGAAAGAAACTTGCAAATTTGAGCGCAACAGATAAAGTCTGCGATTTGGCTTTCAAGGCATGCAAAGGAAAAACGAATCTTAAACATGTCTGTGTCATCGGGGATTGTCTCTTAAACAGGTTTGAGTGGAACCTGCAGCCTTTTGTTGCATATCAAATGTCCTCTCATACTCTCACTTCCTAGTCTCCTACTCTACCCTCCTCTTGTCCTCTGACTGAGAGCGTTACGAGCCCCTCTTCCAAAAAAGTAAAATAATCTACTGCCAACTTTGGTCCCGCAGCCAGCCTGAGAAACAACAATATGAGTTAGACCTTATCCAAGTGTGGAAATATTCTTTGTCTGAGCTCATGCTGCAGCCTCTCCTTCACATCATTAACTAGACGAGTGAATGCAGAGGAAAAAAAAGGAAAACAGCACGAAGCCGCCAGCCTCTGAGCCTCACTCCTTTCAGTCAATGTTCTTCACTCGATTCGATTTCTTTCTTTCCAGCTGTTCAATGACCCTTTTTGTTGTGTTTGAAACATTTGTATTAGTCATGTGTCTGCCTTAGTTTAGTGTGGCTCATACTTTGCCACCCACACTCCATCACATCCATACTGTTGTTGCCATCACTCAACAATCTGTCAAACTGTCTACCTAGTCAATGCAGCCTCCTATAATACATACAAAGAATCAGATGGGACAGAGGATCTGTTATTAAAGCCTTACTCACTCTTTTTAATGTGTCAGACCTTCCTCTTAATCACACCATCCCGCCTTGATGTCTTTTTACTTTATTCTCTAAGTGACTCACCTGTTAAGAAAGGACAAATCCATATTCATGTACTCACAAAACACCGACTCTCTCTGATCTCTCCTGGACGCTCAATTTACTTTGAGGGTCACTTTAGCTGACTCTGAATTTTAAGTAGCTGATTTATGAGCTTGTCGGTTTCAATACTTTTATCTCTACGACCTCTGCAGATTATTATACAGGGACAGACTCGTGAGAAAGGAGAGGGATATTCGATCAGTCACCATTTTTGTCTAAATCATTTTGTGGTGCGTTTAGTATAATCCCTGGATAAGAGTTTAAATAATGCAGGATACTCATTTATTCTCAGGTATCGGACTGCATGTAATTACCTGGTTTGAAGGAATGAATAACAACCAGTTTAGTTTTAACTTTGCAAAACTTTTTATTATTTCCGGTACGTGTGTATGAGGAGAGACTGACTTACTCTGAACTCCACAGGTACCATTGACAGCTTGTTTCCCTGAGATAGGCCGTACGACTGGGCTCGAGGAGGGAAGAGGCGCATGGCGTTTGTAGATGGCGTGGGCCTGGGGTGCTGAGGTCTTAGTGCTCGACTTCTCCAAAGGTTGAATAAAATACTCGACATCAGACAACTTGAACAATCCTGTCTGAAGAAAAAGAAAAGGGCTGTTAGTGAGGTCTCTCTTCAGACCTTTAATCAGCACAGAGGACATGCTGAAATGTTCGGCTGGGTGAACAAAACAAGGCAAAAAAAAGCAACACTGCAAAGCAAGACATTGTGCTGCTTTCATACCGTCATAAGGTTCAAGAGCGAATTCAAAGAAGAGCTACAGCTTTCAAGGAGAGATCTTGATGAGCAGAAGAGTGAGGCTTCAGCTGGTTATGAAACAGGTATATATATATATATATATATATATATAAAAGACCATGAGCAAGAGGACTATAGAGCTATTTTTAGGACCTCGTGACATCAGTCGCTTGTAATGTGGTCATAACATTTTGAGATAACAAAGTCATTGAGATATTTACGGAAGACTTCCAAATAAAACAACGCAATCAGTTAAATAGAGAGGAGGCAAGACAAGAATGGGGCAACACATCACTTTATAAACTTCACTAATAAACATAAATATCTTACATGTCATTATCCATAATTCATAACATTCAAAATTATGATGAACCTTCATTACCAGAAAAAAACACGGAATAATTGTTTGTCATGCTTTTATTTTGATATTCTGTCTGTGTTGTGTTTTGGTTGTTTTATTCCCTGCAATGTTAGGCTGTGCTTTTATTTTGAAGAGTCTTAAGTCACAGAATTTAATAAAAAACAGCAAAAAAAGGACAAATGTTCAGTTGATTGGTAACTCAAAGAGGTAAAAGCTCTTAAATTTCTTTTAGGATGATAATTTTACTTGAACATAAGTTTTAAAAAGTGCCAAATCACTTCTCTGAGGGCTGCTACAGCTATAGCGCTAGCAGTCTGCTACTTCCCCCTTCATATGTACACTCTCTGCTGTGTCAACCGGGACCATCACCATGCCCATGTTAAGCATAGTACTAATGTCTTATTTATCTAGAAAGGTCATTTATAGTTATGGTCGTGGTCAACACGGGAGTATTGTTACGGCCTTTGTCTGTTATCACTGTGGAGGATTGTGTGCATTTTCCCCTGCACAGCTTAACAGTGAGTGATATATTTGACTAATTAGAAACATAAATATCAGGTTCACAACACACTGACCTGTACAGGACAACAATCAGCAAAGAGACAAGAGGATTTTTTTGTCTACAGGGGTTGAAAAATCAGCAGAAGTTCCTCACAGGAGCTTCAATTTCAGTATTACTCATAAAACTATGTTTCTGGGCAACAGACTGGCGTGGGATGTTCTCAGATGTGAGTATTTTTTCTTCCAAAAGTCTTAATGAGAAACAGGATTACTTTTGTATTTTGGGATGATGCTAGGACATGTCTTTGTATGCTTTTAAAGTTATTAGGGGTGATTTTCTGATGCTTTATGCACCAGTGAATTGAGAAAATAACCAGCCTCTGAGCTGTTCTCAAAAATAATCATCAGCTGTTCATGTCCTCTGTGAACTCAAGCAAGCTGGGCAGCATCATTGTCACAATACTCTGGATTTATCCTCTTTACTCTGTTTCACGTTACTCACATTCAACCAGAGGTATCACCTAATTGAGCTGTTATTGTGCTGGTGAAGCCAAAACTGCATATTGACTCATTTTCAGTGACACGTTTCATACAGAGGATGAAAAAAAGAAAAGAAAACTTTGCACAGATGCTGACTCATCCTCTCATACAGACTCCTTCAGTAAGAAGTTTCTCTCACTGTGAGGCAGCTGCAGGTTGTGGTGAGTAGTTAATTATGGTAAGAAGTTATATTGGGACTTTTGTTGCCTTTTGTAATGGACGATTTACTTCTCAATGAAAAGCTGTGATTACAGGAAACTAAAAGATAGATTACCAAGTTGAGCACAGCTCTTCACCGTTCTGCAGCTGCTTTAGCCTCACGCTGAGACTGGAAGAAACTGTGAAACTTTGAGATTCAAATCAACAACTTTTTCCTCCTTTTTTTACAGCTTTATCTGAATAGTTTGTAGATAAATTGAATGAAAATGTAAAAGAAATGATTAAAATCTGGGTACAAATTAAGTAAGGGAGTAGGTTTATGTGTGGGAGTGTCTGTCAGTGAATGAACGTGTACGTGTTTTTACAAAGAAGGAAACTTTCTGTCATCTTACTGCATGCGTATTGTGACATGAGGGTTTGTTGTTTGGTGAAAGAAGTTGTTTCCGAATAGAAAAAAGCTATTTTGATACTGAATATGTGAATTAAGCTCTTTTTATCACAACATCCTAAAATTTTGATCTGAGCTGCTGTTCAAATCTACTTGACGTTAAAGCTGCTGACGGCGTTTGAAGTCCCAACTTTTAACTATCCTCAGCATTAAAAAACAAATCCCAGTAAGCCTCCAGTTTGACGCTCTAACAGCCTGATGTGTTGAGTTTGGTGCAGGCTCTGAGGGTGTGACTGTGAGAAGGGGAAAGATCAGATGTCACATTAATCACTGCACCCTAAACCCTGCTGGCTCCAAACCAAACTCAAGCAGCCCCAGTTGACCATCCTCGCTTTACATTTGATTCCGGTCCATGCTCTGCTCCCTTTACCTCTCCCTCAGCTGTCAGAGCGTCATAAGATCTCACCGATGCTTACACAGAAGAGCTGCTGCATAAATTTGCGTGCAATATCTTTACAACTGCGCCACACGGGAGAAGCGAAGTAGGTCAGCAGGACTCGTACTCTCTACATCTCAAACGCATGAGGAGGATGATGTGAAAGCAGCTTCAGAGAGGAGCTGTCAGTTTCTGCAGTCTGGAGTCAGAAAACGATGAACAGACTTCTGCAGATGCAACCAATTAAATAACAGAGTGCAAATGTGAAACCCCAATCTATTTGAGTTGATTTATTTCTAACCATCATCTGCAGCACTGACTGGACTAACGAAATCCAAGTGGAAAGAAATCGAACCATGTTTGGTATTTGTGCTAGGGCTGGGCAATTAAGCCCCAAAAAAAAGATCACAATATATCTTGTTATATGGTTCGATCTCAATTATTATCAAGTTTTTTTTTTTTTGTTTTTTTTTAACTGCTTGTACTGAAAACTAAAGAAACTAGAGATTAGATCAACATTTTATTGATATAAAAAGTAAATGACAAAGCAAATTGAATAAGATCAACTTAGAAAAATATAAAAACCACTTTAACTCAACAGTACAACAAAAGTAGATAAGTACTAAATTATACAGTAAACTAGTTTACAGTCCTAAATGTTTTTGCAGGTATGCAAGACCCAAAATAAACAAATCGTCCCTTCAGGGATAATTAGGATGCCTTAAAATGTAAACATTAGATGATATGATTGATCGCTGCTTTGGTCTGGTGGCTGCTCCGCTAGCTGTGGATGAACTGCTCATGCCACTAGTGCCGTCAGCACTAGTTTACTATATTACTGTTTACTTCTCTGGCAACTTACAGAAGTGAGCAGAAAAAGCTCAACTCTGATTGGCTGTTGTCATGCACATTTCAGCTATGTTTAATCGAGTAAATATGCTCACAGCTGATCACCGCAATCGAACTGAAATTAATCACGATCATTAATCACGATCATATAATCGCCCAGTCCTAATTTGTTCATCGCATCATTTAAACCTTCACAATCTTCACTACATTTGTTCGCTTGAGTGCTTCTATTTATTATTTCCCACGGTTCATTCATACTCGCAGCATAAATACACCTGGAAAGTGCTTCACAATCACACCACACTTCGTAATATAAACTGCTGCAATTCATTTATAGCACAACGGCTGAGCTCATCTGCTCTGCCAAGAACACTCGGTCTCGCTCTGTGGTTAGGTGTTTAGTAAATCTCCAAATGTCAAGTTATTTCAGCGTCACTGTCACTAACAAAACTCCTAAAACATCTGACCCCTATATTGCAGCATTTCTAACTTTATTCATACTTTGCAGACATGCTGCACCCCTTCATTTTGGCAAACACATCTCATGAAAATACACTCATGCAGGTTTGGGAGGAGGTATGGGAGGTATTTAACTCCAGAGATTGGAGAGAACGTTGCTTAAAAATATTATCAGGTATTTTATGACACCATACCAAGAAAAATACAAGGATACAAGACGGATGTGTTGGAGACTGTGTGGCTCAACAGAAGCAAATCATTTTCATTTCTTCTTGGACTGTCTCAGACTGAGGGGATATCAGAGTCACATTCACACAACATTAAGCAAAGTGTTTAAGACTCAAGCACCCATGACCTTTGAGGGTCTATATCTGGGTCTCATTCTGTCTGGGAAAAGGGGGGGGGGGGGATACAAAGCTACTGTAAGTGCTTTTGACAGCCAGTAAAACAAATCAATGACTAGAACGTGGCAGCAGCCAGTAGACAGGAGAAACGAAGACAAATTTGATCAAATATGGAGAAAGTGGATTCAATTTATAATCCCAGTGGAGACGATTTTCTGACTCCACCAACAATATATGGTACCTAAAACATAGATGTAAGCTCCCTTGGGTCTTTAATTAATAGAGTAGTTGTATATTTGATGGTTTGTGTAAAGGAGTGTATGCAGAAATGTCAATAAGATGTTTACAGTAGAAGAGAACTGAAGTTGAAATGAATCTGTTTATCTGGAAATGATGTTGGAGGACTGAAGCATTGCAGGAAAAAGATCTGTAAAATTTTCCAAACAAAACTGAAATTAAAATAAAGAAAATATTCTTGTGTAAACAGCAGCTCAGACACTTGTGTAACAGATCAACAATCTCTCAGATTAGGAGTGTCAAAGGAAACTGCACAATGTTCTTGTTGCACACATTTAGTTGAACAAATTGCAGCAGCTTTGGTTGAAACATTCGTATTTGTTGTGATGATTCAGAAAATTAACAATAAATAGACTCAAATTACAAACCCCGATCGGGTCTGATTGTTCAAAGTGCTCCGCCTGCCATTTATCCCCTTCATATAATCTTTTATACTCTCACACTCAAAGAGCAGTTTTGGATTTAGCATTTTGCACAAGGATCATTTCCTCTTCTTCTTTTAAGTTGAGCACACTTAAATATAATAGCAACAGCATTTACAGATGCTTGAATACCCTGTAATTTGTGCTCATGGAAGCAGCTAGTTTAAATGCTAATGTAAATTGCATGAAAGTATGACACACATGCACAGTAATCATGAAAATACACTGATTGGTCATTAGTGGTTCTGAGAAAACTGTAATTTTATGTGTTTGATCATAAGAAATCTGGAAACTTTCCTGTAAAAACCCATCAGTGATCTTCTTTGTTGATCCTCAGCTCCTTACTGAAGGAAAATGATGAGGTTCTGTCAGGACACGTTTGTTTTTCTTTATGAGTGTGGATGTCTATAAAACGTAATTAAATGTAAATACAGACAGAGAGAGGATCGAGTTCAATGAAGACTAAGACTGGAATGTTTTTATTTCTACTCTGAGACAATATGACTTAGAAACTGAGTTATACTGAGAAAAAAAGTGACATGAATACAGTCCAATTGTGCATTGAAAGGTTACAAAACATGTATTCTTAATGTCTTGTAAGAATTTTCAGAGTGTAGGCTTTATGTTCACATATGATATATTTATATCTTATAACCTAACAGAAATAAGAGAATAAGACTTTGTTTCCTGTTCAAACCCTTTTCACGGTTATTTTAAAGCTCCTGTAAGGAGTTTTTTGATGTTTACCAAAATAACAAAATTCATATTGATGCCTTCTGATGATAAACAAAAACAAAGACGACCAAAAGTGACAAGACTAATGATTTTTATTTTGTAATTTTTAATGCCTGAAAATTACATGTTGGCTGACGAGCTAAAGAGGCTCTATTTTTACAATTTCCACATGAATAATTATAATTAAAAATCAGCAGGATGAGATTTTTTTGGCTGACGACACAATTAAATAATGTGGGGGAAACAAAAACAATTAATCAGTCAATCAATCAGTTAGTCAGCCACAACAAGACAGATTCCCACTCTCTACATCAACACTCTAGGGTTGTGATGGGTGGTGCTGTTAAACTGAGTGCAGAAGAGAGTAATGGTGTTGTGATTCTTTATTTTCTCTCAAATATTTTAGTCATCATGATTTCATGATTTTACAGTGAAATTTTGTTTATTATCAGTGATCAGAAAATCAGCCCAGGGCTAGTCAGGCTCTAACTTCATCTGGTCAAATGTGCTCAGTGTAAATCGTACAACAAAAGGTTGTTTCTTTTTTCTCTGGACAATCCTGAAGATTATACCCTGTTTAAAACTTTTTCATTTTGTTGACTTTCTTTTACTTAAGTAAAATTTCACTCATTTGCTTTGCATGCATGCTATTATCCATTTGTGTTTATGTGCTTGATATGTGTCCATTGACTCAGTTATACAGTGTTAGATTCTCAGTGGATATGGAGAAGTTTCACACTGAACTGTAGAAATGAAGCCACTAGTGTCTACCTCCCTTCTTTGGAGGGAACTTAATTCTTTTATGCTTTAAGAAAAAAAAACTATTTCAGTGCTTTCTTCTATTACACAAATACAAATCAGATTAAGCCACTCATCCAATCTAATGTGACCCAGTACTAAAGCTCTGACAAAAATACCTCACTTTCGTATTTTTAGTTTTTGTTGACATGGTCAGAAAGGTGATAATCGAGGTTGTAGCAGGTGCTGGTGGTTGAGTGCTGGAGTGCATGATGTCAAGAGGTGTTCCTAATATTTGTGTCTACTCTGTTACCATGCATGAGACAAAAACATGAACAAATGTGCAGAGGAGGTCAAAATGACCAGCTGGGGTGTTTCAAACAGGGTTTACACTATTTTAAAACTGAGTCCAATTCTGCTAGTGTCACAGGCACTTTTTTGCAGTTGTGTGATGAATTTCAGATTACTATTACTATAATATAAAAGCAAAAGAAGCATCCAAAACTGAACATAAACATTCATTTACTGAGCAAAGTGAAAGAGAGAAGAGGTTGTTTCTATTATTATCTGTTTCTGCGCTCTATCATCTCTCTTCCTGCACTGCCCCTAATTTGGAGAACAGATAACAGATTCTGTTTTCAACAAAATCAAAATGAAAAAGACATTATGACTCAGATAAGGCAGACAGAGATTAGCTCTCATACATCAGGACAAAAATAAACCTCTACAATCTCACAGTCTGCTTTATCAAGAAAACCTGCTCACTGTTCTTCCAAACAGTACTGTACTGTTTTTTTGTCTCATAACATAAATGCAGCAGACAGAAACTCTTTTTTTTTTTAATACAGCATCTGGAACTTTTCATGTTTTTTTAGAGAAGTTCTTCAACAGCTGGATGGAAACCCAGGCGACAAATATTAAAATATTTTTCTTCTTCCACACATCTGTGAAAAGTGACTGATCACAGCGCAAGAAAATAACTCTTCATAAGTTCGCCAAAGAGCTTTGGATCATCTTCAAGAATATTAAAGACTGTTATACTGTTGCCAACTTTTTTTTTTACAAGGACTTGTGCTTTTTTTCTCTTTGCTCTGCTTTTCAGGAAATTGGATTTAAAACCTAAACGGCTATGACAGTGTTTTGAAAGCAGAAAGGGAGGCGCAGACAGGATGCAACAACGTATGTGAAGTTGACTGATTCTACTCCTTGTGATTCAGCCGCTGTGTGCATCTGCCGAGTGATGGACTGTCCTGTCAACTATCCTCTTGCTAGCTGGAACCAGCTGCATGTAAATGAAACCATCCATTGCCTGTGACCGAGCATGCAAAACTGAAATCAAACCGGGCAAAATGCATCAACATTATAATACTATCAAAAACACATTTGAATTGAATAATACAGTTTGATTGGTTGGCTATTATTTCCTGCACAAAAATAGAAACACAGCCGTAGGGCATTACGTCACCACCACCTGCAGAATGTAGGAATTATGTAATATGCCTGGCTGCATGGGAACACGGGGAACCAACAGAAATCTGACTAACAATACCAAGAGTGGGCTTGGAAAAAAAAGGTTTTCTATTCTATTTTCTTTCCATGGTTATCATGCTGTGAAAGAAAGGAACATGCAATTATAATCTGCATGATTGGACTCTCAGTCCTTTAGATCTAGACCAGAGAGGCTGTGGCCATCAACTAACCTCACTCCAGATGATTCCTGTACTGCACTTGTAACAAACCAGACTGAATGCATCAACAAAGACAGGAGCAGAGCCGGCTGATACTGAGGCCTGGCAGGGTGTCATCAATGTGGAGACCACGTGTCTGTAAGCATGAGTGGATGTAAGACTTCAAAAGGTGAATACATGGGATGAGTTAACCGTTTGGTTTAATTTATGTGTGAGTCAACTCCTTTTTGCCCTCCTCTAAAAATGAATGACCTTCTTCCTCCTGGCGATGTGGTGATGTTTTGTGTCCCATAAACAGTAACAAGGCTGCACATATATAAGTGTTGATACTGTGTACAATGTAATTGCGTACATTCAATGCTGCCTGATACACAATTGGCTCCAAGGCTGGTGAAAGCACAAACACAGCAGAGTTTAAATGCCTTAAAGAAAACTGTCTTTATGATTGGTTTACGAGGAAGGAAATGGATTCAGCATGTTTTTGGGCCTCGGCGATACACTCAAAGTTCGGGTTGCAGTTCTAAGTATAAACACAATTTTTGCATGTTTAGAAAAAATTACAAAACACACCTGTTCAGTACAAAAGCAAGTTTCCTCAGAGAGTCTTGCAGCTGCAGATTCATCTAGCAGAGAGAGGGTTGGCTATAAAATGCAGACTGCGAGAGTACGACTCACATCAGCTTGGTTTAAATAGCGGGGAGATTTGGGATGTCTAAGAGTCGGCCTTAGATATGAGAAGGTTTAATGTGAGATTCATAAAAACCATGCAAGGCCACAGGTTACAGGAGGATCATAAGTGAGAATCTGTGTGAACAAATCATAGTAACAGGCTGTGTAGCTCCACTCTTGAAAACTAAAGTGAAAACCATTTCAGTGGAGTGGATTTCACCACTAGATCAACAAAAAAGAGATGAGGAGAGTAAATTATACAAGCATCACAGGTCCTGGTGTCTGGACAGCAGATACATTCACAAACCTGCCTGTGGTGTCTGCAGACATAGTTTGTTCATTATTTATAATCTATTGAACCCAGATATCGGCCTTTGCTGATTATATCAAAATGTCATTAATCAGTGTATTGAGTCTGTATGCAAAGTGCAAGTCATGCAAGTCAAAGTGGTAACAGTGAAATAATGTTTCTTTGGATGTACCATGATCTCTTGGCTGCATCTCTATCTGATTTGACTTTATCTTAAATGTACCGTTTCTTTTTTAGAAATAGGAGTGATTTGTCTTCATTTTTCTCTTTGCACCACAACAATCCCTCTTTCACATACAGTCAAATTTGCATCATGGAGTCTATGATACTTATTTCCTGAACGCCTAACACTATTCAGTCTGTGTGTATGAATGTGATTGTCAGTTCAAAAAAAAGTATCTGCAGCCTGAGAAAGTTCAGAAAGTAAAGAACAGACCTATTTGGCATCTTTCTTACTTAATTGCTTCAGGCAATGTTTGTTTACTTCGAGTGCAGCCACCATTAAGCTGTTCAATGAAGTTTCCTCGACGCTCGACTTGCAGGTGAGTTTGAATGAAGAGCCTGAGTGTAAACAAAAAAATAACAGAGACTGTCTCCACAGGGGATTTAACTCACTGAAAAGTGGCCTAAATTGCCCCACAAAGAAGTTTTATTTTTCAAAATAATTGTATGAAATAAATATAAAATAGATTCATACATGTATCTTGTATTTTATTCACTGGGCAGGCTGCATTAATCCTGGATGGGATATCGACCTTGGAGGCACCTTCAAGGGAGGTCTCTGCTTCTGCATAAATGAAGAAAGTTGTGCTCGGTCTTTTGTACAACTTGGTGACGTGAAGTGTTTGTTATTTCTACAAGTCTGACGAGGAAAAAGTCTGGAGGGGAGAGAAGAAGCTTAAGGCCAACAGCTGCAGGCTACAAAAGCTGCTGCTGGCATCGCACACCGGTTTCATTTGAGATGCAAAGTGGGTTATTAACCAATTTCACAATGCTGTGGAAGAAAAAACACGGCCAGGCTGCTTTCTTAAAATATATTGCCTGGTACAGATTCACTTGACATTACACCACCTCTCTCTTCATTTGCATAGTCAAAGTATGAGGAGCATATTTAGGAACCAGATTACAAAATCCTTGATTATAAATCAGAGAAGCAAACCTTGCTAGACTGATATCTTCTGCCTTATAATGCTCCCTGTGGTGACAAATACACAGGATTCTTGCTCTACATATGGGCAGAGCTGCTTGATAAGAGCATGAGAGCTTTGACCAATCCTATTAAGTGCTGGTATTTTTGCAGCATTGCATTGATGCAGTGTAAAATATTGAAAAGGTCTGATGTTTTCAGGTACTTCTGTTAAAAATGTGGACTTTTAAGACTGATTTGGTGTGAAAGGCCTTGATTTGCTCCGACACAAACAGGATAAAGAAAAGTGGAGGACTCTTGAGAAGTGACAAAGTGGGTTTGAAAGATACGTTTACAGAATAAAACATAATGTATCAGCCTTGACTTTTTGTTCATATGATGTTAAAGGGGAGAAAACTGACGTTTCATCCAAATGCCAGACTGCAGGAATCTGAAATGAAGCACTTACCTCTGAAGAGGAGATACATTCAGAAACATCCTTGTTATATGAGGTGATCATTTCAGGGTGTAAGCACTTGGATGAAACTGTGTGTCTTTTTGCACATTTACAGTTACTAAACCTACTTAACTCAGCTCTGAATACAGCCTTCTGTATCGGCTCACTTTAAAAAGCATCATCATGAAACCTCAACTGGTATGAACGTGTAAAGATACTCACCAGTCCATCACAGGTGCTAATGGCTGCCCGTCCTCTGACAGATCCCTGATCCGACACTTCCCCCAAGTAATAGCACTGCGAGGATCCGGGAGGACTGATCTTTGCCCCCTCCAGGCCACCATACCTCCTCTCTGTCAGGAAACCTGGAGCCAGCAGGTTTGGGTTAAGGGTGAGGTTGAAGTGCAAACTGTGGCCGCCGTGCCACAACTGGTAGAAGACTCGATCCAAGTCCAGTGGTCCCTCTGAGGCTTCCCGGCGCTGGACACGGCGAGCGTGGTGAGACAGGAAGTTGGACAGGAAGTGACCTCTGGCATCCACTCGAGCGGGGTGAACGACTTCATACTGAGGACTATCCTCAAGAAATCCCTCTGCTGTGGGGGGAAGAGAAGATGAATGAGGAGGAGGGTTAGTAAATCATGGGAAAGCTGGGGTAATTAGATAATAAAGTGACCATAAAGCTGTAAACAAACCAGTGAAGCGATAAACAAACCCATATGTGCGAGTGTCACATCTGTCATTTTGATGTTTGAATGCAGCTGTACAGTACAGAGAGAGCATGTCAGGACGTCTGCTAACTTACTCTCAACTTCTACTCTCAGCAGGTCTGCTAAAATTCAGTGAGATTATTCATCAGATGATGAAATTACACTTTTTATTTCCCAAGATGCTGGAATAGCTGAAACAGCAGAGTGAAAGGAAGTGTGGCAGAGATCTCCGGATTGTCAGGGGGGTTAAGAAAATGTGCCTCAATAGGGGATTACCCACAGTCTGGTCTGCTCACACAGCCTTGATGTGGCTGGATGACTGGAGCAATTTAACTGGTGACTGTGAACCACATTTCACTCAAATCATGAGTGAAGTGCAGTATTGTATCTTTTGATGTAGTGAATCTCACTGCATAACTAATGCCTCTGTAAGCATGTGCAGTTTTCATTTAGGCGGTCACAAGTTAGGTGGATGATATCTTGCAGGATCCGTCTTTTGTCCTAACCCTCATCTTTCCCATGTTTAAACCTCTACCACCACACTTTTGAATGACACTTATGTAAGTTAGGTTTCTTTCAAAACAAGGATGCAATTCAGATTATTTCACCAACTATTCGAAGCATCTGCATACTTAAAAACAGATGTTGGTGTCACAGAAGAAGCAACAGGATTCAACTTCATTGATTCAGTTTGCTGCACCCCTGAACTTGATTAGCTTTTTTATCATAGCTAAAAAGTAGATTTGCAACCATCTCCTTTTTGAATCAGTTTGTTTTATACACTGTAGAGAGAGAAAGTGAGGAAAAAGACTGAACAACAAAAAGACAACCAGTGGAAAAAAATCAGCCTTCACACCAACTTTTATCAATAAGCTGAGCAAAACCGTGGAAGCTTGTCTTAGTTAAAGTTAATTCTCTGTAATTCCTGGTACTTTAACAGACACCTTTGCAAAACTGCCTCAAAATCAGTAAATATTGTTCCAAATTAGACCACCAACAGCTATTGCAAAAACTTTTAATTTGTTGCAACTTAAACTCCAGACTCACTGCCTTTGCATAATAAACCGTTTTCACATAGGGAGCTACCAAACCTCAGTTAACTTCACATCAGTAACATCTCATTTAAAGAACAAGAGCAGATCTCAGACGATAATCTCACACAGTTTTGAGTCATAATAAGGCCTCTCTCTGTTCAGTGCTGCTCAAGATTGTCTGCTAAAATACTTACAAGACTAGATCATTGCAGACAGATATGAGGTGGAGGTGTTTGGCAACTAGATATGTGGAATTTCTCCTTGGACTACTTGCAAGTCAATGTTTAAACCAGCAGTGATATGCAGATACTGTATCCCTGGATGCCTTCAGTATCTCATCCACAGCTCATGAACCACTTTAGGTTCAACACAACCTCCAGCTGAGCCTCAAACTCCTGGAAATGATTTATTGCAACCAACATGTCTGCCATCAGTCCAACTGCACAGCTGTCTTTTGTTTTGGCTGTGTTGGTTATGATGCCCCCTGTGGACAAGGGCGGTATCCCTTCTGATTTTGTCCTGCTTAAAAAAACTGTCTCACCTATTTTCTAGTCACAGTCAGATGTATATCGTTGTTTCTGCTGTGTGCTGTAGCTCATGTTGTCTGACACTGATCTGCTGGCAATGGTAACAGACACAAAAACAACTATTTGGAAATGGCAGATCTGGCTGCAGATGGTCTCAGTTGCTGTTGTAGCTCATATAGAGGCACCAATAACAGTATCAACTGGTTTCATGATCTTTTAAACCTCCTTGCAGGGGCTTTTCATAAAAATATATAAAAGATGTTCAATATCCAAGACACCACAGTCACAGCTTTCCATTTGCCACCTGTGTCCTACAGTGTTTACTATCTAAAAGTCGAAGGAAAGAAATACAGCCTTGGGTTAGTGAGTAGATGGAGCGATGCACAATGTTGGATTTTTAACAATATCTGATATGATGCTATTTTCAAATATCTGTAATCTATTAATTATATCTCAAGCGATACCAATCCAAGTACACATGCTGCTGAAGGCTGGTTTTAAAGAGCAGAGTAAAATGAGTGAAGTAGAGGCTTTCACTGAGCCCAAGGCTTTTTTCTTAGTTTCTAAGAAACTCTCAGTGCTTCAGGATGGCAGTTTTGGAGATATGCAGTTAGGAGTGTTTTTAGTTCTTTCGCCTGTGCTTCATGCATGCTTCGTAGACAGACTTGAGAGGTGGTTCCAGATGGGGTAACAAGGACCTACATGGACCTTGTGGTGGCTGCAAGAAGACCATCTGAGTTATGCTGATAATATTCCTGTTTGTCCCAATCTTAGTTTTATGTTTTGTGCTGTTGGATGTGTACTTGAGTAACACAGTTAAGTATTTTGATCCTACCACAAAAAGAAACAAGGCCAGTGTCCCAGTGTTTTTCTATTTCTATCAAGTTGTGGACTCCTAAGTAAATGTTGGGCTCCCGTGCCGACATTAATCCCCTGAAATCATTACTGTTTGGCACTGGCCTCCTCTCTGTGACACATGCATGTCTATAATCCCTGACAGGCTACACTTGGCTCTTCCTCTGGAGAGCTTGCAGCTAGCAGAAGCAGGCGAAGTACATCCTGACTCCTTTCTTCTCCCTATCTGTTATCTCAACAGAGGCCTGACATTTAACACCCAAACCACAAGCTGCTAGCAGACTGAGAGGATGGAGGAGGCAGGGAGGTGCATCCTACATGACTATGAAAAGATAAATTCTCTGAGGGGATGGAAATGCGGGTGCACTGCTGTGGAGTTGAAACAGGTCCCTCCTGAGGGTAAAGATGAAGCATCCTGTCGGAGACTCTGTCTCCTGACCTGCACAGTGAGGTCAGAGGTCAGTGTCAGCAGCATTTCTTTATTTTGGCTGAAGGCCAGGCTAAGCAGATGTTCGCCTCCACGAGTATGACCCTTTGATATTTAATGGAAAGCAGCTCTCTCTCTCTCCACAGCTACCAGACTAAAGCTGCAAGCCCTCGCTTTAATTGCTATGGTCAGCTCAAACCTCTGTAAACACAAGTCACAGCTGTCCTGCCCTCCACTCTGAGGACTGCTGGCCTCTTCCTGCAGCTTTACAAGCTCTCCCACACTGTTGCACCCAACCACAGCAGCATTACTACAGAGTGAGGCTTCGTTATATCATGAAATTCAGGTTTCTGCTTCTGACTGACCTGGTTCATGTGATAATCCCACTGCTCTGCTGTTTCCCAGCAGAAGAGCGATGAAGAAGTGAATGAGGGAGACTCCTTGCCCGGAGGCGTGAAGCCCGCAGTCCAAACGGGTCATGTTGTCAGGACACTGGCCTGGATCTGAGAAGCATTTAATGCCTTTCTAACACAGAGGCGATTGTCAATTCAAATTAATTCCATCTGGGCTGGAGGAACCTCTCGCCTTTGTTGCGGCCATGCACTCAAACTGTGTCAACTCCAACAAACTTCTCCAACTCAGGCCTGGACATCGTCTGTTAGTACGGGCCGTTTTCGTTGCATTGTCACTCTCTCTGACCGGTTTGAAAGTCGGTGTTAGCGTCTGCACTGCCTCCGTCCTCCATCAGTCTCTCACCGACAGCCAGTGACAGCTTCAACATTTCTTCTCCAAACTTTCGCAGAGTTTCAGCCACCCCCACAGATGGGTGGACTTAAGACAATGGGCTATCTTTCCGCGGGGCTGCCGGCTTAAAGGGGAATGCTACTCCAAGAAACTGGATACAGGGCACTCCAACTGGCCGTAGCACCAAAAACAGAGGTCCTTCGAGTTTTTCCACTGGGTCAGATGAGGACCTGTTAAGATATGGTTGCATTCACGTGGAGTCAGAGAAGTGAGCAGCAGTCTACAGATCAGGGGCTTCGGGTTGTGAAATGCCTTTCTTCCTCTGTGCGTAAAACCGAAGACGTGTGAGTGGAAACTGTCATAAAACCCCACTGAGGACTGATTTGAATGTTACACCACTGAACTTAGCGTGGTTCTGTCTACTAAACACTCCACTTCTGAAACTTTGTACCCGCATACAGTCAAATACACACGGTTTACAACATAATGTGATATGCATATAACTGCCTATGACCTCAAAACTGATTTGGGGAGATTTCACACCGTCTGCCAAAGTGAAATAACTCATTGTAAGTCACAATGAAAAGTTGACATGTTCTGCAAACTTTTCATCATTGTTTTGCCTCAGTAGTCTTAAACAGTCTGAGGCAAGTGCTCCCTCTAGCGGACGCCTACAGACACTCGAATCATTCTGTTCTGAAGAGTTTTTCATCATCTGTTTGAAACCAATAGTTGGATGATGTCTATGATGCAAAATCTCAAACCTTACCCTGTGAATTTGTCTCATCTATGGTCAGATATCTCATTACACACTTAATTGAAGCTACTGTTCCAAATATAAAATTTATTTCAAGATAAAATGTTCTGGATAAGTTTGACATTTTCTTGTAGGAAAACTTTGCTGTATTTGCAGCCAATTTTGCTCGTTTCAACCAAGTCAGTCCTTCCACTCCTCTTAAATACAGTCCTTTTTGCAGCCAGCCAGGACTGAAGAATGCAGGGATCTATCAAATGCACCTCTACGAGACATACAACAGGTTTACATCAGTTTCAGGGTCAGAATCCTAAAGCCACCTATTATTGCTGTTTGGAAACATATGCTTTGGCATATCTTAGGGGGAATATCTTTCTCCTACAACCGACACCACCATGTGTCTATATGTGCTCATCAGCAAGGAGTTCAAGTACGTTTCCAAAGAGATTTCTTTTTGCTGTTACTTGGCCAATTCACAGACTGACATTTTACTTTTACCCAAATAAACTTTCATTAAGGTAACTGTACTTTAACGTTGACACAGATAATTACGTGTTTTCATTCCCTACCTATAACACTTGACATCAGTTGACATTTTGCGCATTAATACAGAAAATCTGTTCCATCTGGCGCATTTTACGCACAAGCCAGAGGAGTGAGATTCATCCAGTCACGGCTCCTAACAATCTGAAAAGAGAAGAATACAAATACAAACGAGGATTCATTTCGATTGAACCAGCCACCCTTTGTGTCTGCTGTTGCATTTACAGCAGCTTTAGTCTCATTTCGATTATCTGCTTCTCTGTCACGTCTCGGTCGACCAATCGTGGCTCAGCAGAGGAGCGACACACCTGTATAAAAGCAGACTCCAGCTCGCTCAGAGTGGTTCAGCATCTAAGACACTTAGGTATGGACCACCTCTGTTTACTTTCCGTCTAGCCTGCTGTGCGCACGGGCACTGCACCTTCAAGATGAGTAAACTTATGAATTACAGCGGAGCAATGAACAGAAGTACACCTGGCTATGACAAATTCAGTTTCGAAGACATCGATGTGAGCGCAGACGGCGCCTTCGTCCTGAGGATTCTCATCTCCGTGGTTTACTCTGTGGTGTGCGCAGTCGGTTTAGTTGGGAATCTGCTCGTCCTTTTCCTCATGAGGTTAAGACAGGGACGAAAGAAGTCCAGTATCAACTTCTTCATCATTAACTTGGCGCTGACGGACTTCCAGTTCGTGCTCACTCTCCCCTTTTGGGCAGTAGACACCGCGCTCGACTTCAGCTGGCCGTTTGGAGACGCCATGTGCAAAATCATCCTCTCTGTCACCGTGATGAACATGTACGCGAGTGTGTTTTTCCTCACTGCAATGAGTGTGACCCGATACTGGTCGGTTTCCTCTGCCCTGAAGAAGAAAACCTACAGGAGATCCCGGTGTGTAAAGTGGGTGTGCGTGGTGCTGTGGGTGGCAGCGACGGTGGCCACAGCTCCAACAACCATCTTCTCCACGGTGACAGTGGTGGCGGGGGAGAAACTCTGCCTGCTTAGGTTTCCTGAGGGGCACGACTGGCTCGCGCTCTACCACATCCAGAAGATACTTGTTGCCTTCATCATCCCGATGTTCATAGTCTCCGTGAACTACCTGATGCTCCTGCGCTTTGTGAGGCGGAGGAGCATGGACAGCAGCAACCCGAGACGGAGAAGCAGAATCACCAAATCTGTCGCTATCGTGGTTTTGTCTTTCTTCTTCTGCTGGATGCCAAATCATGCCATCACATTCTGGGGTGTGTTGGTCAAGTTTAACGCCGTGAACTGGGATAAATCTTACTATATGGTGCACACCTATGTGTTTCCGGTCACCGTGTGTTTGGCGCACGCGAACAGCTGCTTGAATCCGGTGCTTTACTGCCTGATGAGGCCAGAGATCAGGAAGATGCTCAGCAGTGTGGTTTTCAGAGTCTCCACTCCACCCCACAAGAAGGGCTGCGCCACGCGCTCTTTTACGCAGGGAGACACTCAGGGAGTCGTGCCTCTCCACATTATGAACAATGGAGAGTCCAAGCTGTCTTACGCGGATCCTAAAGAGCTATCAGGGTCCAACATGATCCCATTCACACAATAAATGCTCTTTGGTGGTAAATGCACCCGAATCTGCCTCATGTATACTTCGGTCCATCATCTGTACCTGGCATTTCTCGTGCGTAATGACGATCATGTTCGTGTGGCTATAGTGTTGCAAGTCTGAATCACAGTCCAGATACACATTCTGATGTGTTTTGCTTCATGGTATGAACTATTTATGTTGTATAACGACAAGGACAGACTTGAACTTCTGCAACAGTGGCCACAAAAAGTAAAAAAAATGAAGTCCATGATAATGCAACTGTTCTTTGCTTGTGTTTTGCACCTCACCTTTGAGATATTGTTCTTGTAAATAAACAGCGAGAAGCCGAAACAAAGACAAAGGATGTCATGATGGGAGAGCTCCTTGTAAAACTGGAGATTATTTTATAAAGAAAGACTTGTGATGGATAAGTCAAATGGAATCACGTGTTTGTATGTGTTTAAATCATGTTTTTGTACAGATTCTGTAAATAAGTGTGGAAATATTGAATATTTATTTTTATTTTAATGTTTTTATCTTAATAAATATGATAAAGATACCAGATTACCCACAGGGAGGTTTTGACTCTGAAGCATCATTAATGCCCACTCAAGTGGCGTGTATAGTTAGCCTTTATCTTGCATTGTTTACATTGAAAGGTCATCTCCAAAAATATGAGCTGGTTCTCTTTTTAACAGAATAAAGATATTTGTAAGTCCCTGTCAGTTTCTACTGACTAAAAAAGTGAATATGGACAGTCACTATATCAGATCAGACAGATACATCTATAAGGGGCGATTGTTTTTCATACTCATAATGAATTTTTTTCTCAGAAGGTTGTAAATAATTTGATTTTGACACTTCAATCACACTCAAAAAAAGGAAGAGACAATGACAAACTGAAGGTTAAATAAAGATTTAGATGAATTCATGCAGTGATGGACTGGTGGATCAGATTCTGCAGCTCAAAGCTCCTTTTCATTTTGTGCAACCTATATTTCCAATCCTGAATGAACGTCCAGTTAAACACACTTGTTGCCTAGGTCTCAGGTTTGTAATGTCCTCAGAGATTTGAACTGTTACTTGGTTTAGCAGGAAAGTTTGATAATTGACCAAATAAAGCTCAGGAGAGTCAGGAGCCAGGGGGTATCTTGGCTGCAGCACTGATGCAAAATGTATGTGACAATTAGTCTGTAGACCAATGCTTGTCCCCTGAGGGCTCTCTGTGTTTTGCAGACTTTCTGCAGTGATGGTGAGTCATGATAATCCCCGAGCCTGTAATCCCACAGTGTCCCTGGAAGAAACTCATCAAAGAAATCTGTAAGGAATTAACATTAAAAGTTTATGCCATCTTTCAGTGAAACTTGTTGTTTTTACACCGATCTGCGAAACCTGAGTCTGGAAAAAACTAATCTCAAAGAGACCTTGAAGAATAACATAAAGAAAAGACAAAAAGGTATCTTTCTTACATGACATACTTGGAAAAATCTCTCAACACTAAATGCTTTGGGGATTTTACCTTCAGTCACGACAGTAGAGAAAGATCATTTACAGCTCATGTGAAGACCTCGTGGATTATGTTGACTCAGACTAACCCTGTGAACAAAGTGTTTTTTCTTATCTCCTCACTCTTGTTCTTCTCCTGTGCACAGACCTGCAGTGCATTCAGATGAAAAATCTCACTGTGCTTTATATTAAATGTCGAACATGCCACTCACAGTGAGTGGTTAGCATTTACAGTGTGTTTCTCTAATGTGTTGTTGATTGCTTTGACTGACAGCTACCCCCCCAGCAGAATTTAAAAGCATTAAAAGATGACAATTGTGAATTATTCACTGTCCTCTCCAATCATCTTGTTTGCTTTTATAAATTGCGTAGATCTGCACTCTTATTCAAAACCAGATAATAACCACATTCAGGTCTGATGATGATTCATGCTCAGTGTCTGATTATTAGTTTCTGCAGTATCACCTCAGTGAAAGAAATTAGATTTTCTTATCTGGTGATTCAAATATCACATCTCACATTTCATGCTGTAAGAAAACTGTCATGTAACATATTCTGTCAGGTCATCCTCTTGGGTGTATCATAATTCTGCAAGCTCTGTTAGTTAGATTATTTTTCCAGTAAATTCAAATTCAACTTTATTTATATGGCACTTTTCGTACGCGCTTGCAATTCAAAGTGCCTCACAACAACAACACTGCACACACACACACACACACACACACACACACACACACACACACACACACACACACACACACACACACACACACACACACAGCTACCTTTGGGAAACACTGGAGCTAAAAATGATAAAAAGAAAGAATAAAACCTGATGGACTAAGGCAAGAAGATAATATAAAATGAACAAGCATGTATAGCATGTAGAAGGGGTCAAAGAAGTAAAAACCTCATGGGAGGAATTCAGAAAAAGACTAAGAAAAGAGAGGAAAAATCAGTAAGTTATAATAATAATAATCAAATAAGTGAGTGAAGAAATAAAGTCAATGAAATGACAGACAATTAATAAAAACATATAATATAAACATTAAGAACTTCGATTAAAATGAACTGTAGCAGTAAGAGAAATAAGTTATGGCAATCCGTGAAAAGCCTGGTTAAAAAGATGAGTCTTGAGCCTCTTCTTAAAAATATCAACAGTCTCTGCAGCCCTGAGGCTCTCCGGCAGGCTGTTCCACAACCAGGGGCCACAGAAACAGTCGTCACATTCAGGTGTGTTGCTCACTCTGTTGGGTAGTTTAACTTATTTCAACAGGTACAGTAGCTCATGCTGTTGGGTTTTTCATCTATTCAAGACGCTCAGTCTGTTTAGTAGCATATCCCATTAGATAGCTCAGACTTGTCAGTTATGGTAACTCATCTTTTAGGCATTTTCATTTTTGCAGTCACTCATTTTATCCTGTCTTATGTCTTATAGCTCGATTCAACCTTGTAGCTAATTTTCAAATTGTGTTTGAAGCTACTTTGAGTCTTTTTATGTCTAAGACAAGGACCAAAGTTCCCACTGATGCCTTTTTATCCAAAAGCAAACAAGACAGTGAGTGACTGACTGATGACTGATATTTTTTAAATTGTAATATTTATTGCATGAAACTGGGTAGGGAAGGAGGTGTCAGCAGAACACCCACAGAAACAGCTGTTTTTACAATTTCCACATAAGATATTGGTGATAAATGATGCATATGACCATCAAAAGTCAGCAGGATGGGATAACACTACTCAAGCAAGTGGATCAGGTGTGTTTAAATGACAGTTATAATTCACCAAAAACCCATCCTTAGTATTTATGTTTATATTGTTGTGATGTTTTTAATCATAAAATGTGTATTCTGTATTTATTTTATTATGTAATCTGTTGTACTTTTGGGGTTTCCTGTGGCGCGGTCACTTCCTGTGAATTTGCACGCCACTCTCCTCTGACCCACCTGATGGGTTCTGCTGAGGAGAGCTATGTAATCATTGGTTCTGTTCACAGTGTTAAAATACGGTTCAGTATTTAAAGAAATCCTAATCCTTAACTTTATTGAGCTCACAAATATTTTACTAATGTTACACGTGTTTATTGCAAGCATTTCAAATGTTTTATGCAACTTGCTTAGATTTTACATATTTATTGATTTTAAGCTTGGCTATGGAGGACATGTGGGCTTTTTCTCATGCAGCAGACTGCATACTCTGCTTTTTCCTTGAAATGTGTACATGGTGAAGTCCAGTCCTGAGTTGCTGTATTGAATTCATTTTATTTTGTACAGGTATGTGAGCACTTTGTCCCTGTTTTATATTTCCTTTACTGATACAAATTTAGATGTACATTTGTATGGTGTATTGTCCTGTAAGTTATTGTTCAATGGATTTATAATTATGATAAAATAACAAAAAAATTGTTGAGTAGAAATGTCTGTTTTTTAAGAGCTCTAAGACCAGTATTTGTAAATTTGTATCAAAAAACTATACAATCAGAAAACTTTTATTCACGTCTTTTTAATTCATGATGTTTTAGTTCATAACCTCCATGATATTAATTTAGGGACTCACACGTGTTCCCTCAGACTTGATTTTTTTTAGTAAATTTGTTGCAGTAAATCTGACTATAACCACACAGAAAGTTATTTATGATCATGCACAGGCTTCTTTGACTAATATCTGTCACATATTCGATCAAAACTTTGAATACCAGCAAGGTGTAGTGACTGTCAGCCCGCAATTAAAATCTACAAATCACCAAGTTTCACTTTGATTTGCCAAGTTTGGAGCTCCAAATCTCCAAATCTTTTCTGCTTTTTTTTTTTAGAAATTCAGCCCATAAACTTTAAGATACACTTTTGTTTCTCCAGACCTCAAGTGTTCAATGAGAGACACTGAGACATATAGAATATTTTATTTGTAGAAGTATAACAGCTCCTCACAACTCATCAAACAGAACATACCGACAACTGTCAGTAACTTCAAAAGGATGCTAATACACTGTAGGCAATGCGCATTCATTAGACTCATGGTTGTGTCGTCTGGTCTTCATTTAGATACAGTTTTCAAGAGTTTCTTTGTTTTCATCCATGTTGCCTACAGTATCATACGCACATTCTCCACTCTGATGCAGTGCATGTTAAAAGGCATGCAACATCTCGTAACAGATTTGGTGACAAAGAGCTGACTCGTTCATTTGTCTCTTAAAGTTACAAAGTAATGCCACAAAGCATGTGAAAAATACTGAAAGGGTTCAAAAAGGTACTTGACTATTTACAAAATTCAAGTTAAGTTTGTACAAAATAAAAGTGCATCAAACGTTGAAAGCTCATCCTGAATGTTTTACAGGATGAAAATATATAAAAAAGGAGTAAAATCAGGTTTAGATGAGTGTTTCTGTAGAAAATGAAAGAAAATCTCTGAAAATGACGCATCATGAATCTTAGTACTCTGGCAACTTTGGTTGTTTTCTGTTTTCTTCATAATAAATTATTATGCAATTGAGCTGAATATGTTGCAGATAATATCTTTGAAACATCAAATTCAATATACAATATAGTAACTTTACATTTGCGGTAGCTTTCGGGTGGAAAGTCACCCTTGAGGTTTTCCATGTACTCAAATTTTAAGAGTTAAATAAATATACATCAGAAAGAGACAAAGGTGTGATTGGCTGGCGCTCGCCTTAAGGGCAGTTTGTGATCTGAAATTCTTGGAATAGATGGACAAAATTTCGCTCTATTCCTTCTTTCAGACATTCAGAAATCAAAGTCCCAGCCTGAAGCGGAGGGCTCACAGATCTGTGAATTTACGACACCGAGGGCAGTGGAATACATAGACAAAAGAGGCCCTAATGTCGCAACAGTGCAGGAATGCTAAGTGAATGTGACAGTGCTGACTCTCGGGGGGTCAGGGGTTGTGGCGTGGGACAGATCCAGTGCGCTGAGCGAGCCTCTCTTCAGCGGTCATGCAGAGCTGTCTTTGCTGTGCCACTGTGTTGTTGGGGAGCAGCGGGGAGGTGGGTTGGTCCCTGAGTGATGGGTCCCCTGTGGAAAAGGTGTCTGCTGGGGGGCCCTCAGCCTGCGTTACCGCTCTTCTGCCACTTTCCCGTTTGCCTCTTGCTCATCGTCATCCCTCCGCTTCTGCCTCTGGAAGAATCCAAGCTGGGAGGAAGAGAAGTGAAAGACTGAAAAAAGGTACAAGCAGGCGTTCAGGATTGTTCTTGGATGTTTACATATATATTTCACGGAAAAATCCCTGTGGCTGATTTTGAAATGATGTTATTGTTCTCTATCAACCAATGGTAATGGTGCAGTTTTCATCATGTGACCATTATAAGAAATCATAAACTGCATTCTTAATGATGGCCAGCAGGGGGCCCCCTACTGCATTCAATAAAATTCTGTTGACTGGAGCCTGTGTCAGTGTCTCCTTTTGTTGTCATAGATACAAAAGCATCGTCTTTATTGAGAGTTTGACTATTTCTTTTGAAATGGAGAAAACTCACAAGTGTTCATATACATACAATTGTTGATGCTTTGTTTGTTATATGTACATATTTCTCAGCCTTATTTATCAATCTCTACATTTTGTCCTTAACAGGCATTGTTTCATGTACTACCAAAAGGTGGCAGTATAATCATACACTTCAGTACTGTTGTGCCATTTCGGGTCACATAAAAAACCTCCAACAACTTTAGGAGAGTCAGATAAGTTCAGTCATAAATAGAGTCCTTAATAACCTTCTGTGGGGAAAACAACAGTCCTGTGGCTCTCTGTGAAGACACACAGTAAGTCACGAAGCAATAGTTTCTGTTGATTCAATATGCTCTTCCTCTGTGATTGATAACTGTGACCTACCTTCCACAAAGCTAGAATGAGAAGGGCTAACAGTAGGAGTCCTCCCAGCGTGCTGCCAATAATAATCCAGATGGAGATTCTGTAATCTCCCTCCCTCCTGATCTCCAAAACAATCTGTGAAAACAACAGGATGGAGTTTGAATCGCCAGACAAGAAAATCTCATTACTTTCACTGAGGTGGGACTGCAGTCACTAATAATCATACACTGAGCATGAGAGTGCCAATCTATGATAGTCTGTAATGACTAAGAACACTAAATGTGCAGCTGCTACATTCACAGGCAATAATACTGATACCATTTTTATTGTGATCCAAACATGATATATAATAAAAAAATTTAAATAACTACATTCCTGTGATAATTGTCTAAAAAAGACAAGATAAAGATGCAATATGCAGCTGTTTGTCCAGGCCAATAGATGGCAGCAAAGATTAATTTACTTGCTCAGGGTTTTACACGTTGTGCCGCTGGTCCTTTCGGTCCCTGAGCACCATACAGCACATGTGCTTTAACACCAAGATTTACTCTTGTTTCTCTACTCATTCAGTTTCCATGAGCCAAGCTAAGTCTGACAATACTGCTTATAAAAGGGTCAATGCAGCAACATTTATTTGTGTACTATAAATAAGATTATAATGGCTATTGAACTGTTTTATTATTTACTTCCATGTTCAATAAGTTTTATAGCCCGGTCTGATCTCTATAACCACAGAGAGACAAAGAAAGAAATCAAAGACTACGTCTGGTTAGATTTATGATGCAACTGTGAGCTCAGATCTGACTCGGGTCAGACCGAGCAGACAGTTTACAGCATCAGCTGTCATTGACTCACATGTCTGACAGGCCTCTCTTCGTGTAAGAACATGGGGCTGGAGGAGGGAAGCTCCACTGATGCACTGGTTACCAGCTCCAAGATTTTAAACTTCAGCTGGAAAGAAAAGGAAAACATGTTGCCAGTTTCTACAAACATATCACAGAGCAGAGAGAGAACAAAGCTGTCATCATCAGAGTTAAAGCAGAGCAGCAGGAAGATGAATCTCCGATCTGAATACAAATGTGTAATCATAAATCTGAGGATCTCTGGTTTTTATGTATGCATGCTGGGAGGTTTATACTCACTGCATGTAAAGTATCTATTCTCAGCGCTCCTGTGATTCTGACTGGGATTTCTCTGTGGGAGGCCACATTGACAGTGCACTGGATTGGCAAAGTCAGGGTGTTGGTTTGATTCTATGGAAAGAGAAAACAGACATAAGCTGACCATAGCGTAATCCGTATGAAAGTTTCACTGGTAAAATACATATAGATAGTTTGTACTGTACCAGGCGAGAGAAACGTGAAAGGTCCTCGGGTGATGCCCTGCTGTGTGCCACATGCTGAGGTGGTAAACAGTGTGAACCGTCTCTCTGTGTGAGGTGAGTTAAAAATACCAGTTAGCACATTATCACCTCAACTCTGCAGAGACACTGTTAATGACAATAACACCAACAATACTTTGCAGAATGGAGGAATGGATTGGGAAGACAGTATATTAATGATAAGTGGAGAGTTTGAGTCAGGACATGTTTAGGCTGGCTTAGCTTTAAAACTTCTTTATTGTGAAACGCTGAAAACTGTGCAGATCGAGAGGGATCTCCAGGAAAACCAAGGATAACAAACTATTCTGCTCTTGACTTATTGTTTGAACCAAAACCTTGATCCTTTGCAAAGCTAACCTCAACAGTTTTGGGAGCAGAACCCTCATAGCGTTTCAGAAAGTCACAGCAGTTTCTTGTTATGTTAAGACACAAAAAACACTTTTAAGTCATCAATCCACCGTTAGATATTCTTGGCAACAAATCCTGTGCCTCTTTCGTCAATTTTGAGAGGAAATCAAAAGCCAGACAACATTTTCCAACTCATTTGGCTAATGTTAGCTAGCATGAGCTGACTGTTTTTAGTAAGAAATGTTGGTCCAGCTAGGAAATACGACCCGCTTAAATTGCAATACATCCATTAACCATTGACTGTTGTAAGGAATCATTGTGTTATGATGTTATGTTGGAGAAATAATCCAAGCAAAGGCTATAAAAACTAAAAAAGCCTGTGTGCCATGGATCACGATACCCAACTTTAGCTACTCTTGATACACAAAGAGGGTCTGTTCTCTTTTTTCCTTTCTGAGCAGAGGTGGTCTTTAACCGTTTGAAGAACAAAAATGTCTTGTTATTCTTAAAAAAGTGTACAGATTCAGTGACTTTACAGGGACACTTAACACTCCACACTCACCTGGTCAATATAGAAGTCGGCTATCTGCAGGAGTTGATTCCCATTTTTGGTCATTTCTGGGATCTCAATGTTCAGCTGTAGATCCTTTACCGGAAAGTAGCCAAGGTTCTGGATCTAAAGCACAACAAGAGGTCACTTATTTCCATGCAGTGTTTTCCTTTACAGTAAATTAACTTTTTTTTTAATGTGAGGATGCTTTTGGCTCTCACCTGGAATGTGAAGTTAAAAGGAGGGCCGATAACTCCCGGCTCCTCCAGCGACAGCTCTGATTTGATCTCGTACCGAGTCGGATTGGAATCTCTTTTGAAGTAAAGAACAAACACAAATAACGAAAAACTTGAGTGGCTGATTATTTCCCGTTTAAGTGGTCTTAAAGCACATGTTGTGAAGTGGACTACATGATATCAAAGTTCACATCCAGCTTCAATATCTGCATCCTATTTTCCAACACTGAACCTTATTCTTCAAGTATTTCCAGATGCTGACCAATCGCTTTGTTCTCGCATTTCCGCATTCATTGCTTTTGAAATCTACCACAAGAACTTGCACAAAACACAGTTAGTCAAAAACATGACAAACCTAGTGAAGAGAAGGTCTGCCTCGTATTTCAGTGTGTAATAGATGTCGTTGAAATTATCGGCTGTGCTCACTTCCTCTCCATCACTGTTGAGAAAACAGGAAATATTCCAAGTTGCAGGCATGAGCACAGACGCAGAAAACAAAAATGAAGACATGTTTCTCTACATGCAAAGAGGAAAAGACTCAGGGTGACAAACATTTTATGGAAAACGTTGAAATTTAAAGATGTTCGCACCTTCCAGCCTCCAGGATAATCCGGACATGATCCAGGAAGACAGTCTGACTAAACTCGAACTCCAGACGAAATGTGACCTTCAAGAGGGTGAAAAAAGAGAGAGAAATATAAATTATACAACAATCCTTTATTTTCTTTGATGTTTCAACATCTCGCCCTGTGTTCAGAGGCTTCTTCTGACCCATCATGCTCCTGTATTTACTCCCCTTGACAGTAAAGACCCTGCATCGTGGACTAGAGAGGAAAGCCTGCAATAACCTGCGATGAGTCTCCAGCTTTGACCCCAGGCAGGCAGACAAGCAGCGGCACAGTTGGTACTGCTTAAAGAGAGCCCGGAAATTTCCCCTTAGCTGATGACAATCCCATAAATACAAATCATCAGGACTCCACACACACACACACACACACACACATACATCAGGACAAAATATGTGCACAGATGCTAAAAAGGAGTAAAGAAGCAGACAAAACAGATGAGACAACCAGAAAGAAAATAGGAAACAGTAGAGGAATCCCAAACTAAAGCAGAGGAGGAGAGGAGAGAGAAGATTGATTGACAGTAGAGCAAACAGAGCAAAGCGTTTCATTGTTTATAGTTATCTGTACTGCAATGAAACCCTGATTCTGCCAGAGAGGAATGCAAAACAAATCTGACTGTAGCCCCCCTCCTCACATGCAGACCACATATAGACTGAATCATTTGTAACAAACCACATTCATACAGCATTTCTAAAAAAATGACCTACTTTCATAAAATGTAAGGATTTTTCTCAAAAACAGCAAATTTTTCTTTATAGATGTTGGGAAATGAGCTTCATTTTCTGTAATTTCCCCAACAACCCGTCAGGTTGTTTATAAAAGCAGGATCATTGAAACTTAAAGACACTCGTTATGTTCTCAGACCAAAACCTCATCCTGTTGTCTTCCTACAGTGATATATCACTCACTGTGAGGACTTGCAATGGGCAACATTTATTTAAGATAAAGCTGTTTCCGCAGCCTGCTGTCAGTCATCTGGTCTGATGCAGATCCATCCACAGCAGTTCAGGCATCAAAAAGTAGGACTAAAATTTTCTGCCTTGTTGCTGATGGTTTTTTTTTTTTTTTTTCGAGGTCTGTAAGAGGCATCAGAACCAGATTCAACAGGTTAAAAACTCCTTACAGTGCCTTTAAAGACATGCACACAAACAGTAAAATATGAGGATTGTATGGGTTTATAAAATGACCCCTGCTCTCTTTTTTAAGGTGTTTTTCAAAAGGAGAGATTCATCTTTTTGTTTTTTTGTTCACATTATTGCCATTTCATAGAAAAAAAAGAAAAACACAAAAAACCCTGCACAGACAAACACACATATACATGCAAGTGGTATTAGTTTGGAAAGTAACTTCTATTTTCTTTATGATTGACCTAAAAACAGTCATCTTTGCGCTTTTTGTCCAGCCTGTTTAAAATAACTGGATTATTATGTGATGGTAATTCAGCAGACGATACACACATACTCATATAAAAATGCACAGACAAGGACTTGTTTTTTAAATTGACGGGTTTGAAAATTTACTCATCTCCTTTGTTATGGTTATTTATAAAAATTTGTCATCTTTTCTGTCCTCCGTGTTTCCCCGTTTTCAAAATAACCATGATGGGCATCTAGCAGGAAACACTCAGTCAAAGGAATGCTTACGCACACACATGCACGAGAGCGGTATGAGTTTGGAGGCCATGATTTTCTGTGGCCGGCATAGTTGAACACTCGAGTTTAGACCGAGGCATGAAGCCTCACTTCTTCCTTCAGCCTGATGGATTCAGCCAGCATCCCTGAGCCACACTAATCAAGGGATTGAACGCAATAACTTGTTTTCTTTGTCTCCATGTACGCTTGCAGCAAAAAAGAAAAGCTTATTTGTCACGGTTAAGTTCAAACAGGACATGATTTCAGGCCTCGCTTAGTGGCACCAGCAGTAAAGTTAGCAGTACATGTTTTTGTAGTTTTACACAGGTCAGAAGAAGCCAGAAAAGTCTAACGCAGAGCATTCCCCGCTTACTTTACACAGCTTGCCCTGAGGTTTCTACTTTCTCTCGGCTAAACAGCGGTTTGGGCAGTCTTGGCAGCAGCATCGGGGCACAAATCAGCCTTGCTCAACTCTGTGCCACATTTCTAAAAGGGCCTCGACTACAGCGGATCAGACTTGTGGCTCTGGATGTTGTTCAGGCCGGAGGAGTGGGTATGAATCACTCAGTGATGTTTAACGGGGTGACCAGAGTCCCCATTGGTTCAGATGTCGGGGAGCATTACAGAGAAATACTGGGGTATTTCGGTTCCCATGGAGATCACAATTGTTTGTAATAATGATGGGGTTAGGATGTTTCATGACCTCTCTGAATCACCTTTATGAGTTTATTCCTTCAGTATTCGTCAGCAGACTTTTTATCAGTGAAAAAATGAGATAGACTGTAGTTCAGACATCACTAGAAAAGACGGCTTAGGAGTAATGTGCTTTCTCTTAAAAGGATTTCATTGTGAGGTGAAATCGGTGTCATCCCTCTCAGCGTTTACTCACACAGCACCTTCTAAAAAATAAAAGTTGGTTCTTTGCTTTTAAGACTCACTAGAAAGTGGAAGAGTCCCATAAATACTGTTGACATTAAAAGCCAGTGGAAAGGCTCACAAACAGCAAGGTTAAAAGTGAGAATCAGTAACAGATGAGAGAATAAAACACTCCCACTATCTTTCACCTGAAACTAATGCAGTAGAAAATGTCCTTAAAGGCAGAATAAGAAAGTTTCTCTGCTCCTTGTTGCTAAGATGTACCTTTAAATTTTGATCGTCTTCAGGGGAAGACCTGACATCTATATAAGGAATACTTTACCATGAAATTCTTTTTAAAAATGTGCAGAGTCACTTTCAGAGCTGTGTGAGTGATGCAGCAGCGTTCACATATGTTATGGCGCCTGTCCCAGAAGTTCTCCAGACTCCATCCTGCAGGTTTTCAGTTACACTAAAGTGTTTTTGTGCCGGTGACAGTGTGTCCTCTCTCATACAGAATGTTAAACAAACTGCGTGGAGGTTCATTCTTTACATTCAGTCTCATAAAATCTGAACGTTGAGGCGTCTTTATGCGACCCAAAATAACTTAATGCACTCTACTCACAACTCGGCAATTGATCATGTCATACAGAGTTTATGGACAAATATCACACAGCCAGAGTTAGCTAATAGAAAAACACCTCAGTGAGTTTCAGACATTGACAAACACTGTGGTTTTTAATGGAAACCTCCTAAAAAGGCGAGGAGGGGAATTACACCAAAAATTAATCCATTAATAATGGTATACACATTCTCACTTGCTACTGAAATGACTAATCCAGCGTAAATTTGTCCTATTTCTTTGACCCATTTGTAGCTAACCTCTGAGGGCAACTGTGATGGTCAATTCAGAGTATACATGTTGTCATTTGTTGGTCTTTGATACATGATTTGTATGTTTATATCATAGACTGTATATACTATGGACAACTTGGTTCTATCTTCCGCCAGTATACGGATTTGAAGCCGAAAAGTTCTTGGTATTTCTGCGACTTTTCTCCATTTCCTGAAACCAACATTGCGCAGTTGAACGCAATTGTCGGGAGAGTCGCCGAGAGTCGCTGTGATGACGCTCGGCTCAAACAATGTAACCCCTGGGTGAGGTACGCAACCTTTGTACACCCATAGGCTGTATCAAGTGTCAATCATAGAAAACATGAACCCCCTAATAACTTTTAAAAATGGAGCTGTACAGAAAAAAGAGGACCAGGTCAACATCGCAACCAGGGGGGGAGAAAAATGTATATTCTGTGTAATAAATTCCCAAAGTTTGTCCACAGCTCCACAGGGATGGCTGGCGGAGGCGGGATTTATGACCTATACTGCAGCCCGTCACCAGAGGGTGCTGTTCTCAGGGTGGCTTCACCCAGTGAGGAGGCAGACGGCGTCCATTCCAGATACAGTCTATGGTTTGAATTGATAATAATAAACCCAGTCTAGTTGAATGTTTGAGGGTATTTCATGCGGTGTTGTTTGGTCAGTTCAGCACTGTGGCTACATTAGCTGGGGCCTGTAACAGCTAAGAATAAGACATATAGGTGTTAAAGCTCCTGTGAGGAAACTTTAGCTGGTTATGGAACCAGTAAAAATGAATACTGATGTCACTTTATGAGCTACAAAAGCAGACAAGACTGCCAGATTCAGGATTAATTATTTCCATAAGGTTCCATAAGGTCCATAAGCTATTTTTCATGCCTGAACTGCTGCTTGGGGGGTAGGTGTCACACAAAGTAAGATTAAAGGTCAGCAGGAAAAAAGGCTTTTTTACATATTTCACATTAGAATGACATTACATTAGAAGTGGAATTAGTTTCTGTGTCAAAAAAAAAAAAAAAAAAACGTGTAGAAGGAGGCCAAAATAGTGATGCACTCTTTGTCTACAGGGAGGCACCAAAATCACCACCAAACCTAAAGTTTATAGCAGGAGTGCATTTCCACCAAGTGATCCACTCTGGTCCAGTACAGTTTGGTGCGGTAAACCTCGGCTGCATGTCTAAAGCCAACTCTACCCTCGGGCACTTCTCGGGAAAGGCTCAATTTCCATTTTGACCTGCATATTAAGTGAGTAAGCCATGGTGTTTTTTCCACAAACTGTGCAAAGATCTGGTTAAAAATAGACTGAAATATGATAAACTGAGGACTGCAGTAGCTCTATATCATCTCTAGCATAAATCACAATTTGGTGTAGGTTCACTCCTGTTAAGCTTTTCAAAGTAAAAGTCTTTTTTTTCCTGTAGAGAGACTCCCTCTTGTTTTCACACAGTACGTCTTCATTTTGATATTGTGTCCAGGACAGTTGTTGGGGGAAAATAGCAGATCTCACAGCGCCTTCTTTGATTTATTTGACAGTAAACTTGCACTAGAAAAAGTCATTAATGACATTGGCTGCAGTTACGCTGCATGTTAATTATGAAATGACAGGTTATAGGGCATATTTCTTCTTGTGCAACCTTTCACTCCTTAGTTAGTGTCTGTGTTACAGTGAGCACCCATTCTTAATAATCTTACCTCCTGATAAGACAAACTCTGATGCTGTTACAACATCCCTGATATAAATACAAATGTATGCAACTGAATCATAATACATATGGGTATATAAAAACTGACCAATAATGTGGGTGGTATCACTATGCTTCGTGCTCCAACAGAGGGCTGCCAAAAAAGTAGTTTTTATTTTGGTACCCTTTTCAACTTTTGACAAAAGAAACTCAAATAATTGTAACAACAACTAAAATTCAAAATAACTTATGTCACTCACCACCTCTGGTACAATGTAAACTGTGGTGGCTGACACTCCTGCTCTGGTCTGAGGCCATGTTTTCAGAAGTGGAAGCACATTTCACCTACTTAATTTGGAAAGATTTTAAGTTCCAGGGAGGAAGAAGAAAATAGGATACTCTATCAGGGCTTTCTTAAAAGTATTACGCAATCTGGAAGCTGTTTCTGGATCCAATAAAATCAGTGACACTCAAACTTAATGCTGAGTATGGCTTACTGCCCCACATACTCTCCTCTCTGATGCTTTTCTCTCTTTAATTATTCATTTGTATTATTTATTTGTGCATTTTTATATGCCATCAATATCTCTCTACAAGACTTCCTGGGTGGGCTTCATGTGAGTTGCAAAAAGTGAATGCACAGCTTTTTTTCCCACTACGGAAACTTTTTTTCTAACTTTTAAACCTCTTTCCACTTTCTTTTCCGATTGTGTGATAATTTTAAGTTTTGAAAAAATACAACTGGTTTGGGAAGTAATGGAAAAAGACCAGACATCCTTTGTGCATGTATATTAAGTCATGGTTAAAACCTTGGAGCTCTAAATTCAGGTCAGGATACTGGTTATAGTCTCTATGTGCCAATCACTTTGACAGTGATTAAAGTTGCTTTCTTCACCACATTTGTTGTAGTTATAAAGTCAAATGCAGAGGGACATGTTTCAGTGTTAACGCTGTAAACTTGGATGTGAGATGGTTAGGAGAGGGGAAATCCCAAACCAGAACTAAACTGGGCTCCCCTCACTGGTTTGTGGGTCTTGCATTAACCAGTGTGGTCTGTCATGGTCATCTGAAGCCTTCAGCATGTGATTTGGGGCCATGTGGTCCAGTGTGACCTGAGTGGATGTTTTTTCAGCTTCAGAGCAGTGTGGCACAATACAATACGAGAGGCAACTCTAAGCTGTCGGACATGTGTCCAGATTTTTGTTTCTGTGAAACCGTCTAAAGTGATTTGATCCTGTTTGGGAGTCTGCATGAAACTTCCAAAATGAATGATTTTTTATGGTCGGAAAAATCAGCTTTTACATCTGCTTTCTTTTTAGTCAGAATCATAAAAATATGAATATAAAACATATGGCCTTCTTGGATTTTAAGACTTCCAGGAACAAAAATAACACATACTACAAAATACTCTACATCTGCAAAAAAGGTGTACTTCATTATTTACTGATTCAAATGTAACAACAAAAAACAAACCCAGATTCATCTGGTTGCTATTGCTAGTAAGTTATCTAATAGCAAACAAAGTCCTCAGTAGTTTCAAAATATTCCAGCGTATAAAGAGTGAAGTCTTTTTGGGGGCATTTCTGAACTCACCTGAGATTTGGCCCTCATGAACGGAGCGCTGACGTTGCAGATCTTCTCATTCCTCAGTTTGTCCTCCACATAGCACTCTATTTTGATGTCAGAGTTGTCCTGGATTAAATTAGATAAAAACTGATTATTTTAACTGCTTTGATTACCTGCATTTATAAATCTAACATTTATCTCACCCACTGGTTAAGCAGAAAACTATCACACAGTTAAAGAAAGTATGTCCTCATCAGAAACTACAAAAATCACCAATGATAGGGAATGAAATGGCACCTTGACTATGAGGCTTGAGAAGCGCAGATTGGGTGTGTATGTGATATTCAGGCGAGCATTATAAGCGTTCTCTCCTTTGTTCTCCAATCGGATGTCCACCACCATCCTCCTCCTGTGTGCCTCCATAACCCGCAGAGATCCCTCGCTCCCAACTTCACTTAAGTGCCGGCAAAAAGCACCACGGGACTGGACGGGATGCTTGCAAAAATGACTGTAGGAGGGAGGATGTGCATAAAACATAAGAAGCAGTATTTTTGAAGGATTGAGAAGCATCGGCTGATCACAGCACAATGCCAAAATATTTTGATGTTTTCACTGTGCAAGAATCTGAGAACTGGAAAAACAGATAATGGAGAATGCTGCAAATCATGAACTTTTTTCCATCTGCAAACTTTATCAAATACTTCTTTATGAAAACCTGCCATAAATCCTGCATGCACAACTTAAACTTGAGTTATATTGCAGCCAACTTGACTAAGTGCTGACTACTGTAACAGTATAGTTATCAGAAACAATCCAACGTCTATGGAAAAGTTAGGCAGCTCTTTTAGAGGATGGAAGACTTTAAAATGAATGAATTCTATTTTGATATTTAACAATAATGTTTTGTTTTAAAATACTTTCTACCATTTCTACTGATGGTGACCCCATGACCTTTGCTAACACCACCAGAAACTCAGCACCATCTAGTGGACTTAAAAGGCAACTCACTCTTATCACTACAATACAACACTATAACACAAAGTTCATAAAAGACCCCCGTGCAGTGGTGCAACAATCCTGCAAAATATCATATTACTGTGCTGCACTGTTCTTCCCAGTTATTCTTTCCCTTGGTGCATCAATACATGTGCATGTACTGGTGTGTGTTTTGATGAATGTGTGTACCTACTTTGGAGTCATCAGGTCATTCATACTCTGCACAGCCAGGTCAGGTATGCAGCGATCGTCTTCGTCACAGCCGTTCCAGAAAGGCAGCTGGTCAAAGAAACAATGATTTCAGTCAGAGAAACTCTAAATCTCCCTCTTTATTCCTACTCTGATAGAATCAGAAATGATTTCATGGAGGTGTATTTTTATTACTCAGTGTTAACTGATTGTGTCTCACCTCAGTCTTGAGGACAGTGGGCCAGCTGTCATCCAGGACTGGCTCGTTATCTGGATCTTGCAGTCCCACTTGCACAGCAAACACTATGGGTCTTGCGTAGTCTGTGGTCTCCTATCATAAAACATTGAAACCAGATATTAGTCTGTGGATTTACCCTATCGTGGCACTCTATCTATGGCACTCCAGTATTTCTTGCTTTCAGAGGGTTTGCAAGAATTCAGAGGATTCAGAAATGCCCGAAATATATTATCATAATCTCCGTTTGTGTGTGGCATGTGTTGCTGTCGACCAGTGTGGGAGACCAGTGCCAATTATGAAACTTTAAGACTTTCTGGGTTAGCATGACAATTGATTTTTTTTTCTTTCACCAACAATAATTATGCTAAAATCTTATTCAAAATAGAGCATCCAAAACAGCCTTTAACTCTTGAATGACCCTTAAGTTTTACAGAATTTGACATGCGACATATTTATAATCTGTCTTCAATCTGCCATTTCAACTTTCCAATCAAAATAAACTACTGGAAATTTTAAATATTGACATGAATTATTCAATAAGCAGTGAATTTCATAGCCAGTTCTGTCATTAGAAGTTATGATCGCTAGTTTGACATTTGAATGTGGGCCTCACCATGACATGGAAGTATATGTGCTCGCAGATCTCCGTTCCAGGAAGGAGGGTCCGGTTTTGAGGCTGCAGCTTGTTTGGGTTGTCCAGAACAGCCCGAGGATTGAATCGCCTCTCCGCAATAGAGACGTTAAATTTGATTCCTGGTTAGTCAAGAAAAAAAGTAAAGAAAAACACTTCTTAGTGGTGTTATAAAAAGTCCTTCGCTATTAAAGTCACTTTGATCGTTGAACTTTGTGCGGTAGAAGCTAATTGACAAATGGCGGCAAACTGGCTATGGTGGATCATGACATCACTCTAACAGTGCAATACAATATTAGCTTGACTGTGAACATATGACGGATGTGTGACCAACATACACAAGAGTCCAAACCCTTTGGGTTCAGTCCTGGGTTAAGTCCAAGCCACATTGTTGAAAACCATTTCCATTCACTGCCTCGTGTTTTCATGGCATGAGGAAAAATCGACCAAAGCTGGACTGTGCATGTTTCGTGTTTTGGGTCGATGAGGGAATCAAAATGGGCTAAATCTCAGAGCGTTGTGTGCAGAGATCTGGAGAGTTAATGGATTTGTCTCTGCTTTTCACCTCACAACAACCATCCCCTGGATTAGAAACATTTTTCTGACGTTGATGAAAGCAACAGAAAAAACATTTACACGACAAAATCTTCTGCAGACGCTTAAACTTCAGCTTTCCTGGTTTAAGAGCAACATTTATCATCAGTTCATTTCCTCAGATCCCATCGTTGGATGTTAAAAGATTACTTTTGTTGACACTTTGGTTGAAATGCTGTAAATAGACATTTGTATCAACAACATTATCTTCACTGTTTTGGACAAAAGTTCCATTTTTTCATGCAACAGACCACAGCAAACTCACAAACACCAGCACATCTGCTGTGCATTACCAACCAGACATGACAATGAGAGGAAAATCAAATAAACGTGCTCCACTGTATGAAACCATGGCAGACAAGATACCTCCCTGTCCTCTTCCTCGTCTCTGTTTTGGCACATCTGATAGATTTGATAAAGATGTCAGAGGGTCAGGAGGTTAACACAGAACACACTCCAAAGCACCTTTTACTTCCTCTCCCTGATACACCATGAAACTGAGCCTCGTCACCACGCCTCTTAAAACAAATTGTGAGCAGAGGGACCCTGCGGTTCTATGCAGGTGGGCCGGTGTCAGGGGCACACACCCATCTGAAGGCTCCAGCTCTGTGAGAGCTTTCAGCACCTTCAAACAATAAGAAATAACTTTCTTTTAATGCTGGACGGAGCAGAGACAAACTTGTGGATGCTTTCCAAACAGCATTCCAGCACTGAAGGAACATTCGATAGCAGCTCTCTGGATAAAATGTGCCAGTTGTTGAGGCAGTAGCACTGGCTTTGGCTCAGAAACAGCAGTGAGATCAGAATCTCTTACTGCTTGTAAAGAAAAGTTTTTCTTTGGCACCAGTTTGAATGGAAGGAGCCATGGCAGTTTTACAGGAAGCCACATGCTGAAAGTCCACTGGAGCTATGAAAGGAAGGATATACATTCAAAGGGATGAATGCTTTTCTCACTTGAAACCGTCCAAGTTTTGCTCCACAATGCACCACAACTCAAAAAACTGCTGACCTGTATCAAACTGTTGACCCAAAATATGCATTTTCCGTATGTGAGCATATCTAGAGGATCGTCTGTTAAAGGTTTGATAACACAGTTGGCAGCATGAACCTGTTTGATGTAAAGACTGACATTTTTGAGGAAAACACTTTTAGACCTCTGTTGTCTTTGGATTTGAAAGGATGTGCAAAAAGTAGAAGGTTCTGCTCCACCATTAGATGAAACCGACCAGATAGTTGGTTTGAAGCAAACCAACTCTCTGGCGAAGACAAGGAGAAGAGCGAGGAAACTTCACTGACATGCTTTCACAGCAGTGGATTATTTTTCTGGCTTACCAATTTCCTGTGTGGGAGGGATGGCTGTCCTGGCGGTGATGTTGAAACACACAATGGCTGACATGCAGGTCACGTCTTTGCCACCTCGCTGACAGTCCTTCACAAAGATGTTGACTTTACTGGGCTCAAATCTGACGCTGGTATAAATACGGACAACACTCTGCGACCTGGAAGAGTTGAAAGGTGTCAAAAATAAAGCCAACCAATAACTTCAAGAGTCAATAATGTTTCTGGAAAAGGGATTATCTCTACAAGCATGTTTCAAACCATAATTACAACAGGAATAAGAGGGATGCATTTAAGTACTTCTGCAGAGAGATGTCTCAAACAGTATTGTTTTCTGGGAGAAATACAAACCAGAGGAGAACAGCAGCACCAAGAGAGCCCACTGCCAGGTCTACCAAACCGTCATTGTTCATGTCGATTGTGCCGTGGATGCTGCGGCCAAAGTACTGCAGGCCAGGAGCCAGATCTGCTGCTGCTATTCTCTGAGACACAAATAAAGGGGTAATCTGAGTACCTCAGGACCATGCAGACAGTGACAAGGGTTTACAAGCAAATTTACAGAAATGAAGCTATTAGAGTAGTTAATATTTTCAGACACGTTCTGGGAAAATACAGTTGCACATTAAAGTCTAAACTGGTTAATAGAAACTAACGTTTTATTGTATTTTTCTCCCTAAAATGATCTAACTTATCAGTTCTAACACACTGTTTGATTTACTTCATTATTACATTTGAACTTACGCTGACATACACTATAATCCACATGAATGTGAGGTGAATATATGTATTGTATTAATCCAGAATGACATACGGCTTGTGCGACCCCTCCTACCCACTCAAAAGCTTTCCTGTATTGACATATTTTGCTGTCAGGTTGTTAGCTTCTTCTGTCAACCTGTTCCTGTCCACCTGTTCCTGAGTGTTTCTGTAATCTCCCTCTGATCCTTAATATCCACCTGACTTTAACTTCCCTATTTATCACTCAGTTTGTATGTCAGCCCTTTCCCCTTGTGTTTTCTGTTCATGAGTACGTCCTCTCCCGTGTTTTTTCCTGTGTTCTACTTGCCAGATCTTTTTTCTCTTTGCCTTCATAAGTGTGAGCCAGTAAATAATTCTTTTAGTCATACCTAAATGTACACAAATCAGTGACCATATGGAAGAGAGATACTCAGATGTAAACCATATGGTACTCTAATAATCAGCAGTAGTCGTAGGAGGTACATGTGATTGTAATTGGTAGGAAAAAAACATACAAATTCCTTCTTACCTGTTTATATTTGCGCAGTATTCGGTTATGCTGGCTGAAGAAAACATAAATGGCTCCTTTGTGGTCGTCTTCCAGTGGGGCTCCCACCACCAAGTCATTGAAACCATCACCGTTCAGATCCGGGACAGGAGCAAGCGAGGAACCAAAGCGAGCATTCTGGCCTCCATTGTGGATTTCCAACGAACCCTCAAGGATGAAACGGTTCTGGTAGAGATGAGGAGAAACATACCAATCAGCATTTTTAATATTGTTTTTCAGCATACATTACAGGGTGATATTTGATTAAAGCCATGTGCATTTAGTTACACAATGCTGCAATGCTGCAAGCACAATGCAATTCTTTCACTTTAGTTCCAACGACATAAAAAACAGAATGCAACTGCACCCTCAGGGATGTTTGATATTTATTTTCAACACAGGAATTTGTGATTGTACACTTAAGTACACATTCTGAGAAAAGACATCTACTTTGGTGGCGGGTCCCAGAGCAAGTATCTGGCTGCTCATCCCAAAAAATGAACTTGAACACACAGGGTCAAAGAATAAAAACACTCTTCAAAGACCACACAAGATTGGGAAAAAATACATGTACCATATTAAATCTTTATTTGTCCTGTTTTGATCACTTTTCCAGATCCAGATCATCACCAAAAACTCAAGGTCCCTTTTTTTGTTTTGGTTGAACTTTAATTCAATTCCATCTAGACTGATAGGTATTACTAATAAAGATCTCCAGGAGAGTACTGACTAACAACAGTTTTACTGACTTATTTTGGTCGTGTGAAAATGAAAATATGTTGGTGAACACAAGAGGAGTCAACTTTGCCCTCTCAGACTTGATGGGGGAATTCTGCGTGTTTTGAGCAAAATAGGCCACCTCCAAAGGCATGTACTGCAGTATTTATCAATGTTGTCATACTCAAAATTTTCTGTGATCAAGACAACAACAAACATTGTTATTATTTATTGGACAAAGAAGAGTGTTGAGATGCTGATAGCTTATCTCAACTGGAAAAAAACTGCACACAGCTGCAGAACTTTGTGGGTGTTTTGCGTTTGAATATCAGTGAAATTTGCTTTGAGAACTAGACCTCAGGACAGGGCAGCTATCAGGGGGTAAATGATGTGCAGTTTTTGGCTGCTGTGATCCATTCTTAGTGAATTCTTCCCTGAACTGAACTGGTCTCCCTTATTTTCTACAGATTTTATGCAGAAATGTTTTGATTTAACTCAGCCATTTGTAAAAAAATAAATAAAACAGCATTACCTTAAAAGTTCACTGTTGTGTTTGTCTTTTACTAAAGAGTGCATTTTTAAGGTTTTATTGGTCTCAGTTGTAGGGCTGACTCCTGGAAATCTTTCTGTGCCTGTATATCATAAAATTATATTACGACTCTTACTACATACTGGTCAATATACACTTTATTATTGTTTGGCCACTGTTTCAGAAAACTGTTGTTTTGGCCAAAACTAAACAGATTTTACAGACCTCCCCGAGATCCAGAGTTCATATTTACCTCAGCCAAGTCATCAGTAGGACTCACTGCCAAATCGAATATCAGTGCGATGATATTAGTGCCAGAAACTAACTCACAACACCTTGTTGATTATAGTTTTAAAAGAAAACTATAATGGCTAAAAAGAAACATAAACTCACAAACAAGTATAAGCTCCGCAAGAAAAAGCTTTAACAGAAAAGAAAATAGCTTATTACCGCTCCATAAAATCGCTCCCATTTGGATCCCTCCGCTGCTCTACAAATGATCTATCATCTATTCATTTAGACGGCTCATAACAAGACCAAAGCAGAGATTGTTGCCCTCCACCCAGCTGAGTTTGTTTTCCCAATTACCTCCAACCATCCTCGGTGAGCTAATCGTGCTGTAATTTATTTTTCAGGAAAAAGTAATAAACAGAGATTTTTTACTATCTGTCCTCTAATCAAACTGATAAATTAAGTTTGGATCAGCTTCTGTGTTTTCAACATAATCCTTTAATTCTGCCGTTTTGAACTCAAATATCTGGAACATCTGGTACCAAAAAGTGAGGAATTTTACCTCCGGGTCGTAAAAGGACTGAAGACCGCTGTATAGCTTTAATGTATTTGTTTGAAGTTCTATTCTTAGTCAATGCAAAGTCAGATGGAAAATATCCACGTCTTTGAAAGCAGCTACCCGACTGGAACATTTTTCAAAGAAGGCAATCGGACAAAATGGAGCCAAATACTTTAGTCCATCAGTAGTCATGCATGTCATTGCCCCACTAGGCATCCAAACTCATAATATAATTTAGAGTCGACGGGCGAAACATGAGATCACATGTTTTTTCCCTTGAATAATTGGGTAGGGAGCTGATTTAAGAAGGTAGCTTTAACTTCTGGGCTACCTGATGTGAGCATGAGAGACAAAGGGGGAGATTGGCGGAGAAATCCATTCAGTGCTTTTTAAATTCGAAACATATGGTTTGTGAGGAGGCCATGAAGGGTCACATCGGTCTGCAGGGGCTCGGGAGTAAGTTTGAATTGGAACTTCTTTCTGTGAATGGAATTTTATTTTTCTCCAGATGACAGACTTTAGGAAACTTGACTTTGCATTTGACTTATAGTTATTATCCCTGCAATAAGGCAGCTCTTTATCAGTTTGTCATTTGTTATCTAATCCATTTTAGATTGTCATCAATATTTCTGACTGTATGGCTGCTAAACCACTTATACATCCCTGATGAATTAAGGCTTTCTTCTCAGACAGTGTTGAAATGAGAGTGAAGCAGACAGAAAATCTGATTTAGATAGATAAGAAGAGTGTCTACAGCCATACTGGTGATTCTGTGAGGCCGTGCACTCAGCTGTGCTTTAAACCGACATATTTTTACCTGCTTACCGTGACAATACTAAACCTTTAGTGATTAGTTTTCTTCCCACTTCAGAGCAAAGTAACAAACAAGCCTGTTGGAGCAGTTCTAGTCAAACCAGAACAAGAGTTATGGTCACAAAACCCTGACTTAACAGCTGACTTAAATGCAAGAATCTCAACAATAAAAGCAACATCATAGAGACCATGTGACTCCAAACATCACATCAAATCAATGTACAAAAAAAAAGAAAGGCATGTTCTATCTTTGCCTGTTGACACTGTGTCAACAATGTCGGGTTCAGGTTGCTTTCTAAATCTGTAAAGCCTGGCACACACTACAAGACTTTTAAAAATCTTAACAGACTTCAAAAATGTCCCAACACATGACAATAAATCAGGAAAGATTTGCTCCTATGGTGTCTGATATTCAAAAATGTGCACACCACACACATTGAGACTCTTCACCAGCAACACAACTCCAAACTCTTAAAACTAGAAACCTCTTAAGGTGTCTTGCAGTCAAACTGGAGCTACAGGTGTTGCTAACCGTCTAGTTTGCTGGTTCATCTTTTGCAGCCCCCCCTGACTCATGGGTCCATATCAGCATAAAAATAACATAATAAATAGAAAACATGGATGCATTACAGGGACAAGAAAATAAAGATAAACCATAGCTTTAGTTAAATTGAGTTAACCTGTATGAGGCCGATCAGAATCTGCAGCCATGAGAGAATCAGAGGGACTCTTTTCTAAAACCTGCTAAAACAATAACTTTAAAATCAATAAGATCATTAAAAAATGAGTCAACTTGTACAAATCTTTAGTTAGTAGCTGGGTCATGGATGGGATAATAGTGACAACACCTATTCACCCCGTCTAAATTCTGATTACCATAACCCCCCACTCTCTCCACATTAGCCTTGACATTCTCCACCCTGTTAGCTCAGCTGATAATTGATAGTACCTGCACTAAGTCGCTGAAAAGGCCTTTTTGCACCTCCTTATAAAGTCAGGTCTACAGTATCACATTAAGAATGAATAATATTCGCTGTGGTTACAGTGACACATTTTTGAACCAGAGTACCCCATTTAAACAGTTTTCCAGAGCACCGCGCAGCATCTATAGCAACACCTGAATCAACCACATGGCCATGACAAATTTCCTTTCACTTGTAGCAATGCTGTCTCATTGACAGACACTTTTTAAAAAGGGTATTTCTTTCTGTTGGTGTTTTGTTTTCAGCTGCTCCGCTTGGCCTTCCACCTGTGATGTGGTTTGAGTCTTAACAGATATTTAAAGACCCTGTCCATGCCTGCTCAGTGGATTCAAAACAGCTGAAGACATTTATTATTCCAATGAGCAAGACAGGCCTGGAACACCAGGAAATTTCCCTCTATTAGAAAAACTTCTCGCCTCCAAATGGCTTGCTGGAAATGGGTTGAGAAGGGGCAGAATACTTTCCTGTTGAGTTCAGACTTCACATCTGAAAAAGTCGCACACTGGCATGGCACAGTCCTGTTATTGATCTCCAGGTTTAATCTGGACGGGGTCATGTGTCAGGTTTCTGTCTGCGGGATGCCAGTGTGTTAACTGTGGGGCTGGAATGCAACAAGGTCTGGTTTGGTTTGGAGTACGTTACTGGACACTTCTGGTGAGGTGTGTTGGAAATTACTGGGTATTGCTGGAGTTTAAACAGGTGCTGACCCAATTCTGCACAGCCGGTCGCTCCGTAGAGGACTGATTATTCCCTGTATGTGTCCAGCTACTTTGTGTTTGTTTAATCTTTTTCCCCTTTGAACTCACCAGCTCTGTCACTCTGTAGATGTAGACCTTCCCCTTCTCCAGGCCTCCACTGAAGAACATGGGTGCTGCCACCAAAAGGTTGTCGGTTATACCGTCACCATCGATATCCACAGGTGCAATCTCACTGCCGTAGTAAGAGCCGATCTAATACAAGAAAGACATGTATTCATCTTATTGTAGGAACTTTGTTGTTTTCATTTTTTATCCTTTAAAAACAATCACATGCTGGAACTGAAATTCTTGGCTTTCTTCCATTGTTTGTTGAGCCAGATGTTGTTTGGGTTCACTGATTTACTGATCATCCTGAGGGGCTTTTGAACATGAATATTGTTAGCAAATGGAGACATGTGTTGTGTCAAAGTCAGCGGTCAAAGTCTCGAGGCTTTTATGAATGCTCAGACTGTGAAAGCTTCACAAGGAGAGAGAGAGGGAGAGAGAGAAAGAGAGGGAGTCTGGATCGGTCACCAGACTGGATGGAACATCCTCTATTGGTTTTCAGATTAGAAACATCTGCCAATAAAAATAAAAAAAAACCTTTCTCAGGAATTGTAAGATCAAGAAACCTTTCTGCAAAAAAACACATCTGCCGTTCTGGATGAACTGTTGCTGACAAGGTACAATGTAAGCTGCTGCAGGATCACTTCAGGCCTGCAGCCTGTGAGGAGCAGCCAGCTATGAGTGTAACAGTCATTAACACATACAGTCACAACCCTTTTGAAGAGATGGATATTTTTAAACTCAACGCAAATCAGAAAGTAGGGTACAGACTTTCTGATGTGAAGTCAAGGGATTAAAGTTACAATTATATAACACCGGCTATAAAATTTTAAGACACAAATCAAACATACAGCAAGTTTCCTATGACGACTTGCACCATCAAAGCTGTATGTTATACATTTGGACTTTAGTGGTGTTGCACAGTCCTCTTTTCTTATAGGCTTCAATTTTTGAATAGAAACCCCATCAGCTATTGGCTTATTTTTTGGTTAGTTATTTTATAGAGTTTTTCCCCCAACTTAGAAAGGAAGGCTGAAGAGGATGGAGTAAGAAAACGACAAGCAGTCAAGGGTCACTGGATCACTAAATCACTAAATTACTGAACATATAGACTGTAATAAATAGACTTTTCACAGAAGCTTGAACTTCCCTTCCCTCTCCTTGCATTGTATATGAACTTAGCTGTACTTCATCAGTAGCAGTGAAAACAGTATTTCAAAACAAAGCAATAAAACACTCCTTGTTAACTCGTGGCATTTTCTAGAAGCCGGCACCAACTAAAAGGTTTAAAGAAGGCGCTTTTAGTACCTGTTGTCCTTTGAGGGAGTGCAGGATGGCGAGCTGACCCGAATTTGTCAGAGTGAAGATGATGACCTTGCCGGTGTGGTTGAACCGTGGAGCTCCTGCTACGAGCAGACGCCCATTTCTGGCTGACACCACAGATGTCACAGTGTAACCTGGTTGAGTCAAACACAAACACACATTAAATCTGCTTCAAATTACGGGAAACAAATGTCTGAAGTACACAGATAAAGAGGTAATTATTTGTGTTCTTTCCACCTTTTTTAAAATCAATTATGGGTCTGTCAATTCAGTGAAATATTTTCTTTATAGCCACATTTGTAATTGGAAACACTTAAGTGCTAGGCTTTGTTCTTCTGTTTGAGTGCGCTACAGTGATTGGCCTGACCTTTTAAGTTGAATTTCATCAAAGAGATCTGCATGACTCAAGGAAAAATTGTAAAATGTTGCAACTCAAGGAGCTGAAACTCTGAGCACCCTTCACTTACGCAGCACTAGATATTCTTATTTCTCAGGTTTCTCAGATTTCTTCTTCTGCGTCTTTTATTTCATCCTCTGGCATTAAAAATTCCACTTGCTCCTTGTATACTTTTCCACCTTCAGTTCTTGTCTTTATACCCTCTTTTTCCCAGCTTTAACTTTCTCCCTGCCCATCCAAAATTATGCTTCCACCTCATATTACTATTGAGTCTAGAATGGCTTCCATTGGCAGCCTGTTGGATAAGCTCAGAGAAAAACCACTGATGGTAAAAGCAGAGGTCTGTGGTCTTGAAGTCAGAAGGGGTTGGATGTGATGGGAAGCGATGGAGAAATGGGTACACTTTGTAGAGATGGGTTGCAGTTGAGATAGAGGGTGTTGAACCATAAGTATTCTCACAGGTCAAGAGCATATGAGCAAAAATGGGGCTGAAAAGGCTTCAGACAGTTTTCAAAAAACACTTCAATAACAACTAAATAATTTCACTGCATAAAAACCACCTGTCTTTACTCACCTAAATAAGCGCCATGGTTTTTTAGCTCTTCAGGGAACTCCTGTGCGTATGAAGATTTAGGAGGGACCACCTTTCCTTGGCGGGTTTCCTTTAGCACCGCTCCGTTCCAGTCATAGGCCCCGACAGCTCCCACCAGAATCCCATCCTGTGGAAGAGGTGCAGTAGAGTTCATCATTATACTCCAAACAGCAAAGTAATAGGAGCTGACTTGTTTGTACTGCTCGAATACAACATAGTTACAGCCGTACATGTCAATGATGAAGTCATGGAAAGTACGACAAGTGTGACCAAAATTCAGACCACAGTCCATTTAGCTCTTCTTACTTTCAGTCAGATTAATGACGGTGTAACTCCACTTGTGGTCAAACGTGGTCTTGGTTACATGAAATGCAAGAGGGGAGGTCAACAACACAGCGGCAGATCCAATGGATGGGCAGAGGTGGCCAGGGCCTCACCCCCAACTGAGATCTGGTTGCCGTTCTAGTGCGCGCTCTCAAAACCCCAACACATGATTGGTCTTGTCAGAGTTTTGACTTGTGTTAAAATGAACTATTTTGACTTTGTAACCTGCAGCTTGTTCTACTTTCATCTAAAAGTAGAACTTTCTCTTTGGTTAAAACTTGAATTTGTGAATTTGGACATAAATCTTTTTGGGCCCTTAAAGATTTCAGCAAAGATGGCTCATGCCAGTTTGTGTTGTGTTACTTTTTCAGTTTTAAATATTCACAGGAGTGTAACGCTATTTCTACAAATGTTCATAGTGCAAACAGATACAATGACACAGAGAGAATATAAATGCAATACCCTCATATGTGCACAGTGCATGTTTACTTAAACACCACCCCTGCATATAAAAAGAAGCCCAGTTCAGCCACCTCAGCCAACATGGCCGACACTGCTCCTACAACTACATCTGTGGATTACAACATCATTAATTAGATGTATCCTTTTTTCTCTCTCACTCTCCTGCAGTTTATTAGTTTACTCCCATGCATATGTATTGCTGTAGAAAGATCATGTTGAAAAATGGTTACATGGAAATGGCTCTAATGTCTGATGTCTGATAGGGAAACACAAAACTTTGTTTATTGTCACGATGAGTCCTCCTCACTTTGTTTTATTTGTGTTGAACATTGTGAATCCTTATTACACAAGCAACATCCATCCTTCTGTAGTTATCTGAAACCGTGCATTACTCTACCGTAAACATTAGGCCAGTGTCTGATCGGTGGTCTACTGTGTTGTTTATGTTTTGACTTTGTCTTCTCTTGTTCGTACAGACTAACCTAATCCATTGCAATTTTGCCTTGGTCTATCTCACGTTACTGCTTAAGTTGGAGCATCTAGTGCATGAACTTGTCTACAATAAAAAACATTCAGGCAAACAAAGTTGGAGCTCCCAAGAAAGTGAAAAACCTCAGGTTGAACTAAACTCTTCACGGATCAACATCTGCTTCATCCACAGGCACAAAGCTGCAATTTTCACACAATCACAAACCACAGTGTGAGGGGAAAGTAATGAAATCCCTCTTAACTCCATTAACAAGTCACGGCTTAATTGTGATCTGAGTGTATTTTTAAATCCTCCCCCAACAAGGAAACAAAGCAGCAAGTGTTATTAGCTGCAGACAGGGAGAGGGAGAGAGGAGGGGGCTTTCTGTGTTCCATGGTTCACCATACTGTGTATCAGTGTCACTATAATTATAGGGTTCCTTTGCTTAATGAGTGCATTTTTTTCAAGCTGAACACAATATGCAGACAACACATTTTCCAGTGTTTAAGCATATGCTGGAGGGGCTTTCGATTCCCCCCTTAAGGATGGAATTGCGTGCTCACCCCGCTCGCTCAACGTCACTCTCTGACAGCAGCATAGTGCCAGTGTGGTCGACTCTGTTATGGTCCAAATGGTCTCCATGGCAAATGAATGAAACCCCAAAACAGTTTAATGTTGTAAAGCATTGACCTATTTCTTTTGCAGCTTCATGTATGAACATGTTCCTCGTATTGATTGAGAGCTCACTCTTTATGTGCTGGAGGGGTTTTGGATCAATGATTTATGGGGGATATTTGGACAAATAAGTCATGAGTATTTTTCCACATAAAGGTTTATGCAAGATTCAATGTTGCAAAAAAGTGATACTTGCTCAATTCTGCAGCTGGGCTCTAATGAGCTTTGTGATTTGTTTCTGTCTGATGGTTATGTGGTGATAGCATCCTGTGGCAAATACAAAGTGAGAGGCTGCCATGTATGCAAATGCATCAAACGCCTGGATGGTATACGACATAGGCAGCCTTCGAAGTTGGCACTTGGCACGCTCTGCAATCACCAAAGTTATCCAAGCTTGCAGGAATGTTTTTCCCCTTTAAAGCCCTCACATTCTTTCCAATAAGTTATCCCCCTCTCAACACCCAGGTCGGTGTCGTTGAGCATCTCTTGAATCTGGCCCTGTGGACAGACTTTCCAGCTATTGCTGCCACCCAGCTGCATATTCTGATATGTTTTTTATTTTTCCTCATAAAGGAGATATATTTATTCCTCCCTGGACAAATCAGACTGTGAAGTGGAACTGGAAAACCAAAGCAGTTGCCTCTGCAAACGACTGGGCAGAGACAGGAGAGGAATGAAAATCACTTTAATAGTATGAACAGCAGGTACAGTAGAGGACATGATGTCTTATCATCCTCCTCCAGCTGCTTCATCCTCACAGCCAGCGCACCTGTGACTATCTGCTCTCAGATACAGTGAAAAACCTCTGAGTTAAGAAAGAAGAAAACAACCCAATCTGCAGCAGAACTGTCTCAATCTTGTTTCAGCTTCCCACTGATATGTTTCCCATGGGAACAAGCGGTGTCCCATTACCCATCACAGCATGGCTGAAGTGGAAAATGACCTGTCTCCTCTGTCAGGGGCCCCTAAATCAGGATGACCTAAACCTCTGAGGCCACACAGCGGGCCCCTCAGGGCGGACTGGAAAGTGATAAATGGCAGGTTGTTGGAAGGAGTTATGATGCGCCAGAAATTGAGACAATGTGTGTTGTTTTATCATGTGACAGATGCTTAAGGGGACGAGGTAGCAGAAGTCAAACTTTACCTCAACGTTGTGTGCAGAAAATCCAGCCTGAGACATCTGGAGACCAAACGCCGTCCCATTCGAACTGGTTCCTGTGTAAACAAGTCAGTCTGTTACAGTTTGAAGCACTGCAGCGCTGGAGAAAATGAAGCTAAATGAAAACTTCAGAAAGGTGTGCCGCTGGTAACTTCAGGAAGATGTTTTATTGTAAGATTCAGAGAATATGATGTGCTTTTAGTACCTTTTCTGCTTTTCATATATAGAGTAGATGTTGCCAAAATAGCAGTATGAATTAGGGAGAGAGGGATTTTATTATGCTATGGGATTTAACTCAGCTTTCCATCACTAAGAGGAGTATTAAACTAACATAAGATTGAATATGTCAACATTAAAATCAAAAAATTTTCCCCCCAATCCCCCAAAGATAATCTTGTTTAGTATTTTCTTTGAAATGGATCTGTCCATTGATCAGCTATTTCTTATTATAAATGTGTGGCTTTTTAAGATTTGCTTATGGTGTATTAGTTTACCAAAACCATCCTGTCTTTTAGTTCAAGCTGAGATATACAAAAATCCCCAAATTCTGGGTCTGTACACTCAAGGCAGTACACTGTTAAAGATTTCAGTGCAGCCTAATCCTAAACAAGCATTGAGTCTTTTTGGTTGGTTGGTTAAGAGCAGTGTAATTCCAGCTTTTAAAGGCACTTTTGATTTGTTGTTTTGCACAGAAGCACTGCCAACTGAGTGAAATGTAATATCGTTAAAATGAACATCTTCGAAACCTTCCAAACTGAAGATGCGTTCTCCAAGTGCGTCCACGATATCCTTTAGAGCTGACTCATCTGTCACATTAAAGAAGTGTTTATCATCTGGGTCACTGGCGATGTATTTGATCTCATTGAGGAAGGCCTCTGGGTTGATTCCCCTGCGGTTGTAGTAGCCAAGAACCTGTGAAGATAAGATCAGAAACAGAACCAATGTAATAAATCTGCTTGAACTTAACAGCCCTATAACAGGTTAAAATTAGCGCCCTTTGAGGGGGGTTCAGAGGATTTGGATTTTCTGCGCTGATGTCAGTCCTGCCACCAATCCCAGTTGGTCGTCTACCAAATGACTTCAGAGTTTTGGCTCAGATGCTGATGCCAAACTAAGCCACTTGATGGAGTTAAGAGTGCCATTAGCTGTATCGGCTGTGGCAACTGTGTGGTTTAAAGGAGATCATTTACACCTTTAACGACACTTCCACGGCGCGTTTTGTTTGGAGCTCTCCAAACCCGCTGAGTGTTTTTGGCACCGCTCTTAACGAAGCTCATGAGAGATCTGCTAAACTGAGCTCTATGAGGTCACCTCGTTATTGTTTATGGTGTTTTAACGCAGCGCTGGAAATTTATTAGCCTTAAAAAACTGAGTTGGCGCTCATAAAGAGTAAGCCATCCAGCCCAGGTGAGTAATAGGTGTAGCAGACTCACGGCGATGGCATAGCGGGTGATTCCATCCTTCTCGCTGTTTTCGATAGCTTCCTGGAGATCGGGGCTGTCATGTGACTCTCCGTCGGTTATCACAATCATCACCTTCTTGGCACCGCGCCGACCTCCTTGTTTGAAAGCCTCTGAGCTGCAAGAACAAGTTTGATATATTCAATTGAACAAATCACAGAAAAGCAGCATTGTTGTCCTAAAGGAGACACCGTACCGTGCTTTGTTGATCCCTAAAGCTGTATTGGTCTCCTCTCCACCCCGCTGGTTGATACTGCGAGCTCTTTTCACCACTTCCTCAACAGATTTGTAGTCGCTGAGTTTGAATTCATGAACCACCTTTTCACCGTACTGAACTACTCCAACCTGCCCAAAAACACACAGTGACAACAATTTATCACAAGTTCCACCTTCATGTTGGGGACTAACTACAGCTACCAATGAAGATTTAGGAGCCGATGAAAGACTTCATGAGTGTGAAGCAGGCAAAGAAGTGAAAGCTTTTGTGAATGTCAAGCCTGGTATTCATAAACTCATCAAACATTGCCAATCTATCCTATCTTCTCTGAGTAATCCCTCCTTTCTTACACACCTGTATTTGACCTGGTCCAATATAGAACTTCTGAAGAATGTTGATGAGAAAAGCCTGGACTTCATACCAGGGGTAGATGGAGTTTGAGCCATCCAGAACAATCACGATGTCCATGTAGGTCTCACATCCTGCGAATCATTCAGAGATAGGGCTCGATCATGATAGCACAAATGGACAAAACAGATGTTTGAAAATGAGAAAATCTTCCATTGTGAATAAAAACTATCCATGGATGGTGGTAAAACAGGAAGGATACGGTCTGGCTTACTCTGAAAGGCAGGAGCAATTGTTCTGGAAAACTTGAAGCTCGCGTTGACTCTGGAGCAGATGCCAGTGCTGTAGTAAGAGCTTCCACACTCATACGACCAAAGCGGGCCACAAGCCTGAAACATGAAAGAAAGCATTTTAGCGCCTCGGTGAAAAACTACCATGTAATCAAAAGACAATCATGTTAGGCTGTCCAGTTTGACCAAAGCTTTTTATAGACATGTTGCTGCTTAAGACCATTACATTGTTTTATATATATAGATTTAAAAAAAAACAAAGAAAGCATGTGTTATCCTTTTCATTCTCACCACAAAACTGTTGTCTTTAGGGTTAGTAGTGAGCGTCATTCCCAGTCTCATCTTGTCCTTTCGCTCTGATACGTTGGTCAGAGATATCCTTCCTTAAGTGAAAAAGAGTCTCACTGAGAGGGTCTTGGATGCACGGACTCAAATATACATAAAAACACAAGATATCCTTCAGAGACCAAACAGAAGTCCCACCATCTGGGACTTTGGTTTGTTATTGCTGTCTGGGCAGCAGTAATGGCTGTCTGCATCCCTGGATCTAAATGGTTATTTGACAAGACTTCTTGTGCCCGCCTAACCAGCACAGCACATGTGCGACCAGTATGAAGATCATGTGGTGGGATGTGCGGTAGAACACATGTGTGGAAATGTACATAAACCATTTAAGAAAACAGTAAAAGGAGGTATGATCGGTATGGTGCCCACAGTCCTGTCTCACACATGCCAACTTGATGTTTACCGAGACAGATGCGGAAAAGCAAGCAGACAGATAAACACGGATACGATACAAGCAAACACATCAATCCAGATGTTGTACAGCTGTGTTTGTCACTGTTCCTGTCGTTGTAATGAAATGAGAGTGTGTTTCATGATACTGTACCTAAGTTGAGCTTGGAGCAACCGTTGCCATTGATTCTTCTGCTCAGTGAACATTTATAAACATCCCCAGTCTGGTAAGGGCCATTCATTTCATATGGAGCACCAACTAATAACCTAGAAAACACAAGAATGACAGAAAAAAGGCACAAGTTCAGTTCTGTTTTGATTTGTAAAATTGCTGAATGGATTTGAAGGGGGTTGGTAGTTGTTTCACCAAGAGGGAGTCTTTGTCCGGTATCTAGCTCTCTGGGGGATTATGAGGGTGAATGTTAACATCAGTGACCCAAACATAACACAAGAGCTGACCTGGAAGATTTTTTACATTTATTTACACAGGGAACCTAACTCAGTATGTTTTATGTCCAACAGGACCAGACTTAATGTTCATAAACAGATATAAACACTTTCACTCAGCAGCTGTCAGTGACACTAATCATCTCCTGTCAGTCACATACATCCTTTAAAAAGGCATGAAAAGACATAATATGACAGCAACATGGTGCCTATCAGCATCATTTTACAAGTGATATGATATAGTGTTATATAGATATAGTTATATAGTGCATATGACACTGAGCAATGTGATTTATGTGGTTATAACAGGAGAAAACTGTGAGATAAATTAACAAAATGTAATGTAATGTCTAAACCAAACAGCTGAAGAAAAACCCTGTTTTTACATTTTACACACTACATATTTACACCAAATGATACATTTGACAGTCAAAAGTCATTAAGATGAGGTTTTATATCAGAAAACACTTCTTAAGCATGAAAAGGACAAGATAAACAAAGGCAGCTCTTTCCACAGGGGGCGCCAAACTGACAAACTGAGAGTTCCTCACAGGAGCCGTTATGTAAAGTCACTATCAGGCCTTGGTGTACCTCTAAAATGGGACATTTAGAGGCTCTCTTTATATGTATCTCTGCCAGAATAAACAGAGGCACAGACAGAAAGCATCCCTGTATTATAGTATCATTTATTTATGTCACCATTAAACACAGAAGCCTGATAGCTACTGGAGCACGTTAACAGTTGCTACCACAAAGTACAGCTGAAACTAAAATATGTCATGGTTGAAAGTTAAGACATAATCTGCAGAGACAGCTTCAAGTCAACTTGCTGTAACTATTGTGCCCATATTACTGGCCATTTCCTCCATTTCAGACTCCAACCCTTACGATGGGAACACTTACAGTCTTCGGTTCGCAGATTTATAGTTGCACTCTTTGTTACAGAACACCAATAATCAGAGAGTCAATTTATTCATTTATGCTGAGATGATATGAATGTAAAAAGTCTTTGAAGTTGATGGATGCAAAAGTTTTCTAGGATGGTTGCTCTCCTTTAGCTGGTGCAGGAAAGAGTCACATATTAACCAAAAACAGCAGGTTTCAGCCTCTGGTAATTTGTGTGGTATATTTCATGAATATCAAATATCTTTTAGTACTTTAGTTTTCATACCATAATGGTGTAACTAATTATTGTGAATTCTGAGACAGGTGGTAGACACAACACAGTGGAAAGGTGATCCTTTACTGTGGCCTCTGAAGGAAACTACCATTCAATTTCATGAATGTTGTCTGGTTAATTAAATCAATTCAGGAGATTTTGTCATCATAGATGTAGATTTCCTCAAAGAGCTGCTGAGTGCTGGACATTCTGTTCACATGACAAAGTGTTTCTAAGAAGTCTGTCCTGCACTTGACTTAACTGTGGGTTTCCTGCGTGGGGTCAACATGGTCTCATAAATGCCACTTAAAGGTTTCAGATGACTTGATGTGATGGAGAATGGTGAGTTTCCTAGTGTGTTTACTTCAGGACTGATGGAGGGCTAAAGGCCTTCAAGGGAGCTTTAACTCACATGTATGTCAGAGATAAGACCTCTTTGTTGGGAACAAAAAGACGATTAAAGCATCTTTGTTCATAAATGACAAGTCAGGAGAGTCCATTAATGGTTCTTGCTACATCTCGTGATGTGCATCTGTTCATTCAGTTATATGTTTAGAATAAATATATCCTTATTTCTTTACTGCCCCAAGCTCTACTTCTTCAGGCAAAAGGTTTTACATACTGTGTAATTACAGAACAACCCATTTGTACAGTTTTTGACAAGCATTGTACTGTATATCAAACAATGGCAGAATGCATGAATAGAAAACACTGTGGTGATTTCAAGTAAGAAAAACTATTTGGATGTATTTTTAACCATGAAAAACAGGCATTTATTGAGAATTTCAAAAGAACAGCAAGGTTAAAGCTCTTCAAAAAAACCTTTAAGACCTTAAAAAAAAGTATTTAACAAATTCAATCATCGAATTTGTGTTTCGCTGCAGAGCTGAACTCACTGCAGAGAAATGTCACATCCTCAGCAGAGTAATATGACCTAAATTAGCTTTCTGTGTGAGCGATGGTGGTAATTCACCGTCTATTCAGTGGATTTTAAGTGCAGCCATTTAAAATTTAAAGTATCCTGTCAACTTTTTCTCCAAGTTTCCAGTAGAGTTAAAAACACTGCCGACATGAGTGACCAGTCGTGGTAACAAACTCATGGCTGGAGATTTCACAGGGTCTTGACTTTGTTAAGATGGCATGAAGATTCAAGTGATGGAAAAGAAAACAACCTTGGGAAACACATAATTATCCTGTACTTCAAATAATCATTAAAAAAAAATCACTGTATTAACCAGCAGCAGGATGTTGACATTAAAAAAATCTATACTTTATTGCTCAATTGCATTTAAGTTCAAACCTTTATAAAAGTTTAACCTTTGGACTCAAAATGTCCCTTGTATCACTTTCCCACTCATTTTGTTTTCAACATCCAAAAGTCAATGATGCTTATCTAATCTAAGGCTGCATTGGCATGTAGTATCCCAAACTAATCACATTCCTGGAAAAGCTTCAATAAATACAATGGGTCAACTAGGAATTTCAACAACTATGCAAGTCCAAGTGGAAACCACAGGGAACGCAGCGGGCTAAAGATCAGTCTCTCAAAGGAAAGACACTCGACACCACTTTATAGCAAAAGCAGACCACAAGCAACCTCCTGCATGGACTTGTGGGTCAAAGACTCACAATTACAGAAGGAAAGATCTCAAAGTGAAGGACTTCTAGATCAGACTCATGATTCAAAACTACCCTGGGAATATTCAGCAGAGAAAGGTCCGTACTTCTAATTGTCTGAGGTTAAGATGACATAACCTGATATGCATGACTTTGACAGAAACAAAGGCAAGAATGGTAATGTAATTTGTAAGGCTTTATTGACAGCCTGGTTTAACCTTTTTCATCAGATAAAAATGTGTGACTTAATATCTATTTCAGACAAAAGGACTTTGTTGTTCAATCCATGACAACCATCTTAAACCACACCGCAACAGAAGTGAGACTGTCAATCAGGAGAGACGGCTCATGTCTTTCACCGAACCAGACCAGTGAATGTTTTCCTTCTTCCTGCATGAGGGTCCTTTGAGCACAGCCTGAAAAGGCATTTAGACCTGGTACTTGACTGATGCAGCTCAAATGTCAAATAGACTCACTGACGAGCCTTTAAGTTCGGACTTCAACATATTTTTTAAAAAGGCTTATATCATCCATTTTATCACTGTTTTTACAACAGCAAACTTTGAGCTCATAATGGGAATTTCATACAGCAAAAAGTCATGCAGGTAGAGAGAAGAGTGTTGCAGTAAACCTTAAACTCAGCTACTGTGCTCCATGGCAGAGTTGGTTATCTTTTGGTTGTAATGGTTGGCGCTTTGATCCCAGAAGTATAAAAATGCTATGAGTGGTCAGACAACTAGAGAAAGCTGTAAAATCTGTTTACTACATAAAACTACTGATTAAAAAAGTGTTTTCTTTCAGATCAAGAATGAACACATTTTTAATTATATTTTGTGTTATGTGGTGAGACACTTTTCTTGAATAAATTACTTCTATTGCAGCTCTGCGTGTGATTTTTGTTGTACCAGGGGCACATAAACGGAATATTTAGCACTAGTTTTGATTTGACACATTTCAGCTGCAGCTGATGACAAGAGAAAATGTTGTTGAAACAGTCCATCACTTCACATCAAAGAGTGGCTCAGATGGAAATGAGCTTCAATGTTATTACTCCTGAAGCCAAGTTTGAAAGTCTCACAGACTCTGGGAGTCATTTTCACCACAGTGACTCTGACGGTGCTCATATTTTCATAGCTATTAATATCAGAGTTATTACTCCTCTTATTGCGGTCCCTCGAAAAAGGAGACACTGCAGCACAAGTTCAGGTCAGGATACGGCTACCTGGATGAAAAGGGGCCATTGTTTCCTTTCGACTTGGACGCCTGCCTGGGGACCTCCTGAGCTTTACCAGAAGCTGTTCAAACAATCATGTTCCAGAGTTCATTATGGTCTGGGTGTATCATCCATGCAGGAATGGCAATGCCACCGAAAAAAAATTACTCGAACCAAAATGAATTCAGGGATATTTTCTACCATGGTTACCAGAGAATACAGGATTTTGGGGTTTGAAGAAGCGCCATCTCCAGGCCCAGGCTGTCATTAATGTGGTAATGTTTTTCATATTTGGAAGGAAGTCATGTATATGCTGTGAAACCACATCCCTGCTCCAAACACGAGCGAGCTACTCCAATGTCACGCTTGCTCATCACATTCCGGTTGTCTCTATTAGCAGGATATGTCCGTTTCTTTTGTTAGCGCTGCCTCAGAAACCAAAAGGATCATAATGAGCACGTAACTGTTTCCTAAAGACATCCATTTAGAGCTTCTCTTTCACTTCTTTCAAGTGATGGGAGAAGTAGATGACTAATGAGGAGTTTTCCAGCACATTTTAAATGCTCTTATTCATTGTCCCACAAAGTATGTTGGTCTTTTTCAGCTCAAACAATGAGAACGCTTTCTTTATGCCATAGTAGTGGTTTAGCTGTGAGTAAGGAAATATCTGCTGAGTGGTAAACCCCTTTGGATAGATTAAATTTAATTGACTCATCCATGACTGAGGGCATCTCTGGACTATTCCCTGGCACCATGAACAGGCCAAAGTTTCACTCATCTGGCATCTATTTAAAACTTTTCAGATGACACCTACAGAAATCCTACTTGAGTCAGAGTGTAACCACTGACGCATTTTTTGCTCTAGTCATGTGATTCAACGGCTTTATTAGTCATTGCAACAACATCAGTTTGGATGTAGTAGAACAAAATAGATATTTAAAGTTAGATACAGCAAGCATGTTAGTATGTATACAGCACCTGGAGTTTACATCTACTACAAGCAATCAGTCTGTCAATTAAAGGCATTTTCAGACCGCTACAAGCTAAAGGAACCTTCACCATTTTTCATTAAAGCACAACACAGGAACTATGAACTATATCAGTTCTCAGAATCCTGTTAATAGGAACCTTTTAGCTCCTGCTTCAGAGTAGGTGCCCTCCCTGCACAAGAGGAACTTTGAGTGGCATAAGCCAATATGATTGGTCAATAAGTGAGTGTATGTTGATTGGTCAAACACAAGAGCCTGTTCAGTACAACCAACCACCATTTCCCAAAAGCATGATACACTGAGTATCCAGAGTGAATTATAAAGAATGACTATCAGCTACATTGGTTGCCATCCTTGGTCACAAACTGGCATATGCTAGTAATGCTGGCCTTCAGGATTCAGCAGTCGGGCTTTATGAGGTCAATATGAATTTCAGTCTATTTCATAACCGCAGTGCCTGATATAACCTCCCTGACCTGCTGACTTTTCTGTTGAGTCTTGTTTTCACCGTTACGAGTTCAATGTTCCTTGACTCTACAACAGCTCTCTGTCTCCTGACTTTAACTGTGGGAAATACTTTAAGACCAACATGTATAGACATTACAATCACATGACTGTGAGTGTTGTGTCTAAAACAAATAGATCAAATTCTGCTTCCCTCAAGCTCAGCAGGCGTAAAAGCACTTTTTCTTTGCAGCTTTGCAAACGAGTTGAATAAAAGGAACACTATTTAAGGCCAGCGGTGAAAGACTTCACAGACTCCCTGTGGCTCTTTGTGGTGTGCAACTCGTAACTGAGCTTGGGAGTAAAGGTCAGGTCTCCATTGAGGAGACCTGGTACAGCTGTAGAAAAATAAACAGTGGAAATAGAAGGTGGGAGGCTTCTGTGGCGTATGACTCAAGTATGAAGGTCCGTGTATCCCATCAGGTTTAAAGACCCCAACGCTTCGCCAATTGGAGGCGATATGGCCTCTTCCCACTCCCCAGAGAGCATCAGCTCTGGCAGAGTGTTTAGAGCCTCATTACGCTCAGCAGACACGTGAGGAAATGACACATTCTTGACACGGTGACCTCTCAACTTGGTAGTTCCATCAGTAGGTATGAACAGGAACTGTCAACAGAGGAGACAGAGACGTCCAGCCTTCCTTATATCCCTGTCAGAAGAATTATAAATACTCTGTGATCTCAGTAACTTACAGCTGTAAAATATACTGCATGCTCAGCTAAAGAAGATAAAAACACTTTAACACAGATTGTTTTAATCTTCAGATACATGAAAGCTCTTGTAAATAACTCGTATAAGCAGACCAACATCAAAATACACTGCTTTCTTAATTTGGTTCTCAAAGAAAGCCTTTCGGCTTTAGCTGCATGCCTGTCTTACTTCAGGGTCGGGTCATAAAAACCTTTTTTTTTTTTTTTCTACAGAGTCACTTTCCAGCTGTGATCCTGTTCCTATTCAAACACAGAGCTGGGGCTTCTGAAAAGTCTGGAAAAGCTGACACTGCTGCATTTTAGTGCAGATGCTACAGGGCAACATCAATAATTCTATCAAATTTAAATCATGGGATGATGTTTATCCACTTAAGAGGGAAATGGAAGAAGATTTCAGGACATGAAGGACCAGGACAGCAAAAACGGTACATTGAAACTATTAGCACAGGTCATAATGCAACACAGTCCTGCAGAAAACAGATTTAAACGAGAAGTTAGTGGATTCAGCAAACAGAGCCTATCAGACAGACACACGGCACTAAAATCAGCAGAAATGGCCCACACTTGGTCTGCACATGTTCTGCTGAAACTGCTCTGCGACACTTCAAAGATGCATTTTCATCAAAAGAACAGATTCTGTCTTAATGTGCAGAAATCACTGCCTCATCAAAACGTTTCCTCCAGGGAAAAACAAAACACAAATCCCCTTTAACCTCAAAGTTGATACACATGGAAATCAGAGACACATCATTGACTCTACATGAAGGCATCACTGATCCACATAGGTTAGCATGGGCGTCATTCTAAATAAGAACTGATCTTTATGAACCAGATGAAGTAAACATTGTTTAATCTGGATGCAGTTACTTGAATCTTATGGTCTACATTAAGCGACTGAATAGGCTTATAGCTGCCACATTTTAGTGGATTTTTGGGGGTTTCCATAAAAAGGTAAATTAACACATGATGTGATGTATTATGGGGGAATCTGTCATAATGTTTAGACTTAATGGGTACATCAAAAAGCTTCTCTGTAAAAGGATCAACACAGGGTTCATCAAAATTTGCTAAACCATCCACCCTGTGGGCTTTTTCATGCGTAAAAGACACTTGATCCAACCCGAAAAACTCTCAGCATTAACTTCAAGCAACTTCGTGAACCCCCCCGTGTCCTCATTTTGGGAAGTCACAATAAGGTCACCCTATATAAACTGAAATTTAAGCTCAACTCAATGATAATCAAAAGTTAGGGAAACACTTTGAAACCAGTGAAAATTGAGCACAATTTCTGTGAAGTGGCTGAACACAAAAGCACAGCGTCTGTATGTGATTTTTTTGCAAAGTGTGGCTAATGTCAGCAGAGCCTTTCGACCCCCTTTCAGGTTAATGTCCACATGGTTGTACTGGATGCTTGTTGCTCTTGCCCGAAGTTTTATACTTCTTCAACCAGACACAACCTGCCTCCAACTTTATCTTCATTATTCATATCCAAATTATGTCGAACCGTACTGCACTTTGTCTGTTGGGTTCACAGGTGACTGTTGTACTGACAAGCAGGCTTACACTTGAGAGTCTGTCTTATTTTAGCATCAGCATGCTTCCACAGCCTTTAAAACATCTTTTTTTAAGACATACTGAACTCTCTTACTGTGAGTGTTTTCTCCATCACATCTTTTAAACTTTGAGTTTCCTCTTGTAAAAACTTAAAAACAACAGTTTTGTAATCATCATAATGACCCTTTCATACTCAATTATCAGTGTTTTTACATCTTTCTCAGATCCCGCCACATTCCTTTGTCCAGCTGAGAGCTGTCAGACTGGGAACGACACACACACACACTCCCACAGACACACACAAATACACAGACAGTCTTGCCGGAGTTTGTGCTTGCAGCTGTGAGTTCACATACCCACACCTACGCACACTGCTGCACTGACCAAACAGTCTTTTTAAACTAAACTCCACTGGATGACTCAGACGTCTCTCCAGTCAAACCAAAGGTGTAAAACATGTGAGATAATAAACTGTGACAGAGGGTCTGAACAACCAGATTACTCAAACAATACTTTGTGATTCCAAATAAGAAGAAAGACGTAATGACAGATTTGTTTCTCTCTTAGACTTTCCAAAACACTTGAACTCCTCCACACTTAAGCCCACAAATTAATAACAGAATATTTACGAACACCTGATAAAGATGTCAAAATCCCTCTCCCAAATAGATCTATTTAGCTGCAGTCTGTTTTCAGCTTTCACCTCGTGCTAAGACATTTACCTCAGCTGATACAGCATCTTCAGTGACCTTTATTCCACATAAATTGGTCTTATTGTAAGATCTCTCTCTCCAAGCAGTCATTGTCTTTACTGTGCAGTGAGGACACACATGCTCAGAGCTTCTGACCTTAACCTGAGGGCACCGGGCTAAGCATTGTTATTTTATCTGTGAATGAAAACTCCAAAAACAACAATGTTTTAGTCTCTGTGCTTGACTCCCTTACCTATATGTGGTTCTTATTAGAGATAAAAGAGATGTATTTCCTAAAAATGTGTCATAAATCAGATTTTTTACAGGCTAGATTTATTTACTAAAACAGCTGCAAACTGCTCCGGCCAAACACGTCTTAAAGTCAAGTAAACATTGCATTTATTGAGGACTTTTTTTTGCTGCTAATGGATCAAAACACATTTGGTGTTTTTGAATATTAAAAACAGCTGCAATTCCCCTCACTCATTAGAGCTTAAGTACATTATAATAAAGTAAGATGTTATTGAGTGAGACGATTTGGCTCAGCGATGAGATTTCTTATTATATTTGGACGACTCTGCGTGTCTCTGGCACCGAGGAACACAAGATATCAGACTTTAGCCTCGAGGACATTATAAGTAGGATCAAATCATTGTTGGTTTGAGTCCCATTATTGGACTTGTTGACTTTAAAGAAGATTACCAGACGTCTTTAGCCTTAAGCCTGAACTTGGCCTTTGCCCATTTCTCACCACTGTTCTTAAAACCAAGACTAAGCTGTAAAACAAACAGCTTAAAGCCATTACCTCACCAAATATATCCACCCTCATGATCTCCAGCTAAATTTGGGATTAACGAGGATAAATATAAGACCACACTCTGACAGACAACTGAGAGCTATCAATCAGCTCTCTAGTTTTTGACTCCAAGACCACTAATAAACATTGTGGTCTGTGACTTTATCAGCCCTCAGAGGATGATGATCCCATAGCTAAGTGCAATATTCAAAAGCTCCTCTATATGGATACAACAATGTCTCTTTTTCTCACAAAAACACTAAAGGCCCTCTATCACAGGTGGTCTGAGGGTCAGGGATGACAGCTAAGTCGCCTAAAGGAATAATAAAAACCATCAGAGTGGTACAGTTAGAGCAGGATGGAGTTTGAGCACATACAGGCTCCAATATGCTGTTGGGCAATCACAAAGTGTAAAATTAGAGGATTACATTCAGACTATTTCGAATGACTGATATGATCTCAATGAGCTGTAATCCTGCTACTCTGCAATCAAATTAGGGAAACTAATAAAAGTAATGTTACACTTATATTAAAGTTAAAAAAAGAAAAACAACACCAACAGTTTATTCTTATGGAGACCGTATATTGGTGCCTGACATGGTTTCACCTTAGAGAGAGCATTAACAACAACTTTCACCTCTTTCTTATTTAGACTTACTGCCTTTTTAGCCTTTGTTTTACTTATAATCTTTTTATTGATTTTAATGTTTTCATTTTCCTTTATTTTATATATATATATTTAATTCCACTTTATCATTTATATTACCATCATTTTATTTTATTATGATTTTATTATTATTATTAATATCCTCTTTCATACTTACTAGCCTGTTTTCTTCCCTCCTTTTCTATTTTTTTTTTTTTTTTTTTGCTTTTATTTTGGTCCTCATGGTCCCATTTATTTTGTAGGGTTCTTGTATTGCCTGGGTTTCCTACGAAAAGTGAAACAGGCCTACAATTCAGAGGCCTGTTTTTAACTGAGCTTTTGTTTTTATGTGTTTTTATTTTCAATGTGCTGATGCTCTGTGCTTACAACTGTTGTCGAAGCACTTTGTAAACTTCTGTTTTTAAAGGTGCTATATAAATAAAATTATTATTATTATTATTATTATTAACTGCTATCTAAAAAACAATAAAAGTTTATTGCATCCCCAGAGAAACTTCAAGATTTACCAAAAAGTGGCCCATTTCCAGGTGCTCGACTTTCAGGATTTCTCACTAGACAGTTGAGAGAGCAGAGTAAAGGAAGTTCGAGGTCTCTAATCAGGACAGAAAGGGTGTCTTTGAGCATCTAAACGAATCACAATTGCTATCAATTTCACAGTGAGGCCTGTCTGGACGCCTTCAGAAAGGAAAAAACAGACATATAATCCAAATATAAGTATAAACAAAACTAATGATTCGCAGACACACAGAAGCCCAGCTGGAACTGAACATGGCTCTTGCACAGTTTTTGCTTTGAGACATTTTGGGGACGCCAGAAACTAAATTCGGCCACACCACGGAGCCAGTTGGCCTAATAACAGTGTGCATGAGGACAGGGTTAGTGCAGTGAGGTAATCTGACAAAGATGAGGTGTCCAGAACAGAGCTGCAGTTTGTTTAGTAAGCAAAAATAAATCAGAGGAAACTTTGCACACCACAGGGGAGGTACAGTAGATCACTGTCTTTGAGGGGAAATAGTGTGGCAGAGCCAAGTCAGACAGCAGTACAACTCGTCAGCATGTGTTTTACAGCCCTTAAGTTCTTGACCTCTTCATCTGAGCCATATATCAAAGAGGTCAATTCAGGTAGTTTCTGAGACCCAAAAATACCCTTAACCTTATAAGACGCAGCTATATTTCCTCCACTTGAGACTGAAATTTTACAGATTCTTAGAGGCTTTTTAAGTAACACTGTGTGATCTCGAAAGAAGCTGTTGAAGAGAAAGTGCTGCTATAAGCTAAGTGATAAGTCGGTAAACAGCAGGAAAACACATCAAGCTGTTGTATAACTGCAGATGCAATTCAACAGGGTTTAATATTTTGCATAGAGGAGCAGAAAGTTATGCAAGTCCCTTACCACTTCTCTCCTCCAGCAGCCACGTGTTGCTGAACAGTGTATCCAAACTGAGCTTGTTTTGGGCCCTTGATGATCCTGTATCGCTTTGTGTCGATATTGAAGCAGTTGAGGAATCCTTGAAACAGAAGAGACATTTTTATTAGAAGTAGAAGAAGAAGAAGAAGAAGGAAAGCATCAATAACCAGGAGGTAAGTTTTAATTCTCAACATTAATGTGATCCATAAAGAACACCTGGTGCCACGTGTTATTAGCCCCGCAGTTTTATTGGTGTTTTATGAGAACACTTATATTAATACTGATTGGACCTGAGCATCTGGTCTAAAAGCAACAAACAGTCGTAAACTTACTCATCCTTGCTCATCTTGAAAACAATCTCATCCTTGTCTGGAGTCTGTTTATCATCCTGGCTGAGTCTAAACACAGACTTCGTTCATAATGAAGCTAATTATTGTATCAGCGCTACAGGGCAGCAGAGCTCTCTGTCACATCTGAGTGAAAGTCATCAGACGGTTACAGATCAGCAGGAGAGCTTTAACAGGATCATTAACAATCTTTTAATACTGGAAGAGCCTTATATCCTCCTCCAACAAACCAACCTTTATGACAATAGAAGAGGCCTAAATTCATCATTTATCTATACCTATTTGAGGTACCTTAAGCCTACCCTAGCTGTCACTTAGTGAGAGGAGGGATACACCAAGTGGTTAGTCTCTCACTGGGCTGACACATCCACACAAACAACCGCTCACATTCACTCACACACACACACACACACACACACACACTCACTCACACCTACAAACAGCTTGAGTCATCAGCAAGGCTTTAGACGGTGAGAAGAAGCCGTAGTACCCCAAAGGACCCCACACAGAACCCTCCTCATACAGCTTTAGACAGAAAAGCACTTATTCCTGGTCCTGGGTTCAAACTGGTTACAGTTTGAAATGCAGACGTAGTCCGAATTACGGCATCTCAATCACCAAAATGCTGACTCCAACTATCAGGTGAATACAATGTAATTGCTGCCATTATACAACAATATATGCCATGTAATTTACAATAAAGTAAGTTATTTAGCCATCCGGGGGGAATACAAAGGAGCCATTATAATACAGTTAAAAACACTAAGCAAGGTTTTCGATTATTGATTTTGCAGTTCATAGATGCTGAAGTGTAACCTGACATAAAGTTAGAGGCTAAGAAGTAAAGGCTGCCATGGGAGCTGATCAAAGCCGATCTGTTTTCCCGATTGTGTACTTAAAAGTCTCTCACATCTTCAGACAGCTCCCCAGGTGGTTAAAAGCAGCGGTGAAAGTCTGTTTTCAATTAAAATACCCATCATAGGAGGTATTTTTCAGATTTTGCATGTCACTGAGTTACCCATTGTGGCTAATTGATGGTGACAGCGCTACTTGGCTTTTAAATTTCCATCAAAAGAGGAGGACTGTGTGCGAGGACATGGAGGTGATGAGGTTTTCCAGTTTGGCGAAGGAGAAGAGGAAAAAATGCAATCATCTACCACTTTGACTTCCTCTCTATCCATCTTTCTGCGTTCAGCTGTCCTCTGTTTAATCTCTTACCGATGTCTACTCCTCCAGTTGCCAAACCTACTATAAGTCAGTGTTCCTGTTGTCAGGCTGTTGCTTTATTGATTTTTCTGTCACAGTAAGATCAAGGATTGACCCTCACATTAAAGCTGATTCTCAAAGAAAACTCAATAAGCTTCTGAATCACAAAGAAAAAGAGCATGAAAACAGCCAAGAAGGGAACATTAGGCAAACTTTGTGCTTCATGATACTTAAGAGTGGTTTGTTTTGGTGGGATTCAAGATGTTTACTTCAATGTAATGAGTTTTCTCACAGTTTAAGCTGCACAGCTGAGCTAAGAGCACAAAGGCCTCTGCTTGCAATCACCACAGACTCTCCCTCACTCCTTACATGTCTGTGGCTCATGTCCACACACTGTTGGGCTCATTCAATCCCTCGCCCTCACGCTAAAGGACCAACTCTCACAGTTCGCTCCCTGTCTGTGCTGTGAGGCTCCGGGGTCACGTCGAGTTAAGTGAGCCTCTTTTCCCTGCATGGGGGAAATTCAGTGAAATGTAAACAACAAGGTAAAGGAATGCTCAACAAAGGTAGAAAACAAGTTAAATTCAAATTAAGCTTTAACAAATGACAGCTGAGGTCAAATTCAAGGTAACTGCGCCCTGAGTTCACTGACGGACACTTTTTAAACACTGCAAATACGGAGGATTTTTATTATATGACATAAATATAAGACACAAGTATCTTTGATTTATAATGTTGCCATGACTTACTGTCATGTACCTATTAATGCCGTCAAGCTAATACTGTTGCTATGTTACCTAATAACAGTAATAAATAGCATCTGTTTTCACTTGAGTCTCAATCTCAATGATACTCATCTGCTTTGCCAAGATAAACCCAAGTTGCCCACATTGCATAACTGTCTGGTTGGTGTAAAGGACTTAATGTCTCAGAGCTTACCAGAGGTGGCAGGAAAATGAGGAATTAGGAAAACTACAGTTCAGTCTTTGAAATGAACCTCACAAGAGTTTCTTTTCCCTGCCTGCCCACAGCTACAAAAGTTTGCAACAGTCCGCAATTAAAAGGCAAATATTACAATTTCTTACAAAACAGACCAACATTTTGACAAAGTGGAGAAAAATGGGGCGATATTTTGTCATTTTTTTCTTGAAGTTGCAGACTATGGGAAGCCAGAGTCCACTATATTTGATTCCTATTATTACCTGAAGCTGTTTGCCTGCGTTTACTCATCTAATGATCAAAAGAAACCTAAGGCAAAGTGAGACGAAAAAGACAAAGAAGGATTGACTGACTATTAGACTAGATGTAGACCTGTCTCGGTATCTCACAGCAAAAATTACAGACTTGACTCACAGACAATATCCTCCTTACGTAATCAAAGTATTATAGATTTGTTATTTTATCAATTGAACAGTTCGTCTTTTTGACAAAAACAATGGTATTAGTTACACCTTATGTCTGTCAGAGGATTCCTAAGAGTTCAACCAATAGTTAGCATTGTAAAAGAGTCTCTGAGTGACCACCATGCAGTGTTGAATTATCTGACAAATGTAAGCTTTCCTTTTTTTTTTTTTGGAGCTGTGATGTTTCTGCCCATGTGCATTTGTCATAATAAGTTAACAGCTTTTTAAAGAATCATTAAGATAATGTTGAAGATTATCAATTTAGGCTATAATAGAGTTAAAACATTGGTATGATGATAAGAGTTCATACAGGCCCAACAAAGTTTTCAACCTCTCAATTTTTAACAATTACTACACGGTTTGAACTTGCAGATATGCACATTATAGAAGACTGCATTAGTGAAAGCATCCACTATTTGGGAGCCATGTTGTTAATCACTGTAGTAGAAGTTGTCTGTAGTAAGAGTTCAGCCCTGAAGCTTCATTCATAACCACTTTACAGTGGAGGAGAGTGTGCTCTCCCTGCTGCACGCAAAGGTATTCCAGGTAAGCCCGTGGAAGGGCAGGGAGCCCTCAAAACTGAGTTATACTGCCAAATATAACTAATGCATGCAAGTAACTCTTACGGAAGTGATCCTGACTGAGCTTTCTTAAACTGACAAACCTATAAAGTTTAGTCAGAGATTGAGATTTTTTGGTGGGTGCAGGAGGGTCTTTGAGGGTCTCTGGCCTCTTAATTGTAATCATGGTGTCTGTGAAGATCTTACTGGTTTTTTTCTGTTTGAAACTGATCAGTCACACCAATAATAATACAACAGATTTTTGTTGTAAAAAAATCCCATAATATTCTCAAGGAAATGTGGGATCATCATCAGAAGAATAAGGAGAGTCTCTGTGAACCTCACCTGTCTTTAAAATCAAGCGCTGGTTCACAAACACCACTTTGTTGTTGTCATGGCTACAGACCAAATAATCAAATTTGACAAAGGCCAGTAAGAAGGAAAGGGGCTCTTGATTTTCACCGTGTGCTAATGTGTTTAAATTACAACCACAAAATTACAATAATGCTCAAATCATGTTTTACTACATGTCTGCTTTGCAAAAATATCACATTACCGTTTAATCGGGTTTACTGGCTCTTGAGTACCGTGTTGTAGAAATATGGGTTACAGCTGCAGCTCAACTCTGCTTTTAGTTTGTGACACAGGGACAAGATTTATTTGTTTGGGTTGTTTGAACTATGAAACACGAAGAAGTGGTTACATTTTGAGCAGCTGCTCCCTTGACAAAAAAATTGTTCCTCCCTAGAAATGTGAAGTTGTCTGCATTCCTCAACACTTGTTATTTAGGGGCGTTAATGGGCCGTCTAAATAAATTGCAAACCAAATATCTTGTCTCAGAGTCTCTCCGCAGTGATCTGTAAATCTTGGACTGAAACTGAAGCTGTGGGACGACAGACAGCGCCGTAACCATCATGACCATAATTTTAACCACGGGACATAACGTGAGTGCAGCGACAGCAACAGAGAGGGCAAGTTGTTCATTTTTCATTTCTGTCAGTAATCAGGTGAAAATCACACCTGGACTGGCACAACTATAGATCATTTGTTCTGTTTCGTGAAAAACTCTTTCGGTATAAATGGACATCTCTGCCATGCAGACCCGTCATGTAAATATTGACACATTCTCAGAGTAGCTCATTTCCTGTCCTATGAATGGCTCACATGTTCAGCTGGTGTTTGATCCCAAACTCCAAACATCCTCCTTTAGATTCTGTTTACCCAGACACATAAAAGGGGTGACTGGAAATAGATTGTTTGGAACAGATAGGTGTATGTAAAATAAATCAAATCAGCAGGTAACTGTTCGCCAGCATAAATCATTTTACACATAAAGAACGCTGGGTTGTCTCACTGTCATTGTTCAAACAGAGCACATTAATGCTAAATGTCTGGTAGCTAACTTAATGCTTGGATTGAAAATAAATTTCCCTTGATGCAATCTCAGATTGGCTGAAGTCTGGCCAAGATGTGAGCGAAAGCTAAGACAGGGACAGGAAAAAGGTTTAGTGTGAAAGCATGAGAATGGAGGTGATCCAATTTCCATTTCGTGCAACTAATGTGGCAGAGCCATTTAATACTCCCAGTAATATCAGCAGCTTCTAACGCAACGTCGGAGTCTTGCTGATTTTCCTGTGTACCAGAGTCCATGCCCAGATAAATAAACCTCAGGCCGGTGGCTGCCGGTGTGACCCACATCAGTCCGCTGCTGCCTTTGGCTCCGCACCAAGCTGCAGGAGCTCCACCGCAGACCTACTGACACAGAGCAGCCGTGTGGATTAGGTTAGATGTGCAAACTGCTGGATCTTAGACACCCTCGTATCAGATGGACATGAGCCCTGTTACAGTCTCTTATAGTGCCATATTGTTTAAGAGTTAATAAAAATGAACTGTATGTCTCACGTTGTCTTGGACTTTAGCGCACAGTTTTTTTGAATGACTTCTACACACACTTGACAATGTTGCATTCTGCCGACAATGTGCAGTCAGCAGCATTTTAGCAAATGAGAAAACAAAATCCTCATATTGCATAAATCTTAAATTTGAACTAAATCTAGCGTTTTACCATCGATCCATTTTTTGGTTTCCATTACAATGGTTTTCTCTGGAAAGATACTCCTCAGTCTACTATATACTGTGAAACATTTTGGCACCTTATATCGTGATTGCCCCACGCCAACCAAAATACTCAGGGAGACATGAGGTCTTTAAAGCCAGATGTTCCCATTACACGGCAGCCAACTGGACACTACTTAACAAGCTGTGAACTCTCTGAGCCAACGTAAGACCCAACAGGGACTCAAAGCAAATCTCTAGGACAGCACAACATCCAGAGTGAGTGTTTGCTGAGTCTGTAATTAGCGGAGTAACAAAATGTGGACTTAATCAGAGCACTGAATGCTCTGTGCCAGTGCAACATTAACTGACTCCAACACTAAAACCTCCACAGCATGTAAATATTTATGTTGTAAAGCAATACTTATATTGATTAATGTGCGGGTACTGTAGTCAATATGTCTAATTTACACATAACACAAAACATATTAATGAGATGTTTTACTGTGTACTTCAAAACTACATCAAACAGGACTCACTCTTCATGGCAGGGTTTGGACACATCAGGCTTAACAAGGAATGTGAAGTAAACTTCGATTAGGACCTCCAATCAAATTCTAATCATCTGATCATTGGGTCCATTTTAATCACTCACATTACCTCACAAAGACACAACAAAAGATGTGTGAAAGATAATCTCTTCCCGAATTTTTTGGTGAAGTAAAAAGTAAAGTAGCTGGAATTGCTGAAAGTCCCAGAATGGGGTCATAAACTCTTCAAAACTGGAATACATTGTTTTAGTCTGGCTGTATGGAATTACTTCTTGCATACAAATTTATTCAGTTATTAAACAACCGGTGGTTTCAGCAAACTTTTCACAGTTGGGGTTACATCCAGATGAAACAGCCCTCTGTGTGTACACATAGTGTCGTGTTCATTGAAAGAAAAGGCAGGAGTTGTTTGCCATCATCACAGAGCCCCAAAGTCTGCATTAAGGGGAAGTTGGGGTGGTTTCAGTGTCTGGTCTGTAAAAAAATCAGTTTTTCTGCATTTCCTCCATTCTACTGAAAGTTTAAAGCTTCGGTTTCTTGAACCATAACCATCAGAGAAGGAACCTAAACAAAGATGATTGTGAAGCCTTAACAAAGCAATTACTGAAACCTAAACTATGATCTTTGTCTAACCTTAAACAAATAGCTTCTGTACCCAACCCAACCAGACTTTATGAAAAGTATTGCTCATACACGTGATCTGAGAAAAATACTTCTACGTGTCGTTCTGGGGAGTAATGACAAGCAACTCTTTCATGATTGAGTCACTGAATTATAGAGGACATGTCAGCAAACAAGCTCTGAACACTTCCTCACAGCATCAAATGGTATTTAAATGTAGCAGCTAGTTGGCAAAGACAATGTGGCACCAAGTAGCATAAGACACAGAGGTTTTTGTTTAAGTTAATGGAAAGTAAAACACCCACAAAGAGAGGCAATAAAAGGCGTGTGTCTTAAAGAGGGACAGAACAATTAACCCACATTGGATGGTAATGTTTGATTTTAGCCATGGTGATTTTATCATTGATTCTGATTGGTCAAAACCCCATAACGATGGCGATTGATTCTGAACAGTAAAAGCAACAATAAGAAGAACCTGATTAGCGCAGTGCAGAAAAGTCCAGCATGTTTATTAAGATTTCATCTCTTCCTGTTGACAATGTGACAAAAATATTAGTGACACAAAAGACCCAAAAGATAGATCTGTACAATAAAAGTGGCGGTGAGATCAGTTTTTAATAAAACCCTGCAATTGCTCTTTCCTTTGGGAAGTTGCCATGATGTAATTGCATTCCTACACTTTGAGGTTTACTTGTAAAGTATGTAATAATTTTGTTCTATACTCAATTTATCGTCAGGACACCTCAAAGGGTGTTTCTGTTTATCTAATAAGGCCTTAGGGATAAATAGCTTATATATAAATTGTATTTCAGTAATTCATGTGCATTCCTTATGAAGATTTTCGGTGCATTCTTTATCCATATCATCGTGGGAACTCTTCACAAGAGTTTGTTCATCTCTGCATGGAGTGTCAGACTGAACATCTTTTCAAAAGGAGGAAATTCCCATCAAGTTCACATATAAAACAAACTGTGGTTGACATTTCCTCCTACATCAGAGCTTCTGAGGACAAAAGCACTGATGAATGTATGCTAGAGGGCTGATGCTATAGCGTTGAAATGTAGGTTAAACGTGGGAGTGTTTAATGTCAAATAGTGGACTCTGAGCCAAATGGCAGCGGTCCAGCTGTTTTCATTTATATGACACGTCTTTCTCAAAGTTATCTGGATGGGGTCATTAGTCCAAATGTCCCATGATTCCACGCACGGCAGACTTAGATGCAGCTGCCTCTGTCTTATGTGCTTGCCAAGACATCTCCCACCACAGCCAGCATCGAGGTTTCTCAGCAGACTCCGAGACTACAAGGTCAGTATCACTTTCAGTGTGGCATCAGTCCAAAAGTGGGTTCCAACGAATTCCAATACCAAACCAAATATTTACAAACAAGATTTCCCAGACTCCTCTGGTTTTCTATTATTTACAAAAAGTCCTGATATTGTTTTCTTTGACTGTCTAATACCTCTGTTTCTGCATTAGATTCACCTCCAGAGTTATATAGCAGATAAGAAACACTCACCATGTTTGTGTACAGCAATGATACACATTCACCCAATTCAATAAACGTGTTCCAACACACGTGCATTCTAATAATGTGGTTGTACATTACACAGTATGCTGAGTTAAAGCCACAAGATCCCTGCTGTTGCATTGAGTCGGGTACTCAATATTTTACAGTATATTTCAATTTAGCAGTAATTTTATTTATAGGTGCATATGAATACCTGTGAGTCATCCAAAATGATAATTAAGCTTTTGGTTCCTACCATTTACTCTGAGTTTGTCTTTTTTTCTCTCTCTCTCTCGTCTAGATGTGTTACTGCTTTAGTAATTTCACCGGTAATTGACCGCAGTTTTGGCTAAGTCCCAACAAATCTCAAACCGCTGGAAACTTCACTGTGAAAAGATAGAATCACGTTTCATCTGAAGGAGAGCAAGACAGAGCAACTCTGTAGACCTGAGAGGGACAACAAATCCTTCAGTAAAGCCCCTGAGCTCTGCTTTCCTGCCTCCTACCAAGATACCGGGTCAAGATGTCAGGTTATGATGCCACTCACACAGGCTGCCATTCATTCAGATGACACAGGAGGGTATTAAAACTCCTTTTAAGACAGTAAATATGTTCACTGTCAGAATTTCAAGTTGGAAATGACTTTTTAAAAAGTTTAAGTAAAGTATCAACTGCAGTGCTTCGTAAATCCTTTAAAAGCAACAGCCTCAGAGTTTCCAGTTGCTGTTGGAACAGGTCAGAGTATAACTAACAATTATAGAGCCATTATTATACTGGAAAGCTTCATGCGAGAGAAAGAAGGTCAGATCCAAACATCAGCAAAACACAAGCAGGATTGGATGTGTATACGACAGGCACACTTTAAAAAATATGGCACATTCGTAAACACCTTTCACTCACCTAACTGCTGGCTGCAGATCCAGAGCAGGAGGAAGCAGTAGTACTCCATATGTTTGCCGGTGCAAGAGTGGGTGTGTGTGCGCGTGTGTGTGTGTGTGTGAGTGATGACTGCCGTGAGTGTGTATGTGGAGGGCTGAGGGAAAAGACCCAGTGGCAGGCACAGTTAAAGATCCCACTCTGATTGACTCCAAGTCAAAGTTAAAGCACTGCCTATATCTGAGAGAAGTAGGAGGAGACTGAAGAAGAAGAAGAAAGAGGAGGTCCAATCTGACACAGCGGGCAGGAATACTCAGACTCTCTCACACTCTCATTCAACTCTGTCTGACAGGGTGAATACTCTCAGGTTTCTCCTTTTGTGTTTTTATGATAACCCACATTTTATGGATATCTTTTTCTCTCAAGTAATTAAAGTAATTCAAGAAACATATTCATTGGCTCAAGGTAGGCACAGATTGGCATTAGAATAAAGTTGAATTTGAATGGGAGTTTATAAAAACTTAACTACAAACTTGCTGGGAGAAGTTTTTCACCTGTCATTAAAGAGACTGAAATTAAAACTAATGCCAACCTACAAAGTGACAAAACCTGCCATGAAGATTGATTTTTGCTGCTGCCATCGGGTCAGTGATCAAGCTACGAATAGATTTAAGATTAAAACTATTCATTTTTAACTGTGGAGATTTAAAACTATAAAATCAGTAACAAGAAATTCTGTCTGATTTCAATCCAGTGCTTCCCATGGGCCCAAAGATCACATCCATCTGGCTCTGTTTTTTTGTCCTTGTCCCTTTTGTCCACAGATTTCTCTAGAAACCCCTGATGAATATAATTCTAAAACTGTTGAACTATTTGCTCTCGCAGTCTCTCACAAAGTGATCCACCTCTTCTATCTGTATTGCTGTGAGACTCGACCTCTCCAGTCACATCCAGTCATTTTAACAACATGTTGCGATTAGTTTTCCACAGGTGACTTTTTAGTGTTGAGCAACTTTTTTGTTCATGTTCCACTTTTTTGATACGTTTCCATCATCAAAATAAAAATGAGCATATAGTTTTCATGAAGCAATAACATTTTTCACTGTCAACATTTGATACGTCTTTTTATGAATTTTTCCCCTAATGGAGGTCACAATGATATGCATACCATTAACAACTGTTCCTAAAATGTTCCTCAAATTAATCCACTTGGCAGCACTGGTGCTGAAAGAGCAGCAGGTTTTACACCTGCACTGAGCAGCAATCCAAACTTCAGGTACTTATACACTATAACTTACTGACAAAAACTACCTCTGTTAACAGCTCCTCGGACAGCAAAGAGTCTCTTAAATAACACTAAAATTAAATAAGGACCCGACAATTGAAGGGCATAGAATGGTTCCAAAATACATGGAGGATGTATCATTACCATGACAACGCACATTTCCAAAGATATTTCAGCGAGGGGATCAGGAGAAATACGCTGGAGCTTACTAACGTAGCCAGATCTTTTCTCATCACACACATACAAAAGTCTTCTGTCAGACTCAAGCTATGCACCACAAGTGCTATCATCATGGCACAACCACAAACTAACCAGTGTATTAACAGTGGAACGTAAATGTGGGGTTCGTATGTTACCTCATCCCCTCGCAGTTCAACCATCCAGTCTTAACTACAGAATGGATAATGATCCCACTTACGTAATACAACATAGTTTATGTACATTAGCTCCCCTGAAATCCATCTGTTGTTACCTGGTAGATCTCCAATTCACTACTTAATCACTACATGTCACATAAATGCAAATCCTCTCTTTACATGGTCCTCATTTTCACTTGGATACATTTGCAGTTACTAAGGCTAGGTTTGAAAAAGTTCTGGACACCTGTATGAAAAAACTTCAGTTGTTAGGATACAACTCTAACTTTTGAAAGGATGAGTGCGTTTAGAAATACAAACCAGATCAGACACTGCTAGATTAAGATTTAGGAACTGGACAGATGTTTCCTTCAGATGTTGGGGTGGTACCATAACAGAACTTTAAAAAAAAAAGAAGCATAACTTTTATCACCTGAACAAAAATACATCAGCAGATTAATCTTCTGTGTGAACCTAACTGGGGGGACCTCAGATGAGTCCATTACCGACTGCAATGGGGTGACGCAGCTCAAGGAAGAACATTTATGATCATTTCTCGATGGGTGTCTAACTCGGTGTTACGGTGCGTATGACCCTAACTTAATTTTACGCCAGAATATCCTTTTAATCTAAACAAAAGACAACACAAGGTTTTTTTTAAGTCTTTAAAACGGGGGTTGTCTCATAATCTGGGTTGTCCTGTCTTGGCTAATACAGTGTACCAGCATTACCTCCTTTATTCACTAAAGATATTCCAAAGTTAATATTTTGCACATTTACAAACTCAGAGCAGTATTAGAAATCAGTCTGTTTTTAGATATACTTTGGCTGCCGGGTGGCCAAATAGATAGTTACTGTTACTGGAACTTGGCTGATGACAGGATCGTAAAAAAACAAAAAAACTACAGGATGGAATAATAAACATGTTGCACATGCTAAAAGATGAGGCTTACATAAAAATGAGAAAAAGGGTATCCTGAACATCTTTCCACACAGACAGTCAAACAGCCTGTGGACTCTGAAACGCCTGTGAAACCCATCATGACACACACGAGTTTGTCACATATCCTGATCTGATAACCTTATGAGCAGCTGTCTTTCTGAAAATTTGGAAAGTTTACAGCTTTTGCTTTCACACACTTCCTTTCTTTCTATGCAATCTCAGTCCTCTTTTCTTTTCAACAAAAAACAACCACAGATTACACAAATCAAGACACTGTTTGTGCTCTGATGACTAAAGTAACCAAGCTTGAAAAAACAAGAGCCAATCAAGACTTCTGTTTTTTTGTGAAGTGCTTAAAAGCTCGTTGGATTTTTTTTCCTCCTTCGTCACCTCTTCTTGGTAGACTGCTGGGCCCCTTGTTTCTTTAAAGGCAGGAAATTAAGCCCTATGACTACTGCTGAAGTCTAAAAATTTTCACATACTGTTGCACTGCAAAAGTACAAATCTATGGGCAGGGCCCAAAATAAGTAATTGGACTTGGTGAGTGAAAGTAAGTGATACTCCACTGCCTGTTGAAGTAAAATTTCTGGATTTGACTGCAGGATTGTTATTCAGTCTAACAAAATGACATGAAGTTCTGCTTCCTGTTGACATTTTATGGCTTTTTGGGACAAAAGCCAAGACAGGGTCTACCACTACATCTAATGAGCTTACAGTAATTTATTCATGAGCCAAATAACAAGACAATACAACAAGGAGACATTTGAAAGGCGGCATTCCTTGCCCATCAAGCTTGGTTGGAATAAAACATTCCCAAATTGGAGGGAAACAGAGAAGTCATAGAGGTTTGGCAGTCATTATAACGTTATAAAATTCTCCGTAAACATAAAAGTTTCATGACAAGGATTGTTTCATTCAGTATTGTGGGTACAAGCTCAGAACTAAAGAATCTCCCACTGTCAGCTTTCAAGACAAATGACAGATCAGAGAGGAACCTACAATTAAGATTAGGGTCTGCTGCTCTGAATGGAGGCAGTGTGCCAGTGCAGGGAGGGAGTCTGACTCTTTTTCTAAGCGTTTCAAGACCAGAGGGGGTGGTGGGCAACCCACCCAAATGCTTTTCTGCTAACCTCAATCTCCATGTAGACTTTTAGCTCACTGTCAGTAAGTGGGGAGCAGGGTAAAGGGGAGCAGATCTAACAGGAGTGTGAAAAACAGGGGTTGGAAATCCTATTCTTTTTCCCTCCATAAAATCACATAAGCCATACAGAGTCCTGCTGTGAAGCAGCCTGAAATCAATACTGCACAGGAGCAGCACTTACCTCACCTTTTCAGGGCCCTCTCTAACACCACACCACAACTGCTAGCAATTACCTCAATCACCCCAGGATTATCTGTTTGTGTGCGATATATGGTCGTCTCCCCAGGCTACAAGGAAAGCTCTGGCCAGACACAGGACCAGTCCACAGGGATCAGAGGTAAAGAAGCAAAAAGCCGACCACCATCAAAGTTCAAACTGGTGAATACTAAATGTTACTGCAGTTACTATCAGCTGTTCGATGTAGGTAAGTTTTAGACAGCCAAGCTTTATTTTGGGGCCTCCATTAAAGTGCTCCTAAATTGTTATTTAAGAGGATCTGTCAGTACGTTCACATGCACAGTTAAGTCCAGTTACAGTTATAACTCAACTAGGCAAATTAACTGGACTTCTGTCTTTGTCCCGGTTTACATGTACAGGGCAAGAATCTAATTATTGACACCGTGTCCACCTTCACCACAGTGGCTGGCAACATATGCCTCTTTTCAGCTCACTACCACTTGGCCATTTACCAGCTGATTAAGTGTCAAAACGGTCAATAAAAGGCGTGATGGGAAGCACATTGAACGGTGAAAACACTGTTACTTTTACAGCTCTGTGCCGTTCATATGTATGAAAGAAAATTTTTGTAAATCCTGATGTAACATGCCTTAGGTCAGCCTATAAACACAGATGGAAGCAAAGTGACCCTCAAGCCTCTATGCAAACAGCACCTGCCTGTCAGTAAAATCAGCCACACACCCCTGATTGTGTAAATCTTGGTATTACTGTCTTCAAATGGATCAGTAACAAAAAGATCACACTGTTAACCCAAGCTTGAGGGAGACACTTGAGGAACTGCAGCACAGGCTTCATTTTCAACACCACAAGAGTGAGGGTCCATTTTACATTTTCATCAAGAGTAGGTTCATAAGGAGGACTTGCTGATACACAGTCACTAAAAAGGAGGGAAAATCTTCACACAGAAATGACACAAATTCTTGCCTTCTCGCTTTAAGACATTACTCACTGTGACTGCGAACCTGCCAACATTAATACACTACAGAAGATCCTTGATCTAAAGGCCAAGAAGTCCCAATGGTTTTTCACTTTTGTTCTAAAATAAGAAAAAAAAAACTCTGAACTTTGTTGTTCTTTACAACATATCCCTGTGTCTCATAATGGATTTCCCCAAAAGCGCATAAGATCTGAAGACACAAAAAAACAAGGGCGTGGTCATTTCAAAGATAAACCAACTGGGAGGGCAGATTCAGAATCAGATCTTTGTGAGAAGGCTCCACCATCTCTTGGTATCTGCGAGTCCATATGGATTTTATGTCCACAGTCCCATATCCAGTCGTCAGAGGTCATATACAGTTCCCTCTTACTGCCAGAGAAATTTCTTGTATTTTTTCTTCAAACATTCGGCTGTACATGCTGGAGCTTATTGCCCGTGGAGATGTTACTTTCCACAAATCACAGCCAAGTACAGCGAGGGCAAAATGAAACAATGAATGGTTTTTAAAGCGATAGAGCACACACTGCAAGTTCTCAGAGGAGCTTTTCGAAACGCGTTGTTGTTCAGGCAGCTCATTTTTTGGCCCTGTATCAGCTTCTGTGGGGAGGGCAGAGGGAGAATATTGCAGTTAGTGGGCAGCCCTGCATAAACCATTAACCTGGAGAAAGTGTTGGGACGTCATGTACAGGAAGTTTGTCCAGGGCTCTCAGTGTAACTTCATGTGGTGAAGGATACATGGACCAAACATGATTTCATTTATGACCAGGTTTGTGTTGGCTCTGTTTCCTGTCCAAATTCTGACAGCCTCCTCTTTCCTCCTGCTACACCATGCAGACTTTTTTTTACTCATGTTGGGCCTAACAAACAAATTAGAGCATTCCCAAACTCACTGCTGCTTGCTGTCCTCAATGGATCCATCAAAAATACTTGTGTTGGATAAACAAACCACAGTGCTATCAGCTGCGTAAAGAAGACCAAATGGAGACACTAAAGATGGAAGAATAATTGCTAAGTTCTTGTGTTTGCACTAAACAGAAAAACTGGACAACCCCCAGTGATAACACCACTAAAGGCTCAAAACTTCAGTCATGGGTATGGTTATCATGCACCACTATCTCTGTTTCGTTAAACAAGCGAACAAAGCTCATAAACCAAAACACTCCCATGACACTCCCAGTGCCTTGGCAAGTTCCTCCAGACAGCTGCTACTTCATCAAGGTTTTTGTGGTGAAATGTAGAGACGTACAGGTCCTCCTCATCTGACGTTCATGAATAAAACACTTTATGTCTATGTTAAACAACAGAAATGAAAACAGAAACAAGACATCAGAGTCAAAAAGGAACTTTGCTACTCACATGCTATAGAAACACTTAGAAAATAGGAATATGCGTGTTTGGCGGCAAAATTGATAAGACTCAGAGGACAGGTAGTGTCTCATATTGTGTTATAGTTTTACTGTATTTTAACCTTAAAAATGGGAAATAAAGTTGTACATGGGCTTTTCCATGTCAATTTTCTTTTTAAATGTTGCAAAGTAGAAAACGTATGTTGACCAAAGTGGAAATACTCGGGATTCTTAGTTTTTAATCCTTGTTAAATTCCAAAGCTGTGAATCAAACATACGTTTTACAGCTTAAAATATGCTGCCCTTTTTTTTTCAATTTTGGTTATAGCTATGAACCCAGATCTTTTGTCCCTACAAATGTATTAAATCATTCTTCAGGAATGTGAGGAGGTGGTCAACCAATGTTGAAGCAAAAGAAATCAAAGCAATGTGAGTGGATTTGGATGAGGAGAACATGAGTGACAGAATGCAGGCTGGGAGGAATTCAGTGGTTTTCAGGCTGCTGTGCTGAAATCCTGTTTCTCTGAAGGTTACAGACTGGGCTTTGGAAAGGGTTTTTGGAGGTTAAAGTGTACCATGATGTCTGTCTTGTTTGTTACTGTATGTTGTTAGTACATATGTGGCACAAAAGAGTTCCCCTTCTGTGAGAAAGTTTTGAGTGTACTCCACCTCTCAGCAAAATGATACTGTAATGAGTAAATAAACAGGGCAATGATCTCTTCCTCTGCTTTGCCTGCTCTTTACTTTTTCTGTGAATGTGATCTAAAGACGGTGCTCAGAATAAACAGTTTTACAGAGACGTAAACTCAAACCTGAGAGCTTTGGTTTTAGGCTTCAAAGATTGTCTGACCACAGCTAAGCTGAAGTGGAAAACGTAAGACATCCCACATATCATTATGTGCAAGTCATTGTGGTGTCATTGGGAACTGCATCAGAAATAAAGAGTTTGGACCCTGAGGGTCTATAAAAATGTTTTTAAGAGTAAATCTGGTTTAAAAAAATAAAAGAGCCTGACCGGCTGCTGTGTATTCATGTTTTTGTTTTCTTTTACTTCATTGATGCCTCTGGAGAGCTGATTCCTGTTTTAAGAGGCATTAAAAACAGGAATTTGGCATAAACTAACTGCACAAATCTGTGGTATTGCTTGAAGAGCTACTAGTTGAGTGAGATGATGTCACATATGACTGAATTGAGACTGCGTACTTTGTTAAGAATCTTAGAGTTTCCTTGCCTGACCTATGAATAACTCAGCAATTGGACTACAACAGTTTGTTGCTTTTTGCATGTCATTTAGTCTTTACTGACTTAAAGAGTGCAATGGTCCTTGGATATAAGATAAAGTCATTTTAATTTTCTCCACAACAGCAGGGACCCAGATTTAAATCTGTCAGGATTGGATATACAGCAGGACATTTTGGTGTGGCGAATGGCTTAGTCTTGAACTTGGCCTGGGAACTATCGGGTGGCTGGTCTATGTTCTAAACCCAGGGTATGGACTGGTTGCTCGAAAGGTGCCAGTTCACCTCCTGTGCACTGGAGAAGCATCCTTGTGCAAGGCATCCAACCCCCAGCTGTCCATAGTGCAGCTGTGGTGCTCAGCCCCCCCCCCCCCCCCCGACTCTGCCATCTCTCCACAATGAATGTGCCCCGTTTATAAACAAAAAATAAAAAATAAAACAATTTATGATTTTTTAATTACAAGTCAAACAACTACGTGGAGTGCTCATTTGATTGAAAATACGCCTCTATCTAACAACTAAGGCTCCTGTAGGCCAAACTCAACGACTGCACTTTAATAGTGGACATTTAAAGAGCTACACAGCCACAGAGAAACCAGGCTTTGCTGAACACCATGGATATCATCAGGCAGTAAGACAGTTCAACCCACTTTCTCTCTGGAAACCCCCAAACCATTAATTGTGTCCTATATACTGGGGCAACTTATATTTAGGATTGTACTGTACTTTTTTCCCCTTATTTTGCCATGTGAAACAAAATCAGTGATGGTTTATGTAAGGTAATGATTGTGCCAAAAATGATTTAAAGCCAATCTACGTTCAATTTATTAATACACTATACACAAGAACCTAAAACTTAACAGCTTCTATGGTAATAATACGTCAAGACTGTGGTTTATAGCCTACTGTTGGTTTGGCTGCCAAGTATTGGTGTAAAACTTCATTACTGCAGCACTAACCTTCCTGCTGTTAGCATATGCTCAACTGCAGAGTCTGCACCATGAATTCATTACAATAAATCTGGATCTGTTGGATGGAAATTTACTTTTTTCTACTGATTTTAAACTATAAGTCGACCAACATCCAAAACACAGGCATCGCCACACTCCTTCTCGTGTTGACTTTGCAGCCAAAGAACAAAAACTTTGGCTGAAGTATCTCCAGCACTGTGTTATTAGCCTCTTAATAGCTTGTCTGGGGATGTAAATTCATCCTCCCAGGGGGCCTTTCTCAGCATTTCTTTAAGATTTGGCATGTTACTGTGCTTCAGTCATCTATTGCTACTGGATCCACCATGGAGGTCCAAAACAAGTGAGGAGTATGAAAGGGAAGTAATCATCACAGTAACCATGAATTCTCCAGTGGCTCAAGGAGACGATGCCAGTAGTTAACTTCATTTTCCTCAGCAGCATACAATCCAGCTCTGTTTTATTTGTTCTTAACCAGTTATTTTTCCAAAACCAAAATAAATACGCAGCAGCTGATACAATCAATTTTAAGGCCCAGGAATAATTTGAATAAACTCTATATATGGAAGTAAAACATATTATAGAGCCACATACAGAGAGGGAGAGAAGTAAATGTTTCTGTCTGAGCTCAAGTGAGTCATTCGAACTTTTCCAGATCTCTGGCTGAGCATTATGCAGGTCAAGTCGTGCCAGTAGCAATAGTGGGAAATAAGACTAATGTGGAAACTAAAGCCACACGCCACAAGATGGACGACAACGGAACGCTGCAAAACTCACACTTACAGTTTTGTTGCAAAGCCATGTCTCTCGGCACCCAGCTCAAACACAAAGCCTAGTTCCCCGTATGGAATTACTTACCGTGAACTCAGTAATGTGCTACATGTCAGTAAGGATTTTTTCCCACTCTGGTCCCTCATAATGGATGCCATATAGAAAATCTCAAGAATGAATAATGGTCAGTCACCACATTCCTATATCCAATCAAGCAAATCACAACCAAGAAGTCCTCATACAGAGACTTTTAGATCATACGTCTTGTGGTCTTAAATAAACTTCTGCCTTCGTCATGTCTACATCACAGGACACACTCCTGTTTCAATGTGCTCGCATTAACGATCATTGTGAGGCAGATGGAAAAATGGTACCAGGCTTTACTCTTGGATCTTAATGGGAAACCAAGCAGTCTACAATTTTCTGCTTGTAATTATTAGGTTTCACAAACCTTATATGCAGTTGTCTGTTGCAGGTTGACCACTCCAACACCAAGTTAAAATCCTCCCTCAGACTTTTTTAAATGCAACCCTTGTGACAACGCACCAATGGTTAATGCAACATGTTTTGTGGTGTGCTGTTTCCAGAGGGAAAGTGAACATGTGATGGTGCTTTATGTTGATCTACACCCTGGCAGCTACTGTTCCAACCAGAGTTTAAAGCTCATGTTTATTTTCGTACCAGGCTTGGCAGTTCGTTTGCTCAGGAGAAGACAGATTCAGTTTCCCTAACTCTGTTTGTGTTTTTTAAAGAGCTATTTAATTTGGCAAAAAGGAGGTGTCTGCCCTAAATGGGTCCTGATCCTATAATTCTCTGTGCTTTACACTGTGTTTAAAAGCATCTGCTAAGTTTTGGTAAGGGGGCTCTAAAGGAGGACAACCTGCTCCAATTGCTTATGATGCGCTTTTTCGGGAAAGAAAAAATGTGAATACATCAGCATGAACCTTAGTGTTCCTCCTGCAGAAACACAGACAGAATTTAGACACATTTGTACTACAAGTTTTTCATACTTATGATAATGAATGATCTTAGAAAAACAATAGAGTTTTAGCAGAGTATTCACCTGCTTGGCAAATATTTTTGTCCAAAGTAGTATAATCAGGATTCAGTAAAAAAAAGGACTCAAATAACCTGGAAACCAGGTGATACTGATTTATTTTGTTTAGCATTATGTCAGGTTTTAATATGTGGTATATGTAGGTGAGGATACAGGTGCTAAAATATTTTAACACCAGGAGCCTGTCCCTTTGATCATCCATGGCTTCTGTAGTCAGGGGCCACTAGACATGGGGGAAAGTGGGAACTTAGCATAAGAAAAAAAGAGTAAAATTTCAAAGGAGGGGGCTATTTCATGGAGCTATTCTTTCAGGCTATTTCCCCTTATATAGGTTTGGAGAGACAGGAAATAATGAGAGTAGAGAGCAGGGCAAGATAAGCAGCTAAGAGTCGAGGCTACAAACTGAGCCTACTGCAAACAGGACGATAGCCTCTCTATATGACGTGCGATTTCAACTGCTTCACAGCAGTGGACAAAGAGGTGAAGTCAAGGTATAAAATCACTGAGTCAAATTTAACTACAATACAAGTGAAAGCTGCTCAGTCAAATCATCACTTAGGTTAAGGTAACAAAGCTCTTATTTTGAAAATACTTCTAGAAAATCTCAGTCAAAACATTGTATTTGATTGCGGCCAAGAGTAAACTGTGTACTGTCTGCTACTTTGTTCAATAGGGATTTTTTCTAGTCAACATGATACAGTTTTTAATATCTGTAGCTTTAAATTAATGGCATCAATAATAGGACCAACCAAAAATACATGGGTGACCAGCGCCCAATTTTCCTTCTACTTGACTGATCTGGGCTCTGCTGTGAGTGAGTGTTTTGGTCTCCATTGTAATGCATCTTCCCTTGCTGCATGCCTTGCTCAAACACATGGCTGACAGAAAGGGAGCGTTTGTTTCCTCACCTCGTTTAACTTTCTCCATGTCCTGTAACAACCTGCCAAACTTAAAAGGCTGCAAACAGTAATATCTGATAAACCACACAGTCATCTGTCAAGTTGCTATTTCTTGAGCTCAAATGACATTGGCTTAACTGGTCTTTGTGTCTGTCCTACTAACCTTGCACTGATAAGCCTACCTTGACAATTAGAGAAGATGCACTAAATTAAGCATATAATGAAAACCTGCCACATCAGAGTCTACAAGTGAGTAATGGTGAGTATCGGCAGTCAATGCCCCATTTTTCCTTTGCCAAACAGCTGGTGTCCAGGAATGAGATGTTTAGCTGGAAATACCAACTCAGACTTTTAAACTTTTTTAGAGACCCCTACTGCTGTGTGATTTATAGAGAGGATGGCATGACTCCAGGAACAGGGTCCAGAGCTGCACAGGGTCCCTGCATGCTGAGTGTCTTCCCTCTGCCAGGTTCAGGTAAATATGCCCCCTGTGGATGTGGGCAGCTGGAGCCTTGGGTCAATTACACAGTTTATGAGCACTGAGTCTATTCTGGCCCTGAAGACTTGAGGTTACAAACATGTCTACGGTTTCATTGAGGTCTATTCTGCTTTTATATCCCAGCTTATGTGCCCTCACATTGCCTTGAGAATAGTTCTTATCTCACCATTTTTAATTTTGATCTTGTGTGCCAGAGGAAACAGAACCTGAATACCAAATTCATTAACATGCTTCAGCACTTCATGGATCAGGAACGCACTGACTTAGAAAATTAGAATATTGGTTTCTGTCTTCACGCCAGAGAGAAATGCCGGCCTCTCACCTAATTAATGTGGTTGTATGCTTTCTCACAGCTTCAAATACTTGTTCCTCACACCAGCTGTTTCAACACAGATGTGACTGTGTGCAGTAGTGCGATGTTGTGCTATTTTATCAACAGGACACTGTACAACTGGTAGGGTTTTTTATATTAACTGAAGCAGAGTCTTTAATTTCAAGCTGACAAGCTTTTACTTCCACTGTTGTAATCAGCTCTGTCAGCTTTGTTAACTCATCATTTGGTTTTCTTTGATGAAACATGAGCAAGTGTTTCATGTTTTGGACAGGAGGCCAACCTCTCCAGTCACTGAAGCAACGGTGGCCACTGAGGACCAAAAGAGATTCACACAACAAAGATGGCATCATCCACAACAGGCACAAGTAACTGAGCTGTTTCAAGGGACAAAGTGGTGATTTTTTTTCTTGTAACTTCATCGAGGTCATTGCAGTGTGTTTATCAAAGCGTGGTGGCCGTGCTGAGGCACCGGGGGGAATTTAGGCTAAACAGTAAGTCAAAATAAAACGTTCATACTTACAGACGCCACGTTTGTAGTAGGATCAAGGATAGTTGGTACGGATCCATTTTTTATCATCAGACATCTAGCAAATCCAGCGTTGAACTGTCCCTCGTTGATAAAACAGTCCGGAGTGAAATGGTGCGCACATCCGTACAGATACTTGGAAGTACCGCGGGTACATTCCCATTATAAATAAAATCCACCCATTGAGTCCTCAAATCCTCCGACGAGGGGGTTTTCAAAAGAGTTTTGTGCTCGTTTTTGCAGGCAACAACAGAGCAAACGCTGCCTCTTTTTCAGATCGTACTTTCGCCATGGTTCTAACCGGAGCTACGCGAGCGAGCGGCCGGGAATAATGGCGCTGTTTTGATAATTTTTTGGGCAGGGCAGTGGGCGGCTCCATGGGCAGGACCATCAACCCGCCTGCACTGACATGACGTTTTCAGAACGGCTCTGAGCACATAGTTCGTAAATACGGAGAGAACTAAAACACGAGTGGATGGAATTTTTTCGAACTTGGGGGGAATTATAGCAGTTTTCTATCCCTGATTTGCACCCCCCCCTCCCGTTAACAAAGTCGGTTTTTCATGCCATGGCCCCTTTAAGGTAAGCAGTCAGCTGCCTGTGTCAAAATGAGGACTGTGGAGTGTCTTTAAATTGTCTTTGTCCAACTCTGAGTACTGTGGATAAAGAACAATGTCTTGTGTTACTGAGACAGCAAATAAATGAATGATATGGTTTTGGCATCCCCTCATAGTTGGCATAAACAGAATCTCTGAAAGTAGCTCTAACTGAAATAATTCACACTAAATTCTAATGTAAAGTAATGCAACTTTGAGTAAATAAACGTTCTCTTACCTATCCAGCAGAAAACTGACATTAGCATCAGTTTTCAATTATGCATTTGTTTTCTTTGAAAGGATGTCAACTCTAATTTTCTGCAGTCACCTGTCCCAATCTTGTTTTACTTTTTCATGTTTTTGGTTTTTGGACACAAGCTCAGGGTCAAATTCAATCCACTCTCAGAGTGAATTAAGTAAATCTGATCATGATTATATTTTGCCGCTGAGAACAGACTGGAGATACTCTGTTTTGCCTTGACACATTTACTGCTTGTCAGGTAATAAATGTATGAAAAACTTTTTCTACAAGTGTCTCTACATGATCCAAATTACAAAAATCAGATCCACTACACATGCACATGATTTATCTTCCACATACTTGAGCACTACAAGCGCTCTTAAAACAAGCAGGTCGCAGGGAAACCGTTTTAGTCACACTGTCCAGAGACCATCTGTTTATTTGGATGTAAATGTCTCATGGTTTCTGCACAACAGTTTAACATTAATCAGTCTAGCAGAGCATCTTTCCAATATTCAAAAATGTATGTGCAAACCTATTCAAGGAGCACAGTGCCTGGAGCATGGCTTTGATTGTGTAATATCTATATGTATCCTTGGGTTTCCCCTGAAGTTTTTAACATGATCCGCTAACTCTGTCATGGAAAATTGCATTTAAATTGCTTTTTATCAAAAATAATCACAACAAAGTGGCCTTCACTGAGCCACGCTGTCACTTGTTCCATGTGGTAGAAATATGCCACTAGTTTAAACGGCTGGCACTAATCAGACTAGTGAGCATTCCCAGTTTGATTACCAGCTCAATCAAAAACAATTAAGGCAGGGAAGTGGGAATGCAGTCAATCCTCGCAGTTAGGATTTGTGGCGTTTGTCAGAGACAAACAAAGTTACAACACAGCAGAAGACAGAGGATGTAAAAGAGACACAAATTTGACTAAAAATTCAGTTCATGTTTTTAAAATATTACAGAGAGAAGTAGCTGACTCTCTCTGGAATGAGTGGCCAAATAAATTTCCACCAGACTTTCAAGTGACCTAACTTCTCAACTTTCGAGTAAAGACAAACATGAGTCAAGAGTCTTTGTTTTCTCTTCTGGCCGTACACTGGAAAAGATGCAGTCATCCTCAGAAGGTTCAATAGCATTCCTCTGCTTTTATGATAAGCTGTAGCCTGTTAGTCCTAAGCCTGGGAGTCAAAGCTTCAAGCTGGCCAAAAAGCTGTGTAAGCATTGACGGGAGCTACACTAATTGAAGAAAGAGCATCAGACTTAGAGCTGGACTAGACGCTATCCTTGCTGTTTTTGAGATAGTAGACCACACAACCACATCCACAATACTTTTGTTTATGTTATAGTATCATGTCAGTAGAGGCTCATGGGATTTTTGCTCAGATAACCTTAGTTAGGAGACAAAGAAAAAGACAGAAAAGTTCAATCATTTCTGTTTGTTTGTACAGATGGAAGACAGAAAAGGCAAAGGCAAACAGGAATTTTTGTAAAGAAGATGTTCACACACAACCCACAATGTATCTCAAAAATATAACTGGATAACAAAAACTGTTAGGTAATTTACACTGAAACTCACAAAAAGACAGTCAAAAGACTTAAAACAATCTCAAACAGAGGAAAACTTACATTTATAATACTGTGTGAATGGCAAAGTTTAATAGACACATATTGGTTATGGGTTTCCAAAAAATAGTGCCAGAGACAGTGCCGAAGTGGATTTTTTTGATGGCAAAGTGAATCACTCCTAAGTATTAAAATGTTGCATAAATTTACACTGGTATTATTCAGGTTGGGCTTTTTTTAAATCTTCTGTGAGAACATTTTTGACATTACAGTATATAACAGACTTAATTTCATATTGATGTCTTATGATAATAAACAAGGTAGACAAGACCATCAGCAACAAGACTGACAATTTTTATCTAAGATATTCAAAATTCAAAACAGGCACAAAGGGGGTTGGTGTCAGCGGAGCAGCTGAAGATAAAGCACATCTTTACACCTTATACATTAAAAAAATTAGACATTTTTCCATCAAAAGTTAGCAGGATGACATTTTTGTCTCTAGTCACTTCTCAATCATTTAGATCTAAGATAAGCAAAGACTTGTTTGTCTTCAGGGGATGCCAAAATTGACACAATCTTAAAGTCCCACACAGGAGTTTTAATTTGCTATATACAAGTTTGAGTTGTTTCTTTCTGTGGCTGTAAAGAGCCTAGCTTCAAGTTTAATTATGTTAACCCAGTGTGCTTATGTTTTATTTTTTAAAATAAGAAGAACAGAAGTGTTTGATATCTTAAATAATATCTGAATATTTTAATTGATAGATATTTACCAACATCTGCACCTATTTTATGGGATAGTAGCTGCATAAATTATCAAGAAAGTGTCAGTGTGGTACCCTTTAACTTGTCCCAGAATGGAAACCAAATGAACATAAAACGCATTTCATATTTATTGGAGCCAATAGAGCTAACCAATGAAATATCTACTTGTACAGTATTTGCCAAACTGATTCATTCTTTAGTTCTTTATATGATGCTCTGGGAATTATAAGTTTAGAATGGCTTTTTCCCTCACTTAATGACTTTTATGAAAGTAAAATATATGGTCTCTGGCTTTTGTAAAGAGAATAGTTGTGAGGTAGAGTTAGGCTGCTAGAGTTACTTCTATGTCTCTGATATCAAATGAGAAGACCATTTGCATCAGTCTGTGATGAAGCATATGGAGCTGCTGTATGTACAGTAAATTTGACAAGAAGTTGTTTGCTATCTTTCAGTATTTTTTCTTTATTTTTGGGTCTTTTTGATTAAAAAAGTCTGCCTAACTGCTACCACATGTTCAGACTTTGTACTGCTGTCATTGCTTCGATGTGAGCGTGTTGTTTTCCAGACTCTGTGTGTGGTGAATGTGTGTGAGACAGAGGAAAAGATGCAGATACACAGTGACAAAGACGGAGCATAAAGAAAGAATGTAAATGTGTGTCTGGTTTCTTCATTTTCCTCCTAATGTGAGCAACACAAAACCCTACATCTTAGATACAGTATAGCTCCCTCCTGAGAACATCTTTACTGCCATATCTGTTACCCTTTATAAAAACCTATTTATACCTCCACAAAAGGGATACCAGTGTTTCTAGAAAAGCAGGAAGAGAGGTTATGAAATACTCTTGAAATTCTCAGCATTTACTTCAGAGGCATCTGTCCTTGACACTGACATGAATCACAGTCTGTTGAAGGGTGAGAGAGGATTTTTTTTCCATCAGAGGGCTCCATAAATCTAACCCACTGACCAGCAGGTGAAAAAATAGAGCACACGAGAGTCTGCAGGAAAGAAAACGTAAGCAGACAAGAGACCTGGATGAATTAAAAACGGCTGGAAAATGACTAGAAGAGCAAATGAGACTGAAGCAACATGTTGAGTGACTAAAGTCTGGAACTGTCTACTCATGTTTGAGCTGATCAGCACCCACACAAAGAGGCTCACACTTATGAGGCCTCTGCATTCAATTAGATACACGAGAATGATTTGTAAGGACATCAGTTCTCAGGCCTATTTCTGTGAGTCTTTAAACAAGGCCTTTGTTGCCTCTGTCCATTTCCTTATTGACCGTCTTCCCTCTTCTTCTGCTGCTTCTACCTCACTTTGCTTCAGATGGAGGAAGTGGTTTGTGTGCAGACTGCGGCTGGCTGGAACACTGTGCTGTGCACCGGGGAAGCCGAAATTCGAACCCCTGTGCATTAAATGTTCCACTAGAGCAACAATTTCTGTGAGGGGAAATGTGTGGTGGGCCAGTGTTAGAGGATGGAAGGGGAGGGGGGCTCAGTCAGGGGTGGAAGGAGAGAAAGCTGGAGGTTGTTATGGGGGGACTTGCTCATGACTCTAAATAAGATTCTGGTGGTTGAGTTGGTTTTACTGCATGCCATATACTGTAGAGGTGGATTAAAACCTAACCACATACCTTTGTTGCACATCATTGTCCTTGTCCTCCTCCTCTATTCTTGTCTCTCTCACTCCCTCTGCTGTCAGCGGCCCACCAGAGCAAAACCATGGAGGAGGAATGCAGAAATGAGTCTCAGAGCCAAAAAAGCCACGTATGTGCAATATGCCTGTAACCCGGACACAATAACATGACACCATCTCTGCATTACTTCAATAAAGAATGAGTTGTTGTATTACATTTTCATTAATTGCATGCATGACTAAATGTTAAACCAGCTGTTAAATAACTGGTTTGATGCTCAGGGCCTTAGTCTGTGGAGACAGTTCTAACAACAGCTGGAATAGAATTTATCAAGGATGTATTCAAAAACCTCCAGGTAAAAATAAATATCCTTAATGATAACTATTCCTGTAGATTATCTTTGTCAAATACAGCAAAGCTACTGGGGTCAACCAGTGGCAACTGGATGGATGTTTCAACACAGTATGTAAGTCTCAAGTCAAGCATAAAATGTTTATTTTGCATCTTTTGGAAAGCTTGTGAAGCAGTCTTTAGTCAGCAAAATTAGCCATCCTGTTGACTGTTTTCATAATGTGGTTTTCCAATTGTGAGTCTGCCTAGGAGCAAAAGCACAGGGTTCCCTTGGCAAGCTTTCTGACTGATGTAGAGGTTTGCACAGTATGTCAGATTTCTATGTAAGTCAGCGTGAGTCAGTGAAGAAGTAATTAAATAAATTTGTTTTGTCTTTCAAAATGTATGATAGAAAAACGCTGCCTTGCACTTGATTTTTCTGGGAGCTGATATGGTTCAATACAGTTAAACAAACAACAAAGTGAATGTTTTATAAGAACAAAACAAAATGAAAAGTATGCTGCAAGAGATTCACGTAGCTTGAAATTAACTGGCACATTTAGCTGTAATTGTTATCTGGAGAGCTTTAATTATACTGTTTATCAGCTAAGGAGAAGTCTCTTGTGGGTTTATCATAACCTGTATATACTGGGTCAAAATGCAAAGACTTACCTCTGCTCCTGCTGCAACAAACCTCAGATATAAGTGCAAAACAACCCATGACAGCAGCTACAACACTGTATCCTTGTGTAGTGCTTATTTTAAATCATATTTTGAATCCAATAAACCAGAAACAAGCCTGGATTATTTTGATATTTTTCACATGTAGACTATGGCAACCACCAACTTCAATATTTATTTATCTATTAACATGGCCATGAAAAAAGGCCAAAAAATAACATTGAAGATAGCTTTTATTGGGTCTTTAGTGACCTGGTTTCGAAGTTGGTTAATATAGATCATCCCTGAGGGACATATTTGAATCCCACTATGAAAAAGTTCTGATGAGTTTTAACCATGTTTTAAGCATATTTCTTGAGAAGTTACATGCACTGGGTGATTTAACTAATGTGGAAATAGAGTCACTAAAACAGGAGACTTAAAAGAACTGTTTACATGTCTTGATGGTTCGTGGTTTAGGTAAAACAATGTGGTTTTTCCTAAGCCCAGCCTAAACGTCCTGATTATCAGTTCTGGGTCCCTGGCAATGACTGTTGGGTACAAACTGCCAAACTTTGTTCTGCAGGTAGGGCTGGGCTTTTCATTGACCATGTGGGTCGGATAGTTGTGTGGGCACAGTGTGTCATCTCAGCCACTATGTTTTCTGCAGTTGTGTCCATACAGCACCTTGATAGCTCAGTTGGTAGAGCTAAGGGCTGTGTTACAAAGTTCGCTGGTTCAAGTCCTGCTCGAAACATGTGCATTTTATTGTTGCAAGCAATGTTCTAGGTCTTCACGCATTGAAAAAAACCCAAGCCTTGTCTTCATTTGTCAACTCCTCCAAAATGTAAAAACACAAACAATATAACTCCTGCTTCATTTTCCAACCATCATTTTTTTAGTCACCCAGCCTAAAAATCCAGACTATCAGTTCTGGGTCCTTGGCAATGACTCCTGGGTACAAACTGTGGTGCTCTGTCCTGAAGGTTAGACTGGGCTTTTCATCGGCCATGTTAATCAAAAGCCCAGCCTAAAGGTCCTGAATATCAGTTCTGGGTCCCTGGCAATGACTGTTGGGTACAAACTGCCAAACTTTGTTCTGCAGGAAGGGCTGGGCTTTTCTTTGACCATGTGGGTCGAATAGTTGTGTGGGCAAAGTGTGTCATCTCAGCCACTATGTTTTCTGCAGTTGTGCCCATACAGCACCCTGATAGCTCAGATGGTAGAGCGAAGAACTGTAGTAAGTGCCTCTTATGAAGTACTCTCATGCAAAGTTCGTTGGTTCAAGTCCTGCTCAAAACACGTGCATTTCATTGTTGCAAGCAATGTTCTTGGTCTTAACACATTGAAATAATGCCAAGCTTTGTCTTCATCTGTCAACTCCTCCAAAATGTAAAAACATAAAATCTAACTCCTCTTAATTTTCCAACCATCATTTTTTTATTCACCCAGCCTAAAAATCCAGATCATCAGTTCTGGGTCGTTGGAAATGACTCCTGGGTACAAACTGTGAAGCTCTGTCCTGAGGGTAGGACTGGGCTTTAGATTGGCCATGTTAATCAAAAGCCCAGCCTAAAAGTCCTGATTATCAGTTCTGGGTCCTTGGCAATGAATGTTGGGTACAAAATGCAAAGCTTTGTTCTGCAGGTAGGGCTGGGCTTTTCATTGACAATGTGGGTTGAATAGTTGTGTTGGCAAAGTGTGTTGTCGTAGCCACTATGTTCTCTGCACTTGTGACTATAAGCACCTTCATAGCTCAGTTGGTAGAGCAGAGCACCGTAAGAAGATCCTCATCTGAAAGGCTGTCATCCTAAGGTCGCTGGTTCAACTCCAGCCCAAAGCACCAGATTTCATTGGTGTATGCACTTTTCAAGCTTTTTCATTGACCATGTAGCTTTAATTGTTGTGTTGGCAAAGTGTATCATCTCAGCCACTATGTTTTCTGCGGTTGAGTCTTTAAGCACCTTCATAGCTCAGTTGGTAGAGCAGGGCACTGTTAGAAGTTCCTAGTATGAAACTCTGTGATGCGAACATCGCTGGTTCAACTCCCGCTCAAAGCACCAGTTTTCATTGGTGTATGCGCTTTTCAAGCTTTTTCATTGACCATGTAGCTTTAATTGTTGTGTTGGCAAAGTGTGTCGTCTAAGCAACTATGTTTTCTGCAGTCGAGTCTACAATCACCTTCATAGCTAAGTTGGTAGAGCAAGGCACTGTTAAAAGTTCCTCATATAATACGCTGTGATGCGAACATCGCTGGTTCAACTCCCGCTCAAAGCACCAGATTTCATTGGTGTATGCACTTTTCAAGCTTTTTCATTGACCATGTAGCTTTAATTGTTTTGTTGGCAAAGTGTTTCGTCTCAGCCACTTTGTTTTCTGCGGTTGAGTCTATAAGCACCTTCATAGCTCAATTGGTACAGCAGAGGACTGTCAGAAGTTCCTAGTATGAAACTCTGTGATGCGAACATCCCTGGTTCAACTCCCGCTCAAAGCACCATTTGTCATTGGTGTATGCACTTTTCAAGCTTTTTCATTGACCATGTAGCTTTAATTGTTGTGTTGGCAAAGTGTGTCGTCTCAGCCACTATGTTTTCTGCGGTTGATTCTACAAGCACCTTCATAGCTCAGTTGGTAGAGCAGAGCACTGTAAGAAGTTCCTCATATGAAGCGTTGTTATGCGAACATCGCTGGTTCAACTCCCGCTCAAAGCACCAGTTTCATTGGTGTACGCACTTTTCAAGCTTTTTCATTGACCATGTGGCTTTAATTGTTGTGTTGGCAAAGTGTATCGTCTCAGCCACTATGTTTTCTGCGGTGGAGTCTATAAGCACCTTCATAGCTCAGTTGGTAGAGCAGAGGCCTGTAAGAAGTTCCTCATATGAAGCGTTGTTATGCGAACATCGCTGGTTCAACTCCCGCTCAAAGCACCAGTTCCATTTATGTATGCACTTTTCAAGCTTTTTCATTGACCATGTAGCTTTAATTTTTGTGTTGGCAAAGTGTGTCGTCTCAGCCACTATGTTTTCTGCGGTTGTGTCAATAAGCACCTTCACAGTTCATTTGGTAGAGCAGAGGACTGTCAGAAGTTCCTAGTATGAAACTCTGTGATGCGAACATCCCTGGTTCAACTCCTGCTCAAAGCACCATTTGTCATTGGTGTACGCACTTTTCAAGCTTTTTCATTGACCATGTGGCTTTAATTGTTGTGTTGGCAAAGTGTATCGTCTCAGCCACTATGTTTTCTGCGGTTGAGTCTATAAGCACCTTCATAGCTCAGTTGGTAGAGCAGAGGACTGTCAGAACTTCCTAGTATGAAACTCTGTGATGCGACCATCGCTGATTCAACTCCCGCTCAAAGCACAATTTTTCATTGGTGTATGCACTTTTCAAGCTTTTTCATTGACCATGTAGCTTTAATTGTTGTGTTGGCAAAGTGTATCGTCTCAGCCACTATGTTTTCTGCGGTTGAGTCTATAAGCACCTTCATAGCTCAGTTGGTAGAGCACAGGACTGTCAGAACTTCCTAGTATGAAACTCTGTGATGCGAACATCCCTGGTTCAACTCCCGCTCAAAGCACCATTTGTCATTGGTGTGTGCACTTTTCAAGCTTTTTCATTGACCATGTAGCTTTAATTGTTGTGTTGGCAAAGTGTGTCGTCTCAGCCACTATGTTTTCTGCGGTTGATTCTACAAGCACCTTCATAGCTCAGTTGGTAGAGCAGAGGACTGTAAGAAGTTCCTCATATGAAGCGTTGTTATGCGAACATCGCTGGTTCAACTCCCGCTCAAAGCACCAGTTTCATTGGTGTACGCACTTTTCAAGCTTTTTCATTGACCATGTGGCTTTAATTGTTGTGTTGGCAAAGTGTATCGTCTCAGTCACTATGTTTTCTGCGGTGGAGTCTATAAGCACCTTCATAGCTCAGTTGGTAGAGCAGAGGACTGTAAGAAGTTCCTCATATGAAGCGTTGTTATGCGAACATCGCTGGTTCAACTCCCGCTCAAAGCACAAGTTCCATTTATGTATGCACTTTTCAAGCTTTTTCATTGACCATGTAGCTTTAATTTTTGTGTTGGCAAAGTGTGTCGTCTCAGCCACTATGTTTTCTGCGGTTGTGTCAATAAGCACCTTCACAGTTCATTTGGTAGAGCAGAGGACTGTCAGAACTTCCTAGTATGAAACTCTGTGATGCGACCATCGCTGGTTCAACTCCCGCTCAAAGCACCATTTTTCATTGGTGTATGCACTTTTCAAGCTTTTCCATTGACCATGTAGCTTTTATTGTTGTGTTGGCAAAGTGTGTCGTCTCAGCCACTATGTTTTCTGCGGTTGATTCTACAAGCACCTTCATAGCTCAGTTGGTAGAGCAGAGGACTGTCAGAAGTTCCTAGTATGAAACTCTGTGATGCGAACATCCCTGGTTCAACTCCTGCTCAAAGCACCATTTGTCATTGGTGTACGCACTTTTCAAGCTTTTTCATTGACCATGTGGCTTTAATTGTTGTGTTGGCAAAGTGTATCGTCTCAGCCACTATGTTTTCTGCGGTTGAGTCTATAAGCACCTTCATAGCTCAGTTGGTAGAGCAGAGGACTGTCAGAACTTCCTAGTATGAAACTCTGTGATGCGACCATCGCTGCTTCAACTCCCGCTCAACGCACCATTTTTCATTGGTGTATGCACTTTTCAAGCTTTTTCATTGACCATGTAGCTTTAATTGTTGTGTTGGCAAAGTGTATCGTCTTAGCCACTATGTTTTCTGCGGTTGAGTCTATAAGCACCTTCATAGCTCAGTTGGTAGAGCAGAGGACTGTCAGAACTTCCTAGTATGAAACTCTGTGATGCGACCATCGCTGGTTCAACTCCTGCTCAAAGCACCATTTGTCATTGGTGTGTGCACTTTTCAAGCTTTTTCATTGACAATGTGGCTTTAATTGTTGTGTTGGCAAAGTGTATCGTCTCAGCCACTATGTTTTCTGCGGTTGAGTCTATAAGCACCTTCATACCTCAGTTGGTAGAGCAGAGGACTGTAAGAAGTTCCTCATATGAAGCGTTGTTATGCGAACATCGCTGGTTCTACTCCCGCTCAAAGCACCAGTTTCATTTATGTATGCACTTTTCAAGCTTTTTCATTGACCATGTAGCTTTAATTGTTGTGTTGGCAAAGTGTGTCGCCGAAGCCACTATGTTTTCTGCGGTTGAGTCTATAAGCACCTTCATAGCTCAGTTGGTAGAGCAGAGGACTGTAAGAAGTTCCTGAAATGCTGTGGTCCAAAGGGCGCTGGATCAACTCCAGCTCCAAACACCACATTTCATTGCTGTATGCACTGTTCAACCTTTTTCATTGACCATGTGGGTCCAATTGTATTGTTGGCAAAGTGTGTCGTCTCAGCCACTATGTTTTCTGCGGTTGTGTCAATAAGCACCTTCACAGTTCATTTGGTAGAGCAGAGGACTGTTAGAAGTTCCTAGTATGAAGCGTTGTTATGCGAAAATCGCTGGTTCAACTCCCCCTCAAAGCATCATTTGTGTATCCACTTTTCAAGCTTTTTCATTGACCATGTAGCTTTAATTGTTGTGTTGGCAAAGTGTGTCGTTTCAGCCACTATGTTTTCTGCGGTTGTGTCAATAAGCACCTTCACAGTTCATTTGGTAGAGCAGAGGACTGTTAGAAGTTCCTAGTATGAAGCGTTGTTATGCGAAAAACGCTGGTTCAACTCCCCCTCAAAGCATCATTTGTGTATGCACTTTTCAAGCTTTTTCATTGACCATGTAGCTTTAATTGTTGTGTTGGCAAAGTGTGTCATCTTAGCCACTATGTTTTCTGCGGTTGAGTCTACAAGCACCTTCATAGCTCAGTTGGTAGAGCAGAGGACTGTAAGAAGTTCCTCATATGAAGCGTTGTTATGCGCACATTGCTGGTTCAACTCCCGCTCAAAGCACCAGTTTCATTGGTGTATGCACTTTTCAAGCTTTTTCATTGACCATGTGGCTTTAATTGTTGTGTTGGTAAAGTGTATCGTCTCAGCCACTATGTTTTCTGCGGTTGAGTCTATAAGCACCTTCATAGCTCAGTTGGTAGAGCAGAGGACTGTAAGAAGTTCCTCATATGAAGCGTTGTTATGCAAACATCGCTGGTTCAACTCCCGCTCAAAGCACCAGTTTCATTTCTGTATGCACTTTTCAAGCTTTTTCATTGACCATGTAGCTTTAATTGTTGTGTTGGCAAAGTATGTCGTCTCAGCCACTATGTTTTCTGCGGTTGTGTCAATAAGCACCTTCACAGCTCAGTTGGTAGAGCAGAGCACTGTAAGAAGTTCCTCGTATAAAACTCTGTGATGCGAACATCGCTGGTTCAACTCCCCCTCAAAGCATCATTGGTGTATGCACTTTTCAAGCTTTTTCATCGACCATGTAGCTTTAATTGTTGTGTTGGCAAAGTGTATCGTCTCAGCCACTATGTTTTCTGCGGTTGAGTCTACAAAAACCTTCATAGCTCACTTGGTAGAGCAGAGGACTGTAAGAAGTTCCTAGTAGGAAACTCTGTGATGTGAACATTGCCTATTCAACTCCCGCTTAAAGCACGATTTTTCATTGGTGTATGCACTTTACAAGCTTTTTCATTGACAATTTAGCTTTTATTGTTGTGTTGGCAAAGTGTGTCGTCTCAGCCACTATGTTTTCTGCGGTTGAGTCTATAAGCACCTTCATAGCTCAGTTGGTAGAGCAGAGGACTGTCAGAACTTCCTAGTATGAAACTCTGTCATGCGAACATAGCTGGATCAACTCCCGCTCAAAGCACAATTTTTCATTGGTGTATGCACTTTTCAAGCTTTTTCATTGACCATGTAGCTTTAATTGTTGTATTGGCAAAGTGTATCGTCTCAGCCACTATGTTTTCTGCGGTTGAGTCTATAAGCACCTTCATAGCTCAGTTGGTAGAGCAGAGGACTGTAAGAAGTTTCTCATATAAAACTCTGTGATGCAAACATCGCTGGTTCAACTCCCGCTCAAAGCATCATTTGTGTATGCACTTTTCAAGCTTTTTCATTGACCATGTAGCTTTAATTGTTTTGTTGGCAAAGTGTATCGTCTCAGCCACTATGTTTTCTGCGGTTGACTCTGTAAGCACCTTCATAGCTCAATTGGTACAGCAGAGGACTGTCAGAAGTTCTGTGTATGAAACTCTGTGATGCGAACATCCCTGGTTCAACTCCTGCCCAAAGCACCATTTGTCATTGGTGTATGCACTTTTCAAGCTTTTTCATTGACCATGTAGCTTTAATTGTTGTGTTGGCAAAGTGTGTCGCCGAAGCCACTATGTTTTCTGCGGTTGAGTCTATAAGCACCTTCATAGCTCAGTTGGTAGAGCAGAGGACTGTAAGAAGTTCCTGAAATGCTGTGGTCCAAAGGTCGCTGGTTCAACTCCAGCTCCAAACACCACATTTCATTGCTGTATGCACTGTTCAACCTTTTTCATTGACAAGGTAGCTTGATTGTTATGTTGGCAAAGTGTGTCGCCGAAGCCACTATGTTTTCTGCGTTTGTGTCTATAAGCACCTTCATAGCTCAGTTGGTAGAGCAGAGGACTGTAAGAAGTTCCTGAAACGCTTTGGTCCAAAGGGCGCTGGTTCAACTCCAGCTCCTAACACTAGATCTCATTGCTGTATGCACTCTTCAACCTTTTTCATTGACCATGTGGGTCCAATTGTATTGTTGGCAAAGTGTGTCGCCGAAGCCACTATGTTTTCTGCGTTTGTGTCTATAAGCACCTTCATAGCTCAGTTGGTACAGCAGAGGACTGTAAGAAGTTCCTGAAACGCTGTGGTCCAAAGGTCGCTGGTTCAACTCCAGCTCCAAACACCACATTTCATTGCTGTATGCACTGTTCAACCTTTTTCATTGACCATGTGGGTCCAATTGTAGTGTTGGCAAAGTGTGTCGCCGAAGCCACTATGTTTTCTGCGTTTGTATATATAAGCACCTTCATAGCTCAGTTGGTAGAGCAGATGACTGTAAGAAGTTCCTGAAACGCTGTGGTCAAAAGGTCGCTGGTTCAACTCCACTTCCAAACACCAGATTTCATTGCTTTATGCACTGTTCAACCTTTTTCATTGACAAGGTAGCTTGATTGTTATGTTGGCAAAGTGTGTCGCCGAAGCCACTATGTTTTCTGCGTTTGTGTCTATAAGCACCTTCATAGCTCAGTTGGTAGAGCAGAGGACTTTAAGAAGTTCCTGAAACGCTGTGGTCCAAAGGTCGCTGGTTCAACTCCAGCTCCAAACACCACATTTCATTGCTGTATGCACTGTTCAACCTTTTTCATTGACCATGTGGGTCCAATTGTATTGTTGGCAAAGTGTGTCGCCGAAGCCACTATGTTTTCTGCGTTTGTATATATAAGCACCTTCATAGCTCAGTTGGTAGAGCAGAGGACTGTAAGAAGTTCCTGAAACGCTGTGGTCCAAAGGTCGCTGGTTCAACTCCAGCTCCAAACACCACATTTCATTGCTGTATGCACTCTTCAACCTTTTTCATTGACCATGTGGGTCCAATTGTATTGTTGGCAAAGTGTGTCACCGAAGCCACTATGTTTTCTGCGTTTGTCTCTATAAGCACCTTCATAGCTCAGTTGGTAGAGCAGAGGACTGTAAGAAGTTCCTGAAACGCTGTGGTCCCAAGGGCGCTGGTTCAACTCCAGCTCCAAACACCACATTTCATTGCTGTAAGCACTCTTCAACCTTTTTCATTGACCATGTGGGTCAAATTGTATTGTTGGCAAAGTGTGTCGCCGAAGCCACTAGGTTTTCTGCGTTTGTGTCTATGAGCACCTTCATAGCTCAGTTGGTAGAGCAGAGGACTGTAAGAATTTCCTGAAATGCTGTGGTCCAAAGGTCGCTGGTTCAACTCCAGCTCCAAACACTAGATCTTATTGCTGTATGCACTCTTCAACCTTTTTCATTGACCATGTGGGTCCAATTGTATTGTTGGCAAAGTGTGTCGCCGAAGCCACTATGTTTTCTGCGTTTGTATATATAAGCACCTTCATAGCTCAGTTGGTAGAGCAGAGGACTGTAAGAAGTTCCTGAAATGCTGTGGTCCGAAGTTCCTGAAACGCTGTAGTCCAAAGGTCACTGGTTCAACTCCAGCTCCAAACACCAGATTTCATTGCTGTATGCACTCTTCAACCTTTTTCATTGACCATGTAGCTTTTATTGTTGTGTTGGCAAAGTGTATCGTCTCAGCCACTATGTTTTCTGCGGTTGAGTCTATAAGCACCTTCATAGCTCAGTTCGTAGAGCAGAGGACTGTAAGAAGTTCCTAGTATGAAACTCTGTGATGCGAACATCGCTGCTTCAACTCCCGCTCAAAGCACCAGTTTTCATTGCTGTATGCACTCTTAAACCTTTTTCATTGACCATGTGGGTCCAATTGTATTGTTGGCAAAGTGTGTCGCCGAAGCCACTATGTTTTCTGCGTTTGTATATATAAGCACCTTCATAGCTCAGTTGGTAGAGCAGAGGACTGTAAGAAGTTCCTGAAACGCTGTGGTCCAAAGGTCGCTGGTTCAACTCCAGCTCTTAACACTAGATCTCATTGCTGTATGCACTCTTCAACCTTTTTCATTGACCATGTGGGTCCAATTGTATTGTTGGCAAAGTGTGTCGCCGAATCCACTATGTTTTCTGCGTTTGTGTCTATAAGCACCTTCATAGCTCAGTTGGTAGAGCAGAGGACTGTAAGAAGTTCCTGAAACGCTGTGGTCCAAAGGTCGCTCGTTCAACTCCAGCTCCAAACACTAGATCTTATTGCTGTATGCACTCTTCAACCTTTTTCATTGACCATGTATGTCCAATTGTATTGTTGGCAAAGTGTGTCGCCGAAGCCACTATGTTTTCTGCGTTTGTATATATAAGCACCTTCATAGCTCAGTTGGTAGAGCAGAGGACTTAAAGAAGTTCCTGAAACCCTGTGGTCCAAAGGTCGCTGGTTCAACTCCAGCTCCAAACACCACATTTCATTGCTGTATGCACTGTTCAACCTTTTTCATTGACCATGTGGGTCCAATTGTATTGTTGGCAAAGTGTGTCGCCGAAGCCACTATGTTTTCTGCGTTTGTATATATATGCACCTTCATAGCTCAGTTGGTACAGCAGAGGACTGTAAGAAGTTCCTGAAACGCTGTGGTCCAAAGGGCGCTGGTTCAACTCCAGCTCTTAACACTAGATCTCATTGCTGTATGCACTCTTCAACCTTTTTCATTGACCATGTGGGTCCAATTGTATTGTTGGCAAAGTGTGTCGCCGAATCCACTATGTTTTCTGTGTTTGTGTCTGTAAGCACCTTCATAGCTCAGTTGCTAGACCAGAGGACTGTAAGAAGTTCCTGAAACGCTGTGGTCCAAAGGTCGCTGGTTCAACTCCAGCTCCAAACACTAGATCTTATTGCTGTATGCACTCTTCAACCTTTTTCATTGACCATGTTGTCCAATTGTATTGTTGGCAAAGTGTGTCGCCGAAGCCACTATGTTTTCTGCGTTTGTATATATAAGCACCTTCATAGCTCAGTTGGTAGAGCAGAGGACTTTAAGAAGTTCCTGAAATGCTGTGGTCCGAAGTTCCTGAAACGCTGTAGTCCAAAGGTCACTGGTTCAACTCCAGCTCCAAACACCAGATTTCATTGCTGTATGCACTCTTCAACCTTTTTCATTGACCATGTGGCTTTAATTGTTGTGTTGGCAAAGTGTATCGTCTCAGCCACTATGTTTTCTGCGGTTGAGTCTATAAGCACCTTCATAGCTCAGTTGGTAGAGCAGAGGACTGTAAGAAGTTCCTAATATGAAACTCTGTGATGCGAACATCGCTGCTTCAACTCCCGCTCAAAGCACCAGTTTTCATTGGTGTATGCACTTTTCAAGCTTTTTCATTGACCATGTAGCTTTAATTGTTTTGTTGGCAAAGTGTATCGTCTCAGCCACTATGTTTTCTGCGGTTCAGTCTACAAGCACTTTCATAGCTCAGTTGGTAGAGCAGAACACTGTAAGAAGTTCTTAGTATGAAACTCTGTGATGCGAACATCGCTGGTTCAGCTCCCGCTCAAAGCACACGTTTTCATTGGTGTATGCACTTTTCAAGCTTTTGCATTGATCATGTAGCTTTAATTGTTGTGTTGGCAAAGTGTATCGTCTCAGCCACTATGTTGTCTGCGGTTGAGTCTACAAGCACCTTCACAGCTCAGTTGGTAGAGCAGAAGACTGTAAGAAGTTCCTAGTATGAAATTCTGTGATGCGAACATAGCTGGTTCAACTCCCGCTCAAAGCACCAGTTTTCATTGCTGTATGCACTCTTAAACCTTTTTCATTGACCAAGTGGGTCCAATTGTATTGTTGGCAAAGTGTGTCGCCGAAGCCACTATGTTTTCTGCGTTTGTATATATAAGCACCTTCATAGCTCAGTTGGTAGAGCAGAGGACTGTAAGAAGTTCCTGAAACGCTGTGGTCCAAAGGTCGCTGGTTCAACTCCAGCTCCAAACACCACATTTCATTGCTGTATGCACTGTTCAACCTTTTTCATTGACCATGTGGGTCCAACTGTATTGTTGGCAAAGTGTGTCGCCGAAGCCACTATGTTTTCTGCGTTTGTATATATAAGCACCTTCATAGCTCAGTTGGTAGAGCAGAGGACTGTACGAAGTTCCTGAAACGCTGTGGTCCAAAGGTCGCTGGTTCAACTCCAGCTCCAAACACCACATTTCATTGCTGTATGCACTGTTCAACCTTTTTCATTGACAAGGTAGCTTGATTGTTATGTTGGCAAAGTGTGTCGCCGAAGCCACTATGTTTAATGCGTTTGTGTCTATAAGCACCTTCATACCTCAGTTGGTAGAGCAGAGGACTGTAAGAAGTTCCTGAAACGCTGTGGTCCAAAGGTCGCTGGTTCAACTCCAGCTCCAAACACCACATTTCATTGCTGTATGCACTGTTCAACCTTTTTCATTGACCATGTGGGTCCAATTGTATTGTTGGCAAAGTGTGTCGCCGAAGCCACTATGTTTTCTGCGTTTGTGTCTATAAGCACCTTCATAGCTCAGTTGGTAGAGCAGAGGACTGTAAGAAGTTCCTGAAACGCTGTGCTCCAAAGGTCGCTGGTTCAACTCCAGCTCCAAACACCACATTTCATTGCTGTATGCACTGTTCAACCTTTTTCATTGACCATGTGGGTCCAATTGTATTGTTGGCAAAGTGTGTCGCCGAAGCCACTATGTTTTCTGCGTTTGTATATATAAGCACCTTCATAGCTCAGTTGGTAGAGCAGAGGACTGTAAGAAGTTCCTGAAACGCTGTGGTCCAAAGGTTGCTGGTTCAACTCCAGCTCCAAACACCACATTTCATTGCTGTATGCACTGTTCAACCTTTTTCATTGACAAGGTAGCTTGATTGTTATGTTGGCAAAGTGTGTCGCCGAAGCCACTATGTTTAATGCGTTTGTGTCTATAAGCACCTTCATACCTCAGTTGGTAGAGCAGAGGACTGTAAGAAGTTCCTGAAACGCTGTGGTCCAAAGGTCGCTGGTTCAACTCCAGCTCCAAACACCACATTTCATTGCTGTATGCACTGTTCAACCTTTTTCATTGACCATGTGGGTCCAATTGTATTGTTGGCAAAGTGTGTCGCCGAAGCCACTATGTTTTCTGCGTTTGTGTCTATAAGCACCTTCATAGCTCAGTTGGTAGAGCAGAGGACTGTAAGAAGTTCCTGAAACGCTGTGGTCCAAAGGTTGCTGGTTCAACTCCAGCTCCAAACACCACATTTCATTGCTGTATGCACTGTTCAACCTTTTTCATTGACCATGTGGGTCCAATTGTATTGTTGGCAAAGTGTGTCGCCGAAGCCACTATGTTTTCTGCGTTTGTATATATAAGCACCTTCATAGCTCAGTTGGTAGAGCAGAGGAATGTGAGAAGTTCCTGAAACGCTGTGGTCCAAAGGTCGCTGCTTCAACTCCAGCTCCAAACGCCACATTTCATTGCTGTATGCACTGTTCAACCTTTTTCATTGACCATGTGGGTCCAATTGTATTGTTGGCAAAGTGTGTCGCCGAATCCACTATGTTTTCTGCGTTTGTGTCTATAAGCACCTTCATAGCTCAGTTGGTAGAGCAGAGGACTGTAAGAAGTTCCTGAAACGCTGTGGTCCAAATGTTGCTGGTTCAACTCCAGCTCCAAACACTAGATCTTATTGCTGTATGCACTCTTCAACCTTTTTCATTGACCATGTGGGTCCAATTGTATTGTTGGCAAAGTGTGTCGCCGAAGCCACTATGTTTTCTGCGTTTGTATATATAAGCACCTTCATAGCTCAGTTGGTAGAGCAGAGGACTGTAAGAAGTTCCTGAAACGCTGTGGTCCAAAGGTTGCTGGTTCAACTCCAGCTCCAAACACCACATTTCATTGCTGTATGCACTGTTCAACCTTTTTCATTGACAAGGTAGCTTGATTGTTATGTTGGCAAAGTGTGTCGCCGAAGCCACTATGTTTAATGCGTTTGTGTCTATAAGCACCTTCATACCTCAGTTGGTAGAGCAGAGGACTGTAAGAAGTTCCTGAAACGCTGTGGTCCAAAGGTCGCTGGTTCAACTCCAGCTCCAAACACCACATTTCATTGCTGTATGCACTGTTCAACCTTTTTCATTGACCATGTGGGTCCAATTGTATTGTTGGCAAAGTGTGTCGCCGAAGCCACTATGTTTTCTGCGTTTGTGTCTATAAGCACCTTCATAGCTCAGTTGGTAGAGCAGAGGACTGTAAGAAGTTCCTGAAACGCTGTGGTCCAAAGGTCGCTGGTTCAACTCCAGCTCCAAACACCACATTTCATTGCTGTATGCACTGTTCAACCTTTTTCATTGACCATGTGGGTCCAATTGTATTGTTGGCAAAGTGTGTCGCCGAAGCCACTATGTTTTCTGCGTTTGTATATATAAGCACCTTCATAGCTCAGTTGGTAGAGCAGAGGAATGTGAGAAGTTCCTGAAACGCTGTGGTCCAAAGGTCGCTGCTTCAACTCCAGCTCCAAACGCCACATTTCATTGCTGTATGCACTGTTCAACCTTTTTCATTGACCATGTGGGTCCAATTGTATTGTTGGCAAAGTGTGTCGCCGAATCCACTATGTTTTCTGCGTTTGTGTCTATAAGCACCTTCATAGCTCAGTTGGTAGAGCAGAGGACTGTAAGAAGTTCCTGAAACGCTGTGGTCCAAATGTTGCTGGTTCAACTCCAGCTCCAAACACTAGATCTTATTGCTGTATGCACTCTTCAACCTTTTTCATTGACCATGTGGGTCCAATTGTATTGTTGGCAAAGTGTGTCGCCGAAGCCACTATGTTTTCTGCGTTTGTATATATAAGCACCTTCATAGCTCAGTTGGTAGAGCAGAGGACTTTAAGAAGTTCCTGAAATGCTGTGATCCGAAGTTCCTGAAACGCTGTAGTCCAAAGGTCACTGGTTTAACTCCAGCTCCAAACACCACATTTCATTGCTGTATGCACTCTTCGACCTTTTTCATTGACCATGTAGCTTTAATTGTTGTGTTGGCAAAGTGTATCGTCTCAGCCACTATGTTTTCTGCGGTTGAGTCTATAAGCACCTTCATAGCTCAGTTGGTAGAGCAGAGGACTGTAAGAAGTTCCTAGTATGAAACTCTGTGATGCGAACATCGCTGCTTCAACTCCCGCTCAAAGCACCAGTTTTCATTGGTGTATGCACTTTTCAAGCTTTTTCATTGACCATGTAGCTTTAATTGTTTTGTTGGCAAAGTGTATCGTCTCAGCCACTATGTTTTCTGCGGTTGAGTCTACTAGCACCTTCATAGCTCAGTTGGTAGAGCAGAACACTGTAAGAAGTTCTTAGTATGAAACTCTGTGATGCGAACATCGCTGGTTCAGCTCCCGCTCAAAGCACCAGTTTTCATTGGTGTATGCACTTTTCAAGCTTTTGCATTGATCATGTAGCTTTAATTGTTGTGTTGGCAAAGTGTATCGTCTCAGCCACTATGTTGTCTGCGGTTGAGTCTACAAGCACCTTCACAGCTCAGTTGGTAGAGCAGAAGACTGTAAGAAGTTCCTAGTATGAAACTCTGTGATGCGAACATCGCTGGCTCAACTCCCGCTCAAAGCACCAGTTTTCATTGCTGTATGCACTCTTAAACCTTTTTCATTGACCATGTGGGTCCAATTGTATTGTTGGCAAAGTGTGTCGCCGAAGCCACTATGTTTTCTGCGTTTGTATATATAAGCACCTTCATAGCTCAGTTGGTAGAGCAGAGGACTGTAAGAAGTTCCTGAAACGCTGTGGTCCAAAGGTCGCTGCTTCAACTCCAGCTCCAAACACCACATTTCATTGCTGTATGCACTGTTCAACCTTTTTCATTGACCATGTGGGTCCAATTGTATTGTTGGCAAAGTGTGTCGCCGAAGCCACTATGTTTTCTGCGTTTGTGTCTATAAGCACCTTCAAAGCTCACTTGGTAGAGCAGAGCACTGTAAGAAGTTCCTGAAACGCTGTGGTCCAAAGGTCGCTGGTTCAACTCCAGCTCCAAACACCACATTTCATTGCTGTATGCACTGTTCAACCTTTTTCATTGACCATGTGGGTCCAATTGTATTGTTGGCAAAGTGTGTCGCCGAAGCCACTATGTTTTCTGCGTTTGTATATATAAGCACCTTCATAGCTCAGTTGGTAGAGCAGAGGACTGTAAGAAGTTCCTGAAACGCTGTGGTCCAAAGGTCGCTGGTTCAACTCCAGCTCCAAACACCACATTTCATTGCTGTATGCACTGTTCAACCTTTTTCATTGACCATGTGGGTCCAATTGTATTGTTGGCAAAGTGCGTCGCCGAATCCACTATGTTTTCTGCGTTTGTGTCTATAAGCACCTTCATAGCTCAGTTGGTAGAGCAGAGGACTGTAAGAAGTTCCTGAAACGCTGTGGTCCAAAGGTCGCTGGTTCAACTCCAGCTCCAAACACTAGATCTTATTGCTGTATGCACTCTTCAACCTTTTTCATTGACCATGTGGGTCCAATTGTATTGTTGGCAAAGTGTGTCGCCGAAGCCACTATGTTTTCTGCGTTTGCATATATAAGCACCTTCATAGCTCAGTTGGTAGAGCAGAGGACTTTAAGAAGTTCCTGAAATGCTGTGGTCCGAAGTTCCTGAAACGCTGTAGTCCAAAGGTCACTGGTTCAACTCCAGCTCCAAACACCAGATTTCATTGCTGTATGCACTCTTCAACCTTTTTCATTGACCACGTAGCTTTAATTGTTGTGTTGGCAAAGTGTATCGTCTCAGCCACTATGTTTTCTGCGGTTGAGTCTATAAGCACCTTCATAGCTCAGTTGTAGAGCAGACGACAGTAAGAAGTTCCTAGTATGAAACTCTGTGATGCGAACATCGCTGCTTCAACTCCCGCTCAAAGCACCAGTTTTCATTGGTGTATGCACTTTTCAAGCTTTTTCATTGACCATGTAGCTTTAATTGTTTTGTTGGCAAAGTGTATCGTCTCAGCCACTATGTTTTCTGCGGTTGAGTCTACAAGCACCTTCATAGCTCAGTTGGTAGAGCAGAGGACTGTAAGAAGTTCCTGAAACGCTGTGGTCCAAAGGTCGCTGGTTCAACTCCAGCTCCAAACAGCACATTTCATTGCTGTATGCACTCTTCAACCTTTTTCATTGACCATGTGGGTCCAATTGTATTGTTGGCAAAGTGTGTCGCCGAAGCCACTATGTTTTCTGCGCTTGTGTCTATACGCACCTTCATAGCTCAGTTGGTAGAGCAGAGGACTGTAAGAAGTTCCTGAAACGCTGTGGTCCAAATGTTGCTGGTTCAACTCCAGCTCCAAACACCACATTTCAATGCTGTATGCACTGTTCAACCTTTTTCATTGACCATGTGGGTCCAATTGTATTGTTGGCAAAGTGTGTCGCCGAAGCCACTATGTTTTCTGCGTTTGTATATATAAGCACCTTCATAGCTCAGTTGGTAGAGCAGAGGACTGTAAGAAGTTCCTGAAACGCTGTGGTCCAAAGGTCGCTGGTTCAACTCCAGCTCCAAACACCAGATTTCATTGCTTTATGCACTGTTCAACCTTTTTCATTGACAAGGTAGCATGATTGTTATGTTGGCAAAGTGTGTCGCCAAAGCCACTATGTTTTCTGCGTTTGTGTCTATAAGCACCTTCATAGCTCAGTTGGTAGAGCAGAGGACTGTAAGAAGTTCCTGAAATGCTGTGGTCCAAAGGGCGCTGGTTCAACTCCAGCTCCTAACACTAGGTCTCATTGCTGTATGCACTGTTCAACCTTTTTCATTGACCATGTGGGTCCAATTGTATTGTTGGCAAAGTGTGTCGCCGAAGCCACTATGTTTTCTGCGTTTGTGTCTATCAGCACCTTCATAGCTCAGTTGGTAGAGCACACGACTGTAAGAAGTTCCTGAAACGCTGTGGTCCAAAGGTCGCTGGTTCAACTCCAGCTCCAAACACCAGATTTCATTGCTGTATGCACTGTTCAACGTTTTTCATTGACCATGTGGGTCCAATTATATTGTTGGCAAAGTGTGTCGCCGAATCCACTATGTTTTCTGCGTTTGTGTTTATAAGCACCTTCATAGCTCAGTTGGTAGAGCAGAGGACTGTAAGAAGTTCCTGAAACGCTGTGGTCCAAAGGTCGCTGGTTCAACTCCAGCTCCAAACACCAGATTTCATTGCTTCATGCAATGTTCAACCTTTTTCATTGACAAGGTAGCTTGATTGTTATGTTGGCAAAGTGTGTCGCCAAAGCCACTATGTTTTCTGCGTTTGTGTCTATAAGCACCTTCATAGCTCAGTTGGTAGAGCACACGACTGTAAGAAGTTCCTGAAATGCTGTGGTCCAAAGGGCGCTGGTTCAACTCCAGCTCCTAACACTAGATCTCATTGCTTTATGCACTCTTCAACCTTTTTCATTGACCATGTGGGTCCAATTGTATTGTTGGCAAAGTGTGTCGCCGAAGCCACTATGTTTTCTGCGTTTGTGTCTATCAGCACCTTCATAGCTCAGTTGGTAGAGCACACGACTGTAAGAAGTTCCTGAAACGCTGTGGTCCAAAGGTCGCTGGTTCAACTCCAGCTCCAAACACCAGATTTCATTGCTGTATGCACTGTTCAAGCTTTTTCATTGACCATGTGGGTCCAATTATATTGTTGGCAAAGTGTGTCGCCGAATCCACTATGTTTTCTGCGTTTGTGTTTATAAGCACCTTCATAGCTCAGTTGGTAGAGCAGAGGACTGTAAGAAGTTCCTGAAACGCTGTTGTCCAAAGGTCGCTGGTTCAACTCCAGCTCCAAACACCACATTTCATTGCTGTATGCACTGTTCAACCTTTTTCATTGACAAGGTAGCTTGATTGTTATGTTGGCAAAGTGTGTCGCCGAAGCCACTATGTTTAATGCGTTTGTGTCTATAAGCACCTTCATAGCTCAGTTGGTAGAGCAGAGGACTGTAAGAAGTTCCTGAAACTCTGTGGTCCAAAGGTCGCTGGTTCAACTCCAGCTCCAAACACCACATTTCATTGCTGTATGCACTGTTCAACCTTTTTCATTGACCATGTGGATCCAATTGTATTGTTGGCAAAGTGTGTCGCCGAAGCCACTATGTTTTCTGCGTTTCTATACGCACCTTCATAGCTCAGTTGGTAGAGCAGAGGACTGTAAGAAGTTCCTGAAACGCTGTGGTCCAAAGGTCGCTGGTTCAACTCCAGCTCCAAACACCAGATTTCATTGCTGTATGCACTGTTCAACCTTTTTCATTGACCATGTGGGTCCAATTGTATTGTTGGCAAAGTGTGTCGCCGAAGCCACTATGTTTTCTGCGTTTGTATATATAAGCACCTTCATAGCTCAGTTGGTAGAGCAGAGGACTTTAAGAAGTTCCTGAAATGCTGTGGTCCGAAGTTCCTGAAACGCTGTAGTCCAAAGGTCACTGGTTCAACTCCAGCTCCAAACACCAGATTTCATTGCTGTATGCACTCTTCAACCTTTTTCATTGACCATGTAGCTTTAATTGTTGTGTTGGCAAAGTGTATCGTCTCAGCCACTATGTTTTCTGCGGTTGAGTCTATAAGCACCTTCGTAGCTCAGTTGTAGAGCAGACGACAGTAAGAAGTTCCTAGTATGAAACTCTGTGATGCGAACATCGCTGCTTCAACTCCCGCTCAAAGCACCAGTTTTCATTGGTGTATGCACTTTTCAAGCTTTTTCATTGACCATGTAGCTTTAATTGTTTTGTTGGCAAAGTGTATCGTCTCAGCCACTATGTTTTCTGCGGTTGAGTCTACAAGCACCTTCATAGCTCAGTTGGTAGAGCAGAGGACTTTAAGAAGTTCCTCAACAATGTTGTCCAAAGGTCGCTGGTTCAACTCCAGCTCCAAACACCACATTTCATTGCTGTATGCACTGTTCAACCTTTTTCATTGACAAGGTAGCTTGATTGTTATGTTGGCAAAGTGTGTCGCCGAAGCCACTATGTTTAATGCGTTTGTGTCTATAAGCACCTTCATAGCTCAGTTGGTAGAGCAGAGGACTGTAAGAAGTTCCTGAAACGCTGTGGTCCAAAGGTCGCTGGTTCAACTCCAGCTCCAAACACCACATTTCATTGCTGTATGCACTCTTCAACCTTTTTCATTGACCATGTGGGTCCAATTGTATTGTTGGCAAAGTGTGTCGCCGAAGCCACTATGTTTTCTGCGCTTGTGTCTATACGCACCTTCATAGCTCAGTTGGTAGAGCAGAGGACTGTAAGAAGTTCCTGAAACGCTGTGGTCCAAAGGTCGCTGGTTCAGCTCCAAACACCAGATTTCATTGCTTTATGCACTGTTCAACCTTTTTCATTGACAAGGTAGCATGATTGTTATGTTGGCAAAGTGTGTCGCCAAAGCCACTATGTTTTCTGCGTTTGTGTCTATAAGCACCTTCATAGCTCAGTTGGTAGAGCAGAGGACTGTAAGAAGTTCTTGAAATGCTGTGGTCCAAAGGGCGCTGGTTCAACTCCAGCTCCTAACACTAGATCTCATTGCTGTATGCACTGTTCAACCTTTTTCATTGACCATGTGGGTCCAATTGTATTGTTGGCAAAGTGTGTCGCCGAAGCCACTATGTTTTCTGCGGTTGAGTCTATAAGCACCTTCATAGCTCAGTTGGTAGAGCAGAGGACTGTAAGAAGTTCCTGAAACGCTGTGGTCCAAAGGTCGCTGGTTCAACTCCAGCTCCAAACACTAGATCTTATTGCTGTATGCACTCTTCAACCTTTTTCATTGACCATGTGGGTCCAATTGTATTGTTGGCAAAGTGTGTCGCCGAAGCCACTATGTCTTCTGCGTTTGCATATATAAGCACCTTCATAGCTCAGTTGGTAGAGCAGAGGACTTTAAGAAGTTCCTGAAATGCTGTGGTCCGAAGTTCCTGAAACGCTGTAGTCCAAAGGTCACTGGTTCAACTCCAGCTCCAAACACCAGATTTCATTGCTGTATGCACTCTTCAACCTTTTTCATTGACCACGTAGCTTTAATTGTTGTGTTGGCAAAGTGTATCGTCTCAGCCACTATGTTTTCTGCGGTTGAGTCTATAAGCACCTTCATAGCTCAGTTGTAGAGCAGACGACAGTAAGAAGTTCCTAGTATGAAACTCTGTGATGCGAACATCGCTGCTTCAACTCCCGCTCAAAGCACCAGTTTTCATTGGTGTATGCACTTTTCAAGCTTTTTCATTGACCATGTAGCTTTAATTGTTTTGTTGGCAAAGTGTATCGTCTCAGCCACTATGTTTTCTGCGTTTGTGTCTATAAGCACCTTCATAGCTCAGTTGGTAGAGCAGAGGACTGTAAGAAGTTCCTGAAACGCTGTGGTCCAAAGGTCGCTGGTTCAACTCCAGCTCCAAACACCAGTTTTCATTGGTGTATGCACTCTTCAACCTTTTTCATTGACCATGTGGGTCCAATTGTATTGTTGGCAAAGTGTGTCGCCGAAGCCACTATGTTTTCTGCGCTTGTGTCTATACGCACCTTCATAGCTCAGTTGGTAGAGCAGAGGACTGTAAGAAGTTCCTGAAACGCTGTGGTCCAAAGGTCGCTGGTTCAACTCCAGCTCCAAACACCACATTTCAATGCTGTATGCACTGTTCAACCTTTTTCATTGACCATGTGGGTCCAATTGTATTGTTGGCAAAGTGTGTCGCCGAAGCCACTATGTTTTCTGCGTTTGTATATATAAGCACCTTCATAGCTCAGTTGGTAGAGCAGAGGACTGTAAGAAGTTCCTGAAACGCTGTGGTCCAAAGGTTGCTGGTTCAACTCCAGCTCCAAACACCAGATTTCATTGCTTTATGCACTGTTCAACCTTTTTCATTGACAAGGTAGCATGATTGTTATGTTGGCAAAGTGTGTCGCCAAAGCCACTATGTTTTCTGCGTTTGTGTCTATAAGCACCTTCATAGCTCAGTTGGTAGAGCAGAGGACTGTAAGAAGTTCCTGAAATGCTGTGGTCCAAAGGGCGCTGGTTCAACTCCAGCTCCTAACACTAGGTCTCATTGCTGTATGCACTGTTCAACCTTTTTCATTGACCATGTGGGTCCAATTGTATTGTTGGCAAAGTGTGTCGCCGAAGCCACTATGTTTTCTGCGTTTGTGTCTATCAGCACCTTCATAGCTCAGTTGGTAGAGCACACGACTGTAAGAAGTTCCTGAAACGCTGTGGTCCAAAGGTCGCTGGTTCAACTCCAGCTCCAAACACCAGATTTCATTGCTGTATGCACTGTTCAACCTTTTTCATTGACCATGTGGGTCCAATTATATTGTTGGCAAAGTGTGTCGCCGAATCCACTATGTTTTCTGCGTTTGTGTTTATAAGCACCTTCATAGCTCAGTTGGTAGAGCAGAGGACTGTAAGAAGTTCCTGAAACGCTGTGGTCCAAAGGTCGCTGGTTCAACTCCAGCTCCAAACACCAGATTTCATTGCTTCATGCAATGTTCAACCTTTTTCATTGACAAAGTAGCTTGATTGTTATGTTGGCAAAGTGTGTCGCCAAAGCCACTATGTTTTCTGCGTTTGTGTCTATAAGCACCTTCATAGCTCAGTTGGTAGAGCACACGACTGTAAGAAGTTCCTGAAATGCTGTGGTCCAAAGGGCGCTGGTTCAACTCCAGCTCCTAACACTAGATCTCATTGCTTTATGCACTCTTCAACCTTTTTCATTGACCATGTGGGTCCAATTGTATTGTTGGCAAAGTGTGTCGCCGAAGCCACTATGTTTTCTGCGTTTGTGTCTATCAGCACCTTCATAGCTCAGTTGGTAGAGCACACGACTGTAAGAAGTTCCTGAAACGCTGTGGTCCAAAGGTCGCTGGTTCAACTCCAGCTCCAAACACCAGATTTCATTGCTGTATGCACTGTTCAAGCTTTTTCATTGACCATGTGGGTCCAATTATATTGTTGGCAAAGTGTGTCGCCGAATCCACTATGTTTTCTGCGTTTGTGTTTATAAGCACCTTCATAGCTCAGTTGGTAGAGCAGAGGACTGTAAGAAGTTCCTGAAACGCTTTTGTCCAAAGGTCGCTGGTTCAACTCCAGCTCCAAACACCACATTTCATTGCTGTATGCACTGTTCAACCTTTTTCATTGACAAGGTAGCTTGATTGTTATGTTGGCAAAGTGTGTCGCCGAAGCCACTATGTTTAATGCGTTTGTGTCTATAAGCACCTTCATAGCTCAGTTGGTAGAGCAGAGGACTGTAAGAAGTTCCTGAAACTCTGTGGTCCAAAGGTCGCTGGTTCAACTCCAGCTCCAAACACCACATTTCATTGCTGTATGCACTGTTCAACCTTTTTCATTGACCATGTGGATCCAATTGTATTGTTGGCAAAGTGTGTCGCCGAAGCCACTATGTTTTCTGCGTTTGTGTCTATACGCACCTTCATAGCTCAGTTGGTAGAGCAGAGGACTGTAAGAAGTTCCTGAAACGCTGCGGTCCAAAGGTCGCTGGTTCAACTCCAGCTCCAAACACCACATTTCATTGCTGTATGCACTGTTCAACCTTTTTCATTGACCATGTGGGTCCAATTGTATTGTTGGCAAAGTGTGTCGCCGAAGCCACTATGTTTTCTGCGTTTGTATATATAAGCACCTTCATAGCTCAGTTGGTAGAGCAGAGGACTTTAAGAAGTTCCTGAAATGCTGTGGTCCGAAGTTCCTGAAACGCTGTAGTCCAAAGGTCACTGGTTCAACTCCAGCTCCAAACACCAGATTTCATTGCTGTATGCACTCTTCAACCTTTTTCATTGACCATGTAGCTTTAATTGTTGTGTTGGCAAAGTGTATCGTCTCAGCCACTATGTTTTCTGCGGTTGAGTCTATAAGCACCTTCGTAGCTCAGTTGTAGAGCAGACGACAGTAAGAAGTTCCTAGTATGAAACTCTGTGATGCGAACATCGCTGCTTCAACTCCCGCTCAAAGCACCAGTTTTCATTGGTGTATGCACTTTTCAAGCTTTTTCATTGACCATGTAGCTTTAATTGTTTTGTTGGCAAAGTGTATCGTCTCAGCCACTATGTTTTCTGCGGTTGAGTCTACAAGCACCTTCATAGCTCAGTTGGTAGAGCAGAGGACTTTAAGAAGTTCCTCAACAATGTTGTCCAAAGGTCGCTGGTTCAACTCCAGCTCCAAACACCACATTTCATTGCTGTATGCACTGTTCAACCTTTTTCATTGACAAGGTAGCTTGATTGTTATGTTGGCAAAGTGTGTCGCCGAAGCCACTATGTTTAATGCGTTTGTGTCTATAAGCACCTTCATAGCTCAGTTGGTAGAGCAGAGGACTGTAAGAAGTTCCTGAAACGCTGTGGTCCAAAGGTCGCTGGTTCAACTCCAGCTCCAAACACCACATTTCATTGCTGTATGCACTCTTCAACCTTTTTCATTGACCATGTGGGTCCAATTGTATTGTTGGCAAAGTGTGTCGCCGAAGCCACTATGTTTTCTGCGCTTGTGTCTATACGCACCTTCATAGCTCAGTTGGTAGAGCAGAGGACTGTAAGAAGTTCCTGAAACGCTGTGGTCCAAAGGTCGCTGGTTCAACTCCAGCTGCAAACAACACATTTCAATGCTGTATGCACTGTTCAACCTTTTTCATTGACCATGTGGGTCCAATTGTATTGTTGGCAAAGTGTGTCGCCGAAGCCACTATGTTTTCTGCGTTTGTATATATAAGCACCTTCATAGCTCAGTTGGTAGAGCAGAGGACTGTAAGAAGTTCCTGAAACGCTGTGGTCCAAAGGTCGCTGGTTCAGCTCCAAACACCAGATTTCATTGCTTTATGCACTGTTCAACCTTTTTCATTGACAAGGTAGCATGATTGTTATGTTGGCAAAGTGTGTCGCCAAAGCCACTATGTTTTCTGCGTTTGTGTCTATAAGCACCTTCATAGCTCAGTTGGTAGAGCAGAGGACTGTAAGAAGTTCCTGAAATGCTGTGGTCCAAAGGGCGCTGGTTCAACTCCAGCTCCTAACACTAGATCTCATTGCTGTATGCACTGTTCAACCTTTTTCATTGACCATGTGGGTCCAATTGTATTGTTGGCAAAGTGTGTCGCCGAAGCCACTATGTTTTCTGCGGTTGAGTCTATAAGCACCTTCATAGCTCAGTTGGTAGAGCAGAGGACTGTAAGAAGTTCCTGAAACGCTGTTGTCCAAAGGTCGCTGGTTCAACTCCAGCTCCAAACACCACATTTCATTGCTGTATGCACTGTTCAACCTTTTTCATTGACAAGGTAGCTTGATTGTTATGTTGGCAAAGTGTGTCGCCGAAGCCACTATGTTTAATGCGTTTGTGTCTATAAGCACCTTCATAGCTCAGTTGGTAGAGCAGAGGACTGTAAGAAGTTCCTGAAACGCTGTGGTCCAAAGGTCGCTGGTTCAACTCCAGCTCCAAACACCACATTTCATTGCTGTATGCACTGTTCAACCTTTTTCATTGACCATGTGGATCCAATTGTATTGTTGGCAAAGTGTGTCGCCGAAGCCACTATGTTTTCTGCGTTTGTGTCTATACGCACCTTCATAGCTCAGTTGGTAGAGCAGAGGACTGTAAGAAGTTCCTGAAACGCTGTGGTCCAAAGGTCGCTGGTTCAACTCCAGCTCCAAACACCACATTTCATTGCTGTATGCACTGTTCAACCTTTTTCATTGACCATGTGGGTCCAATTGTATTGTTGGCAAAGTGTGTCGCCGAAGCCACTATGTTTTCTGCGTTTGTATATATAAGCACCTTCATAGCTCAGTTGGTAGAGCAGAGGACTGTAAGAAGTTCCTGAAACGCTGTGGTCCAAAGGTCGCTGGTTCAACTCCAGCTCCAAACACCACATTTCATTGCTTTATGCACTGTTCAACCTTTTTCATTGACAAGGTAGCTTGATTGTTATGTTGGCAAAGTGTGTCGCCAAAGCCACTATGTTTTCTGCGTTTGTGTCTATAAGCACCTTCATAGCTCAGTTGGTAGAGCAGAGGACTGTAAGAAGTTCCTGAAACGCTGTGGTCCAAAGGTCGCTGGTTCAACTCCAGCTCCAAACACCACATTTCATTGCTGTATGCACTGTTCAACCTTTTTCATTGACCATGTGGGTCCAATTGTATTGTTGGCAAAGTGTGTCGCCGAAGCCACTATGTTTTCTGCGTTTGTGTCTATAAGCACCTTCATAGCTCAGTTGGTAGAGCAGAGGACTGTAAGAAGTTCCTAGTATGAAACTCTGTGGTCCAAAGGTCGCTGCTTCCACTCCCGCTCAAAGCACCAGTTTTCATTGGTGTATGCACTGTTCAACCTTTTTCATTGACCATGTCGGTCCAATTGTATTGTTGGCAAAGTGTGTCGCCGACGCCACTATGTTTTCTGCGTTTGTATATATAAGCACCTTCATAGCTCAGTTGGTAGAGCAGAGGACTGTAAGAAGTTCCTGAAACGCTGTGGTCCAAAGGTCGCTGGTTCAACTCCAGCTCCAAACACCACATTTCATTGCTGTATGCACTGTTCAACCTTTTTCATTGACCATGTGGGTCCAATTGTATTGTTGGCAAAGTGTGTCGCCGAAGCTACTATGTTTTCTGCGTTTGTGTCTATAACCACCTTCATAGCGCAGTTGGGAGAGCAGATGACTGTAAGAAGTTCCTGAAACGCTGTGGTCCAAAGGTCCCTTGTTCAACTCCAGCTCCAAACACCAGATTTCATTGCTTTATGCACTGTTCAACCTTTTTCATTGACAAGGTAGCTTGATTGTTATGTTGGCAAAGTGTGTCGCCGAAGCCACTATGTTTTCTGCGTTTGTGTCTATAAGCACCTTCATAGCTCAGTTGGTAGAGCAGAGGACTGTAAGAAGTTCCTGAAACGCTGTGGTCCAAAGGTCGCTGGTTCAACTCCAGCTCCAAACACCACATTTCATTGCTGTATGCACTCTTCAACCTTCTTCATTGACCATGTGGGTCCAATTGTATTGTTGGCAAAGTGTGTCGCCGAAGCCACTATGTTTTCTGCGTTTGTATATATAAGCACCTTCATAGCTCAGTTGGTAGAGCAGAGGACTGTAAGAAGTTCCTGAAACGCTGTGATCCAAAGGTCGCTGGTTCAACTCCAGCTCCAAACACCACATTTCATTGCTTTATGCACTGTTCAACCTTTTTCATTGACAAGGTAGCTTGATTGTTATGTTGGCAAAGTGTGTCGCCAAAGCCACTATGTTTTCTGCGTTTGTGTCTATAAGCACCTTCATAGCTCAGTTGGTAGAGCAGAGGACTGTAAGAAGTTCCTGAAATGCTGTGGTCCAAAGGGCGCTGGTTCAACTCCACCTCCTAACACTAGATCTCATTGCTGTATGCACTGTTCAACCTTTTTCATTGACCATGTGGGTCCAATTGTATTGTTGGCAAAGTGTGTCGCCGAAGCCACTATGTTTTCTGCGTTTGTGTCTATAAGCACCTTCATAGCTCAGTTGGTAGAGCAGATGACTGTAAGAAGTTCCTGAAACGCTGTGGTCCAAAGGTCGCTGGTTCAACTCCAGCTCCAAACACCACATTTCATTGCTGTATGCACTGTTCAACCTTTTTCATTGACCATGTGGGTCCAATTATATTGTTGGCAAAGTGTGTCGCCGAATCCACTATGTTTTCTGCGTTTGTGTTTATAAGCACCTTCATAGCTCAGTTGGTAGAGCAGAGGACTGTAAGAAGTTCCTCAACAATGTTGTCCAAA